GGGTTCTTCACCTCTTTCTGAAATTCCCGGCGTGCTCTAGTCGTCTAACACGAATACGAGAGGAAGTTTTGTGGTACGGGTGCCTAAGGTAGGTACAGGCAGACCCGGCGAGGAGTGACTTTTTCGGCGGCGAAGGAGAAGGAGAGGAGCAGGTTAGTTGTCCTTTGCTACTGCTCGACGAAGCAGGAGACTTCTTAGGAGCAGATCAGTGAAAAAAGTGAAGAAGTGAAGTGCGTTTGATTGAGAGAGAACAATTCATTGGCATTTGTGAGGATTGTGACTGCGCAGCTTCCACAAAGAGTGATAACTTGACTGCGGATTCCAACTTCTACTTCACGTTCAGTCACATTCCCTGCGCGACCTGCATCTTGAACCCCTCTTCCTCCTCTTCCCTTTCTTCCGCAACATTGTCTTCGCTTATCAGTCTTCAGTCTGAGTCGGCCTTGAGGTGAGACAGAGACATAGTTGCAGACATTCAAGCGCAGAACGAACCCCTCGCGGCATCCCTTCCGTCGGTGATTTGCCGATGCTGGTCCGCGGCGTCGTTGTTCAACTCTCAGGTTTCTACTCAAAAGATCGCGCTCGGTGCTTGCGGTGTGGAAGAGACCATCAAGCCTTCTTATCAACAATGGAAGCCGAGGAAATCCACGACATCTGCTATGTCCGCAACGCCCACAAGCGGCAGAAACTCGACCTTTACTTTCCTGCGAGTCGCAGCCGCCCTTGCCCATTGATCATCTACATCCATGGAGGAGCATTCGCATTCGGGACCAAGAAGACAGAACTGGTGCCCAAGCATCTTCGAGACCATGGCTACGCTGTCGCATCACTCGATTACCGGCTTAGCGGAGACGCCATCTTCCCTGCAGCACTGGAGGACTGTAAAGCCGCCGTCCGTTGGTTGCGAGCACATGCGGGGAGATACCAAATTGATGGGGGTCGGTTTGTGGCGTGGGGAGAATCGGCGGGAGGACATCAGGCTGTAATGCTGGGCGTGACCGGGGATACGAAGGAGTTTGATGTGGGCGAACATCTGGACATCTCCAGCAAGGTGCAAGGGGTCGTGGATTACTACGCGCCAACCGATTTCCTGCAGATGGACGACCACGCTTTGCCAGGGAGCCTGGAGCACAATGCAAGAGAGTCGCCGGAATCGCGCTATATTGGCGGGCCCATAACAGAAAACCGAGCTCTGGTTGAGAAGGCCAATCCAATTACCTGGATCAAGCGCCAGCTGCCACCTTTCTTCATCGCCCATGGTACCGAGGACCGCATTGTCCCCTTGCATCAGAGCGAATTGCTTGTAAGCGCGTTGGAGAAGGTCGGGGCTCGTGCTATATTCCATCCTGTTGACGGCGCTGAGCATGGATTTCAAGGGGCGACTGAGGAACAGACCCAGGCACTCAAAGAAGCGACTGAGAAGTTTCTGAAAAATCTCTTTGACAGTCTTTGTTGAAGGGAAGCTTGAGCCGCGGAGCCCATGGATGAACTGACTTACTGATATTAATATTCATGGCTGGAGCATCGCGTCAAGGCAGTATGCGATCTGCAACTCTTATGGATGGGGACAGTCTCTCCGGTACATAGTCTTCTCTAGCAAGACGTCCGAATTAAAGCCTGGTACCAAAGAGTGAACCTCGTTCAAATATCATCAGGCGTAGTCCATATGTCGTTGTGCAACCATAGTCTATGTCCTGACTTACCTTTGTACTGCACTCATACCTTTGGTCTAGATTGCCTCTGATCTTCACGTTTGACGAGAGACAAGCAATCTCCAAGACATGTCTAGTTCTAGCTCTATGGTTGTCGGTCCGATTCCACCTCATGCAACACTTTCATCAGTCTGCCCACAGATCTTGTCAGTATCATGGTTAACCCTTCCAAGCCAGCAGGAAACCGCATCAGGCAAGAGTATCGTCGTGCTCACCTATCCAATCCCAACGTCAATTCCTCTCTCGGCGTAGCAAAAGTCAATCTGAAATTGCCATTTCGCTCACTCCCGAAACTAGCACCCATGGCCAACCAGACCCCGCCACGAGCCATGCGCCAATTCAACTCGAGCTCAGCGTCCTGACTATCTTCGCGCAAGTAATGTGATAGGTCGATCCAGATAAAGCTGGTGACACTGGCCGAGTTGTAAGGGATATGATTCTCCCGAAGTCTCGACACAGTGTATTCATAGGCATCGGTCATCCGGGTCTGGAATAGAGGGAAGTACCAGTCCAGAAAGGGTCGGTCGGTGAGGAGATTGAGCCAGGCGTGTTCGGCGAGTTGAGAGGCGCGGGTGAAGCTGGCGATGGCGCGGAAGGACTTGAGGAGAGCGCTTCCTCCAACAGCACTGCCTCCTTTACCGTTTCCTCTTCCTGTAAGCTGATTGGCAGCGCCAGGAGAGATCACGGCGCCGATTCGCACCCCGTTGGCGCAAAAGTCCTTGCTCATAGCATATATCACATGCACGAGTTCCGAGTCAATATATTCATGCAGTGGGAACGAAAGGACTGACACAAACGGCGGCGGGTGCGGGATGTCGGTACTGGGGAAGTGCGAACGCGCATATACCTCGTCCGAAATCAGGTGGATGCTGTACTTCGAACACAAGCGGAGAATGCCCGCGAGGAACTCGGTCTCGTAGGGTCGACCGAGTGGATTGTGTGGGCTTGAGATGAGAATGGCACGGATGGGCACCCCTGCCGAGTTTGAACGGTGGTAGGCGTCTTCATACGCTGTGACGGCTGCGGCGGACGTTGGATTCACGCCTGCGCCAAAGTCGACTAGTACGGATTTCACCCTGGATCACCCACTATGGGGTGGACAACGGTAAGTATCTTGCTCCAACACAACAGGCACAGCGCAAGGTAGCACAAGCCCATGCAGAAGGCGTAGTGTATAGATGGCCTTGCCACAGCAGCACCTGGGGCTCATGGGGAGATTGAGGAGGTCGAGGCTGATTGAGGAGTAACGCACTTTGCCCGAGCCTCAATGTCTGGGAAGAACCCGACGTATAGCGGTCGACCGACCAAGATCCCTTCCCCGGGTTCCCCGATGCAGAAGGCCAGATCGTCCACCGCACTGCCTGCTCCGTTGCAGATGCAGATGTGCTTCTCTGTAATCTCCATGGAGGGACGGAAGACTTCGGTCACGAACGAGGCTACCGCGCTGCGCAGGGCTGAGGAGCCCGCCGGTCCTTCACCGTACGTTAGATGGACCGGCTTGATGTTCATGTGCATGTTGATATGCTGGACGATTTCGTCACGCATCAACTTGTTCTCGGCCACGGCCAAGGCCACGATGCCTTCTGGGTTGAGGTCCCTGTCATATTGATTGTGGAAACAATGGGACCGAATTTCGTGGAGTTTGCTGGGTACGAGGTTCGACAGAGCTCTTTGAGATATGTGGACCATCTTCAGTAGGTTGTCGAGAACATCAGAGAGAGAGAGAGAGAGAGAGAGAGAGAGAGAGAGAGAGAGAGAGACAGAGAGAGAGCAACAGGCTTGAAGACAGGTAGAAACAAGTGATGGAGTTCACTTTGAGATTGGACGTTGATGTTGATAGCAAAGAGGCTGCAGCCACGATACCGATATACCGATATGACATCATCAACATCATATCTTATCAATCATGTGACTTGAATCAAGTCTGCTTACGTAATTGGGGTTCGCCTTCGACATTCCGCGCTGTGCAACGTCTCTTCTTCCTCCTTTCAACTTTCTTCCTCCACGAGTACCTTTAGTTACTGTTACACAACTTCCGTATCTGGATGGATACGAGACTGCCTAGGTCCCGGGTAGAGACTGTTTTGGCCATACGGATCAAACGACCGAAGAGGCTTCCCGGGGATTCAACTATTCCGAAACATATACTGATAGCAAGGAACAGATGAGGATGCGGTCGGTTGAGAGAATGAGCAGCGGCCAGACCTGGGGCAACGTCTACATGGTCCAGACCGAGAAGCTTGAAACGCACAATATGTGACCAGTCAGGTGGATAGGTACCTACTAGTCAGGCAATAGGTATATAAGGTACGCGCTTGCATGACCTCCTTCTCACTCATGTGTATAGACCTTCCGGCTCGACCAATGTGAGTATTCCATCTTCCGCTCATGTTATATCTCATAAGGTGCAATTCAATCAAATCTCCTGTCTACCCTGCTCTGCTTGCTATCAGTACAACAACCCCAACAACTCCACGACAGTATGTTTCTCAATATGATCAACGACATCTTTGATCCCGTTGGCTGTTGTCTCCCCCAAGACAGGATTGACCAAACTCAAGAACTTCGCATCGACCTGGTCCCTCGTGAACGGATGCTGCGCCTCACCCAAGGGAAACGTGATGTCGACCTCCTCCACCCCGAGCCCATCATCAGCATACTCAACGCTGATCCTCGAGCCGAACTGCGTGATCGACGAATCCGCCACACAAACAATCTTGTCCGTAAGCGCGCGCACTTCCGGATCACGCAGACGATTCCCTTCATAACACTTGATCCCATTATCCGAGCCATACAGGAAACTATTCGCGGTCGTGAAATACGCCGAGAACTGCGCGTCGACCATATTCTCGGGATGGACCTTATTCGGCGTTCTGGCGCCCACGACCAACAGATTATTCGGACTCAGCGACAACGTGATCCTCTTGACATCGGCGGCCTTGGTATACCCCCTGTCCCTCCCCAGTTTGGCAGCATATTCGATGAACCCATGCGTCATACGACATGCGGGGAACGGCTTCAGGGACGTCTCGAGAAACTCCCAGCGCGACCCGAGGTCGCTGACCAGATACGACAGATCCTTGTCCTGTTTCGGACTGTAGGCGTGCAGGAAACCGAATCTGGCGCCTTCCACGATCTTGGCTGCGCCGAGGACGCCAGCCTCCGCGAGCGCGACGCACTGGAAGGCATCGTGCACCGCGAACCCCGGATGCAGGCGTTTGTTCCAGCTCCCGTTCTCCAGGTACTGCATTGACCCGGCGGCCTTGGAGCCTGCAAGCCCAAAGGCGTTGGAGACGGTGGCGACGTCCAGCGACTTGAGCACGCTGATGGTCGCCACTGCGCCGAAGATGCCCGCGGTCGATGTGTTGTGGAAGCCGCGCGCGTACGCTTCGTTGCCGAGTTCGCGGCCGAGGCGGCATGTGATTTCGTACCCGACAGCCACGGCGAGCAGGAAGCGGTTGATGTCGATGTCAAGATCTGACTCTTTGTTTTCGTTGTTGTCGTCGTCATGGGCAGTACTCAGCACTTCTGCTTGGGTCAAGCCCGCGCCGATCGCAGTCACGCCGGCGTGCAGTGTGCCTTTGGCGTAGGTGTCGTCGAAGTCGAGCGTGTGGCCTAAGGTTGCGTTCAGGAGTCCCGCGTACGCTGGCGTGTATCCCTTTCCCTTGCCGATGACGGTGCATGTCCCTGTTTGGCCGCCGAGGGCTTTGACCGCGTTGCAGATCGGCTCGGTCGAGTCTGACGAATGGCTGGCCGCGAGAGTCACGCCGATATAGTCGAGAATATATTCTTTCAGTCGTTCCCGTATTGGGCTGGTCATGACGTCTGGCTGGACATGGGCGACGAAGTTGGAGAAGATGCTGGTCACGGGGATCTCGGTGGGTTTCGTGGTCCCGTTTACACCGTTGGGCTCGTCGAGAGTATCATTCAGCAAAGACATTGGAGACGAGAACAGAGGAATGGATTAAATTGATATTTTACACCTCTGATACCGATGCAGGAGACCGAGACTGGGGAAGTTCTGGTTTCGAGAAGCAAGGCCACGAGGGTCCCTAGATAGTTTATAGACCGAAACAACTCATCTCCTCTCGCTCCGCAATCGTGCCCCCGCATTGTCATCTGTTGCGAGGCGCTGTTGGCCTCGGGATCCTCGAAATCACTTGACAGCACTGCATTGCCCGTTGGAGTAAAGCCCTCTTCATCTCGAAAACCACTGCTCTCGAGAATCTCCAACCGACTTGGTTCAAGATCGCCGTAATCGCCTTCTTGCCCACAACGCGATGAATTCTCGAAGCGTGGCCTACTCTTTCTCTCCAACGCTGTCTTATTGTGTTGTCGCGTAGTCTGCCAGTACTGTTTGGTTGTAGTACAGATCGCAGGCATGCGGGTGTTGAAGACAGTATTTGGGAACCAGAGGCGCGGCCTGGACACCATTTGCAACGAGATATTCTCGAAAATTCAGGATACGCTGCGACATCTCCGTTGTACGCTTGAGTCCCGTGGCAGGATCCCTGTTTCCGGACCACGCGAGTTCAGCCATGGCAGCCGCCCTGGGCCACATCTTGGACGAGATAACAGTGTCATCGACCTGTTCAGACCAGAGAGGCACCTCGGTTCCAAGAACATGGGACTTCTCGGCGTCGGTGAGGTTGAGGGTGAAATCATAGTCATACACTCGCTGCCAGCTCTTGTAGGGAGCACACCATGAACCACCGCCTCCCCCATAGTTGAAAGTCGGCACACTGGCGTTCGGATTGGCCATTTCATTGTAGCGAGGATCATTCGTCACCCAGCCACCAAACCCGCAATCCAAGTAGAAAAAATCGGAAGAAGACACAATGACATCGTAGCCTTGGGAAGTCAGATTCTTGATGTTGGTCAGACCGCCATTCCACGACTGGAGAATGATGTTTTTTGGTAACGTGTGGGTATGAGGATCCGACAACAGGATATCTTCCCACATTATCAGAGTCTTGTTGGCAGTTGAAGAGAATATGGGAATGGCTTTGTCCACCCAGACTTGCAGAAGGTCGTCGTAGGTTCGAGATGCGTTGGCGGCAAACCACTCCCGGACGATACTGCTGAAGTTGTAGCAACCTGGATGAACTTCGTCTGCCCCAACGTGGAATATGTTGTCTGTGAAGAGGGACGAAAGCTCAGCATAGACATTTCCGATGACGTCGTATGTCTTGTTGTTGAGTATGTCGAGTTGTCCAGGATTAGGCTCGGTCGCGGTGTGCAGTGCCCAAACGTCGTTTGACCACCACGAATTCGCGCACGCGACAATGCTGGGGTCTACCTGCGCCCATCCCGAGGACGCATGGCCTGGCATATCGACCTCTGGAATGATGCGAACACCGTGGGCTCGAGCATAGGCGATGACGGCACGGATGTCGTTCTGGGAATAAATGTTCCTGGGGGAGTATGCATCTTTGGTCATCTGAGGATATGTTTTCATTTGGATAGGCCAAGATTGCGCGTCGACAAGATGCCAGTGGAGGACGTTCATCTTCGACAGAGCCATACCATCAATCTGCTCAAAGATCTTGGGCAGGCTGATGAAGTTTCGCCCAGTGTCTATCAGCGCCCCTCGGTAGGGGTAGTTAGGGTAGTCGGAGATCGAGACGGGCTGCTCAATCATAAGGCCCCCTTTACCATCCGAAATAATGATTTGCTGCAACGTCGTGAACGCATGCAGGGCGCCCCATACTGTCTCTGCCGTGATATTGATTGCCTGAGAAGCCGGGGTGATCTCAACAGTATAGGACTCATCTACTCCTTGTTGCAGATCAGCCTCACCGTCCGCAATGGTGAGGTCGACCTGGATCAGAATGGGATCAGATCTCCGCACTCTAGATGATGCTGCAGCGGTCGGAAAGGGTTCGAAGATCGATATTGGTGCCTCGACGGCAGCAGGTACCCATTTCAGTTCGCTAATCGAAGTCCAGGCACGATTCCAGGCATCACTAACGAGTCGACTGGGGGCAGCGTTCAAGACCAAGTAGCCTGCCAGTTGCTTCGGTCCCGAGGATCCCCAAGTGATGGACTGAGGAGCAGGCAGCGGGTTGACCACGACCGCATCGCTGCATGCAGTGAGAATGCTGGCCGTAAGGGTAGCGATCTGAACGAAGCGGCTGACAAACATCTTGCCTCAGAGGAGTCGACCGCGCGCAGGAGGATCAGCAGGCAATGAGGGAGTGAGTGGCCGACAGCCCTCCGAGGGGATCTGGACATGGTTTTCATGTCCTTGGACGGTTGAAGCCATCGGGCAAAGGAGCTTCTCGCCGTTCACGATGGTTGCCTCCCGCGCGTTAAGTGACACCGGAGTTGCGACGTTCCAATCGTGCGAACGCGACCCTGCAGATGGTCATACTGAGGGTTTGGAGGCCGTGAGATCGCCAGAGGAGGACAATGTAACTTCAAGATTCGGCGGAGATGGCAGTCCGATCAAGGTTGTGCTGAGAAGAGGTACCTAGGTAGGTATTTGGATAGCTTGATATGCGTATTGCTACGGTGACATTGTAGGTCAATGTAAAGGTACCTAGGTAGATACCAGGTAGTAGCAAAAGATGAGGTACCTATCAGACCTTACTAGTAGTAGGTAGGTACAGTATAGTAGTAGGTAACTACTAGAGTAGAAGACTAGGAGTAGAAGCTCGCCGTCAATGGTTGGGCGCAGGTAGAAAGTGGCTGCGAATGTGATTGTAAGGATGACAAGGAGGACATTTGGGAGGATGCCAGTGTGCAATGCAGTGCAGTGGCTTGATAACAATCCAACCTCCCACTCCCACTCCCAGTCTTCTCCCCGTTCCTATGGCCTCCAATGCTACACCCTGATACTATCACCCGTCCTTTGTTCTCAAGATCTACTGGAGTGATACGTTACAACCACATTGCTCTCCTACCTGCCTTGCCTAGTCACCTCGTAGCCTCTCTTCAGCACACCGCCTCCAGCCATCATGATAGCTTGACAAATCCATTCTGTTCAATTGGCTATTGCGGGGGACTGCAACGACGCACGCTCCCGATCCATCGTTATCTTGAATGAATATTGAGCCAGTCCAGGCACCGCCGTCACGATGAACGACGCGTCCTCCTCTACCACAACATGGGCAGAAGAGTGTATACCGTGTTAGTAACAGATGAATTCGTCTACAGCGCTGGAGGTCCGATGGAATGGAACCTGGAGGATACCGTTATCTGTGAGGAGACTATAGAATACTTGTTGGATATCTACCTCAGTTATCCATAGCTTTCAGCGACCTTTGTAGACCCTCACGCGTCCGTTGGGAGTTGCATCTCCGATCTTGGGCACTGGAGAAGAGTCCTGAACCATGCCCGACGGGAGGACATATATGCCTTCATCTGGTTTCTCTGCTTCCGCCACGATTGATCAATTCGTAGCACGCAATGAAGCCACTTTGGAATTCAAGGGGTGGCACAATCCCAATCACTTCGGCAATACATGACTCTTCTGAGTCCGATACAATGCACACAGCCATTGAATTCCGTGGTGACGACTGTCGCGACATGACCAGAAGCATCCCTAACCCTCACGTCTAAGTGTCCTTAGGCTCCTATAACAACGGTAACCGGTGGCTAAGTTAGGTCCCTGAACACCCGGGTGAGATGACCACCATGTGTTATGGCACCCAACCCTAGCCTAAGAAGCCCAGGACCAGTGCCTGGAAAGCCCCTGGAGGTCGATTGTGCAGCCTAGATTATTAGGTGAGAGTGCGGGGTCCTAGAAGCGCAGGCAGATCTGCCAGTTGCGCCTGCGTCTTACTTAAGCAATTTCCTCTTATGGGAAATCTTTGGCATCATATTTTTTGTTGACAGTGTCTAACAATGACTGAGGAAATCTGGTATTGCACGACATCACAATAGCGACAACTCAATCCCGGTCGTGCTTCCGATGAATCCTCCAACCTGAGACTGGTATTCTACGAGGGGAACTCTATGATGGGTGACGAAGGCCCTGATTCCTTCCTCTCGAGGGAGAATTCCCATGATGCCGAGTCAAGACCGGGCAAAAGACAACGCACCTTTATCGCACGCCAGGTATGGGAGCCCGGCGAGGCCCATTCTTGTCTTCCTTTCCCTCGTGCTAATCTCCTTCTTAGGCTTGCGAGGCGTGTCGTGCAAAGAAAACAAGATGCGACGAGGACATGCCATGCAGTCTCTGCAGGAGTCTGGGGATCGAATGTACTTATGCCGAACGTAAGCCTACCAAGTAGGTACACCTCAACCTTCAAGCACTCTTTCTCTCGGCTGACAACGGGCACCCAGGAATGAGATCTCTATGAGCATGATCTTCAACACCCTGAAGAGGATGGAGTCCAAGATCGATCATCTATCCGTGCCGGAGTCTCCTGTGCCCCGACAGGGGTCCGAGTCGATTCGAAGTGATCCAGGCCGTCCACTCGTGGAGAGCCCCTACCGCATGGAGGCTCCAATGTCAATCGCGTCTATAACATCGCCTCCAGCTCCGAGCGCCGGGCCTCCGACTCAGTCACCCGATCGCCTATCCTTCAGTGCCCACCAAACCGTCCACTGGCCTGGAATAGTGGCAACACTACCTAACAGCCTCGCTTCAGCCGCTCAGAGCCTCGAACGAAGCTATCCCACCCTTCTTGAATCTGGGCGACCACAGCTCGACCCAATCATCCCCGCGCAAGCCTCTTTCCCTGGCGGTGACTGGCTCGCCTCGCTGGGCTTGTCCTGTGTCAAAGATTTATCGAATGCTTATTTCGATACTTTCAACCGCGTCTATCCTTTTGTCGACCGTGATTACTATTTCCTGAGCACTCTTGCCGTTGTGGTTCGGGAGGGTTTCGGATATGACATCGAGTCTTGTCTGGTGTTAAATGTCATGGCAATGGGATGTATGGGCCTCCGATCATTTGAGGAAGGAGGGTTCGACACTGCCGGCCACCCCCCAATATCTCCAATCGTCCGCAATATCATGGACGAGGAAATACCTGGGTTGAGCTTTTTTAACGAAGCTCGCAGACGAGTCGGCTTTTGTCTCACCGAAAGGGACATCCAAAGCTGTCAGTATTATCTTGTGTCGGCCCTGTTTTTCGCGCAACTTATGCGTCCTGTCGACGAATGGATGATGACAAACCGTGCTGCCGTCACCTGCACTGCGTTCTTCAAGTGCCCACCAGAACCTCACGATGAGTGGTTGGCGGATATGCAATCTAGGTTGTTCTGGACTGCCCTGGTGCTCGAGACTGTCATTGTTCAGGAGCTAGAATTGCCGCCTAGCAGACTGAAGGACTGGGAAGATGTGGTGCCGCTTCCCAAATTCACCATTTATCCTTATGCCGACAAGTCGCGCCCTCGAAACGCAGACGATTCATATTACCACTACCACTTCCTCGCCCAAATCGCCCACCGAATCATCCTCAGTCGAATCCGGGACGAACTGTACTATAGCAATCCTTCAGCAACGCTGGCAGACGAATTGCGGCATCAGCTGGATCAGTGGCGCGATAACCTTCCTGCTGCGTTGCACTGGACCAGCGAGGGCGAGGACCAGACGTTTGACTCACCTGCCAATGCAATTGTGGTGACATTGCTCCAAGCTCGCAACCGTATATCCAGATTCCACCTAGGCCGGCCATTCTTGTACAAAGCCATCCAGAAGCCTACGTCGGTGAGCGAAACCGATTTGAAAGTCTGCTCGGAAGCTCTACAATATGCAATGGATTGGCCGCTAGCCCTGGACGTTTGCGCGCGGATGAAAAGTTTTATGCCGTTGAAGTATTTTGGTTCGGGGCAGATGTTTGGACAACTGTTCATATTCCATGCTTTCAAGAACTCGCCCAACCCCCGAATCCGCGAAATACTCCCCATGGGATACGAAGTCTGGTGTACCAGAATGCTGAGGTTCATGGCTGAGTTGGTGGAGTCTAGCCCAACCTTGTCAAAAGACTTCGAATTGCTGTCTGCATTATACCACCTGGCCGAAGCTTGAAGAGTTCAGGACAGTCCTTAACACTGGGATCAGTCTCTCGGTCTCTAGATGCGACAGGAATGGTCGGGTTCTTTGGCGCTGTTCCAATTTCCAGACGCCATATTCCTTGCTCGCCTCACAACAACCTTCAACACGCCTCTTCGCTGGGGCTGTCTCTACTCAGCAGTAATCTGCAATAACATGGGTCTGACATCCACCGAAGGTAAGCTGCCTGCCAGATTCAGGAAACCGAAGAGGACAAGGACGTTATACCCACCCCACAGCGCCGGATTTGCACACCGTCTTGCCCACGGTCAACGTTACTTTCGAGCTTCTGCTCGAGCAAGCCAATAGCGCCCTCGCCTAACACCAGCCGTGATGGTTTCGACACAGAGATGCCGTAATAAATGCGGAGAGCCTCGGACCTCAGGCCACCTACCCGGGGTAACGGTCAAGCTTTGTCCCATGCTTTCTCAAGCCTCGACAGAACACATGCTCCAGTAGCCACCTAAACAATCATGAGGGCAGGGAACTCAATCTAGGCTACGCGCAACAACGATTGCGGGGTCAAAACTTGTGTGCTCCATCCAACTACGGGTTTACGGATGGATATACGAACCATGTGCTCCTGGATGGGATGCTTGGCTTGGCTGTCTTCTAGCTACCGGGTATCTATCGCCGAAGTAGGGGAGGCGCGCCCGTATCCGAGGTCTTCGCCTGACTCCACTACGTCAATGTGTACGATTATGTACCATATCACTGGCCCTCAGCAACACACCTATCTACGTATTACTGTCTAGGAACGTATAACCAAGGATGGTTGCAGCGCGGATTGTGGTATTCATCCCGTGTCAACCAAATGGTTTCCGTGGTAAGAGTGAGTGATGACGGGTCACGTCGAAACCAGCTTTCGAGTGAGGTCGATGTATCGGTCTTACGAACCCTGCTGGTCTCACTCGAGTCGAGACTCTGTGCTTGAACTGACAGTTCCGGTGGACGTCCTGTTCCAAAACATTCCACTCCGCCGTCACGTACCTGTGACTGGCCCATGTCCACTACCTACCCAACCCGGCAGGGTCGGTTTCGAGGTCGGGCAGACTCTCGTTGCTTGAAAATGCTGAGTAGTCCGGCCTCAGTGCCGCCGGGGGTGATTGCATAGAGATTGGTACTTGAGCTTCAATTCCAAGACCTGAGGACACGACGAAGGGAGATCTAGTAGATGATCCAAAGGCTGTGCGACTCTCCCCCGAAATATACCAGATTGGGTATCCCGAAACCCCCTCTCACACTTTCGGGTGGACGAATGGCAAACTCAATTTCTCGTTTTTCCCCGCGTCCCCGGCCCTATTCCCCATGTTGTTTGGGAGGGGCGCGGGGAGGGGAGAAGGTGGCAAAACCCAGCCTCAAAGGTCTAGTATATAAGTGTCTTCCAGCCTCGTCCAAAGTGTCCTCAGATTCTCCTATCTGCTGGCCAAAAAAAGACGTACGATTACTGACCGGAAATCAACAAGATTTACGCAGACAAGAGAAAAGGCCAGGCATAAAGATATTCCTGCTGACATGAGCGTCACGGTCCAATCCGCGACGGACCCGGGCCTCACTCTGTCCAAGGACCGTTGTGAGCCTGGCTCGGTCAACATCCCTGTGGCAACCTGGCCCAAGACAGCCGAAACGACATCGGTCGACTCCGATGCCGTTGCCACGAAGATCGTCGACTCGTTCAATCAAGCCCTTACCAACGGAGACACCAAGGCCATTGCTGATCTGTTCCTCGAAGGTGGTTACTGGCGCGATCATCTTGGTGTTACCTGGGACTTGCGGACTCTGAAAGGACCCAACAAAATCGCCGAGTTTCTTGCCGATGGGTGCACCTTGAGCAAGATTGAGATCGACCGGAGCTCGTCGTATCGAGCGCCTCAACTTGGAGCCTTCGATGGTACGGGAGACGTTAAAGGCATCCAGTTTTTCTTTAACTTCACCTCAAAAGATGGTGCTGGGCAGGGTGTCGCCCGCCTGGCCGAGCGGGACGGACAATGGAAGATCTTTACCTTCTTCACAGTGCTCCAAGACCTCAAGGGCCATGAAGAAGCCGTAGGACCACGACGGTCGAAAGGTGTAGAGCACGGTGGGAAACCAGATCGAAAAAATTGGCTAGAGAGGAGAAAGGCTGAAATCGATTTCGAAGGCAAAGAGCCCGTGGTGCTGATTCTAGGTACACAAGACGAACCACCGTCCTTCAATGCAGAATGCGATTGCTAATATATTTGTTAGGAGCCGGCCAGGGCGGACTCACTGCGGCAGCGCGTCTAAAAATGCTGGGCGTTGAGACACTGATCATTGACCGGGAAGATCAAATCGGCGACAACTGGCGACGTCGATATCATCAACTCGTCCTGCACGACCCAGTCTGGTACGACCACATGCCATATCTCCATTTCCCAGAGTTCTGGCCCGTCTTCACGCCGAAAGACAAGCTGGCCGACTTCTTCGACTCCTATGCCAGACTGCTCGAACTCAACGTCTGGGTCAAGACGACGTTAGAATCGACTTCGTGGGACGAGAACAAGAAACAGTGGACCATCACAGTCCAGCGGACCAAACCCGACGGCAGCACCGAGTCACGCACGCTGCATCCAAAGCACGTCATCCAAGCTACCGGGCATTCCGGCAAGAAGAACTTCCCAGCCCACATGAAGGGACTCGGCAATTTCAAAGGCGACCGACTATGCCACTCGTCCGAATTCACCGGGGCCAAACTAGACGGCAAAGGCAAAAAGGCTATTGTTGTAGGCTCGTGCAACTCCGGCCACGACATCGCACAGGACTTCTACGAAAAAGGGTACGATGTGACGATTGTCCAGCGGTCGACGACATGCGTCATCTCCAGCGAAGCCATCACCGAGATCGGCTTGAAGGGTCTCTACTCCGAGGACGGCCCCCCAGTCAACGACGCGGACCTGTGGCTCCACAGTCTCCCCAGCGAAGTGCTGAAGGCTCTGCAAGTCAAGATCACCGAGTTGCAAGAGAAATTTGACAAAAAGACTCTCGATGGGCTCGCGAAGGCCGGGTTCGGGTTGGACCGCGGGCCCGAAAATGCTGGACTGTTCATGAAATATTTCCAGCGCGGCGGCGGGTACTACATCGACGTCGGCTGTTCGCAGTTAATCATCGACAGCAAGATCAAGGTCAAGCAGGGCCAGGAGATCGACGAAGTGGTGCCTCATGGACTGAGATTCGCGGACGGCAGCGAGCTCGAGGCCGACGAGATCATTTTCGCCACGGGGTACCAGAACATGCGGACGCAAGCGCGCGAGATCTTTGGCGACGAACTTGCGGACCGTGTGGGTGATATCTGGGGATACGATGCCGAGGGCGAGATGCGGACGATCTGGCGCAAGACGGGTCATCCGGGTTTCTGGTTCATGGGCGGCAATTTGGCCCTGTGTCGGTATTATTCCAAGAGACTGGCTTTGCAGATCAAGGCGTTGGAGGAGGGTTTTTGTCAATATTGAAGTTTGGGTGGGATCGCATTGGGCGAAAACTCCTACTACTAGTAGTAAAGGAGAAGGGAGAGGCAGAAGAACAAAGGACAGAGGGCAGTCTCGGCAGGATACCATGAGCTCCACAGAATCATGGCCCGGAATGGATTTCTCGCTTGTTTTGTTTCCCACCGAGTTATTCCAACGGTCGGATGAGCTTGTACACAATAACTCCAGTCTGTTGTATTATGAAGAGTTTCGGTACTGCATGAGGTGAGATCCATGCGGTCCATCTCACCAATCTTTCCCATTCATTACTATTTTCCCTTCTGAACTGACCTAGTCATATCCCAATCGTAGTAGTCCATGGCCAGCTGCGAGCACTTTTCTGCAGACTCCCGCGGAGTCAACGGACACGGACACGGACACGGTCATTCCTCGAGTGGGACTCGTCTCAGATTCTATGTGAACAGCAGGCAGTGTCTGTCATGGTGATTCATGTTGCCACACTGCCTGACTCGCTGTGCCCTCTTTTTGCCCTGCCAGCAGGGACCCGTGGTCTCTTGATACTCCTTTCAGCAGTCTCAGGGCACAGGGTGAGGAAGGAAGACGCAACGGTGCAGTCCCAGCAACTGGTACTCTTTGGCGATCGCTAGTCTGAAGACTGCTTCGCGTGGATGTCACTCGCTTCAGGCTTTGACTAGTCTTTGGCGAGCTCAGTCTCTGCGTCGTCACCGTCTATGTTCGTTGCTTGATCCTTTTCAGCCTTGCCTGCCACGTCATGTTCGCCTCCTCAGATTCTGTTCATCTTCTTGCTTGGCGATCTCCTCCAACGCGGCGATGGCATCTTCGTCGTCCTCGCCATCAAACTCGTCCTGCTGCAGCAGTTTCTCGCCGGGTTTCTTCTCCGCCAGTTCCGTCACCGGACCGTCCTCGTCAGGCGTCTTCTCTTTCTCCTGGCTCGCGGTCACCACGACCGGGCTCTGGACCGGGGACGCCTTGATGGGATGCGAAACATTCAGGTTCCAATCGATCACTCCTTCCGCACCATAGCGCGATTCCAACCAGTCGTTCGCCTTCTTGAAATGGCCGCAGTCGAAAAAGCCCTTATGCGCGCTGAGCGGGGACGGATGGACGCTTTTGAGAACCAGGTGACGCGCCCCGGTGATCTTCTCGCAGCGTTTCTGGGCCGGCGAGCCCCAAGCCAGAAACACGACGCCACGAGTGCGGACCTTGACCACCGTGTCGATGACTTTCTGCGTGAACTTCTCCCAACCGTGGTTGGCGTGCGAGTTGGCCTGGCCGGCGCGCACGGTCAGGCAGGTGTTGAGCAGCAGGACGCCCTGGTCGGCCCAGGGGGTGAGCAGGCCCGACTTGTTCGGTGGTGGATTGAAGTTGGGATAGTCTTTCTTGATGGCAATGTAGATGTTCTTGAGAGACGGCGGGGCAGGTGTCGGGGGCCGGACGGAGAAGCAGAGCCCGTGGGCTTGGTTGTGGCCGTGGTAGGGGTCTTGGCCGAGAACCACTACGCGCACTTTATGCAGAGGACAGTGACGAGACCTGGCGGAAGAAAATGTCCACAAATAAGTCAGGAACTTGAAAGGTATAGCCAGTCCAGCAACAAAGTAGAATTCAAAGGTACTTGACCACAGTGTGTGCGCGCGCCTAGAAGGGGGGTCTCGCCAAACAACTAGGTAGGTACGTAGGTATGTACTTACCAGCTATACACGTCTTCGAGCGGCGGATAGATCTTCTGCCTGGAATCCATCTCCTTCTGCAAGAAGCGCTTCAGGTCCAGAAAACTGGGCGACGTGACTTCTTCCTTTAACTGTCCGAGCCAGCTCGGGTCGAGCGTGTCGATTTCGAGTTTCAACAGTTTCTTCTGCTCCTCCGTCAGGCTGGCCACCCATTTCTCCTTGTCGAATTTCAATGGGGGCGGATCGACTGTCGTGTTGGATGAAGTGTTTGTCGTCTGTGTCACGGATGTCCCGCCCGTGGAGGGGGTGACTTTCGGAGGGCCGAAGAAGGACGTAAGGTCGCCGTTTCTTTTCGGTTGGCTGGCGGACGTGGGAGGTGCTTTTCGCTTGAGAGACGACATTGCGGTCAAGTTGCGAGGGAGCTGGGGAAGGGGACGGCGTCTGATGGATAGAGAACGAGGGCGAGAGGCGAGCTGTGTACAGGCACGCGCGGACAGCATACAAGATGATGCGCTCGACGATGGGACGCAATCAATTTCAATTTGATGCTCTCACTCATTCATTCAACTGCGTAGGACAGGAGTACAGATAGATAGTCACAGTGATGGTCATGTCCGGGGTAAAATGCTTAACGCGCTTCATTGACGCGACGTCACGACACGCGTTGGCCGGGGTCATTCCGAGTGGACCCTTAGTACGTATACTAAGTACTACAGCACCCTGACAAAAGTCATCGTCACTCAGCACTTTTATAGCTAAAAAGTAAAATTACCGAGGTGTATTCTAGCTCTTCTAATTAGGTAATTTTAGTTATAGCTCGTTATATATACTCTATAGCTATTTTGATAGTAACTCTATATACTAACTTTTATATTATCTCTTAAACTTCTAAAGTTATCTCTAGAATAGTAAAAGTTTCCGGTATTTTTACTCTTTTCTATATAAAAAAGGGCTAAAAACTTTAAAATAGAGATAACTTCTAAGACTATAGAGATAGTTAAAAATATTATACATAAAAGTTGCTCTATATTAGCTACTATATAACTATAAATAATAAAAATAGAGGGTTACCGCCTAGGATAGCCTAGAGTATAGCTCGATAGTTCTACGTTTTGGCTGTAAAAGTGCCGAGTGACGATGACTTTTGTCAGCGTGCTGTACTATAGAAGGTCTAGGGACACTTAGGCGACTGGCCAGCTCCGCCTAAGCCCTAGGCTCCTTAGGCTAGGGTCGCTCCCCTTAGGAACCCCCTTAGGTTCAGGTTAAGGAGGTTCCTTAGGTCCCAGGCTAGGGAGGCTCCTTAGGCTCCTTAGACCTATTCTCGGGCGGTTGAGGCTTCAGATTCAGGGGTCACTGTGGACCATTCCCCGAAGTTTGGGAAGTGCAGAGCTGGCCGCACGCCCTATCTTCCCGTTCAAAGCAGCTATCTAACTATATTCTAGTAGACGAGTGTGTGTGTCCTCGACCTGAATACAGCGCAAATGGTATGTGATATGTATGTGTGTGGGCGTGGTGAGGGAGACGGAGGGAGATACGTATCTCCATTGGGTAAAAGGGGCAGGCAGCCTTGCCGCAATTTTCTTCAGGCACCTAATTCTCCAGCCAATTCATGGAGAATGACAATCTACGATGCGACAACAGCGACACAAGGTTGGTTTACTGGTAATGTTGATTTCCCCAGCGCTGGTACGGGGCATGCGGCATGGAGGGTTATAGAGTCACACGATTCGCATCACAGTTGGTCGGCTGTACATGTGCAGACACTACATGGTACACTGGACATGGAGGAGTATCAACGAACACACTGTATCAGGATGTCAATCGATCTGGATTCTCTACGTAACTTCTGTTCTGTTCTGTTTGTCTGCTGCCCCGGACGAGCCTCGACGAGGGAAACAGGCACAGATACACAAATATGATGTGACCAATGTGACCATCCTTGTTCCGCCTCGGATCCGTGGCAAGGGAGTCCTTGGAGTCGTAAACTTGATTATGCCGAATGATCCACCCGTTTCGAGAATGGCACATCTGCAACCTTCCCTCTGTGGTAAAAGCGAGAGGGAGGCAAGCCCAAATTTGCAAGAAAAGAGAAGCAAAACCGTCCACTGTTGGGTATAATAGTCGCAAAAGCGCAAGCTAGTTCATTCCTGGAATTGATAAATCAATGACTGGCGGGAAAACGAGGTACAAACAGGCTCCCTCCGAGGCTGGAGCACATGTCTTGCAGACAGGCAGGCTGCAATGCAAAGACACTTGCTCTTCAAGTTCAGCTCGCTGGCTCACCAGGTCGCCCGCAATAAGGCATCACAAAGCCGCATGACGCCTGACTGCTTCAGTCAAGCGTGATCACTTCCTTATTTCTCCCGGCGTTGGAACTGCCTTTCGCGTTAACCCCTGGTCTCCCCGTGTTCATGTTCGCATTAGCAGGCGGCCACTGAGGCTTGATCCCTCCATTGGGAGGAGCATTGTCTCCATGTGGCGGCATTTTACTCGACACCGGGATTTTGCTGGGTTTGGAATTGCTATTGCCACCTCCGTTGCCGTTGGGGAGATTTTGGTGATTAACGGTTTTGTTGCCGGTGTTGCCGGTGTTGCCGTCTTGTCGTCCGATCTGTTTGCCGACGTTCGTGCCTTTAGTCTGCTTGTTTCCTCCCTCGGAAACTGCAGCAGACGCCTTTCCCTCCTTCACAAAGTCACAAAGCAGATCGTGGATGGCTTGGAGCAATGCCTGCGGTTGATCGGCCTTGCAAATCGCGGCCGAGTCGAGTGCCAACCACTTACCCCCATTGTCTGCACGAGCGAATATGTCTTGTCTCAATTTGTCCCGCAATACTTGACTGCAATACGATGGCCTCGAATAGGATTGGAAATCTTCAAGGGCGGCCCGCACCAACCACATGGGTTTTCGAGAGGCATTGAGATGGGGCAAGATCTCCAGGCGAGCCAGCAAATGTGGATGCGATCCAGGCCCAACATCTCGAGGGACCTCGGCGGCGGACGTGAAGTACTGAACTCCAAAGGCTGTAGTCGTCCTCGTGAGGAGGTGCACCCGCATCACACCTTTCTGGCTGTCCGACGACGAGCCAGGCGACTCTTTGAGATTGAGCCCATGCTTGTCTTGGAGATTGCGCAGAAATGTTAGTAGCGGCAGTGTCACTATCAGAGAAGTCCACAGATCACGGACTTGACTCGCGAATGGAACACGGCCTGCTGCAAATAGTTTGGCGTAATGTGTAGCTAGGAGAGCGTGTGGATTGCCGTTGGCGGGGAGAAACTCCAGCTGTGGAACTTCGCTTCCTCTTGTGAAAGCCATGGTCAGACCACATTCTTTCGACTCTTCCATCTGATACGCGATGGTAATGGCCGAATTCGAAAGATTCTTCAATTGCAGTCCTGGCAGGCGATGGAGCTGTTCCACGGTTGATACGATCTTTTCAAGGTCCATGGCATTGGCGATAATGTCTGGAATGGCAGCCTCAGTGATGGAAGTTTGCACTCGAATAGTGACGCTTCGATCTTCAGAGTTCAGGGTAACATGGGGTCCCAAAATAGAGGCATCGATGTGTTTCAGTGCGGCAGAGCTTGCCCGATTCTGGAATTGCCCAATCGTGGTAACTTTGTTCGTGGCTCGATCCAGCCCACCAAAACAAAGTTTCATACTCTTTATCACATCCGGGGCAGTGGAAGATGTTTTCGCCCCGTCTGTCAAAGATGGCTGTGGCGGCGAGCTGGACAACAGTCCTAGGGCTGGTCGGGACAAATCCAGATCAAACGTCAATTCGGGCAATTCGTACTTGCGTCCGAACGCCGGGAATGGCGGAAGGTTGACCTCCTCCTTTCTTTCCTTCAGATAGTCGGCATTCCGTTGAAGGCAGATCAGGCCTGTGGCGTAGTCCGCAAGTCGCTCGAAATATCCTCCGGATAATTCCTCATTGATCGCAATCCCTTGGCTTCGAATGACGTGAAACCGCGGCTGCAGATTTGGTCCCGGTGACGGTAACTGCTGTAATAGATACCAGTGATCGCCGTGTTGCCCGTGAGTGATGGCTAGAGAATATCCCAATCCCCATTGGGGTTGTCGGAACATGTTGATCCTGACAACGGGGGTTCCAAACAACGTCTTGATTTCGGCTTGATTGAGCTTGAACGCTCTCAAGGCTTCCCAGCTGGTACCTGTGATGCCTGAAAACACCGAAGCCTCCCTCACACTGCATCTGAAGTTGAGCAATTTCGACACGATCTCATCTGCGACACCATGTATACGGTTGATTTCATATTGCAATCGTTCGCTTCTTTCGCTCACTGGACTGATCAGTAGCAGTCCGGTGACTGGTTCAATCTTGATTTGAATGCGTGAAGACCGAGATACTTGCATGGTCAATGAGCATTCCTCGGGATCGTCATACGAAATGTCCTGATCCAGTACCAGTTCGGCTTTTGCGAAGAGTGTTGTAAGCACCAACTTGTCGTAGATGGAGTCCAGGATGTCTGTCGAGTGCTGGGCAATGACCTGATGGAGGACCTCGTCAAGGGACAACACGGACTCCTGGAGATGCACCTGTAGCGATTCCACCTTCTTGCCCTGTCGCATGGCTTTGATCTCGAGGAAAGGAACTAGCTCCTGACTGCGGGCATCCTTCTTCGCTTTTCCACTGGCGATTCCGATTTCAATCCAGCTCTTGCCGATCTGCCTCTCCGGCCAGTACTGAATGACGAGATTTCGTCGAATCATTTCAACACGAAGATTTCCCGCCCACTGAGTTCTTGCCAGCTCGACCGCTTGCTTGTGGAATTCGGCCAATTTGTAAGATAACGCCAGTTCATGCAGGAAGAGATAGCAACCTTGCAGTCCGTCGCGGTCAATGTTGGTGTTTGCATACAATTCAATCTCCGAGCGTAGGCTTTCTGGGACGTGGGGTGCGGGCGAGAAGCAAAAGCGGAAATCTACCATGCGGAATTGGGCATCCGGACTGTCGTCTAGAATGGAAAGGTCAACCTCGAACTCGTTGGGGATAGTGAACGTGATACGGCCGTCATGGACCCGGTACCTTCGCAACTGGGAAGGAAGATTGTCCAAAAGTGTTAATTTGACGCTGAGAGAGCGGTTCAACGTTCTCAGCAGCCGGAGGATCTGCTTGTCTGATAGATCTTCCTGCGGAATGTAGCCAAGCGTGGAGAAAGTGCGAACTCTGCCCGTTGACAGAACCTCCGCGGCTCCCTTCAGATCGGGATTGGGAAGCTGGAAGCCGGCAGACTCTTGTTTGAGAGCCGCCAGAGAAGCAATGGCATCCCAATAGGCTTGACGGCGTTTCATCAGCCAAAAGTTGATTGAGATGGTCTTGCTGACATCGTCCACATTCTTGCTCCACTGCAGAAGCACCAGCAATTTGACGAAGTCCGCCTTCTGGTCATTCGCGAACTGGAGCAGTCGTTCTTTCTTGTCCAAATTGGCCGTGGTTTGATTGTTCGGTAGATTGTTGGGTAGTGGTTTGGTCTGCTCCGTTGGTTGTTCCGGCACCTGTATGGAAGCAAGTTCCTCCACAAGGTCCGTCAAACCATTCCAGCATGCTTGCGAGGCTCGACTGATCAGGGCCGCTATGGGCAGATAATTGTCTTTAGGAATAAGGTGGAGGATGTCCGATGGCGCCCGTTCAACGTCGTTTGCAACACTACTTTCCATGTCGCGTTTGGACGCTTGACTGGCGTGGCTGTCTCCATTGGCATGTGATGACCCTTCTCCGCCAGGAACGGACAGGTTCAAGGCGTCTCTCTCTTGCTTTATGTGTCCGGCATTGGGGGAGGCTTGTGCAGCGTCTTGATCGACGCCATTTGGAATGCGCTCTCCATTGGCCGTGGGCCTGTCCCCGTTCATATTGACACGAGTTGTACCATCAAGTCATGCATGGCCGGCACACTTGAAAGCGCGCTCTTATGGCCGACCAAGAATCCCTAATCTTAACGATCCAGTATTCTTTTAGCCGACAGAAGGGCCTGAACAATCACACTCAGATTAACGGTCGTGGCGGTGTACAGAACTGTCGCGAGGAAGTGGAACGACTGCAGACAGTTTGTTGCTCGAAGGATGACAGGGATAACGGCGAAATGAGTTTTCCCGCAGGAGACTGAAGATGCGCTGAGTTGTTGAACCGTTTGCGGCCGCCTAGAAGAGACAATCCTGTTGCGAACAAAAGGTCCTTCTTGTGTCGTCCGTAAGCCAACCGAGCGATCAAATCGGACGCTGCGCAGGAGGCTGCTAAGAAGGCGACGGACAAAGGTGATATCGAGAGATCGGAATTGCGAAGGGATGGATGGATGGATGATTGCAGATGAGATGAGTGACCCAGCGCGGATGTCGGCTGTCAAAGCGCAGGCTCCGGCGCCCAAAAAGGTCAAGTGGGAACAGGGCCTGAGCAGGTACTCTGTAGATTTTACTATGTAGGGCTGGATTGCCGACAAGACGGTCACTGGTCAATGGTCAGACAAAGCCCAGTGTGATGGTCGGGAGGGGTTTTGGAGATGTTTGTCGGCGGCTGTGAATGGAGGAGAGGAGAAGCGGACAAAGATGTTTGTCGACAGAGAGTTGAGAATGAGGGTGTGATTGGGGCAGCCGAGAGTACAGGGCACTGCACATTAGTAGTAGAGAGGACGCGCCTAGACCGAAGGAATGAAGTGTACCGTGCGGGTGGTGGATAGTGGTGTTTAGGCATAGGATTATACTCTGCCAGTGCAAATGGTGGACGTGCAGTTGAATGGGCGCAGGCAGGAAGGTAAAAGCGGCGAGACTGCCTTTTCAGTACCTCCTACTAGTACGTACCTCGTAGTACGATGGGGGAGGATCTTATCAAAATCTACCAACCTACCGACCTTAACTCCTACACGTTCGCTTGATTCTCCGGTCCAGCTCAGATATCTCATTTCAGCTTGCACCAGACGATCAGATTTCAGTCTGATGTTCATTCTGTCGAAACCCTCATTGGTCCCGCTATGCGCATGCCCACGGTCGACCACAGCTGACACGACATCACCCAGAATCCCTCACGTCCACCACTGATTGGATATTCTCGCAGACTCGACGGACTCGTCTGTGCCTATCTGCACGCCATCCGACGATGCCAGCCCATGGTGTGCATTTCAGCGGCCTCTGAGGGTGTGATCTTCGTAACTTGGGGAAGCTAGAGACTCGGAGATCCAAAGCCATGCCCAACGAGAGTCAGGACTAGCCTCTAGCGCCACAGCGCATGGCAATATCGGTGGTCCCAAGATAAGTGATTGCGGTTGTATTGAGGTAAGAGGAGGGCTCGTCTAAGATCTCAAGAGCGAGGTCTGCTGGTCAAGTCGACGGGGACATCCCGATCGCCTTCTTAGTCTCTGGCACAATCGTATGTTATATAGTACGACGACGCTGCGAGCTGCACAGCTGGCCCGACCCGCATCATCCACTCTGTTAGACCCGATCTAGGTGGTTAGCAAGGTGAACACGTAACTCGACTGCTATCGCTTGTTATACCTAGGTACTATACGATCTCAACACGTATCATCAGGTCCATGTCTTTTCTTTGCTGTGAAGAAAGGAGGAAAAATGACATCTAGGGGTTATACAGGAGGGGCGAGGTAGGCTGACGGAGTTCTGGACGTAGGGGTCTCGAAGAAGACAGAAACATGGTCTGTTCCCCTATGTAGCCAATCGCTGCTGGACAATACCCCGAAGTCACTTCTCTTCCCTTGTCGGTGTCTCATCATCAACATCATCAACATCAATCACCAGCACTTCCGATTCCAGCAGACTCCCTGGCATTGTTGACATTGTTGACATTGTTCCCTAGGTCCCTCGGCATGGGGAACCCGATCCTCCCTCGCGTCCTCCACTACCACGCCAAAGCTCCCATTCCAAAGCAAGCCTGATCTCGCCTACACCTTCAGTCGAAGCAGATGACGAGCGCGAGTCGTCTTCGACTTCCGCAGATTCCGCCATGGATGAATTGACGGAGCCAGTCCCGGAGGACAGGCGGTATGCGGACGAGGACACAAGGCCAACGAGCCAGAAAGAGCTCTGGGGGTGGTATTCATATGGCTGGGCCGCGGAGGTGTTTGCCATCTGTGCAATGGGTAAGGATGGATTTAACCTATAAGAGTGTGACAACATGGTGCAACCTGCTGATCGTTGGCGTCCAGGCTCCTTTCTACCCATTACTCTCGAGCAACTTGCCCGAGATCAAGGCGTACTGTTGAAAGACAAGACAACACCCTGCAGTGCAGACTGGCACACTGGACTCGGCGGCACTCCCAATGCCACCGCCTTGGAGCCTCCCAAACACACCCATAACGAACTGCCTGCTTGCGTCATCTATTTCCTCGGTGCCGAGATCAATACCGCGAGCTTTGCGATGTACACTTTCTCAATCAGTGTGCTGATACAAGCTGTGCTCATCATCTCCATGTCCGCAGCAGCGGACCACGGCCGCTTTCGGAAGACATTTCTGCTTGTGTTCGCCTTGACCGGTGCGACCGTGACCGCAATGTTCATTGTGGTGGTTCCAAAAGTCTATCTCCTTGGGGCGCTTTTCGCCATCATCTCCAATACCTGTTTCGGCGCATCATTCGTCTTACTTAACTCTTTCTTGCCGCTCTTGGTTCGCTACCACCCGTCCATCGACCGGAGCACCCGACGCCGGGAGAGTCATTCTGATCATGCAAGGCCCTCAGTTGATACTGAGGCCGATTACGTGCAAGAGGATGATGCTTTGACCGGTCCCACGTCAGCTCTACTGGCGGGGGATCGTCCTGATCAGACGACTCCAACTCCTGCAGCAGCAAACTCACCCGAGCTGAAGCTGTCTACGAAGATATCATCGAATGGGATCGGCATTGGGTACATTGCTGGATTGTTCGTGCAAACGATTGCCATACTGATCGTGGTCGCGACAGGCTCGACCACATTTTCTCTACGCCTCGTTCTGATGGTGGTTGGTCTGTGGTGGTTTGTTTTCAGCATTCCGGCCGCCATGTGGTTGCGACCTCGGCCAGGTCCACCGCTACCTGCTGGACTGGCTGGTGGTTCAGGTTGGCTTGGATACGTCATCTACGCCTGGAAGTCCCTTTTTAAAACAATTGGGCACGCCAGAAGACTCAAGGATATTGTGATTTTTCTCGGTGCTTGGTTTTTGCTGAGTGACAGTATTGCAACAGTGAGCGGGTAAGTCATGATTCATTCTCGGTGAGAGCTTACAACTAAGTCCAAACAGGACTGCCGTTCTCTTCGCCAAAACAAGCTTGGGAATGAAAACCGAAGCACTCGGGCTCATTAACGTGATTGCGACCATAGCGGGTGTGATCGGGGCATTCTATTGGAGCTTCATCTCTCGCTTTTTCAACCTGGGAGCGTCACGAACCATCGTGGCCTGCATCTGTTTGTTTGAGATCATCCCGCTATATGGGCTCTTAGGGTTCATCCCAGCCATCAAACGGTATGGGGTGTTTGGGTTGCAACAACCCTGGGAGATGTACCCGCTGGGAGCCATCTATGGCTTCGTTCTTGGTGGGCTGTCATCGTATTGTCGAGCCTTCTTTGGAGAACTCATTCCGCCGGGGTTTGAAGCAGCTTTCTACGCGCTTTACGCGATCACGGACAAGGGCTCCAGCATCTTTGGCCCAGCCATTGTCGGCGCAATCACCGATCGATATGGAGAGATCCGACCGGCGTTTGTGTTTCTGGCAGTGCTGATCTTTCTTCCCTTGCCACTGATGTTGTTGGTGGATGTGGATCGGGGCAAGGCCGAAGCATATAAGATGGCTCTGGAGTTGGAAGGGAACCGCAAGGGCACAAATGGAGAGACGATATATAGTGCCATACCCACGATCGTGCTCTCGGAAGAAGAGGATTGAGTGTGGCAGTGGCATGGGATGTGGTAGCAGAGATATAGGCATCATCATCTTGCTTAGAAATACCATGGTCCGTGGGGATCAAACGCGATATTTCTCTACATACTACGATAAACAACCGTTTTATTTTAGTGGCCAGCTATTGCGTTTCAGCAGGGCCATTGAATAACTTATACAACAGTAGACCACCTATTGATCTTGACTCTGGCGAGATAAGGGGTTCCCGATCAAGTACAAACAAGTGGCCCGCTTAATTGAGGAGGTCAGGGATGAGGATATCAGAGTCCCTAGATCGAGAGACTAGGGAGGCATAGGACCCTTAGGATAAGGAGGATAAGGAGGGTACGGAGGACCCCTTTTAACCGCTCACTGGTTGGAGGGTTGGAGGCCGGAATAAGCAGTTGACAACTTCTTGACACCGTCTCCTCAGCGCGTCTTTCCCTAGGCGTCAGTCACTCACCACTGCACCATTCATCAACTCGAATTAATTCTTGTCGCCCGCTTCACAGCTTCACAGCTTCACGGCTCCTTTTCACTCCTGTCTTCCTCCTCTCGTTCCTCTTCATTATTCCCCTTTTTCATACGTTTCTGTTTTCCTTGTCCTCCCGCAGCCTGATCTCGGCCCCTTCATCATCATGCGGTCTTTCACCTCCCTGGCTGCGGCCAGCCTCGCCCTTGCCGGGTTCGCCGCCGCAAGCGATGTCCACGACCTGAAGAAGGACAACTTTAAAGATTTCATCGCCGAGCATGACCTGGTGCTGGCAGAGTTCTTCGCGCCCTGGTGCGGTCACTGCAAAGCCCTGGCACCTGAATACGAGGAGGCCGCATCTACTCTCAAGGAGAAGAACATTGCTCTGGTCAAGGTCGACTGCACCTCCGAAGGAGACCTGTGCAAAGACTATGGTGTCGAGGGATATCCGACCGTCAAGGTCTTCCGTGGCACTGATAACGTCAAGCCGTATCCTGGTGCCAGAAAAGCGCCTGCGTAAGTCATGCCAGTCAGTCTCCTGCTCTGTTCACTCGCCCTAACCGGAACAGCATCATCTCATACATGACCAAACAACAGCTGCCTGCTGTCTCCCTCCTCACACCCGAGACCCTTGACGACTTTAAAACAACCGATAAAGTCGTCGTCGTGGCTTATATCGCTCCGGACGATAAAGCATCCAACCAGACCTTCACTGCACTCGCCGAATCGTTAAGAGACGAATACATCTTTGGCGCCTCGAATGACGCTTCTCTCGCCAAAGCCGAGGGCGTCAAGCAACCTGCCATCGTTCTGTACAAGGACTTTGACGAGGGAAAGAGCACGTTCGACGGCAAGTTTGAAGACGAGGCCATCACCAAATTCATCAAGACCGCATCCACTCCTTTGGTTGGCGAGGTTGGTCCCGAGACCTATGCTGGATACATGGGCGTACGTATCATCATCCCCAGATATGGTCGACTTGAATGCTGATTGATGCCATAGGCCGGAATCCCTCTAGCTTACATCTTCGCCGAGACTCCTGAAGAGCGCACCTCCTTGGCCGAGGCTTTGAAGCCAGTGGCTGAAAAGTACAAGGGCCTCATCAACTTCGCAACCATTGACGCAAAGGCTTTCGGTGCCCACGCCGGCAACTTGAACTTGCCCACCGACAAATTTCCATCCTTCGCCATCCAGGAGACGGTCAAGAACGAGAAATATCCCTTCGATGGCAACAAGCTTACCGAGAAGAACATCGGCAAGTTCGTCAAGTCCTTCGTTGACGGCAAACTCGAGCCCAGCATCAAATCGGAACCAATTCCGGAGAAGCAGGAAGGCTCTGTCACAGTGGTTGTGGCTCACTCCTACAAGGACATTGTCTTGGATGACTCCAAGGATGTTCTCATTGAATTCTATGCTCCGTGGTGCGGACACTGCAAGGCGTAAGTTTCTTTCCTTTCTTACCTCTTACTAGAGTATAATTGCTGATGTATACAGACTTTCCCCCACCTACGAGAAACTGGCTGAACTCTACACCTCGAATCCTGACTACAGCTCAAAAGTGGTAGTGGCCAAGATCGATGCCACTTTGAACGACGTGCCGGATGAGATCGCTGGATTCCCCACCATCAAACTGTACCCTGCCGGATCCAAGGACTCGCCAGTTGACTACTCTGGCTCGCGAACCATGGAGGATCTTGCGGCTTTCATCCGCGACAACGGCAAGCACGGTGTCGACGGGCTGGCGGCCAAGGACGAGGACAGTGAGATGGAAGACGTGACCTCATCCGCTAGCGACACCCTGGCCAAGGCCGCCCCTGCAGCCACCACTGCCGCCGAAGAAGCCGGATCTGGTGTCGCGGACGCCGTCAAGACTGCAGTCAGCGGGGCAGCTGCGGCGGCCAAGACGTTCATCGCAGACACCGATGATGGCGGTCCTCAGGAACATGACGAATTGTAAAACCACTCTGCCTCTTGCCTTGACCTTATGTACCTGGGTCACACAGGAGACTCGTTTTGTACGGAAATGAAATTATCCCCCGTTCCATCTTTGGTTCCTATGATTAGGTGCCTCAGGGCAGAGACACGGAAGGAGGCGACCTTTGGGCGGTCTTGATCATGTCTGCAGGCTGCTTTTTTCCCCATGGCGCAGCATCCACTCCGTACCTTCTTGATCTTGTGTCTGCTCTGCTGTGATACGATGAGCTCTGATGCTGGCACTTGGGAAGACTGGACACAAGCTGAACTGGCGGGCTATTCTGGAATGTCCAAGATATGTCCCTCGAATATCAGACTGACGAGCGTCGGGTACATAACCTGATTCCGTCCCTCCAGATTCCCTAGTCTAGGACAGAAATTGTGGAAACAAGCATTAAAAACACCCCTATTTGCACGAGACAGAAGACGACGTTGATCTCCCTGGTACTTCACGATATACATCAATCACCCCTGAGCCATCAGGCTTCGTACAATGTATCAGGTATCCGTCTAGTCGTTTATGGTTATTGACGCTCAGAAAGCAGTGAAAGATCAACCGTTGCTTTCATTCAGGCGTCTTCAGGTCTGCGTAATCACGCGCCAGTTCTGATCTTTTCCTTGGGTTCCGGTACAGATATGCCAGCTACAATATCCTTCCTCAACATTCCATTCCATCTGAATTCTCAACCCATGCCCTGTTGCCATTATAGTCTGTCTTCCCGATGTCTGTACCCAGTCACAATCTGAATCACATGGCTCCAGATCACATGTTCACTCGTCATTCGTAGAAGCTACGCAGAAGCTAATTTCAGTTGCGTCCGTCTCGGCTCATCGCGGTGCTGTCCACATCGTCTTGGTTGAGGAGGAGGTCCGGAAAGATTGGACCCGACGCTCTATGTTTCGCTGCCGCCGTGCCGATCGTCGGATTCACGGTCGAAGGGCTGGTCGGATTGGTATTGGTGCCCGCTGTAAATGCATTTCCTTGAGCATTTGCGGTGTTGCCCGACTTGTCGCTCTGACCAGAACCTGCATGGACACCAGCCACGAGGCCTGCCTTACTGTCAAAGTCGGTCATTCCCACTCCCATAGCTCCTCCTCCTCCTGACCCCCCTGGCGCATCTGAAGCTGAGCCAATACCAATTCCCATGGCATCGTCGGCGGCCGCGAAATTGAGATCCGCGCTGAGGAAGGCATCGCCGTCGAATAGCGGATCCTGAAAGATGGTCGGCATGCTGAGATCAAAGAAGCCATCAAACAGATTGTCAAGGTCGTCGAACTGGTATTGGTATTGGTCGTTGAATGCTGATGCTGGCGGGATATCGACATTGTCTGCGCCGCCACTGAAGAAAGGATCTCCGGGTCCAGGACCTGATCTGCCGTGAGGAGTGGGGGGCAACCCGGTTCCAGTCTGGGTGGTGGCGGTGGTTGCGGTGGTGACGATGGTGTCAGCTGGGGTGGCGGTGGTGGAGGCAGTGATGTCTGCTGTTGTGGCAGGATTCGAAACAGCTTGGGAACTGTTATATTGCGCCGCCAGGGACGTAGAGGTGGGTGCTGTGAACGGTGCTGGGGTTGGTGATGTTGGAGGCTGAGCTTGGCCATGGTTACTGGTATCGTGTTGCTCGGGCTGCGCAGAATGTCTGGCCGCTGCATCGGAGAGGACTTGTAGTGCGTTCCCTGCGTCTCCATCGTTGCCGTGGCCGTGGCTTGGCCCTTGTCCGTGTCCGTGTCCGGTTGAGTGTGTTCTTTCTTGAGTGTTGGGATTGACTCGGCTGGCGTGGTGATGGTGGTAGTGGTAGTTGTGAGAATGTGGTTCGAAAGGGCCGAACTTGCATGCTGTGACTTCTGCATCCATGGCGTCGGCAATGCTGGCAATCGTATGCTTCGGCACGCCTGGTTGTTGGAGACTCTTAAGCGCTTTACGACCCAGCCGGGCCATCGCGTCGGCTGTCCACCAGTACGTGCTCAGGGTCTCGAGAGTCTCGCATCGCGTGGCGAGATCAGCTTGTGCTCGTTCAGGGTCAACGTTGGCATTGTCTCGTAGGCTGCGGTAAGCGACCGTCAGAGAGAGCCCAACAGCGTAAGGCACCAAAGGGATGGGCGAGATACGGGTGTGTCGGCCATCGGAGAGGAGCTGTTGGATTCGGTCGGCGGCGGAGATGCGGCGGGCATATGATGCTGTTGCTGGTCCTCCGGCACGGCAGCTCAAGATCGCAATTACATGATAGCAGAGTTCGAGTATCGCTGCAATTTTTTGTTAGACAAAGACCACGATAGATAGCGAGTAATAACATGTTCGACGAGGGTGCCACTTACTCTGCTCGCTGTCATTGAGCAACGAGAAGTCGATGTCTTGGGCCAACGAGGAGTATGTAGGGAACTCGGTTTCCCAGCCGGTTGATTCCAGATCTGCCGTCGGTCTGTAGAATTCGATGACTTGGTCGAGGAGATCGGCCAGGCGAAGCCAGAGATTGATGGCTTGACTCGGAGGATTAGGCTCAAGCGGTGGGCGGGGGATGTCGATGTCTCGATTTGCAATCATGATGGGCCGCCCACCTAGACACGCGTTGATCTTGTCCAGCGTCCAGATCGTCCACCAGAGCATACTGTTCTGATCTTTCGGGGTCCGGCCCGCGGTCAGGATATGAAGTCCCGCGGTCCAAGCGTCGTGGATTGCAAGAGTCAGGTGTAACGAAGATTCTTCAATCCCTCCAGGCCCGTCGTTGTGTAAATGCATCAATGTCAGAATCTGGATTTTCGTGACTCTGTCGGGTTCCAGATCTGCCTTCATCGCCGCGTCCAGGCCTGTATGCAGACTTCGAGCAAAGGGGATCGGATCGAGCAATGGTCCGTCGTCGTACAGGCGCAGATATGGTGCAGCTTCATGTGTCTTACAAGTGACCAGGCATATCGCTTGGATGAGAAAGATCGAGCAGCGCCCATCCATGTAATCCTTCAGGAGCTTGAGGCCGTTCATGATCGGCAGAAGCCCGTCGAGACAGCTAATGTACGTAGTAACGAGAACATCCTGGGTGGCTTTGGGCAGAACGCGAAACGCGCCCACGGCTTGTAGGTAATTCCTCTGGTGACCGGTCAATGTCCTCCGGCCGCCTTCAGACTTGCCATATTTCTCGACATTGACGGGCGTCTTGTCCCCCGATTTGGGCTGGTGACCAAGTTCTTCTTGGGGGAGTTCATCTTGCAGGGAACGAGCCTGCTGCACCCAGGTCCCGACACGACTGATTCTCTTTTCGCCTTGTGAGCGCGAAGATAGATCGGTCAGTATAGACTCCGGGTTCGTGTCACCGACAAAGCGGATGGGTTCTTTGTGTGTTAGATTGGGCAGGACCCGGTCGAGACCGGCAGAATCTGCTTGCTGTTCCGGAGGCCGCTGGAAGGTGTGGTGACAGCGCTTTTTGGCGGCGCGACATTTCTGACACGCCCGAGCGGCTCTCTTGCGGCTGGCAAAGGCCGCAGTGTCTGCTTCCCACACGACTTGCATTGGGGATCGAGACACGCGGCGAGAACTAGAGAGATAGTGAGGGAGGGGCGGGACACGGCGGAATTTGCTGAAAGGAGTCATCTACCCGCCCAGTTGCCGTTTGTATCAGGCAGGTTTGCCGAAACGAGCTTCTGTCCAATCAACGTTCCGCAAAGCCTAACCATAATTGGACTCCGGGTCAAAGACGTCGACTTCAAGTTCGAGCTTCACATTGCAGCAGCCATCAATGCCTCACTTCGTCCCCCCTGCAATGCCTGTGTGGACCTGCTCACAACTGTTCATTCTATATCAGAGTGAGTGACTCCACATGTGAGGTGCGAGGTTGGCCAGCTTCTCGGTATACCATCTACCAGACTGACGCTATTCTTACGAGCCTTGACTGGCACCGCGTTCCACACGCTTATGCAGCCTCGCCCACCTGTTCGAGCCCCAAGCGCGATACTCCGGCCACTTCAGTCACTGCTAGACAGTGATAGCTCTCAATGGATACCACAGCGGTCCAAGCCAGAGCTGCCATATCCAGGCAGAGCCTCGGCCCACTCAGTTCAACGCATGGAGGAAGCCGAGGCAGACAAGCTAAGAAGCAAACAATGCTCACTGACTCTAGAAGAATATTCCACGTGAAGCACAAATTACCGTGGTTTCTGAAAGCTACGTGATGTGCAACGGCTCAAAGACTGTCCGTTGCGTGGATCACTCTGAACGCCAGTTCTCGCAGTCGTATCTTGGTGTTCGTATCTCGTATGCGAGGGTCGGTACTCCCGCCTGGCTCCAATCAACGTTTACCTTCCCAGACAGCTTTACATGGGCAGACAATATCTCGCCAAAACAGGTAGGCGTTGCGACGGATACTAAGTCCTTGGAATCCACAGTCTCCAGACTACCCCCCACAATCACTTGGGCGTACATCATACGATATGCGGGGTCAATTGCTTGTTCATGACCACTACTAGACTTGGACATGTACACACCGATGCAGCGTGCATGTACATGGAAGCATACCTCGGCTGTGGCCATGATTGTCGGCTTCAAACCACATATCTAGACTCGGTCGCCTCATGTCCCCAGACAGGTGGCAGCCAGGCGCTGCTGATGTTTCAACCCATCCAGATTGTTTGCAAAGTTGACCTCAAAATGATCCATCTCCTCCCTCTTGCCTCCCTTCTTTTCGCTTCATTTATCGTCTTTGCTACCGCCAATTTCTTCTGGGCTTCACGTCAACATGCCAGAAGAGCGAAGCATCTGGGGTGCCAGCCGCCCCACAAGCACGCCTACAAACTCCTCTTCGGCCTAGACACTATGATGAGAATGATCCAAGCCGACAAACGACACCAGGTCCCACAAGAAGCGGTCAAGATCTACAAGGAGGGTGGATGTCCTACGTTCGTGCTGAGGATGCCAGGTTCAACCAACATCACCACTCATGACCCGAAGAACATCCAAGCTGTTCTTGCTACACAATTCCACGACTTTGAACTCGGTCCCCGAAGGAGGAACAACTTCTTTCCCATGCTGGGGGTGGGCATCTTCACTGCGGACGGCAAAACATGGTACGCACTTAAATTGACTGCATCAATGCTACAGATTAGGTAAAGCCTATGAGTGGACGCTTATGCATCTTCATGTGCTAGGGAGCACTCACGGGCCATTTTAAGACCACAGTTTGCCCGCGAGCAAGTCGCCGACCTGGTCTCCGAAGAAAGACACGTACAAACATTATTAAAGCATCTTCCTGTAGATGCGTCGGGATGGACAGCCCCAACAGACCTCGCGCCGATTTTCTTCCGACTGACCATTGACACTGCGACAGAATTTCTCTTCGGAGACAGCATCAACTCTCAAGAAGCAGCACTAGCTCAGGATATGTCTCTCATGGGACCAGTGGCTTTCAACCACACCAACGTGGCCGAGTCCTTCGACTATGGAATATCCTGCTTGGGCACCCGGGCCAGGTTGGCCACTCTGTACTGGCTATACAATCCACCCTCGTTTCGCAAAGCTATTCGGGAAGTCCATGATTTCGCCGACTACTGTATTGAACGAGCCGCGATACCGGATGCGTCGAACAAAGAGAAAGATGGCCGCTACATTTTTCTGAAGGAGCTGTTGAAAGTCACAGATAACAGAGTCGATCTCCGCAGTCAATTACTCAATATTCTTCTTGCCGGACGAGACACTACTGCCGGACTCTTGGGTTGGACCTTCTGGGAACTCGCCCGTCATCCTCAGGTATTCCACAGACTCCGAGCCAGCATCCTCGAGACGTTCGGCCCGTACGACTCGCACGACAAAATCACCTTCGCCGCGCTCAAGTCGTGTACGTATCTTCAGCATGTCATGAACGAAACCCTCCGATTGTATCCTTCAGTCCCGCTGAATGCCCGCCAAGCCACCAGGGACACGACGCTTCCCCGAGGTGGTGGCCCTGATGGGATGAGTCCTGTATACGTCCGGCGCGGCCAAGAGGTGGTGTATTCTGTGTACGTGATGCACAGACGTCGGGATATCTGGGGCCCCGATGCCGACAAGTTCATCCCGGAGCGCTGGGCCGGCCGCAAACACGGCTGGGAGTATATCCCTTTCAACGGCGGTCCACGTATGTGCCTCGGCCAGCAGTTTGCCCTGACCGAGGCCGGCTATGTCATCTGCCGCCTACTGCAGCGGTTTGACGCTATTGAGAAACTTGACGACTCTGACGCAGAGCTGCATGACTATAGTCTCACCACAGCTCCAGTGAGTGTGAATGTCAGACTCCATCAAGCTGCTTAAGAGGAGGTATGACAGGGGGTACTATGGACTGAAGATGAGCCTGAGGATGAACCAAATCCAGCTGCTTGAGCTTCTATAGGGATGTTCTGATGCTTGTCATCGTGTTGAGCCACACTTCAGCAGTATGACTAATAGACGGACAGTGGTCTGTCGCATGGCTGGTCTGAAGTCACGACTGAACGAGGCCACGGAATAATCAGAACAGGCACAAAGTCTGTTCATGACAGAAGCATCAACTCCACCGTGCAGCGATAGGGGTCTCGAGGTAATAACAAGACCGTTTCCATATAATTTGGCCTTGTGGTCTTAACCATACTTTCGAACTGGAACATATAATTATCATGAATTCATTTCTTTACATCAAAAATCGTCGTCTACTATGTATACATTACATTGCACCGTCACTCGACGCACCAACACCCCACCTGCCGACCTCAAGCATGGCCTCTTCGCCTCCCTCAGCCAAGATGCCGCGGCCCTCGCCCATCAGACTCTCGAGACAGAGCCAGGGATCGCGTCCGCCACCCCAGCGCAGCACCTCCTGCTTGAAGCGCTCCCCGGCCTCCCGATCGAGCGCGGCATTATCGTGCCCGTCTCTGAACACGGCGCGCCAGACCTGGCGGGCAATAGCCCGGTCGAACAGATAGGAGTAGTAGCTCGCGCCATAGCCGTACAGGTGGCCAAAGAAGCCTTGCCACGCCGTCCGCCGCGGCTCCGCCACGCTGCCGTACTTGTTCCAGACATCGTGATAGACGGCCGTCGAATCGTAGCGGCCTGTGCGCTCCAAAGCCTCCACGGGGCCGGTGGAATGGTAGACCTGGTCGAGAATGGACATGAGGATCTGGGCCTCGTCGTTCCAGCCGCCAGAGCGTTCGGCCTGTTTCGTGCGCTCGTCGGCCAGAGCGGTCAACAGTTCGTCGGGGATGATGGCGTCGGTCTGCCAATGTCGCGCAAAGCTCTTGAGCACGGCCGGGTCGGTGGCGAAGTATTCCATCAAGACGGAGGGGAGTTCGGCAAAGTCGGTGGCGCAGCGTGTGCCGGAAATGCCCTGCATCGAGGTCCGGCCTAGGATGCTGTGGATGGCGTGGCCCATTTCATGGAACAGCGTCGTCACGCTGTGCAGGGACAGGAGGGACGGCGAGGGGCCCACCGATGTGCTAGGGTCCGGAAACCCACACACCAGAGCGATGATCGGGACCTGGTAATGCGCCTGCCCCGACGCTGCTGGATCGCCCGATGTCGTGGAAGAAGCAGAGCTAGATTTCGGTCCCAGGAGCGTCGGCATGCCGCTGTTCAAGGGCTCGCCTCGTTCCTGGCATTCCTGGACTTCTTCGTCGGAGATCTCACGGGAACAGAGGAGCGTAAAGTGTGCAGGGTTTGGCAGTTTCCCCGGCCGAGAGAACAGGTCGCAATACATGGTTGCTATGTGCTGCTGCTTGTCCGTGTAGACGTCCAGCCTGCGGACTTCCGAATGCCAGACCTCGCCTTGTTGGGTCTCTTTCGGCACAAGCCGGACGCCATATAGTGACTCGAACAGGTTCGACAGACCTTGCATGACATGTCCGAGGGCGAAATAGTTGCTGACGGTCTCGCGCAGACGCGACCTGGAGGTGCGTGGCCCTGCTGCGGCCTCGGCTTGCGCCAGCTTGGTCAGCAGGTAAGAATGGTCCCAAGGGTCGATGGTGGTTGCATTATGGTCGATTCTGCGTTTGAGCTCCAGCAAAGGCGCCAGTTCCTTCTGGACCTGTACTTTGTTGTTTGCATTCAGCGACTCCAAGAAGTTACTTACAGCTGCCGGCGTCTTGGACATTTTGTCAGCCAGCGTCATTTGTGCGTAGCTATCGTAGCCCGTGAGCTTCGCCAACTCGGCACGACGGAGCAGGAGCTGTTCGAGTCGGGCGACAGTCTGTCTAGATGCCGTCCGCTCGGCAATATACAGCGCTTTCCTAGTTTCTGGGCTGTTGGCTGAGTTCATGATCACCTTAGATGCCGAACTGTAGACTGGAATCTGCACCCGCTCCCAAGACCGGAGGCCCTTGACTAGAGTGGGATCGACGCCATCGAGCTGCTGGCGCAGGAGAGTGACATGGTCCTTGGCATGGTCCATCTGGTTGATGAAATCGGTGCCTACCTGGGCGATATCATTCGACAGAGAAACAAACTGTTGCCTCTGTTCCTCGGGCAGATCGATACCCGACTTAGCAAAGTCCTTCATCAGCAGTTGCGCCACCATCTTCTCCTCCTCATTCCAATGCGACAGCACTTCAGGCATGTTCCACGCCTTCCGCAGCTGCTGATTCAGCCCGGTGGTTGTGTTCAGCTCATTCATGTACTGGAACATCAGGGAGTATGACGCCGATGCAGCTGCCGCGACCGCCGCACTAGGATGGATGCTCCTGATAAAGTCGGACAAGTCGATGACCCGACATAGCAGATCGCTGAGCCGGTCAAGGTCTTTAGGGATGGCTCTATACTCGTCCACTGTAGCCGCAGCAAGTGTTCTCTCGACCAACCTCTTGCACTGTGCCACCGACGTCTCCGCAAAGGTTTGGAAGCCTCGCTCAGTCGTCAGATGAATGTTCCCTATCAGGCCCGAGCTTTTCTTCTCAGAGGTCCGCCATGTGCCTTTGTTGTTGAAGACCTCGCGGAGAAGCGCATTGTCACTGTTTCGAGTGGGTGAGGCGTGAAGGTATGCAGACTCGAAGGCATTATCTGCTATTGTAGCCGGAGCAGCAGTTCCTGCGGCCGTAGTATGGTGTCGCTGCTGCTTGCGGAGACATCTGGTACATGTCCATGGCTGCCGCCGTAGCAGTTTGTGCATACTAATAGTAGTAGTAGTCGTCCGAGGTTGAAGTTGAGTGACGGACGTCCCGGGAGGGTGTTTCGGCCCTCAGCGTTGCAAGGCGGCGGCAAGCTGTGCAACACAAGACTGCAGAAGTAAAACAATGGACCTTGGCCACGACTCTATCCCACCCTTGACCTGGAGACAGCAGAGAATGACATAGGATATGCGGATTCACAGAAGCGATTCCATCAAATATCCAAATCCTAGGTACTGTAACTACTCCAAAGTCGACTTTGCAGTGCTCAGTTCCTGCCAAGCCCGATTCTCCGCGAAGTTGAAGCTCGACTTCAAGTTCAATTGCGGCTTCAAGTTGCATGTTCCGTTTTGTGAGAGTCCCGACCATTGACATTACGCCAGCTGCAACAACCACGCACCCTCTCCAGCCATGGCGCGCGCAAGAGTGCTTCGAGCTGTATGTGGTCTCTACGCCTGGGAAAGATCCTGCTAACCACCGCAACCTACAGTCAGGACAAGCCGCATTCTTAGTTCTCGGCGGAGCTGCGGCCACCCAAGCACCACGATACATCAACTTCCGCACTGCCTTTGCAGAAGCTCCAGTCCCCTCCAAAGACGCAGTACTTACTCCTCTCCCTCTCACCTAGCTAGGTGTTGATCTCTCTCTAACCACTTCACGCCATATATAGCTTCCCGAAAAGAAACCCATATACTCCGACCCCGTCGCTCTACCAACCATCCCCGAACCATCCCCGACCTCACCAGTTTCCAAGCCCAAGCCCAGCTCTCCGACCCCGACAGACCGACTGACAGAACAAGTGAAAAGAGCGCGGTTGTTCCTGTACGACAAGTCCCTCGCCGCCGAGAATGGCATCAACGACTTCTTGACGTGGGCGTTCCAGAAGGAGACCAATTTCACCAGCACGATTGCCTCGTTAGCTCCCGCGCCGGAGACGGGCGAACAAGTTCTGCCGGGACTGATATACGTGCTCGTCGCGACTATGGCCGGGTCAATCGTCACACGGAACCGGGGCATTGTTCTACGAGCCACGTTCCCGTTGGCCGTAGGAGTCACGGCTGGCTGGTTGTTGATCCCCGTCACGATGCGCAACACGTCCGACTTGATATGGGAATATGAGAAAAGAGTGCCGGCCATCCGGGACACGCATCTTCAGATCAGGAGTTTCACGGAGCAGGCCTGGCAGCAAGCCAAAATCCACGCGGACGTGGCCTCGCGCTGGGCGGATGAAAAGACCAGCGAGACGCGGAAGAGAATGGAAGAATTGGTGTCCAAGGGGAAATAGACGTCGACTTTCTCTTAAATGCAAGACAGCTGTTTGTTTTTTTCGGGCACGTGAGCGGATGAGCTGGAGACTCCTGACTTGCCTCTTGTACAGAAGGAAACGCATTTATATTCAATCCGGTTCAAGAAATACGTTCTCGTTCGGCAATATGTTGACGTGACTGTCCCCGGTATCTGTGCTTGTACCGATTACTGACTGGAATTCTTCAAGTCCGGAAGGCTTACTGCTGATTCTGTAGCGAGGCCACCGTGACCGGGGTGGAGGTGAGAAGCTGAAGTCAGGCAAGTGTCCCAAGCGAGGCCTCTTTCACTAAGACCATTCAACCTGTGGACACAGCTTCCGAACCTTCGTTCGAACAGGGCCATGACCTCGATTGGCATGACCTCGATGTACAAGGCGCGTGGCGGCAAGTAAGGTAATTCCCTCCATACCATGCATCCTGTCTGGCTCAGAGTGACACTATATATACCGAGTATTTCTGCCCGATAACAAAACTCATTCGCTTCCCTTCCCGCCTTTCAATTCTGGTAATGATAGTGGGTATCATCAGCACAGTGGCCAGCCGTTTTCTGCCGCAATTTCGTGGCGGCTTCGAGTTGGACGTCGAGACGCAGTCTGCAGGCTGGCGGCTAAGCAGCTGCAATTCCATCGCTCCAGGCGTTGAAGTTGCGCTCACTCACCGGTAGTACTGGTAGTACTGGTAGTAATAATGCTGGTAGTAATGCTGGTAGTAATACTGGCAGTGTCAGATTCAAGCTCCGGCGGTAATCATCCGCCAACGGCCCGCCACACGTTACGCTCACGGCCACAGCAACTGTCAACTTTGTCTCCACCTCCATCTGGCGCAGGGAGGACTCCTTGGCTTGTTTAATACGGTCAGATCCAACGTGAAGGAGTTGGCAGAATTCAATTATTTTCCTGGGTAGGACACCTGTAAGAGGAGTCACCAATTATCTTAACAGAGACATCCTCTCCTGCAGAAATCGGATCGCCTGGTCTCACACTCCCTTGACTTGAACGATCTGCCCGACCGCCCTCACCGACATCAACACCGCCGAAGCACAGTGCTCCCAAGTTCCCCCTTCGCTACGAGACGAGAAGCTACGCAATCCCAACGTTGGTTGGCCCCGATCTGCTAGGCCTCCGTAACAAGGTTCTGGCATTGGGAAAGTCGAGAGACAAGAGCCGAACGGTACATACATAATGTCTAGTCAAGTTTGAACATAGTCGGCGGCCTCCCACCGCTACGACGAACGTCGTCAACCGGCTCTTACTGCCTACCTACTCCAGTTGAAGCCGGCATCATGGCCGAACCCGCGGAAACGAGTCGGACTCCACCTAATCTAGATCTGGAGACAGAAGATGAACGGCTGGGAAGTGTACACAATGAGACTACTTTACCCAGACTCATATTAAATGGCGGGCCAGGACCAGCGGTGGACATGACTGAGCAATCGGACGGACAGCTTAAGGCTGGACTGACGCCTCCAAGCGCGACTCCCCGAGAGAGTTCGCCCGACAGGAACCCCCCGTTCTCACCCACGTCGAAAATGGCTGGTGTCCTCAAGAGAGCCTTTCCGCCCACCGCTCAAACCACAAACACGGGGACAAACGATCAATCGTCATGGGCCACGGAGCCTGGAGAATCGGACAGTGCGGTGAATGCCAATGGTACGCCCACAGCAGGAAGAAAGAGCGTTCAGTTCTCGCGAGATACACAAGAAATCGATGCCTTAACCAATGGCCAGAGTACACCACCCGCCGGAAAAGACGAACCCTCCGAGCAGGACAAACCTCAATCATTATATGCTAGATTACGTGCTCTTGCAACGTCTCAGGGCTTCGCGCATGCACGCTCCCCCAGCAGTCTGTCCTTGGGTGGCCGCTCCACCGACGGTAAAGAACTCGACGGCTTTTTGTCCGGCCAAGCCAGCCGCAATGAGGCTGGGCTTTCTGCTACCTTGGAAGAGGATAGCGGTGCTGAAGCCGATGCGGATGCAGAAGAAAGTGCCACAGAAAACCCTATGATGCAGTCCAGCCCTCGGAAACGGCGGCGAAGAGGCCGTCGGTTCGATGCTGTTGAGACTGCGCCATCTTCGCCGCACAGTCCGATGCGACATGGCTCTTCGAGTCTGGTGCCAGGCCTGGGGGAGGAGGCAGATAGGCCTCATCTGATGCCTCGCAGGGCTACCGACACCGATATGGCCCGTCAGGGACTGTCCGAGGATGAAGGGCGCAAACAACTAGCCGGCGCAGGTGCCAGTGGCTGGACACGCCGTCATCCCTTGCGTGGCTTGAGCTCCGGAGGGCAGAGGAGGCCCGGTGATACCACGCCCGACGGTCAGAGACGGCCTTTGACACTGTTGGGGTTTTCAAATGCCAACTCCTCGCGTGAAGTGGCTTCAGGTGACGCGCAGACTCCAAAGACACCGTCAAGGCGGAAGTTGATGGCAGAGCGCGGATCGACTCTGAGCGCAGCCAAGTGGAGACAACTCAAGAACAGTTTGCGCATGTTGGGCCAAAGCAAGAAGAAAGAGCGGACGCCCGATCATGAAAAGTCAGCAGAGCTGTTGGCCGAACTTGCTGCCGGAACTCCAGCAGCGCTGATGGTTGCCAGCATGTTTCAAAGAGACGAACATGACCATCGACGAATACCGGTCTTGCTCGAGCAACTCAAGTTGCAGATTACTGACAGCGAGGTCGACAAGTCGAGAGAATCGGATGCCACCCAAGCGGACCGTCATCTGGTCTTTCGAATCGAGCTCGAATATGGAAATGGGATCAACCGGATGAACTGGGTCGTGAAACGGTCGCTTCGTGACTTTGTCAACTTGCACCTCAAGTACAAGTTGCACTACAGCTCAGAGAAGTTGCTGGGCCGTGGAGACGCAAGCAAACAAATGCCAAAGTTTCCCAAAAGTGCGTTTCCATATCTCAAGTCGTTCCGCGGATTCGACGAGGAAGACGAAGACGAAGAGGACGATCTGGCCAATGACAATGATCCCGGCACTGCGACAGACAGCGAAAGACCAATGCCGAGATTCCTGCACCGTTCCTCATTCACCCCCGGTCGGCGGAAGTCTAGTGCAGCCGGTGTGCCAGACACTCCGGGAGGCGGACGGCGAGACATTCGCTTTGCCGAGCGGCAACGGAAGAAGCTGGAAACTTACATACACAAGATGACCATGTTCCTGTTGTTCCGTCCGGAGAGCAACCGATTGTGCAAGTTCCTGGAAGTGTCGGCCTTGGGCATGCGCCTGGCTGCAGAAGGCAGCTATCATGGCAAGGAAGGGTTTCTCTTGATCAGATCTGCCAAAGGTCTCGATTTTAGGAAAGCCTTGACCCCTCACAATTTCACTCATCGCCATGCGCCGAAGTGGTTTCTCGTCAGACACAGTTACGTGGTCTGCATCGACTCACCAGAAGAGATGCACATCTACGACGTGTTTTTGTTCGATTCCGACTTTCGTATCCAGTCCACGAAGGTCCGTCCGGGGGAGCAACGAGGTGCGAAAGAGCTGGCCGAAGCGGCAAGGGAGTCCGCGAAGCATCCACAGCATCATCGGCTCAAATTGGTCAACTCGGAAAGAAGACTGAAGCTTCTGGCCCGGAATGAGAGACAGCTCCATCAGTTTGAGGAATCAATAAGGCTGATGCTGCAGATCTCACCATGGGTCAAGGAGCACAGGTTCGAGAGCTTTGCGCCAATCAGGCCGAATTGCTTTGCTCAATGGCTTGTTGACGGCCGAGATCATATGTGGCTTGTTTCACGGGCATTGGAACATGCCAGAGATGTGATTTACATTCACGATTGGTGGTTGAGTCCCGAGCTGTACATGAGACGTCCACCTCAAGTTGCCCAGAAGTGGCGTCTAGATCGAATCCTCAAGAGGAAGGCCGAAGAAGGCGTCAAGATCTTTGTGATCGTCTACCGGAACATCGAATCGGCCGTTCCCATCGACTCACAGTATACCAAATTCTCGCTGTTGGACCTACACCCGAACATTTTTGTCCAACGATCCCCTAATCAATTCCGCCAGAATACATTCTTTTGGGCGCATCACGAAAAGCTGTGCATTGTCGACCACACTTTGGCCTTTGTGGGTGGCATAGATCTGTGCTTTGGCAGATGGGACACCCCCCAGCATACACTTGTGGACGATAAGCCGACTGGGTTTGAGCCGGACAGTGGTCCCAAGGATGCCCAGCATAACCAGCTGTGGCCTGGCAAAGACTACTCCAACCCCCGGGTGCAGGACTTCGTCGCGCTCAACAAACCCTATGAGGAAATGTATGACCGGTTGCAAGTCCCTCGAATGCCATGGCATGACATTTCGATGCACGTCGTCGGCCAACCCGCGCGTGACTTGACCAGGCATTTTGTCCAGAGGTGGAACTACATCTTGAGACAACGAAAACCCACCCGTCCGACGCCCTTCCTCTTGCCTCCCCCAGATTTCAACCCGGCGGAATTGGAGGCTCTTGGTCTGGATGGTACTTGTGAAGTGCAGATCCTTCGCTCCGCTGGACCGTGGTCGATTGGGACTCCCGACAAAACGGAACACAGCATTATGAACGCGTATGTCAAGCTGATTGAAGAATCCGAGCACTTTGTCTACATTGAGAACCAATTCTTCATCTCCAGTTGTGAGACCGAGGGCGCCACTGTGCACAACAAGATCAACGACGCCCTCGTGGAACGCATCACTCGGGCGGCCAAGAATGACGAGGCCTGGAGAGCGGTCATTGTGATCCCCTTGATGCCAGGGTTCCAAAACACGGTCGAGCAGGAAGGTGGCACAAGTGTGCGTCTGATCATGCAGTATCAGTATCGGAGCATTTGTCGGGGAGAGTCGTCCCTGTTCGGCCGCCTGAAGTCCGTTGGGATAGAACCAGAGGACTATATCCAATTCTACAGCTTACGTCAATGGGGTAGAATTGGCAAGAAGAAGTCACTGGTGACGGAACAGTTATACATCCATGCCAAATGTATGGTGGTTGACGACCGAGCCGTCATCATCGGCTCGGCCAATATCAACGAGCGTTCAATGCTGGGGAATCGGGACTCGGAATGCGCAGCTGTCGTTCGAGATACAGACATGGTTTGGTCCAGAATGAATGGCAAGCCTTATCAGGTTGGCCGCTTCCCTCATACGCTTCGGATGCGGCTCATGCGGGAACACCTGGGGCTGGACGTTGACTCAATCACGGAAGAGACTCTGGCCATGAATGCGGAACGGGACAAGGCTCGAAAGGCAGGAAAAGCTGCTCGACCGAAACCGCCAGATGATGAAGTCAGCAATAGCGAGTTTGGAGAAATGGATGATGTGGTGGACTCCCATGACGAACGAGCGAGAGAACTGCGTGAAGAACTGCTGCACCGTGTCGAAAACCTGAAAAGCTTCAATCATGATGTAGATTGGGAGCAGGAAGGCAACCCCAATCTCAAGAGCGGCCGGAAATTGACAGAAGATGCCCGCGTCACTGGGAATGCCCAACACAAACAGGACGTCGAGGGCCATGGATTCGACAAAATGGCCGATGTCGAGGCCGCCGGTCTGGGCGGAGCGCGAGACACCACGCTCGTCAACGGAGGCAAAGAGGTGTTGATTTCCGCCATCGAGCCTGAAGGTCATACAACCTTGCAAAACCCGAGGAAGCGAGGGGATGAAAAGCGTCTCCCATCGTACGTGGTGAGTTTGGAGGCGCCCAACCCACCATTGCCTCCAAGGCCCAGCGTGGAGCGGATGAACACCGAACGACTCGGCCTGCCTCTGGTCTCACAATTGCCTGCCCTTCCACAACTGGATGATTCGGATATTGGTGGACCGCCACTTGCGAAGAGCGCGTCCAGAGACCCAGCCAATGCTCATCATCCGTTGGTGAACGAGCTGAAGCGGCCGCTGGTTGATCGGGACTGCATGACAGACCCGGTCCACGACGCTTTCTTGTATGATACCTGGCACGCGGTGGCGGAAAACAACACCAAGATCTATCGCAATGTCTTCCGCTGTATGCCAGACAACCAAGTCCGGAACTGGGATGATTACCACCAGTATGTGGCGTATCAACAACGGTTCAACCAGCAACAAGGCACCGACGTTCCACAAGAAGAAAAAGTCTCTCACCCGGCTCGATCGGCGTCGGCCTCGAAGAGTGGGCCTCCAGGAGCCGGGATACACGCACCCGCTGCGCAGCTCAAAGCCTTGACTCAAATTCCCGGCGACCTGGAGAAAGGCACGACGGATATCAAGGACAAGGTCAAAGGGGCGTTTGGGGCAGACACCAAGGCCGAAAAAGTGGATGCCGAAAAAGCACAACTGCGTACCTGGGCTACTGGAGCCAATGAAGCGCAAGCCGAGAGAGAGGAGATGCCGACTCTGCACCGACAAGAAACTCTGACGGAAGAAAAGGCTGGCTTACCAACCGTCCCTGAAGGTCCGACCGTCGGCGAGGAAGGCAGCGGCGAGGGCGAAGACGACGACGACAGCACCGAACCTACCGACAGCGCCCCCAGTACGGCCACGGCAGTCGAGAAGGAGAAGTCGACTACGGCCAACGGAAGCCCCCCTACGGCGGCCGCGCCTTTTGTCGGCTATTCCGATGCAATCAACCAGAATTCCGCCCAAGCTGCCGCCGTGCCGGGCGGTGGTGCCCCTGCTGTCCGCAGACGTCGCAGAGGAACCACCCGGTCCGGCCGACGCGAATTCAATGCCAGCGACGACATCCTCAGCACCGAGGAGGCCGAGGAGCTGTTGAACTGTGTGCAGGGCCATCTTGTCGTTTGGCCTTATGATTGGTAAGAAAGAATGGATTGCATCCACTCCCAAAAGGAATGAGAACACTCCTTACTGACCACATTTGTTCTCTTGTTTTAGGCTTGAAAAGGTCGAGACTGGAGGGAATTGGCTATTCCCCTTCGATCAGATCAGTCCGATCGAGATCTAGTAAGTTGTCCTTGTTTTTCTTTTTCTTTTTATCCTTGCATCTAGATGTCCATGTCAAGCCTGGCACATATTTCCTGTGAAAGGGGAATGTTGGCATGGCGTGGAAGGAATGAATGTTTGGAACGACTGACTGACTGTTGTCTAGTATCTGATCGATCGATCGATTGGATGTCGATTGTCGGTCGGATCAACCGCCTTTTGGTGTCCTATGTTCCTTTCTTCTTTGGCGACAAAAACAAGAACAAGAACAAGACAACCACCGTCACCATACTTGACCTTGCCTTAGCTATGTCCTTTCTACATGCATGGGCGCACCTTTACTAGCAGCAGGATTGTTTGTATTGCATGGTATTGAGATCAGGATTTGGTTTATATTGGTCTGGTCTGGTCTTTTCGGTATGGTATGGTATGGTATGGTATGGTATGGTATGACAAGGTCTGGCATTGCGATAAAAACACATCCCACATGACAACCGCTTCCTTTTCCTTTTCCTTTTTTCTTCCTCTTCTTCTTCTTCTTCTTGTCGTCTCGTCAAGGGCCGAACAACGCTGGGTCGACTCGGCATCACATGTTTATCGGGTGGAAAGCGAGAACCTCGATTGAATCCTCCATTTTGTATTCTGTTCTAGGTGGAGATTGAAAATCACCTTATTATTACATTCAGGCAGGGAGACTGGCGAGTGAAATAAAGGCTGAGCTTGAAGGGGGAGGGGGGAGAGAGGGAGAGGGGAGAGAGTCTTGGAAGACCAACTAGACTGTCTTGTCTGTTGTGGGAATCTACTATGTGGATAGATAAATAGATAGATATACAAGACCAGAGAGGACAAAGAAAAGCTCCCTTAAGACTTCCCTTTTCCCTAATTGAGTCCTCTCTCTCTCTCTCTCTCTCCGTCCCCCTCTCTCTCCCCCCTCCTTACGCTGGTCTGGTCTGGTTCTAGGAATGCATGCATGTTCTTGTGTTTTCTCACTACTACTGTTGTAATTTCTTCGGATGCATAGAAAAGGATGAGCAGGGAATAAGGGCGTTCGGGGCCAGTGAGAGAGCCGAGACAGCCTCGCTGAAAATGAACCAGCTTCGTATAAAGTTGAAATATAGGTATAGGACGTAGACACAGAAGATATCATATCATATCATATCACTAATACCGCCTGCAGGTCCTTGGGCTCGCATTGAGCCGTTGTGGCCACAATCCCCCCTTTGTGATATCGTACACTGCGCACCGCTGCATCGTCGACATCCACAGACATAATCCAGCCGCCAGTGCATCAAGGGGGGTCGCAGCAGACCAGACCAGACTAGGTCGTGGCTCGCTCCCCGGGATAAATCCTTGGCTTGTCTCCAGACCACGGAATGGCGTCTTGATATGTCTTTCGTCGACGAGGATGTCTTGTTCGCAGGAAAAAATCAAACCATGCCAAGTGCACCCGCCGTCTGAAACTGTCGAGATTCAACGGGCAGAGAGGGCGAGAATCTCTCTCTTCCGTAGTCCGTAGTCTGCAGGCTATTGTGCCCTTGACAGCCTTCTAGACTATACCGATGAGACCGGAATGTGCAGAGATCTCCGAGTTGCTGCAGCTGAGGTGATCAGAAAAAGACGGATGCGTCTGTGCCAGCCTTCGAGGACCAGAACCCATCCGAATGGATGGTCGACTATAAGACTGGAGTGTGGAGTCTGGGCGAGGAAATCCATGGATCCCCAATCGGACGGGTCGTATCAGACCGTCCACTGTCGTGATCCATCGAAGTGTTCAAGTCTGATGACTTGGCTGGTTGGATGGGGAACGGAGCCATGTTTGTAGAGAATCTGTGGCCAGTTGAGCTGCTCTCTGTCGTTGCGACGGGCTGGCCACAAGGACGCCTTTCGGCACGCGGAACAGTATCCGCAAGGCTAGCTGCTGAACAATGTAGTCATACAACCGCCCACAGACTTCAAGACGAATATAAGGTATCAATACATCAGAGAGAGATACCGCCGGGTTATACATGTTGTTGTCACACCGTCAAAGGGACCAGTCCCGGCCTGGTCGTCTTCAGCCGTGACAGCAGAGAAGCTTCTTCCACCAAGTCAGATGAGGATGGTCATCGTCGAAGCCGGACTTTTCATGCATTTGCAGAGAGTTGGACATTGTTGCTGGTTGCATGGCGGAAGGCACCTGGTAGACCGAAGTGGCAGTACCACTGGCGTTGGGAGCGTGACCCTTGGGACCATGAAAAGCATGAGTTTCGGCAACAGGCGCTGGCGGGGTTCTCGCCTCGACGACTCTGCGAACAATCACTAGATAGAAGGTCAGTTTCCGTGGCTGAGGACAGAGGGGAGTGGACAAGCATACGAGCAAATGTTTCTTCGATGTTGACCATCTCTCTGGCCGAAGTCTCCATGAAACCACAGCCTCTGCTCTTGGCCCAGTCCCAGCCATATTTGCTGCTAACAACCCTGGCATCTTTGAGGTCACATTTGTTGCCGGCGATGATTTTGATGGGCGGGAACCTCCAGCCCTCTTCTCTCAGGCCACGAACCTTGGGGCCTTTCTGTTGGAGCAGCCGGGAATTCTGTTCGAGTCTGTTCTCGGCTTCGATGTCAATCATGTCGAGAAACCAGGTGAGCCCTTCCAGAGACGCTGCATTGGTGATGTCGTAGACCAGAAGAAATGCGTCGGACTGGAGGTTGGACGCGGCCCATAGACTTCGATATTCTTCCTGGCCCGCTGTGTCGGTCAAGGAAAGATGATAGTTGAGTCCATCGATTGTGCGAGTGACCGAGTACGAGTCTTCAATGGTGGGATCGTACCTGAGACATATTAGGACAGGTGCATAGGCTGGAAGGACGAGAGATTGGTGTCAACTCACTCTGATGTCCATTGCGACCGCACGAGTCGAAGCGTAATGGACGATTTACCTGCAAGCACCCGGTGTTAGTACTCTGGGCAACCGCAGGAGCGTGCGCTCGCTGGTGTGGATTCCAACATACCGCATCCTCCGTCACCACAAATAGTAATGGATATCCTGTCGGGCATGGTGCCTGTGGAGTGTGATCACGGTTCTTCCAACTCTTGGCCCAGCGTGTTCACAGAGGGTTCGGCTGGCGGTCACAAGCCGATTTGATCTCAAGTTATATAGGGGAGACCGGGAAGTTATATGTCTGCTATGTCGAGACAGAACCCGAGAATGGGAGATGGTGCACGGGCAAGTCGTCGGAGCGGTGATGTTGATAGGAGAAGGCCTTGAATTTCCCCCGTTCTCGGGATTGTAGATTGCGCCAGGAGAGAGTTGTGTTCTTCTTTTCAAGGGGCCGCAAGGGGCGTCGGAGTGCGCCTGTCGGTAGAAATTCAGCGGGAGCGTAAATTGACAATGTATAGTATAGGGAACCGAAAAGCAAGTGTCAAAGGCGCGACGCGAGATATCGGGAACGGGTTGCGACCGATTTGATGCAGAACCGCAGGTTGTCGAGGATTCGGGTGTCAGACGCAAGTTGAACCAGGTCGCCACAGGATGCAGCGGCGAGGATGGAGTCACGAGTATTGTTGCGATGTAGTGGTAGGCAGAGACGGTATAGAGGCGGCGACGACGAGTTCAGTGTTGGTCGTGTGATTGATTGAGTGTGAAAGGAGACAATCGCATTGGGACGTCAATGATGGAGGGTTTTTGTGGGAGGATGCGGCGCAAGAGAACGAGGGCGTTGCCGGACGTCAAATTGTACATGACAGTCCACAGTGAGTCCGTCCCATCAATCAATCATATCTTAGATGAATGGAAAAAGGCTGGTTCGGTGACGGCAACCATGACAGGCGGAAAAGACCAGGATGACAGGGGATTGAGACACGAACAGGATGAAGAGGAAGAACAGTAAGAACAGGGGGAGCAAGGCGAGGAAGAACAAAGACCGGGACAGGGACCGGGGCCGGGGGTCGGGGGTCAGGGATCAAGCAGCTCGACTCCTAAAGTCCCTGCAGACATGCGGCGGAGAGGCCGATTGGGGGGTGAGTGGGACGGACTGATGGGGCTTAGGAGGCCTAGGGAGCCTAGGGGGCCTAGGGAGCCCTGGTCGCTGGCTAGGGAGGCTCCAGGCTTTAGAGGGGTCTTAGGTCTTAGGGTCTTAGGGTCCTTAGGAGTTCGGGCAGCAACTAAAGGGTCAAGTCGAAGTTGAGATGGTGGTCAATTAGTATCACAGTACTCTGGTCGTCTGTCTGATCTTCTCCCATCATGAAGACTTCAACCCCGTAGGCATTGATACGAGAAAACTACAGGCTCTCAGTATACCGGGGTCAGTGAGAAAGGGAATGATGAAGTCAATGTTCGTCTTCATGTTAGGTATCTTTACAGTGGAGTGTGAGTAAAGGCCCCTACAACCTTCACCTAACCAGGTACTTTCGGGTGCTAATTCGACTAACTCCCCCGCTAGGCCTCGGGGAAGCAGAGTCCACCTCCTAGGCGGGAACCATCGCTCCCTTTGCCACCACTCCAGATCCCTGAAACACCGACGCAACGGACAAGCCAGATTCCAAACCGACGGAAGGATTTTCTTATTACATATTGCACGCAAGGCAGCCACTGAGGTTGGGCATCAAGACACGCGATGATCGGAGGGAGCGACATTGCCATGTGACGATGTGCGGCCGACGATCAGAGAGCATCAGGGCATCTTGGAGCGTCATTAGGCATCATTAGGCATCATTAGGCATCCTTCGGTGTCTATAGCGAACTGCCGGCATTATTTTGTAGGCGATCGGTTCATGCCTAAGCAGCCTAACACCAGAACCAAGGCACCCGAGGTCCTTAATAACGGTAAGCTAGGCAGGTGGCTAAGGGGCTTTGCAGGGGATGAGGGAGGTTACGCCCACGCCTCTGGTCGCGATCCCAGCTTCAAGTTGCTTGCCTCACTTCTGCGGTTGCCTCGACAGAGCATGTTTGGGAAAGATTGCTCGACGTTCGTGGAGAGAAGATCGCATACAATCACTGTGTCTATGCCTCAAGGTCCTTTATCTCATCCCCTGGTCTCTGATCCCCTGCCTCACCTGCTTCTTCCTTATCAATTTACGTATATCTCCCCCGGGCTCGACATCACCCGTTTCCTCGGCCAACCCCGACGCCTCCAGTACCACTCTACCCGATTCCGAGAACCCTTGAGCCTCCTTATCGTGGACGGCAGTATGTATGACATACGGATACTTCGACGCTCTCCCAACGATATTGATATACATACTGTGTAAACACGGAGGAGGACGAAAAAGCAACCATGGGGCGGGTGTTGATGTTATGTCAGCCAGCACACCCTCTCTCCTGTGTCTCCATCACACCCTCTGCCTCTGCCTCAGACGCTTCCAGCATCAGCGTCAGGCTGCCTAGAAGGCCACACACATGGGGATGGGGCCTTAGCCGATGATGACAGCCTGCTTCTCAGGTATAGCTGCCATGAGACTCCAAATTTAGCAGCCCCCGGATCTCTCTTCGTCCCTCTTCCATCTGGTCAGGACCGACCTCCCAGCGCTTAAAGAACCAGCCCAGCCCGAACAATACAAAGTTGAAACATGCACAGCCATGGAGCAATTCTTCCGTTCACCAAGCAAAGGTAAGTTTCAGGTGTTACAGCATGCGCCAGACAGGTAGGCTTGCCCGTCTTGAGATTCCAGCTGTCTGTATGAAAGCCGTGCATGAGGCCTCCCATCTCTCTTATACAGACCTTCGACATCGCCGTTCAATGGGGGTTTGCACATCCCGCTGCTGAGTGTTCATGAAGTTGATGGTCGGACGCCTGAAAGACTGTTTGGCATTGATGAAGCTTGTATAAAGCGTCCTGTCAGCAGCGATGATGGCAACCTGTATAGAGTACCCTTCTTTCCACTCCCCTATCTATTTCCCTCCGTCCAGCCATGATCTCTTATACAAGAGGTCCAAGCTGGCATCCGTGGAGGAAAGTGCCAGCGACTTTTCGGCAATGACATCGGCCACACCTCATCACCACTCTTCTACCCCCAAAATACCATCATGGTGGTCTCGTCTAAGTCTCGACAACTGGGCTTGGGAAATTGGAGCATCAATATTGTGCCTTTGTATTCTAGCCGCCATCGCTGGAGTCTTATTTGGCTACAACGGGCGCACGGTACCGGATCTACCTGATGGCTTAACGGTAAGCTCTAGACCTGAAGCCCAGTCCCGCCCGAACTCGCATGAACAATCTCCTTTTCTAACGAGAGACTGCCTCTGGAATCCAGCTCAACGCCATCATCTCCTTCCTGGCGACCCTTGCCAAAGCTACCCTGATGGTCGTGCTGGCCGCAGCCATCCGCCAGGAAAAGTGGCTATGGTTTGTCGACGAGCCGCGACCGCTGAGCACCGTCGACGCGTTTGAAGAGGCCAGTCGAGGTCCCTTGGGCTCACTGATGCTCCTGTTGAGTCGGCGTGGAAGGTACCATCCCAACCCCTGATCTCCGTGTTCGGTTTCTGGGGATCCCCTAACCATTGTACGACGAAACAGTATCCGAGCCTTCGTGGCAGCCACTGTGACCATCCTCACCCTGGGCTTTGAGCCATTCATCCAGCAGCTGATTGTGATTGATGTGCGCAACGTGCCCATAGACTCGGCGACAGCCTCGATCCGGACTCCGACCTCGTACAATGAATCCGTGGTAGGCAATCTGGGCGGCTCGAGTCTCTCCCTGAACGCGCTGATCGGGGCCTTTGGCGGTGCCACCGGTGCAATTCCCGACCCTGTTTGTCCCAGCGGAAACTGCACCTGGCCCGCATACAACACGCTGGCCATGTGCACCGTCTGTCAGGACATGACCAACCAGACCAGCCTCGCTGGCGACATGTTCAACATCAATCTGACCTCGCACCTGGACCGATTCTCGCGGTCCAACGGCACCCCGACCACGACAACGTGGACACCGAGGTATTCCTTGCCTCAGGGCAACGCGGTCGACGTTTCCGTGACGTTAGACCTGACTCTGGGAAGCAGCGTGCAATGGTTCATCGACTATCCCCGACGAGTGGTCTGGCCGCTGAACATCGACCCGTCGCCGAACAGCGGATGGACCTTCAGCTGGGACAACTCGACGTACGCTGGGATCCCGGGCCCGTTATTCGCCATGGGGTATCTGGACCTCGACCTGGGTCTTTCAGGAGATCAGGCCAGTCTGGCCATGCACCGCGCCACCGAATGTGCCTTCACACCCTGCGTGCGGACCATGGACACGGCAGTGCGCGGCGGCCAGACGGCCTCCAACACGACGGCCACCGAGCACGGACGAGTCGTGCTCGACCAACACCACGCAGACGGAACCATCACGTCGGGCTGGACGGCGCGGGTCAACGCGACCGACTATTCCGTGCTCGACCACGGCAGCGGAGACACCCAGGGCCGCGCCTACCTGCTGATCCAGGCGCTGCGCATCGCCCTCGAGGGCAACACGACCTACAGCTACGGCGGGTACTGGTATCCCGATCCGGCGCAGCAGGCCGTCGACGCCTTCAACTACAGCGCCACGGGCTTCACGCAGACCGCCGGCCCCTGGAGCTCCGCGGGCCAACAGGCCATCGACGGCGCCGACGACTTCAGCGCCGTGGTCGACGGCGTCGGCCGCGCCCTGACCGGCCGTTTCCAACAACTCCAAACCAGCGTGGCCTTGGGCACCGCGCTGCGCACCGAGGCCATTGTCGTCGTGCGCTGGGCCTGGCTCGCGTACCCTCTGGCCCTGGTCGTCTCCGGTCTGGCCGGCCTGCTTCTCACCATCCTCTCCACCCATCGCCATCGCATGGCCGTCTGGAAGGAATCCACCCTGCCTCTGCTCTTCCGCTTCATGCGGCCGACGACTAAGACGCGCGCCGGGACCGACTCGTCGGGTGGTGCAGGTCTATCAGCAGGGGAGGGCGAGGTCTTTGGCCATGATCCACGGCGACGAAAAGAACAAGATCATCCATCTTTAACAAATCCCAACGACATAACAACAACACCAATCCCACGACCACTCACGTTCTCCAACGCCATCACCACGAATAAAGTCAGCGCCATCGTGACCCAGGCAGCAGGCGAGAACGTCCAGCTCCGCCGCCACGACACTTTCTGGGTTCTCGACTCCGAGTGTGTCGACCCCGATGGTGGCGACAAGGATAACGAGAATAACAGCGGCAGCGGCAGCAGAAATAAGAACGGGCTGAGCGACACCGACTGGAACAGACACGTTTGAAAAGTCGGGATACTTCGTCGACCTCTATATGGCGCGTATGGGCAATGACTGAACTGCACCTAACCTGTTGTATATATATATATATAGCTTTTATATCCTTGCATGTGTTCGTTTGTGTTGAGGTGAGCACGCCACTTCAAGAGTCAGACATCTCAATACCTAGAAGTGCCATTGCATACCCCAGGTGTTATCTAAAATGGAAACTGTCGTCATTAGGAGAACATGTGTAGATATATACATTGATGCATTCTCATCCATCCACCCACCCACCCAGTCGGTCGATCAATATATCAACAAGCAATGACTCCAATCCAGTTAATCGCCATCGTTCATCAATCCCCAGCCACCCAAAGAAAGAGAGCAAGAGCAAGAGCAAGAGCAAGAGCAAGAGCAAGAGCAAGAGCAAGAGCAAGAGCAAAAGTCCCAGAACCACCCGGGTCCTGTCTTTTCCAGTCCAGATCATCTTCAAGTTCGTGCTCGTGCTCAAGTTCGTGCTCGTTACGAGGGAAAAAGAAAAGAAAGGGGGATTCCATTCCGAAAAGAACCGAAAAGAAAAGAAAAGAAAACGAGTAAGACGTCCCACAGGAACAACATTGATTGCATGATCCGACATGTGTCATCAGAACACAACGTCGCCCGGCTCTCCTGGAGCTAATAATAGATATCATATGGATGTAACTGGTCATTCGGACGGCATGGCATGGCATGAATGGCATGCATATCACATCAAGTCGAGTCATGCGTCTTCACATGATTGATTCAGAGAGCCCCGATCTAGGGCCATGGACTCGGAAAGAGGAGACGACGCAAGCAGCAACCGCCACGGCACAGGCGCCGCCAATGTGTTGCGGATGTATTATTCGATGGTGAAGAAATCCGGTCGACTGAAGATTAAATCGCCCTCCAAGGGACGCGGCAGTCGGAAATGCCTGCCTGGGTTGCTGGACTCTTCTCGAGACAATTCTCGCCGTCCGTCACGGAAGGCACAGCCAGAACCACATCAAATCGGGCGGCGGTCGTCTCTGTGTGAAGGTGCGTAGATTTGGGGTTTCAACCTAGAGACATTCCCGGAGGAGACACATGAAGTCTTCGGATAGCGAGCACAGTTGCTGAGAGATCTTGCACCCTTCAAGCACAAGGACCATGTCGAGATGCTCGCGTAGGATCCTCTGCCGTAGTCGAATTCCGGCTTGACATCCTCCATCAAGAGTAGAGTCCTCTGTCTGCAGTGTCGCTTCTCGGCCGCCGTTGAGGGTCGAGTTATCCGCCCCAAGTTATTTCGGAATCCCAGTTCAGTCCCGGCAGAGTTCACGTAAGTTGCTCCTCCCGGAGACAAGTGAACGTCTCTTCCTCAAGTGGGCAATACTGTCGGGTGTGGTGGTTCCTCTCCCTCTTCGATCTTCGGGGGAAGTAGTCCTCGCCATTGCCCTGTGTCACGTCTCTCCTGCTCGCGGGGTGATCTCGAGGAGGGGTTCATGGCGTTTGTGGACACTCCATTGCTGCCGCTGCCGCCACCATTTGTCTCAGATGATACGCCGGACTTGACCTCGGTCTTGGTCGCCGCGGCCTGGGCAGGGGAGGTTCCCCCTTTATCACTTTGGCCACCAGGCTTTCGAGGAGACACTCGTCCATTCTGCATGCACACGTCCAAGGTCAGCCAAGATTCACGCATGTCACATCATCGGGGGTCCGAAGAGTTACCTGTTTGGCCCATCTCAGACCACAACTGTTGCACAAGTCACGATTTCCACTAGGTCCTCGTCTCCATTCGGGCGTCACCCGCGTGTGGCAATTGGCACAATCCTTTTCCAGCTGTCCCAGCCCTTTTCTTCTCTTCCGTTTCTTCTTGCGGCTCAGCAAGATTTGTAGTTCTTCGGCCAACAGCCGGTTTTGACGTTCCATCTGTCGAAGTTCGAATTGCCAACTCGAACTCCTGGTCGTCTTCAGCTCATCGAAGAGATTGTCTTCCGAGTTCAGTGCCTCATCCTGGTTGCCCAGACACAGACCCTGACCTCCGGGTCGCGTCACAGCCCCCCCGGAGCCGGACATTTTGGTATCGTTGGGGGGAAGAGATGTCGAAGAACCATTGGTCACGGTGCTGGAAGACTGAGCAGACGTTTGCGATTTCGGATCAGTCGATGTTGATGACGCGCTCATCGACTTCTGACTTAATAAAGCGGCACGGGTGAGTTTGAGCAACCGAGTTTGTGCCAGGAGGAAGGTAGGCTTAAAGCCTGGTCGAGCATCGCCCGGATATATGGTTGTTTGAGCATGCAGGACCTGGCCTCGTCTGTTCAGGAGGTCATGCCTGAAAGTCACTTTCTCCCCCGTACGGGCCATTTCGAGCGCACGCAGAAACTCCCGCCGGGCATCCGGTCTCATCAGAACTTGCAGACTGGTTCCCACCAGATCCTCGGGTAACCGGTCCAACATGACTCGAGAATTGGATGAGACATGCAAAAACATGCCCGATGTGGAGATCTTGGACCACAATTCGCTCTCGCCCAGGTTGTTCTCGGCCAGGAGCTCCGAGCGATCCAGGGCATAGACGGGTCTCTCCCGGCCCACAAGGATGATGCACTTCTTGCCTTTTCCTTGTTCGGTATGTAAGCCGCCATGGGCTTCAAACCAAGTATAGCCACTGAACTTCCGACGAATTCGATACACCACATTGACGGGAGATCCATTCGACGAGTCCTTCAACTCTCGGGTAACGGGGACAATGTCACTGGGGTGGCACAATGATGACAAGGCAACACCCACCAGCTCACTAGCTTCATACTCGAGAACTTTGCGGCTAGAGGGGGATAAGTAGAGAAAGAGCCCTTTGAGGGACAGAACATGTATCACGTCGTCGGTGTTCTCCAAGAGGATCTTGTCCCAGACCCGCTGGGAAAGACCCGGGTCGCCACGGCCGATGGTGGTCAACACCTTGGAGACCTCGTCTCTTGGGATCGTCTGGCCAATCTCTTGTATTGCTTGGCTTGAATCTGGGGGAGCTGGGAGAGCGTAAGCAGGAAGAGAGCTCCGGTCGTAGTTGATCGCATAGGTTCCATCTGCACAAGAGGTCAGCACTCCAATGTCGGACTCTCCTCGAAGAACTGGAATGCACCTACCTGGATTTCGGCCCGAGACCGAGTTTGGCTGCTCGACCAGATCGACCTGAAATCCGACGTAAAACTTGTAGTCCTCAGAGTCGAATTGGATCGGGATCATGGTGAGGAGGTTCATAAACGGTTGGCCGCCTTTGCGATAGTTGATCAAACTCAGCTGCGCTTCCGATCGCTTGCTGATCTGGTTCTTGAGGTACAGGACGGAGCTATCATCGACATACTTCCGCTTCGAACCCGGCTGCACTTGGCCATCTGGCGACTGCAGAAAGCGGCAGTTCCGACCTAGAATTTCATGCTTGGTATAGCCAGTCAATCGTTCAAACATTTCCGAACAGTACACAATCGGAAAATCAAATTTCTCAATATCGCAGACGACGAAAGCACAGGATAGGTCGACGGGGCCAATATTGATTTCGGGCCGGGGTCTCGTCGCGACACGCATCTCGAGTATGGTCAGTACAGGCTCGACCTTGATCGGGTGCAAATTGCTCACCAGAACACCCAGCATGTCGAAACCACTAGAAGAATAGGCATTGGCATATTTGGGGAGAGGCTGTAGCACGCCTTGCATCTGAGGCATGTGTGGTAAGGCGGTGGGATTTGGCCCGCGTGGGTTCGCTGGCAGATCCGCTGCTCGACATCAGTTTAGACAAGAGGAGGATATTCGGGCTACAATACCATGATTGGTGAAAGCGGAAGGGACGTCCACCATTGAAAGGTTTCTAGACGTGGCTTGCTGCACAGACGGCGGGGACGGCAGCGTTTGGCCAGGGCCCGACGCCATTGAGACGCCTGATGAGGCAGAATGTCGTGCATGGAGAGACGATGTCGGATTGTGGAAGGACTGTGGAATAGATGACATGGCCTGCGCCATAGTCGCCATGTGATCATGGATAGGAGGGCTCATAGATCCGCCACCCGGATCCTGGCCGGATGGCTGGTAAGAGATGGGGAAATCTGGGTCTATCGGCGACGCAGTGAACAAAGATTCTTGCATCGGACCAGACTGCATGTTCACGTTGTTCACCGGAACCCCCATGGTCTCAAAATCCATTTGGATATCCATCGTAGAGGACATGTAGGCGGCAGAGGATTCGACACCGACCGATGTGCTCGACATGATGCCGGGGTTATACGTTGACACAGCGTCGAAATTGGACTGCATCCGGGAAAAGCGGGCGTTCAAGGACAAGTCTTCGCGAGACCGGACTCTTCGAGGGTCGAGAGACTTCTGCATCGGTAACATGTTGGATGCGGGATCGGGCATGGCCAAGGACGAGTCGCCCGGGAGGGGATCAAACTGAAAATTGGCAAAGTCGCCATCGACCGAGGAATTGAATTCAAGCATGGACGTCCTCCGAGTGCGGTCTTGAGACAGTTGAGGGTAATGAGCCTGGAAGGTCTGCCGTCTGCGCATCAATTCCTCGGTGTTCTGACTGACGATCTGGTGGAGGGTCTGCGGTTGACCTAAAGCCGTGGGATCCATGGTTCCGGAGACGATGTCCATACTGTCGTCCTGTGCGTAGCCATCCATGGACTGCCGCCCATCCAAGGCTGGATAAGGCTGTGTGTAGAACCCTTGCGAGCCATTCATGGTCGCTCAATCTTCCCAGATCTTGTTTGTCTATTCGACCCCGACCAGGGAGTCGTGACAATAACGGCGCAGTGAACGCGCGGATGGACAGGGAGAGGGAGCAAGAAGTCCCCGAGACCGTGGCTGAATTGCGCTTAGCATGGATTCGAATGGGAGCGTATGAGGAGGAGGGGGCGTGGCACCCGGAATGGCATTCTTGCCGCACGGTGTGATAAGTCGGCACGTCGTCCAAAAAATTGCAACGAGGCCAGCAGGGTGAACGTCTAGATTCAAGTTCTGTACGGCGTGAAGAGAGTGTCGGTGGATCGGAAAGGTGGCGGTGGGAAAATTGATCTGGCAGATCAGGAGGGCGCAGATGATGGGATGGATGGCGTTGTTGTACGTATGTGTAGTAGCGGCCACCGATCCACCTCACCAAACACCAGGCCCGGAAGTATCTAGTAGGAGTAGGTGATGATGGTGTTTGAAGAAGTCGGTCGGGAGGTGTCAGTGTAGCGCAGGCAGGCGAGGAGAGGACGGACCAGACAGGGACAGACAGGCGCAGTACGTAGTAGTAAAGTATGTAATAGTAGTAGTTCCAGGGCTAGAGGATGCTCGCTGATTGAGGTAATTGAAGGTCGTGCACTGTTCGGCGGGTGGGAAAGATGAACACCCATGGTTCCAAAAGACGGGAGCCAGTCGTGGATTCGGAACATGGTTTTCCGCCGCCAGGAGACCCAATTATTAGGCCTCGTCCAGGGAGCCCTAGTCCCTAATAAGTACATTCTAAAGACCTTAGGGACCTACTAGTAGCTAGTAAGATACCTTATTTACAACTGCCATAAGTGCTCTCTAAGTCGTGCTTAGTGCCCCGAAATGACCCTGGCGAGGCCCGTCAATAGTCTCCGCAGCTGAGCGTTTACAGCCTGAGGTGAAGCGACCCAAGGTCCTTACTGCCTCTGTAGTGTGTAGTACTAGTAGGATCAGGTACTTTAGGCACTGCCAGAGTTCGTTTTAGGTAGACCTGCAAAATACAGTGGTAAAGTGGACGCGCAATACCTGATGTTATCGCTGGTGTCACTCACGTTCGCGGCCTTGTAGAAGTGGTACTGCGTGGTTTAGGTACCTAAGTTCTCGCTTCGGTGCAGTGCAGTGGCATATTATTTGTTTACGATTACCCGTGCCATGGCAGCGGGGTGCTCCGTACCAACAGCAGGCAAGACCAGTATTACCAACCGGGGACAAGTGAGGAGGCTAACGGGCTCCTAAGGCCGCACGGCAGGGTTCTCTAAGCACCTCCAACCGTAAAATAGGTACCTAGTAGATACCTGGACGTTATTGACTTCGTTTCCTGGATTCGGGTTGGACTCATGAGACATGCCTTTTATACAGAGTTACATACTGTAGGTAGGTACTTGTAGGTAGAGAAATAAAATACAGGGTCTGAATTCTGGTACTGGTAGCTGGTGTCTGACTACCTAGGTACTAGGCCCCATCCACCCTTACAGAATGTGGCATTTATCAAGTCCGCCAGTTGAGGAGATTTCTTCAGGCTGCAGTATGACATGACGCGCCACAACTGCTGGCGACTCCTAGTACTACTACCTACTATGATAGCACCGCGCTGCATGTTCGACCATGTACGAGGATTCTCATCCAACTCAGACGAGTCAAATAACTGTGTATTAATTCCGAGTGCGGAATCAAGGATACGGATCATGGTGGAATGGGGGGTGGGGGGTGGGTATCTCGCGGGTAGGGTATCCGGCGCCACAACAACCTTGCATAGGTACGTCCCTTAGGTACCGTAGGTATCTTAAGGCACCTACTGCCTGGTCACGATACTCATCATCGCTGCCGCCATACAAAGTCCCCAGATGATTACAGAGAGCCGCATACGAGCTCATTGTCGGCGTGACAGCCCCTTGGATCGTAAACACCTGACCCGTGCTGTGCATAGAGAACTGGACATCCCCTCCGCACCGGAGTAATACACGCCATGAAACAACCGCCAGTTTCTAGCCAGGATATGCCGCTGGCCGAGCCACAAGCGGCGCCATCTTCTCACGTTGAAGCTTCTCCTTCTCCAGTTGAGCTCGGTCACTCTTGGTCATCCGAGGTTTGCGAGTCACTCCACCGCCCCGAGATCCAGGTCCGCCGCTCCGACCAGAGCCTCCTTCAGCAGCAGCTGCTGCTGCACCTGCCCGGCCTCCGCGAGACCCAGGACCACCACCCCTGCCGCGCCCACGGCCACGCTTGATGGTTCCATCCGCCCTAGAAATCCAACAGTCAGTATGATCAGAAATCTCCCGGAAGCCGGTACATACCGTTCAACCGCAGGTTTCTCCCCCTCAGGAACTAAAGGTCCACAGTAGACAAAGAATCCATCTTTGCTGGCAGCGGCTTGTGCTTCCCATAGTAACTCGCTGTCATCGATGAAAGGATCGTCTTGGTTGTACTCTTCGACCTTTCTTCTGCGGCGTCGCTTGGGCCCAGGGCCGTCGGTGCCACTGTTGGCCGCCTCTTGACCACCGTTGACGCCTGACATGGCTATGTCGCCATCATTGTCCGAATCTCGCTCAATATCGACACTGAGGTCATCGTCGCCGCTGTCCCCGCCCGACGTGCCCCCGAATTTACTGCCCGAGGCCGATCGTTCCAATGCAGCACCGGCAGCCGCAACCTTGGCCAGCCGTTCTTTCTGCGCAGCTTGTCGCGGATATAATGCAGCAAAGCCGTACTTTTCTTCCGCCATGCGCGCGAAATTGATCACTCGGTTGTTGGGGTCTTTCAGATCAATGTGTAAAACAATATTTGGACCTTTACCCGAGTCCTTCTGGGACCCTCCATTGCTTGAGTCACCGCCAAAGAGGCTGGCAGAGAGAAGACCGGAACCAGGTGGAAGCGGATGGGGCTGCTCTTTTGCCCGGGCTGGCTTGGGCGACGTGGCACGAGTGGGCGCCTCCGAAGCGACCTTCTTAGAAGCAGCGACGACCTTTTTCGACGGCACAGGTTCCAAAGTAGCGGAGTCGAGGTCCATTGGGGTCGGGTTGCCAGCCATCGGTGGTGAAAGCGTGGGTCTGCCATTGGGCTGGCCGTATGACGGTTCCACCTTGGGTTGATGACTGATTGATATGCTCGAGCTCTTAAAGCTCTGCGCTGTTGGATGATCGATGATTCCCGAGATGGCAGGAGATGTGCTTGGGTTGTATATCGGCCTCGGGGGAGTATGAGCCGGTCGCAAAGAAGCGGAAGAAGGTTGAGGGCCCTCAACAGGTCGAGTCACTGATCTGATAGGATCGTACATGCCGGTGGAGCGGGGCGCAGGCGTTTGGACGGCGCTCTGGAAACTAGAACTGTAGCTGTACGATTGTTGCGAGGGCATCTGGGAGCGTGTGGAAGGTTCATGTACTGGAGCGCCCGTCTCTGTAGGCCTGGCTGCTTCATTGGGACGAAACTCGACCGGGGATCGAGAGGAGAACGCGACGGGCTGAACCAGGGTGGATGACTGCAGACTTGCGCTCTGTGGTCCTGGAATGTCGATGGTGCTATTTGCATCTGTTGCCTCCAGTTTTGGCTTTTTGCGAGGGACACTGGTGGTAGATGAAGCGCCACGAGCACGACGGTTCGTAACGCGCTCTTTCTTTTCCTTCTCAGGGCCAGGAGGGGCATTCGGATCCTTCTTTTTGCGAGGTTTGTACACCCGCTTTGGCGGTGGCTGCAGCGTGTTGCCAGTGGTCAGGCTGGTGACGGTGACAGTGGCGTCACGATTGTCTTGGCGGAGTGCGCCACCAGCTGCGCCTGTGGCTGATGCACCTGCACCTGCACCTGCACCTGCGAAACTTGCAACACCAAAGGTGCCTGCTGAATTGCTATCGCGAGCCCCGTGGTTTGCGGTCGTTAAATGACTGAGCGGTCCTGGGGTGCTTTCCTCATCGCTGGGAGGTGCACTCGACAAGTCGTTGGACGAACTTCTCCCCTCCATCACCTCCATTTCTACTCTGGTGTTCCGCCCGTCAGACCACAGGTGATAAAACAGCTTGCACGAGCCGCATCAGCGAAAAGAAAAACCAGACGCCTAGTAGGACAAATCTCGGACCAGAGAAGTGGGAAACTTGAATGCAGAATATTATGTCGTGGTGGATGAGACGCAGGCGGGTGTGAGCTGCAGTCGATGGAACGAATCGGGTGTTGATGACCTAGGTGATGATGTGCAGAGGTAAAGGTTGCGCAAAGTGAGGTGCAGTGGAGGGTGGTATCTGCACACCTCAGAGGATTCGTGAAGCGGTGAACTAATATGCGTGAGCTGGTAGCCAAATGGCTAATGACTAGGTGCGACAACTCACAGTGAACAAGAGGATCACGATAGGATCGAAGAACATCAAAAATCGGCTGAACGTAATCTGGCGCAAGAGAATACGAACCTGGCCTAGACGAGCTTACAGTTGGATGAGGAGAAGAGGAGGTAGAGAAGAGGGAGGAAAGATCGAGGAGAAGAACAGCGAGGCGAGAAGGGAGAGATATAAGTATCGACAGGAGGAAAGTAAAGAGGTAGAGAAGAGGCACTAGAGACTACCCAGTACTATTATTGTTGACAAAGAGCAGGCGTGAGATGAACGGGGAAGGGAATGAATGGGCCATGAATGGGCACAAAACAACTACAAGTTGACGGGGGGTGGAGTGAATAACGGCAAGTCAAATAGACGGACAGCAAGGGAAGGGAACCCGGGGTGAGACAGCACGCAGTCGACGAGAGAGAGGGCGAGAGGAGAGAAACCAGCAGAGCGAAGTGCGAAAGAGAAAGCAGGGGGGGAGGATGGGAATCTACCGAGTAGCAATGCAGTGATGAGTGAATGGCCGTGCGAGACGTGAAGAGTAGCAGCAGGTGTAGAAAAGAGAGGGCTCATAGTAGGCAAAGCACGGGGAATATCAGTATGGCGCCAGACGATGATGATGATGATGGACAAGACTCCAAATAGTGAAGGTCGCGGCACTGTAGACAGTAGAAACGAGCGCCACAGCCACGGTCAGAGCCTAAGCCTGAGCCTGAATAATAACAACCTGGAAGACAGTCCGGAGTAGCTCTGGACTAATAATTGAGCCTGTAGCGAAAAGTCGGGTGATATAACACTGGCAGTTACCGTTGCAGGTCAGGTCGTGCCCAGGGGAGTGCAGAATAGTTAACGTGCATTCGCCCCATCTGGTCTTTACCCAATCATGAAATAAGCTTCTGTGCTTCTCCCGATTTCGACCTGTTCAACTTGAAGTTTTGCCAGTCTCGGGTTGATGAATATTGCCTATATACCTAACATCCACCTGGAGTGCAAGGCTCACTTACCTCTTCATTTGCTCATGACCGTACCTATGTGCGCAGTGCAAGTTCTACATATATTTTCTAATGGACCCTTGTGGTAAGGTCTGCAGTGCGGCACGATTCCTGGCGGAGTAGAACGCCGGGAGACCCTTGAGATCCGTTCATTGGACTGGCCGGTCAAAGATCGGGGCGATCCACCGCTGCCAGATCCAGCACCCCTGCCCACTGCTGTGGCTTGACGTGGCGCTGCAGTGTCCAATGTCCACCACCAGAGCCGATCCCAGGCTGCCACTCAATCCCCACGAAACTAAACTAGCAGATGCTCTCTCGATTCGCACGAGCTGGCTCTTTCGTGCACTCCATACTATCATCATTGTTATTATTGTCTGTCTGCCTGCAGAATCTGCTGCAAGCTCAAGGAGAACAACTCAAGTTCACCCAAATTCGGCTAAAAGTGGGACCAAACTTTGTCTGTCATGCATTGTTCTGATTGGCACAACCTCAAACCTTAATTTTCCGAAGCTTGGCATACAACGGCGGCGCTTTTCCACTGGGATGCCTGGAAAGTTGCCTGCGTCGTCAATGTCCAGACCATGCTTCGTTTCCAGGTTCTCTGGTTCATAAAGACTTCCGGACTTGTACTTCGTGACATGACACGATGGCCATCCCGGGTCAGCGCTTCGAATTGGATCTCGAGGCAGACGACTTCACGGTGAGGCCCCTCAACGATGACTTCTCTCCAGACTTGAGTGCAGGCCTCGCAATCAAGGAGATCGAAGAGCACGAAGCTGATGCTCCGCCTCCTCCTCCCTCCCTCAAGTCTTCCAGGACCGGCTTTCCTGAGCACAAGCCCCGTCGAAACGTCTCCGCCTTCAAGACGAGGCAACAGGCTGGCAATGTCCCACCACGGCCTACAATCCCCTCGCGCGTAGAACCTTCGGACAGAGCAATCGCTCATCATGTGGGCAAGAAATATGGACTTGATCTAGACGGTCAGCAGAAGTCCGAGATAAGCGAAGAGAACAAGAGACGGATTGCGGACATGTCGGTGGAAGACGTCGAAGAGGCTCGGGCCGAGTTGATGAGCACCCTCAATCCTGCATTTCTCGAGCGCATGCTCAAACGGGCCAATATCGACGAGGACCAGGTCGCCCAGAAGGATTGGCCTGAAGATGATCAAGAGAGATCAAGTGATGCTGCTGGGAGGGACACTGAAAACTTGACAAATTTGACCGAGGACGATGCGGCCCCTGCAGCGTCAACCACGGCCACTCTATCAGGGCCCTCGATCCACTTCCCTGCACCTCCACGGTCAGCCGAAGAGTACGTGCCTTTAGATGCCAACGACCCTGCTTTTCTTTCTGAGCTCAAGTCACACTACTTTCCCGAAACACCACACGATCCTTCTTCGCTTCAGTGGCTTCAAGACCCTTCCGAAGAGGAGAATCAGGCGTCGTTGTATAATCCCGAGAAGGAGTCATTCTTGGCATCTGCTCTGCGTTTTGGCTTCAATGGTCGCTTGATCGCGCCCAGGGAGAGTCTGGAGATCGATGTGAAGCAGGGTCTACATCATCATGGCGACGACCCCAGCAGTGCCGGTTATACAATTCCCGAATTGGCACTCCTGGCCAGATCATCTCTGCCGAACCAGCGATGCGTTGCTTACCAGATCCTGGGCAGGGTGCTATACAGACTGGGAAGAGGAGATTTTGGTGCCCGTGGCAGTGAGCTCCAGGAGGCCTTGTGGTCCGTCATCGAGCGGGAAAAGCCAATTGAGGTGATGATGAGCGAAGCCAACCGCCAGTCCGGACATGCTAGCGCCAAAGCCCATGCCATTGAAGCCTTGTGGCTCTGGAGAAAGGGTGGAGGAGGAGACAGAGGCGTCTTGAAATCAGGTCAGAGAGTGGCCAGGTGAAGCAATTTAACACGGTGGCGGTATGGATGCTTCAATATCAAGCGGTGCAGACACGTCAATTGACCGAGGCTTACACCAAGCGGACTTTCACAGCAAACACAGCCTAAAACGAGGCACTATGAGGGAGAAATGGCGAATCTCACTTGGAGCAGGAATCTGCAGTTCATTGGTTATGAGAGCCTACATTGTGTCTCACGAGCCGTCCAAGCTTGGTCGATAACTTCATCCAGAAATGGGCCCGTTGAACCCTAGACTTGATGAGATCGATACGGACAGCGGACAGGCTGCTGCATTGGGTATCATTCTCTGGTCTGTCCGTCATTCTTGAGCAACAAGGCAGCCGACGCACCTCTCCTACTGGTCGAACTGCTACATTCTCGGTATATCCCCAATACGGACGAGCGTGGAATATTGAGCAGCTTTCATCGACACTGGTTAGCTACCTGGGAACGGGGCTTCCAACACTCCGCAATCCGCGACGGCTAGGTTGATGAAGCCATCCTCTTTTCCAGACGGTCATCAGATCCTGTGCAATGTCCAGAATACTCTTCATGCCATCTGCATGCCTCTGATAAGTCGGCCGAGTATGTCCGTGGCTCATGAGTGTTGGGGTTGCGTGTTCTACGATGCAGACCGTTGTGACACTTGATTGTCTTGCAAACCATGGCTCGTACCATTCCCATCACAGCTTGCTCCAACGGCGGGCTAGCGGGCTAGGAGCAGCTCTGGTCGTGGCATAACCACGGAGAGGGCATGCTGGCAATAGGAAGATCCTGTGCTTGGTGTTCTCTCCGAAGGGTCCATCGAGGCCAGTATTCAGATAGTCTCCGCGTCTATGCGACAAACAATTCCTTATTTACGTATCGATCCCCAGTTTCGTCTTTTTTTACGCATGGTTGCACTCATCAAGCCCTTCCAATCCGCCCCACGAATCTCCAGCCCCAAATACGCAAGCAGTCTATACCCAATCGTGACCCCACCCAGCGCCAGCGCATAGGCAACAGTATCGACATTCAAGCGATACAGCTCCAGGACCTGCTCGCCCGTCTGTACAGGACAAGTCCCATCGGCGAGCCGCTGATCGGCTGTGCACGTGAACCTGATGTCCCGCAGACTATAACTCAGCAGCGCGCCGACCTGCCACTTGACGGGCGAGATATGATTCACGGCGCTCAGAAACCGGTCGATGCCGATACTCAACACGCCGCCGAGGTGGATTGCGATGGATAGCACGACAGACATGACCGACACTGCAAGCCCCGTGTGGCTGAACATGGTGAGGAACAGGATGCCGAAACTCTCGCCACACTCGACAACACAGAAGGCCGAATACGCCATCAGGAAATACTGGCCCGCCGTGCGCGGCAGGCCGACCGCGAACACTGTCAGGACGGAAAAAAGCATGGACGCGACCACCTCGGCAGGGACCTCGAGTGCAAGGTAATACACGAAGAATGCGGCGAGGGTGTATGTCCCGTCCCGCTCTTCGTGGTAGTACAGATCCCGCTCGCCGGGATACATGGCGATCGAGTTGAGCATGCCGACGAAAAACATGCTTGACATGGCTTGGATGTAGCCAACGCGTGTCTGCACCGAGTAGTAGTCGTGGCGGAGCGGGGAGCAGAATGCTGCAAGGACGATTCCGAGGCCGACCAGTTGCGTGATGCGGCCGGTGAGGAGGTTTGGCTGCCGGCGCAGGTTGATCACTCCGCGTTGCAGGAGGATGGGAAAGGCGTGTTGGAAGGGCTGTCTTTGACGGGCGTAGGTTCCTAGAGTGGCGGGAAGGGCTAGATCTGCCGGTTTTGATGGTGTGGCATCAGTGGTATGAGTATCGGTGGTCGTGGAATCAGGTCCAAGTGCTTTGGTGGGAGAATGAGAGGGAGTGGGCGCTGGTTCTTCCGCAAAAGTGTCGTTAGGTTTGGATGTTTTCGCCGGAGAGTCTTCTATGTCGATGCCTTTCTCGTGGGGACCTACGGTCGCAGGAGGAAGGGCGGTGATGGTGGCTGCTGGCGCAACATTGGATGGCTGTTGTTGCTGTTGTCCTTGCAGTGACTTCGGCGTCTCAACAGACACAAGATCCAATGCGAAATCAGCTGGATTGGCCGACTCTGGACAGGTGAAACCCATGCTTTCGAAGTGAGGCAGCATCTCAGAGACGGAACCCGCATAGACAACCTCGCCGCCTTTAGCAAGCAGTAGCACCCCTCCGAACTGCTTGAACATACCGGACCGAGGCTGGTGGATCGAGAAGATGATGGTTCTTCCCTCGTCCGCCAGGCCCTTGAGGACTTCGATGATGGAGAAGGCAGTGAACGCATCCAAGCCCGAAGTCGGCTCGTCGAGCAGGAGCACCTGGGGGTCCGTGAGGATCTGAATCCCGATGGAGACGCGGCGTTTCTCGCCGCCACTGATGCCCTTGACCATGTCGCTGCCGATCAGCGTGTCCGCACAGTCCTTCAGCCCGAGCTGGAGTAGGACCAACTCGGCACGCCGGACTTTTTGCTCGTGGCTCAGGAAGGACGGCAGACGGAGTCGTGCGGCGAAGTGTAGCGTCTCACGCACCGTCAGACATGGCAGCAGGGCTGAATCGTCCTGAGGCACATACGAGCAGATCGACATCACCACGGCGTCTGTCGCGGTGGAGCCATTGAGAAGCATTCTTCCTGTAGTCTGATACTTGACCATTGGGGATCCGTACAGCCGTCGCGCCATCGCGTTCAGACATGATGATTTCCCCGACCCAGATGGACCCATGATCACGTTCAGCACGCCCGGCTCGAACGTCGTGGTGATGGGCTGGAAGATGCGTTTGGTGGTGTTGTTCTTGAACAGTCGTTTCCGGTCGATTTCGAGTCCGAAGTGGTCGAGCGCAACCGTGACCGTTCTAGTCGTGCCCCCGCGTCTTACGTTTGTCTCTTGGCTGTCTGCCGACGACGCTGCTTTGTTTTCATGTGTCTTTGCCACCTCCACCTCTGTAGTGAGCACTTGCAGGGTGACTCCCGAGAGGATGAAGAAGAACAGGATGAAGCCGACCAGCACGACGATCGGCCTCCACAGCCAGTTAGAGGGAAGGTTCAACGAGGCCAAGATATAGGCACCTGTGTACTCCCTGCAAGCCGGGTTCGAGGGCCCTCCGGGGCTTGGACAATCATAGAAGTGGCCTGCAAACTCGTTGGTGCAGAGAGCCCCAAAAGCATAAAACTGGAACGGGGGTTAACATGGTGGGATGGTCGTTACAACACATCTTGGAATGACACCTACCACATATGCCGTCCACTTGACCCATCGCAGCCATACCGCAAGCGAGCGGGTGTTGATGAAGAAGCCACATCCCATGGACTGGAGCGTGAAAGTCAGATTGGCGATCAGAGATGCAACCATGAATTGCCGGTTCAGAGCGACGCAGACGGTGGCCAGGTTGACGGCGATCATATGCAGCAGAAGCTGAATGGCGAAGAACGTGAAGAACTGGTCGGCATTCGAGCGGAAGCCCGCCATAAAATAGAAGATGACCGAGTAGAAGAATGGGACTGGGAGGTCTTCCAGCGGGATCCGGGCCAATCTTCTGCTGACGATGAAGCTGATGGGCCTGACCACGCCTTCGATACGCTCTCGGTCGTAGATTTGGATGTCCATGGTCAGGCGGTAGGTCTCGAAAAGGAGGATGAGGTACCCTTGCAAAGCGCAAGCCGAGTACATGGCGCCTTGCCGCGATCTGATCCCGGCGAGATCACCACCCAATTGGTAGAAGATCCAGCCGCTCATGATGCCCATGCTCAACGACTCGACTGTGCTTGCCACAAGGCCTAGTCGGTCACGGCATGTCACGACAAATGTCCTCCGGGTGTGCACAATGACTTCTTGGAAAAGCTCGTCGAGGCGATCTGCCGAGTGCGCGCTTTGCTTTCCACTGAAGGGCTGGCCCTTATTCTGGCCTGGTCCGCCTGTCCGGGGGTGAGTCTCGCCAGCTCTCCATGCTTCTTGCAGTCTCTGGACACGGACTAGAGAGGTCTGTTCGGCATCCTGCGAGCGAAGATCCACGGCAGCAAGGTCGATGACAAAATCGAATGGGTTGAAGAATGAAGGCATCTTGTAGCCGAGCCGCTCAAAGTACGGCAGACATTCCTGGACATGTCCACAATAGACGGGCGAGCCTCTGGCCAGCAGTATCAGATTGTCGACCAGTCTCCAAATCTCGGAGCGTGGCTGATGGACTATCCTAGTCAGAAGTTGAGACACGATTCTTCGAACGGGCAATGACTTACTAGTCATGATGACAGTCTTCCCTCGCTCGGCAAGACTTTTGAGTGTCCGGACGACTTGGATGGCCGAAGCAGCATCCAACCCAGTGGTGGGCTCGTCCAGGATAAGCACAGGCTGATCCGCGAGGAGTTGAACTCCGATGCTGGTCCGTCTTTTCTCTCCGCCGGAGCAGCCCTTATGAGCGTTATCACCTATCTTAGTGTTGGCACACTTGCCCAGGGCGAGGTCGTGGATCACGTTTTCGACCATGGCCTCTCGCTCAGTTCTTGTCTTGGTCGTCGATAGACGTAGATCGGCTGCATACCGGAGAGTCTCGCGTACTGTGAGGGTGGGTAACAGCACATCCTGCTGCAGCACATAGGCCACTCCGACCCTTGCAGGCCCAGCAGCTTGACCTTCGGGTTCGACCAGCGATTCGGCATCGTAGGTGACGGCCCCAGACTGTCGAAACCTTTCGTCTTTGATGCGATGTGCGATGACATTCAGAAGTGTCGTCTTGCCGCTTCCGCTGGCGCCAACAATCGCAGTCAGGCTGCGGCTCGGGAGATCCGCCGAGATATCTTGCAGAATTGCTTTGGGGGAAGAGTTTCCTTTGATGCGGAGGATCCGGGACTTGAACGAATCTATCGAGGAGAATGGTGACCCCCGGGCTGGATCCACCTCCACTGATACATTGCGAACTTGTACATAGACAGGTCCACTGTTCGGGTCTGGATTGTCGTCATACTGCGACGGAGGTTCTTTCATAGGAAACGCAATCGAATCGTCCAGCAATTCATCAGGCGCCCTGGTTGAGACCTCCTCATGCCCTTTCTCCGTCGCCATGCCCCGAACTGAGATCAGCCGCCGACAAGGCTAGAGTGATCGCAAAGTGTTTTCATTCATTACGTGATGCAGCTGACATTCTGGAAACATTGCTGCAGGATAGACTCCACATACAGTAAAACGGTCAGATTCTGCTCAGCGACAGGTTTGCAGATTCAATCCAAACGTCTTTCAACGGTTATTCGGCTTGGGGTATTGTTCCGCGTGGCTTGGTTCGTTCTAGTCTCTGCGTCCTGGTTTAGCCTGGCAATGGTCCGCTCTCGGCCTCGTAAACCAGCCCAGGATAGGCAATAACCCGCGACAGGCGAACGAGCCTTTCATGCCATAGCTCTTCAAGCGCTGGGCACCAATGGAAGCCAGCTGGGACTTACTAAGATCGATTCAGGGTGTTCTTGCGATGAGCTGTGCCCAACAGAGCAGCTGATTAGCCGAATGTCGGTCTTGGTAGCCACAGCACCAACAGGCGTATCAATTCTTGGAATGATGATTGCACGTCTTGAAGAAGTTTCCTTGATCGAGAAGGCAACATCCGAACGAATCAAGTGCATCCACCAGCCTTCAATACTGTGATGTAGTAAGAACTGTGAACGATTCCGTCGGGCGACTTGAGAACAGAATACAGCACGTGATGTGAAGTCATGTGACAGCACCCATCACATCACGTGTTCAGAAGCTTAGTTCAACCGCATCGCCTCGTTCGTGCCACTGCTGGACTTTCTCCAGGATTGTTCCTGTCGCTCATCGAACTTTCGAAGGACTCATTCGTTCCACGGGCTATCCCAAAATCGCATGAGGCAGCCGGTCATAAGCTCCGTGTCCGGGCTGACAGCCGGTAACTTGATGAGAGCGGTCCCAAAAGATGGCCCGTTCTGTGGCCGTACAGCCAATCCGTTGCGTGCCGAGTTCCGTGAACAACATGATGGACCGGGATGCCACACCAAATGTCTTCATGTTCTTTTGTCTCTGGCCTATGATACGCGGCCTGTTCCACACCGGTGATTTGTAAACTCCAAACTCCGGGCGCCGTGCCGTGCAGTGCATTGTTTGCACTCTGAATCTTTTGTGCCTCCTTCACTCCATGTTGCATTATCCCCTGCACTATTCACAGGGCTTTTTTCTCGGGTACCCGACACTGTCAGGCTGGGGGTCGTCTTGTCCTCTCGCCAGCAATGACTGTCCGTCCTATTTCTCACCGATTCAGCCAAACACTCTGCGAGCACCATGTCTAGCGGACTGGACAGAACGTGGACGGCGCCCGAAAACCGGCCTCGACGAGCGGTGCGGGATGCGTTAAGACGTGCCAACTCGACGCCCGAAGACGACAATCGCCAGTTGTTTTCTTTTCACTTCATGGATGACCATGCCACGCACCACTATCATGCCGATGCCTCACGAGATGTCCTTGACGAGGTATCAGCCACCAGCGACGATGACGCGTCCAGTGTCGAGACAGTAGGGGAGGTGAGGTTCGGCATTCGAGATACTCGAGATGTCGAAGCAGAATTGCCCGAGCTGAAGACTGAAAGATCTGCAAGATCAGTCAAAGATCCCAACTTGGTGTGTTTCTCCCGTCTCCGTGAGCGCCTGCTGCCAGTCTAACTCGGTCGTAGGTGACGTGGGAAGGCCCCGAGGATCCTGCAAATCCCAAGAACTGGATATACCGAAAGAAATGGGCCGCCACGCTCATTGTGTCGGCTTTCACCTTCATCTCGCCCGTTTCGTCGTCGATGGTTGCGCCTGCGTTGACCAAGATAGGCGAAGATCTGAACATTCCAGCCGGTATTGAAAGGTCGCTCACTCTTTCCATCTTCGTGCTCGCCTACGCCATTGGACCGTTGTTTCTGGGGCCTCTCTCCGAAATCTACGGTCGAGTCATCGTGCTACAGTTATCCAATTTGTTCTTTCTAGCATTCAATATCGGATGCGGGTTTGCGCAGACCAAAGGTCAACTCATCGCGTTCCGGTTTCTGAGTGGTTTGGGCGGTAGTGCTCCGTTGGCGCTGGGCGGCGGAGTCCTCAGTGACTGCTGGCGTGCCGAGGAACGAGGCAAATCCATCAGTATCTACTCCCTAGCGCCCCTCCTCGGTCCTGCCGTGGGACCCCTGGCAGGTGGCTTCATCGCCTTAAAGTCGACCTGGAGATGGTGTTTCTGGTCGACGTCAATCGTCGACGCTGGTATCCAGGCGGCCGGTTTTATTTGGCTGAGGGAGACCTACGCGCCGAAACTGCTCGGCTTGAAGGCCAAAAGACTCCGTAAGGAGACGGGTAATGCTGACCTTCATACTGAATGGGAGCACCCTGATAGGACATTGGCAAGGGTTCTCAGGGCAAGTCTGAGTCGACCATTCCGTCTGCTGGGAACGCAACCTATCATCCAAGCTCTCGCCGTGTACATGTAAGAGTCAGATGAACCGGTCGACAAGTGCAATCTGCTGACGTTTATCAGGGCATACCTCTACGGACTCATGTATCTTGTTCTTTCCACCTTCCCAACGGTCTGGGAGGAAACCTATCATGAATCCGTCGGAGTCGGCGGCCTGAACTACATTTCCCTCGGCGTTGGCTTCTTCCTGGGCACTCAAATCAGTGCACCTATCAATGATCGAATCTATCGCAGATTGAAGAAACGAAACAACAATGTGGGAAAACCGGAATTTCGCGTGCCTATGATGATACCCGGGGCTATACTTGTGCCTGTGGGGCTCTTCCTGTACGGCTGGAGTTCATACGAGCATACTCACTGGATTGTACCCAACATCGGTGCGGCAATCTTTGCCTCAGGGACCATCCTGGGCTTCCAATGCACACAGACATATATTGTGGACGCCTATACCCGTTATGCTGCTTCCGCTATCGGCGCCGCCGTTGTCCTTCGAAGCTTGGCCGGGTTTGGATTGTGAGTACATGCCCTTCCATCAAAGAGACTAACACTGACCAAACCATGCAGTCCCTTGTTTGCCCCCTATCTTTACAACGCGCTACATCTTGACTGGGGCAATTCGCTTCTCGGCTTCATCGCCATTGGCCTCGGAATTCCAGCACCTTTTCTGCTCTGGAGATTCGGCCAGACACTGCGCGAGAAGAGTCCATACGCTGCGGGATAATAGTACCATATAGGACGACTGCGTTACACATGGTGAACATGACAATGGCACAGCAATGCCTGACGAAAAGACCACCCTTGATCGCCACGGAAGCATTAAGAATCCTGATTCTTAGATGGCGTCAGCTGTTTCGGAGCATTGCTGGAAGACTGCGACGTCGTGCTCTAGGCTTCCTGTAACACCATGCTAGTACGACAGGATTTCTTCAATAAATCAGTCAAGCTTCGACATCCGACATGCGACCTCCGACAGCAGTGCCCGACCATATATGTAAGCATGCCACCATGTCTGCATTCCGACCTACAACAACTTGCAGGGGGAGGCTGGCAGCACGTGACATGCCCCGACAGTCTATGATGCCATGACATTCAGCCTTGAGCCTTGTGGATCTCCAGCACAGCGACTTGTTTGGGTTGGGATCGAAGCCTGCCGACATGATACACTTCCCTGTCCACAACCAACCGCCCGTCTTGCGACGCAGGACCTTTTCTGGCTTAAAAAACTTTGGTCATATTCTATTCTGGAGATCCCGCCAGTGATCTGCGATGCACGTCAAATGGGATTGGATTGATTATCCCATGCTGGCCGCCCCAATGCTTGTCTGGGTTTACCTTGGTGATCTACATGGGGCGCTGTTCCGCTGTCAACATGATGCCTATACCCTGCCAGTGGTAAGGAAGGTATGCTGTGGTCAGATACTGGAATCCAAGCATCACCAAGACCGTACCTGTGCTCTGCAGTCTGCATCCTACTGGTGAATCTCAAAGTCAACCGGGCAGCATGAATGACGTCTCATCCAATAGTGATCGAAGTGGGCAGTTCATCTTTTGGATCCAGGTCGTCTTGATTCCCGGTAGGTTGCCCCGGATCCTCGTGGCCATGCAGTGTTGCAGGTGCATGCCTCATACTACTACGTTGATACGTTCATACGTTCATCATCAGTCATCAATCATCATCTGCAGCGACAAAAGCTGAACGTCATCCCAGGTTGAAATGCAGATGCAAATGCAGGATCCCTCTCATGCCGGGCTTCCGGGAAAGTCATGACAACATGGTGAACATACCTAAATATATTTACAGACTACAGTATATCAAGCAAGACAACCTTATCTTCGTCTATATGGACGCACCCATACAGGCCCCATTCCTTTATCTTCGTGACCTGCTTTCCTTTTCTTCCCTTCATTTCCACGAACAAGTTGAACCCCAAACAATCCAAGTCAATCGTAACATCTGCAGAGCAGATCAGCCTAGCGTCGACATCTCGACATGTCGGACCTCCAGCGCCGCAACGACGCCGTGGACGTCAACAACTTCAACCAGAACAACAACTCGGTGGTGATCCACCAGACGGACCGTGGCTCCGACTGGTACTTCGCCGTGTGTGCGATGATGGGAGCGACGGCGCTGACGATTCTTGTGCTGAGCCGTCGCAAGCCTCGCACCGACCGCGTCTTCTTCTATCTCTCGGGCGGTCTGTGCCTGGTGGCATGCATTGCCTACTTTGCCATGGGCTCCAATCTAGGCTGGACACCGATTGACGTCGAATACCTGCGCAACAACCCCAAAGTCTCGGGACGAAACAGACAGATTTTCTACGTTCGATATATTGACTGGTATGTCCACCACCTCCTCGAGTTCCTCTTCTTGGTTATGACACTTTTGGTCATGACTCATGTCACTTGATCTCGCACAACATTTCTTTCTCCTCTCAATTCAATTGCAATATTGTTATCGTTACTGGTCTGAACCTTCCTCTGCCCCGAAAGAGTCTGTCCGAGACGCTGTCCAAGACGCTGTCCAAGAAGAGTCAAGACTAACATACCCTTTCTTCCGCACTCTGTACAGGTTCGTCACTACCCCCCTATTACTCCTCGACCTCCTCCTCACCGCCGGCATGCCATGGCCGACGATCCTATGGGTGATCGGCCTGGACGAGATCATGATCGTGACAGGTCTGGTCGGCGCGCTCGTCCGCTCGCGCTACAAATGGGGCTTCTACGCCTTCGGCTGTGCCGCCATGTTCTACATCTTCTACGAGCTCGCGTTCGTGGCCCGTCGCCACGCCGCCGCTCTGGGCGCCGACGTCCATCGCGCCTTCACCTTGTGCGGCGTCTTGACTCTGGTCGTCTGGCTCTGCTACCCGATCGCATGGGGTGTGTCTGAGGGAGGTAATGTCATTGCGCCAGACAGTGAAGGTAAGAAAGAAGTTTCCCAACGCTGTGGTTATGGACCCCAATATACCTATTACAAAATCATTCTACAAGTTATTTACTAGTTACTGACCTTTGTTTTCTTCCGTCTTTTTTTCCTCGCAGGCATCTTCTACGGCATCCTCGATCTGCTCGCCAAACCCGTCTTCTCGCTCGCCCTCATCTACTCGCATTGGAACATCGATCCTGCTCGTCTGGGTCTGCGCATCAGAGACTTTGGCGATTCTGCCAGCCTCAGCTCCGCGGAGCGGGAGAAACGCAATGGCCATGGCCACGGCCCCGGTGCTGGTGCTGGGCTGGGGACAACTGGGCCCCTTTCCGCTACCGGCACAGGTGTGACTACTGGTACTGGTAGTGAAGCTACTCGGGACAATGCTGCCGGGCCGGGTGCCCCTTTGCCCGGCACTGGCACTGGCACGGGTGTTTAGGAGGCTACTACTACTGCTAGTAATGTCTCGACTCTCGACTCTCCAGTCACTCCAGAAGATGAGATGCAATCATTTCTTGAGCTACCCGACGCAATGCGTCGCCATCAAATAGCTCAAGAAAAGATTGCATCTCATCTTCTGGAGTGACTACTGTTTTCTCAACCGACTGATGGATTGACTGCCAAATGCATCAAGTTGCGTCATTTTGAGTGTCCATGTTGCTCGTATACTCGGCATGGCTTCGACTATGACCCATGGGAAAAAAAGGGGGAGGAGATGCAGCCAGCCAAATGATCAACCCCTGACTGATAAGGCGAAATAAACCCAATCATTCTGTTTCACTTTACGTCTTCACCATTGGCAATCGGCGCCAGCTTTCTCTTCTAGATCGAGAGAGGTGTATTGATTTCCAGGGTTGACTTACCCGGTTTGCTTTTCAATACCTCCACATAATTGATTTACACAAATGTTAAGAGTTGTTTCCTAGTATATATCACTCATACCTATGATCGTCGACAGTGGTCTCAGTCAGCAGTGTCTGCGTTGACTTGCTCACAAGCGTGTGTCTGCACTGGGTGTGAGCAAACCGGCAGTCACTCGTCTTCGACATCGCGCATCACGCATCTCCCGTTTCAGTAGTTATAGACGTCTTGTAGGGTCGGCTGCTGACACCCAGTCCGCGTCAAGACGAGGTCTGGCTGTAGCTGTACCATGCCCCAGACAAGAGAAACATCGTCTTCGATAGACGTCAAAAAGAGATGGCGAGGCGCGTACGCCAAATATCAATCGAGAGCTGTGCAGATCTGGAGCTCTTTGGGTTGAGAACGGACAGCTGTAAATCCCAGCAGAATTGGCTTATGGCCCAGGGCAGTGCTCTAAGGACGTTGGGTGGACTGCTTGATCCTGTCAACCAGGCTCTTTTGGGGAGCCGTGACTTATGACTTGTTGCAACTGCTTACCGACAGAACAGAGGATGTCACCGCTGGTGTTGTTGAGATGTTGAGGCGCAGAAGTTAGTATATTCGACCTCGGCATGAAAGCAGGTGTTCAATTGTCGTCATGGACTCTCGGGCCCCCAGATCTCTAAGGCGGCATAAAATGCCTGCTGATAAAGATCTAACACGGCTTTTGCGCCTTTGAAACCTCACCTGATTTGGGTATGTTCCAATCCTTGCTGTGGCCTGAGAAGACTTTGTCTCCGCTTCAGAGGGGAAAGAGTCAAGACGCAAAGATCCCACCTGGTAAAAGGGACGTCTTCAACGTCATCAGGCAACAGCTGAACTGAAATTGGGGAATGGGATTTACCTGGTCTGGTACCGGTCGACCATAAGGCGAAGGGCCCTTGCTGTGCCCGGCTGAGGTTCTCTGTCCGTCACGCGCTACAGAAACTGAAATCGGGAAATGGGTACGGTGTACAAACATGACACGTCAGCGTCTGTCGGAGTAGCGATATGCCAGAGCGATGCCATAGCCCTGAACAACACCGGTCACAAAACTGCCGATACTTGAGCCAAGGTCAATGCGACCTTGCCATTTTTATGATGACAGATATGTGCATTCCCCGGGACTTTTGAAAGAAAGGGCCGTCGTGGTATTTCCCATTGCGACCAGGTAATGAACATGTCACACCAAATTAGATGTGCGGTATGTTTCAGGCATATGGGTAAATCTCGTCAAGCTTGATTCGCCTCGCGTGAAGGAGGCAATTCCGAGGTGTCACACAATCGGTGATGTCGGTAACAACATTGAGGGCCAAAGGCGTCCAGGCAAGTCCGGAACAGGTAAGGGTCGAGCAGGAGAGACTGCTATTTCTAGTAAGTCGTTGCAAATAGTGGGAGGACAGACTTCGTGGCCGTCCTCTTCGTCTGGAAAGGCAGATCACAAGACGCAAGACGGTGCCTGCCAGCGACGACATCAGATCAGTCAGCCGACGCAACGTCATTTCCTGCCGGTCGCGGTCAGCGTGCCATTGTTAGAGGCACGAGATACCGTGGAAGGCGTCATTTTAGTCCAGGGCGTGCAAGATTTTCCCGCCGAGACGTAGCAAGCTGGACTTCCATCCTTCGAGTCAAGGATTCGAGAACTTCTGACTGTACGACTCGGTATCAAGGCGTACTTCTCTTCCTGTGCTGCGTTGATTGCAGTTACCGCCTTCTGTTTCTTCAACATTAGAAGCGGCTGGTGCTCCTTGTTTCATGGGTATTTGGAAAGTCGCGCCTGAAGCATGGCTCCTTTGCAACTTGAGACAGCCTTCGAACCAGGGTAGGCCTGGAAGAAGGTCGGTATAGTTCGCTCGACAGGCCTTTGGCGAGATTGCCAATCGAGTTCGTCGCCAATTGCGTGGTTGAGCGACATGTAGGTTCGGCGTTCAAAAGGCCTTGATGAACAGATTCGTACGACTGAGACATGGTGCTTGTGAGCACGACGTCTAGAATGTTCAAAGATGAAAGCTGTGAAACGTCCCTGCTGCCATCCACGGATCTTGATACGCTAGGAGAATGTTAGCTGTGTCAACGGCACGATGACGGGTCCGAACAACATCTGAGGCGTCGCACAAAGCCACCTGGGTGTCCAGCCGGGACAACTTCCGCCAGCCTCCGTTGTTACATGAGATCCGCTGAAGAAGTTGACTCGTATGCTCTCAACGGTCAAAGCCGTGCAAAGGGGAATGGCATATATCCCCAATTGGCGAGACAACCGATGCCATGCGCGAGTACCCAACGGATAGCCATAACAGATAGCCCCTAGCTGACGCAGTGGTGTTGCCTCAGTTCCGACATCACCCCTGATAACCAGCGCCAACATTCTCTTTGTGGCAACGCCAAATGGGTAGTGCAGCCACATCGACACCGTGTAGTCAAAACCTCCATCGACAAGTATTTGGATAACAGTGAATTGTAGACTGGACTGCGCTTGTCCGTGTGCCCTGGATAGGCGAGAAAGTTCCTAGCAAGTACGAGTCTCTATGAGCCAATTCGCTGAACACTTCCAAAGTGCAGCTCTAGGTAGGTCTGCTCTGCACGATCAAGTCCTCGACCTCTGCCCTCCACTATTGTGGCCACAGATCGTGCTATGGTCTTTGCTGCTGCCAACCTTGTTGCTTGAGGCATTGGGTTCTTTGGTGTTTGAAGAGCAGATTGTGCAAGGCTTCACGAAGCCCCCGGCACCGTTGCAGTCACGGCATTTCTTTCCACCGCTGGACTGGGGTTAGCTTGTGTACAGAACATCTCCTTTGCCTGGCGCATTGGGCAGAGGCATAAGAGATGTACCTACCGGGGAGCGTGTCCAGCGCACCCACGACAAGTCTTCCATGTTTTCCCGTGCGAGCACATGGCGGAGTATGGCAGTAAAGTACCTTCCTTAAGCGTTCTTCGAGACTGGATGTGGGTTCGGGTCGGTCTTCTTGGAAGCGCAAGGTTGCTGTGGTAATTCGCGTTTTCGAGAGCGGTCGGTTGAGATGAAGATTCAAGTCGCGAGAATGGGGACTTGCATTTATAGCCCACGTTCGCCATGCATATGACAGATGTCTAATGGCGAAAACCATGAACAACGTATGTGGTAAGGACAAATCAAATTTGCCAGACTTTTGTGCACCGCTGCAATCAATTTGATCCAACACACAGTCCGTCGTCGTGATTGTGGCTGTTCGTGTTTGGTCAGAGACGCAAGTAAATGACTTTGAGTGCCACACCATGATCCTGTCACGAAAATCGTTGCGCACTGCAGCGGGGTGCCCGATCGGATGTATGAAGAAGGAGCCGGGGTGACTTTGATTGACGAGAACTGTAGTAAGGGATGTATGTTTGACGCGGATGACGTGCAGGATCCAGGGACAGTGAGCAGCAGGATAATTGATCCCTGACGGCCGTTTATGGTGGCGCTGAATGTGTCAAATAGTCAGGTTTGGTCTGGATTCGAGCGTAGATGCTGACATGCCCACGTGTCTTCAGTACGAACAAGGCGAAAGGCATCTGGACCAGTACCATGGCCCTCGAATGCAGAAATAGTCATGCAGCAGTCGCGGTAGCGTGTGTCTGTTGTTGGAAAGAATCCAGCTGCAGACGGCATTCATAGTTGCGAAAAGCCGATAGAAACACACTTCCCATGATATCCGAGAGTGTCACAGAGACCAATCCTTAGTATAGGAGTTTTGGGACCAGAATGGTCTAGTAGCGTAGAGAGTAGGGGCAGTCTTTGTGTAGCAATGGAGCGAAATAAATTGATGCGCTGAAAGCTGGAGCGCCGTCCAAGACAGAAAGGAATCTCAGCATAACGTCTCTGCCGACCGGTCTTTCGGTTCCACAGGCAGACTGCTGCATATGTGCAAGCTGACAATATCAGAAAGCTCAATACAACGGGCGGCATCTCCGCAGGTGTGCGAGAAGTATTAGAGATTATGCTCCAACGACGAATCGGCAGCGGGTAGTAAGATGACATGGGTCGTATCAGGCAGTCGTTCACTCGCGGGGAGCTGGCCTCTGGCTAAAACCAGCCTTTGGCCACTGTGAACGAACTGAAGACCGAAGACCGCTGCAGGTTTGTTTTGGTGAGACAGATACATGCTGGTTAAGGGTGATGGGGCCAGATAGTTAGAAACCAGCATTGCAACCCGTACAACAGTGCATTTGCAGTCTGTCAGCTGTTGTCGTAGATTCAGCGATGTTCTCCTGGAAATAGTCCGACTTTGCAAGCGTGGAGCGAAAGATGACAGGTCAAAACAAGTCGGCGTAAGTCTAGACCGGTTGATCAACCATGGCCTCAATTTAGCCGCCTTAGAACGAGGAGCCCCTCCAAGGAAAGGGCACCAGGCCCCACGTATGGGGTAGAAAGATCCCGCGCCGTTAAAAGGGGTTCGTGCCATGATCATGGAGTTGTCTAAGTTCGACCAAAGGAATACCAAACAGCCGTGTTACTCGTAAGCAGGGGTGCAGGACTACCCACATGGCCACAGTCGAGGCAGTCCGCCCATGGCTTGATCAGTGTTCGGCTTGATCAGTGTTCATGACGTGAGATCATATGGTCTCTCGAGACAATCCAAGAGCCTGCTTGAGATAAGGCAAGATCCTAAAATGCCGAGAAAGGTGGCTGTTATACTGTCAGACTGTCAGATATTGGCATTGGATGAGGAGAGCGGACTCCGATCCTCCGATCTTTGCACTGCGTCTACCAGAGTCAGCCATGGCAGACCAGAATATGCTCTCATTTGGAATATTGAGATCCAAGACAGGTGCCACAGAGGTACCGGGGGATAGCGGAAGGCACGTCGTTGAGGGGACTAGATGTAGCTGGCCTCGAGTGTCTCCTGAACTGGAATAGACACAGGCGAGCAGAGACGGGGAGGAAAGTGAAGGACGTGTCTAAGGCAGGGCCTCGAGACTACCAGCTTCAGCGGGTCTCGACCAACCGGGTTTCTGGCAAGCATCGATAGGAGCTGGAGGGCGGGGAGAGAATAGACACGTCGTTTATCGCGGTGGCCCAGTGCAAGTGACCTGAGTCAAGATGAAGGATTCAAGGAGATGATGTCGCAGGCTGCTGCTCTGTATAGACAGACAGACTACGTTTAGCGAGTGCCGTAAAAGCAGCGGATACAGAAAGCGGCAGGCAGGTGAGCCGAGAACGCAGCTGAAAGCACGTGATGAGATGTCTGCACGTGATGTGGCTTTTCTTCAACCGAGGCATTGATATTGGGGGCGCCGCGGTTGCATGTCGCGGTCGATGAATAGATGTATGATATTCCCTGTGTGGGTAGATGTCAGCATCCCTGTTCTTGTCGAGTTCTCTGTAGTGGTACCTCCCATGCCTAGCTGAACGAGAAACCATTTCTCCATTTGCCCAGAAGTCTCCTTCCACACCATCCTTCCCCAGGTCAGCAATATGGCCTCCAGGAGATTCGCGGGGTATCAGTTCTTCAACTTGACAGTCCCGAGTCAGCATGTGATCCATGTCGAGATCAATCGGCCGCAGAAACTGAATGCCTTCTACGGGCCTATGTGGTTCGAGTTGAAGGATATCTTTGCGAAACTATCAGTCGATTCTGAAATCCGATGTATCATCCTCTCAGGGGCCGGGGATCGAGCATTTACAGCAGGTTAGTCACTGAAAAGTAGATGGCAAACAAGCATTGAGCAGGACTGAGATGTTGTTGTGTTGCAGGACTCGATGTTGAAGACGCCGCGAAGCCGGACAACACCATTTCGGCCTCAGGATTTGCGGACCCCTCGCGCAAAGCCACTGTTCTGCGGAGGCATATTGTCGAGCTACAAGAAGCCATCTCAACCGTAGCCCGCTGTGAAAAGCCGGTGGTCGCGTTGATGCATGGCTATGCGTATGGACTGGGGATCGACCTGTCATCCGCATGCGACATCCGGTTCTGCACAGCTGACACCAAGTTCTGCGTCAAGGAAGTGGACATAGGCTTAGCAGCAGACGTGGGAACGTTGAGCCGGCTTCCCAAGGTGGTGGGCGGAGTGACGAGCTGGGTCAAGGAAGTGTGCCTCTCTGCAAGACCCTTCTCGGCGCAGGAAGCGCAGCACAACAACTTTGTCAGCCGGGTGGTCGCCGGCGGCAAGGCTGAATTGATGCAGGAGGGATTGGATTTTGCGAACTATCTGGCCAGCAAAAGTCCTGTGGCGGTGCAAGGAACGAAGAACATTCTTGACGCCGCCTGGGGCAGGACGGTAGAAGACAACCTCAACTATACGGCAGTCTGGAACCAGGCCATGCTGCAAAGCACAGATGTTCAACGAGCAATCCTGAGTGGCCTGCAAAAGAAGTCGCCAACGTTTGAGAAGCTATGACAATGGAACTGGTACTTGCTGGGGCAAGATCGGTGGGCGGCAATTGTCACCATACAGGCACGAATCCATGATGAATAGACAGCTGTCCGATCGGGGACATTTGGTTACCATTCAGCTGAGATTGATGACTCGGCGCCCTAATTGGACCAAAGAATATAACAAGGCTCTGAAAGGGTTGGAAGCTGACTCGGCACAAGCATCGCATTGGATAGAAATCAAGCTGTCAGCAAGCCTGTGGCACATGACAGCCTCGTTCCTCAGACGACGAGGAGAAATAATGCCCCCATCAAGTAATCATAGATGACAACTTGAAGCACATACCACAGTAGAGAGTACTGTGGGTGATACACATGCCGGCGCTTCCGCAGCCACACATCACATCACGTGATGAGAATCATAAGTTGATAGCAGTTGCCGGGCAGAATAACGATGACGTCTCATAACAACTTGTATTGTAGGAGTTGGAGCTGCATTATTGTGGAGGACGAACAAGCACCCGACACTCTCAGCCAACTGTCTACTACTACCACAGTAACTGACAATAATATGTACCTGGTATTATGATTGCTAGCACTGAGAGCCAAAAGTTGGAATGACTCTGTAGTTCGCCACAATCATGACACCATTACTGTCACTACTAGTATTTTATTGATCGAGGTCCCATGCGTCCACCTGGTAGCTAGCTACCTTAGCTAGCAATCGAGCTGTCTTCTTTTCCGAGATTGCCGCATCGTTCGTTGAACGCTAGTGAGAGAAAAAAGAGAAGAGTATGAGAAAAAATCATGATATAATGCGACTAGTAGTAGAACCACGGGTACCACAAGTAGTAGTAGTAGTACGATGATGCCGATGCCTTGTGTGCGAAAGGGTCAAGCGGTGACGTCGTCGGTAGGGCTCCCCATCCCTAAGTGGTCACCCACTGCCACTGGTTGTCCAGCTGCCCCGGAAGCTGATCGATGGGCTAATTGGGCACCGCGTCACTGCCCCGAGCTCTGTTATTGCAGGCCCCAGGCCCCTACAGCCTACAGCGCCCAATTCTCTCAACACTGCACCCGCAAAAAAGAACCTGGAAGCTTTGCATGGACAAAACCAATATCGTCATTCCGTCTCCTTCTTCTTTCCGCCAGTGCGTGACAACTAGTACTAGTAGTCCATACCTACCTGCCTAGTTACTACGACTACTAGTTGTTCTTCTTCCTCCACCATCACACAATACTTGCTTCAGTTGCTACACATCAATTCTCTCATCCTCACAGTCCTATACTGCGATTGTCTCATACGCATCAGCCTGTTGAATAGTGCCATTCTCAGTGCATACAATCTCAATCCAGACGACCGTCTATCTGAGCAGGCAACATGGTTTCGCGAGCAGTGAACCTCATTCTCCGAGGGTTGGAGGTAAATCTCTCAACCGCTGTTCAATTCAATTCTGCTTGAGCTGCGACAAGCTTCGGATGCTGACACGAAATGCTTCTCACAGTTCCTCTTCACCCTCATCGTGATGTCCCTGGTCGGGAACATCATCGCCATGGCCTTCGCCGGCAATCCCTCGATTATCAACTACGATATGTTCGTGGCCGCCTTCGGCATGCTCTCGCTGTTCTACCTGATCGCCATCGCCTTCAATGACGGCTTCACCGGCCACCCGATCATCCCCGTGGTCCTGGACGCCCTCAACGTCATTTTCTTCTTCTGCGCCGCCGTCGCTATGGCCGCCGAGCTGGGTGCTCATTCTTGTGACAACCAGGTATGTCACCAGCCCCGATGCTGCTTCTGGAGGAAAGATGCTGACGAACCTGTCTTTTGCCAAAACAGGCCTACCTCGCTCGCAACAAGATCACCAACGGTTCCGACCACGACAGGTCAGGACGATGCCGGGAAGCTCAGGCCTCGACCGCCTTTTTGTGGTTCGCGTGGGCTTGCTGGACCGCCAGCTTGGTCTTCTCGGTGCTGGATGCCCGCAGCGGTGGGGTGAACCTGAGGACCTCGGGCCGAAGAGGTGCGCCCGCCATGTCTCAGGTGTAAAAAGTGAGCAGAGAGCTGGAAAATGAATGGACCACAAACCCCAGGATTTTCTTCTCGGATATCTGCATCACGTATGCTACGAGACTGTCCCTCCCTTTCTGGATCGAACCAACGCTGACTGTTGTCGCAAAGTCTAACCTACTCTCTCTCTCTCTCCTCCCGTCTCTCGACTGTCTCGACTGTGGCCACCATGACGGGAAAGGATTTGACGCGTTTCTTTACCAGCTAAGCTGGCTTAATATCTGGACTGATACCTGGCGTTTTGAAATCGCCTGTCGATTTTTGTTTGTCTGGGTTCGTCAATCAACCCCGGAGTCTGCGTGTCTCTGTGATATCATTGGATGGTCCAACGTACCAATTGCGTTGATTACACGAAAAGAAACAGAAAAAGCCCCGCTAGGAAATCCAATGTGTGCTATGAAGTGGAAGGTGTGCTTGCTGGGAGCTCCGGGTTGGACCAGTTTTAATGTCTATGATATGATGCATGGATCACCCCTTATCTGGTCACTGTTTTACGTGCTGCATGATTTGTTGCTGCATTAAGAAGTTCTGTGATAGTCCCGAGAGAGAAATAATGGATAGCCATTGGCATAATCTACATTTTCCCATGGTGGGCTTTGCTGCAAACCGATCCTGGTCCAGTGCCTGCACCGTCGGTGGACAGGAGAGCACCAGCAGACCAGCGACTGACGGCTGTCAAGAGCCAATTAAGCGCTACGTAGCCAAACAACGCATACATCCCAGCAATTTCATCAAGCCGGCCCGGCTCGAATCGCTGTGTGAGCGCTGCAAGCTTAGAAATGGATGGCATGGCTGTATGTGGCCATGGCAGCTTCTTTGAAAGCCTCCGCCAACGTCGGGTGAGCATGACACGTCCGCGCCACATCCTCAGTCGATGCACCATACTCGAGCGCCAGCGTACCTTCGGCGATCATCTCGCCGGCGTTGGCGCCGATGATGTGGATGCCCAGGATACGATCCGTCTCCGCGTCGGCCAGGAACTTGACCAGCCCTTCCGTCTCCAGGTTGGTCTTGGCCCGCGAGTTGGCCGTGAAGGGGAATGTGCCGACTTTGTAGTTGACGCCGGCGGATTTCAGCTCGGCCTCGTTCTGTCCGACCCACGCAACCTCGGGATGCGTGTACATGACAGACGGGATGGCTCCGTAGTTGACGTGGCCGTAGCCTTTCGTGATATACTCGACAGCAGCAACGCCTTCTTCTTCCGCCTTGTGTGCCAGCATGGGGCCGAATGTCACATCGCCAATGACGCGGATGTGGGGGATCTTGGTTCGGTATTCCTGGTCGATGACCAAGCGCTTGCGTTCGTCGAGCTCAAGGCCAATGTTTTCGATGCCTAGACCTTCGGTGTAGGGGCGACGGCCAATGGCGACAAGAACAACGTCCGCGTCAATGGTTTCGTTCTTGCCACCTTTGGCCGCTTCCAGGTCGAGCTTCACGCCGTCTCCGCTGGCGTCGCCCTTCAAAACCTTGGTGTTGGTCTTGAACTTGATGCCCTGTTTGGCGAGAATCTTCTGTGCCTGTTTGGCAATCTCGGCGTCCATGCCCGGTCCACCAACCGCTCCCAGAAATTCAACCACAGTGACTTGTGAGCCCAGTCGAGACCACACCGATGCCTATTTTGACTGTTAGAAACTTGCGGCTTTGTCGGGGCTATGCGTCTGGACTTCTGCTTACCATTTCAAGTCCGATAATACCACCTCCGATGACGACCATCTTCTTGGGTACTTCCGGCAGAGCAATTGCGCCGGTGCTTGTAACAACCTTCTTCTCGTCGATCTCCAGACCTGGAAACGGCGTCGACTCGCTACCGGTCGCAATGATGATGTTCTTGCCCTTGATTTCCGTCTCGCCTCCGTCAATCAGGTTGACCTTGATTGTGTGTTCATCCTTGAAGGACCCGGTTCCCTTGACGTAGTCCACATTGTTCTTCTTGAACAAGAACTCGACACCTTTTGTCAGCGAAGACACGGATTCATCCTTGGCCTTCATCATCTGGGTCAGGTTGAGTTTGACATCATTGACATCAATACCTCGTTTTTTCGTGTCGTGTAGGATTTGGTGGTAGAGATGTGAGTTGTTCAGCAGGGATTTTGAAGGTATGCAGCCGACGTTCAAACAAGTGCCTCCCAAGGCACCTCTCTTTTCGATACAGGCCACCTTCACGCGAGTCAGCAGTGGTCACGGAGCACGACGGAGTTGGCCTTCTTCTTCTACCTTTAAGCCCGCTTGTCCGGCCTTGATTGCGCCCACGTAGCCGGCCACACCACCTCCAATGAAGACAATATCATAATCTGAAGCTTCTGAGGCATAACCTCTCCTTCTTTGCTGGTTCGGGGAAACTATCTGGAAGCTTGGAGCTGTTCGCAGGTTCGCAGGACCTAGCTGCGGAGCTTTTGATGAGAGAAGCGATCGGCTCCCTCGGGGAACCAATGTCTTCAGCATGGTAGAGGAAAGTACAGAGGCACGAAGAGGTGGAGAACAAAGAAGGGAGCGACAAGGGGTCGCAAGAGTGGTATAACCGCCAAAGGAGACTTGGGAGGAGGCGAAAATACTGCGAAATGTGAGTGAATTACTTGAGACGTTCGTCAGATGGCAATTCGAGTTCGCAGTTGAAGCTCAAGTCCAACCCAAAACGGGCGGGCCGCCCAAAAGAGTTTAGTGTGGTTTCGGGTGGAAACTGCGACGGCGGCGGAAAGTCGAAGCCTTGCGCAGCCGCGAATATCCTGCGCTTTTCCAGAGGTCACGTGAAATGCTCCCAGGTTCCAGCTTCCTGCTTCCCTTCAACCCTGACGTCCTTTGATCATTATTACCGTCCATAGGCCTTCTTTTTGACTCTGTACATTGTATCCACCGCAATCCCATCTGTTGTCCAACATTTGGACTCTTCCGATCGGATACGGTTGGGACCAGCGTCCCCTCGAGAAGTCCCGCCTCCCACCATTTAGTCCCGATCCGAACGCGTCCGATACCAACAACCTCTGCAGCCAATAAGAGAAGGTGTAATATAGGCAGTAAAAAAGGAGTTTGAGCCGTACTATTGCACGATCGATGTCGATGCCTGACTGTACCATTCTTTCGCGCAATACCGGATTGTCTTCCAGTCCGAATCAATTCCATGCTTCGACCTAATGTAGGGTGTGACTCCTTGTGGACACTTGTCCATGCCAGCAGGGTCCGCATTCGACGTCGGCCAACGGCCTCCGAGAACAATGTAGGGCTGTCTTCAAGCATGGAGGAGCAGTTGCAACTGCTCTCAACTGCTGCTGCACAATGCGAAGCGGATTGAGGAGCATCAACTGTTAAAAGTAAGCTCTGAGGTTTTGAACAATACCGGGCACAAGCAACCATACTCGCAGCTCTGCTTGTCAATGTGAAAGGGGCGTTCTGTTTGTGCTGCTTGTCATAGCCCTTGGGGCCCCAGAAGGGTATGCGAGAAGGCCATGCGTCCATTCAGGGCCCGATGCTCGCTTTTCCATTGGTCGAAATCGGCAAAGAGCGCCGCCATATTCAAACCGAGTGGTATACTGAGGTGCGGCGTGCTTTTAGTGTTTGCCGAGGACGACAGCCCTTGTATATATCAAGATGAGATCTCGCAAGCTGGACGTCTCCCTGCTCCAACGAAGCCATACTGAGCTTCCTGCACTGACATGGCTGTTGCTGCCGCATATTCTGGCTGGGGTGTCAGGGAAACAGGACTCATGATATCTCGTCCTGATGCTCGGAGCTTGGGACAATTGATGAGACAACGGGCCATGTACGATGAGGGCTATACAATCAAAGATGCCTTGGACAACCTCCCTTGGTTGGTGAAGGGATATCAGCTTGTTGTCACCTTCTGTGGCTGCTTCGGGGTGGTAAGTACTGACAAGCAACTTCAAACAATGAATCGTGTGTGTTTAGCATCAGCATACACATGACCAGTATTCACAGAATCTGCGATGGCAACGGTGCCAGCCCTGTGAGGCTTCACTTTTATGCCACACCCTCTTGTGTTGGGACAACAACAACGCCAAATGATACTTCACCTGCGCACTTCCGCATCAGACACTACATCTCAGTCAACGTGTTTGCCGCACAATCCACCAACCGATCTGAAAACCCTTCCCTTCAGATACGAGCATTCGCCATCCTCTTCAAAGCGTTCGTTGCAAGCTTGACGCGATCCATCCTACTTGCCTCTTCTCTTCTCGCGACAATTCTGTCCATCTCAATTTCTTCCAGCCTTGTCCGCCTATTCGTCAACATGGCATCGTCTACAGCCACGCCTTTCCGCTTACGATATGTTGATCGCGTCCTCAACTTCCAATATGAAACCATGGTCGCTCCAAATCCAAAGTTTCTCTACTTCTTGGGTGTCTTGACCGATCTCTCCATCCGCGCAGCGCAGACTACCACCAGTTTTCCCTTTGACACGCAAGGTCTCAATCTCTCCGACGGACCATGGCAATACCGCATTACCAGAAGTGCGACACAGAAGACCGCGTGGCGCATTCTCAGAACCCATGCCGACTTTGAGGGCATGCTTATAGTATTGGCTGATGCGCATGCTACTGACTGTCTCGAGGTCCAACATGTAAGCAATCCACCAGACAATCCATCCATCACATCCTGTGATATCCATAACAAGTCTCTACAACCGATACCATATAGACTGTGGCTAATTCTATCTTCTCCTTTCTGTTCAAATATAGTCGTCTCGCCGAGTGAACACCCCTCCCAGAGCTGCGAAGAAGAAACAGAAGAAGATGACACCTGCTCCGGCAATGCCGCCAGCAATGTCGCCAGCAATGCCGGCAGAAACGCCACCAGAAGCGCCGTCCCAGTTCGCCATCTGGGAACAATACCGATGGCCACCGGTCATCGTGGACAGCGGCATCATCCACGAGGCTCTGCGAGAGGAACGGCTGGAGGGGATCTACTTCGGCAAAGCTCCTAAGGTGGAGCCGATGGATTTGGACCGGCCTAGAGAGTAAAGAGGGAAGATTGAAGGCCAGCCAAGGTCGACAGAGCCATTGGGGCCAAACTAGCATAGCAGAGCATTGAGCTGGAGTCATCGAAGAGATTTGTACAATTGCCCTTGTCTTATTTCCAAGAATCACATTAATTTTGCTTTTAAGTGTGCGTGTTTCTGATTTGTGTTCCGGAACACCTCCCCGTCCATTGCCCTGTGCCTGGCATGTCTGAAGTAGTAGTTCTCCATCGTCAAAAGAGCCGCTCGTCTTTTCGACTGCGGCAGACCAAGGGGCACATCATACGATCTCTGCGTTGGATACCGCAAACACGCCTTGTATAATTATATCCTACCACAAAATTCTACCCCTGTCGCCCACCGTGCCATTCCTCATCATTCAGCCATCAACTAGGAAGTACTCCTTCCACAGCAATGGAAAGCTTGATATAGAGAGAAGATACCGTTAGTATTGAGGCGATTGACCATCATGCCCCTTTAGAATCCACCCGTCTCCCAAGAGACAGAGACACCCACACTGTATTGGAAGCCTTCCCAGCATCGAGATGTACTGAAAAGGGGGGACGCAGCACGCTCAGGCATGGTGATATACTACTGGGTATACTACAACTACAGTATCATGATTCCTGCCAACCCATTTCTTGCTCGGAACATCATCCTCGATCCCGTTCCTTATTCCAATATCGATTCATGAAGCATTCCTTCATTCCCAAGGCATGGGCGCCGGACAGATATCAGTTCCGTTCTCCCCACCCTTCCAAGCCAACATCTTCTCTATCTGCACCTTAAGCTCGGCAGACAACTGAGTCTGACCTAGGACTTCCCGTCGAAACCGTTCTTCCTGCCACCCCCTCGTCTTCCGCTTTCCCGCCAACAGCGCTCCTGCTCCATATAGATCCTTTTCCCAGGCGCCGTATCCTCTGAGCCGGTCGCCTGTTTCGATCTCGGCCATTTTGACATCATCGAATGGTGGATTGATGCCGATGAAATGAGTCCGAGTCTGAGTCCGAGTCTGAGTCTCAGTCTCTTTGTCGCTGGGCCAATGGATGGCGGGGAGATGGAGGTTGAGGAATCGAGATCGTTTGAAGTCGTGTGATACGATGGTTAGCTTTGTAGGAAAGAATGGCGTGGTGGTTGCAGAGATGTTTGTGTTCGACTTCAATTCCGAGACCAAGGAAGCTGAGGCTGAAGCTGAAGCTGTAGATGAAGATACTGACGAAGCGGAAGCGGAAGGTGTCTCTGGTTTCACAGAAACATTGGGTTTCGACCCAGACCCCAGGTTCCTATGACTTGCTTCCCTTTCGAGTAGCTCACGCACGAAGTGAGGGAACTGGATGATCGAACACAAGATGTTCTGATATGAATCTGTCGCGAAACGGTCGACGAACATGCGACGCCGGAGTGTGGGCGGTGAAGTCTCCAGGCCGAAGAAATTGCGCTCGATGGCGACGTCCTGGGTTGAGTGGAGAGGTCAGTTCAACCGTGGCTCGGGTATGGAAAAAGGACAGTGACAATGACAATGTCGACCAAGTTGTAACCACTGCACCTCATGTCGTGCGAATGGTGAATGGGATGCGCTTCCTCCAACTGTGCGATTGAGAGATATTTCTAGACGTAAGAGCATGAAAGCAAACCTGGAATCGAAATCGAAATCGAAATCCAAACAAATACCGAGCTCACCCTCCAATCCCAGGAACAGAGTATTACTCGCGTAACCTGAACCCAAGAACATTCTGCTCTCAATGCCAAAGAAGAATGTATAAAACAAATATCTCAGTCCCGCTGAAAGACACATAGACAGACATAGCCTCAACCATGCCATTCTGATCCTCGAACCGGCTGGCCGGACACTCAGTCGGTCAGTCAATCAGTCGAACATTACCCTTAAGATCTGAACACTGAGAAATTTCCTAGGACATGAAATCTCTTTCTCGGCTCAACTCGACTCACCATTTCAATTTTCAATTTTCGCCAGCACAACAATATAGAAACTCCTCATGGCCAATCTTACCCTGACAAAAGGTAACATCTTCACAACCCTGACAAAAGCAACATCTTCACAACCACGACGAAGGAAAGAAGCAGAAAACCCCAAGCATGGGTCTGGGCCTGGGTCTGTACAAGCACAGAATCCTTCTCAACTTACCAAATAGCCCTCTCCCTCACTTTTCCCCGTCTTATCCAATTTTGTCGCTCCTCCACTGAACACCAACAGCGCATCCTCGCCCTTCGCCACCGCCGTCGCCAACTCGCGCACTCCAGCTTCATTATGCGCAATATACGTCCCCGTCTCACCCTTCTGGAAGGGTTCGATCAACCAGTTTGCCTCGTTGTCGGAGGCGAAAGATGGAGTGGAAGAAGAAGACGACCCAAGGCCGGTTTCAAGTTCAGGTCCAGTTGTAGATCCAGGTCCAGTTCCAGGTCCAGCAGGAGGACCAAGGTATATCGCGTGGCAGCACACCACAATCAGATGCAGAGTAGGGGTATCAGATGCAATGGTCATCGCCATGGTGATATGGATATGGATATTGATGTTGACAATGACAATGGAATAACAGTCCCCGGAATCACATCAATCGCTGTGTCAACCCAGCGATGACGCCAAAAACTCCGGAGCCCTGTTCAATTCAATCCGGCTCGTCGAGTCGTCGACTGGACTTGATCGTTTGCGTACCGCTCCCCTGTCACGAAGTGGGAGTGGACCAAAAGTGGCCTGGCTTAATTGACGAACTGGGAGTGTAACGCGAGAAAAGGAAAGGTATCGGTGACTATAGTATGGTGTAATACAACCCAGAGATGCGAGATGAGATGCGGTATAGATTCTAGATACCTAGACAGCCATTTGTAACGCGCGAGAATCGAGATCAAGCAAAAAGGGGGTGGGAGTAGTACGGCGCGTCATATTACTTCGAGACGTTGTGAGTCAGGGCTTGGCAAGGCTGCGAATTGGTGAAAGCCCCTGACGATACCTCAGTAAGGTTAGGTAGGTATTCGTGTACTTAGTTACAACTATTCAACTACGAGGGACAGGCACCATAAGATAGACAGGTTACTACGGATCTGAAAGGAGGTCCAGAGCATAGAGTTTTCATTGATCTCGTCAGCTAATCCAGCCGCATTCGCATGGCCTCTCGCCAGCATCGTATTCGAGCTCATCTATTACACATGCGAAAAGCACTCCAGCCTGTTCCCGAGTGCAGTGCCATCACAATGGTGAGGAAGCTCAACCACAACGCCCATTCTCAAGATGCTGTTAGGAGGGAATAGGTCAGTTGACGCCCGACCTTACAACCGTCCGGATGCCCGCTTGCTCCTCTTCCACCCCATGCCGAATCGCTGTGCGCTGCGAAACAAGAACGCAGGAAAACCATTGGGTATCGAGTTCGACCTCCACTACATCGATGAGTCAGTCCTTCCATGACGCCGCGCCGGTGTGAGATGTAATTTACAGTGACAATAATGGTGTTCGCAGCTCTGGGGTACGACGGCCGGTTCTGGTCCGGTGTTTCGAGTGTTTCATGGTTTCAGATGTTCTCATCACCATGTCGGTAGGTGCACATGTCGCCTTTAATGCATTTGCCCTGCTCCCAGAACGTGCACGGTTGGGTTTTATAGTTGTACGGTCTAGCCTGATCGCCGGTCCAGCCAGCCTTCTTTTTCTTGTTTCCTCCCTTTCGGCTACCGTCAGCGTCGTAATCATTCGAGTCGGCGCGGGCATGTTTGCGCGAGGATTCGTCGCCGGACCCGGGATAAGGATTGGGATTAACGCCTGAGCCGAGAGGAATTCCAGCAGGCGGAACCTGTGCGCCCTGTTGCATCGAAGCCAACAGTACGCTGAGGTTTGTAGTCGGAGCGGGCGTTTGAGCCGAACTCTGATACTGAGGCTGCGGGGTTGCACTTTGAAGATTCTGGCTGACCTGTTGGACAGTCTGGAGGAGAGCTTGCAGATTGACTGCCGCACTGGGCGCAGCTTGCGGAGGAGGAGTCGCTTGGTTTGGTTGACCGAACATATTGAGGGCGCGCTGAAGCTCGACCGGTATCACTCCGGGCTGTTGAGAAGTCTGGCCCATGGAGATGGCTTGGATCTGAGCAGCCAGATCTGTTCTCGAAGGCAGAGAAGTCATATTTGGTTGGTTGCGAGCCAGTCGGGCAAGGTAGTCTTTCTCGCGCTGTCGAGTCACCTCGGTTGGCTCACCAAATGGAGTCTCGGGTTCGGCTGGCTCGAATTCGTCCATCGAATCGTCTGGCTCCTTGGGTGTGGTGGGCCGATCGGCTTTAGACGCATAGATCGTCATGACTGTGTCCTGTTCATGCTTATCCTGGGCTCCACTGCTAGGACTTTCGGCTTTCATTGCCCCACCATTCTTGATGGAATTGATGGTGAGCAAATCCCCTTCATCCTTAAGGACACTGAAGTCGACTTCCGACGGCGGGGTATACGGCTCCAACTCCTCGAAAGAATCATCGTCTTCATCTTCTTCAAAGTCGTCCATATCTTTGTGCATCTTTAGTGCTTCTCCTTCCCGTCCAGTGTCGCCAGCATCCCGGATGAGGCTATCGCCATGACCAAGTTCTTCCTCCGGATCATGGGTGAAGAGCCGCGTGTCTACTAATTCTGCATCGGCCTTCCAAGAGACGCGCAGCTTTCGGCGTGCTTCTTTTCGCAGACGTCGGGCCTTCTCTTCCTCCGTTTCAGTCGGTTTCTCCGTTTCCTTCTTGATTTCCTTCTCGGGCTTCTTTTCCATATCCGCCAGAAGGCCCAGAAAGGATGAGGTCGTCTTGGCCGCCGTCACGGCGCCGCCATTGCGGGGTGGCGACTCTTTCCTTCCATTTTCTTTCTTGACGGGCGCAGCAAGATTGGTGGAGGTCGATGCGTCCGTAGGGGCCTTATCTTTGGCGGCGGCGGCGGCGGCGGCTGCTCGCGCGGCAATCGAAGTCCCTGGCTTTTTGGAGGCTGACATCAGAGACGAAAAGACGGCGGATTTTGGAGGAGCAGCCACGGCAATCTTTGATTTCCCTGCCGCAATAGAAGTAGGAGCAGCGGCGGAAGTCGCAGACTTGTCACTTCCTTTGGAAGCCTGTGCAGCGTCCAATGCTTTTCTCCGTTCAGCATTTTGCAAAGCTAGAGGCTTCGATGATTGCGGAATCACTTTCACAATCTTCTTTGGAACCACTTGAGAGCTCGAGTCTGCTTCTCTAGCACGCTTCATGCCCGTGACCGCTTCTTTCCGTGCCGCATCGGCAGCACTACCTGTGGCGGCAGGAGACGCCGGCTTAGCTGATTTATTGTCCGTCGCCTTTGCAGCTTTCTGGGCCGAAGCAGCAACAGCGTTGTCGAGGATGGTTTGAGACATGGTCTTGATATCAGTAGTGGACTTCTTGGTCAACCGCTGCAAGATCTTTGATATCTTCGTCATCTCCAGCATCTCAGTATCAAGAGTCTTGAATTCCATGACAAACTTGGACGTGTTAGTTTCGTGTCTTCGCTTACAGAGCATGTCTGCACTCACCTTCAGAATGGCGCTGACCATGGAGCTGTCGTAGTCTCCGGCATTGAATCTGTCCAGCATGAAGGAGTACAGAGCTGACATTGTAATGGGATTATCACCTAGTCTGTACGTAGTTATCAGCAAGAGTTATTAGGCAGACAGGGCTGCAAGCAGGCCATCTTTGCCCCGTTGGGGGTTCCGGGCAAAAGTCACATAACACAGCGGGTTGTACGCTATCTATGGAAGTATGGCTATGGATATGGGTATCTTGCGTGTTTGACAAATGCCTCGATATCTTCTTTGAGATGGCTGGCAGACGCTTTTCCAGATATAGTCTAGAAGCAGAAGCCGCGGCAAAGTGGTTGGGTTTATCAAAATCACGAGGTGCGCATTGAGGTGTATCACGTTGAGCACAAGCCCAGAGGTTGTCAAGAGAATGAGAGGGAATCGGGGCAATAACATACCTTTTGACGATCGCTGGATGGCCGAACAGCTGTGATCGAGCCATGACACTTTCCATAACCTGACGATACCGGGAGACTTCTTCTTTCAACTGAGTAGCAAAGGAAGCTGTTGGAGAGTCAGGAATCTCGGCCTTTCTCAGACTATCGTTCTTAGCCTTCCATGCATCGCGCAGATTTCGCACTGTCTCGCCAAACGAAGCAATCGCACTCCGGATCTTTTCAGCAGGAGCAGGCTTGTTGCGTGGCGACCAGACCGCCTGCACTGCATCATATAAAGCTTTGCCACGTTCGTCCGTAGGTTTGGTGACAGTAAGCAAGGCTGGAGTCATCTCAGGGGGCTCCTGGTCTTCGATCACTAAGTCCTCATCTGAGTCCGAATCTGTTTCATATCTAGTAACCTGGCCTTCGACTTTAGAGTCTGTAACACCGTCCTTCCGGACGACACTGGCTGACTTCTTCGGCGCATTAGGATCTTTGGGTGCCTTCGCCTTTGACGTCTTCTCAGGCTTTGGTTGAAGGGCAGACCCTGGTTATGTTAGCATAGAGCAATCATTCTTCTAGGAGGTGACGTACCGGGCTGCAGTTGTTGTGGTGTTGCTGATTGCATAGACTGAGGAGACTGTGCACTCTGGAGAGATTGAGGATCGACAGTTGAGCCAGGTTTGAAATAAGAAGGGGCGATGAATGGCTGATGAGTTTGGAAGTTCGAACTGTTGTCTACAAGGGTCAGTAAGGGGCGCCTCCATGAGGATGTAGTTGACTCACTATTGGTGTTAGCCATCTGGTTGGCGGTCAACATCGAAGGATCGATATAGGGATTAGAGGGTTGGAGATTCTGCTCCTGAAAGTTCGGATAGTGCATCATCTCACTACTCTGCGGAGAAGTCAGCGTTAGTTTTCGAACAACGGGGTCGGATATCCATACCTGAACCTGCGACAGCTGTGACGGACGCGGTCCGATGTTAACGTACGGCGAAGGCTGTTGCTGTCTGGGTGGGTAAGTCGGATTGGGAGTGGGACTCTGCCGCGGTGGGATGTTCACATGCTGAGCGTTGTAATTCTGAGGGTTGTAGGGCATCTGCTGCTGATAGGCATATCCACCCTCAAAGCCGACAGGCGAGGGAGAGGGTCGCGGGTAGTATCTCGAGTCATAGTTCTGCTGAGGCATCTGCCGGGAGTCGTAGAGGGGTTGAGAGTATTGATTGAGAGAGTAATTCGGCTGAGGTGGGTTGTATTGAGGCAGGCCAGGGCTATGCGACTGTCTGGCAACATTCGCATTGAAGCTCTGTGGTATGTGCTGTGGTTGTTGAGAGAAGCCAGGCCCGATGGTGGACGCCTCGAACAGAGCAGGGTCGAAGTACTGGCTGTAGTCTTCGCCGCCATTTTGCAGTGTATCAGAGCCTGCATAGGATTGGATGCCGTCAAGGAAGGTATATGACGGATTATTGGCAGATTGCGAGCCATTCATGGGCGGGTTGCTGGACGAATCCATGGCGAGAAGTCGGAATAGATGAACGAGGGCTGTTCTCAGGAGACTTGAACTGTCGAGAGATCACGTGAATCGACCACTATTGTCACGTGGCCGGCTGGAAATAAAACCACGTGACCAGTGGTGGTCCCGTGACGTTGGCTGCAGTCTGAAGACTCGGAGCCGAACTTGAAGGTCGAAGAGCCAGTCAGGTGACACTGGTAGCGGGCGGAACTCGAAGAGTTTTGGCTTATACCCAAGATCGCCACTCACAACACGCGCTTTCTGCAGTGCCGCATCAACCGCCGCACCAAGGCAGCCGATCTGGAACGTGCTGCAGGCTTGTATTGAATTTTTATGTCGTCCGTAAGAAGTAGGTTAGGTTAAGGTGTCGTTCAATGCAATGTGTTGGAACACCGTTGGTGTTGAATGCTCGTTTCCGGCCACCTGGCACACGAATAAGGCTGTAGAACCGATCTCTTCGGTCCCCAGGAGACTTCTCAAAGTCTGAACTGTGCAATGAGACCACCGCCGAACATAGACCATCCACTAGTATTGACCAGCCTGGCAAAGGTACTAAAAGACACCCCTCCACCGTCACTGAGGACTTGAACTTGTATAAGCAGCCGCCGATGAGTTTTTCGGGCGAGCCAGAATATTCAGATGACGAGCAAACGCGCCACAGTCACGCCAGCCTCATGCACCCCAACTCCAGTCCATGCGTGAAGCAAGACGAAAAACCATTCGAGATTGTCACTTATTACAGACCGCCGTCAGATAGTGGCGAGGATGGCAATTACAGAGTGATGAGTGTTGAGTGTTGCGGTGATGGTGATGTTGATGAAGAAGAGAGTGCGAAGTCAGGGAGGAGGATTATTGTTTTGTGATGGAAGAAATGGGACTGAAAGCGACGTTGACTTTGAAGTTCTTCGAGTCGAGGTAGTCTAGCCCGATCAGGAATGGCCTGTGGCTAGTGCCCGTCGAAATGACAGATTAGCCAGACTGCGACATCAGGTACTATTCCTCCCTGGTATCCTTCAGGTTCACATTTCTGGCACCGCTCGCCGTTCACACCATCCCATTTACCTCGCACCGTGTCAACATGTCCTCAGAGTATTCAGACATGAGGTCAAGATGAGAACCTACCAGTCTCCACATCTGTCCGCTTGGTTGAGCGATTACCTGCTGGCAATCACCCTCGCCCACTATGGCTGGCCGGCTTCAGACACTGCGGGATCGCCAGATAGGTGAGTAGTATTCCTCACTGCCTCTGGCACACAGCACGAAGTTCCACGTGACCTGACTACTTCCAGCTGCTATCGACCGAATACTCAGCCTCAATCGTGATGAGCCCTCGAACGCGGACTCGACGAACGGCACTCCAAATAGCGGGCTGCTCAATGAAGATGGAGAGCCTATATGGAAGGTTCTTGTCTTTGACAACCTTGGAAGAGATATCATAAGCAGCGTGTTAAAGGTCAACGATCTACGGAGTAAGGGGGTCACGATACACTTGTCAGTATCTTTCCCTGAATGCGAGCCGCAGTCGTTGCATCTCACCATGCTGACTCTGCTACAGAAACATAAACGCCACACGTTACCCCATTCCAGATGTCCCTGTACTATATCTTGTGGAACCAAATGGCACCAATATCCAACTCATCTGCTCCGATCTCTCGCGGGGACTTTACTCGCCGGCCTACGTCAACTTCATCTCCTCCATACCTCGTCCTCTCCTTGAAGAATTTGCGGCGCAGATTGCTGCAACGAATACGGCCGACTGCATTGCGCAAGTGTATGACCAATATCTGAATTTCATTGTCGCTGAGCCAGATTTGTTTAGCCTGGGGATGGGAAAAGAGTCCTATTGGACATTTAATAGTGCCAAAGCCGAGGCTGAGGTTCAAGATGCTGCAATCGACAGAATCGTCAGCGGACTGTTCAGCGTGAGCGTCACAATGGGCTCGGTACCCATTATACGGTGCCCTCAAACAGAGTTGGCCAAGATGATCGCCACAAAACTGGATCGGAAACTGAGGGATCACGTCCTCAACTCCAAGGAGAATCTGTTCTCGTCAAAAGCCTCCGCCAATGTGTATTCCACCCCTTCTCGGCCAGTACTCATCATCTTGGACCGAAATGTGGACCTGGTCCCAATGCTTTCCCACTCATGGACATATCAATCGCTTGTCCATGATGTTCTGAAGATGCACCTGAATCGCATCACCGTGGATGTCGCGGATGAGGAGAACCCGACCGCCAAACCTCGAGCCTATGACCTGAACGCAGGTGATTTTTTCTGGGCGCGTAACGCTAGCGCGCCCTTCCCTCAAGTCGCAGAAGACATTGATAAAGAGCTGACGAAATACAAGTCGGATGCGGAAGAGGTGACCAGAAAGACGGGAGTCAACAGCATCGAGGACCTGGATGATAGCTCCGCATCAGCAGCTCAACTCAAGGCAGCCATCACATTACTGCCTGAGCTGCGAGAAAGAAAAGCAACATTGGACATGCACATGAACATCGCCACAGCGCTGCTGAAAGGCATCAAGGATCGACAGCTTGACAATTTCTTCCAGCTTGAGGAGAACATCACCAAGCAGACTTCCGACCAGATGCTGGCACTGATCAACTCTGACGACAAAGGGAACAACCCACTGGACAAGCTGCGGATCTTCATCATCTGGTACCTGAGCGTCGACAAAGAGCCATCGAAGGCTGAACTATCAGAATTCGAAACTGCACTCAGGAACGCAGGTGTAGGCGATGCTGTTTCTGCCATTAAACATATTTCCAATGTCCGACTGGAGACGCGAGGGACGATGATGACCTCGACCGTCGCGACGTCGCAGCCAACCCAGGCCCCGCTGTTTGGCGGCCTATCGTCCCTCTCCAAGAACTTCACGGACAGAATCTCCTCGTCGACTTTCGGCAACGTTAACCTTGAAGCCCTGGTATCCGGGGTCAAGAACTTCCTCCCGGCCAACCGAGACCTGACGGTCACGAAAATTGTGGAATCGATCATGGACCCTCCCGCGGCCTCGTCCTCCGCCATTGCAAAGACCGAAAACTACCTCTATTTCGATCCGCGAAGTGCACACGCCAGAGGCACGACGGGGGCAGCGAATCCGACTTCACGAAGCGCCCAATCGGCTGCAGGTGTCAACCCGACCTTCGGCCAACGGCGCCAGGGATATAGCGAAGCCATCGTCTTCACAGTGGGCGGAGGCAGCATGGACGAATACGGTAATCTGCAGGAATGGGTGAAGCGAACGAGTGGGCAAGGCGCGACTGGCGGAGGGGTAGGCTCTATTCCGCGCACGAGGAGAGTCGTCTACGGAAGTACCGAGTTGGTCAATGGGGAGGACTTCTTGCAGGAGTTGGTCACGTTGGGACGGGACGGTTAGACGCAAAAACACCTACACAGCAGTGCCTCTCAGGATGATGGGGAATGACTGTTAGCAGAGCCTCGAGACATGCAAAAATAAAAAGAACAACAGATTGCAGCCCATCGGCACGAGCAGAATCGAACTTCTGCTATAACGCAGACGCAAGAGAATCATCATGTCCTTCGACCAAGCTCGGTCATTTGATCATGCCAGTAGTCATCACTCCAACGTCAAGTTGATGGATGGTCCATGTCCGTCTTCGACTGTAGAGTTGCCTTCGTCACGACTTCAAGCAACCCCATCCCCTTTGCAGACTTCATGAGCAAGGTGGTCACGACATTCCTTTAGAGGCCCGTAGCCCCAGGCCTCCAACGATCGATTGACATTCGACTTGCTCATCTCTTACCACGTCCAAACCTGCCACGTCCTTTCGCCTTTGAGTTCTTGTTTTTGATCTTCAAACTCCGGAAATTCATGTGCGTGTAGGCATTCGGATTGATCGTTCTCATAGACGCTTCATCGTCGTCTTTACCTCCGGCCCCCTTTTTCGATTTCACCTTCGCCTTGGACACCGGCTTCGCAAGCTTGTCGGAGTCGGGTTGAGCCAGTTTTGAGCTAGCCTTTGCTCTCGGTCTTATGGCACCCGACCGTTTCTTTCGCGGCGTGGCAATTTGGTCGTCGCCGGGCAAGAAGTCGTCAATATCTTCTTCGCCTTCCTGCTCTGCTTCCGCAATGAGATAGTCCAGATCAGAGTCTGCGTCAATGTCAGACGCTCCTGCGGGGCCAGAAGCCGAAATCGCTTGGGATTCTTCAACTCGTGAGATGTCATTTCCATTGCTCTTTCCGCTACGGTCATGATCCAGAGCCAGCTCATCGTCATCGAAGCTGTCCTCGCCCTCATCCTCGTCGGCGGCCACAAATTTGGGAGCTTGAGCAAGTTTCAATTTCACAGGTCTCATGATCGCCCGTCTTGTTGTTCTCTTCTGGCCCTTCTTCTTCCACACCCTGACTGGCTCTGTCTTGGATGCGTCATGATCACCAGCTTCGGCGGCGGGTCCCTTTACTTGACTATCGCCGACAAGGACATTAACATCACTGAATTCCATTTCACGTAAAGCGTCGAGATCATCGTCATGGTCGTCTGGATGAGGTGGACCCTGATCCTGCTGCACACTCTGACTCTGGCTCTGACGGTCTGCGATGATTTGACTCAGCGGCTTACGGCCGAACTTGACATGTCGAAGCGTCCGTGGACCAGCCCTGTTCGAAGTCGGGCTGGCAGCCGCTTTCCACGAGGACGAAACCATAGTAGATGCTGTAGAAGCGGACAGCAGTCTCTCCTTGAAGGAGAAAGACCGTTTCAGATACGGGGGCGTAGCATCCGTTGCGGCTGCGGCTCGATCATCCTTTGACGGCGATAGTCCGAGAACGGTGTCTCGCAAAGGAGTCCTGCTGTTTCTTTGCGCGGGTGTTCCCACGTGGGCATCGACATCCTCATAATCCGCGTCGATCATCGTCGCGAACCGGACAGCACTCGGCGTCGCAAAGAAGTGGTTCAGCATGAATCGCTTGCCTTCGCTCACTGGCGTCTTGTAGTATTGTCTCCTTCCCGTATTGACGCGCGTGGAGCGGGGCGTCGTGGACGGCAGACCCCCGTTCTCGTTTTGATCGATCCGCTTACTCCGTCTTAGGCTGGGTGTTTGCGCAAAAGCAGCGTTCGGCTCTTTGTCTGCATCCTGCGCCTCGACGAGCGAGTCTATCTTCCTCTTCCTGCTCGACGGGGTTTCCTGGGAGATGGCGGTCTTGGTCGATCCTGATCTGGAGAGCAGGTCGAATATCCCCAGGACAGTCCCATCTCGTCGCGGTGTCGGCCCGATGGCGCTGAGGATGACTTTCGGCGAAACCGAAGCGGGTGCGTCATACGGGTCGAGCTCGTTAGGGTGTACGCGGGCTTTCGCCGGAGTGGTGCCCGTATATCGTGGTCGACGAGGGGTGAGGCTCACCGCACTGTCTTTCCGACTGTGCTCATGCTTCCGTCGAGGTGGTGGAGGAGCATTCAAAGCTTCAAGACCAAGCTTGCCTGCTAACACATCTCGTAGCTTGTTGTAGTCTTTGTATTTTGCCGCAATGACAACGTCCGCCTTGATGTCGTCCTTACTCGGTTTGCGCCCATCATTCTCGGCTGCGAAAGTCCTCTCGAAGTCTTTGAGGGCGGCTCGGAGCACATCTGCCTGCGATTGTATTGATTTCCGTTTCGGCGTGTCTAACAGTGGGATAGTGTCGCTCATGTCGATATGTGGGAGACTGATGACCATATAACTACGAGGGCAATACCTCCCAGACTTTCGACCTTCAACTACTACTACGTACTACTTTCTGACGCGGGATTGTCACCCGTATATACACGTGCGGCGGTCGCGGAGGGCTCGACGCGTCTCAATTTACGCGTCATTTCATAGAGCAGGTTTCCCGAGGTACTGACTACATCACGTGATTTGAAATTTCCTTCCTCACTCTCAGGTACTTTAGTAGGTAGGTAGGTAGATAGGTATTCAAGTGCACCTAATTAGGAGAAACAGTACAATCTATCGAGACGATCTGCCATGCAAAAGACTGACAAATTCGGTTGTCGAGGCTTCGCTTGTGCAGCGGAGGAGTAAAGAGGGGGAGCAGGCATTTTGCGCGAGTATTCACACTATTGCCTGTTGGACGGTGTCCACAACCGCTGAGAAGCAGTTGTAAAAAGTCGTTGATTGTTGATTTTGCGCTGATGCCTCGTCAAATAAAGGCATTCTATGCTTTTGCATATCCATGCATGCTGGGAATCATCCTTTCTTGCAAACGACAACCCCCTTCAGTGCCCGCACACACCGAGTCGTAACCCACTTGCTGGAAACCGAACCTCATTTATGCGACCAACTCGACAACACCGCCAGCCTCCTTGATCTTCCGCTCAGCCTCTTTGCTGAACCATCTCGCTCTTACGACAATCGGGATCTCTGGGATTCTGCCCTTGCCGAGGACTTTGGAGTAGCCGAGGGGAAGGAGGTCGAGAACGGGTGCGGTGTCGGTCTTCTTGCCGGAAACATAGGCCTCACGGGTCTCTGTTGGCACAAGCGACCAGAGCTGTAGGTTCGTGTCAGTATTCGGTCAGGGTCGGCTTTTCACGGGTGATAAATGCTGACCTTGTCAAGGTTGATGGTCGGCTTCCACTCGTGGTTTCTGAGAAGATGGAAGTGTCGCATACCGACCTTTCCGAAGTAACTGGTGATTGTTAGAATCCTGACAGACTTTCGATAGGCCGAAATGGTAGGAGCAATGGCGCCTCCACAATTTCCGGCTTGCGGTCAAACGTACCCAGGATGGTATTTATCCATGTTTGTTCTGTGGTGATGCTGACCACCGGCAAGACCGCGACCACCTGGATGCTTGCGGTGCTTTCCTACACGACCATGACCGGCGGAAACGTGGCCGCGGCTGAGATGCAAATGTTAGCCCATTTCTTCAATTCCATCACACATGAACCACGACTAGACGGAAACGGTTGGCTATCGATCTCGGTGCCGCGATACACATCATCCATCGAGCAGAATTTGTTGAGAAAATGTGGGCTGAGCTGAGTCTTCAGAAGGTCTTGATTGTCGCCGAAAGATGCGTTCGAGTCGATCGTGATTGCGCAGCCGGTCCCGTCTAGGTGTGATATTTGCTGAGGGTGGAGGAGGCGAGGGTACTCACTGCTTGCGGGTCTTTGTCAGTCTCGTAGGCATTTTGGCGGCGTTGAGACTGAAGTTGTCGTGTCGTGACTGAGGTCTAACTGCGGTTCCGTCGACAATGGATGAAGAGTTGAAAGTGCAGGTTGTGCGCCAAGACCTTGATTGGGCTTAGTGGCAAGAAATCTTGGCAACACTTCGCCAGTCCGGTGGGCCACTGATACAGGATGTGCAAAACACCAAATGGGTAGGTAGCTATTCAAGTTGACAATATTCATAGAATGTATACCTTGAGCGCGAATGGTGCGATCGGACATTTATTGCCATTGGGACTAGTGGTCACTCACATGCATGGTTACCATCAGCCGTTGTCATCAACACATTTTATCATAATTTCGTGCGAAAAAAATCTATCAGGCCTCTCTCGACATCTCCCCAGCTGTCAACACCTCTCTCCATACTGCCTTGGATCCAGCCTGGCAGCTTCTGTCTAATTCTGTCTGTTGCAAAGCGTCTGTCAACCATCAGGATTGCAGCATAATCGTTCCTGTGCCGAATCACTCTCCCAATGCTCTGGTTGACAGCACGCATACAGGCATTTTCGTAGTAGTCTCGACTCGCCTTCTTTGCCTCAACTTGCCATTGTCCTTGTGGCAACATAGCCTCGCGTTTGCACTGCTGATATCGAAGACCTTCAATATGCTGCATCTTCGCCTTCCACTCTGCGCCATTGGCATTTGGAAATGGAAGGCCAACTGCGATAACCGCGCGGCCCAGCTTATCTGAGAAATTGATCCCTTCCGAAAGCTTGCCGCCAACGACTGACAGCAAAAGTGCTCCCTTCCCCGAATCTACAGCGCTTGCGTAGTCTCGGAGAAGTTCATCGACAGAGACACCTTTGGACTCTTGAAAAGTCACCTTGGTTTCACCTAACGCCTTCATCAGAGGCCGGCCGAGGGGGAGCTTTTGCCAGACAGCTACGACCTGAGCAAGGTATTCATAGCTCGGGAAAAACACCACGACTCCGTCTGGGACGACTTTGCATGTCCGATATATCAGGTCGGCTAGCTCCAGAATCGTCCCCTCTGAGCCGCGTTTTTCGAAAGTGAAGTCAAACTCGACATTCGAAGGCCCTTTCACAACGGCTTGAGCAAACAGGTGGGTGGAAGGTATGACATGGCCAAAGCTGAAGGTTTCAAGCCTGTCCTTCTCGAGATATGAGAACAGATAATTTGAATAGTCCGACATTGGTGACATGGTCCCTCCAGCAAGGATGACGGCTCTGGCTTCTGCGACTATCTCTCGAAAATGTTCTCTCGGATCAAGTAGTGTGTAACGGACAATAATGTCGCCATCGTGCCGCTCAACAAAGAACCTGCCCTCCTCGTCAGGGTTCATCAGAACCGACATGAAGTTCTGAAACTGCATCAAGACACCTTTGCCTTGACCGTCATCATCTGCATCCTTCTGGACTTCGGTGTATGATTCGACCTTGTGGCAGAGCTTACTTTCATGCAAATACCTGAGGAGTTTGTGCGGACGGATCTGATCCACACCTTTGCCAGACATCAGTTGGGTAGCTGTGGTTGTAACCTGACCCGAGGAGGACTTTTGTGCCACACCTCGCAAGCAATCCGCAAGCGAACGGAGTAAACGCAGAACTTGAGTTACATAGACACGGTTCTTGCCTTTCAAGCGATTTTTGAACCGCATTGCGTATGCAGTAACCTGTTGTAGAGCTTGCTCCAGTTGACTGAGTCGCAAAGCTATGGAAAACGTGTCCGCGATAGCATCTGTCAAATTATGTGCCTCATCGATCACGACGACGTTGTCCTTGACTGAGACGCCCAGGGCATCTCGGGCTGACCTCTGCAGAAGGAGTGGGTAGGGCAGAGTGAGAATTTCAGCGGAAGCGATAGCGCTGCGGGAAGCATAGTAGGGACAAAGGTCCATCCTCTTACCGAGATGAGCCAGATCTTCGATGTCTCTGATTTGTGCAATGGCCTTGTCTCGAAATGAATCGACCTTCTCTCTGTCATCCTTGGATGGGAGATATGGACATTTCTTGTCTTTGGCGGTCCCCGGTTTTTGAAGCTCAAGGCAGCGTTCATTGATTGCTGTGGGGGACGACAGGCGTGCAACCTTAGGATTGATACACAAATTCTTCCTCGAACCTAAGGCAAGGTGCTTGATACCCTCTTCAAATTCGGAACCCGGTGTGAAATCTTCAACAGCCGTGGGAACCGACGGAGGAGGCTTCACGCGTCGCAGCTCGTTCACGAATTGGGTGAGCTGCGAGTGGGTGCGGGAGCAAAAGATGACTTTGAGCCGGTCTTCTTCTGGCTGTTCCATGTTCTCTTTTGTTGGTTTTTGCAATTTGTCAAGCAGTGACTGAGTAGAACTGGAGAAACCGGTGCTCGTGCTTTGAACCGTGGCCTTTTCTTCAGCCTCGCTGTTATAGTCGTCGACCAAGAACTCGTCATCATTCAAGAGATGTTCTGACGCGCTTGACTCAACGATTCGCGGCTTTTTGGAGAATCTGCTGTCGAATGTTTTCTGTTTCTGGCGGGCCTCTTCTTCCCGAAGAGTGGCAAGTTTGTGCTCGAGCTCTTCTCGAGCAAGGAGCATTTCACGTCGCCGGACAGCCGTTTCAGCGCGCACCAACCAGTCATCTTGATCACCTCCGCTCTCAGCATTCAGTGTACTGTCCAGAGCATGGCGCTCATGGTCTCGAAGCCAAGTCAAGGCACCGCATATCAGACTCAAAGACTTGCCTGTGCCTGTTGGGGACTCGAAGATGCCCACCTTCTTTTCCTGTATACAGCGATACAGATGTGACATGAACTCCAGCTGAATATCATAAGGCTGATATGGATGGCAGAAGTTGGCCTGACTAGGCTCCATGATGCTCTCGGGCATCGGGCCCTCGTCCCAGAGACTATACGCGTATTTGGTGCACTTGATCCTCGCAGCCACTTCTCCTTCTCCTCGGTGGACCCGTAAATATGCACAGGAGGGTCATCTCCAGCTGGGGAGATTTGAACGCGCGTTCGACGCGCATCAGCTTGGTTGGCGGAGGCCGGAATAGCAGTTGCTCAAGGCTGTTGAGTGCGATTGTGAAAGGCGAACAGTCGGGTGGGAGCACGGCTGCAGCCAGTACTGTGCGCGATCAACGGGCCGATATTGCTTCTGCTTTTGTGTATTGTAACTCCATACAGAATCTGTTCGCACGAGACGATGGAATGCCAAAAATGAATCGATGGCTTCCAGTGTGGCTGTGGATCGACCTTTGCAGCGCGTAATCGTCTTACTAGTACTAGTATGCGAGGCGTAGGCTGTTTTTGAGGCACCCACTGTGGCACCCAAAACTTGAACCCGGGAGGCAGCCGGCTGCCTTGGGCCGATGATAGCCTAAGGAGCCAGCCCGGCTGGCTTGATCCAGAGAAGTGTGATAAGGGAGGCTTCAGGGGGGTTTGTGGGCTTGTCAATTATCAGATACTCAGTAGCCACCTAACATCGCACCTGCCTAAGGTAGGTACCAACTTTAGGTAGCAGTCGTTACATCCATGCCTAGGCCTTTTATGCTTAGACTTTGATTAGGCGTCTGTACTTGGGTATCTACGTACCTAATTGGGGCGAGATGGGCATCCCTTACTAGTAGCCTAAGCCCCCGGGACCCCTAAGCTAGCCTGAGTCTCCCTGGTACTTTATGGCAGATCGTGTTATGCATGCGGAGCATCCGTCACCCTTACAGCCTTGCTGCGCCCGCCCTTGTCTCCCTCCAAACCATCAACAACACACTCACAATCCACAACTCCCCATGTTGTCCCACATTGCACGGCCATGACTGCTCCCGAACACCGGGTAGCCTTCAGATTGCAATCCTCTTCCTCTCGGAAACAAGACATGTCTACAACAAGTATCAAACTGGGAAATCATCCTGCCTCGGTCGGTCTCACCTCTGAATGCCCACCTTGGGAGCCGCAGATCCCAGTCTCTCTGCTCAAGCCGCATAAGCTGAAGAAAACGCGCTCTTGAAAGCCATCTCACGCCCCTTGCCTGATTCTCTGAATCATCCCAAAGCAGCTCTACTTTCTGAGGTCCCAAGGTATACTGAGTTGCTGGGCATCAGCAGGCAAGGCGGTGGAAGCGATCAGGTGAACTGGGCATGAGCGTTCACTTGTAGACAAAAAAGGTTCATCCGCTGCTGACCGTAGCCATGAATTACAACACAGGCGCAACCTTCGTACCGGGGGGTGATGACTCCTACTACATGCCTGAACTGATACAACCGACCCCCAACCGGTATGTTGCTCGCGAGGCATCGAGGGGTCTCTGCTAACGACAACAGGGTGCATGAACTTCCTAGTAACATTGAGCAGAATGTTGCTCAAATGGAACAGGCCGCATCGGGCCCTCTTTCAGCAAGTTCAGCATCAGTCTACACTCCCCAGTCAGCCGAATACATGGCCTCGGGCATGCCTTGGAGGAATGCTTCAGACCCAAGCAACAACCAGCAAGTGATCGGACAAGGTATGCCTATACACGCCCCAAGTCAGCCGGTCCAGCAAGACAGCTACCCACCGCGAACGACGTCCATACCTCAAGCAGATCAGCCGAACTTCTCTCCCTTCCCTATTCTTCGAAACCCTCCACCCAACATTCCACCTACGGACGAGCAGAAGGAAGCCACGTTGGAGGGAGCAAGAGTAGCAGTCCTGAGTTGCAGTGACCCTGACACCCAGTTAACATGGGCACAAGATGTGCTGTCATATGTGGAAGTATGTCAGCAGAACGAGGAAAGAATAGCTCTGGCACAAGCCCCTCGGACGCGGACGCCTCGTATCGAACACGTCTTGAAGGAAGATGCGCTCAAGATTGTCAGCTTTTTGGCCGATCAACATCACCCCAAAGCTGAGTTCATGCGAGGTATGTGGCTTGAGTTTGGCAAGTTTGGGCACAGAATCGACAAAAGAGAAGCCTTCAACTGCTATACAAGAGCCTCCGAAAGAGGCTACGTCCGTGCCGATTACAGGATTGGAATGCAGTTCGAGTCCTCGAATGACGCCCTTAAAGCAATCAAGTACTACCAGAAAGGAGCCGATGCTGGGGATTCTGCTGCTTGTTACAGGCTGGGGATGATGACCCTCCTTGGCCAACATGGGCAAGTGCAAGACTACGAACGGGGCCTGAACCTGATATATGCTTCAGCTCAAACGGCCGACGAGAACGCTCCACAAGGTGCTTACGTCTTCGGAATGCTCCAGGCTCATCAAATGCCCCAAGTCCAAATACCGGAGCGCTATTTGCCCAAAGACATGGTAGCGGCAAAAATCAACATTGAAAAGGCCGCCTACTTAGGATTCGCTAAGGCGCAAGTCAAGATGGGAACAGCGTATGAACTCTGCGAGCTTGGATGTCCTTTCGATCCTGCACTTTCGCTCCATTATAACGCCCTTGCGGCCAGGCAGGGTGAACCTGAAGCTGAAATGGCCATCAGCAAATGGTTCCTTTGCGGCCATGAAGGCCTCTTCGACAAGAACGAGGAGATGGCCTTTACCTACGCACAGCGAGCGGCGCTGTCCGGGTTTCCAACAGCACAATTTGCCCTGGGATACTATTACGAGGTTGGTATCTACGTTCCAGTCAATTTTGACCAAGCCAAAGAATGGTATCGAAAGGCATCACAAAGTGGCAATCAGGATGCCGGTAAGAGAATCGAGGCCATCTCTAGGTCCAAAACGTTATCTCGGAAAGACCACGAGAATGTCGCACTTTCAAAAATCCGGCAGCAGCGAGCCTCGGTGATCCTAGATGGTCAAATCCCTCCGATGCCCGCGATGCCTGCAATGGCACCCCTGGCTGAAGAGCAAGATAACACAGTCATTGACATGCCCGATCCGTCTCGTCTTTCTCTCCACCCTCAGAGACCACCATCAGCACGGCCGGGAAGCGTCGCCCCATACCCAACCGATAACCCCAGCTTCCCGATGGGCAACCAAGGCCCTGACTATCGACCAACTTCAGCGTTCGGAATCAACCCAAACCTTCGACCTTCGTCGGCTACGACAATGGGAGGCCCCAGACCTGATCCGTATGGATCTCCACATATGCTACCTCAACAGCGTCCCCATTCGACCAATGATGCCCGGGTCCCGCCAGCAGGCTACGGTCAAGGTGGGCGAGTACCATCAGTGCGGTCATCTGGGCCTGGAGTGCCACAAATACGGCCACCACCAAAACCTGGTGCTGCATCTCCGTATCGTGACCCGCGAGCAGCTGGCCAAACCCCTACACCTCCAGCGCTTGATATTGGCTTTTCCGCTCCTCTCGAACCAAAGAGAAGACCTCCACCTCAGCAGCCCAATGGGCCGAACATGGGTAAACCTCAACCTTTTGATCAGAACCATCCCTCTCGCCCGTTTTCTCGCCCCAACCAACCTGCACAGCCAGGCTCTTCACAAAGTCGACCTTCACCACTGAACTCTCGCCCTGGACCCGACCGTCCTGATATGGGTTATGGTCGTCCTCCAAACTCGCAAACGCCTCCCAGTAGAACTCCAGTACCTGCAGCACACAATGTCACACCGGCCAACATGGCTCCAGCACGGCTAGATTCCAATCGACCGAGTGGAAACAGCCAGCCGTCGAAACCAGCTTCGGTCCCGACCAATGCCGTTCGCCCACCAGGTAAAGGACCAAAGACATTCGACGAGATGGGCGTTCCTCCTGGCAAAGACAAAAGCGAATGTGTAAGTTGAGCTTCTATCTTGTGCTTATCAATGGTCCAAACTGACACGTGGTCCACAGATTGTCATGTAGTTTGCTATTTCCTGCCGCGACTGAAGTGATCTATGATACCCTTTTTGTGACTTGGGTCTTCTAGGACAATCCGATGCATTTGGGTACGGCGAGTGGTATGGGTTTGACATAGTTTCCGTTTGCAGAAGGTTCCTTGGAATCAACGAATGCGTTGGAGCTGGATCGATCTCGAAAGGAGTTTGTTGGGACAAAGCATTGAATGCATGGGCAGCGGGAGTATTCTGCGAGCGACGTCTTCTGCATCAAACCGGAGTCCATCTTTTGCTTAGACATGAATGATGAATTACGCCCAACTTCTTTCACGTTGATATGGATCCTTCTCGGACTCGTCTGCTCTGTTTAACGTGGGAGTTAGATGTGCGGACGTGAGGCTGTGTGTGAGCAGATACTATAGAAGGTAACGCTCTGGAGGTCTGCTTTCGGGTTCTGATATCATGGATCGCCATCAGGATTGGCCCGGACTATGGAGCCCTTTTGGTTTGTTGAAGGTCTCAGTCTTCCCAGGTTGAGATGACTCAATCACAGAACCAGTGAACGGAGAAATCGATCACGATTGAATGCGCGACAGCTACGTTATGACACGATCTACTAGCTCTCACCAAGATGTTCTAGCACCAGACCCTTCCCATACGACACATCCAAGCATCTTCAAGAGTAAGCCAGACCTCTCAGCGTGATACACAGTCCCGATCACCCCAAGTTGACAAACCTTAGGGGGTAAGTCAGTCCATCCGTCGATAGAAAACAAGTCAATCCAAACCCAACCATCCCTTCCCTTCCCTCCCCGTCATTCGACAGATACGACTAGGCTAGCTACCATCGTTGGGAATGCTCGCCCAAGACCACGTCCCAACAGGGACATTAGCCGCGGCAAAGTAACCCGCAGTATAATTGACGATCAGCGCAGGATCGGACTGCGTGGTATCCATAACCAGCCTGGAGCCAGGTGTCACGCAACCTCTCTGGGCCCGACAATACGTGAAGAACTGCGACATGCTGGACGAACTGCCCTGGCCACCGACGGTCTGCCTGCCGCCCTGGTCGGTGGTGAGACTGCCCACGCTGAAGAAATAGGTGGTCCACACGCCCGGCACGCCCGTGTCGTAGGTGATGATTGCATGCTGCACGGCCGAGTCTTCGGTATTGTGGCTGAAGAACCATTCAATGGAGATGCCGTATCGTGCCGAACCGGAACCGATCTCGTCAACTTGGTAGTAGATGCCCTGTTGGCCTGCGCCCAAGATGAAGCCCGACGTCCAGAACGGCGCGAGCGTGTACGCGGGCAAATTGGACGCCGGGAACGAAATCGGGACAGCGTCAGTGCTGCGCCCGCCGACCCTGTAGGTGTTCTGCGTGCCCGAGTTCAGTACGAGCGGCGAGTTGGTGAACCAGAAGTTGGCCGTCACGAAGAGTTTTGGGCTCGTCTGGTCGAAGATCCGCCATGTGATGGGCGCGTATTGGCCAGACAGGTCGAGCGGCGTCGTGTGCGAGTTGGCCGCCCAGCCGTTGAAATACGTGTTCGTCCCGCCCGGGTATGCGGGCAGCGTGGCCCCCTGGATGTTCTGGCCCGTGGGGAAGGGGATCGGGTGCGACAAGTACAGTTGTAGCGGAGACGCGGAGCCGGCGCCGTTGGACCCGGTCGATAGGAATCGTCCGGAGTGCGTGCCTTGCGTGTTGGTCATGTTGGTCGTGGTGGCGCCGCCGTTGCTGACTCGCCCGAAGAGCGTGCAGAGGCCGGAAGAGGTCGTCCAGGAGAAGGCGGCGCATGTCGTGCCTTGGCTTGCTGCGACGTCGCATTGGTTGAGGCAGCTGTTGTATGTTGCCTGCGTGGTGGCGCCGAATGGGTTGTTGCCGACGTTGGTGTAGTCCGCCTGGGAGAATGAGGATGGGAGGTCAGTGGAAGGTCAGGTCAGGACAGGGATTTGCTTCAATCTTTTTCTTCTTCTTTCTTTCGGGGTGTTTTCTCTTTAATTTTTGGGAATATCTTCGAGGTTTGTCTCAATGGCGGAGTGTGACTTGTGGATGGGAGAGAGGAATCCAGTCTTGGGTCTTGGGACTCACCGCGCATTCAATATCATAGTATCTGCCTTATGATGGGTTGACTAGGGCCTGCCCGCCTGTAAGATAACCAAGAAAGGTCCTGTCAGATTGTTTCATGTATATAGAGCAAGGCCGGGCTTTGTGGATCTGAACTCACCCTCGAACTTGGATATCAAATTGTTGTCACACACCGGGTCTTGCGGATACGCTCGTGGGAAAAGAGTCGAAGAAGCCTGTGAGCGATCCGAGGTGGTACTTGACGAGCTGGTCGTCGCGGCTCGAGTAGAGCTCGTCGTTGATATACTCGACACAGAAGTGGTGACCCCGACAATACTACCAGAAGTGACAACACGTGTTGTTGTAGTTGTAGCTGTCGTCCTCGTCGTCGTCGTCATCGTAACACCACAGACGAAGTTGGGATCAGTGTAATCCGTCATTCGAGGATACCCACTATACAGCAGACGAGCGCTGTCGAACGTGGCGTTCCCTCGGGTCACACATGTCAAGCTCGAGTATCTGAAACAATTGTTGGGCGTTCCTTGACCGACATCGCCTTCCTGGAAAGTCAGCCCCACGCAGCTGTTTGGTTGGAGCAGATTCTGATATTGACACCACATGATACAATCTTCCAAAGAGAATGCCACGATCGGCTGCACTGGGGCGCCCGTGAAGATGGTGCCACATTCGAGTTCGTAGTTCACTTCCAAGCCGTAAATGTTGTAGTCGTAGCATGTGGGAGATGTACCGGGACATGCGGAGGCCGTTGGAGCAGGGGGACAGCTTAGGGGTGAGTATGATGTTGTGCTGGCCGAGGAAGTTGTGATTGCGGTTGTGGTTGTTAAGCGTGATGCTGAGGTCGTTGACGCTGTGGCCTGGGTAGTGGTTGTGGTTGCAGTGGGCCCGAGCGAAGGATCGGTGATTGCTGGGTAGCCTGGGAACAGGAGGCGGCCGCTGTCAATCCCGGGGCTGTATGTTGTTCCTGTCACAGAAGACAATAAAATGCAGTTGGGGGTGCTTCCACTCAACGAACCCAGGTAGTTGACTCCGAGACACCCATACGGTAGAGCCACGTTGTACAGTGTGCAAAACCCGATACACGTCTTCAGGGAGGAGGCTGTCGTCGAGTTGCCGGTGAGGATGTTGCTCTGTAACGTTGTTGCGCATTCAACTTCGTAGCAGACGCCGTCGCTGTTGACGTTCAATGCTTGATGGTTGTATGTGGAGCAAAGAGCTGCTGTCGTCGGCGTTGCAGAGCAATATGAGGCCGTGGATGTGGATGTGGATGTGGATGTGGATGTGGATGTGGATGTGGATGTGGATGTGGATGTGGTTGTGGAAGTCGATGGCAGGGGTGTGCTTCTTGATGATGTTGGAGATGTTGTCAGTAGTGTCGTCGTCTGTGACGTGCTCGACACCGGCGTTGTTGAACTGCCTGCTATCCGACTGGAGCTGGTTGATTGTAGACGCGAAGAAGTTGAGCTGGAAGAGGTTGTTGGCGAGGATTGAATCGAGGGCTGTGCTGTGGACCCCGAAGGGACCATACTGGTGCTAGAAGACTGGCTGGAACTTGTTGCAGTATTTTGTTGCAGGCTCGTTGTCGATGATACAACTCCTGAGGAACTTGGGCCAACGGACGTAGACCCTGACCTCGTAGTCGTGGTACTTGACAAGCCTCCGCTGGAGAGTGAGGTGGATGTTGAGGGCGCAGGTGTTGTGGGTGAAGAGCTTGACGATGGAGGAGGCTCCGACCCAGTACTCGTCGTGGTGGTCGTCAACTGGGAAGTTGTCCCATCCATCATCCATGTCGTGGTTGAGGAGTCTACGACGCCCGTGTCTGTTGGGTTACTATTGCCGTCTGCAAACTCGATTTCAGGAGCATATGGTTCGTTAACAATGATTGCAGCTTGGGCGAACGCGTTCGCACCCCTGTTCACGACATTGATATCGAATTTCAGGTGACATGGGTTCGAAGGTGCAAGCTAGAAGATCATCAGTCCTGAGAAGGCAGAAAACGGACAATACTTACAATGTCAAACTCGACCGCAATGCATGGCCTATCAGACCCTGGCACGTAACTGTTGCAGGCGTCGATACAATCGGCAATGTCGGTTGCTGGCACCGCTTCCAACTCGAAGCCTGGAAGCTCTGTATCGCAGAGGATCAGGTAGTTGTCATTGACTGTGCCGTCGAATGGTGAACGATCAAAGCAATTCGGCACGCCAGTTGTGGTGGGAGACAAGTACGGCGTGGAAATCGGAGATGCTGACGACGACGAAGACTGAAAGCTTGTCGAAGAATACGTCAAGCCCCTAGTGGTGGAAGATGAAGTCGATGGATTTGCAATCGTTGGGCTAGACGAGATTGAGGTTCCGGGAATGGTTCCCTGTTCGGAAATAGAACTCGAGAATGGGCCTGAGGAGAGACTGCTCATGGTGGTTGTCATCTGGCTAGATGACCCAACCGTCGTGCTCAGACTCGACGATTGTAGCATGGTGGTAGACGACGACAGAGTGGCATCAACATCTGCGGTAGGGACCACACTGATTGGGGTCACCGTGCAGCCTGGGGGTGCCTCTCCATTGAAGAAAACCTGGACGACAGAACCAAAGTCACAGAAGAGAGCCTCGCGTCCGGCAAATGCGTCGTTCGTCCACAACAAGGTATTATTGGAGGAGACGGAGAATACTGTTGCAAGCTCCGCCAACACCGGAGAGACCTCGAATTTCTGCGAAGGCACTTCTCCGCTGGTAGACACATATTCTCTTCCACTCATCAGCTGACCCGAAGGTGTGATTGTGAAGGCGACTGCTTGTTGAGGGTCTGTGGATATGGTACCATCAGAGGCTATGTACTCCAGTTGCCCGCTCAAGCTGTTGGCCAGGAAGAGATAGTAGGGTGTTGCAGGTCCAGAACTGTCCTCTGTCAGTTCGTGTAGCGCCAGCTGGCCGGTTGAGTATATGTGCTTACCTGGGAGTTGAGGACGAGCTGCTGGTCGTGCTTGTGCTCGTATAGGTGGCAGGGCAGTAGCTGATCGCAATGGAAATGGTAGTGCCATATCCCAAGACTGGTAGCACCAGCCGCTGCGCGAGGACACCCGCAGCTAAATGCCTCCACTTCATGTTGAAGATCTCTGTTCCTGTTTGTATCTGCTCGAACCTTGCCTGGCGCGGCGGGGTTTTCAATAATGAGGCAAAGTTTAGGAGGCATTTTGAAATACATTAGAGACTCGGTGGTCTGTGTGAGACGCTTCACGCGCCTGGAATGAAAACAGTAAGGGGCAAGGAATGTCGGGCGGGCGCACGTAGCGGAGAAGAGGAGGAGGATTGGACCATCATTTTGCCTCATATCCTTACCAATGAATCTATGCACAGGCATCCTGACAGGATCCCCAGGAGACGTTGACCCCAACATGGTGGACGACAAGGCGCGGTCGTCAGAGATACGCGGCGGAAGTACAGCCTCCTGAAAGGACTTTCCACATCCGCGGCACCCACACTGCGCGTCGTATGTCTTCATCGCCTTTCCTACCCTATGTACACGGCACCATGGAAGCAAGCTATGTCGGTAGGTAGGAGCTGTTGGAAGAGGGACATGGTGTCGTCGCTGTACAACAGCTCTACAATTGTACGAGCGGATCTCCGAGTCAATCATTCAATGTTGATATCCGCGGAACCTTGGCATTGCTCTTGGCACGGCGGACTGCCTCCGCCGTCCGACTCAGACTGGATGTTGTATGTCGGCAGCGGCGCTCTCGTACTAAAGCAACAGGTTAAACACGCAGCTCCCCTATGCTACTGGTGCCTTACGAACAGACCAAGTATTCCGCTGGAAAAATATCAGAATAGACCCCGAGAAGAATATCTGTTTCACACATTATGTACTATACATCTACCCGTAGGCGCGTTTGGACCCCGGATCGTTTACAAGAATCTGTCCGCTTTCCCCGACCTGGTCTTACAGCCGCTTCAACCTGAGGGTGAGAAACGAGATTGCCTTCTCCTAGCAGTCAGCCCGTCCCCATGTCCTGGGAAACCCGACCACTTCTCTGACATTGCTCACCCCTGTGAGATAGGCCAGCAGTCGGTCGAACCCCAAGCCATATCCACCATGGGGACTGCTTCCAAACCGTCTGAGGTCAGCGTACCATTTCAAACTCCCGAGGCTTTCATCCGGTTGCAAGAACGGGTACGCATCGCCATTGGGCGTCTCCGTCTTCTTGAGCAGTCCTTTCTCACGCATGTTCGTGATTAAGTTCTCAAGACGGTGCTCTCTGAGACTTCCGCCGACGACCTCACAATATCCGAAGGGCAAAAGGAGGTCGAAACAGGCGACCGTATCCCTGTCGCTCGCTAATGAGGTAGATTCGACATGGTCTGGTTGCTGGATTGACGCCCCAAAGGACGAAGGTAGCATGTAAAACGGCTTGATGGTCCGCGGATAGTGAGTGACAAACACTGGTTTGCCGTTCGCCATGTTCTCGACAATCCAGCGCTCATGTTCCAGTTGAAGACCATGTTCCCACTGAGGCGGAGTTGCGAAAAGTTTCCCGCCGCTCGCGTCATGCGCCTCTTCGAGAGCCTTGATTGCAGACGAATAGTCCACGGTAGACCATGGCCCTGCGAGTCGATTCCAACGGTCTTCTAGGTCGATTGACTCGGCGTCTTGAGCCCGGTGCTTCTGGTCTGTATAATACTCTACGAGCTCCTTGCCCGTTCGGTGTTCCTGCAAAGATTGGGCCAGATGCACAACAAGAGCCCGGACTCGTGCTAACAGCTGCACCAAGTCAATGTCGCGGTGCTCAGCTTCCAGCATGTAGAATTCGGCCAAGTGGCGGGGGGTGTCGCTTTCCTCGGCACGGAAAGTGGACGAAAATGCAAAGACATCCCCTAGTTGAGCAGCGTACGCTTCCAGATGTAGTTGCGACGATACTGTCAGATACTTTGGATCTCGAAAATATAGTTTCTCCTCCTCTTTGGACGCATTTGGAGCAGTTCCGGGAGCTCGTTCGCTACTCCGCGGCGCTATGGTAAATACTTCCCCCGCGCCTTCACAGTCCGAGGAGGTGATGAGCGGCGGATGGACCTGATACACAAGATCTGAGGAATTATGGAAATGCGAGGCCACCGCAGAGGTCAAATGACTTCGAGTACGTGCGACGAGGGACTGAAAGGATGTCCGCATTCGTAGGTGGGGGATGGTTCGCAGAAAATCCACCGACATGGACTGCTTCTGTATGGGATTCTCCTGTTGTCAAGGTCAGGATAGATTGGAAACCCGACAAGAGAAGCCAACGTACAAGAGGGTTGCTCTCCCCCAGATCCTCGATCCTTTCCACCTGTAACTCATGGGTCTGCCCAGCGCCGGCCGATGGAATCCATTTGCCGACCAATGCGACATAGGAACCGTTGGTTATGCTGGACACATTGCATCAGCATCCGCCCATGTTGAGTCGATTCCAGTACACATACTCCTTCGCAACGGCTGGCTCGGGGAACACAGCTTGGACGCTGGCCAGTGTAGATCCGTCTGCAATGCGAGCAAAAGCCACCTTTTTCTGCTTCCGCACGCTGCGCACCAGCCCGGTGATCTTGATCTGTTGTGCCTCATATTGCTTGGGATCCTCTAAGAGCTTCGCATATCGGACAAGGGGTATTGGTGAGAGAACGAAGTTTGGATTGGATCGGACATCATGCAACCCTCGAGTGCGACAGGGATTAAGTACATATGGAGGTCGAGCAAGACATTGGTCTGTCTCACGGAATCGTGACAGAACAGAAGACCCGGGACGCCATGGCGATGGCCGCATGCGCCATAGCATCACGGATGGGAACCACCAACTGTACAACGTCTGCAATGTCTGCGAGCAAGCGAGGAATGAATCTGGCAGTATCCTACTAAATAAGTAAAGCGAATGGCCGACTGCTGACGAGTACGAGAAAGACATTTGCCGTGATTACTAAGGCGGGTCACGTCCAGCCAATAATATGCACCACACACTCGATACGTGTAGACTACTTTATTCGATCGACAATGGTGATAGTCGCCAACGTCCAAACCATATAATGGGGGACAATGAAGTTGACCGATCCACTGCATGAGCAGGTACTAGGAGATGGGAGATGAAAAGAAGAGAGGGTAATGCATGAAGGGGGGGAGAGAACAACGTAGGTGAAGACCTAGGTTGACTACAACGAGGATGGAAACCAGGAAGCGAAAGCATCCGCGCGCAGATTGAAGGAAAGTCATTCTGTTGACTGCATCACGAAGAACAAGAACGCAATAAGCCAAGCGATCGGTAAGTGAAGAAAGCAGTTTTTGTTGTCAACTGCCACTGCAGTGCTTCACTGGCAAAACATGCGAGAGCTACAGATATTCAATATCCTGTTCAAGAACGTTTCCAACTGTTGATTTGTTTCCTCCCACAACATCTTCCAAAAGCTTTCCACTTCTTCGAGACCTCGGAACCGTCCACCATCTCTGAAGCTTGGCCAAATTCATCATCACTCCTCATCTGCCCTCATCCCGAGACTTGCAAAAGCGAGAACCTCGAACACCTGTGAAGGCCATGTATTTTTGGAGCCACATATTAGCTGAGGGCAACTACATGATAGCGGCACGCTGTCACAAACACGACACTCCCTTGGCTGCGGCCGACTTGATCGACTTCTGGTGGCAGCATAATAAGGACGGTGCGAAGCCCCGACCTCTTCGGATCGTTTCATATGGCGGGGGGTTGGCAGTGGAGTTCGAGAAGGAGAGCGACATGGAGGCGTGCGAGGGCTGGAAGGTCCCGACCGCCAATGGGCATTACCTTACAGTGCGCAAGTACGCACCTCCATTGCATACGACATTCGCCATTCTCCGCGGCGCCACGGTCGAGTTAGAACACCTCATGTCGGCACTCATCTCGGCGTTCCCAAAGGATGACTTCACCCTGTTCCAGCAGGTCAAACTAGCCTGCCTACTCGACACATTCTACATCGTCTTCAAGAACCCGCCCACCAGAATCGTCTCGCGGCTGGATTTCTCCGAATACAAGGATAGTTACCCTGAATACAAGGGTTTGGAGCGTTTCGAGGGTTTCGAGGGCATCCTTTGGTATTCCGATGTTCAACCCGAGGGTACTTGTTCTGCATGCGGGTCCGAGTCGGGTCACTCGGTGGAGGCTCCCTGCACGAACTGGCTCTTGGTTGGAAAGTCGACACATGCAACTGACAAGGAAGAGGCGAGGGAGAAGGCTCAGCAGAAGGCTCAGCAGAAGGCAAAGAAGGCAAAGAAGGCAAAGAAGGCCAAGAAGGTCAAGACAGGGAAGAAGTGAGCCAACGTGGATGCCATCAAGCACTGGGAGGCCAACAAGCACTACGAGTCCTCGGGGTCTTGATACGAATGGCACGGAGTCGGAGACGGCGAAAACTATTTCTCCAATAGACTCACAGCCTTGCCGCAGCGCATAAATACTACTCTGTACTGTATGATACAGCCTTGCCGGTAGAAGTCACGCCAGATGTTGAGACGCTCTGTATTTTCAAAAGTCGTGATGTTGCTATTGCCGGAGCAGTAAACACCCCATGAGACAACGGCGCGTGCCAAGTTGCGATACTGGCAATCTATGCCTCAGTTTATTTGATCGTTACACGTCTAGCATACTCCTTACCACCTGCGGCCGGGATTGCAGTGATTGCGACGACGACGACGACGACGACGACGACTTGGATAGTCTGCCTCGTGATCGGGCGTAGGGACTGTACTTGGGTTCACTTGCGTTCGTCTCCATGGTAGGACTGACACCGTCGCGCAGCAGACTCGACACTCCCCGCTCGGTCCACCTCAAATTCGCGCCCGCATGATCGTTATCATAGTCAACAGTGGACCAGGCTGACGATGCATTCGTACTGTGGCGGGATTTCCGAAGTCTTGGATCATGCTCTCCTTCTTTCCGTCGATGCCACCAGTAATGTCCGCTTTCATCATGGTCATCTGCAGATTGGGAAGGGGTCCCTTTGCTGGTGTCGCCGGGCTCACGTCGCAGTTGTGATCCTGCCGACTTGAAAACCGCAGTTGGCGGCAAGCCAGCGTGGCGCGTTTTATACCACCACGAAGGATGCATGCCCTGGTGTTCCCTGGCCCGACCTGTTCCACTCTTCAGATGCATGTCCTCCTCAAGCTCAATGCCCCTTCGAGTTCGTTGGGAAATCATGATCTTATCTTCGTTTTCCTCAAGATAACCGCGAAGGTTCAATAAGTACAGGACCAGTAGTATCGGTGCGTAGCCGAGCCCGTATAGCCAGCCGATGCTCACTTCAAGCCGGTAGGGTGATATCGTCCACACGAAAGAGCCAGCCACGGCATAGCCTATCCGCATGGCGAGAAGGCCCACGACGATGAGAAGTGTGCACGGAATCCTCAAACGATATGACCGACTGGTGTATGTTAGGCGAAACGTGATCAGCGTCAAGCACAGTACAGCCGTCACCGAGGCGATCTTGAATCGAGCATCGAGTGCTCGCGGTTTGGCCGAGTCGAGCGTTTGAATTGGAGAGCGTTGTTTTTGGACGAACGACCAAGACCTTGGAATGGACAGGAAGAATACAAGCCAGTCAAACGTATAGAAAATCAGAGGAAGATAGAAGTCAACTCTCGCTCGGAAGACCTCCACTGGTAGGGCGAAAGTATCCGCTTCCTGAAGACGGTGGTATTGGAAGGAAGTCCTGCTTAGAATTAGCTCTGAGAGAAGGGTGTTTTCCATCTGCACGGATGTAATCGTTCCGCCGCCGATACTGGGTCACTCACCAACTCCGCACGGACTCCCAAACACACGCCAGCAAAGCCGGAACCATCAAGGTCAAGAAGAAGCACTGAAGAACCATGGGCGTATTGACAACGTAGTCCCTGTCAACGTCGACGGCTGTGAAGCAACTTAACAACCCGCATGCGGCGACGAACATAGTCCAATACCATGGCCATCTCCTGCCCACCGGTCTCCATCTCTTCCCGGTAGGCAGGTAGGAGCGGCCATGTTTCCTGAGATTGATGGTGGAAAAGAGTATGGAGACTGCGAAAAGCGATCCAAACACTAGGCCAGCGATGCCTCGGGCTCTGATGGCATGAATGGGTTGATAGCACGAAGTGGTGTTGACGAACGTCCCGTTGGGGGAGACTAGGATGGGCTGGTAGCGGTCAAAGGCGAGGAAACAGTTTGATCCATTCGAAAGTGTGCCGTTACCGTAAGCAGTGTAGTTCCAGAAAGCCAGTACTGTTTCATTATATGACACGCCATTGATGACGACGGTAGTGTCGAATGAGGTTGAATCAAGGGCCATCTCAGAGGCGAGGGACGCAGTCTCTCCGTTCAGTTGACCGGCAGATCGACGTTTCTCCTCCAGAACAGATCATCGCCCTACATGGGTCGGTGAATTAAGCATACAACCAAGTATGCAGCGCTCTCTGCTATCTGAGAGCTGGGATGCCGATGTCATATCTTCTCGAAGCGTAAGGTATATAGGGTGGAAATGCAGGGTCTCTAGCAGGACGTCGTTTGCTGTGACGGCTTCAAGTTTGACAGTGCAGTGGCTTCCCCGGATATTTGATGACATAATCACGTACACAAGCAGCCACAGTCACAGTCACAGCCACAGCCACAGTCACAGCCTCGTCGGCCTCGTCAGCCTCGTCATACTTACGATGTCTTCATACCTAGACTCGAGACTCAAAGCGTTACAGCCATCGGAGGTACGTTTGGTGCTCAGGGTATTATGTTAACTGTATCGTCGAGATCAACCACCGTGCAACCTGCTAACCGCCACAAGCGCTGAAAGCCGGCAAGTAGAAGGAAGATATTGGAGGTGACAGAACCATACGGATGATATTCTGACCTCAGTGGCTACGAAGACTCCCTGACACCATCGAAATAGGTCGAACAGAGATTCGGCAGTTCTCGACAAAGCATTCATAGCAAGAGTCGATGCCTCGGGACGAAGACACTCGCTAGTAGCATCCTCGCTTCTCCCTGACATCGCCGTAAGAAGCATAATCACCACCCTTGAAAGACAAGAACACAAAGATCATTTAGACCATCATCTCATACCCTTTTCGAACGCTTGTTCGCTGAGCGCCTCTTTTTGATACCCGAATGAATAGAACGCAGCACACAAAACCATTACACGACAATAAGTCAAACAATCCACCGTGCCAGTGGCCCTGAACAATGCCCTCGCATCGCCTTGTACGCCTTGCAACTGCGCTCGAACATCAGGCCAACAGTCAGACACGCGCAAACACGCGGTCGAGCTTGCTCAGAGCTCTCTTGTCCTCACGGAAACCCAACTTCTCGCTGGGGATGTCTTGTGGAGGAGCTCCGTGCTTCGTGCCGCCGGGGCTCATGCTGCCTTGCCGGTCGGCCTCCGTTTCACCTGGCGGCTTTTCTGCCGGTGGGAGATTTGTCGTGATACTGTGAACCAATGCCGTGATTGTAGGCGCTTGACTGGCGCTGACGTTACTGGCTTCAGGGGGTCGTTGTTCAATTGGAATCTGTTCAGCTCTCTGAGCGTCACCATTAGGCTGATGTTCACCGCCATTCCCAGACGTTGCGAGTCTCGGATCTATTTGATGGGACGAGCTGGGTCTTTCGGAACCCTTTTCTGCCGCGGGAGCGGAGGCTGGCGCTGGCGGCGCGGGTCCGGGCTGATACGGTGGTGGTGGACCTTGGTTGCTGCCATATGGCGCCAACGATGCCTGGCCAGCGGTAGTCGTCTGGGTAGGTCCCGACGGCCGCGACTCGGAGTTCCGTAATGGTCGTTGGTCGTAGGAGGACGGCGGTGCATGGTTTAGTGCTAGCGGATGAGTTGAACCGTAGGGAGGGGCGCCATACGCGAGTGGTGGTAAGCCGGGTGGAAGGGATGCGTACTGTTGGATCGGGTAATGGCCCGGCGGAGTATGCATGGGACTGATTGGATAGATGTAAGTGGGATGATGCATATAACCAGGTGGTAAGTAGGGATGCGGGTTGCCGGGAGTCGGTCTGTGGTAGCCTGGAGTGCTGGGACTGACAACATAGCTGGGCACTCCCACCATGGGTGACCGAGTGACAGCCGGAACGGACGACTGGTCGTTGATGGTCGACTCCGGGTAGAGGCCCTTTGCGGGCACGATAGAAGCCAGGTTGGGATCTGTGCTCGGCTGTCGTAATCCTTGGGCGGTGGGATGTGACCGAGAGTAGTAGCTGATGAGATGGAGGTGTTGGCCTTGCGATGTGGTGATGCTGAAAGACTGCTTCATCAGACCATCTGGCTTGTAGCGATATCCATCGGGGCCATCGTCTGCCTCGCCACTCTGTGCTTGTTCCTCCGTTGCGCTCTCGGGAGTTTTGGTGCCTTTATTTCCTGTCGAGGGGTAGGTTTGTCCGCCTCTTTTCCCTTCCATCTCTCGGTAGGTCAAGAAGCTACCTGATACTCGACTGGCACTCCAGCTCTTCCCATCTGTCCATCTTCTCATTCCCGCTTCTCGCTCATCCCAAACGAACACCGACCCAGATCGGATCGACTGTCTCTCTTTCTCGGACAGTCTCCGCTGGACCCGAGGGAGGATGCCTAATCTGCAGGCTTCGAAAAGAATGATGGCATCTGTGGGAGTGCGGACGTGACCGTTGTATGTCTCCATCACGCCGAACCAGCAAGGGCGATAGACTTGGTGGCACTATTGAACAAATATCAGTGCGGCTGTTCTGTCCAGCGACACGGGTCAGGCAGAGTTACCTCTCAGGTGATCCTAGAGGCGGCGGTCCAGATGCGCTGTGCGGAGGTAACCCAGCTCGCTGGGGACGTTGGGACTTTGTCTCTTTTGCGCGCTGCGCTGCGCTGCGACGCAGCAGCCGACTTGAGTGCTTGAAGCCCGAACGCCGCTTCCAACTATCCCCCGACCCGCCTAATCGATAGTTTGTGGCCGGTAGAACAAGGCGTTCGTTCACGTGGGCGAATTTCGGTGAAACTGAAACTCGTGGTCCTTTTGATTCGGCGATCGTTTGGCGGATGAAGGATAAGCACGCGATGCTCGATCGCCGTAAACAGTAGACTGCCCTCCTTGTGAGGCCCGGCGCTCTGAGGAGAAGGCAGGACTCTAAGGCGGCTGGTGCCCCGTATTGACCATGCACAGAGACACTGTGTGCGGCGAAACCAACTCAGTCCTATGTCGAGGTTTAAGGTATGGCAGACAGTCAGTCACCAGGAGGGCTGATCAAATGATGATAATAATATTAGAGGCGGAAAGGTGGGAAAGGTGGATGTTGCAGGGTTCAAGTTTCGCCCACTTGCGCTGCGGTTCCACAGCAAGCTTGCGCTTATGCTTAAATCTAAATGCCCAAGAGCCCACTTAAGGCCCGGGCGGCTCGGCCTGGCTGGGCGTTGAGTAATTGAACAGAACCTTGCGTGGGTCGACTCTGCCTCCTCGATCCCACTTACAACCTAGTACTGCTGATATAGCCTCAAAGGGTGCGATATCTTCCCCCAGGTCACCATACTACCTCAATGTTTCCGGGTTAATTCCCTTTTCTTCTTGTTCCATCTTTGACGCCCTCTCCGGGTTATAACTGTACTAACGGGACATTTGTTCGAAAACTATGCTAGGCTGTATCGGTACTAGCCCTGCTACTAGCCAGCACCATAAATCTCCTTCCAATGCTTGGCATACTCAAATGAAAGTTCTGCCTGCCACTGGCACTGCAGTGCAGTGGGACTACCTCCTTCCTGTACGTACTTGAACAAAACTTGAACATGATGTCCTTGGCCTCAAGGAGCTGTTGATGTCAGCAGGCGAGGCGCAATTCACGTATGCCTTCATCGCCACTTCAGTCGATTCCTCTGACACGAACCTGTCTCGAGGGAAGGTGTCCCCATTCAAGCACTAGGAAGGATGGCTCATCCCTTCTGAGGTCGACCATCCACGGCGATCAACCAGCATCCGTCGGACACCTCGGATACATATCGGCCCCCTCATCCTTTACCACTGCACGTATAAGGTATGCACTCCCCCTTGTCGGGTTTCGCGGACTACGCAAACTTGACGGAGCAGGTGTCACTATCAATCGCCGAATCCCAAGGACAAGACTTGCCAACGGGACTAGCAACGAAGTGCCACAACGCCGAGAGGCTTGGTTTGTCTTGGCTTGTCTTGGTTTCACTTGTCCTGTGTCAGGCAAAGCAAGTCTAACTCGTCTTTGGCTTCTCGGCGCTGCGTAACCCTCCGCTCGGCTTTCGACGCCAATCCTCTTTGATATTGTGGATTAGACATTAAACTTTCGCGGAAACTCAGGACAGTTTGATTACCTATCATCCATGCTACCTAGGTAGTTAGGTCAGCGGGTTACGGTAGGCATCTCCATCCGGTGACCGCAGCTGACATGGACCTAAAATCCTTTGTGGCAGTAAGAGCTATGGAGACCAGCCCGCGGATTGGCTCAGTTTTGGCGCGGCCGGGGTCTTGCTGCACCAAGGCTTAAGCCACTCAAGGTTGTTAAGCATGATTCACGCCACAAACTCAATTTCCAGCGCATGCCAAGCCTTGGTCTTCTCGTCGCCAAGCACCAGCCAAGCGACCTCTTTTCCACTGCATGCCACGGCACTCCGAGTCTGGATCACACTGGCAGGATGCATTTGCAGTTTGTATTTGCAGTCCACTGCTTGAGTCTGCAGTTGTTATGGTTGTGCTTATGGTTCTGCTCCAGCCGTGATTCCAACACACACTGCATCCGTGGACACGGTAAGGTGTCCTATGGGAAATCAACTCATCAACGCCACCTCCATCTTGCCGAGGAGGGATGATCGTTTGGTAGGTAGGTAACGGGTCTGCCGTCGCCCCGGGCGCTAATCATCCGGACGACTGGCCCCTTACTGGCAGACTCTGATTTACTCCATTCTGAAACATCCGATTTCTCTGTTTACGGTGTCCTCGGAAGACAAAGGCCACGTGCTTCCAAAAGAATGGGGACTGAGCAAATTCTTAGCGCTCTCTGACCACAATAGTGATTATCGCCGAGAGCATGAAGGTCAAGGTGTCCTGAAGACGTACCCGATCCCTTGGTATTTTCTGACCATCCTATACAAAGAGACTTCCGCCAAGTTTGTACAACAGCCCGAAAGCCCGTTATCATAGATACCGGTCCGAATTTTCCGGTCACCTGGCCAGAACGCCGAGGCAATAGTCACGAAAGTGTATCTTGGTGGTGGAAAATGTGGATGTTCGGTGAGTCTGGGCCCTGCGTCGGCTGTTATCTTGGCGCCTTCGCTTGATCGGTTGGCATCATTGCAGTTCAACGTCCTTGCCAAGTTGATTCCTGGAGTTGATTCTACAGTCGGCTGGGAGTCATGCAGTTCCCCTCCTCTCTTCTTACTGTGTACACACACAGGTCAAGGTATGCCTCGGCCGATGGTGTTTCCTGTGGAAGTGTACGCAATGTTTCTGGATACCTTGCAACGCATCGTGGTGTACAGAGGACTATGGCTCGTGTCTGTGTCTTTTAGCACGGCTGGTCGGTGTGCTTATCTCTTGGAGCAAGAACATCTTTCCTACAGGGTACTTGGAGATAAGTCCTTCTGAGTGATCTATCTTTTGCTAGGTAAGCCTTCCAAGAGCTCCAAAGGCTTGTGGAACCCCGCTCCTGGTGCCGTCCAAGATATATTCTGGTGCAATTTGGATCTCGAAGAGTTATTGGATTCCGAAAAGGAGCAACCATCCTCTGAGGAGCATTCCATCCTTTCAGGTAGTCCAGTCCAAGGCATGCTTGCGAGAATGGGTGATTTGCTGCCTCGGCGTCAATTCATGCCATCGTCATATCTTCAAGTTGTGGCCAACGCCTTATTTGCAAATTACGTGGCCTGTTGGCATCTGCTGAACACGCTACCGAGGTGAACTATCTCTACTGCTCGCCTGACTGACTCCCTGGCTGCTGGTCTTCCGTCAATGGTCTTTTTAGGGACCATACTCGAACCCAGTCACACAGCAGTGCCAAGTCAAGGTATTCCATCCTCAGACAGTACATTCTGCGGCAGTTGTATTCGATAAGAGCAAGCAGGGAAATACATATCATTACAGCAAGTGACAATGGAACTGCTGAAGCACCACCGATCCTTTGCCAACTTAAAGAACAAGATATGCAGATGGGGGTCCCACCTCCCCGGGGGTCTTTGGACACACGTTTCAATGCCGAATACCTGGCGTGTTTTCCTGCTGCGTGCAAACCTCTTCCCTGTTTTCCGACCATTCAGCCAACGAAGCGTGTAAGGAACATCGCCTGACGGCATGACAGGTGCCTTCCATATCTTGGTACAGTCTATATATTCACACTTGGCCCCAGACAAATACTCTCGAACATGGTGATACATTCTCTCACATCAGTCATTCCTGGCCTCCAACATTTTTTCATAATTATGATCGATAGCCGGCGGACCTGCGCCGTATTCTGATCGTTGCCTTCATGGGCAGAACCAATGATGTCCCAATCCATATGCTTTCTGGTCTCGAAGAAAGTGTGTCAAACTCATAGTTGAGCACCATGTACGCCAGTATTAGTTTTAGCTCGTTGGCCGCGAAAAACCGGCCTGGGCAGGCGTGTCGACCGTGGCCGAAGGGATGGTAGATGGGCGACGTGCTGACGAAGCTGAGATTGGCCTTTTTAATGTACTCGTCCGTATCGACGTGGAGGCCAGACGTGGAGGTCTGTTTCTCCTCTGACTCACCTTCTCGTTGTGACGAGAAACGGAAGGGTCGGTAGGTTGCTGCATCCGGGTAGTGATTCGGGTCGTTGTGGATGCCGTTGGTCGGGACGGAGACCATGCTTCCAAACGGACAGATTGTGCCGTTGGGAGCGGTGATGCCGTCAGGACATACTACCTTACGCAACAACCCTGCACCGAGGAATGAGCCGAGACGTGTCGACTCTCGTAGGGTAGAGTCGGTCTTGTACATCTTGGCGATCCCTTGTTTCGTCCACACGCCATTACCATGGACCAATGTGGATTGAGCTTCATCTCGTAGGTGACGAATATAACCCGATGAGGGGTCTGAGGCGAGAAGATCGAAGATTGTGTTTGTGATGCTGAATGTTGACGTATGGATCGCGGCGAAGTTCACAGAGAGGATTCTTTCCGCGATGATATCTGGGTCTTGTTCGACTCCGATTCCAGAGTCGCGTGCTCGGTGAATCGACCATTGAAGAAAATCGTTTGGTTCAGTCGTGCCGAGTTTCTTCTCGAGATCGTCATCCTTACGATTGAGGAGTCTGACGGCATGCAATCTCCGGGCGGATTATAGTTGCGAAAGACTTGGTATGATGTCTATTTGGCCGGGCCATCAAGAGTGCCATCAGGGGACGCAAGGCTGTTGGGATTTGTCTCAGCAAAACAGAAGCCACGGGAACAGCCGTGGCAAACCCTATACCATGGTCAAGAAGAGCCTGATTCCGGCACCAAGGCAGGCCGACGAAGACACGATTGCTGGTCCTCGCTATTAGCTGCATCATCGTCTCGAAGACACACACTTCTCTCCATTGTGTCTCATCTGTGCCCCAGGTGTCATCGAAAGCCGCGCCAAGCTCGTCGACAATATCGCCGGTAAGATTACCGAGCTGTCTTGTAAGTTCGCTTTTCACAGTCTTATGGTGGAGAGGATTGCCGACCACGAAAGGATGAACGAACGTGAAATCTGTCTGAAGCAGGTCTTGGTGTGGTTCTTGGGCACTTAATACGCTTTCAGGTTGATTGATGAGCCATGTGATTGTCGAGGCTGGAAGTAGAATCTCAACGCCGTTGAGGCTGGGCAAAATGCAAGACTGATTGTTCTTCGAGTACTAATCAGATCAGTCAGGTGCTGGGTCTTGAGCAAGAAAATGTCTGACCAGTTCATATGCTTGATGAATTGTCTGTTTGTAGTTCACTGTGGAGCGAAACCTGGCGCGCAGCCTTGTGAAGAGCCCGCCATCTCTAGTATTAAGCCACGGTAGATCCGGAAGAATGAAACGTGGTTGACGACGACGACGATACCGCAACCACAACATCACAACTGTGACGACGGCCACACATGGCTTCAGCAAGTATTCAAGCATGGCAGACTGTCACCTCCTGGGAATGAAGATTCGCCGAATTTGTAGCAAGCGACAAGATATCAGGAATGAGGGGAAGATGTCAATACAGACTATAAACAAGATCGTTGTACACAATGCCCTCCGTACTGTACCATAGATTCATAGAAGGGATTTGTTCACATTGATTGAGTGTCATGGACAGAGAAGAGGAGTAGGAAGGAAATATGACTCTTCCAGTCAGCCGCAGCTGAGCGATCATCAGCTGGTAGAACTGAAGAAAGGCATTATCACGGCAACTGCAATCCAGTCAGCTAAAGGCAGCTGGGGATTGGCACATCTGGCTGCCGCAAGTGCTCATGCATGTTTCCACAGGAGGTTTGCCATGGGAGGTTTGCCATGGATCAGGCTGGGCTCGTCTATCGAATCAGAAGCGTCAAGGATGAGCAGAAGGAGGGCATCTGCAACAGACGGATCTCCGGTCAGCATCCATTGATAGGCTTGTCTTGCCACCTTTGACTGGTCTCTCTCTTATTCTTGCTGGTATAATGCTGAGTTGTAAGAATGTGCTGCATAATCCGGCTCGACAATATAACACACAAACCACCCACAGGGGTGGAGATGATTCAGGATATGACTCGCCGGTTTCAGGTGGAGATGATGCGCCGATGAAACGTGAGAATGCTGTCTCGAAGTATTCGATGGAGAAGTCTGCGATGCCTACCAGTGCACTCGCCTGAAGAGGATAGTTTACGAACAAACACGCCTCACCCGCCAGCTGTTGAGGTGTGTGAGGGAACTAGCAGCTGTCACAGGTTGCTTGAACTTGAGGGGTGCGTTCGCTCGACTGTGCAGGCATCCGAAGGGCTTCGACAAGAGGACAGCAAGGGGTAAGTATGGTACACCATACCGCAGGAGGTGGGCTCCGGCTGTGCAAGTAAGCAGCTGTATCAGCAGTCACTTGAACCACCACATCGTATACCTTGGCCAGCTGTCTGAGTCTGGACAAAGCTGCGAAGTTGCTGAAGGGTTGAAGAGGTTGAGGTTGAGGTTTAGAGAGCGGATGAGTTCCATGCTCTGTAGACTGCGGAAGGCCATAATTGGATCATGATAATAAACGTGGTAAACAGCCGCAGCTCAATTCGGTCAGACACGCATTATTATTATTACACGTCCGTCACACGCACGCGTCGCGATCCCCCAAAATTGAAGATAGAGAGATATCGACAGAGATGCATCCCACTCGCCCACTACTACGTACTAGTATGTTGCACTGGCAGTTGAGCAACAACAGTATTCCCTCCATTCCCTCCACTTATTCTCGACCCATGGTATTTCTCGTTCGTCGTCCTCGAAACTCTGGACTCGCAACACCCAGCGTCCTTCCAACCCGTGTGTGAAAGAAACTAAATTGTTCCATCCCGATCATTGACCGCCACCTGGTCATGCCATCGACCGACGCGAGTCTACGGCGGCCGTGTCTATGGCTGATTCACGATTGACTCGCGTCAGCGGGACCCTGACCTCCCTTTTCGAGAGCCTTGTGCCACCTTCCGACCTCGACCAAGACGATACCGATACCGAAGTCCGCATTGACCGAGCCATCCAGAATGCAAAAGACATTGTCTACCACGGCGACAGCCGGCTGCCAGCAGATACGAATCAAGCCCAAGACTTGATCAAAAGAAAACTACTACGAGAGAATGCATCCCCGGAAAAAGCGGCCAGGTTCGGGAATCTCTACTCACGCCTTCTTGCAATTCCCATCCTCAATCAGAAATGGGCGATCCTCTACCTACTCTACAAACTGTCGGAGCCGGCCACCACAGAACCGCATCCTCGCAACCCGTTGGCAGATTCAGACCAATTCGTGAACATCCCGCGCCGGCAGGCCCACTCTCCAGAGAAGTCGCTTGCTTCTGAAGATCAAGAGGAGGTCAGCGCATACCCTCCCCAGGCTCCGCTGCATCGAGGTCGCGCCTTTCCATCCAAACTGAGACATGAACATAATGACCAGGATGGGGTCTCGCAAGAAGAGGACGAGGACATTCGAGAAGCTGTCGAGCCCCCAGAGCAAGTCGCTGAGAAGCCGCTCCTAGCAAAGCAACAGCCACGAGTCACTGGTCCATCTGAGTTGGATTTGCTGCGAGATCTTCCATTCAATCTGCAGGGTGTATCTTCCGCACATCTCGAGTTCACCGCTACCACCACCGTCAAACTTCCCCCGACACTGCCGGTGCCTATGCTGTCCCTGCTCCATGCCCTGGCAGAACCCTGCTTGCTCTATCGAGGTCTGGCGGAGTATGCTGCAGCTCAAGATGGCGGGCTTATCGATCAAAGTCTACGTTCGGCCATCAATGACGAGTTGCGCTCGTATCTGACTCTGGTCGCTTCTCTGGAAAGCGAAATCAGACAGGCATTGGCCACTATTGAGGATAGTCACGATCTAAAGGCTGCCCGCATGATTGGCGTTACCCTGAAACGATGCTTGGTTTGGACCAGAGATGCCACAATGGGCCTCCGACTCATGAAACTAATTGTGGAAGACTCTAGACAAAAGCGAGGTGGTCAAATGATCTCCCTGATCCACAGCTTGTCCTCTTCACATGGCGACCCGTTCGTGGCCTCCTTTGCTGAGAGGCTCCTCTCACGTGTTGCACGCCCTTTCTACGAGATGCTGAGGCACTGGATCTACGATGGCGAGTTGATCGATCCTTTCCACGAATTCTTCATCATCGAACCAGATCCCAGTTCTCAACCGGCCATAGACCACCGACATGTGGCGACGTCCGTCTGGGAGGAGAAATATAAGGTTGACTCCAGTTTGGTCCCTTCCATCATCTCCCCCGAGTTTGCGCGCAAGGTCTTCCTCATTGGAAAGTCACTGAACTTTATCCGCCATAATTGCGGAGATTCTGACTGGGTCATCCAGTATTCCAAGTCGAACTCGAAGCCTTTGGATTATGCCAATACGGCAAGTTTGTCATTGTCGATCGATGTTGCCTACCGGACGACCATGTCGCGCTTGACTCACCTCATGTCCACGAAGTTTGGCCTGTTCACGCATCTAGCGGCCATCAAGAAGTACATGCTTCTGGCTCAAGGCGACTTCTTCGAACTTCTTATCGAGTCTCTCGCCCAACATCTCGACCGTCCTGTCAATTCCATGTATCGTCACAATCTAACATCACAGCTCGAACATGCCATCCGGCATTCCAATGCCCAGTACGATGACCCAGAGGTGCTGCGTCGACTGGATGCCCGTATGCTTGAGCTTTCCACCGGTGAAATCGGTTGGGACTGCTTCACCTTGGAATACAAGATTAGTGCACCTTGCGATGTGGTCATCACACAGTGGGCCAACACTCAATACCTTAAAATCTTCAACCTACTTTGGCGCATCAAGCGGGTTGAATTTTCTCTCAATTCGACTTGCAAACGCTGTATGACAGGGGGCCGTGGTGTTTTGGCTGCAGTCAGTGACAAGTTGGGAAATGATTGGAAGCGCTCCAGGTGTGTGGTGGCTGAAATGGTACATTTTCTCAATCAACTGCAATACTACCTTCTTTTTGAAGTGATCGAGGCCAGCTGGGAAAAGCTGCAAGAGGCCCTTCACAAGCCCGAGGCTACTCTTGATGATCTGATCGAAGCACACACCACATATCTCAACAATATCACGAAGAAAGGTCTCATCGGTCAGCAAAGACATCCGGTCACGGGCCAGCAGGAAGACAGCCTGGTTGTTCAAGTGCATCACATCTTGAAGTGTATGCTCGGCTACCGTGAAATCATCGATTCACTGTACTCGTACAGCGTTGCCGAATATACCAGGAGGCAACAGTTCAGTGCGAAGATCGAACAGCGGACAGCGCAGGGAAGATGGGGCATCACAGAGAGGGATGTCCTGGGCGATTCGAGAGCAAGCACACCGACTGCGCCGGGAGGAAGACGACCTTTGAAGGGGGCACAGCTGCTGCCGGAAGATAGTGACTCTCCTGTTCCACCAATGGCAAACTTGGCTATGACGGACGACGAGACTCATCTCACCTCGCTGCGATCACGGCAGTTGAATTTATCTGCCGAATTCCGCTCACGGTTGAGCATGTTGCTGTATGATCTGGCGCACCAACCAGATGTCAATCTTCGTTTCCTGGGAGTGGTCATGAACTTCAACGAGTTTTATCAACCGGTCAATGTCCGAAGACAACAAGCGAGGCGCGCAAGAGAGAAGCGGGACTTGGAGAGAAGGGCTCGCGAAGCGAACATGTCTTCCGAAGTGAACATCTCCGAAAAGGATCTCAACAGCTCCACCAGTAAGACTTGATCAGCATTTGTCGGCCAGGGGGCAACTCAGTCCTCATCGCGCCTCAGAGGTACGAAGCTTTCGCACGGATGTCTCCGCTGGGAAGATCCCCATGGTGCCGCTACCGGTCATCGGAAAGCAGTCGCGTCGTCGGTCTAAGGGGGAACCCCTGCCTTGGCCGACATTCCTACCTAGAGACGACTCCTTAAACGTTTCCAACGACAATTAGAGGACGAGAATATACCGCCCTCTGACACACCGGCATGAGGGCAGGCATTGAACAGGTGGCAGTGCTGGTCTCCTGTAGGGAGTATGACCAGTTCTCCCCCGGCGGAAAAAATGCCAATGGCCCTCGAATTCGTCAGTCCCCTACTGGTGTAGATAGGCACAGGTGGCCATCGCATGAGGCTTGAGTCCTGATTTCCTGGCATATGTCGCCGCGTCCATGCTAAGGCCAACGTACCTCTTGCTTGAGAGCCGAGCATCAAGAAATAGCATTGACGTTTACTGAACTCGAAAACGAGAGCTGGAAATATGACTTCCAAGCCAGATTCCAGTTAGGTCACCGTTGGTTCATTTGCAACTCAGTTGGTCATCGACTCTGTTCTCAGTCAATTCGGGCATCTCCCATAATAGTTATGTATGTCGAAGAGGAAAGAAGCATGATCATTGATGCGTGAGTTGGGTACAGTGCTGGCTGCTTTTTTCTGACGAGTGCCAACTGTCGCAAGTCCTTGATGATGATCCGGAACACTCTGTTCCTTCTGGGGACTAGGCCTCGAGCTGCCTGGAGATGGAATTAATATATATCATCTTCTCGTCTCATGTCACTTTTTCCAGAGCTAGCTGGTCGGTTTCCCTCTGATATAATGAATCAAAGACCCAGTCTCGATAGACAGGTTTTCCCTCCATGTGGCCCTTGCTGATCTTATGATAAACGAAAGATAATAGCAATGTTTGAATACCTTAGTAGTAGAACATTCCATGCTTTCAAGGGGGATAGGGATAACTCGTCATCCAATCATCACAAATCCAGGCGTAAGATTTAAGGCACATTGAATCCACCACAACGAGAGCCATGGCCAGCAGACAGACCATACATATCACATACTAGTTTTTCAAAGGCAATGTTTTCCAACATCAGAGTCAAAGTCAAGAATCAGAGTCGTGGTCACATATCCGTAGTCCAATATCATATCCATTGTCCACCAACACCATGATTCCGGCAACTCATTGCGTTTCGTCTCGTCTCGTTTCATCTCAGTTCATTTCATCTTATCAAGCAACAGGCCTGATCTTCCCCTTGAACTTTAACTCCTCAGCCTCAGGAACCGTTTCTTCAAGAACACCTCCAGCAGTCAGTGCCCACTGCGGAGGTGTGGGTGTAGCTGTCCCAGTGGCAGGACGGGCACGACCAGAGATCGGTCGGCATGGCCAAATGCGGCCACTGGTGTCACCAGCAGCAGCAACAAGCCGTCTGTCCCCAATAGACTCGTGGATGCGCTCGTTAGTCCCCTGCGGCGGAAGGCGACCTTCGTTAGGAGTGCGGACTCCAGACTTCCGGCGCAGAACGAAGTTGGTGGCGGCCCAGAAGGTGTCTTCGGCGGCAGTCTTCAGCTGGGACGGTAATCCTGCCAGCTTGGACGGTATTGCTGTCAAGAATCCCAGAAGACCGTTGCCATTGCCAGTTGCTGCTTTAGGCGGATAATTTGCGGTGGGCCAGGGAGTGCCGGGAGAGGATGATGCCGGACCACCGACAAGCAAATACGAATCATCAAAAGACAATGTCTTGGTCTTGCTGCATTCGGCAATCATCCATCCCAGAGCGATATCAGCCAATGCGGAATCGCTGCCTCCCCCGCCAATGGCATGGGTACCGCAGAACCAGACTTGTTTTACAGTTGGTCCAGTTCCAGAAGAAGTACCAGTTCCGGCATTAGAGGTGGGACCGGGAATGATTGTCGAATCCCAGAGTGTGGGCCAGAAAGCTTCACGGGTCTCATCCAACGAGAGGGCATGGAACCCATACTTGACCTTGGGTGAGAGCGCGGTGTTGTAGAACTCGAACTCCTCATCGCCCAGCCCAGCACCATGGAATCCAACGGTATCCCAGACGCCGATGATTTCAACACTCTTGTCCGCTCCTGGATGCAGTTCGTTGTCGGCCAATTCCCCGAGTTTGGCCATGTCCGGCTGCGCCTGACCCGGATTGAGTTTCTTGTTGATGCTGTAATAATATTCCTGGTACACGCCCGGAAACCGGTCCATGCCTTTCTTCGTCAGTAACCCCAAAGTGGTGACGAGGCCGGCAATGGCTCGCGCAGTGTATGCGCCGCGCGACCAGCCGAAGAAATAGATCTGGTCGCCTTTGTTGTAGTTGTGGGCGAGGAACCCGTATGCAGCTCGGACATTGGCAGAGAGGCCGGCCCCGTAGACTCCTGTTCCACGCGTGTAAGTAAGTCATCGTATCAAGACGACTGCTCGATGACAATTGGTCTGCAGGGTCTTCCTATGACAGAAACACTCGGCCACCCAGCAAGCCAAAACGTTCGAAAGGCATCACAATGCAACAACAAATGAAAAGAAGGTAGGGAAGTCTCCCTTGTTTACTTCGGATATCTTGTAGACTTGTCCTGAGTGACTAAGAATGGGATCGGAACAGAGGAAATGAGGAGTAGCGAGAAGGGGGACACAGAGATGGTCCATTGGTTCTTGGACGAGAGGATGAATGAGATCGCTTACCTCCTGTGGCTTTATCCACCTTGTCACCGGTCCCCACGCCCGGCTGATAAAATATCATCTGCGGCACATTCTGGCCATCTTTGTCTCCGATTTGGCTCAGCGCGCGAGAGAAGCGTGTCACGTTGCTCGGGTAGCTGCCTGTTTCGCCACTGGTTGAGTTCTGCCAGGTCCCTATATATCCAAACACACATGAGGTAGTCAGTGTCAGTCCGTATAAATTCCGAGCTTAGTATCATGCCAATCAACAAGAGACATTCGACAATGGTTATCGATTGGGATTTCAGATATCTTTCCTGTCATTCCTCTGTCTCTTCCCGTACAGGAGGGCTAGTGGTGGTGAGATGTATTCCCGAAACTGAACTTACCATCACAAAGAACGATCAGACGCTTGGCCGTCGTGCCTGTGTTCAAAGACGCCATCTTTCCACAACAGTCGGAGGTAAGGGCAAGGGCAAGGGCAAGGGCAAAGACGACGACAAGTTCGACTCCCAACCACTGTTGAGGGAGATCGGGGTTTCAAGTTGAATTTCCGGGTTGAGACTCAACTTGGTCTTTTTCCAGACTTCAAACAAGTGCGACTGCACAAGTTACAGGAAATAGATCTTATCCGGGGATCTAGATAGACCTGTAGATTGAGAAAGGTTTGAAGAACAGCCACGCTCATAACCACGACCAGGCTGGCAGAGAAGGGAACCTTGATATAGATGGTCATATAACAGAAATGCGCGACAGGTCTCATACGAACCTAATGCACTGCTCAGCCAGGATTTCTGGGCATCCTCCACAGCTGACGCTCCTAGTTGAGTCTGAGGACTTACAATTGGACCAGGGACAGAATCAGGGTCAACTCACAGCCTCAGCCTGAGCACCATTTGCTTTTGGTGAGCGGAGTTGCCTCGTCGAGTTCAGGTTCGCGAGAACCTGCTCCGAGAGGTGCTGCGCTGAGGCAGCGACTACTAGCATGCCAAAATCATCTGCTTGGGCTTGGCTAGTGAGTCAAGTTGCCTTCTTTTGGTATAGTCCCTGGTGGGAGTATGAAGGGCCCGGGACTTCTCCCGCAGGGACTCTCTTGACAAGAGCTGAAATCATGGAAAGCCTGGCTTGCAGTGTATGCTGTGGGTGGACAGAAGCCTGGTCGAGCCAAGCGAAGGCATTCCAAGGCAGTATTGGAGGGGTGATTCAGGTACGTATCGAAAACGCTGCCGCATGCCCTTCATTGGTTAGTAATCTGTGAACCAAGCGAAGGCTGCCCCAAGAGTCTCATGGTCAGGGGCCAGAAGACAGAGGCCAAGGCTGCACCCCTCGGATTCCAATCCGTATATGCAACATGAGCCTCCGCCCTGGCCCCTCAATTGACAAAGCCAGAAGTGTTGCGATAGGTCATACAATCCATTTCATTCGAGCGTTTTCTCCTAGGGATCGATCACGATCTTCGTGTGATTATCGTATCCACCGATGTCCTTTTGGCACTCAACAACGGATGAAAATCATACTTGAAGTCCCTCAGCGGTCGTTATGGACCTTCCGCTGACAGGAATCAGATAAGGTCGAGACTTTTGCGTCATTTCCAATACCGGCCCACTGGGTCGATTTTTGGCGAAGGACGGAACGGGCGTGCTTCCATAGGCAGACCAGATCCATTAGAACACGATTGGATATGACGGGAAACGCCAACAGAACTCGATCATTAAGCTACTGCCGCTGGCTTCGCACGCAGCAAGCGGCTGGGGCTGGGCTTCAAAGAGCCAGAAGAAAGATGCATGTGGGCACATACCGTCGTTCGGAGAACCAATCACACGCCGAGGCCATCATGTCCCAGTCGTCGCCAAGGTCATCCTGAAGTGAACAGCATCCGTATAGGCACGAGTCTATGTAGCCTTGGACTTCCTTCGCCAGGTATCGATGCACGCGGCTTGATTTGGTGAGTTGGGGCATGGACTCGAAGACGCTTTTGTAGCAGATCAACAAGGTAACCAGCATGACTTTCGCTCGGGCATGAGCTCGATGATGCTTTTGTAGCAGATCGAAATGGTAACCCCCATAACTTTCGCACGCGCTGGCCTTGATCCATGATTGGGATTCGACATGGAATTTGCCGTCCACTCAGCGCGAGCGACCAGGACGCGAGTCTGGTTCGGCGCACGATCTTGAGGAGGGGCTGCTGACGAAGCGCAACTAAGGTTTTTTTGGTGATGTCGCGTCATACATTCTGAGCGCCATACCCATCTTCATATCTTCATGGCAGCAGGTGCGTGTCCGCTGAAGCCGCACAATACGGTTGCCTCCGTCCAACACGTTTATAGTTGGAGCAAGATGGTGGAAGGAAGGCATTGAGCGCGTCGTAGAAAATGATCCGAGCACTGGCTCTTGAGTCATCGGACAGGCCCGAACGAGGAAGAATACCTATCGACGTAATCCGTTCTTCATGGTTACGAGACGCCGATCGGCTGAAGGAAGTTACAGGCGGGAGGGGGAACGGAGTGTGTCCCGACGGGTTGAAGCCTCGAGAGCGGACATTGAAAGCATCCTTCTCTGCGCTGGCGTCTGGGTTGGATGATCCTTGGATCTGCCATTGGATTTAACCTGCATGGCCGACGTCAGTGAGGCTCACACCGTGTCGTCTTCTAACCAGGTGGTCGATCTTCTCTGTCCATCCGAAACGGCACCGGGGAGTCCATCTTGTCGAAGCATGTCGTCGAGACAAACGCTGAGGGAGCGGACCACCTTTATTTCTAACCAGTAGTAAGCAGGATTTGAACCAAGAAAAGATCGTCACGTGCTAGCCAGCATTGTGCCTCACGTGACACAGGCTGACCATCGATTGGAATCACGTGAGCAGAGACATATACGACCATGTATCCGTTTATTTTGTTACCACGCACGAAGCCTCGCACCATTTTCTGATGGGAGATTCAGTATATTCTCACATCCTTTCATCAGGATAGTGTCTCTGCTCTGATGTGCTACGGTATCCAGGGTGCTTTGTAAGCGTAATCCCAACCAATGCATGGACAGCCGACGCTGATGCTCGCTTCCAAACTCCTCGCTATGGGTCAAGCAAGCTTCCGAAGATCGAACATAGCTGCTCCGCAAAATCCAAGCTGGTAATGCATTTGGCATGACCAGATTAGAGGGGCCCAGGTCAAGCAGCAGCATCAGCTTCTCTCGCAATCTCCTGTTCTTCTTGAGCGTCGGCCTCTTCAAGCTCGCGTTCCAGTTCTCTGGCAAGCTCGTCGTCTGAATCTTCTTCCTCGGCTTCCTCAAGTTGCTGTGCCTCCTCAATCTCTCGCTGTTCTTCGCTGATCTGCTCGTCCGTCTCTCCGGCTATGGGCGTGTTTCCGCCTTCCGACTCTCTTTCACTGCTGACGTTCGCCACCGTCTTCAGCGCGCTGCCAGCACCATTTCTTCTGATAGTTGGTGATCTCGCAATGTCGCCGGTCGGATCATCCCCACCGCCATCATCGTCTCGTCGTCGCTTGTTTGAACGGCGCTCGCGGAAGCTCAAGGCGGAACTGACTGAATCGGTGTCGCTCTCACTTTCAGCCTCGCTGCCCATGAACTCTTTGAGCTCGGCGTCTATGTCTGCCCACTCATCTTGGTTGATCGTTATCGGACTGCCATCGTCGACGAAGTCCTCGAAATTCTCATCAGGGGCGCCTTCCTGCTGGTTGACATCCAACCTCAGCTTTTTCCGTGCGGGTTGGTCATCTTCAGTATCCCCTCCTTCAGTCTCACCATCCGACGAACTAAGAATGAAGTCGTTGGCTGTGATGTTCGACTTGTCCGGACTATCACCAATGTCACCAATGTCACCAATGTCACTCGAGGCGTCGTGCTTTTGTCCGCCGACCCCTTCGAGGAAATATGGCTTTTCGTCCAGTTTCCGCCACTGTTGCATGGATTCGATCAACCATGCAGTCCCCACAACCTTGATTCCCCGTTTCACTGCTTGCTTGACCTTAGCGGTGCCTGGTCGGGCCGCGACCACATGCGTGACTCCTCGGCCTACTTTGTCGGTAATGGTAGCTCCAAAGGTCTTCGCCCATGTGCTGATGTCGGCATTCTGAATGTCGGTCCCCAGAGGCAGCACACCGCTGAACACGATGGTCACCCCAGCAAGCACCCTCACCTTCATCGCCGGCATGATCCGCTTGATATCGGGTACCAGAAGTAAGTCCACAGCTACTCCGTCTTCTTCTTCAGCGGTCGGTAACGGCGCCTTTCGTTGTCCGGCCAGGGCAGCGACCCGACCGCCCTTGCCAGCGAGCCGCTTTCGGTCGTATTCGGAGTAGAAGGCGGCATGCACAGCTGTGAGGCTTGCTTCAAGGTGAATCAATTCCTCGTCGTCGTTTTTCAGGATGCTATGGCGAGCTTTGGATTTTGGAGAGGAAATTGTTTCCGATGAGTCCGAAGAATCGCTCGAGTCCGAATCGGTGGCTTGCGATGCTGTTGGCTCCCCGTTAAATGTAGCCTCGGCGTCATCCTTCTCGTCCTGCTCCAGTTGCATCTTCAACAGGGGTTTATCCTCCAGCTGTGACGTGATGAGCTCCTCTTGACCTTTAGTCTGCAGTTCTCGAACCGCTGGGTCATCACCCCCGCTCATGGCTATGAGATGCTCAAGGGCCGAGGTTCCATTCTGAATGGTGGAAGTCCCATCTTCGGCAACACCGTTGGATTCCTCCTCACCAACCTCGCTCTTTTCGTTGCCGTTTTCTTCCGGCTTTTTGTCTTCTTCCGATTTCGGCGTAGTCTGTATCTCCTGCTTTTTGGGCAAAAAGCTGGAATTGATATCGCCTATACCGACGAAAAAGTCAAACGGGCGCACACGGATCAGGTTGGCACTCCATTTCCAAACATCTCCTCTGTCATCGATGATGACCACCATCTTTGTATCGACAGGAAACAGTCTCTCAAGGTTCTTGGCAACCATACTTCCGCTCTCATCTCGGCTGAGGATGCGATCTCCAAAGAATTTGCGATCCGGGTCGACGATCGCGGCAATCTGTTGGGCATATTGACGGGTTCCCATCGTGTAGATATGCATTTCGTACAATTGGGAAACGTTCTCCAAGAATTCGATGAGACCAGGCCTCAGCTTGATGTAGTACCAACAACCTCGCATGCCAGGCCCATCATCAATTAGCTGGAATGCACGCACATCCTTGACAGCCTCATAGTTTGGATTATCTTTGTCTTTCTGCCATTCAGCTATCGTGGGATCCACCGCAGCATGAATAATTGTCTGATCGAGATCAACGACCAACGAGAGTTTGCGCGCGGACAGAAGGCGGCGTTTTGATTCCTCGTCAATTCGACTTGCCTCTTCTTTGCTGATAGTCAGATGCGGGGTGTCATGGGCCATGCGGATTGGTGCACGATCGGCATCTGTGGTCTCGCTGCCTGCCTGGACACTGGGTAATGGTCAGCATCGGACGCGAAAGCTTGATTGAGTTGCGGAGCTTACGTTGTCATATCTTTCCCACAGTTGGTGCACATACCCAGGAACTGGACGGTATGGGGGCATTCTTCTTCAATCTCACAAACATCTTGCCTGTGCGCGTTCAGCAATCTGGCCCGACAAGGTTGGTTCCGCAGAGCACTTACGGTTGAGTCAAGACATCTCCTTCCCAGACCCGCCATCCCTTGATTACTCCTTCAAGTGTGCTGGGAAAATGTGTGACAAACTTCTTCTCTACTTCTTCCTCTTCATCATCATAGCGACTTCCTTGCTTGACCTTGGTAGTATAGGAGTAGAGGAATAGGTCGTCGTTAAGGGCGATAAACTCGCCCACCCGCTTCTCTACTTTGATGATTGTGAGAGGGTAATGGAGGCTCTTGGGGAGTCGTAATAGCATTCCGAACGCGAATTAGTTGTGACGGACATTGACTGACGCATGTAACTGGAGTCTCGGCCAAAATGTCGGGATGCTAGAGCAGACCAAGATGACCGTTGTTTGGGGTTTTGCGGCGCTCAGTTGCAGCAGTTGGAACGAGGAGGAAAGGGCAGTCGTCGTCGGTGAGGAGATCAGAGCCCTGGGACGCGAAGTAAGCGCTTGAGGAATTGGAGAGCAAGAGAGTGGAGGATCGTGCGCTCCTGTCGAGGGCGAGGGTGACTGGTATTGAAGGACAAAGGGAGGAGGGCTGTTGCGCGTTGTCTGGACAAGCCGCGGAATCAGTATGTTCAAGGTTATTGTCCAATAGCCCAGAGCGACCGCAGTTGGGCCAGGGTAAGATGTGGGATTTGAGAGTTGATCGCTGATCAGGGCACAGTTGAAGGTGTTGGTAGTAATCTTTAGTATTTGCCGTAGTAGTATTCTGGTGTGGGTAACCCACTGCGCTCAGGGTCAATCGCAGTATGTATGGTGTGGTGTAGCAGTTTAGGTACCTCAGGTATTATCGAAGGTTAAGCTGCCAGTGCCAGTTCCAGCCTGAGTGCGGGCAACGGGGAACAGCCGAAGCTCTTATGCTCAATGGCCACAGTATGTCACTAACACCTAGTGGCTTGGCGGATCGGTACTGCCCCGCCTATTTCCGCAAGTGACAAAGAACGCATCTGCTACTAAAGTCGTTAGTCAGAATCTAGATTCCTAGGCTGCATACTCTGTACTATAGCGGAGATCACGAGATCTGCATACTTCGGAATGCGCACTCCACCGGCACACCACAACTTTGACAGGCATTGCACGCACGCGCAGCTTCAATTGCGTCAGATGGTCCAATACCGGTTTACTACCATGAGGGAGTGAGTTATCTCATTTAGTGGGAGCCTGCGAACGGTCTGGATCATGTTCTAGACATTTGTGCTTGCGCTTGTGACATCCTGCCTATGAAGTGAAAGTTGGGGGCTGTTACAACAGAATGTAAGGGTACGTAGGTATAGTGGGCGTAACCAGTTTTCGAAAGACCTAATACTCCTCTCCAACGTCCCGACCACGTGATTAAAGGGTTAACTTTCCAGCGTTGCAGCATCTCACTCCTCACCAGGCTTCCTGACCTTAAACAACTCACTTGGCACGGGCAAGAGCAACTGCATCGTTGCCGAGGTCATAGACGCTGTACCACTTCCGCAAGAAGCTGCACCATGTCAGAAGATGACAATACAAGAGAGGATTGGAGAGGATGACTTACCTGTCACCGAGAATGGCCAAAGGACCAGTAGGGGCCGGGAAATCCATGCCCATGAAGCTGCTGATGCAGGAGCCTTGAACCTCGAGGATATAGTCGTAAGCGGTGATGGAAAAGTTGTATCCGCTGAGGGTGAAGCTGACGTCCGGGAGAGAATCGCGCTTATCACACTCGACGGTGTATTGGCCGTTGAATCCCTTCTTGGCACCAATCTCCTTGTTGAGCAATTCAGCCAGAGTGGATGGAAGAGCAATCAATGAAGTTCCAGTATCAAGGATGACACCAGTGTTGTCGAGATCAGCAGTCGCCTTGCCAAAGGTGATGGAATCCAGGTTGACTTCCCAGTAAGCCTTACGGCGAAGGGGAATCTTGATCATCTTGCCAGTGTAGTGGTCCTTGTCCACTCCACCAAAGGTTGCCTCAGACTCGGCGCCGTCGTTGGTGTTACCGAGGTAGAAGGCGAAGACAGGTTCATCTATGAGCTTCTGGTCGATCATGTTGTAGAACGGCGGCGGAATGTGGTTGACAGAGATAGAATCGTAGCCCAAGCCAAGGATTCCATCGAATCGTCCGAAGGCGAATGCCAATCCTGGCTCGCTGGTAGCCTCTCCGAAGAGCTGGTCCTTGATCGTGAGATCTCCAATACGCAGGATATCTTGAGAGATGAAACCAGCCACCTCGCCAGAGCCGTATCGAATACCGAACTCGGAGCCATTCTTCTTGTAGGTTGATGATTCAGACGAATCATACTTTTGGTGGAGGTAGCATGCAATCGAGCCGCAGGAGGAACTAGGGACCCAAAGGTTGGAGCTGCCGGTATCAAGGACCACCTTGAACTCCTGCGGTGGTGTCCCAAGAGCGATGGTACTGAAGTCTGCTCGGGTCAGCTAACCACCCAGATACACAAGATGGTTCATTCTTACATTGCGCGTTCAAGAAGTTCTCCACGGGGACATCGTGAGGGCCGTCAATGTCGATGGAAGTATGCCGGAAGATGTCCTCGGACGGACCTCCCAACGTCTTCTGAGTGTACTTGTGACGGAGGGCTCGCAAGTGGTCACCGATGTTTGCAGCGCTCTTGTCATCAGAGTTAGAGAGAGCACTACAAGCAGAGAGCGGCGCTTGCACATACCAGTTGTTGCTCCAAGGGCACCTTCTGGAGCTTCATACGGTGCATGCCGGCATTAGCACCACCGAGCAGCGCAGCGGCTGCGACGATGAGGGTGTTCTTCATACTTGCAACCACTTGACGCTATGAAGGAGGAGAGGAGCGGCTGAGGACAAGCTGCGTGAAGATGCAGCGGATGATGGTTTGTTGATAGGAGGATGACAAGACGCAAGGACAATGCGTAGTATGTAGTAGGAGGAGGGATGGAGATGGTGGCTGGGCGACTGTTGCGAAGGCGGAGTGGCTGTGACCCAAACTTGACCCGTGACTTGAGACTTCCACATCCGTCACTCAGGCGGAAGGAATGACGAAGCCAGACTGGGTACCATTGTGCCATGATGCTCTAGGCTCCCGCCAATCCACAAATTATTGGTACCTGGAGTAGGTGCTGATGATCCCTAGACGTCTGCTAGTAGCGACTTCTAAGGTACCAGAGGCCGATGGTAGGAGCTTGTGGGCCATAGGGTCCCCTAGGCGTCCATTTAGCTACCATTATTGTTCCCCCGCCACCTGCCCCAACCCTCTATCTCTTCGATCTCCCTGATAAGTACAGGTATAGTAGAACGCTGTGTCCATTATTGCACTACTAGGCGCTATTGAGGCGAACGACATCTACTACTGGCAGTTGATATATACGTGATCTTGTATAGATATCTGATCACTTCGTGAAGTCACTTTCTGAACTTTACTTCATAAGTAGGTACATTAGGCATCTATGCCTGCTACCTACCTAAGTACCCCTTAGGTCTCTTGGATGATCACTTAGAAGGTTTCTGAACCCCAATATTAGGAGCATCGTCTGTTTCAGATACGCATCAGCAAGGGTTCTCCTTGACTGCATCCAACCAAGTTTTGCCATCAATCCACAATATCAGTCGTCACTGTCACTGTCACTGTCGGTGCTGGACTCGCTGTCCTCGTCTGTATCATCGTCACTACTGCCGCTACTGGACGTCTCCTCGTCAGCCTGGCGCTGCTTCGTAGCTTCTCCATGATTGTCGTCAGTGTCTGTATCGCTGTCGGTGTCGGTGTCGCTGTCACTCTCACTGGAGCTGGAGCTGGAGCTGTCATAGTCCACAACTGCAGTCCTGTTTTTTCTCTTCTTCTCCTTGTGTGTTACCTTCGAATCGCTATTGGTGTACACATCTCCCGGCTTGCCATTCCGTCCAGAGAGTTGTGCGACACTTGAGGCGAGTTCTTGGTCGTCGAAACCCAGGCTCCAGAGCAACAATCTAGCCCGCGATTGCTGCCGAATCCAGGTCACATACTCTTCGTTCGCCTCTCCCTCGATCTGGGGCTTAAGTTCGTCCCGAAGGTTCTGACGGAATGTCCGAGAGAACTCTTCATGTCGGGAGTCACTTTTGTCCTCTTGTTGGGCATCTTTTCCACTTGGAGAATCTCCCTCCTTTCGTAGCACGTCGATGCACTGTGAACGCAGCCTCTCACGGGCACTGGCGCCTTGTAGGCCATGGATATATTTTGTCAACGAGACATCATACTCCCTGGGGATGTCCTCCTCGGAAAATATATGCTTCAAGATCCAAGTCTCTCGGTTCTTGTTGAACTTCCACTCTGAACGGGTTCGGTAGTATTGCTCGAGATAATCAAGAGATGCATTTGATTTCTTGACAGGCTCCTGTTGCGGGATTTTATTGGACTTCGACTTAGGCTTCTTTGGTTTAGCCCGGGACTCATGGGACTTTTGGGACTCTTTAGGGTTGGAATCCTGGTCTGACGACGAGGCTGCTGAGGCCTCGGCAATGGGCTTTGTGTCAACTGAGAATGACACTCGTTTCTTCGGCTTCTTCGTGTGGTGTCCCTCACCAGGTTGATTTGCCTGGGATGTGCTTGGTTTGCTCTCAGCAGTCGTGGAATGGCCGTTCGTTTCTGGCTCAACCTTTCGTTTCTTCTTTGGTGGTTCGGAGGGAGCAAGCTGGTCCTTCCCTGATTTTTGGATGGTGTGTTCTTGATTACAATCAGAGGTTACAATAGGCTCTGGCGAATCCTTCGCATATTTCAATTTGAGTCCGAGTCTTTTCCAAGCTGGAATTCCCGCTTGCTGCATGGCCGCTTGGTGAGCCGAGGCTGGCGATGTACGGCCAACGGGGAAGGTGTTTCAACAAGAGGACTCGATGGGAAAGTTTACCAGACCACTAAATAGGAAACATCTACTCGGTACAACAAGTAATAGGGTATCATGAGAAGCTGAGATTTCAGATATCGACTCAAACTGCTACCAGACAATTTGTCCTGGAGAAACTTTTCGTTCAGCCACACATATGTGGCGGTGCAATGCCCGGGGACTCGCGTTAAGTGGCTGTGATCCTTCTATGACAATTGTGCTTGAGCCTAGCGCAGGCACCGTGAACTTGCGCGTTGACAACCTCACCAAGTTACTGTACGATCAGTCAACTGCCCATCGCCAAACCTATCGTCCACGCCATCTCACATCTTGCCAACCAAATTCAGTATCCTAGAGAGGTTGAATTGGACATAAACGCTGCACACCAGGTGCAACTCATTTCGAGTGAAGGTCAATCAAGATGTCAGGTTCGTACTCTCAGGTCCTGCAGCCGTGTCGGTTTCATCGAGCTAACCAAGGCCACCTCATTAGGGAGCGCGGGCTACGACCGGCACATCACTATCTTCTCAGACCAAGGCCGTTTATATCAAGTTGGTACGTTCTGCCCTGTTGAAGGCTCTGCAATGGGGCCCTGCAGGCTCTCTACTGTACCCTGCGAATGGACGATGCCTTTTCAGTAAGGCCCTGTGCACATACCTGATGCTAACTCCAATGTCTAGAATATGCCTTCAAGGCCATCACCGCAGCCAACATCACATCAGTGGGAGTACGTGGAAAGAATTGCGCTGTAGTCCTGTCTCAAAAGAAAGTACCGGTATGAGCACAATTCCATATTCCTCCAATCCTTCCTGTTTACTCACACCGCTGCCTTAGGACAAATTAATCGATCCCTCCTCTGTCTCCCATGTCTTCAGACTTTCGCCCTCGGTCGGATGCGTGATGACAGGCTCAATAGCAGATGCTCGTGCTTCGGTTGATCGAGCTAGAGGAGAGGCGGCGGAGTTTCGATACAAAAACGGTTACGAGATGCCTTGTGACGTGCTGGCCAAACGGTTGGCAAACATCAACCAAGTCTATACACAACGGGTAAGATGGTTGTAATTCCGCAGGAGACTCGAGCTAATGGCATAACAGGCATACATGCGACCTCTGGGTGTGGCAACGACGCTGATTTCGGTCGACGAGGAATTCGGCCCCCAACTCTACAAGTGTGATCCTGCTGGGTACTATGTCGGATACAAAGCAACGGCATCTGGACCCAAACAGCAAGAGGCCCTGAATCATCTGGAGAAGAAGCTGAAAAACAAGGACTGTGCACCCGGCGGCTGGGAGGAAGTGGTGGAACTTGGAATCAGCACTCTCAGCACTGTTCTCAGCGTCGACTTCAAGAAAGGCGAATTAGAGATTGGCATTGTTGGTGGGCCAAAGACAGACGGGAGTGAAGGTACGGACAGGGGGTTCAGGACACTGACAGAGGACGAGATCGAGGAGCGACTACAAGCCATCGCGGAGCGGGATTGATCTCCAGGCCGTTATTTGGCAAATGAATGAAAGTCACTGCATCAAGCACCCGTCCGACCATTGAGGAGCAATGACCCATCTTGGACAACTACGCTGGACAGGGATCTTTCTATGGATCAGCTTCACCATATCGGCACTCAGTAGGCGGGCATGTATGGGGGCCATGGGTAGGGTGACTTTCAGCGCTCTTGTCGAGCTGAGGCTGGATGATGTAGACGGAGGTCACGGTTGGATGTGGGAAGGGCACCAAATCTCCTGCTCACAGATCAGTGGTTCGGACCTCCACCATGATCCGCTTTCGAAGTTGATGACACCTCTGGAGCGTTATCTGACGATGCAGGAGAGAGGTCTCGTTCCAGCCTCACGAGCATGGGACAACGTACTTAGCTTCAGATTCCAGGGTCAGGTGCGTGACTAGCGGAAGAGTGAAAACAGTGGCTTACAGTGGCTGTGTGAGCTGGATCAGAATCAACAAATAGCCATCGAGTGATTCCACAAGCTGTAATGTCGTGCTAGGGCTGTACCTTAGGGAGCAGAGAACATACAAGCCACCGATACATAGACGATAAAGTAATGGCGGTATGGAGGTCAAAGGCCAAAGTCCAGCGCTCTGGCAGTTGGGTCTCCCCGTAGCCATGCCAGGGACTACTAGATACCTTAAGTCTGCGTAGTGCCGTTGCCGACCGTTCGACACGAACTGATCCCTGTGCCATGCAGAAGCGAGGTGGATATCAATATGACCACGGGTCAAATGAACAAGCCCATAGCAGCGGAGCATGGTCTGAAGACGGAGAGTGAACACTTCAGCTGCAGTGTGTACACCCTTGCAGGCCAGCATCAATCTTGCTACGCTTGTTCCTGCCACACATAGATACAGACACACGATATTCTCGCTGTAGAGGCGCTTCGACTGCAGTGCATGAAGCACCGACTGCCGCATTTCTCAGCTGTCCGCATTTGGTCAAGCGCACCCGTTGGCCTCAGATTGGGTCGGATTAGTTCAGCCCAATCTGGCTCTAGAGACCACTCAGATGCACTCTAGCTCACCGCTATTCCCAATCTGGTACAACTTAGTTGTCGGGGGGGGCGCTTGCCATTGGGTACCAGGCAGCCCTAAATTTATTCCAAGTCACCCTAACGTACTAGTAAGCCAGACTGCAGACTGCAAGTCTGGTGTCTTTCTGGTCAATACCGTGACTGGCAGGGAACTCAAACCACCTTTCCGCCCCGGCATGCCGTGTAATCACGCCTTTCTTGCAAATTCCATCCCATCCCATCCCATGCCACCCCATCCGTCCATCCATCAATCAATCACGGTCCCAGTGAGCCTTGACGCCCTGACCAACGCACGCACACGTGTGAAGAAAAAGAGCTAGGCAAGAGATATCAGATCCACCCGAAACCATCGATAGCCCTACCATGCACATGGCCATCATGCCGCGCGGTGCCCGGTCACGGTCTCGTCTCCAACTGCCGCAATACCTACTACTACCACCATCACAACGATATCCTGCATGCTTGCTTGCGCTGCGCAGGCCGCCGAACTGACCACGGACCAGTGACCGTGACCATAATGATTGCGACAGTCGGTGGCTTGCAAGGCGGGTGCTGATCAGTCAGTCACAGCAGAGCCTCGACAGATCCACAGCCCCGAGCTGCAACATGGCGACGTGTCTGGCGACGGCGGTATTGCCCAATGGCCCTACTGCATCCGACCAAGCCCTTTGCTGGCCCTTCACAGCCGTGTCATCTTTAGGTCGGTCGTGTGTACAGGGAGTATGGTCCGCCTCATCGACCTTGGGAGATTCAGTTTTCTGTAAACTCCTGCCTCCAGCTTCACTGTCATTCATCTTCTGGACCATCGATTGTCTTACCAGCTGGACGACCTTTACTCCTTTTCGTGCTGACGCTACGGCCCGAGCCCATCTCTTCAAAAGGCCTTCCAGTTTCTTGACTGGTCAGATGTCAGTGAAGCTACGAAATTGAGACGTGGAGAGTCATCGTCGCTGCCATCGTCAACCCTGTCGCACTCTTGCTACACCGGACTGTACTTTCCCTCCTGCGGTTATCTCTCCATGGGCTTGTGCTTTAAGAATGCTTCCACCACCGCGTCTAGGGATCCCTTTCTCTCCCCAGGACTCACGCAGACTACCAACTTGACCCCAAGGCTGGCCCAGTGGTTAGAAGCTTCAGGTCATTCGAGTGGACGCCGGCTGCCCAGTGGGGAGAATATTGTCACAGACAAGAAACAATACACGCCGCGCCCCCAGTCACCAAGCGACATCGATCAGAGACACTCAAGCCAGCTCACATCAACGGTTGCAATGGCCGATGGACGTATGTCTAACAGGACCTCCTTGGCTTGCAGAAGGCGACTCGTTATGGTGGGCATCACTGATACTCAGATTCTTAGGGAACGAAGCTCGCGCGATGCGGATCCTTGAGATCATGAACGACTTCCGCACATTGCAGATCCATATAGCTTCGCTGATCACACGCAACGAGGCGACGCCGTCTGATGAGCAGTTCTACTACCTTGACGGCTATGTGGTGCTGAGACAATGCGAGGCTGAATCGCAAGCCATTCTGGCCACGCACTACAACCCCGGCAACATAGGGCTTCAGTCTGGGCATGTGGCGGAGACAGAAGTCCAAAAGGCAACACTACAAAGGTACCGACTCTCTCGCCTTTGACCGTCGAGATTTAGAGGGTTGACCATCATAACAGAATCATACTCGACGCTTCCACAAGAAGATTCCAAGCACACAAAATTTATCTCCGAGCGTCGGCAGCGATGCGATGGGTGCAGATGCGCGCGCAACTGTTGCACGGCGACAAACCAAGCCAAAGACATCTCAATGGACTGCAAGCAGTAGACCAAAGACTTCGACAGGTATGTATCTGAACGTTCGAATTATCTCTTGACTAAATTCCCCGCAAAACCGAGATTCCCTGCTTGCCATGTGGTTGTTCGTTTTCGTTTATACCCGACAAGGAAGTGATCAGCAATGCGGGTTGTTGGCCGTGTTGGCTGACAAAGACTCGGAGGAACCACCTTTATTATTGTCATCAACATCAGAAGAACAGTATCCATGCTGACTTATGGATATCTGTCTCTGTATAGGAACTCAACCAGATCACCGACGACCATGTCATCAATGACCTGCGCAACGCCGACCGCCGCAAGGGATACTGGCTGGACGAAGATCCCAATCTGGAACGAATGCTGACCTGGATTCGACTGCAGCGATGACGAGAAGGGCTTCATCATAACTTGCTTGTCGTTCGAGTCCAACCAGTGTGGTGTGACGTGACGCATTACTGATATTTCCCACCCATTATATGTCGTGTCGATGTTGATCATTGGCCGAGTCTCTTTTATTTTTTACTGTCTGTATGGATGTTTGTCCCCAGTGGGGATGACTGGATGGAAGAAAAAGGCAAGCTTGATGCCGTGCCCTTTCCACTGCTCTACACCACATTCAGTTCTCAACATCCCTCAACAACATGTCTTGGAATGGGCCGCTGGCGGTCACTGGTGGGCAGTTGCCAGTCAGCACACGTTGAAGAGCAGAAGTTAAGTTCTTGGGGATTGCGATCTAAGCCCCTCCCCCTCCCGCCGTCCCTCCTCCAGTCACACGCTCTCTCTCCTCTTACAGGGGTTTGACGTAAAAAAGGAAGAGAAGGGAAAGAAACGAGGGCGGTGCCAATCATGAAATAATTACAATGGATGCTTGATGTCAAATTCAAGGTTCACACCCAGTTTCTTCGCAACAAGACCCGTCTGACCAGATAGAAAGTCCGTGGCGTCTCTCTGACGTGACTCGGGACGGTTCTTGTATCCTTTGGCGTCGGGGACCCGGGGACCTTGCCTCTACGAGCTCGATGGCTGCATGACGCTACGAGAAATCCGGGAATAGGATGCATGCACGGATATGTGGACAGGGATGGGTGGGATAGGGTTACAGCAAGACAGTACTAGAAGTCTTTGATCATCTTGGTATTCTGTGTTAGCCTTTAGGCACTTGTAGGTTTGAGGTTTGTACGATGGACAGCGGGCGACAAGCGAGCCTAGATAGCAGAGCAGAGCTGTGACGACCACCATCACCATCACCATCACCACGAACGATAACCAAAAGCATAGTATTAGCCCGACGACTTCTTCTGCTCATGTGAGGACCATCAATAACAACTTGAACACTAAACGCGCCGCCGGCAGTCCGGCACCGGAACTGGCATGGCAATTGCAATTGATGATTCCTATTCATTCTCTGCTCTGCCAGGTGTCTCGGTTAGTAGTTTAATATAGAATTTTTGTCTTCTGCGCGGCCGAACCCAAAACAGATTAACGAACCATAGGAGATGAGAGAAACAAGGGAAGGGAGGGGTAGATAGATAGAGAAGGGGGGGGACGGGGGCCGGCGGAGATGTCAAAAGATCCAAGATCCAAGACGGGTTCCTCTCTCTCTCTCTGTTAGATCTTCCTGTTTAGGCTATAGGTTCTTTATCGGAGCGGCCGATGGAGATGGCCCGTGGTGGGAAGGAGAGTTTTTGGGGGCAAGATATGGGGTGGGGTGGAGCGGGGTGTGATAGGGAGGCCGTCTAGACTGTTCTGTGCCGTGTTGTGTGTTCTGGTCCGCGTCTGTGGTCGTCAAATGATGTACTTTGTATGTCTGTGGCCCTTCTGTTTGACCAAGACCCTAGATCGGCTTTGATAGTTAACTCCATGCAGTGTCATGGGTGGTAGGTGGTATGATCATAAGAGTCATGGACGGGGGTAGCTGCTAGCTACTACTACTACTACTACTACTACTACTACTACTACTACTACTACTACTACTACTACTACTACTACTACTACTACTACTACTACTACTCTGCTATCTTCGCGGGAGAGGACTCAGTATCTGACATCTTGACATCTACCTCCTTTCTAGAGGTAGCGAGTTAGATTAATATCCGACGGTTTCTGTACCTGTGCACTACTCTGTCAGAGATCTATATCCCAGGAGACTTCAAAGTTTAGTCTCGGCTTCGTTCGACTTGGGTCTTGTCTTGCCTTGCCTGGCTTTTGGCCCTATTTGTGGATTTCAACGTGAAGGGGACTTGAACTTGGTGCAAAAAGTGACACTGCAAGTAACTTTCTGCTTGTGTGGGACTTTTGCGTCGGGAGACGAACTTGTGGAGTTCAATGTTCTTTTTTAGATCTTATCCACTTCACTTCACTTTGCGATCTTGCACCTTTTTTTGGGATGTCACTTTTGTACCTAGGTAGTACATAGTAGGTAAGTGTATCCTGTACCTTGTTTAGTACTATGTACCTAGTAAGGTAGCTAGGGAGGCACTTGGTACCTACATGGTATCTACCTACCTAGGTACGTACGTAGTAGTAGTAGTAGTAGTAGTAGTTACCCTAGTGTCTCCTATTTATATGGTCGGATCCACGTACTCTCTACATCATTGCAATGGATGTAGTAGGTACAATATACTCTACACTTATCTACCTAGATAGATACATATCCACCTGAGCTGACATAAGGTATCTACTTAAGTAACTACCTTAAGGTACCTTAGTAACGCATCCACTCTGCATACTACCTCCGGTGTAGGTACCGTCAGTAGCATGGCAATCTTGTATAGTATGCCAATGCCATGCCATGCCAGCCAGGGTGGATACAGAGTTTATCTAATAAAGGTAATTTACTACCTTACTTACTAGTTGCTTGTCTTAGGGCTGAACTGGAGATCAAGACGGGAATGGAGACGGAGACAGACACAAACACAAAGGGCCCAGAGGGGAGGACGGGAACCTCAAGGCTCCTCTAGGGTTCCTTAGGTTCATCCCATCAGTTTACTACCTGTGTACGATTGGCCTAAGGCCTCCAGAATGAATGAATGGACGGGATCGTTGTTCCATCGAACAACCCTCTTCAAAGTGCCTAGAAATCCGAGCTGGCTCATGCCCATGGGTGATGCTAGGTCTGGAGGAGGATAGTCCTGCGTGCTTCAAGAGCGCCCTGGCCTGCTGGATCATGTCGAAGAACTAATCAACTTGTTGATAGGTACTAGTAGTGGTATCTGTGGCATTCAATGTCACAAGGAGTCGAGAATCAGAGTCAGACACGAAATGACCATCCTTGCAGAGTGGGCGGTGGTCGAAGAAACTCAGAAATGCCATGAAACGTGATTGTATTTTTCTGCATGAGGCCCGCTATAACAATGGCTTCGCTAATGACGAGAAGAACTCCAGCGTCATGTCCACCCCCCTACCGTCATCTTCAATTAAGACATCGTAGTAACATAGATGTCACGATGGTGGCTGGTATGGATGGATAAGCATCTCCGAAAAGCTGGAAGTATGTCAGCATTACTTGTCATGACGGTCACGGTGGGTGATGTGCTTGTCCTCACCTCTTCAAGCTCTCTACACCTCGTACTTCGTCGGTGAGTAGAGGCATCTTGACGATATTGAAATCGTCGTACAGCTCTTCGATCTGATCGAGATACTTCTTCTGCATCTTTCTTCTCGCGTTGCATTGCTTGCAATGGTTCTCCTTCTCCGGGAACAACAGCTGATTGACCACGATGCAATGCGTGTCGATGTGGTAACTGGCCAACTCCTGAATCATCCGTTCCGTCTCGTACAGCGACAGGAACTCAGCAATGCAGACACACACAAAGGTGGTCATGTCGGGATTTTTGAATTGTCCGTTGACCTCGGCAATCGTCTCGCGCAATGTCTCGAGTTTCTGGGTCAAGTCGTCAAGACTGCCGCCACCGGGAAGACCACCTCTTGCGCCAATGACGGACTGCAACATCGGACCGAACTGGCTGGACAGCTGGGAGATTTTGGCCAGAGCCTTCTCCAAGACGGTGGGGAATTGGAGGAAGCGTAGAGTATGACCGGTCGGGGCGGTGTCGAAGATGATGACCTCGTATGATAGCGACTTGACTTGTTTCAGAACTTCTGCAAAGGACATGGCTTCATCAACGCCAGGAATCTGTACATGTTGGTCAGCATATAAGCATATCACCCTCCTGTGGCCATACGACCAGACACAACACATACACTGAAGGCCAGATCTTGCATCATGTTCCCCATGCCACCCAGTCCTGACATGGCATCCTGAGCTTCGTCTCCGGCACCACTGATCAAGTCGTTAATGCTCCCGTTGGGGTCAATCTCCATGGCACTCAGATTGGTGAAACCCTCAACTAGTCTTGCGTCTTTGCCGAACTTTTGGCTGAATGCGTCGCTCAGGTTGTGTGCAGGATCCGTGGAGATGAGCAACACGGATTTTCTCTTCTTTGCCATCTGGATGGCCAGAGAACAAGAGGTTGTAGTCTTGCCCACACCACCTTTGCCTCCCACGAAGATCCATCTCAATGACTTCTGGTCGATCAGGTTTTGGAGGGTAGGGTCGAGGACATCGTCATCGTCGGCGTGGATTACAGCGCTGGACATCTTGACGGGAGTGGCTGCGGGAGAAGAAGGCGTAGTAGGAGGACTTGCAGACAGGTGGTGTCTCTCGGATTGGAAGTGATTGGGCTCTTGCGAGATGTGCAGTAGGTATTCTCGAATGTTCGCAGAGAGCGGGTGATGTTGGTGCAGGCCACTGTTCAGTAGAGATGCGAGCCTAGGCAGTAAAGTCCTGACAACCAAGATCTAGGATCTATAATGGTGAGAGCAAGATACTGACAGAGTGGGAAAGGTAGCAGATGGCGAACTTGAAGGTGGTTGAAATGTTGCAACCTGCTTGCTGCCTCCAAAGTGCCAGTGGTTTGCGGTTTGCGAAGGAAAGTGGCAGAATACAGAACAAAGCGACGTCATTCACATCAACAGCGTCACAGCCATCACGATGCCATCCATGATCCTGTGATTTGTCTACCAGCCAACACTCTACGATACTATACGGCCTGCAATTGCTAGCATGTCTACCTAGTAGTAGGTACCAGGTACATCCGTAAAGCTCTTCTCAACTGAGTGGTCGACATGACATGCATGTTGTTGACCCGTGCAACAGTTCAGAGGGCGCAGTACGACTATCAGCTGCCGTGCCAGCCGTTCTCTTCATCTGGCTGGCATACTATCAAGATCTCCTTCTCCCTCGCAGCTCGATTCCTCCTGTCGAGCCAGTACGGCGTCCTCGGCTGCTCTTCCTCGCACCACCAGATGTTGCAGGTCTATTGTAGAGTCTTTTGAAACTAACAAACTTCCCCGCCCTTCGCTATGCCTGAGTAGACGCCGTCCTCCAGATGAACCCTGAAAATGCTGAACAAAATACCCAAACCTCACTTCCCACCTCCAATTATGGCCCTCTGTCCGCCACGGCCACGGCTACCGAGCTGTCACAGTCATTGTAACGGTCTCCGTGACCGTGATCTGGCCCTGCACCGGACTAGGTGTGACAGGAACCACGGCTACACCGTCCACGGTCGTCGTTGAGGTGGCAGTGACAGTGGCAGTGGCAGCAGTAGAAACCGTATCTGTGTCTGGAAAAGGCGAGGCTGTGGTTACAGTGGTGGGACGCGACTCGTTAGGAGTAGAAACGCCAGTGGCTCCACCATCAACTGCTGCAGTCAACGCAACGGCTTGCGCTGTAGTACTAGACTCCGCCATAGTTGAACCAGGATTGGCGCTTGCATCCGGGCTCAGTGTTGTAAACCCAGCCGTAGGCCCAGTGAAAGTTGGTTCGGCGGTGACGAACACAACGGCAACTGTGGCGCTTGGCTGCTGCTCGACTTGCTGCCCAGGACCGGTCGCTGAGGGAGCAGCTCCTTGAGCTGGACTATCTGTAGCCGGCGCAGTCGTTTCCGCAGTGACAATGAAGGTTGCCACGACTGTGGTCTGGACTTGCACGGTGGTTGTCGACGTGGTTTGTGGTTGGACTTGAGGCTCAGCAGCGTCGGGTTGAATGGCGGTGCCGGTTCCGGTGCCAGTTGCTGCGGTACTATCGCCAGTTGTGTCCCCTGCAGCTACTGAAGGAGTGTCGCTCGCGGCAGACCCATCTGTGGTTGATGTTTCGGCAGCGGCAGGGGCAGCGGCAGCCACTGTTGTCACACTCTGGGTTTGGGAGAATGTCAAGAAGCTCAGCAAGCTGGTGTTGTCTCCTCCAACGCCGACCGCAGGAACTGATCCGTCCTCTGTGCCTTTGCGGGTCGGGGTTGCGAGAGCATCGATGCCCGTGACGGCCTGCGTGGGAGCCTGTCTTTTCCGTGGGAAGCCTTTGGTGACAGTGAGGAGGTCGTTGATCACATAGCGCTTCTGTGGTTCGTCCCTGCGCCGTATCACATTACTTCGCCTGTGACACAGTCAGTCAATTCACCGGCTTTCGTCTACATATTCGACAGACAGACATATGAATTGGGCCGGCCCATACTGCGGTGGATAGGATCAGGAGCAAGAACTGAGGGACCATGAGGTGCATCTTGGGATTGCAATGATCGAAGTCAAGATTGTGCCGAGTTGTATTCTAACAACGAGAAAGCTGTGGATTGCTCGAGCTGAAGGACACGCCTGCGTGAGAAGAAAAGTAGCCAATGCAATGCATATAAAAACAGAATATGAGAGGAGAATTCTTTCATGAGCGACCCGCCAGCACCGGCCGACGCGTCCGAAGCTTTGTATTATGTAGCAGAAGACTGTCGTAGAATGGGATCGACTTTTGCCATAGGCGGTTGTAGACTGCTGCGCAGCGATGTAATTCCATTGAAACACGTGTGCGTTTGTGGTCGGTAAAACAAATGCAGCCGTCCACAATGAAGTCGGAGTGGAACTGCCCTTTGTCGGACAACCGCGAAAAGGCATAGATATGGTTGGCGAGGACGAGGCTGGATTAAGTCGAGACACAGTATCGATCATGTCGGCGCGTGAGAGACTTGTGCCGAAACTGGATGGTGGACGAAGAATGATTGGCTGAGCCTCGTTGCCCCTGGAATCGTAGGCGCAGCCTCGTGCCAACGCCTAGGGAGCCTTGCGCAGCCGCCCTGATTCCCCCTGTCGGTTTCATCTGCTCTATACCCGTTTTGTTTCATGCGATGGCAGATCAGGCTGACTCTCAGTCGGGCTGCATCGAAAATGGCCAAGCACAGCCGTCTAATACAGCGTCCTCTTCTCTTTGATCTCTTCGAAGGACTGGATCTGATCACCCACTTGGAAGTCTTCCCAGTTCTCGAATCCCATGCCACATTCGGAACCTTTGCGCATCTCCGTGACATCTTTCTTGATGTTCTTGAAAGAGTTCAGCATGCCTATGGGGTTGTTAGCGCCATCACGATCCAACTCGTCCTCGACTTTACTTACCGGTGTACACCACTTCACCGTTCCTCAGCACTCGAACCTTCTCCGACCGCCGGATGGTGCCATTGGTCACCCGACATCCCGCAATCTTCAGCAGTCCCTTCTTGACGTTGATTTCAAAGATCTCTCCCACCTCTGCCTCGCCCAAGACCCGCTGGGTGACTACTGGTGGCAGTTCGGCGGCCATTTTGTCTTTCACATCATCGGTAACCTTGTAGATAATGTTGTGATCAAGGATCTGGAGCCGGGCCGCCTCCGCAAGGCGCCGTATAGAGCCATCCACTGGCTGGTTGAAAGAAATGGCGTAGCCAACCTCACCAGTTGCGGCGAGTAGTTTGATATCAGACTCGGTCAGCGCTCCGGTACCGCTGTGGATGATATGTGCAACGATCTCGTTGTTGCCAATGGCACTGACCGCGGCAACAAGCGCCTCAGTACTCCCGGCAACGTCGGCTTTGATGACAAAAGGGACCTGACGAGGACCAGATTGTTCTTTCTCGACCCAGCCCTCATTGTCCTTGGGGCGTCGGTTGGCTCTCATCGACATGTATCCCTGCTCCTTCTCCCATTCAAGCACTTTGGAACGAGCCTCGGCTTCCTCTGAGCGGACAGAGTTAATTGCAGTCATATCCTCAACGGCCCGAGCATTTTCTTCTCTCTCCTGCCGAACGGCCACTGCTTCTTTAGCCCGTTGTTCAGTCTCAGCTTGGAGAACCTCATCACCCGCCATTGGATCTCCTGCTCGCCACCCATCGATTTGAACGGGTGTGCCAGGAGGCGCCTCATTGATCAATTGACCAGCGTCATTCCGAAGTGTACGAACTCGTGCCCAAGTGGTGCCGGCCACGATGAAGTCGCCGGGCCTCAGGGTACCACGACGCACCAGCACTGTTGCAACACGACCAGACGCGCCAACTTTGCTTTCAATGATCCATCCTTCTGCTTGGCCGTCAGTCTCGGCTCGAAAGTCGGCCACGTCAGCCAGGGTTAGTATAGCTTCTTCCAGATCAGCCATTCCCTGGCCTGTCTTCCCACTGACAGGAATGGCTTGGTACTCGCCACCATATTCTTCAACAATAATGTCATGACGCGACAGATCCTGCTTCACACGCTCAACATTTGCATCTTCTTTGTCGACCTTGTTGATCGCCACAATAATCTGAACGTTGGCCTCAAGCGCGTGCTTGATGGCTTCAAGCGTTTGAGCCTTCACACTGTCATCTGCAGCGACGACCAACACGACAATATCCGTGACATTGGCGCCTCGTCGCCGCATGTCCAGGAATGCAGCGTGACCAGGTGTGTCCAGGAAGGTGATATTTCGCTCAGATCCTGGCATTGTTACAGAGAATGCTCCAATGTGCTGGGTGATACCTCCATGTTCGGTTGCTACCACGCTCGATTTTCTGAAGTAATCCAGAATCGTAGTCTTTCCGTGATCGACGTGGCCCATTATCGTGACGATTGGTGGCCGAGGTGGGAGCAGGGCCACGTCTTCCGGTGGAGGACGTGCAACCAAATCACGAGAGTCGTCAACCGTGCTAATGATAGGCTCGAAGCCGTAGATCTCAGCGAACATGGCAGAGGTCCCAGAATCTAGAATATGATCGTAACGGGCACCCTCAAAGCCTTCTTCCTCAAGCTTGTTGAGGAAGTCCTGTAGTCGAACCTTGAGGCCTTGAGCTAGCTTTTCCACGCTGATGAATTCCGGCAGTCGAATCTCTGGTCGCACCTCCACCTTGGGTACGGCTTTCGCCTGTTTGCCCCTCTTCCTTCGCCTTGAACCAGTCTCGTCGAGCAGTTCGTCCACAAGATCTGGGTCAAAATTCGGTGTGCTTTGTCTCCGATTTGTCCTCGTCTTCCGAGCCGGAGAGCGAGCCATAGGTGAAGCATGGAAGGGCTCGTCCACCTCGGCTTCGACATCATAGACTCGGCCTCTCCTGTCACGGTCCCTATCTGTCACCGTCCGGCGGGTGTACCAGTCTTCTTCTGTTCCGGTTAGAGTCTCAGATGCAGCCGGCTCTACCGCTTCATCCTCGGCTATAGTCGAAGCTGGAGCACGGTCTGTTCCCTCTGAACCAGGTCTGCGCACGCCCCTGGATGGAGCATGTGGTGGCCCTCTCCTAGCGCCTCGCTCCATGGCGTTTCGCTGTTGAAAATCCGGCCGGGGCTCTCGATACTCAGACCGCTGATATGTTGAATCCCGTCCAAAAGGTGGCTCGCGACGTGTTGACCCAAGCGTCTGCCCAATCCGTGTGTCGTTTGAGGGAGCACCAAAAAGGGAATCGCGTACAGACCATGGAGCGGATGTGGACTTGGAGTCCCCCGCCCTCCGTGAATTTGGCCCGAATTCGCCCTCATTTCCTGAAGAGTACCTTCCGTTTCGACGTTCATTCCCGAACCATGGTCTTTGCTGGCCGGCCATGACGGAAGCTCCCATGTCACCACCAGCGCCCGCTGCTGATGAACCTTGCGGCAGTCGAGGAGCGCGTGGGTTGCTGTACTTGATGGTGGGACCGTCGGAAGGTGTTGAGGCCTCACGCTGATTTCTGGAAGTCGGTGGATTCCGCGCATTTCTGTCCTTCCTCCAATCATTGTTCGAATCTGTGCGAGCCTTTCGTGGGAATGGCCGCTGCTCTTGCGCTGAACCGGCCTGGTAGGGCGTAAAGGACACACTGGCTTGACCCAGAATCGTGCCGGACTCGAATTGGGGCCGACCGGTTGCTCTTGGAGGGGTTACGGGCTGGCCTTGTGCGCCGTGTAAAGAGGCGTTTTGCTTTGTGGAGTGGGACAGCGGAGGCGAAGGTGAGGAGGCTGTTGGTGGTGGCGGAGGAGAACTCAGTGACGCAGACCGAGACTTGTTCTCCTGGTAGACAAGCTCAGCATTCTGTGGGCGCGGGTTTGTGCAGATTGTGCACTCTGATCTATGGGAAGCGTTGACATGATTGCAACGACACTTCCAGCCAAGCACCACTTTGTTTGGAGGAGCTGCAGCAGCAGGGTGAGGAAAGTCGTCCTCCTCTTCCTCTATACGCGCAGCGGCAGCTCCAGCAGGCCGCTGTGACGGTCCGGTTGATCTGTAGAGTCGACGCTGCGGACGAATCCCGCTGGCGGCCCGAGACTCGACGCCATGTTTGAAGGCGCAGAAGAGGCAGAGGTCTTGTCCTTGCAGAAGCTGGAGAGGTCATTAGTGCCAATGCGAGGAAGAGAGAGATCCTAGATACTACTTACGCTTCGACTGACTGCCCTCCGCATACTGTCTCCCGATTATGCCACTGTGGTTGATGAAAGCTGACTTCTTCTCCCCAGGAATATCGGAAAGAACTGGGTGCATCGCAGGCATTCAGTTCCGTATCGAACTCCGTATCTGGCTCGCTGGCACTTTTTTCTGCCGGGCGGAGATTACGGTGGAGCACATAGCCAATAGTGTATCTGGCCCATATTACTACGGCGAAGAGAATAGACCGGTGTGCATCAGCCAGAAATGCTGGCCAATCAGTGTCGGGCGCGCAAACCCGCGCTACTAGTATACAAAAAAGTATGGTCTAACAAATTGCGTGCCTGGACACTGCATGTTGTGTGATTCAGGTCTCCCGCCTAACGAGTAATGAGCTGAGGCCTGTAAAGCGTCCAGTCGAGTCGAGGTGAAAATAGCTGTGCGCAGCTCTATAAAAAATGGGCGACAGCGTCGAGGTGATTGAGGCGGACGTGGCTAACGGCGGCAATTGGGCCAGAACCGCGAAGGATTTGTTCGCAGGCGCTGCTGGAGGTGTGGCGCAAGTTTTACTAGGTAAGTCGGTCCTGTATATTGTCAGGGTTTCAGTGTGAACAGACCTCGTGTTGAATTTGCAGCGGTGCGGCACCGTTACATGTTCACCAGTCCATTGGGAATCGAACAAAGGCTGACTCATGCATAGGCCAACCGTTCGGTAAGCGATGAGATGTCCTCTGGCCAGACATCAAGCTCATGCAGTCAGATATCGTCAAAGTACGCCTCCAGACATCCTCAAAGTATCCCAGCGCCGTCTCATGCGCAAGTTCCATCCTTCAAAATGAAGGACCCCTAGCATTCTACAAGGGGACGCTCACTCCACTGATCGGAATTGGAGCATGTGTGTCTGTTCAGTTCGGGGCGTTCCACTATGCCCGTCGTGCATTTGAGGAGCGGAACCTCAAGGCCAACCCAGCAGGTCCGGCTCAGTTATCGTACGGCCAATATTATCTGGCTGGCGCTTTTGCAGGTCTTACGAACTCTGTCCTGTCGGGCCCTATCGAACACGTCAGAATCCGGCTGCAGACGCAACCCCATGGCGCGGACCGGCTGTACAATGGACCGGTCGATTGTGTTAAGAAACTCTCCGCCCATGAAGGTGTGCTCCGGGGTCTTTATCGGGGTCAGGCCGTCACACTGTGGCGTGAAGCTCAAGCATACGGTGTCTGGTTTCTGTCCTTTGAGTATCTCATGGCGCTAGACATGAAACGAAACAATGTCAAGCGATCTGATATCTCGTCATACAAGGTCGCATTCTATGGCGGATTGGCAGGTGAGGCACTATGGATCGCCAGTTATCCGTTTGATGTGGTCAAGAGCAAAATGCAAAGCGACGGCTTCGGAAAGGACCAGACATACAAAACCATGCGAGACTGCTTTTCCCAGACGTGGAAGGCTGAAGGCTGGAGGGGTTTCTGGAGAGGTATCGGCCCAACCATGTTCAGGGCCATGCCTGTCAGTGCAGGGACATTTGCTGTGTAAGTGATGCATCGTGTTCCTTGGACAGGACGTGCAGTTACTAATCTGGCTTTAGGGTTGAATTGACTATGCGTGCCCTAGGCTAGAGCAGCATACAGTGAGCAATCATATTGTACATCTCTTGCGGTCTATCGCAATCAACTTGTGAAGGGAGCATGGAGAGCGATTAGCCCACGTTGTCTGAGAGCGACTCGTCTGGCCGAGGAACCTTTTCAACACATAATTGCAATTGATACCTGCTAATGCCATTTACACATCCGCTGCTTGCGAAGTTTTTGGCTTCTCCGGGCCATGTCATGATATGATCTGCAGATGGATAGGTGTAGAGTCCCCCATTCAGGGCAATTTCACCGGTATGGAGCATCTGCCCTTGCGATCGCGGCCAGCTCAGGCTCCCACTTGTCACCGTTGGATAATAACTTCTCCTTGTTATACAAGAGCTCTTCGCGATACTCCGTCGCATATTCTGCATTTGGCGTCTCGACAATGGCATCCACCGGGCAGCTCTCCTGGCAAAGGCCGCAATAAATGCACTTGGTCATATCGATATCGTAGCGAGTGGTCCTCCTCGATCCGTCTTCTCGTTCTTCGGCCTCGATTGTGATGGCAAGAGCTGGGCAAATAGCTTCACAGAGCTTGCAAGCGATACATCGCTCTTCGCCCGAAGGATATCTCCTCAGGGCGTGCTCGCCTCGGAATCGTGGGGAAACGGGGCCTTTTTCGAAGGGATAGTAGATTGTATACCTGTATCATCACATCAGCATGCCGCCTGGTCGAAATGTTCCCAACATATAAGACGTACGGTGCTCTGAAGAATTGCTCCAGCACGACATACATGCCGCGGAACATTTCAGTAAGAAGAAAATAGTTGCTTGCTTTGTCCATCACGTTCTCGTGCTCGTCGAAGCGTTTCGGTCGAGGTAAGCGGAACCCCTGTGGAGGAGGACCTGCCGGCAGGGCATTCCGAGGCTTTGAGGTGTGGAATTGAGCTGTGGCGCGCAAGAAAGGCGATCGTTCGAGTTGCCGCGATACCGCAGAAGCTGTTAATGGTCTGGCGACCAACCGCGACGCTGGACGAAGAGACGACGCCATCGCCTTTGAGTCGCTGACTGATTTTGACAATGAGTGGCGAGCACACAGAGAAGGCGAAGGGTGATTGAGTGCCAGTGACAGTTCAAGTTGGAGATGCTGGTCTTGTATTGCACTGGCAGTGCATGAGAGAATCAAGTCGTCAGTGCAATTGATACGCACTTGATTGGTCGGGCGAGTCACGTGCAGCCCCAAGCTTCGAAGGACACAGCTTTGAGGCGTCTTTCGTCTTTCGTCTTCGTCTCCATTCAATCAGCATCTAATTCAACACCCGGTTTGACATCAGAATTTCCCAAACCACCTCATCCCTACACCCACCGCAAACCTCTATCGCGACTCACCACCTCTCTCCTCGTCTCCGCTAGTCGTCAAAATGTTCCGTGTGGGTGCCGTCAGGGCGCTCTACGCTGTTACAAGGGCCCAAGTCCCCCGGCAATTACCTGCCTTCCGATCTCGAATCTCTTCGTCTCTTCTCCAGTCATCCCGAGTCGCGCCGTCCCTTGTCGTGTCTGGCATCCGATCTTATTCCGCGCCTGGTGGTCTGTCGAAAGAGGAGGTGCAAGGCCGGATAATGGATTTGTTGAAGAACTTTGACAAGGTGCGCAGGAGCCATGTTGACGTTCGCAACTTTTATACTAACGATTGAGCAGGTGTCCGACCCATCGAAGGTACTTGAGTTCACAAAATCCGAATTACTTCTGCGTTCTGACACCCGAGATCTAGATCACCGGCACCTCACATTTCCACAACGATCTTGGATTGGACAGCTTGGATACCGTGGAGGTCGTCATGGCCATCGAGGAAGAGTTCAGCATTGAGATCCCAGACAAGGAGGCTGATGCCATCCACAGCGGTATGAGAGTCTCAAAGGTTTATCCGGACAGTATCTAACAAGGCGCAGTTGACCAAGCCGTGGCATACATCACCTCCCAACCGGATGCCCATTGAGAGGAGAGTACTTTGTCGAGGATTGTAGACGTGGGTCAAGAGCAGAATCAACATTGTACAGTTTCCGGACCCGCGGAAATGGATCGCAATTGTACTATCATAACCCAGTATTAGATCTACCAGATCTCCACGATGGTTTTTGGTCACAACTGCGTCGGGTCTGCTTTGCCGGTCTGCCCTCATGTTTCATTGGTCGTTCTTCTCTTTCATATTCCAATCGTCTAACAACCAGCATACAATACACTTCAGACGTCAGACGACGCCAGCTGTTCTCATTTCAGCAATTTGCGCAGGTCCATACCCAAGATCTGCCAGGACCCCGTCGGTATGTTCGCCCAGCAGTGGTGGCTTTATCCGGACATCCATGGCAAGCCCATCGAATTTGACCGCAGGACCGATCAGCTTCAACACGCCATCCCTCGCAGCTTCGAAATCATTGATGTCCATGACCATCTCTCTGGCGGTCGCTTGCGGGTGCTCCAACGCGTCGACGACATCGTTAATGGCTCCATACGGCAGGCCACTCCCTTCCAGGACTTTCAACCACTGATCCATTGGTTTCTCACGAAACCTCTTCTCCAGAATGCCATTGATCTCGTCCCTGTTCTCCACTCTTCCATCGTTGGTGCTGAACCGTGAATCATCCCATAATCCCTCGACATCCAACCGCGCACAAAGCCCCTTCCATTGCCGATTATTATTGGCAGCCACAAAGAGCATCTTCTGATCCTTGGTCTCGAAGGCTCCATAAGGCACGAGATTTGGATGTCCCAAACCCAATCGCTTCCCTCTCCTTCTCCTCTGGGGCCCTTGGTCAAGGTCGAGATTCAAAGCCGCCAGGCCGACATTAATCAACAAGCTCAAACTGCTCTCGAACAAGCTGGCATCGATTTTACATCCCAACCCCGTCTTCTGTCTCAGATTCAACGCCGCCAGAATCGCTCCGTGAGTATACAAGCCGGTGCAGAGATCCGCGATTGCGACACCCGGCTTGGTCGGCCCTCCCTTCTCATCGCCCGTGATATGCAACAACCCAGCCTCGGCGAGCGCGATGGCATCGTATCCGGCACGATCGCGACTCGGCCCTGTGGCCCCGTACCCGCTAACACTGGCGTAGATAAGCCCCCGATCATTTCCGCTCTTCAAGGCGTCGTACCCGAGACCCAACTCGTCCATTTTGCCGGGCAGGAAGTTGTTGACGACCACGTCGCTCCGGCTGGCTAGTGCCTTGACGACCTCAACCCCTTTCCGAGTCTTCAGGTCTACCGTGACGGACCGTTTGTTGCGGTTCACGGCGGCAAAGTACAGCGACATGAGGTTGTGTTCGGGTCGCCATTTCTGCTGGGTCTCGCCGTGCGTGCGCCATTGGCGCGTCTCGTCCCCAACCAGGGGTTGCTCGACTTTGATCACGTCGGCGCCGTAGTCGGCCAGGATCTGTGTGCAGAAGGGGCCGGCTAGGACGCGTGACAGGTCCAGCACTTTCAGACCACTGAGTGGAAGGTCACTGGAGCTGGAGCTGGAGCGGGAGCGGTTGGTTTCTGTACTTGAAGTGGCTACGAGTGATTGAGAACGGCGTGGTGTTTGAGGGACTGAGCGCCGTGATAGAGGTGGTGGTGATAAAGCTGATGGTGTTGAACTTCGAAGTATAGACTGAACAATCGCATCACATCTGACGTGCAGACTTGGGCGTGTCATTTCTGTCGTTGCAGAGCTTCAATCAATCGTGGACGGTTGATGTATTGTAGGCCGTTTCCTAAAGGCGTCGGCTCAACATTCTGGTTCTGATGCTCTTTCGTCCCTTCAGGTTTCTACCGACTGTGGATGGACTCTATACTACTAGTACTCTTAGTATTTCATGGTCGGGCCTTTGGTGTGCTTCTCCGAGCTTCAGACTTAGTACGGTTGTATCACAGCAATCTGCTCATCTTCAACCCCGATGCTTAGAGTCTTCTAAACAGTTGGAGATGAAGACCCCGTGGTATCAAGTCCCTTATTGGAGACTTGTCAAGAGAAGCCGAACGGCCGACGACCGACGAGGCTGCGTGCGGGGGGGAACATGATGTCTCACATGGGATAGGATGTATGACCGCCAAATACCCGGGAAGCCTTGAGAGCAGGCATTCCGAGGGCTTGGTGATGACAGTCGAAGTACTTGAATAAGTCCTTATCTTTGGAATGGTTCCAATATAGTCGACGGAGCCCGTCTTTCGTCTGCGAGGTGGGACAGGACCATATGTTACTTTGGGCACTTACTCAAAGATCTACCGCTCCATGAGGGTCAGGAAGTGACCGACGGAGGATTGAATGAGGATCCAATATCTGAGACCCTGACTCGTCCTCCTGATTCAGGATGACATCGAGAAAGCTCGCAGAGAGCCTAGCAGGTCTGCTAGCACGGCGAACAAGGTCGAAGCCCAGCACGGCGTTTCGTGTCCACCAACCAACATCAGCATCATCATTTTCGAGCACTCGGTCCGCTCCAGCTCGCGGCACAGAGTTCCTACAGTTGCACGACCCGGACCTGACCGAGTCGCAACGTACCGTACGTGAAGCAATTGGCAAAGTCTGCGCCAAATTCGACGACACCTACTGGCTCCAAGCGGACGAGGAGCACCGCTTCCCCAGTGAATTCCACCGAGCCTTAGCCCAAGACGGCTGGCTGGGCATCTGCATGCCAGCGGCATACGGCGGGAGCGAGCTCGGCATCGCCGAAGCCGCAGTCATGGTGCAGACGATTGCAGAGAGCGGCGCTGCCTACGCGGGAGCGAGTGCGGTGCATATGAACATCTTCGGGCTCGAACCTGTGCGCAAGTTCGGGACCGAGGAGCAGAAACGGCGAATGCTGGTGCCGCTGATCGCAGGTCGAGAGCGGGCATGCTTTGGCGTCACGGAGCCCAACACCGGCCTGGACACTCTCAGGCTACAGTCCCGCGCGGTCCGGGATGGCGACCATTATGTGCTGAGCGGGCAGAAGATCTGGATCTCGACGGCGCAAGTGGCCGAGAAGATCTTGATTCTCGCGCGCACCACCCCACTCGAAGAAGTCAAGAAACCCAGCCAGGGGCTGAGCCTGTTCTATACCGATCTCGATCGGACACAGGTGCATGTCACGGAGATCCCCAAGATGGGCCGCGCAGCCGTGGACTCCAACACGCTGTTCTTTGATGGCTGGAGAGTCCCGAAAGAAGACTTGATCGGTGATGAGAACAACGGGTTCAAAATGATCATGCATGGCATGAATGCTGAGAGAATCCTGATCGCCGCTGAAGCACTGGGGATCGGCTTTGCTGCGTTGCGACGTGCGGTGTTGTACGCTGGAGAACGAAAAGTCTTTGGACGTCCTATCGGCCAGAACCAGGCGGTTCAGCATCCCCTGGCTGACAGCTGGATGCAGCTTGAAGCGGCGAGGCTGGTCATCTACCAAGCTGCCCGAATGTACGATGCCGGGCACGAGACCGGAGAGTATGCCAATGCCGCCAAGTATCTGGCTGCCGAAGCTGCTTTCCAGGCATGCGAAAGAGCCGTCATGATCCACGGTGGCATGGGATATGCAAAGGAATATCATGTCGAGAGATATTTTCGGGAAATCATGATTCCGAGGATCGCGCCAGTCAGTCGCGAAATGATCCGCAACTATATTGGTGAAAGAGTGCTGGGGTTGCCTAGGTCATACTAAGTATTGACCACATGGGATCGTGGTCTTGCTAGTGTTAGTAACCCACAAAGCCGTGGTGAAACGAGCCGAGGAGCAGAAACTGCTGGAAAGAACACTGCAACTAGCAAGGAGAGATGGGGAAACCGATGGCAGTCTTCATGAATGTGAAAACATAACAGTCACTCAGCCAGAAATTGCCCTGGCTGCTTTAGTGGTAAGCAAGAAGGACGTCGTGCTGTGTCCAGAGAGGGAATCTCCATCCGGAGTGGTGCTAGTTTGGCGACGAGGTTCCCTATAAAGCGATGTTGAGTAATGCGGGAATACGCCCGACAAGGACCTACAGAGAAGAAGAGAGACGAAAGGAGACATGTTGGTGGTTGAAGGCTCCAGAGAGAAGGGCTTCGATGCAGTGAGGTTGAGAGAGGATGATGGTATGATATGATTGGTTGGTGCACAGCCTCACTCAGCCTTGCGTAAAGCCCCTACTGCGCCTCGCTGCGCCACATCGAGTCCTCACCCCCTGTCTACTACTACTACTACTACTACTACTCTGTACCTCCTGATCACCTCACGAACACCTCTACAACTGCTCATCGCCTCCTCTCTTAAATTCCTGACCAATTCCCCGCTCGATATCCCTCTTCTCCAATGCTATGTCAGTATTTGGGCTCGGTCAGACCAATCGCGAACCCTTCTCGACGTTTTTCAGCTCGTATATCGCATGGCCGTCCCCCCGCTAGGCTGGAAGAACGTATCATGAATGGCTGAAAGATGAGAACGCCTCGACGGCCACGCGGCGATAGTCGTACAGGCGAACCCCAGGCGCCTCTCACCCCGGCCAGACCCTGTATACATTGTTTGCCTCCATACCCCCAGATGAGAGGATGAGTATATATATATATATTTCATCGTGAACCCTAATCAATTGTCCTCCATCGATATCCCAATCATCCCATACTATCCTGTCAGCAGCTCATCTACTTGTGACTTATCAAATCCACAACACCTGTCTGCCCTCTTTGCTGTTATTCTTCTCCCATCAAACCAGACAATTCACACAAAGATGTCAGGCCCATACCAACACAACACTTACTCCCAAGACTATCATAACCAACTTGAACATCAAAACTACAACCAGTCCAGCTACTACCCTGCCGAGGGCTACGCTCAATCTTACCACCACCAGCAACAACAACAACAACAACAACAACAACAACAACAATACTACCAACCCGACACTCGGGCTCAGCCAGACCAATATTCTCACAGTCCGCAGTACTCTTATCAAAACGGCAACACTGCCTCCTCCCCCTACTACTACGGCACCGGCACTGCTCAACAGCATGGACCTGGAGCTGCACCTGGGTCTGAAACCGATCGTGGTCTGTTAGGCGCAGTGGGCGGCGGCGCTGCTGGAGCCTGGGGCGGTCACAAAGCCGGCCATGGCGTGCTGGGAGCTTTGGGCGGTGCCATCCTGGGCTCCCTGACGGAAGACTATGCGAAGAAACACGGCAAACGCAACAAGCCGTCGAAGCCGTCCAAACGCCATAACGGCAAACCTTACTATGGCAGATCGACAAGCCCTGGCTTGTACAGTAACTCGACAACGTCCACGGCACAGGGTGGGCTGGGGGGCATGGCGAGCAGTTTCTTCAATCAGAAGAGATAGATCTTAACTTGGGACGGGGATCGGGGATCTATCTCGGATGGCAACCTTGAGGACGCGGCTTTGGGAGTGCGTTTGCTGGGATTTTACGGTCTACTTCTTGGACCATGCCTTGGGTTTGCAACAACCGATGGATGATATGGTTGGGAAATAGAAGGCGTATATGGTAAATGCCCGTTTGTTGGCTGGTCGGCGTTATTGATGTGGATTCATGAGCCCGGTGGCGTTATACCAATTCACAAATAGAGCTCGGGTGGTTTCTCATGGGGAACTCTGGTGAGAGATAGTGGTGAAGAATGATCGTATCTGTCTAACACGAGCCCTGACCATGTACAATAGGTACTATATAAGTCCTGTTCAGAAGAAAACATTTCCAAGGGGTTCATTCTTTTTTGACGCTGTAAGCGATGCTCCTGGGACAGCATCGTTGTCTATACATAATAGATGAGCATGCTGTGAGTATAATCATTCCTCATCGATAACATCGTGGACTTTGCCACCTTAGTTGCCTTGAGATGCCGCATCTTCCCAAGCCCACATCACCATCGACATATTTCGTGTAAAATACCGCTTGAGCAATGTCATTTGACATGTCGTCCGATCCCTTCTCGCGCCTGTATCAGCGAGGAAATATGGATTCGAGGTACGATTCTGTTCTGTCCGTGTGACCCATATAACACCCATGCCCTTGCCGCCGATGCCGGCCGAGGCAGAGAACCCCGTATGGCTCATCAGATCCTTTCAAAAGTAACCGAGTTCAGGCCTAGATGGTCAATGAGATTCTTCGTATGGTACTGACAAGAGTATGGCATGAAACTCAAATTTCGATGGTAACCGTAGGTTAGGTGGGAAGTGAGAAAATCTTGTCATTGCGTCCGTTGTAGCCGAAGCGAGCTCGGTCATCGAAGACTCGTCGGTCCTATTCACCAGATTGATTCGCAAGGTCTAGCTGTACTGTTTGAGGCTGTTGTTGATTCATTTCAGAATCTTCAAGTCGCTCTCCTTCAGCTTACCGGCACCGACCAGTCCGCCAGTGGCCTCGCTGAAGACCTCCTTGACCTTTCCAGCATCTTTGCCAGCGACGTTAAGCTTCGACACCAGATCCGCCAACTGGTCAGCATCAACACTGCCGAGAAGCTTGTCAACATCATTAAGCACATCGTCAATTTGTCTGGGACTGGCATCGCCACCTTCGGCAAAGTAGTTGACATCTTTGACGCTGCCTTTGACGACTCGCTTGTTCTTCTTGACGGCGTTCTTCGCAGCCTCTTTGGCTTTCTTGCTCTGCTCCTTCTCGGCCTTCGCCTTCTCCTCATCCTCCTTCTTCTTCCGCTCAGCTTCCTCCTGAGCCTTGGCCTTCTCCTCGGCCTCACGCTTCGCAGCGGCCTCTTTCTCCAGTCGACGTTTGTTCTTGTCGGCATTGGCCTGTTGGCGGAACTTCTTGATTCGTTCGTCGTAGCTCAAGCAATCGTCCACCAATTTCCGCAGTCGGGCGATATCCTCGCTCTTGCGCTTGCGGCGCGCATTGGCGTTCTTCTTCTCAATGTGGCGCTTGTGGTCACGACCTTCATTGTCATCCGGAACATCCTCGTCGAGGTATTCAAACGTACGCCAGGAGTCGAAGTTGTACCAGAAGTCGTAGAACTGCTCGACCTCCTCTTTCGTGCTGTTCTCGTCGCCTAGCTTTGGTACCGGTGTCCGCTTGCTGAAACGGGCCTCGCTCTCAAACACGGCGTTCCATTTCTTGTAGAAGGCACTGGGCTTCTGCATCTCTTTCTTTGACGGAGGTGGAACATCCGCAGCCTCGTCGACGGAGTCGAATTGGCGGCGCTTGACCGGGTCCATAAGAATCTCGTTGGCACGCTGGATACACTTGAAGAAAGAGTCGTTCTCGTCATCTTGGCCGGCGGCTGCCTTCTTGTCCGGGTGGTGCTTGAGCACCTTCTTTCGGTATGCTCGTTTGATCTGCTCTTCGGTCGCTTTGTACCGGTATTTCGAGAGACCGAGGACTGCATAATGATCTTGTCCCTGTATAAGCTGTTAGAGCATGGATCCAACATAGGAGGTTCCGCAGCTGAAACTCACCTTCCAGTCTTTGGCATCTCGAGCGAGCATCATAGGGTCCTCAGGCTCGCTGATCTCGCCATCATCCTCGTCTTCCGACTTCTTGACCTTGGACAAAGCCTGGATGCGGTCATCTTCAGAGAAAGTACGGCCGTGGCGCTTGCGGCGGGCATAGGCAAGAAACTGAGCACCGAATGGTTCGATCTTGCGCATCACAGGTGGTGAGAGCTTCCCCAAGGCTCGGAAGTTGGGGGTTGCATCGCTGTCGCCCTTCCAGTCCGCAGACGGAGGGGGAATGGTTTCGACTTGGGCCATGTTTATCTTGCGAGGAGAGAGAATGTGACCGGGACCCTCAAGACTCTTTTAGCAACCGTACTATGGTAGAAGAAACCCCTTGCAATTGAATAGATGGTCAGATATAATGGGGGAAAAATTAATTTCTTAGGATGTCGGATCGGAAAAACTCACCTTCCGTATCCCACTTGGTCACTGCTGGAATTTCGTCCAACTGCAGTGGTTGGTTCAGTAGTAGCTGTTAGCAGACTTGCCTCGGTTAACCTTCCTTACGCTGCCGGAACTCATCCATTGTCTAGATGTTTGAGTGGAAGTGATGGTGGATGTCAGCGGGCTGGATCAAAACCAAGAACTGAAGAAATGTGCTGGCTGTCCTAATCAATTAAGTTGCAAATGAAAAAGATCACGAAGTAAGACCACCATTCAAACCAGGCCAAGCGACCTGCGCAATCTCCGCGATCCTTCTGCACCACTACCAGCGCAAGAACAATTCCAAGCAAGACAATGGCGCTGGCGGCATACAGACATCTCCTACGAGCCACGCGCATCGCATTCCACGGCGACGACCATCTCCTACATGCTGCCAGAATTCAAGCACGCTCTGGCTTCGAAAAGCTCAGCTCAATAGATCCGTCATCAGAAGAGGCGCAGAAGGGGATTGAACATGCTGAGGGTGTAGCATCAATATTGAGGCACAATATCGTGCAGGGCAAGCACGTGGAGGGCTCTGATGTACTACGTATGAATCTTTCGGACAGCGCCCAAATCAAATCACTTTACTTACGGGAGCACAGGGTTAAACTTACACGAAGACATCGAACGAGGCGACAACGACACGGTGAAACATCCCCTCGGCAAGGGAGGTGTGGTCAAGGTTGCAGGTGTATGAACAGAATAAAAGGACTGTATTCATTCGGTCTTGTGATCTGAAACTCAACGATACCCAGCGGCTGCTTTTCATACCGTATCACACCGGCAGCATGCCTTCCATGACGCCATGCTCAAAATGTACAAAACCCATTTCATGACCATTTTGATCAATCTCAATCTAATCTCCAGCCAGACTGGCATATGTAACCTCGCTCTGACCCGGTGGAGGCGCAACTGTGATTGCTGTACTCTTATCTCCTCCGTCTGTCTCTTCTCGTTGGCCTTGAGCGTCGCCAGCAGTTATGGCTCGACCGCCGGACTGCGCCTGCTTGACGGCTGCCGCGGTCTGTCTTCCTTCTCGGGCCCATTCCATTCTCTGTTCCCGATCAGTGTTATCGAGTGGTTTCGGTTTGCCCCATCTGACCCTTAAAGGACAGCCTTGAATGACAGCTTTCCCTTGGCAGTGCGCGGCGGCCGCCTCAGCTCCTTCTCTCGTTGCATAATTGATAAACGCACAATGAGCTCGGTGTGAGCAGACGATCGAACGGATCTGACCGAAGGGGGTAAAGAAGGTGCGAATGGCATGCTCGGGCAGATCATCCTCGACACCAGTAACGAACAGCGATGTGATCTTGGGATCAGCCGGTGGCAAGTAGTCTTCGGGTTGCGGAGGTCGTACGGCACTTGCGACTGTTCTCGCACCACCAGGTCCGGATCGAGCGCCTCGTGTTGCATTTCCTGCTTTTCGAGTATCGGACGTTCGTATCGGTCCTGGTCCATATCCGCTTTGTTTCTGCTCGGCTGGCTTGTCCGAGCCTTCTGCTCCCAAGCGTCTTTGCTTTTTGTAGTAGGGTTCACTGTTGGCCAGTCTCCTCAGTAGATCTCGTGCCTTCTCATCCGTCTTTTCATATGCCTCCACTGCGCCTCGGCCCTCCTCAAGTTCCTTTTCGTGCTCTTGGGCGTAATATTCGCGGTTGATGGTCGACCGTGGACCAGGCGCCACCATTTTCAGCGCTGCATCACGGACAGTGATTGGTAGTCCGAAAGAAAGATCAAGCATGCAGCATTGGCAACAGTTTTTTAACCTTGCGCAGGTTAGGCATATATTGGTTCGCTTCGTCCTTGCAGTCCGGTCGGCTTTCCACCGGAAGACGGTGAACGGTCTGGTGCAGATCTTGCATTCGGCCCCGTAGTCCTCCTTCAACATCTGAACGTAGGGGTTATCGGGCAGGCAATTCTCGCAGCTGGAAGGGAAGTCGGTGGTTTCCCAACCCGATCGGTTGAGGTCTTGTTTGATTTGTGGCGGCATGGTGGGGTGGACGATGGATGTGCAATATCGAGAGAGCAATGGGGGTGGAAAGCGGTGTAGACTCGAGTAAAGAGATGGATAGAAACCGCGTCACGGTGGAAGGCAATCGATCTTGCCTGACAAATTGAGACGATGACAAAAAGGAATAAGATGGTCAGCCTTGTCAAGTTCTACTTTTTGCCAACCGACGTCAAACGGCGGGAGGCAGGAAAAGATGTGGTCACGTGAAATACATGACTCGTATCTAATCACGTGTAATGACTAGCTGAGTCAAGATACAGACACGCAGCTCGGCGCTCTCGGGCAGAGGAGAATGTTGAAGGAGTGGAGCCCCAACCAACTTCTGTTGGTTGGTACAGATTCGGTACCTTACACTGGTAGACTTAACTACCTACTAGATAGTCCTGGCCACTAGCACCGCAGCGTGGCAATTCGCCAAATGTCAGATCCAACGAGATTCGAGATGGAGAACTTGAACTTGAAAGCCCCTGCCAAGATACCTTCAAGCTTTCCCGCGATTGGCTCTGACCAAAACTTGACTCTGCGAACCCTCCACCATTCGCTGGTCGGTGAATTGCATTGGAAGCTGTGGAAGCCCATCTCCCGAGTGTCGCCATTATTTTTTGGGAGCCGGCTAGCATCAATTCTACAGTACTGCTCCGTAGATACAACCCCTTCTAAACTTCATCCTGCCCGCCCAAACTGTCCCTATCGTCCCTGCATACTATCTGCGCTGTCTCTCAACCCTTCTTCTTCGTGTTGGTAGCTTCAAGGTCTTCAATAGTATTTCAAGACTCCTCCTTGACTCCTGCTCTGCTTGCGCCTCCAAGTTTCTCTACATCCCTTGGTCTTCAACATGGCCCCGTCTGCACTGACTCCGATTGCAAGCCTCGAAGCAGAGGACCATGCCCGTGATGCGGCCTTCAACAAAGCCCTCCATGGCAAATCAGCACAAGCAAAAGGTGGCTTGTCAGCCTTACGCAAGAAGGATCAGGCTGCTCAGAAACTTGCTGTGGACGAATACTTCAAGCACTGGGATAACAAGGCCGCCGCCAACGAGACGGAAGCAGATCGTAAGGCGCGAAGGGATGAATACGCCACGTTGACCCGACAGTAAGTTTGGGTTGCTCTCAGACTGCCCTGAAACCACTGACTCGTAATTAGCTACTACAATCTGGCCACCGACCTTTACGAGTATGGATGGGGCACTTCCTTCCATTTCTGTCGTTTCGCCATTGGTGAATCCTTCCACAAGGCCATTGCCCGGCACGAACACTACCTGGCACTGAAAATGAACATGCAAGAGAACTCTCGGGTCTTGGACGTCGGATGTGGTGTCGGTGGACCAGCCCGGGAAATGATCCGTTTTACAGGCGCCAACGTGGTGGGATTGAACAACAACGACTATCAGATCGAACGATCGATGCGTTATGCTCAAAAGGAGGGCCTGGCAGACAAGTGGAGCGCCGTCAAGGGCGACTTCATGCAGATGTCGTTCCCGGACAACAGCTTTGACGCCGTCTACGCCATCGAGGCGACGGTGCATGCGCCCAGTCTCCAGGGTGTGTATGAGCAGATCTTCCGTGTGCTGAAGCCTGGAGGTGTCTTTGGTGTGTACGAGTGGCTCATGACCGACAACTACGACAACGACAACCCACACCACCGGGAGATCCGACTTGGAATCGAACAGGGCGACGGCATTTCGAACATGGTCACGGTTTCGGAAGGATTGGCTGCCATCAAGGCAGCTGGGTTCGAGCTCGAGCACCACGAGGATCTCGCGGAGCGACCGGATCCGATTCCTTGGTACTACCCACTGGCGGGAGACTTCCGATATATGGGCAGTGTGTTTGATCTGTTCACCATCGGGCGGATGACTTGGTGGGGACGAGGGCTGGTGCACAAGTTCATTGGACTGGGAGAGAAGTTGAGGATGATGCCTCAAGGTACGCAGAAGACTGCGGACAGTTTGGCACTTGCCGCCGACTGTCTTGTGGCGGGAGGAAAGGAAAAGCTCTTCACCCCGATGTACTTGATTGTCGCCCGAAAGCCCGCCACATCTTGAGCAGGGCAGAGTTTGGGTCAACAGCGAATGGCGTTTGCAAGGGAAGCGGTCAGATACTGTCTAATGCTCTCAGAGGTGCACATGTGGTTGCTAGTAGACGTTTCTGGGCGGTTGATGTTTCTGTAATATACAACGTGACTGCCCAAGGAGGCCTGTAGCAATGGAGAAAAAGGTACTGCATTGGAGAGGTTCTTTTTTCTAGGAGAAAGTATCGCCGTATTTTGAAGCCTTGACATTATATACCCCCGAAGTGTAACCGCCATGGCATCTTCTGGTGGAGGCATGCGCATGCCTCGCCTCGATCAATCATGTATGGAACGATTGCCATTTGATAGTCGGCTGGTAGGACAGAGGCGTGAGGTCGAACAAGACCCCGACCGGAGAGTGACCGTACGACCCTGGTAGGATTGCGTGTACCCAGAGCGTTGCACACGTTGCCCGCAGGGAGCTCTGAAGTGCGCCAAATTAGGCAAGTATTGGAGGCTCGGCGTCGCTGCCAGGGATTCCAAGACGCTTGCTGTACAGAGTAAATTGATATAGACCACAATAGCAGCACAATAATGGGAAGTTCTAGCTGGACTCCTCGCTTGCTTACTGCGGAACCTGTGGAACAGCTGCCAGTGCAGTGCTTACAACTACTAGGTACGGTAGTACTATGTCGATGCCTCAGCCACACTGGTAGGTAATAGGCTGTTTGCTGCCTGATCGGTTAAGAATCAATAGTATTTTTAGGTGAGCAGCCGTCCAGTAATAGGCGTTGCCGCCACAGCAACGATGCCAGTGCCTGCGCCCCCGCGCCACTACTAGTACTACCTAACAGAGTACCTACTATGGAGGACAGCCAGTACCAGGCTTTAGTTTACTTCAGGTTGGACATGGCGCCCCCTAGCCTCCTAAGCCACCTAAGCCCTAGCCCCCTGTGGCCCCTGTGGCCCCTGTGGCCCCTATCTGCGAGGCACTGTCATAGCATGAAACCCGAACTGTACTGGATTTAATACGACCCCCTCTCCGCCGCAGCCTCGTCCTCACTTTTCCACATGCTCCTCCTGGGTGTTGTCTCCTCCGTCCTCTTGTCTGCGCTTACCCCAGTGTGCCAGCAAAGCAGCTTTTAAACCATGGGCGAGCTCATCGGTGCTGTCATCGGCGCCGCATGGTTGCTCGCATCCATCAGTCCCGTCATTGCGACTCCAGGCCCTGGCACTGTGGGCTTCAACTTCGAGAAGCGCCGAGTGAGTGCGCACGAGTACCCCCGTCTCTCTCGGCGTCAAAGCAAGACCGTTTCTGCCGCTTTAGACAATGAGATTCTGCTCTACTTGATCAACGTGACAGTTGGAACGCCTGGTCAGCCTTTCTCGCTCCAGCTGGACACCGGCTCTTCGGACATTTGGTTCCCGGCCGTCAACGCAGACATCTGCGAGCAAGACATACAGAATTGTGCCCTCGGTACCTACGACTACACCAAGTCTTCCACCTACGCCGATCCTAATCTTCCGGAGTTCCAAATTCAATATGTCGACGGCTCTCAGGTCGCCGGCGCGTACATCTCTGATGTCCTGAACATCGGCGACACCAAGCTCACGAATATGACCATGGCTGCTGCCCTGACCGCCAACACGAGGGGACTTGGTATAATGGGTATTGGCTTTGAGTTGGGAGAGGCGGGCTTCCTGATGGACGGACTACAATATCCAAATGTCATCGGTGTATTGAAGAACGAGGGTCACATAAACACCTGGGCTTATTCCCTGTGGTTGGATGACCTGGAGGCCAACACCGGCAACATCCTCTTCGGTGGCGTCGACACAAGCAAGTACCACGGCGATCTGGTTTCCCTGCCGATCCAGCTCGATTCTCAGACCGGCACCATCAGTTCCATGACCGTGGCATGGACGGGGTTGACTGTCACCGGCGGCGGGCAGACCTCGAACCTCTCTCCGTCCACACCACAGGCAGCAATTCTCGATTCCGGAACGACGTATCTCCTCCTCCCCGACGAGATTGCCAACAACGTTTTCAACGGCGTGGGAGTGCTGACGGATCCGTCATACGGCAACGTCGTGCCCTGTTCCCTGGCCGACGACGACCTGACTTTCTCTTTCCAATTCGGTGGCCAGAGCGGGCCCATTGTCAATGTCAGCCTGTCGGAATTTGTGACTCCTCTATTGACCACCGATAGGTCGCAACCCACCTTCCGCAACGGAGATGCAGCATGCGCCTTTGCCATAGAGGCAGCAGGCGACAACCCCATCCTGTTCGGTGACGCATTTCTCCGGAGCGCATACGTTGTCTATGATCTGGAAAACCAGGAAATTGGCATCGCCCAGACCGACTTCAATGCCGGCAAGTCGAACATCCAAGCATTCCAGGAGAGCAGCGGCATTCCAAACGTTGTCTCTACCGCGACCGTGGCGAGCGTCGTGCAGACCTTTACTGGCGTCCCGCGGGTCACAGAAGCCTCGGCGACGGTCACCGGCGAGATCGGCCCGGCATCTAGTAGATCTGCTACTTTCAACCTCACACCGACCAGTGGGTCGAGTAGTGGCAGCAGCAGCAGCAGCGGTGGTAGCGGTGGTGGCAGCAGTGAGACCGGAGGAAGCAGCTCTAGTAGCAGTTCATCCGCAGCCAATGCCAACCTTCGCGCCTCGCCGGTCGAGGCGGCCAGCATTGTCGCTGGATGTGCTGTGGCTGTTGGCTTCTTGTTTGGTGGAAGTTTGATGTTGCTGTAACATCATCAAGGAGCAATTGCGAAAGCCCAATATCCGCATGACGACCTACGGCACTTTACCCTACGATTCTTGGACATGATTGCATTGCGCGGCTGTCGATAAACACAAATTTTTGTGAATACGAACGAAACCCCTTTGTGTGTACCATAAATAGTATACCTGACTTGCTTTTTCATGTAAGCCACTGCGTACTCTGCGTTCTTCACGCAAGAGATGGTTACTTACTCCTTTGCTGTCTCTCCGTCTGCCTCCAAAAGCAACAAGAGCGAGAAAAGCAGGGGTAAAGGGACGATTCATTTCCAGCTCCAACATTTGAAAGCGATCGAGATACCTACTCGCACCCAACCTTCCCGATCATGATGTCCTATCGTGTACATTCAGTCGCATGTTTCCCCTCCCCTGGCCGCTGCGTGCTCGTGATGGCATGTATTTACTAGGAGTATCCCTTGCCCTGATACTTGTCCCAGTCCTTTTACGTCTGATGAGGCGATTTATGAGATTGATGGTCTGTCCCTTGTTGCCCCGTGTTTTTCGATCATCGCTTTCTTGTTCATACTCGAGTTCCCTTCCCTCTCCGTCCGTTCCTTTCCATTTCTCGGAAAATTCCCAGGTGGAAATGCTCAGTCTGATGAGGTTCGAATCTAGAATCCCCACCTCTGCTTGCACCGTTGCTGCGCCCTTAGTCTTGGATCATACTGAGCGGCCAGTGTGGAGGTGCAGAGGTCCTGAACAAATCGCAGTGCACCATCGATGCACTGGCGTGTCGAATCCAGCGACAGTGCCTGTCATTCATGGACTGTTTCGAGAGGCGAGTGCGGGAACGGGGAACTCCCCTCTCCATTGGAGCTTTCTGTGGACAGCCACGGGCGAAGCCTTACGCTCCCGGCCATAACGTTGCCATCGTCCGCCGTGGCTTCTATACCCACCTGATTATCCTCAGGGACACGAAGACCCAACAAGCGCTCGGCGTTTTTGTACGCAATGTCGAGGAAATCCTGCTCGTTGATCATGCCGCTTTCGCGCAGCTGGGCCATAAACGCCAGACCTTCCTCGTTGCTGCAGAAAGGGTAGTCGACGCTGTACAGCACCTTGTCGGCACAGCACATGTGGATCAGGCAGGCCATAGGCGCGAGGCTGAACATGCCGCTGGTCGTCACGTAGATGTTGTGGTGCCAGACTTGCATCAGGTGTCGCCGCGGGCGCGCCGACGCCGGCCACGTCCGCTGGATCAGCCTGTGCATTCGGTCCAGCCCGTACGGGAGCAGTTCGCCCATGTGGCCCAACAGGACCTTCAGGTGCGGATGCTCGTCGAACAGCTTGGACGCGAACAGTCGCAACACCCCTAGTGCCACCTCCGTGTGCCAGTTGAAGCCGTGGTTCTCGAGAAACGCCGTCACCTGCGGTGCATAGTTGCCCTGGAACGGTGATGTTTCGCTGGGCGGATGTGGCGGCGCATGCAGATATACGGGGACGTCCAGGCGTTCGTGGGCCGCAAATATCGGCCAGAAGTCGGGGTCGTCGTAGAACCGGCCGTCGACGCTGTTGTCGATCAGCGACCCGACGAAGTTGAGCTCCGTCACGCACCGCTCGAGTTCCTGGGCCGCGTCTTCAGGGTAGAGGGTCGGCAGCATGGCAAAGGCGGCGAACCGGTTAGGCGACGGTGATGATTTGATCGCCTCGTGTAGCTCATCGTTGGCTGCGCGGCAGACTTCAGGGGGAATGGGGATTGCGTTTGGCCGGTGAGATATCACTTGGATGCTCACGCGTCCTGAGTCCATCGACTGAAGGCGTACAGGTCCAACCTCGCGTAGGGCCTTCATGACCTTTTTGTGCGATGGTGGCAGCGCCTGTCCCTTGCCTTGTTTCTCGTAATAGTCTACCACGGCGTGGGAAACGAAATGCTCCTCGAGCGTGATCAGCGGGATTGTATCGGGCATTTTGGGCGCTTCTGTCGAATGCCAGGCTCGGAATGCAGGAACAAATGCTGCCCTATTCCTTGCCTCTACTCAAATGATGAGACTGTCCGATTGCGTGGCTGCTGGGTCCGGATGGGCGGAACCGGATGAACAGCGGCTGGGTCAGGTTGTCGTGGTCGTTAGATACATGAAGTTGTCCAGACTGAGATCTCCCATGAAGTCATGGATATTGATGATGGCTGGGAAACCTTCCGCACAGTATCTCCGAGCGTGCCTAGGTTTTGCTGGGAAGGTATGGACAAGTAGTAGTGCCAGTATGTGGTAGTATGTGCTAGCAACGTCAGCCGTTTCTTTAGCCCTTCCCCGAACCGGAGGGGTCGAAATGGATGAGCAGAGAAGATGGGGTTTGTTGGATGTCAATTAGACCAATGGAACGGGCCAGCAGCAGGTGACGCCACGCCAACCGTTATAATTGAGTTGCGGAGGTGGCGATGGGACATGATGCATCCCAAAAGTGGTGTGATTTGAGCGAGCCGCTATCTGGCATCTGGTAGTAGTGATGGCCCGAGTGATTGGGGCGGAACAGAGAGGGTGTTTTGCGTATGAATCTTCACCTATAGTATCTGCTGAGGATGATCTTGCCATGCCGTAGAGCAACGTTATACTGTGTACTTACTCACTTACCTGCCCAGGTACCTTTGATGGTCCAGGAGGGAAGGTGAGCTTGTGCTTATAGATGATGGCTCTTCGCATCACCTTGTCGTGCTCTTGCCAGTGATGAGCTGATTGACAACAATGATATACGAGCCCCCTGGCTGTTATGTATACAGAGATGTGTAGTGTGGTACATCGAGGTTGACACAAAGCTACATCTGTCTCTTGTCCCCCTTTCCGCCCTGTCACGGGTGTGGGAGTCACGGAACATTCAAGATGCTCTCCTTAACAGGGGCTTGGCATCTGTGGTCACGTGCCTAAGGGGCTGACATGCTCTTTGCAATTGAGAGATAGTAGGGCTAGTCATCGATTAGCACCACTACTAGTAGCTGATAACCATGAACATACTAATTAGATACCACTAATAAAAGTACCACCGTGACCGCCAGGAGAGAGACAGAGACACAGATGCGTATACGTGGTGTCCTTGGGCGTTCACCTTCCATGCGCCCATCCTCTTGTTGTATCCAAGTCTATAGTAGCCCAGAGACACATTTCGTCTTTCGCAACTTGTCGTTCATTATTCAATCATTCCTGTTGCTGGCTAGGCAATAGTGAACCCCTATCGATCCAACACCGCCAAAGCACCCACTGCATCCTCAGCACTCTCCGCCCGGTCTACTGCACGCACGCGTGTCAGCAAAATCCCGAGCACAAGATACCAGCGACATTTCTCCGCGACGTGCAATCCTTCCCCGCCCATTTGTCCCAATAGTCAGTCTGAGGAGACTTCACCACCTTGATGGCCTCTCAAGGAGGCCTCACGCGCAGGCGTGGAGCTGGCGGAGTTACCTCACCGACCGGAGACGAGGAATCGTCGAGCCGCGTCACATCACCTGCACCGAAACCCTTTAACGATCGCTCCCCTGAGACCGCGTACGAGAACGGCGAAAATGGTCACAAGATTGCTTACGACCCGAGAGACATCAGCGAGAACCAGGAGCGGAGTAAACAACCAAAGCTGACGCTGATGGAAGAAATCTTATTGCTTGGACTGAAGGACAAACAGGTAGAACAAGCAAAATGCTCATGTCCACGTGGTACTAAACAATTGCTACCAGGGCTACCTGTCATTCTGGAATGACAATATATCATACGCCCTGCGAGGGTGCATCGTGATCGAACTGGCTTTCAGAGGCCGCATCGCCATGCAAAACGACCCGGCCCGTAGACGGTTTCCCCTTGCCGACCGCATCATCGAAGTAATAGACGACACATTGACGGGAGAGGTCTTACTGGACGAAGCATTGAAGATGATGAAGTCGAGCGAGAAGATGAGTGTCAGCTCATGGATCGACCTGATGAGTGGTGAGCCTCAAGCCGTCAATTCGTGCGCAGACACGATCTCTCCTGGCCGCAGACTAATCCCAGGTACTCAGGGGAAACGTGGAATCTGATGAAGATCGGCTACCAACTGAAACAAGTCCGGGAACGACTCGCCAAAGGACTCGTGGACAAGGGCATCCTCCGCACCGAGAAGCGCAACTTCCTCCTCTTCGATATGGCCACCCACCCGGTCGTAGACTCCGGTGCCAAAGACGAGATTCGCAAACGTGTCCGCAGTATTTGCTCCAGCCGCACTGTTGTCCTCCCCCCGTCACAATTCCTCCCTGCCGAACTCGACTTCAGAATGCTTCGAACCATCAGCATGGTATGTGCAGCCTATGCCGCCAATGTGCTCGAGAACGCTCTGGTGACCATGAGTCACGAGGCGAGAGAGCGCGCGTTTGCGCAAGTGGACGAACTGCTTGCCGAGTACAGTCAATGGCCTTTTGCCCGGAGGGCGGGCGGAGGACAGGGCATTGGAGCAAACATCGGCCAAGTCATTGCCGACGAGGTGGAAAAGAATAAGGATAAGGAATTGCAACTTGAGGTGAGTTATTTTGCCCCAATCTCCGTGTTGTGCTCAGCGTGGATCCATGGAAGTCCAACAGCAGTAAGACAAGCGTCAATACTAACCCCAAGTGCACACTACAGGTCGTCGCGGCATGTTTGAGCGTATTCACCAGACTGGATTCTTTACTATGAGAGGGGTCTCACCCATTGTCGAATGTCGAAACAAGGACCAGGGAATCACGTACGCTATGTTACGCAAAATGAGTGACACTCTACCTGGCTCAGAAGGCACGAAAGAAACCCTCTTCTCCTCCACATTTTCAAGCACTGTACTGCAATGCCGAATCCTACCAGGCACGGAATTCTTTGAGCGGGAATCACAGTCACAGCCTTGTCGAGAGGCTGCTTATTCAGGGACCAAACTCCCAGGGAATTGTACAACCTGTTTGTCTCCACTGGCTTCGTTGTCAGTTGGCCGCTCCCATGGCAGTCAAGAGCACATTAGGTCCAACAAACATACCCAAGCAAAAGCCTCAGAAGGGAAGACAGCAGATTACATAGTCCACCGTTCCCCTGTCGTGGTCGTTGCGTCTATGCCAATGGATGCGAACGGCCAATGACCCACTGCAGGGCAACGAAGTGTAGGTACCTCCAGAATGCATTGGTATCTAGATCTCCCTAACCTACATATTTGTACAAGCCGCACTACTAGAAGATCAAGATTCTGTTTTTGCTCGTCCCACATCACATTTTCAGTCCCGTTCACTGGCTTTGCCCGGCTCCTGCACATCCAAGGCTGCAATCGTCTCGATGGCCTGCAACGTCTCATGAACATGGTGGGTCGGGTACGTGGCGCTGCCGCGCATGGCTTCCAGCTGGCGCAGTCTCTGGCCCTCCTTGCCCGCCTGACCAAGCACTCCGCCAATGAGGGCCGCGGAGCGCAGCGAGTCGTCGTTTGCTGGGATCGGATACGTGACCCAGGCCGGGTTGGCATCTGTATCGATGATTCCGATTGTCGGCACGTTGAATATGCCACATTCGTGCAGACACACCTGGTTCTCCAGCGGGTTCAGACAGACCACCAGGTCGGGCCGCATCACGGTGTGGTTGCCCGCTGTAAAGGCGTTGCGGTACTGCTTGATCTCTCGGTCGTGGATGTCGACCACTTTCACGCCGCAGCCGCCTAGAATCTGTTGTCCGTTGGTCAAGGATCCAGGCACCCAGCGGTGGAAGATATGATAGCCGCCCGCCAGCTTTGCCGTGTTGACTACGATCTCCTCCTGGCCTTTGCGGGTTGCAACGAACAAGATGATCCCGCCGCGTCGCGCCACTTCTTGCACCACCTTCGCCGCGCGCTTGAGGTACGCGTGTGTAACTTCGAGCGAAATGATGTGGATCCCGTCTCGTACGCCGAAGATGTAGCTGCTGTTCAACGGGTTCCATAGCGAGGTTGCGTGGCCCAGGTGGGTTTGATTGGCCAGCAACATCGGCAGAGTTAACTCAGATGCTTTCGGCGGCTTGTGTAGAAGGGTGGTAGGGTCGTATGTCTGGGAGAGGTGGGTGCCTCGCCGTCGCTCCTGCTGCACATGTCTCCGGTAGCGGTTCAGTTCTTTCAGGTTATCGAATGGAAGCGGATCGGCTGGCGCCGGTGGTGAAGTCGATGGTGTTGATGACGGAGAAGAAGCAGCTTGAGATGTGGTTGGTGTCGGTGCCTTCGAGGGGTTTTTTGCGTCGAACTCGAACTCGTCCAGCGACATTATTCGAGCCGTTGTGTGGGCTTGGACGTCTGCTCGGAGGGCATGGATGGAATTCTCCTGTGCTTCCAACTCCTTGGCTATGGACCTTGTTGCAGCGGTCGGCGGGTGAGGAAGAGTGTCGAGGATGCTGGATGGCTCGTCTGGATGTCCTGGGATGCCGGGTTTGGGTTTAGGATCTCGTTCTGATTGCCGGAGCATGGGGTTGTCGACATTTCTGCTCGATACGTAGCCGCGATCGAGACGCCGCGATGACCGGGCGAGTACTGTGCGCCCTGGAAGCTGTTAGCTGGAAGAAACTGTAGGATTACTGACGTTGTCTCTCATACCGTGCCGGGCGCAGAACTGTCTGACTATCATTGTTGCTGGCAACTAGCTGACTGGAGCGGTGCAGCATTGAGATCTTCTCTCTACAAGTTCGTTCAGACGTCGGAGTAGGACTGCTACCCATTGCTACTAGCACTGAAGTGGTTAGCGTATTTCTGGCTTGGCTCATCTTTGCAGTGGAAGGAAGAAAACTGTGCAAACAGAGCAAACAGAACTACCATCTTTCGCAGCCTTACTATCATTCATCCAATCAGCACCTTCAGCGCTGCCCCTGACTTGCAATTTGTACAGAGTACATAGGCACCTACTACCTAGGCACGTCCAGGAGTCCAATTGGATGGTTCCAGCCTTGCCCATGGCTACCTAACTTGTTATAACCTCCAGAACCAGAACACACCCGGCGGAGTGCTATATACTACCCAGACCGATCACCTATTCATAGGATGTACATACCGATACGACGTGCCATGACATGCCATATAAAAGTACATGTCGACGGCCAAGAGTTGGCAAATCAAGTTATAGCCAGACACGAGGCCCCAACAGGAGGCTGAACCAGGCCCTCCAAGTCGAAAGCCTTGAGTGTTCTTGGAGAGCACTTCCACCCCCTTTTCCGCCGCTTGGCCAAATTTCCCCTGGCGGGCCGGTTCGTCTTGGCCGGCCTCATCAAGCGTTCAACTTGTTCTTGGATCTTTTCCACGTCGACCTCGATTCGACCCCAGCCGTGCCTGTCATCTTCGCTTTCTCTTCTAGTAAGCTCCCGTTTGACCACTCCAAGGCCACCCGGCATCATTGAGAGTATGTTCATGACCCTGGTCCTCTTCAGGTCACGGTCGCACCACAGCCGCCTCCACTATTTCAATTGGCCCAGCCTCGTCCCTCCTGGACGCCTGCTTGACCACTGCATGATATGCGGCGTTCTCTGCCCATGTCTACCACAGCTACCCGGTAGGACCTGGCGAGGCAATCTCATGCAGGCCGTGACCAGTGACTAAACCCCCGCCGCCCGCCGTGGCATCAGCCTTGGGAAGAAAATGAAGCAAAAATGAGACCTGTTTGGCACCCTACCATGTCTCCACGCTCCCCCAAGATGCCAACTACAGTTTAGTAGGTCAGCAAGCGAGTCGGCTAGCCTTGGGACAGACACCCCCAGCTGCCAGTCAGGATAGTGAAGAACTGCACAAATGCTTGTCTGTGCAGACCCTGGTCTTCCAACCAGATATCCAGTCCCCATATACTCCATACATCTCTCTCCCCCCCAGTCATAACGAGCTTTCTCCCTCTCCCAGTGCGCGCTCTTGGTCCAGTTCCTGATTGACCCTCTTCCCCCACCGTCCGTCGCGATTTGAATACCTGGTTACACGACAAGAGTCGCCGACGTTCGCTTCCCCGACCACCTTGTTGTCGTCGCATACACTGAGCTAACCAGTCTCAACAACATATCTGGGTTCCTCTCCTTCACCTACTCAGCCGCTCGCTTGGATTTAATCCCTTCCTTGTGCTTCCAGAAGTCGACTCTCCTGCGCGACCAGAAAGGACCACTCCACCGGTTCATCCGTCTGTTTTAAGACCTTGATCGCAATTCGGACACGCAGTCTAGCGTGGTGAGACAATCTAGCCTCATCATACCTGGCACTGGACACAAACTCAGACCCAAACATCTAGACGAACCTGACCTCGCCCTCATTCGCTTTCGCGACCTTACCAGAGAATGCGCCCTTTCTGTTTCCTGGCGGCCCTCCCGCTGCTAGTGTCGGCCTCCGCCTCCGCCTGGTCAGAAACCACCCTCCTCATACGGGCCACCACCCCCGGTAACGAAACATCATGCGAGTCTGGTGACAAGGCATGCGGCATCTTCTGCATTCCGAGCGACTACACCTGCTGCCCGGATCTAGAAGGCGGCTGTCCGTCAGCGACCTCGGTGTGCATGGAAGGCGACAACGGCATCTACGGGTGCTGCGGGAAGGACGAGTATTGTCAGGGCGACGGCGGGTCTGAGTTCATCGATGATGGTGCTGACGGCTCGTCGTCTGGGAGTTCCAATGGCACTACTGCGACGAGGACGGGGGATTCGACTAGTGGGGCTGATGTCGTTGTGTTTGGGATTGGTCAAGGGCTCACTTTCGCAGCTGTCATGGCTGGAATTGTTGTGCTTGTATAAGTGGCGGTATATGCTGAAACAGTTTAATTTGCTGTGTTTGTTGTTGTTTCTGTCCCTTCTCCTGATATACCTCGTGGGATAGTGAAAATGGTGCGGATACGAGATAGATGTCCACCTGGAATATTTCAGTCATTGTGACAATGCAAGAGGAAAAAGGGGACGAGTATTGAGAAGGGACAAGGGCGGCTTCTCCTGTCTGGGTTATATGTGTGTATTCCGATTCCTTGGCCAATGCGGTATTCATTACTTTCCAGTATATGTACTCGACGGTTCAGGACTGATAATCGAATCCGCTTGCCTCTTCTGAAGTGCCTGGTCAATCGGTCTCTATGGCACCCACAGACTTCACTTCAACTCGAAGGGTAAGTGTCTACGAGCACGACATCCCTCTCATGTTTTACTGCACCAGGGCCTCTGGAGGTCAGACCAAGACACTGGATCTCGCCGAAGAAGAGCATGAGCCATGTGGTCTTTGCTTGATTTGGATCAACGACCATTTCTATCATCATTTCATACTTGGGAAGACGAGGCGAAACCTGGACGTCCACCTGAGCAATGAGTTCTCCAGAATCTGGTCGGAGCCTGTCTAGCAGCCTACTATTATCTTGGATTCTATACTATAGGCAGAGCCCTTGACAGGTAGTCGCCCCATTGAGGCTTCTGTCTCTTCCAAGGGGTCTCTGAGCTGAGTTGCAAATCCTCAATGGCGCTCGCCCACTTGATAAGCGGCCCCTCGCTCCACGCCGTACCCATCAGTGCGAGCCCGAAAGGCATTTCACTCTCCCCACCCACGCCCGCAGGCACAGTGATCACAGGATATCCAGCCTGCGCGGCGATCTGGTACGTCTGGCCGAGGTCAGGAGGGACCAGCAACGCATCGAGGGCGACACGCGTGCCGTTGGGAAGTAGCGGGTTCAGCGCGGCGTCGATGCCTTCCTCGCGCGTCGAGCGCTGGCAGAACTCCAATGCCTGGAAATATGTGTCGTCCATGATGCCTTTGCTGTCGAGCGACGCTAGGAATCCGTCTTGGCCGGAACGGAAAGCTGGGTGGACCCCGGGCTTGCCCCCCTCGCTGCCTACGTTGTCGAGATTGTATTGCACGATGTCTTCGAGGGAGCGGATTGGCGTGTTGCTCAGTTCCGAGAGGTATGTTTTGATGTTGTTGTAGAACTGTGACGAAGTGATGAGTGAGCGTTCATGGATGTTGTGGGGGAGCTGAATTGGTTGATGGAGGATTGGGGGAACTGAGATCAGGGGAAATACTTACGTCTACCTTGACAACTGTGTATTCGCTTTCGTTGGGGTAGCCTCGAGTGCCGCCATAGTCCCAGTCCCAGCCGTCTGGGCTCACGATAGTCTGCATAAGGCGTCAGTCATGACATGGTTCTGTTTGGGAGCTGATGGGTTCGCCTTGAAAGCCGCCTGGAAGAAATCAACACTGACCTGATAGTTGGGCAACTCGGTTCCATTTATGATCGTTGCACCGGCTCCCTCAATCAAGCTGATCAGCTCGAGCAGGTCTGCATTTTGATCCGGGTCGTTGAGGGCCCAGAAACTAGCCCAGGGTAAACCAAATACCGCACCTTGCAGGGCGGACTTGTCGGTTAGATACTGTACGTATCCTCCCGGGGGTGTCTTCCCCGCTTGAGCGAGTGTGTAGTTATCGCGGTCGTCCGGCCCGTAAATAGCGTCGAGCGCGTAGGTGGCATCGCGCATAGTTCGACCGAAGGTTCCGACTGTATCTTGGTGGGTCGACTCCGGGATAACGCCGGCACGAGACGTGAGACCGACGGTCGGCTTGATGCCGCATATCGATGCACGTTCGGCAGGGCTGATGACTGACCCATCAGTCTCGGTTCCTGGGTGATTATCCGTATCAGTAAATTTCCCAGAGGAAACGGAAAATGTTGATTGCAGCTTACCAAGGGCAAACATGGCTTGATTGGCCGCCACGGCCGCGGCTGACCCTGAGCTGCTTCCGCCGGGATTGGCGGTCAGGTTGTAGGGACTTCGAGCCTGACCGCCGCGCGCACTGTACCCCTCGGAATAGCTGTTGGATCGCCTGCTCTGAGCATGAGTTGCAGTCCCTTGAGTAGACAAGCTCGGGGAGTCACCTACATGTCTGCCCACTCTGAGAGCGTCGCATGGCCCAGCAGCAAGGCGCCGGCATTCCTCAACTTCATCACCACATGGGCGTCCCGAGGCACGATACTCCCCACCAACATCCAGGACCCGGCCGTGGTGTCCATCTTGTCCTTTGTGGCGATGTTGTCCTTGACCAGGTATGGGATACCGTGCAGCGGACCTCTGACTCGTCCCGCAGCTCGTTCGGCGTCCAGGACCTGGGCGATCTCAAGAGCGTCTGGGTTCCATTGAAGGATGCCGTTCACATAGCCGTTCACCTGGGTGTACCGAGCGAAGTAGCACATGACGATGTCAACAGCAGTGAGAGCCCCGTCACTCATGTAGCCCTGCAGCTGGTCGATCGTCGCCTCTTCCAAAGTGATACCTTTGCACGGCGGCATTGGGAACAATGCCTCAGGTGCTGCATCTTCATTGGGGTACTGGTAGGGGAAAGGGTCTGTGAGTATTTGGGCAGAGGCAAGATCAACGGTCGTCGCATCCTGAGCTGCCGCCCAAGGTATCAAGCCTGCTGTTAGCAGGAACAGGGGGAAAGAGTGAAACATCCTGTCGATTTCTTGTCCTTGAGGCAATGGGCTGCCGGCCAGTCTGCTCGCACTCAGGCCCCAAGGCTGCCAGTGCTCCAACTCTACTTACAGGAAAGGAAGGCGACTTGCCTTCCAATGGGGGCCGCAGGTATTTGTAGCTCAGAGTACATCACGATCGATCTCTCAACTTCAGATCTTCAGGCTGAGCTCCAGTCGACGAGCTTCCCACAGTTGTCCGTACCACCAATGGTGGGAGTTGTGGTATCGATGCAGACCATGCATTAGTTCTGCCACGCGGGAGGATGTAGTCCCACTGCCATGTCAGCTTGTACGTCGTTCAGCCATTATTGACCCAGCGAGCCGGGTCACTCGGTCGTCTGAGTTCGACTATCGGTATAGCTATAGCTATACTTGCTCGAAGATGGTTAGCCTTATCAGTACAGCAGCATATCTTGGGCCGTCTTGGTATAGCTCCTCGCCGAGTTATCGTCTTGGCGATCGATAGGTTGATGGGACCTGACAAGGAGGTAAGACATGGTGTGGGGAGGAGATGCCTTTTGTGGAAGCTTCACAGTTCCTCTGTATCTCTGTAGATGGTGTTACGGCACTGCAGTAGTCATTCCCTCAATGTCTGTCCGTCCCTGTTTCGGAAGCACGGTGACCTGTGGTGACCTGACTCATATCTTTGTCAGCAGGCATATGACAGAGCAGATGGTCCATGCTAGTCCAAAAAGAGCTAGTGTGTATTATTGCGCCAAGACTGTGTTGCTCCTCTTGAAGTTTGAAAGTCGCGGCCACTTTTTTTCTCTACAGTCTCATCCACCACATGCACTGCAAATGGTTCTTCTATTCTGCAGAGATTTCATGTCCTAGTCTTGGACTTCCTCTGAGTTCGCTACCTCTGCTGCTATGGTAGCAACTTTTGGTAGCTGCAACAATGAAGCTCCAGCGGTGACGGGGACTGCTGAGTTCTCCAGCGTCCTGGTTGCTGGCTTGCACCCAGAAAGTCGGACATCCTCAGTTTTGTGCTAACTATCTAGGCTGCAATCCTTTGTCATATTGCAGGCATCGCATTGTCGTTGTTGCTGCCTCTTCGGAAAGCTGACTGCTCGATCGCTCTCTCGCTCTTTCTCTCTGTGGATTGTAAGAAGGCTCGGTTGGAGAATTGCTAAAGAGACGGTGCAAGGTACAAATACTCTGGTCAGTACTACCCCGTCCCTCTCCCAGGCACAGTGATGAATATGCATACCGTAACAAACTAGAGTCTTTGACCCTTTTGGGAATGAAACTCAAATCGCAAGCACGTCAGTCTGATCACACAACCTATCCTGCAACTTGCCAATCTGGATCATTCGCAGCCCAAACTGATCTGTTTATAGATTTGTTGGCAGATGTCCCAGCAGTTCACCGTCGATGGGGCCCCGGTAGCCTTCCGAATATGTATGTCCTCCCTCAAACCATCTACCTTCCCTTATCATGATGATCATTCTTTCAATATAATATACGCTGGAAATTACCGGCTGAGACTTTCGAGTTGTTGAAGATATCAAATGGCTATATCTGATTTCAATCCCTTGACAAAGAGCACTATCCACAGCATGTCCTTGTCGAGTATATCCGCTGACTTTACAAAGAGATGCTTGACAGATATCTTGTGGTATGCCCGTGCCGCTCCACCCAATTTTGTTCTCTGTCCCAGCGGTTTTGTGATGAATGGCACTGGGCGCTGACAGTCACACATGTGACTGGTCATGACGGATATGCCCTTCGTGGCAGGCCTAGAAAACCTCGCCCACTGATCACCGCTTCCTACACATGTGCTGCCACGGTCCTATCATGTCCATGGCTGATTTTTAGCAAGAAAAGAAAAGGGAGGATTGTGAATCTTCCAAGTCGCTGTAAGCACCCCTTCAGTTGCCTTTATCCCTTTTCTGTGATGAACTTACCTAGATGACGAGTCTGATTCAGTTTTTCTGATGCGGACACACACAAACTACCATTCATGCATTTCCTGACCCTTCCCATTCTGCATCGATTTATACAATTGTTTCGAAGACTTCCCTGACGAATTCCAGAGACAAGCCAGGCTCGAGCAGAATCAAACCATAAATGGTACGTTACCTGCATCTGTGCGACCTTGATTTTCATATGATGAAGCGACAAAATCAAAAAGACAAGCATATGTCCAAGTCGACTTCGGTTGACCAAGACGAGATTGTCAAGCCTGACTTCCTTGCAAACAATCCTTGCAAATCAACTTCAGCATCGGGATTGGTACTGACTGCCATTCCTGCAGCCGCCAATATACTGAAAGCTGTTGCTCTGTAAGTCAACCTAGCTCCTGGCAAGCCTTCTATTTCAATGATGATTTATTCTACATTATCACGACGGTCAACGTAGCCTATGCCTTGACGACCACAGCCTTTGACCGGGCTTAGATCTGAACGGAATTCCACTCGAAAACTTTTCGCTCTTATTCATTCATGAGCTCAAGCTAACCTGTGAGAAGGGTATCCTCGCGGTATCGCCCAGCATCATATGCAAACGCTCGCTCAGACAGAATTGTTAATACAATAAACCTTGCGTTGAAAGTCGCTCTCAAACTCATCTTCCTTTCAGACCGCTTTTCTTCTTTTCCCCTTTCCCCCTTTATCCTCTCTTGATACTCGCGTCTTTCTTTCATCCTTGACGCTTTGTCTGGAACCCAACTTACTCCCAACATGGTGTACGCCGATTCGAGGCTCCGCCATGTGCTTCTTGTTTTCCGAGAGGCCAAGATACGGGACAAGGAATCGGGACCTTTCTGTACCACCCCACGCCACCTACGCAACGACTATAGGCTGCGTGAGGTAGAGCCTAGCTTGACTTTCAGACATGCCTTGGCCTGGCAGGAAGACGGTTCATCTGAAGACGAATATGATCCGACGCCTTCCAAGAAGCGTTGTAGCACAGGCAGTGCTTTGAGGACCCCGAAAAAGATCAAACGAGTGCATCCCAGTGGAAGTGAGCAATCCACCCCTCAGACCACGCAGCAACATGATGTCAATCCGTCCAGTCTATTCCTCACACTAAGACTCCAATCCGACGCAGCCAAGAAGGTCCTGCATGATCTTGCTGAGGAGCATGGACGTGGATACAAAACGGATGCGGCCAAACACGGAAAGGAATCTGCCAGCAGCAACAGCGAGGTTTCCGGCGATGTCGATCTCCCACCTCGGGAGGTCAATCGCCTCCACCGCCCCGAACCCGCGTCGACCTATCTAGGCAAGCTCGACGAGGATAGTGAAAAGATTGACAATGCGGGTGGACGAGTTTTACGCAATCGCAAGATTCCAGACATAGATCTAGCAGCTCAGACTCGGAAATGCGTGGCTTGTAAAGCGGCAAAGAGGAAGTGTTCATTCTTGTCGGGAACGACTCGTCTTCCAGCATGTAAACGATGCCGCCAAAACAAGGTTGATTGCGTGCTGGACCTCCCAGACGTCGAGCCCAAGAGAGAAAGCGAACCACGTGTTGACCTTGCTGAGGACGTTCCTCAACTTTCGGACCTGTCTCAGCCTCTGCCCAAAGGCAATGGTGCCGTCGCCGCAATCCAGCCATCAGTGACCACCCCGACACCTTCCCCCACGGCAAGCCAGATCATCCGATCTCACGTCGCCACGCGTCAGTATCCTTTCACCACCAAGATTGGAGCGTCGCAGGAACATCCTATTGTTCTAGACTCGCCTCCGTCGTCTCCAGGAAACCACTCAAGCCTCTTCTCCGCACCCCCAGAGTCCGCTGGCAGACTGGTCAATATCAGAACATACTGGGCACATCCTATTCAGTTCAAGCATTTTCCCACCCCGGGGAGCTCATGCCACTTCTGTTCGGATTTCCGGTACGGCATCTACGGCTACGGCGAGATTGCTGTGCAGGTTATCCAGTACCCGGACACACTGAGTTACGAGGAGACTGGTGATGGCCATCGAGCGAAGGGTCACGAAGCCACCCGGATGTGTGTCAACTGTGCATTAAACCGGTTGTACATCTCCCGATGCAGAGTTCATCGCTTCAAGAAATTCGCCGCTCTATCAGCCGCACGTATGGCCGAATATAGTACTCAGGTACTTGCTGAATCATGGTGGCCTCCGGTGAAGGTTGGCGCATGTGCGACATGCTCTCTGTGCCCCAAGGCTGCTATCTGGCGATGCTGCGCCGATCAGCGTTTCGACAAGGTTGGAAGAAGGTTGCCTGTCGAGCAAGGACACGAGAGAGGCTGTGGACTGGTTCTTTGTGAGGAATGTCGTGCCACCGCACCTGACGGGAAACTGAGGAGACCAACTGGGGAAGCATCTCGCGCAGATGTAGACTTCCTCTTCGCAGGAAGCTTGCTGCATAGGGCTTACGGTGAGTCAAGAATATTTTTTCGTTGCCTTGCTGGATTGATGACTGACTTGCTAGAAGACTAACAGACTAGTCCACGCATCGAATGCCACATCTTTACGCCGTCCTCAAAGCCTAGCAGAAGATTGCTGTTCATGAGGAGGATCGAGTCGGTTGAAGAGACCTCGTCCTCGCGGCCAGAAAGCGCACTGCGGTCGGGAAACACTGTTCATTGAGGGACTTGGTGAGACGCGAGAACTGGCCTGCCACTCTCGTTGGCGACGCTGTCATGAGGTCTGACGATAGGAGACCGCAGCGAGCGGTAGGGAGTAAGCCAGGAAGCTCCCCAGATAGTCTTTTAGCATAGCTAGCTCATGTAAACAATTGGCACACAGGCGATTGTACCTACCTGATCTACCAAGTATGTATGTGATGTAGGTCAGGGATTTTATCTCTTTGTGCGGTGGTGTTGATATCTTGTCATGTATATTTCTTTTGAGCGCCGGGACCGATAAGCACGATAAGCGCAAGTCGCCGGATCTCGTCTATCCTTCCAAGTTCCTCAATCAACCTCGACTCACCAGAGACACAACCTCAGCTCAGCTCAGCACATCGAGCAACCTGGCCCTTCGTGATCTTCCAGACGACAAGAGACTGTCTGTCTAACGCCGGTTCCTGCCTGGCTTTGAGGCTCTACTCTCTACATTGCGTTTGGACCAAACCACCCATGAGACTGCGCCAGATGCTCTGCGGTTCCTCGTATTCAGCAACCTTTCAATCGAACAACTCGCCTATTCGACGGTCGCCCTACCTGTCTAACCCCTCGGAGCAGACACGAGCAGCATCGAGGTGAAATAGAGTCTTGCAGTGATACTTCAACACTCCCGAGCTATCATCCTGCCACGGCCACCAGCTCTCACCTTTGGTCACGAAGAGACGAGCCATATCGGGAGTCCTAGGCGCCACCGATCAGCACCAGAGGGCGGAGAAAGACACTGATCATCATCAGTCTCCCCACGGACCCGGCGGCATTCCAGGCCCGGGCGTGCTCCTACACGCAGCCTCCCCTCCAAGCAACCCACCGCAAGGATGAGTTTCGTCCAGTCCAGTCCCATCGCCATGTTGAATCGGAGTTCTTTGAACAGGATACATCAGACCGCAGATGTGAGTGTAGATTGTTTCTTTTTTGCAATGGTTTCGTATGGTATATGATTGCAGTGGTTCGGTGGCATCATGGGCTTTTCACAATCCTGGTTTCGAAGGTATGGGGACCGTCATCCTAGAGCTGGATTCCATTATTGGATGTCGCGTCATTTGACTGCCAGTGTGGCATGAGAACAAGTGAGCCCCCGACTGCAGAGGCTCGGGCGCGGTTATTCTCGCCTCATGGGGTACCGACATTTGCGTGGAGCGTATCCCTATTATCGCCTTGATGCCCCTCCATACGACTGAGGGTGGGCCTCGTCCATCTCAACCGAGGCATCAGCCGGCGGAAACATTCATTGTCGGCAGCCTTCACAGCCTTGACATCAAGGAGGCCACACACTGCTGAACATCTTCCTACGTGGCAGCTGGTTTGCTCGAACAACTGTTGACGTGGGCATCCGGTAAACCGACGGAGTCACCTTGGATCACCTGTTCCCTGCACAATAGCGATCCCTGTTAGGGTTCCGTGGTTGCTTCGTCCGGTGGAGAAGTCAACACCCTACGCTCCTTAATTCGCCGACAAAAAACCTAGCACTGCAGAGATCTTGCAAATTTGTGTTGAGCCCCAGATCTCAAAAAGCCACGATATCATTATCATTATTATCCCATTATCACCTCCGAGCAACACATCGACCAACCTTACGATCGGAGTCGGCAATCTAGCCCGAAGGAGACGTGTGTGGCCTGACTTGTTCAAACTCCGACTGTGACTTGTATGCCACACTCTTTGGTCGCCAGAACACTGCGGATGGAATAATTGTGTTCCGGGTCGTGTGTCGCTTCTATCGTCGGGGTTGCGTTGTCGGTTCCATATCAGAGGCTAGCCGCCAGTGCTCCAATCTCTTCCGTGGAGACGCAACCTGTGTTTTTCCCCAGACAAGGGTCTCAAGGCCGATAATTGCTGCCCTCGGACTGTATACTGTCAACGCTGCTGGAATGTCCCAGTACGGGAACCTGTCTGGCCCACGTTATTGAGGCGCTGCGCTCAGTGCTGGTGGTCGAGACTTTGCGAACGACCGAACTACTGGATCACTTCGGGCACTTTTATATCCCCCATTCTGCTGCGGCTGTCATCAAGCATTTGTCCAGGCCGACACCATACATCATTCAACCACTATTTTCCCACCTTCACTAGGCGATTCGAATCATGGGGATATGTCTGCCGGAAAGCGACCGTGTATGCACTTTTCTTTTTATTGGCTACCATAGTTGCTTGCTGTCACGTTCTCGAACTTGCATGTACTAACCGGTCCAATTAGTCCGATGTCACTCAGATCGTCATGGTTATGGTCGGCTTGCCGGCTCGTGGCAAGAGTTTTATTTCAGGAAAAGGTACGCTGACATGGTGTCGGTGGTGCTTCATCTCCAAGTAACCGGTATAACAGTCAAGCGATACCTGAGGTGGACGTCAGTGAAAGCCGAAGTCTTCAACGTGGGCTCGTACAGGCGAACAGACAATCCGCATCCCGATGCCAAGTTCTTCGACGTGAACAATGCCGAGGGCGAGAAAGCTCGCAAGGCTGCGGCAGAAGCCGCTCTCAACGACATGCTGGAATGGTTCAAAGACAAGGATAACAAAGTTGCCATTTTGGATGCGACGAATTCCACCAAGTCTCGACGGAAATGGATTCATGACAAGATTGTCGAAGCGAAACTCCTGCGTAGGTGACTTGTCGCTGTATGATGGTAGCTACTGACCTTCCAGACATCTTTGTGGAGAGCAAATGCGATAATGAGGATCTCATCATGTCAAACATCCTCGAAGTCAAGACCTCGTCTCCCGACTACATTGGGTACAAACTACCCGCGTCCACTTAACGATATTCTCAATACTAACGTGCCTGTCAGACAAGACCCCGAAGAAGCAGCCAGGGACTTCCGTGACCGAATTCGGAACTATGAAAAAGTGTATCAGACCATTGACGAGTCCGAGAAGCAACTCACATACGTCAAAATCATCAATATTGGGTATGCTGTCTGCCTCAGCAGGCCCATTCCAGCCTACTAACACATTTCATTAGAGAGCGAGTCGTCATCAACCTTATTCAAGATTATCTACAATCGCGCCTTGTGTACTATCTTACCAATCTACATATAAAGCCACGCAGCATATGGCTGTCAAGGGTTTGTTCCCCACCTTTGCCCTTGTAACAACACAAACAGCTGGCTTACCTTCCCTGATGCAGCACGGCGAATCGGAATATAATCTCGAAGGCAAAATCGGAGGTGATGCCAACCTCTCGGAACGTGGCCAGCGATATGCCAGGTTGTTGCCTGACCTTGTCAGGCGGTCCGGCCTTCCCAAAGACGCTCCGCTGACTATATGGACATCAACACTGCGTCGCACGAGCCAAACGGCGAAATATCTGCAGAAAGAACTTGGCTGGGAGAAGCTACAATGGAAAGCCCTCGATGAGTTGGACAGTGGCGTTTGCGATGGGATGACAGTATGTTGAACTCCCTTAGCCCTCTCTCCTATGATTCCAAGCCCTCAACCCTGCTAGTGCCAGGGCCATGCGAGTGCATCCACTGACCAACATCCTTAGTATAAAGAGATTTCGGACAAATTCCCGGAAGACTTCCAAGCTCGGGACGACGACAAATACAACTACCGGTACCGCGGAGGAGAATCGTACCGCGACGTGGTCATTCGACTGGAACCCATCATCATGGAATTGGAGCGCAGTGAGAACATCATTATCATCACGTACGTTACTGCCTTGTCATTTTCTGCAGTCCGCTTCAATCTCGGATCAGTCTTTGACGTTCTGATTTGGATCCCGCGAATTCCTCCCTTCGATCATGCCTGTGGCGTTGAATACTGACTATGGTTGTTTAGTCACCAAGCCATTGTTCGCTGTATTCTTGCATACTTTATGGAGATCCCCCAGGAGAAGTCGCCCTGGATGGAAGTGCCGCTGCACACGCTGATGAAATTGACGCCAAAAGCATACGGGACTGAAGTTGAGCGGTTCAAAGCCGACATTCCTGCCGTCAGCACGTGGCGCCCGAAAGGATCGACCGCGAAACACCACGATAGTGTGAGCGAAGGCATGTCAGATGCTGCAGTGGGCGATCTTAAGAATCTGAAATTGACCGAAACTCCGAATGCGGACGCAGATGCGAGGCTGGGTACCGCAAAGGGGGGGAGAGAAGACGTCGCCGATACGGGCTTCTCAATGCCTGGCTTGCCTCTGCCTTGAACGAAAGAAACGAAAGAAACGCTGAAAAGGAAAGGGGTAGTTCGAAACGACCAGCATTCAGCCGGGGAAAAGAGCCAGATGCTATGAGCCATCGACTTAGACCTGGGAAAACCTTGGGGTGCAGAAACCTATACGGCACCGCTATAAATGCCATCCATATACTGTTGATATTACGATCGAGAACCTAGGGATGGCTATCGGATCGAGCTATAGCTATGAGAATCTCATATCAAAACACCTTGAGTCTAAAGGAACTCGAAGAGCATCGGTATCGAACGTAGAGCATCGTTGAATGTGGTTTAATGATTTGTTCGACACGTTATTTACCACCACGCTCACGCAGCAGGCGGAGTAGGAGTAGGAGTAGGAGTAGGAGGGAGCCCCATGGGAGGACGAGAGCTGACGGGCATCGGGTGATGACGGGATGAGAAGCACTGCATTAGGTAACCAGAGCTAGTCACGTGGATTCATGCACGTGCGTTTCAGCTGTTAGTAGCAACGTAGTACTACTAGTAGTACTAGTACCAGTACGTAGGACTTGGAAGTTGGTCGACGGGCACAAGCGGTACTAGGTGGCTGATCAGGCTCCGTTCCCAGTGCTGGTGCTGTGCTGGTGCTGCCCAGGCGAGCGCTGACTGCTCATCCACAGTCGTCATACCTTGATACCGTCAACTTGAACGAGCAACTTCCCACGAGCCTAGCGGTTGATACTTCCACTTCCAGTTCTTCCACCATCAAAGCTTCTTTCCCAATAGTCAAGTTCTGAGCGTGTTGCCTTGATCACTACATCTTCTACCTTCAACTGTCTACCTTCCACCTCTTACATCTCCAGAACCCTTCTTTTCCTCTCCAACCTGTAAAGATGAGCTACGCCGAAGTTGCAGCCAAGGGCCCCAAGCAGAGCCCAGAAGAAGTAGGCATATCCCAGTCCGTGCTATCTGAATTCTCCCACTGACGGTTTACAGGCGTACGTCCAAGGATAGCTTACCCAACGGCAGATTCCAGTGTTGCTGACTTTTTTTGCTTAGTCGCGCTCCTCCAGTTCCCTCGCTCCCTCATGATGAGTCCGAGTCGGCAAGTTTGATCGACGTGGACTCGCCGCACGTCACTTCCGTCAAGTCCGATTTCCAGGATCAAAAGGTCAAGACCGAGACCCAAGCCGGGCGGATCGAACACGAGGCAGAGGACAAGGCTCGTGCGGCCGCCGAAAAGGCTGCGGACGCGGCGGAGAAGGCTAAGAAGAAGGCCGTCACACAGGGGAAGGGAGTCAAGGATGCTTTGAAGAAAGATGGCCGGAAACTGAGCGAGAACAGAGACAATCCTGTTGTCGTTGGAAATGCCGTCGTCTGGGGTGTCGCTACTGTTGCCATCGGCTACGGGGCGTATCAGAAACACACCGAGGGCAAATTGGACTGGAAGCTGGCCAGTACCGTGGCAGGATTCGTGGGCGCCTTCGCCGTGGCCGACTATTTCGGCAGCAAGTGAGTCCATCACCTTACAAACTTGAAGCCCTTGGAGACTGACCGTGATGCAGATGGCTGCTGGAGAACAAGTATCCGCCCAAATAGGCGAGTTGCGGGAGAGCGCTGAGTTTATGTGTCTGGGATCGTTTTGTGTATTTTCCTCAACTCTCAACTCGGTTGACAGAGCGGCTTACGGCGCACTGCTAGGATCCATATTTCTTTGCTAACGAACATGATATCCTCTTGAGTCCACTTGTATTGCGTTCTAACCATCCCGTCCATGTCCCAGGCCATGGCTGTTGCAGTAACCAGTCCTCGAAGCCTTCCCTATCTGCGGCCTGCTCGTGTCAATATGCGTGTCTCCGCCAGCCTTTCTGACCGATGCGTACCTACTCTTTACTTTGGCACCCAGCACATACTGGCCCTCCGTCGTCTGGCATCTCTCTGGCATTGCCGAGTCTCGGGCGGTAGACAACTAACTGAAGAACAACCACAAAGACGGTGAAGATCTTGCAGATTCCATCGTCGGCATGCACGTCCAAGTGAGGGTTGATCCATGTATCGAAGGCGGGATTGTATTTGGTATTCGGCTGCAGAAGGCTGAGGAGTCCATTGACGAAATGGAGAATCAGGACTGGGTTGCACAAGAGCACAGGGTACAGAAACTGGCAGTTGGCCCTGATCAGCCGGCAGTTGGTCGCTACTCTGGACACCATGATGAGTATGGATCGCTAGCTGTGAGCAGCCTCTGGGAGACTGGGACTTGAGTGAGCTGGACAATGTGGTACGAAAGGGTTTGAGATGGAAGAGTTTCGACTGCGAAAGAGTTGCGCTGGTGCAAGGTTTGCTGATCAGGGCAGCGTTACTATGCAACAACAGCTTGCCATAGTTCAGCAAGGACGAAATGCTTGCTTGCACTGTTAGTCGTCAAGTCTGATATTACTGCACGCTGTAGCACTCAGTACGGAAAGACGGCAGAGGCTGCTGGATGGATGGTTGCGTAAGAGATGAACGATGAGGTTTTTGGTTTGAGCGATTCATCACGCCCCGGTGCCTTCCTGTGTCACTTTTTCAGTCTGGAAACCGGGACTGCGCATGTATAACTAATAAGTCAGGACACAAGCACCACACTCTCAGAGCCTTTGACTGGCATTGTCGTGGCGATGCCATATATCACTGGCTGCGAGACCCGCCCGTAACGCATCGCCCTCGTCCTGCTTCCATGAAGACTGGTTTCCGGCGGGCAAAACCTAAACCATGCCCGCGGTCTGGACTCCAGTAATTTGATCATAGGTCCTGTGTGCCCTGCCTTTCGAGTAGGATTCAGGACTTCATCCCGCCTGGAAAGAGTGGCGTGTCAAGTAAGGTTAGGTAGATACGAGGTACGTAGGTTGCCCATGTCTTGGTGTTGACCGGAAAATGCTTGCGACGCGTGTGCCGTCGGCGCTTCTCCAGTTGACACCCCCGACTTTTCTTTGGCTGCAACTTGAATCGCTGGAAGGACAGACTGTACCTTTGCAAGATTAAATTCCTACCGACAGAAATGGCTCCCTGATCTCTTCATTGAAAATTCTCCTGATCAAATCTGGCCAGACTGGTCACTCTGTGACACGAAATCTGGTCTCTCAAAAGTAGTGCCGAAATGGTAGGTTGCTGATTCCGATTCTACACGCCACGACATCGAGACGAGATGGCTGCTGATATGGGGCGACCAGAACGTCCTCTTCAACTCAGCGTTGAAGCAATCAACAGCGGTCCGTCGCGACCTGGAAGCATTCGCACAAGCCCCAGCCACCGCGTCCCCGGCGCTCCAGGGACAGATATCGGCCACCCTGACGAGCCTGTCCCGCACGCTCGACGACTACCAGAACCTCTCACGAAACGAACTGAACCCCGAAAAGAAGGAAAAGGCCGCTGAACGATTGAAGAACTTCCGAGCAGATCTGGCCTCCTACCGCACCCAATTCGATCAACTGAAAAGAGAGCATGAAGGAGCCGTCGCCGCGAACAACAGGAATGAACTACTGGGAAGACGACCACATCATGCTGCCACGCCGGAAAACCCGTATGCACATGCGAGCAGTCAGTCTGCGTTCGCACCGGCACACCGCAACACGCAGGACGGACTGTCCTTTGGTGCTGGGTCCGATAGCTACGAGCGTGAGGAACACGCACTGCGCGAGCAGAACTTCTTCAGTGCTGCCAACGCGCAACTAGATGAATTCTTGGATCGGGGCAGAGCCGTGTTGGGCGATCTGGGACAACAACGCGAGATCCTCAAGGGCACGCAGCGGAGGCTCTACAGCGTTGCTAATACCCTTGGTGTCAGTGGAGATACTATTCGCATGGTTGAGAGGAGAGCTATGCAGGATAAATGGATCTTTTGGGGTGGCGTGGTCGGCTTCTTCGCGTTTTGTTTCTTGGTCATCCACTACTTGAGATGAGATGATTGACGCTGAAGGCCATGGTGACGATCACGAAGACAGAACAGGTTTTCGAGGCGCCGTGTTTTGGTTGAACCTCAACCTTGGGGCACGAGAACGTCTGGGCATCCTGGAGATATCGAGGTTCCTGCAGGTGTCGAGTCTCTTGAACCGGCCATGCTACCTAGCCCTTGAGCCATGGTGCCAGTATGGCGAATGAGTGAGAGAGCCTCGGCCAATGTGTCGAAACACATCTCAACTACCTGGTCCAACACCGACTGGCCAGGCCTTGCCAACTTGTCGACTTTCTCGCCATATTCCCAAGCGGTCACAGACAATCGCTGCGCAGATCTGGCAATAGGTGGGCATTACTGTTCTTCTTTGACCGAGGTCTTCACCAGGAGGCTGGGGTTCGGACAGTGCCACTTCAAGACAAGTGACTCCTTCAGCCTCCTCCAGCACGTGGCCCTGGCGTTGATCGTGTCAGGACATACCTACATGTCTATGCTGGAGTCTCCCACCGGCGCCTCAACAAATATTCGGGATGCTGTTGCGACGGTGAGCTTGAACCTTCACAGCTACTCTCTCGTACATTTCCTGACGGCAATAGTCTGGTCGCATCTCTACAGTTTCTCCTTCGAACAGAACCCAGACTGGACACGAGAGTACCCTGGACAAGAGGAGATCCTAGAGTATCTGATGGGGATTGCTCAAAAATACGAACTGTACCCCTACACTCGCTTCAACACTGCCGTCGACGCTGCTTTTTGGGAAAATGCAGCGAAGAAGTGGAAGACCACTGTATCCATTCAAGGAGGCAAAGACGCCGAATTTGGCCGTTCGTATACCGTCACGTCGGATTTCCCTGTCTCTGGCGTTGGACAACTAAACGTGCCGAATCTACCAGACATCCTAGCCCTGGATGAATTCCGAGGCAAGCTCATGCACAGCGCCCGCTGCGATTGGAGTTATTACCAAAGATTTCCGAATTGGGCCATCCCGCGTCTTGATGCTCCTATTCCGTCATGGAAGAGGTCTCTGTACCGATATGTCCAATGATCTAATGGCGGAAATGTGCTGAATATGATGGATCTCCGCGAGACTTTCTATGATGCTGTTTTCGACCACTCATCCATGACAGCTCAGTTCATCGAGGGGCGAAGCAAAACACACTGATCCAGGAGGTTCTGGATGCACGGAAACATGGGGGCAGCCTGGTGATCCAGCCAAATCCCAAAGAGAGTGCAGGAATCAACGAAGAGATCCAGTCCAAACTCGAGAACAGCAGTTTCGCCGATCCCAGTTGCAACAGTTGACACGAGATCAAGGGCAGTGGCAAGATCACCAACAACTGGAGCCGAACTGTCGTTGATTAACTAAAGGCACCTTGGGTCGCACTGCATTGTTCGACATTTGTTCTAGGCTCAGTCGCTGACCTGCTCCGCAGGGTCGACTGGACAGACTATGGTATCGCTGGCACTGGTCAGAAAATCTAGTTAGAAAAAGGGCGACTTATATCTGACGGCTCGTTGAAGAGACCAAGGTCAGCTATCCAACGATGGGATGGCATTGACTGCTCTCAGTTTGGCTGCAGTGGGTGCGGGCATCGCCTCGAGGAATACAGGCAGACTGCAATTGACATGAAGAGACCTGCTCGAAGCGGGCGGGATGGTATCGCGATTTAACGTGTTGCGCTTATGGATAGTCTCGTCAAAATAGTGGGAATAGGAGCTTTCCCCTTTTCCACTATCGCCTGCGTTTCTTGCCTCTATCAGTCAGGAGTGCATATCTGGACCTCAGGGGCTCTTGACGTGGTCCAGGACAATGAAGTAAGGACTTTATTATTACTGAGGGCTACCCTAGGCTAGGGAGCCTCCCATAAAGGACGCTTGAGTGGACGGGAAAGGGTTCCTTAGGTTGCGAATAATAGGGTTGAGGAAGGAGTCCTTAGAGGTCTATTAGCTGCCTGAGAGGTCAATAAATCTCTCGGGCATGAGGCCTGGAAATAATACACCTAGACACCTCCTTAACCTGAAGTTTCTTCTACAGATGGTACCTGATACGGTGCCTGGCCCCAGCCTTGGGAGCCTCAGGAGCCTAAGCCTTGAGAGCTAGTGCCTAGCCACCTAGGGTACAGTAACTACAGGTAGGGTTCTTCAGCTATGGTTTTAGGCACGCAACTTCTCCACAGCACACTAAGGCAACCAAGCCACGCTCGTTAACCGCGAACTTCCTCCCTACTGGCTGCATCACCATCTTGGGTCGAGTTCTCTTCTCTCCCACCCACGTATTCAATTATTTTCTTTACTCTTTCACAACACCACAGTCCAGTCGCATATCCAATCCCTCCGTAACAACGACCCAAGTGCCACGAACCTCTTGACCGCTGTATCGATATTTACTGCCCTTTAGGCACAGACACCCGGCCGCCGGCTCAAACAACACACACGCTCAAACGCCCGTTCTTCGTCTTCAAAACCTGTACCATCCTCATACTATCCCCACCCAGTACCCAAAGACCTACCACTATCCTGCACAATGCCTACGCCATTCTCTTCCACTTTCGCTTCCGCTGCGGCGAGCACGAACGGAGAAAATACCGCCAACAGGAGGGACAATGCTGGTGCTAGTGATTGGTATGGTTCCCTTCCCAGGCCAATGACGCGAATCACACAACTTCGTTCTGCTGTGTAGAGTACTGGAAAGATACCTTTGCCTACTTGCATACTCCTTGCCTATACATTTGTGAGCTCGACGTTTTCGAGGATCTGTTATTGACGATTTTGCTGCTCTTCAGGTCGAGAAGCCGTGTCAATGGTGCCACACAGACCTTCCGCAGAACCTCGTCCGCCACCACATCCGCGCAAGCACCTTCACAGACACGCGAAAGCGGGAACAACCATGGCGGCGCCTATATACCTCCGCATCTCAACACCAATAACACGTCGACCTCTTCACGAAACGCTGCTCCGGGCGGCGCCCGCTACTCCAAGGACCAGTTGTTGAGCATATACCAAAGTCTCAAGGAATCGTCAACTCTCGATCGAGATCTGGAGGATATATTCCAGGGCACATGGGATCCATTGGAGGCGAAGAATGGAAACGCGAACCAAGGTGCTCGTGGTGACGGCAAGGACCCAGCTCCGGGACCAGAAATTTGTTGGAACTACGAGAGCAACACGGAGCCGTTTGGCTTGAGAGGCATGACGGAAGAAGAGAAGCAGGTGAGAAGCGACCCCCGGAGGAAATATTTCCTCCAATGAATCAACATGGCTGACATTTTTTTGGCAGCTCTTTTCCACTTCCGTCAACTCGCCGATCAAACCGCAACAGATGAACGTGAAAGACAGCGGCGCAGTCGGAGTGATTGGCGGTCGTAAGACTTCGTTGTCGGGCTACAATAATACCGCAGGAGGTTCACGACCGAGCACCCGCCGTAGGGAGACAAGCGATTCCTTTATGAGTAACGGGCCGATGTCACCTGCTGAGAACAAGACTTTTGCCCGTGGCGAATCGAACACCGCAACCCCTCCACCCGCATTGCTACGACGAAGGACGGACTACAAAGAGGAAGATACTCCCTCCACTTCCAAGGACGACACGGGTGCAGATGAGCAGCCGGAACCGCAGCCTTCGTTCCCTGGCCTGCGAAGGTCGGGTACGGGACCGTTGAGTGCGGGTCTGAACCCACCTTCTGCCTCCCCGTGGGCAGGTGGTCCACAGCCGGCGACATTCGGCTCTATGGGAAGCTTTGGAAGCTTCGCGATCGGCTCTCCATCCTCGGCCGAACCCAATGACAAGAGGCTTGGTTTTGGCAGCGCTCGTGGAAGCCGCTTCAAGGATCTGCTGTCAAAGAGCAGCTCGGAAGACATTTCTCAGGGCATCAAGGACAAGAGCTCTTTTGGCGCGCTCGAAAAGCTTCCTGAGGAGGACACAGGCGCAGCCCATGCGAGATTCCGCGATGATTTCAAAACGCGCCCGGGCCGAAGCGAGACCAACCCGTATGATGACGCACCCGTACGGACTGGAAGCGCCGCTTTGGGTGGCTCCCAAGAGACCGCTGCCGGCAATCCTGGCATGGAGCAGACCGGGGCTTCTGCATATCGCCCTCCACCGAATACGATAACTCGAGACTTTGGTCAGGACGAGACATATCCACAACCCCAGCACGGCCGATACAATCCCCTTGAACCTATGAGTCCCACCAACACGAACCCGTACCAAAGCCCTCATGGCCGGGTCGAGGATGATGAGCGGGACACCAACGACTCAACATCGCAGGCATCTGGGCTCCCGCCATTCGGAGGCAGCCGCCGTGGCATGTTTCCCGGCTCTGACGACAGAAGTCAGCCGGGAAGTGCTGTCCGCAGTGCCAGTGGTTTCGGTGCTCTCTCTGGTTTCGGAGGGTTGGGCGGTGCACCAACTTGGTCCACAGCTGGACTTGGTTCTGGCAAGCCTGGCCTTGACCGTACAATTGCATCTGCCTTCCCCGACCCGCTGTTCAGCCCTATGTCGGATCTGCAATCTCCTGGAGCCGGGGGCCTGGGAGGGGGCTTCTTTGGGTCAGGCGGGTTTGGCTCCGCCGGTCGCGTAAGTCGACTTGGGGCAATGTTCCCGCCGGCCATGCAAGAACAAATGCGCGGTGACAGCAGAAACGAGATGCATGCGGGTGCTTTCGACTCACGTCCGGAAAGCGCACAGCAACAGTCAATTCGTGACGCCTTTGACAACACTGGTCGCAGACCCGAGGGTTTTGGTCGGGGCTCTGGACCGTTTGACGACTCTCCTTCCTTGAGGACCGTTGAAGATGCTGGAATTCCCGGCCCACCAGGCCAATTCGGAGCGACTTCCACGACAAATCCCCTGGCCACGCCACGAACTACCGGCGCTCGACCGACTGGGGTGGAGAACGTGCCTTCAGGACATGGTCTCAGTCAGTCGAGCGGGAGCAACTCCTCCAGTCAACTGCCCGCTACCCAACAACGACAGATGGTCATGCCGGACCGCATGCGATGGATCTATCGAGATCCCCAGGGCAACACGCAGGGTCCTTTCTCTGGTCTCGAGATGCATGATTGGTTCAAAGCTGGCTTCTTCACTGCGGACTTGCAGGTGAAGAAACTCGAAGACACCGAGTACGAGCCTCTTGCCCAGCTGGTCCGGCGCATTGGCAACTCGAGAGAACCTTTCCTGGTGCCACAGATCGGAGTCCCACATGGGCCGCCCAGCGCTGTACAAGGAAACCAATGGGCTAACCCCCCCATGAGTGCCGGCGCCGGTGCGACTCAACCGCCTTTTGCTAGTAGTTTCCCGAGCTTTGGCACGACTTTGACCGCCGAGCAACAGAACGCTTTGGAGAGACGAAAGCAAGAAGAGCAATTTCTCATGGCCAGGCAGAAGGAACATCTTGCTCAGCAGCAGATGGCCATGAAACACATGCAGATCCCGAATCCAATGCAGCCATTGCAGCATCATTCCTCTGCCCACTCGCTGCAAAGCCAACCTAGCTTTGGGAGCATTACATCCCCGGCTGGCTACCACCCATCTCCCATGCAGGCACCGATACAACCTCCACCAGCTGGATTGCCATTCGGTCAACAAGGTGCTCCTACCGTGGCACCCTTTGGAGTCGATGCCAGGGGCGGCAGAGAAGACGAGCTTCACTCCATGATGGACCGTCTGACATTCTCCCAGCGGGCCAGTCTTCCGTTCACGGGTGCCCCTTTAGGTCCTTCGCCGGCGGACGTGGGCCCTCCAGCCGTTAACACCATGCTTCAAGATAGAGCTCGGTTACAACAACAACAGCAGCAGGCGACAGATATGCGAGGTCATCAGGACGCTTTTTTAGGGCCGCAGGGCCGCAACGACCGCTTGGAAGAGTTCCACCAACTTCGTGGACAAGAGGAAATGCAAGCTGGTCGTCTCGGCCCTGAGGAAACTCTACCGCAACCCATCGGCGCCCAACGTCATGTCGACGAGCAAACGGCCGCAACTGCAGCACAGAAGATTCCGGCTCCCATCGGCCATCCCGCCGTCGGGGCCAAAGCGGAACATGAGCCCTTATCTTTGGCCCAGCAAGTTCAAATTGCCGCAGCCACTCAACAAGCGGCGGCCGAGGAAAGCGCGCGGTCGAAAAGAGATGCGCCTATAGAACCACCTCCTGTTTCGATCTCTCCGCTGCCCGCTCCTGCAGCTCAACGCAACCGACAGCACGTTGCGGATGCTTTGCAAGCCGAGTCCAGATCAGCGACTCAGACTCCCGTGGAGACTCCTACTGTTTCTATTGCTCCTTGGGCGGAGAGGGTTGCAGAGCATCCCAAGGGTCCCTCGCTGAAGGAGATTCAGGAAGCAGAAGCCAGACGTGCGGCCGAACAGGAACAACTAGCTGCTGCTGCTCGGCGTGCTCAAGCCGAACAAGAGAGATTGTCTCAAGCCCAGGCTCCTGCTTCCGCTCCTGTACCCGGTCTTCCGTCGACATCAACATGGGGTAGTTCGGCTTCACCAGTGACAGCGGGAACGCCGCAATCCGCTTCAGTCTGGGCCAAACAGGCCCCGGCCAAAGTTAACGTCGGGGTCAATGTGCCTGTCAAGAAGACGTTGGCCCAGATCCAGAAGGAGGAGGAAACTCGCAAACAGCGAGCTGCCGCCGCTGCGGCTGCTGCATCCGCGGCCGCAGCTAATACGGGTAGCCCAGCTTCGGCCGCCGGTGGCAAGCGATATGCCGACCTGGCTAGCAAGGTTGCGCCGGGCACGCCGACGACCGCCTCTGCAAGTGCATGGACCACCGTCGGCTCTGGGGGCGGCAAGGCGAAGGCTCCCCCTGCTGTTGTTGCGATACCTCAACCGACTTCACGGACAGTGAGCAGCCCTGCCAACGCCGTAACCAAGGGACGGCCTACACTCCAAACTGCTCGAACTACCACCGTGTCTAACGCCGGTAAGGCGAATGAGGAGTTTGCCAAATGGATTAAGGGTGCTCTTGGAAAGGGTCTGAACAGTAACATCAATCGTGAGTACCTCTCCGTCTGTTAGTGCGCTGGTCACGGTTTCCGTGCTTTTCTTTTGCGTCTATCTGTTGGAGGTCTCCTGCTAACTTTGCTTTCCGCTATACAGTCGATAGTTTCGTGCAGGATTTACTGCAGTTGCCCCCCGACATCGAGATCATCTCGGACTCGGTATATGCCAGTTCCCAGACTCTCGATGGACGGAGATTCGCGGAAGAATTCGTTCGACGCCGCAAATTGGCGGACAAAGGCATTGTCGAACCGGCAGCTAATGGAAGCTTGCCTGCCGGGGCCGATGGCAAGAATGGAGCTGGCGGCTGGAGTGAAGTGGCGAAGAAAGGGCCGGCTCCGAGTGCACGCGACGAAAGTAACGCCGCGTTCAAGGTCGTTGCGACCAAGAAGAAGGGGAAGCGGTGAATATGACGGTAGATGGCCTTCTTCCTGTTTCTCAGTCTGTCTTCGTGTCTGTTGTCTGTGTGTCTGTGTGCTTGTTTGGTTGATGGACATGCCGAGGAGGCGGTTGGGCTGTGAGATGCAGAGCTGTTGAAGAAGTGTCGAGGTTGCGGTTGAGAATTGAGATGTGATGGGATGGGATGTATTTGAAGTGCAGTTGGAAACAAGCGAACCGCGACAACATGACTTGAGCGAGATAGGCAGGCAATGGAGCGAAAGAGTCTGTACGTCTACCTGATCTTTCATCCATCAGTCCAGAGGAGAGGAGGTGTCGTATGCTGCGAGAAGTGGAACGAGTGTGACGAGGGTAGCTTTGAATAGGGGCTTCAGGAGGTACCTACTAGCATCACAAGATAGCTCAGCTGCCTTCAAGCGCCTTGGGTAGGTCCCTAGATAGGTACCTATGCCCTACCAGAAGAACCCTTTCACACAACTCGGTCGGTGATCTTGACGTTGTCACTTGTCACTCTTCTGATTATGATAATTAAGTTCCAGGTTACTATTGCTAGTAGTAGTTAGCTAGTAACCCGAACTGACCTACCTACCTACCTAGGTATCTATGGTTAACTGCCAGTACGTACGTAGTACACGGATGTTCCACTTACCTAGCTATATTGCCTACCTGCTTGCCTGCCTGCCTATGTATCTATCCACAGAGCTATGCATGTTACGTCGAGTGCTTGCTTGAAGGAAATCACCGCCCGGAAGAAAGAAGATAAACATTCCAAAGTCTTGTCCTGTCTGTCGGGCATATCCGTCATGAACAACGGTTCCCATCATCAGGAAGACCTTCTTCAGGTAGGTGGAATAGGGTAAGATAAGAGGTATATTTACGACATAACAAGTTGCTTCTGCTCTCTTTTCCTTCACTTACTACGGACTCTCAATTAGAAAAAAGATCTATCGTGTGTTGTGTGTGTCTGTGCAATTCGCTCTCTTTCCCTCCCAACTCCCCTCAAGTCGTGGTTGTTTGGTTATTTGTTTGTGGCATTTCAACCCAGCCATGGCCGCTTCAACATCAACATCAACATCAACTCCACTACTGTCGTCGTCGTCGTCGGCAGGCGAAGATCGTCTTCGCGCCAGAAAACCCCTGCCGCCGCCCAAACCGGCCTATTTGCCAAATAGTCCCGACTCGCCGCTGATCGTGGACAAGGAGTTGTACGATGCCGTGCAGAAGGGGCGGAGGGAGCTTGTCGAGTTTTTCACGATTCCGATTCGGTCGGGGAGGGCGTGGAGGGCGCCGGAGAAAAGTATTGTGAGGATCAGTACGCCTGAGGGGCCGCAGGTCGGTGAGTTAGAAGTTGTTTTATTGGATTTCTAAAGGGGGTATGGGGAGGGAGAGATCCTATCTCTATCTATAGGGAAAACAACATGGAAGAAAGCTGGAGCCGGAAATGTAGAAGGAGATCAAGAGAGATGTCTTCATTCCAAGCTGGCACACTTTTGTCACCGCCGTCTCTAACAGTCTATTTTACAGGCGACTTGAATATCTGGAACGCCAACAACCCTCGGGAAAGATTCTGGGCGTCTCGAACGAAACAACTCCACTCGTCACACGTCTCGACATACGATCGCCTCTGGTCCTGTCTCCCATTCATGCGGCCGTTGTGCACCATAATCGCGGACTCTCTCTCCTGGTACGGCGTGGACGAGACGGGTGGCCGTGTCCACGATTTGCTCGGCACCCGATGCGACCCGTACATCAACACGCTGCTGTCCGGGCCTGAAGCGTCGTTCGATTTCCACTGTCATTCCAACCTGACCAGGGCCGTGCTTCCTTTCGGCCTCAACGAGTCTGATATCCATGATGTGATCAACTTGTTTCAAGTCACCGGGCTGGACGCCGAGGGGAGATACTTTATGCATCCCTGTCCCGCGCAGGCGGGGGATTATATCGAGTTCTTCGCCGAACAGGATCTCCTCATGGCACTCTCGACGTGTCCTGGAGGAGATCTTTCGTTGTGGGGATTCGGAACTGATAGCGAGAAGGAGATGATCAAGTGTTGTCGACCTTTGAAGGTCGAGGTGTTCAAGCTCGTTGATGAGGACACGATCCTGGCAGGGAAATGGAAGAAACCTGAACGTCCCGATTATCGCGGTTTGCATGGTATGAAAATCCCCTTGGGAGAAAGAGAAACCAAATAGAAGGGGTATAGTCCCATGCTTGCAGGGTACAGGACTTTTTTGTCTCAAGAAGAAGAAAATATGATGGACACATTCAAACGTTGCTTCATCGGCTGCCCATCTCTAGCTGGCCTTCAGTCCCATCGACTGCAGCTGGCTTCTTGAAGACCACGTCCATGGCCTCCTCGAGAATGGCCAGTCCTCGATTGATTTCTTCGTGGGAGATGATTAGGGGCGGGACAATTCTGAGAACCCCGTCGCCGGCCGTGATGATCAGCAGACCTCTCTCGCGAGCCGCAGTCACCACTTCTGCGGCCTTTCCTCTGGCTGAGTCGCTGAGTTGGTATCCCACTATCAAGCCTCTGCCTCGCACTTCTGAGACAACACCAGGGAACTTGGTTTTCATGGTTTCGTAGGCGCTGAAAAACAAAGTCGACTTGACTCGCACTTCTTCTTGTAGCTGTGCTTTGGCCAGGCATCCAAAGACATGATGGGCCACTCGACAAGCAAGCGGGTTGCCGCCGAATGTTGTGCCGTGGTCTCCCGTTTGAATGAACGGGGCAACCGTCTTGCCCGAAACAAGGGTAGCGCCGATAGGTACACCATTTCCTAGAGCTTTGGCGGTTGTCAGGATATCAGGTTGGACTCCTGAAGCTGTGTAGGCCCAAAGATCCCCGGTTCGGGATAGACCACATTGGATCTCGTCAAAGATCAGCACGGCGCCCACCTCATCGCACCTTTTGCGCAGAGCCTGTAGAAATTCCGGGGTGGCCACGTTGATGCCTCCTTCGCCCTGGATCGGCTCGATGATGACACCGGCGGTTTTTTCAGTGACCAAGTCTTGGATGCCCTCAATGTCATTGTACGTTCCGTAGTGAAATCCCGGCAACATGGGACCGAACGGTGCCTGGTATTTCTTGTTGGGTGTCGCTGACAGCGAACCGTATGTACGACCATGGAACGAGCCATGGAAAGAAACGATGTCCCTCTGCTTCGTCTCCGGGTCTTTGGCATAAGTCACTTTCCTGGCAAACTTGATGGCCGCCTCGTTGGCCTCGGAGCCCGAGTTCGAGATGAACACTTGGCTGAGATGCGAGCCTGGCGATTGCTTCTGTGTCTCTTCCACCATCAGCTTGGATAGAGCGGGTGTCCAAGGATTGTAGTAGAGGTTCGAGGCATGGATCAACTGCTGTGCTTGATGGGCAATAATCCGGGATATCTCGGGGTCCGCATGGCCCAGAGAGTTGACCGCTATGCCGGCGGTGAAATCAAGATATACTCTGTTCTCATTGTCGTACATCACACATCCATCTCCTTTCACAAACATCGGCGGAGGTCGGACGTAGGTGGGGACCATATAGGGAACATTCTGCCTGAGGAAGGCCGCAGTCGGTGAGTCCGGAGCGGGATCTGGATTGGGTACTGAGGCTTCATGTCGGATCTGCGCTTGACCTTGCACAGGGCTGCTAGAGCTCGTGGGGACTGCAGCCGCACTGGCATATAGTCTCTGCTGAAGCGGTGCTCGATAGGACGCCTGTATCAGCTTCGACCACCGGGCACATGCTGCTCGCTTGCTCATTGAGAACGCCATGTTTTATTGGAAAGACAGAAGACACGATGCGCAGAGGTCCTACCTTGACGTAGGCAAGTTTCATAGGAGATCTCAAGGAGCAAACTCTTCGCCGGTCTGAAAGTAACGACGCCGAGCAAAAGTAAGTCCGAAGGGCGCGTCCATCGAGTCACTGGCCTGCTCAAGATTTCTTTTTTCCCCTCCGAATCCTGCGAAATTCGGAGTTCAAGTTCTTAGCTGGGCGATAAGATAACGAATGACACAGGAAGACACAATACTTCACCATATCCGGGGACTGTTGAAATACTGCGGAACACTAAGAAAGCCATGGCAGTTGGTGTCGCTGCATTCGAATATGCGACCAAACTGTCTGTTTCGCTCTCTTCGTCCTCCTTCTCTCCTTTTACTTCTGGAATACTCGCCCATGACAGCAGACTCAAGAACCAGCGATGCCTTGCACTCGATCTGAGACCATCAATCTCCAGTCACTAGAAAATGGAGATCTAGGAGCCAGCTATGCAAGGGAGTCTTAAAATACCTTCCCTCCACGCTGTCCCGGTTGATTGCTTGCAAACACGACTAAGCTGTCATCCATGCATTCCGGAATATAAACGGTTGTCTCAAGCCACATGCATTCTGGCAGACTCCTCCTTTCGGCCTTCGACATGGCCCTCATCGAGACACGGCGGTCTCGCCTGGTCCTTCTTCAGCCCGCAGTCGTGTCCATTCGATCGGGTTTCTGAATGTGCGGACCCCTTCTTCTAGCGAATAGCCTCGCCAAATCTACAACATCTCCCGATTTGGCCAGGCTTGTCACACGTGGACGTTGGCTGGACTCACAACTTGCTGCTCGGGATATCCAATATTGCCGATTCCAGTCTCCCAATCCCTGTTGTCCGTCTACGTTTATGGATCTGTCTGGGTTTATTTACAAACGTCTTTGGCGGAGATCACGGGGTGCATATTGGTAGGCGGCCCCCTTTGCTGCAACTCCTTCGAGTATATGGAAAGGTATAAAGTGAATGCGCTGCTAGACATCATTTTCTTCGTTTCTGCACCACCATTCTCTTACTTTTCAACCTTCAAATCGAGCCACCGAAGCTAGCCAACGTGAAAATGCGTTCCGCCATGAAGTCTCTACTGTTTACTCTTGTTGCGTCCCTGAACTGTGTCAATGCCAATCCGTTCCTGGAGGGTCGTGGTATGTGCAATGCAGACAACTGCGCCAGGTATGTACAACAAACTTCCCAGGATACCGGGTGTTAATCTTCATCAGGGCCATTACAGGAAGCGCTGCACAACATCCCCTGGCCACTCGATAAGCTGACTGCTCTGCCTTCATGAGTCCACTTCCCACTCCGCCTGTGCCAACGTATGTTTCAGCTTGCAGTGGATCGGCCCGCTACGGCAGCGCATGTTCCTGCCTGGGCTACACTGCTGCTCCAAACTCCACCTGTCTTAGCCCAGCTAAAGCCAAATCGATTGTCAACAACCTTCGCTTCGCTCTTGACCGCTCCTCAAGCACCAGATTTTGCGTCCAAGGCCAATGCTCTACTCGCGGACTTGTTCAAGGACACTAGTGGCTCCATCAATTTCCTGGCCCGACAAAATGTAAGTGTCTACAATCGAATGCTCTTCCTTTTTACATTCCATTGGCAATTGCAACAGATCAGCGCCGTGACATTCCCAAACAAGGCAGCATTTATTGCCGGGCAGGGGGCACAGCCGCCGATCCCGACTGTGACTACACTCGACATCTTCTACACTTGCAACAAGATTGCATGGCGTTGGGTCGGTCGTGGCATTGGATCCGGTCAATATGAGGTCAAAGGTATTGATACCTTCACGGTCACTTCTTCCGGCCAGATCAGTGAGGTGTATGCGGAATTCAACAGTGGCGCTTGGCTGGCTGATATTGGATATCCCGAATGCCCTCAACCCACGTCGTGAGCGAAGTTCGATCCACACAGGATATTTGTGGCGCTTCAGTGGTTGATGTAAGGAGAGGAGGGAGGGTGTTCGAATTCGAAGGCTGGAGTATACTTGTTCCGCTTCTGTAAGCCTTCAGGCAGTCTAGACCTGTTTTTTATGTCATTCAATTTCGCTCAGATCTGTAGCATCTAGACATGAAGCTTGTGGGACGGGATATGGATTCTCTACACGAAGGGTCAGGTCTTGATGCCATACCACTACGTAGTAGAGTAGATGAGGGAGCTAGCCCCTGAGCAGGCCGGCCTTTTCGACATTACTATTTGCCGAAGAGCTGCCGAGCCTCGCCTGCCAGTTGCATCACTAAATTTCCAACACCCAGAGCCATTTGCCTTCCACCTCTTTGCTATCAAAAGCGATCTGAACCAGACTGTAACTTCTTCGTCTCTTCATTTCAACTGCACAACATACTACTCCATTCACCTGGGTGAAGAGCCCTGCCATTCCCGTCATTTTGTCAAAAACAGAGCCTACAACTATGAAGCCCGCCACCTCGTCCCTCCGCCATCTGAGCTCTGCGCCACGAGCGCACCTTTTCAGCTGCCGCTGGATCAGCTCTACTCGTCCTCTCCGGGACACTTCCTCGAAAACCCCCCCTTCCCCACCCTCGTCTTCCAGCCCGTTCAGCTTCGGCGGTCCCGCCCCACCCCGCCTGCCCAAGGAAGAACAAGAGCTCTTCGAGTCGCTCCAGCGCGCATCCACAGGCGCGTTCTCCACGCCTCGCACCCCGCCGCGCATCAATCAATCGCCGGACTCGTCGGAGGCCGAGGCTGCGGATGCGCAGACGACGGTAGATGTGAGGGTGGAGACAATGCGGAGTGCCAGTGGCGAGTCCGAAGTTGAGGGCGAGGGCGACGAGAAGGCGAAGATGAGGGAGATGTTTAACCGTGTCATCGAAGCCAAAGGAAGAGGCGAGGAACTACATCCCAATGTGGTGAGGGGTGCGGAACCCGAGTTCGAAGGCGACGTCAACCCGAAGACGGGAGAAGTGGGAGGACCGAAGAACGAGCCTTTGAGATGGGGTCCCGCGAGCGAATGGACTTATAACGGCAGGGCTACGGATTTCTAGACGAGTCAATTGCGCTCTTCGGCCCTTGGAGATGGGAGTTCGCAAGGGATTGGACATAAGGAAAAGACGGCAGGACTCTGATTCTTAGACGAGTCCCCAAGCAGACTTGCCGACAAGGGGAAGTCAAACGACATGTGAGCTCATTTCCCGGTGGGAGAAGACAGTAGGAGAGGCGATGCTTTCATGGTGCTTGCTATTGGGCTTGGTCATAACTAGCGCTCGCCCGCAATGATGGCAATCTTGAGATCAGATCAAAAGTCCCATGCGTTATGCGCCCAACCCTATGCTTCAAGCCCCATAATCGTCCGTATCCCGTTCGTCTCCTCAGTTATCATCATGGCATGTCTAGTCTCAATTTCGTGAATCAAATGGTGTCGATGTCGAGGAAGGAACCATCAAACTGTCGGTCTGTCCGCCTGTGGTCCTTCCAGGGCACGGCTCGCTCATTGAGTCCTGACTTCGCCATCTTGCTCGACGTGGATGTGTTCATTGGTTTGGAGGACGCCCACTTTGTCTTCGGGGAACTCGACACTACGAACAATAGGTCAGCTAGAGGGGACATGGCGGGTTTTGGGAGGGAGTGGGGGTGAGCTCACGTAAATCCTTTGATCAAGGTGAACTCATGCTTGATCTCACCGCCGTCCGCCTTGGCCTTGTCCTTTGCCTTGGTGAGCTCCTCTGGCGAGGCATTCTCTTTCAAGGTGACCTTTTCAGAGTGTTAGTTACAGGAGCGAAGAAAGAAATAGGGGCTGAGCGGGCGTACATTGAATAGCGGCATCGTGGAAGTGGCTGTATGATAAGATGGTTGATGTCTAGGCGGTCGAGTGACGGCGCTGTGCTGGAGGCTTGTATGGAGCGGGATGGTAGACTTGAAGAAGCTGGAGAGAGAAGTCGAAGTGGTTTGGAGATAGAGAAGCCCGGGATGATGGTAGAAGAGAAGACGAGAATGGTGAAAGATCACACAATCAGTTGGACCGTCGCTGGGCACTGGCAGGCTGGGGGGTTGGTGGTAATCGGGCGTTCGCAATCGCTTGTCAGAACGGGTCACTTGCATCGTGCAGTCACTGGCACTGGCACTGGCACTGCACCGCGCTGCACCCCATCCCACTTCCTTCCTTGCTTGCTTGCTTGCTTGCTTGCTGTGCGGGCGAAGGCGGGCTGATGACTCCCACTCCCACGGCAAGGCAGGCGGGCAATGACGCACTGCACTGCATGCCTCTTTTAGCGTTCTCTTCTCCTGCACCTGAAACGCAACTTGAACCGCCTGATTGTGGATTTCTCTCTTCTCTCCTCCCCCTCTCCGATCTCCGAGCCTCTGTTGTTACCTCTGTTGACTCTCTGTGAGGTAGTATTCGATACTAGTATTCATTTTTTTAATCAGCGCCTCGCTACCGGGTCATTCATTCGTTTGAGACTGTTAAATGATTTTCAAATGGCGAAATGCGTCCTTTTCTAGCCTTGATGAGCCTGTAGCCGATCTGAGGCAATCTGATCTGCCACAATCGCCGAGATATGGTGCTCCTGCCCCCATTTCTCCAGCCCAATGCATGTTTGGCATGGCCCCAGGCGTGTCCTTCCCCCTATCATTGGTTCATGAGACCTCCAGAAGTTCCCTGCGCTCTGCGCGAGCCGAGCGTCCGACATGCACAGTGCAAGTTGGGTGCGGTCGGGACTCTGCTTGTCCAGAATGCGCCGGGATAGTTTTTCTCCCGCAAGAGATGGATGTCGTGCATGAGATATACCTAAGGCGCAATCGAATGGTCCACCAGTGACTATATGACATTATTCATGCAATGCGCTGGCCTCCGATAGCCGAGAGTTCCTCCAGCTCCGCCTTCGTCTCAGTCGCTCGTTGTGGTGCTAGAGCAGTCATGTTTTCCGGAGCAGATGACTACGGGAACGGAAGAACAGATCTGTCCGGCTCCGTGCCTATAAGACACAGAGCGGCTTATCACAAAATGGTGAGTGTGACAAACATGGAGATATAGCATATCAATACAATTTCAACAACCACTTCATGATGATAGGAGTTGCTCGTGCTGAAAACCTGCGTTACGAGAACTCCTGCTCGCACATTGAGATAGTAGGAGGCGCACCCTAGCAGCTCTTGATTCGGTGAGATCATACTAGAGTAATCCGTCAGTAACTCGGGTTGAACGTTGCTGCTATCGCTGCTCGCCAGTCTATAGGTACCTAGCAATTGCCTCGATCTTTGGAATCTTTTAAAGCAGCAATACATCTACCGAAAAGGAGTCTCAATTACGATCCCAAAAGTCCGTTGCACCCTTATGCGCTCTTGCAGGGTCGACGAAAAATCAGGGCCATTTGTCTCATCTCAGCCGATCAAGCCTGGCCAGCATACCGTCCTGAGTTGTGTTCTCCAATGCCTGTATACAAATCAACGCGAGATACTCGAAACTCTCCCCTGTGGAACCCCACCTCCAAGGAGCTTTTGAATGTGGAAGACGACGAAGCTGGAAGGTTAGCTGGATTCCGAGCACGGTTCGGCACGGGATTCGATACCGTAAAAGAAGCAAAGAAGGAAGCCGAGACGGAGGGTGATAATACCTTAAATATATTAGCTTCCGTAACCGTAACCGTAGATAAGGCGAAGACCGCCAAGGAACCGGCCTTTAAGGTTAAGCAGAATATATTCGAAGAGGACGATATAAACCTATTAGATTCAATTAGCTCTTTTAGTTAAGAAAACACCTAGTAAGAGACCTAGGCGCCGCCGCCTAAGTGTTAGGATTCATGCAAGCAGTCAGGCATGAGACCCAAGAGGAAACAATGGTCAAAGGCGGCAGGATTGCCGAGGGATCACGGGATGAGCCTTGCATGGGAAGGCTATGTCACGTGATATGATCAGTGTGATCAGTCTGATCAGTTGCTGAGCACACTGAGCATGCTGAGCACTACGAGTTTCCTATGTCTATATAGTCTTCCATCTTCCATAGCATTTCATAGTCTCTCTCGTAGTCAACTTCGTTCACAAGCTAGACGTTACCATCGCGTTGATAGCTTTCGTTCTGACTTACCCTTATGCCCTGGAATACTGTCCTCCTGCCTTCCCACACATCAGGAAACCCTGATCGATATCGTGACCCCGAGGACCGATTCGTGACACTAAGAAGGGAGAAAAGAAATAGAGTAGCTCGGGTCAAGTCTAAAGAAAATAAACTAGTATACGCTATAGAGAAAATTAAATAATATCCGGCGTTAAGTAATTAAAGCCTAGATTTAGGATAATAGATATCGGATACGGCCGGCGCTATATACGGCCTACTATCGATAAGTCGAACAAATAATCAAAAGTCCATAATGTCCCTCTCTTGTTAGCTTTACATCGTCCCGGACACCCAGTCGTCTACTGGCTGTTTTAAAAGAGAGATGTAACCTATAACTTTAGGCTCAGAGACAAGATATCCTCCAGGTGGCCGGTCAAGTTCTGAGCCGAAAAGGATTGCCAATGCTATCCAGGCAGATTCACAGGGAGATTTATACCCTGAAATTACTTGCACTTCAGTATAGACGTTTCATAAGCAGCAGCTCTCGATGCCAATGGGCGCATGCTCCTGAGGTCGTCGCCTGCCGCTTCCCAACTCCGTCTGCAGTTTGAGAAATACCTACTCAACCGTATAGTGTTCATTGCAGTATTCCACAATACTAGGGGTCCTGAACATAGGTATGGATTTGATACACTAGTAGCAGCGACCCTGGCATCGTTATGAGCCTGATACAACTCGCCTTCAACATCTGCATGGCGGCCATCTGGCATTACTGATGTAGCTAGTATGAATACACGTACAGTACCATGGATCTGCGAAATACTGAAAGAACTGGATCGCGTCCGTGTGATCTGTGCTTGCACAGAGGAACTTGATTTGCACCAAGTCAGATGCCTTGGTCAAGACAATGTGGTCAAGACCAGAACTGTTTTCAACCCGTCAGAAGCCCTGTCGCCACCATCCCGTGGGATGATTTAGTTCAAACCACGTATCGCGTGGCGATGGCGAGCGGCGCAATTTTGCCAACATCTCCCTCCGTTCGGCTTTCTCCTTCTCCAGATCGCGCCTGATGCCAACGAACTCGAATATTTCCGGAGCAGCAGCGGGAGGAGTTGGGGAGCTCGTGCTGTATGAATTCATGAACACCATTTTGCGGGAGACTTTCAACTTCAGGTAATCGCCGCCGAGGAACTTGAACGACAGCTTGTACTTGCCATCGCCGCTCCTGACCTTGAAAGATTTCCGACTTGCTCGCTTCGGAGGGCAGAACGGGCCAAAGCTGCAGTTGGCATCTGAATTGAGGTACAGGTCGCCATGTAACATGTCAGTCTCGTCTCCGGGGTTCTGGGTGTGTCGACCGGGCTTGCGTGGTTCGCTGTCGTCGAGGTAGAAGTCCACTCTTTTGCTCGCGTTGGAGTCGGCGTAAAAATGGTCAACATGATCGCTGCAGAACAGATGGAAACTCTGACCAGCAAGCAATCCGGCCGGGACTGTCGTCCCTTTCTTCTCAGCCGTTTTCAGAGATTTGTATGCGACACGAACCTCCTCTTCCTTGGTCTTCTCAGCATCTCGTTGTCGTTCTTGTTCTTTCCGCTCCCGTAGCTTCGCGCGCTTCCTTCCTTCCCACTGCTCTTTCAGGTCGTAGTAGTAATCGGCATCAGAACTCAAGCTTGCAGTTACACTTCGAGTCTTCGTCATCGCACTCGCAGTCCGGTTCGTCGCTGTCGTCGCTCTGGGACGGCTCGATGTTGTCTCTCTCTTGTTCGTTGTCCTCTTCCAACTCTGAAAGATGCTCGTCAAAGTCACAGGCCTGCACACCTCTGTCCTCCACGTACTCCAGGTAGTCGCTGATACGCAGAATTCGATAGTACCATGATGGGAGAGGGCGACGGTCTCTCTCGGCGGGACGAGGTTTCTCAACACGCCAAGTACGTCTGGATTTCCCCATCGTCAGCGCGAAATGGTTCCCGGTTGGTTGATTTCAGAATCTGTTGAATGCGTCTCGCGTCGACTCGCGTGCTTTTCTGCACCATTGAGGTTGTTTACCTCGCTACCCTACCTAAGGTATTTGCGATTGGAAAAGCAATGACTGACCGGACTCACCTCAACCTCCTTGAACGCGTCTGAGATGCTTGGCGGGGTGCCTAGGGTGCCTAGGGTCCGAGTTCCCCAAGTCCATGGCGCCGGCTGCGGGCGGCGGGCCAGTCCTTGTCTCCATCGGATCTCCATCTTTATCCCCATCTTTAGGTAGTTGTCATTCAGGCACCCAAAGGACTTAGGGGCTTCTGGGCTCGACACTTGTTACAGCCTAGATGCCTGGTAAGGCATCCTGAGCCCTGTCTGTTGGGCTCGAGAGGCTTTGAGAGCCGCCGCCATTCCCTCCCTTCACACCCTCAACACTACCACTGTTTATGTTACTAGTACAATAACCAAAACCGCAATCTCACAAATGTCCATATCCATTTCCCTATGTAAGAACGTTTCCTTCCTTCTTCTCCCCGTCTCCCAACTGACCACAAAATGCATTCAGATGTCGACTCCTGAACCTGTCGCGGGGTCTGCGGCCACTATCCAGCATCTCACCAAAAAGCTCAGACATCTAGGGCGACTGCCCTCCAGCTGGGTGAAGGCTTTGGTACACTAAATCCATAGCCCGTATCGAATGTTGGACAGGCTGACATTGAATTAGGACGACCGAAACGTGCCTCAAGAATCCTATATTTGTGACACCTGTCGAGGCCTCGATCTCAGAGTCGAATCGTTCCTGGCACAGCCGACCGACAACCAATACCAAAAAGCACAGAATTTTCGGTATTTGGGCAAATTGTCCCAAATTCGGAGACGGGCACATTGTCCATTCTGCCGCCTTGTCCTCCAGATTGCAGACCGACCTTCTGACCAACGGACTCCTTCTCTACATGCCGATGACGATCCGGCATGTTACGCTCGATGGGTTGTGGATGGTCAGGAAGACTTGGGTCCGGATCCTGACAGGCCCGGAGAACACATATACAGACCGAAGACAAGAAGGTTGCTAATCTACAGCGATCCTCAAACATTCAAAGACGGGTATATCGTCCTTCTGGCAGACGACGCCCCGAATCGGGAGTTCTTTGGACGCAGGATCACCTCACCGGATCTGCTGGACCCTACACAGATCCGCCAGTGGATTTGTGACTGCGAGAGGACTCATGCAGACGAATGTGAAGAATCATTAGTGCACCCTGACTTGCTCGGAGCACCCAAAAACGTCTTTCGCGCGATTGACGTGGATCAGATGTGCATCGTCGAGACTTCTCAAAGCTCGAGATACGTGGCTTTGAGCTATCTTTGGGGCAAGAACTTCTCGCAGCTCTTTACAACATCCAAAAATCTCCCAAAGTTGTCACAACCGGGAGCTCTGGAGAAGGAGAGACTGCCACGGACCATCAAGGATGCCATCACTCTCACCAAGTTACTCGGTGAACGATACTTGTGGACAGACAGTCTGGCACTCTTGCATGATGATGGATTCCACTACCACGACGACTGGGTGTATGCTCGTGCTGCCCTGACCGTGGTAGCCGGGTCCGGCAAAGACGCTAATGCAGGTTTACCAGGTGTCAGAAAAGAATCTCGCAAGTTCCATCAGGAGATTGAAGAGGTCAAACCCGGCTTGCGTCTGATGGTGTCTCATCTTGCTGAAGGTGCGTGGTCGTTTCAACAGTGCCATAGAGTTACTGACCCTTCTGTCCTAGACTACATCTCGACTTCCCAATGGGATTCTCGTGCGTGGACTTTCCAGGAAAGAATGCTCTCACGGAGATGCCTGCTATTCGTCAACGGTCGGATATACTACCAATGCCGGCGAACGACCTTCTGTGAGGATATGGAGCTGCCCCCAAGTAACGGGTGGTCGCTTGATTCGATTGACATGCCTACTCGAATATTCCGGGAGAAGCCGTTTGTTCAATTCACCTCGGCAGTGGAACTATATACACGGCGAGATTTGACAAACCCTATGGACATTCTGAATGCGTTTGAAGGCGTGCAATTGGTGCTCGAGAAACGGATTGGAGCGAAGATCTATTTTGGTGCACTGGAAACGATGTTGGATTCATCTCTGATATGGGAATCTACAAAGAGGCTCTTCCGTCGACAAGGATTTCCAAGTTGGTCATGGTCCGGCTGGATGGGAGAGGTCCAGTGGAAGTATACCGAACCGGTACAGTCATGGATCGAGTGGCATGCCGACCAGGATGTCGGCATCCATGTGTTTCCCAGGCAAGCCCAGGACCGGATACCGCCACCCCTGCCACGACCCGACAACCGAGGCCCAGTGTCGCGCCACAACTTGAGCACAAGCATTCCTTTGTTGCATTTCCGGACTGTGTCGGCGTACTTCCAACTTACATCGCCAGCACTCATCCACAAATCGGTTATCTCGCCCCTCAGAAAGCGGCTGACTGGTCCAAGTGCGTTGTCGACCGTGCGACCAGCTCCGGCAGACCCAGGACTGATTCGGGCTGGGATTGCAGACAGCAATGGACTCTGGTGTGGGACGATCGATCTCAACGTGGCCTGGATGAATCGGGTCGGGACACCCCTACAGTTCCTGGTTATGTCGCGAGTCAGTCGATTTACCGACGATGAACTCGGAATCTGGGAGGGGACTCTACCAGATGACATCGAGGATCTACTGACAGAACGTAACTACGGTGTCTACAACGTTATGTTGGTGTCCGAAAAGGACGGGATATATTACCGCGAAGGGCTGGGGCGTATATTGACAGACGCCCTGCATAGAGCTCTGGGGCCAGGGCCGGAGTGGAAAGATATCGTGTTGGGTTGATCCCATACCGCCATTCGACCTCAGGATAGGCTCGATGCATTGCATGTACCATTTATGTCCTCTACAGGATGCTTGGTAACGACCTCGCTCGCCTCGTGCAGATCACACAGGAAACGATTGGTGGGCTGGCGCGAGATCCATGTCGCCAACAACTCGTATAGGCTGGCGGAGAGAATACGAGGTGCTGTCGCAGTTGCAACCATCCCCAAGTACCTAGGTACGTGAGCCGAGCGGGGGGACAGTCAACTGCCTACAGTTCCTGAACAGACACATCAATTGACGACTTCGTCAAGTCCACACCGTTGCCCTTCACCAATCTTGCCGCAATACTGTCCAATTCTATGTCGCCCTGCGTAGGGCGCCGTCCGGGATTCGTCGAGTCATGCCACAAAGCGAAAGCAATGATTCTTCATCCGGTTACGCGTGATGCGTGTCAGGATACCACCAAGTGACAAGCAGAATCCGTCCTGTGGCATCCAACAAGTCCGCTCTGACGGTTGCGCATACAATGACGACGGGGAACACTGACTACGGTCATGTCACCCTGATCAACTGCGTGTATCCGATCTCCGGAACCTACGGTCTGCTCCCCCGATTTCTGTACTATATTACGCTCGTCTTTGCGATTTTCGGGCGGCGGCGGGAATGGCTCATCATCGGCGCTCTCGTCAGCGCGTTGACGTACGCAGGAACGGCAGCGATTCATATGATGGCACTAGTCGCCAGCAAACAGGGAGTGTTTGACCTCGACATTATGACATGCTGGGCGGTCCTGAGCACCGGTGCCCTCGCGTACATTGGCATCATCCATTGGAGCTCGACGCTGCGGGATTCAAGAGCAAGAGTTGTCATGATCTGTTGGGGAGTATTGGTCGGCATTGCGCTGGTCTTCGGCCGGACCGAACTCTTTGACACTGTATTGAGCGATGCGGAGCCTGCCTGCTACTCTTCGGAAGGAAAGCTACTGGAATATCCCGTCGAGTTGATCAGTCCGGAGTTCAACTGCACTTACCAATGCTTCTCCTTCTCCAAACCCATGAGACATGGGTCCGAGATCCAGGCGGTGCCGCGCCAACTTGTGCAGAACAAATATTCCAATCTGACATATGTCCTGGTCGGTCCCATCCAATTCGCGGCGTATGCTGCGTTAAGCATGGATACCCAGAGCCACACCCCGTCCATGCTGTGCCAGAGGCTGGTGATGAGTTACCTCGTCCACCCTGGCCAGCATGAAGAGATGACCAAGGTGGTCTACAAGGCGTCCATGGAGGGGTGGTACGGAGGCTACTTTGCGCTGCTCGGATACATTCGCCGGATCAGTCTCACTTGGAGGAAGTTCTGCCTGTGCAGCCTCCTCATCCCCTGGTTGTGCCTAAGCCTTCTGATCGACGTGCTGTGTCTACCGCTTATGGTTGCAAATATCGTGGTCAACGAAGTCACTCTACTTCATGGCAATTTTCCAGTCAACGAGTCGAACATGGCCATAGGCCAGTGGGGGCCTGTTGTTAACTCGCTTCTCGTGGTGATTGCTGCGTGTATCAACAAAGTGCTGGAGATGTATGAGAAGCGGCGCAAGATCAACCAGCTGGACAGCGTCGTCGAAGAAGTGGCATCGATATCTGATCACTCTTGGGATGATGTGGAAAGGGGAAGCGTGGGCGTCAATGGAGAGCAGATGACAGGCGTAGTTAAGCTGAATCTGGTGCATGTCCAGACTTTGCAGGACATGGAGGATTTGATGAAGCGACCAGCGACATAATTGCAGCTGATTACAAGAAAAGAAAGAAAGAAAGATGAGGTCGGGTCATTTTGTCGCTATTTGCTTATTATCGAGGGCCCCACGGCGGCAACAGTATGAACATCAACGCTTCGAAATACTGGATGTTTAGTTCTCGCTTGAGGGCAATAATAATGACCACCCATTGTCGCATGCGGCAACCAACCTTGCGGCCGTATAAGGCATGAGTCACAGAGAAAGGAGTCACCAAGGACAGAAAGACGATGCGACCAATAATGCCTTGATATGCATCAGAGATAACTGATAACGGAACGTGCTGAGGACGGCGGCAGTATCTAAGAGCATTAGCGGCCAGCGTATGTTGAGATATGTAGGCTCTTACATGTGATATAGCGGACAGTGTACTTCCCACAAATATCATATGCCCACTTCTGTACAAAACCTTCATATCGCGAGCTCAAAATTACCCAACAGCCAATCTGGCTGACGAGGCTGACGAGGCTGACGAGAATCCAGGGGCTGCCACACTGCCACACGCATTTTCGAGTGGCTGTGCTCGCGGCAGTTGGTGTGGCTGGAGGGGGGTTTGCCGGACTCCGAGTGCACTGCACTACTACTATAGTCCTAGTAAATAGTACGTGCCAATCAGGGGAAATGCAGGGTCTAGTACTACTAGCACGGTAGCGCCACTCCCCTAATTTTCTATCGGATCAATGCCGACGACTTTCAGACAATCAATGACTCAGTCCTCCATCCTCGATCCTCTGTCTCTGCTCTGTCTATAAACACGCTCGCGCTGCCATCTCTCCGATCTTCTCTACTCTTCTCTTCTCATCCGTTACTCTGCCCGTATTCTGGTCCTCTCCGGGTCCGTCGTTTCGTCCTTATCCCAACCCAGTCTCGTCAAGATGGAGGCCATCAAGGCGACTTTTGCGCAATGCAAAAAGGAAAACAGAGCAGCCCTGATAACTTATTTCACTGCGGGATACCCAACCAAAGACTCCACCGCCGATGTCATGCTAGGGCTGCAAGCTGGTGGTGCTGGTACGACAATATAACCTCACGAAGAATATCTCTTCCCCTCTAACCCGTGGCACTTTAGACATCATCGAGCTCGGCCTCCCCTTTACAGATCCTATTGCGGACGGACCTACCATCCAGAAATCGAACACCATCGCTCTTCAGAATGGTGTCAACATAACGACCATCCTCGACGTCGTGCGAGACGCTCGCAAACGAGGCCTCCGTGTTCCCGTCCTCTTCATGGGCTACTACAACCCCTTACTCCGCTACGGTGAAGACCGCATGCTGAAGGATTGCAGAGAGGCGGGCGTCAATGGGTTCATTATGGTCGACTTGCCGCCGGAGGAGGCGGTCAGATTTCGAAACAACTGCACGAAAGCCGGACTTTCATATGTGCCGCTCATTGCTCCATCCACGTCGGAGAAACGAATGAAGCTGCTCTGCAAGATTGCCGACTCGTTCATCTATGTTGTGTCGAGAATGGGTGTGACGGGCGCCACAGGGACATTGAACACGAAACTGCCGGAGCTGCTGGAAAGAGTGCATCAATACTCTGGCGGTGTTCCCGCTGCCGTCGGATTTGGTGTTAGTACCAGAGAGCATTTCCTGAGTGTCGCAGAGATTGCAGAGGGCGTGGTCATCGGAAGCCAGATCGTAACAGTCCTCGGTAACGCAAAGGAGGGCCGATATGCGAAAGCGGTCCAAGAGTATTGTTCGCAGATCACCGGTCGCAAAGTTGGCGAATACAACGAGACCAACGGCTTGACCAGAGAGGTCGGAATCGTCGAGACAATGAATGCCGCGAAGGAACCCAATGCTTCAACCAATGGGCTGAATGGTCATCAAGTCCAAGTCGACAAAGTCATTACTGATGCAGATGTGCCCTCGGAACCTGGTCTGGCCGATCAGCTCGATGCCCTCAACTCTGCCACCAATGGCACTGAACCCAACCCTGATGCAATTCCTGCCCGATTCGGCCAGTTTGGTGGTCAATACGTCCCGGAGTCACTGATGGATTGTTTGGCGGAGCTCGAGGAGGGCTTCACCAAGGCCAAGAATGACCCGGCATTCTGGGAAGAATACAGATCCTACTATCCCTACATAAGCCGACCTTCGTCACTACATCTGGCAGATCGGCTTACCGAACGCATCGGCGGGGCTCAGATCTACCTGAAAAGAGAAGATCTGAACCACACTGGAAGCCACAAGATCAATAACGCTCTGGGACAAATCCTCGTCGCGCGACGACTCGGCAAGACTCGCATCATCGCCGAGACCGGAGCCGGTCAACACGGTGTGGCTACTGCGACTATGTGTGCCAAATTTGGCATGGAGTGTTGTGTCTACATGGGCGCCGAGGATGTGCGTCGTCAGGCCTTGAATGTTTTCCGAATGAAGCTCCTCGGCGCGAAGGTCGTTGCCGTGGAAGCTGGTTCTCGTACCCTGCGTGACGCTGTCAACGAAGCCTTGCGTGCGTGGGTGGTTGAACTTGACACCACTCACTATATCATTGGATCGGCCATCGGGCCTCATCCCTTCCCCACCATTGTCCGCACATTCCAAAGTGTGATCGGGCAAGAAACGAAGGAGCAGATGAAGGCACTGATAGGCAAGTTGCCTGATGCCGTGATTGCCTGCGTTGGCGGCGGCTCCAATGCCGTCGGCATGTTCTTCCCCTTCAGCTCCGAGCCGTCGGTCAAGCTGATCGGCGTGGAAGCCGCCGGCGAGGGTGTGGAGACGGGCAGGCACTCTGCCACTCTGTCCGGCGGTTCGGTCGGTGTGCTGCACGGTGTGAGAACCTATGTCCTCCAGAACGAACACGGTCAAATCGCCGATACACACTCCATCTCGGCAGGTCTCGACTACCCTGGTGTTGGCCCTGAGTTGTCGAATTGGAAAGATAGCGACCGTGCACAGTTCATCAGCGCCACCGATGCCCAAGCGCTCATCGGGTTCCGAACGCTCAGTGAGACTGAAGGGATCATTCCGGCGTTGGAGTCGAGTCACGCGATTTATGGAGCAATGGAGATTGGCAAGAAGATGGGCAAAGACCAGACCTTGGTCATCTGTCTCAGTGGCAGAGGTGACAAGGATGTCCAGAGCGTTGCGGATGAGTTGCCGAAGCTGGGGCCACAGATTGGTTGGGATTTGAGGTTTTAGAAATCTTGCCTACAAAGGAAGATCCTGATGGAGGGTTCGTCTATGGCCAATTTTCGATGATTTGATTGACGCGGAAAAATCGACTACACAATGGATCCTGACCGGAAAGGCGCAATTTGTGCTTGCTGTTCAGCGACATCGTGAAGCTGTAGCGAGAATAAGATGGGCGTATACGTTGTATGTACTTACCCATGCAATGCAAACCAATGGAAACAGTCCAGTCCACACAGCGCAGCCTTGTTCTCACAGCAGAATGCTAAATTTCAGCCTTTACAGAGCACATTTAAGTCAAGACAATTCTCTAGACAGGTCCACGCTGTGAGGTGACCGCCGCCGGCTAGATGCCGGATACTAGTATTCTAGTTGGCCTCGCAAGGCTGCTCGGCTGATAGCTAAAGTAAGGGGTGGGCCTGACAGTGTATAGTGAGGTACGTACTGGTTTGCTTGCATGAAGGTCTGTTAGATCTGCTAGAGTCGGCTCTCCCGTTCCATCCTGCCGAAGTAGCTGTGCGCCGTAGGCCGTTTGGAGAGGAGGGTGTAGTGTCAACAAAACAATCTCCCTCCCGCCAACAAGCACAACAGATAGATTGATAGTCGATCCTCGCTACCACATCAAAAGTGAAGGCAAGGGAGAGTGAGGTAGGAGGGAGCCCATAAGTAAAAGCGATCATCTTACGTTCCCCTTTGTCAGTCGACCCAAGTCCAGTGAAATCCAAGACAGTGAAGCGAGGTCGTCTATCAATACGTCCCGGGAACCCTCCCCCTTCACCAGCCCTGAAAATCAGCAGGTTCATGTATTTAATATGCCGAATTTCCTTCCAATATCGCAAAGACCCCCAGCACCGATTAGTGCAGGTCAAACCACTTTGGCTCAGCGGCAGCTTCGTCTCCCCGGACAATAGTGGAAGGCAGCTAATCGACTGGGCGAATACGTACCGATCCGATCCCATCTCCGAGTTTAAGTTTCCCGAGTTTGAATCTCCTGAGGATCCCTTCCCTCTCCTCACTTTTCGGCCGACAACGATCCATCCGACTCGAGGATAAAATAACAAAAAAGAAAGACTCCTGCGAACCCGGGGTGGCACCAACCAACGGAACGGATCGAAAATCGGAAAAACCCTGCGAACCCGGGTTTCACTTCCCACGACCCCCATCTCAGAGGGGTTCGTGGGAAAAGTTTTTGGCAGTTTGGAAGAGTGAGAGTTTTGCTTTTGCTTTTGCTTTTGGAATTTGTGTGTGTGTGTGTGTGTGTAAATCAAGAAAAGGAGAGTGAATAACATAGGAACTTCACATTCTCAGGCTTTGAATTCAATCTTCTTGATACCGCCTTTTCCCTTTTTCCTTGTTTGGACAAATGTACTGATGACTGCGCCTGCTCGCGTGGCAGTCTTCAGACACTTCTTTCGGTAGTCGACATCTTCTTCTGGTAAGGCTGTGTCCCAGAATCTCCTCCGTTAAGGTGTGCAGCATCAAACATCATATTTCGCGGCAACAGACCTCATCAAATCCTCAGTTCTACCCGAGACACCAACAACACCTACCACATTACCCTGTGACAGCTTAGGATTGATCGTTGCAGGGACCTCACCGACTGACTTCCGAGTGGTAGGGACATTGGTCATAAAAGCTGGCTGGTATCGATGCCGTTGGATGAAGCTCCAGCCTGGCACTATCCGACGGCCCGACATTGATCCGGTGTTAATTTCCTATGTGATAATAATACATCAAACTCCCTTCTCATTTCATCTTGTTCCATCTCCAGGAGTGCTCACGTCTACTAGTCGGATGCTTTGTCTCTCTACCTTCGTCACGTCTCGGCAACGGGAAGCTCAGCACAGAGCTGCCTCGCTACGCCGATGGCAACGAAGTACCGACTGGAACCACTGCAGACGGCAGACCGTAGACCGCATACGACTTGCAAGACGTGCCTGATTGTCTACTAGTACGTTGTCTCGACTCTTAATACGATAGATGCCTTCCACAGTATGCAGGCTGCCCTGCCCCGCATCCTCGTGGTTCATCTGCGGCCTTGTCGTCACCTTCCCCAGACCGGACTCTAACTACACCCGATCTAAGTCAGGACGTTGAATCGGAATGACAGAAGATCAAGAGACAAAGTGTGAGAAAACTTGAAGTATGACAGATGACTACGACCACCGACCATCCACCGGAGATGTGCCAGCTAGCTGGGGCTCGGAAGGGGAGGTCACCGTCATGTTGTCGGCTTCCTCACTCTGACCTATCAATGCGCAGGTAGGGACTTTGCTATCATCTGCGTGTCCGCCGATCACAACCTCCGCCTGTCACTGATAAGAGAGGCTTTCTGTCGTTGCCCCCTATACCCAACGACTTGAAGCGTAGTGTATTCTCAGTGATGTAGCATAAATGACGGCATTACCCCTTCAAAACCTTCACCCTCACCCCGTGACTGTCTAGCTTTGGGCTGGGGAGGAAGAAGTCATGCGCCAAGGCCACATCCGAGACGTCCGTCTCGTACAGCTCGAAGGCGAAATTGCGGAACACGGCTGCCAAGGTCATGTAGAGTTCGGCGTGGGCGAGACTGGAAATGGAGAACAGATGGAGTTAGTAAGGGGGTAGGATGGAAAATGGAAGACAGCAGTGGAAAAGACAGGTGAGAAGAGAACCAGGAGAGCAGAGACAAGAGGTCACCTTGGGAAGTGGCATGTCTGGCAAATGATGCCACTGACTACCCCCAAAAATGCCAAAGGAGGTAAGAGGGTAAGGAGAGTGGCCTTGGAAACCCCAGTAGGCGGTGGCCTCGAGGGAACACAACAAGAAAGAAGAGCGGTTCTGCTTACTTGATTCCCAAACAGCTCCGACTGCCTTTGCCGAATCCCACAAAATACCGCTCAAGGCTGCTCCCATCTTTGGTCTTGGGGCTGCCGATCCATCGCTCAGGCCGGAACTCGTGGGCCGCAGGGAAAATGTCTTCGTCATCACTCACATCCACGATAGTCATGGACACAGGCGTGCGCGGCGGGATCACCCAGTCCTTATAGGTGAGTGGTTTGGAGAAGAGCCTGGGGTTCCGTGTGGAGACTGCATATGACAAGCGTACAGCCTCGCGCACACAGCCCGTCAGGTAAGGCAGTTTCTCAAGCTCCGCCCAGGACAAGGGCGCGGTAGGGTTGGGGATGGCGGCTTCGAGTTCGGCCCGCAGTCGGGACAATGTAGCAGGGTTGCTGGTCAGATGGAAGGTGGCCACGGTGAGGGCCCAGCCGGTGGTGGTGACTCCGGCGGCGACAACCAGCTGAGCCTCGTCTTGTAGGCGACGGGTTTCTTTCTCGGATTCGGGGAGATTACCTGAGATGAGTTCTTGGAAGACGGTAGGGTGGGAAGACTTCGCGAGGACGTCGGCCATCTTGCCTTGTTTCATTGCATTGATTTGATTGCGGAAATCCTAGATATCGGTCATGGTTAGATGCCAGTTTCGACGGGTCGGGGGCTGGACGGCGTTGCTGGGACAGGAAGAGAAAGCAACGCAATACGTACTGCTTGCATGCGGAAGACAAGTGCGTACAACGGCTCGATCTTGACAAGGATGGATTCTGGTAGCATAGACAACATCTTGGGCACCCAGGGACACTGCAACGAAAGATGGCCGCTGATACTCGCCGCCATGAACGGCTCGTGCAGCGTCTTCTCGAAATTGGGTAGCTTCAGGTGGCCGTAGCTGATGGAGAAGCAGTACTCCATCACCACTTCTCCGGTAAGAGCCATGAAAGCCCGGTTGATGGGTAACACCTTGTTGTCCCTCTGGAATTCGCGGATGCGGTCGAGCAGAATATCAATCTTGGTCCGGATGATGGTCTGCAGGTCGACAATGCGAGCTCGTGAGAACAACGGGTTCAACGCGCCCCGGCGAATGCGATGCAGCTCGTCAGGACCGGTCGTGAAGACGGAGGTGTCGCAGCCAAAGCGGCCTGCCATCCAGTCATACTTGTCGACTCGACCAGCCTTGGTGTAGACTGTGTCGTAGAACTCAGAGTCTTGGATGTGCAGCTCATCGGGGACGATGCGGACGATGGGGCCTGGTTGTAGCACAAAGGGAGAATGTCAGTTCATATTGACCACTGGATATGGTGGTTTCTTCCGGGGTAAAAAACTTACCATACTGCTTGTGCAGTTCTTGGATCTTGAATGTGAACTGTCCTTTCTTGACGACTTCGTAGTAGAACTCATGCCACCGGCTGATCGCCGCGTATTTTGGCCCAGGGTATTTGGCTAGCGGGTGGAAATAGAGACGATAGACCACAAGACCTAGCAGGTAAACAAAGTACACAACGACGAGGCTGGTGACGGGATGATCTAGGATGGATGAAATAGCCATGGTTGGCCTCGGTAACAGTAAGGTCGGACTGCGAGGGTGGCGGAATGGAACATGAGGTCGAGATGAGGATGAGATATTGGTACATTGATCAACTGTCCCTCCAGGGAAGCGCTTGGTCTGTGGACAGTTAAATGGAGCTGGGGTGAACTGCGTCGTCTGGTCCAAGTCAGTTGCTTTGATGCCATTGCAAAAGCGGCTTTGATCTATGGGCAGAAGCACATCTAAGCGATCTGTGAGAGCCCTAGAAGGCTGCCCACTGCGGGATTGTCACATCCGTGAGGACCGGCCCTGCTTCAAGGGTCTGAGCTGGCAGCGTCGGCCCACTGGACGGCAATAGTGAGCCAATCACGAGAGCAATAGAGCTTCAACGCCGAGGGAACACGACAAGCGAGAGACGTGAGAAGGTGCATACTGTTGCATTGGAAACATGCCCTAATGCGTGCTAAATGAGTCCGGCGGAATCCTCCGAATAGTCGACAGGGGTATAAAATCTGCACCCAAACCGGGGTCAGTCCAGAGCTCCTTGGGGAATGACTTGAGTGACGGGCTCCCACCCAGGCAGACAGACCGTTCGAAGAAAACCCCATCGGTTTATCCTCCAGGAAGGTGTATCAAAACATTGACCATCGGGTGACGTCCGCTCATTCTGGTTTTTGACCACATACAAAATGCCACCGCAAGTACAGATGGAGACTGCGGTCTTGAAATTCCTTCTTGACCAGCGCCATCGTCACCTGGGTGCGTTCCACACTGTAGCCCAAGATGCGCGTGTAGTATGCTAGCATGAATGAGGGTACCGACTGGGTCATTTGCACTCTCATGAGCTCGCCCATCTCTTTCAGCTTCGGATCCTTAGCCCAACTGCCAATGGGTATCTGATCATGTTAATATGCCTCACCTTAGTTGCATTGGGGAGGGCTTGCCTTTCGGATAATCTCAGAGACGCGTTGGAATCCGGCACCAAGCATCCATTGCCGATGAAGATGGGCAATATTCAGCCGTTTGCCAAACATGACGCTGGCTCGATCAACTTCACGTATCCATTCCGAGCACCCTGGAGCACGGTCCATGCCGCCATCGTCACTGTTCAGCCAGCATTCATGATCCTGCATTTCCATCCATCCTCCAGGCTCTAGATTTTCGTACGCCTGCGCATAAAACCTCGGCCAATCTGCAATTCCACCACATAAAGCACGGCCATGAATGAAGTCGAACCTCTCGGACTCTTGGAATGTCCAGTCGCTCTCGGCATCATCAATGTAAAAATGCAGATTGGGAGGAACCCACACAGGCTGGATGGGAGATAGATCAGTCCCGACCACCTGTGCCATAGGAAAGCGATCGGCCATTTCGACTGCCCAAATTCCCGTTCCAGTGCCTATGTCGAGGATACGATGGGGCTCTCGGGACAACGGCGCGATGTATAGCTCTCCCCCAAGAATCATTTTGAACAGATGGTGCAAAAGGTCCAGGCGCTCCTGTTCCTCTTCGTCATTCGGAATCGGATATTCTCCGTCTCTGTACGCATGATACGTGCGACCATTCTCATATCTGTGGTTGAATATCGATGAACGTAAGGAAGAGCTCAAAACAGTCTGTCCATCGTCGCTGAACGCAGAGTCCGTGTCGCCGGAATGACTCTGAAGAAGTGGCAAGAAGGGTAAGCATCATGGATAGTTTGTGACAATATGGCAATACCGTCCTTACACTAGAGTCTTCTTCTGCTGAAACTTCTCGATCCTCTTCCACCGTTGGAGACAGTCCAGCGTCCCCCTCCGGCATTGTGAATTCAGCACGCTGGTTAGTCGGCTTGGGGAAACACGTTACTGTGAGTCCAGGGATGATACCCAGGTAAGATGTAGCGATTGATAGTGATCTATCACCCTAGAGATTCGGATTCAAAAGACGTGGTGACCCGGTGTTATTGATCTGAGATGAAAACAAATGCCGGCCTTCAATCTGAACCATTGCTCGGACATGAAGTTGCGAATTGCAAAATACTGGTCTGGCTCGGACGCGCCACGTACTGTCTGCTTTCGAGTGTCAAGTGTCAAGTGTCAACCGCCACCGCCCCTGTCAGGCGTTGCTCCTCCCTCCCGTAGTAGCATGGACTGCCGTGGAGAGTGCCATTTTGGAGGGGAAAGAGTCCCCCACTCCGACCTGGACGCGCTGGAGCGAGCCTCCTCGCGCAGGCATGAGGCAGCGGTGACCTGCACATGTCTCCAGGATGGAGCGTTCATTCCGGCGGTCGCCTAGGATGCTACGTACCTAGTGATGACCCTGCTGCAGGACGTACGTACTCTGTACATTGTACGCGAGAACGCTGCGACAGGGTAATCCGGGACTCGCACATACAACTTGCAAATACCTCTGCACAAACGCGTAGCGTACTACGGTCTTGTTGTGCGCAGTAGCTTTTTGCAGTGGTCTTCTGAACCGGGTCGGAACGGGCCACTTGAATCCCCAGAGACTATGTGGATGGCGTATTCAGGCCAAAAGAGGCCCAGCGACTTTCCACCCGGCGGCCCCAGGCTCATCATTTTAGTTGACAAATTGCCTTCAAGTTATTCTTTCTTTTGGAGAGGGTGTGTTTTCGGAAAGATGCCTGGTATGGTCTCGGCTTCGCTACAAGCAGCATTGAAGAGCTTGCCCCCAATATTGACATAAAACCGATCAAGCCAAATCTACCCGGGAAGGTACTCGGAGCCATATCCGGAGTGTTTCTACCACGATAGGTCGGTAGACGGGAACTGATTGAGGGTGGCCGATGGTCCCTCGAGTAGACCGTTGGTGGTTGCTAAAGCTCTCCACATTTGCCTGTCCAAATCATATATGCTTCAATATCTGGTTCCTAAGGGCAAAGGAACACTTCTCCGTGCAGGCTCGGGTTCTGTTCATTGTTATTATGTGGCGGATTACTTGAAGAATATATTCGTGTGGCGGAGCGATCTATAAGGGTCTTGCAGAGTAGCAGCAATCTTCAGGTATGCACTGCCCATCTTTGGGTATGCGTACATGCTGCCAGGGGTCCCCTTGAAGTTCGAAGTTGTCCTAGGAAGAGGCAGGCAAGGGACCTGGCCTCATGCGATGCAGCCGTTCGCGGTTGATGGCTCTTCGTATTAACAAATAGCACCCTTCCCATGATATTAGAGATCACTCTGCCCTCCAAGGAAACAGAGAGGGGGAGCTGAAGAAGCTATAGGGGTCACGGTGGTCTACGGACGACGACCGTCCCTCAACGCGATGCATTGTGTTTCCTAAATGTGTCAACACACGTGAATGGACTGCAACCACTTCTCCAGAAGGGTTTGCAGCTTTCGTTACGATGGCGAGGTGGATTCGGGATAGCCGGCATGGCCATCAACATGAATTGGTCCAAAGAGGTCTCCAGAACTCATGGTCGGGGGTTTCTCGGGCGCCGAGGACCTAGCTGTTGTAGTAGTAGACGAAATATCCCGCAAAGAGGGTCGAGGATACAGCATCGTCACTGACGTATTGTTGTAGGTACCTTGATGGAGCGCTCAAGGCTTCAAGTATCACAGCACCTACCTAAGGTATCGAGAGCCACCTCGTGTTAAGAGTAACACATATCGAGGAGGTGTAGCAGAAGGAACAGTAGACAGGTCATTTAGGTACTTTGTAACGGGTGTGGGTGCCCGATATATGCGGAGTGCAAAATTGGGTGGGAAGCGTGCCAAGCCAGATCACGTGGAATCCAAACCGTGCGCATCACGTGGCAATCTCGGGTCACCGGTACGGGCACGCGGATACAGCTGCATTGGAGGACGGGTACCTAAGGCACCTTAATAGAGTAAATACGTAGCACTACTTAGTACCGCAGTCTGGCACTTGCGGAGCAGCAGCGAGAGCTACCTACTACCATCCCGTCAATCCCTCGAAAGCTACTTCTCTCAAACTCCCCCAATATCCGCCTATCTCACAGCTTCATTGTCCGTCCATCCTCTGCCTTTGATCGTTGACCGCGCTCAACCTCCGTCTCTACTCCCTACGACCCTCGAAATCTGCCCATCATGTTTTTCGTCCGACAGATGTTTGGCCAGGCCCAGCGCCGGGCATTCTCAGTCTCTGCACGACAGGTAGGTCAATTGCATACCGCAAATAACTTGCATCCTCTTCACGGGTATCTCGCTGACAAGTCTTGCCGGACAGTCCTCCAAGGTTGCCGTGCTCGGTGCTGCTGGTGGTATCGGACAACCTCTGTCACTGTTGTTGAAGCTCAACCCTCGCGTCTCTCAGTTGGCCCTCTACGATATCCGCCTGGCTCCAGGTCCGTTTGTCCGCAGTTGTGACCCAACTACAATGTACAGAAAATAACAGGAATTGGTGCACAGGTGTGGCAGCCGATCTCTCACATATCAACACAAAGAGCGTCGTCAAGGGCTATGACCCAACCCCGTCCGGCCTCCGCGAGTGTTTGACTGGTAGTGAGATCATTCTCATCCCCGCCGGTGTTCCAAGAAAACCAGGCATGACGCGGGACGGTAAGGAGACGCTTTGAACCTCAAGAAAAGATGGAGTCTAAACATCCCCAGACCTTTTCAACACCAACGCCAGCATTGTCCGTGACCTTGCAAAGGCTGCCGCCGATGCCGCTCCTGATGCCAATGTCTTGGTTATCGCCAACCCTGTACGGAAACCCTGCTAGGATGAGGAGAATATCATGTTAACACGATCCTAGGTCAACTCGACTGTACCGATCTGCGCAGAGGTCTACAAGAGCAAGGGGGTCTACAACCCGAAGCGCCTGTTTGGTGTCACCACCCTTGACGTTGTTCGCTCCTCGCGCTTTATCTCGGAAATCAAGGGAACCGACCCAGCCGATGAGAACGTGACAGTTGTCGGTGGCCACTCTGGTGTGACTATTGTGCCTTTGATCTCTCAGTCTCGTCACCCAGATATCTCTGGCGCACAACTCGATGCGTTGGTCAACCGCATCCAGTTCGGTGGTGATGAAGTCGTCAAGGCCAAGGATGGCGCTGGATCTGCCACTCTTTCCATGGCCATGGCTGGTGCCCGATTTGCCGAGAGCTTGTTGAAGGCCGCGCAAGGTGAGAAGGGCGTGATTGAGCCGACCTTCGTGGACAGCCCGCTGTACAAGGATCAAGGTGTTGAGTTCTTTGCCTCGCGCGTTGAGCTTGGCCCTGAGGGCGCTCACAACATCTACCCCGTTGGCAAGATCAACAAGTATGAGGAAGGTCTCTTGGAAGCATGCTTGGGAGGTAAGTCACTGTCTGAATTGCGTGCGTATTGTCGATCAACAAAGCTGACGTCGTGTGCAGACTTGAAGAAGAACATCCAGAAGGGCATCGACTTTGTCAAGGCCAACCCATAGACGATGAGAGCAAGAAGGATGGGCGGGGGCTGCGTGTACAAAAGTGAGGATATCGCAAGATTCGAGGCTAGCGTTGCTTCCATCTAGTAGTCTAGTGGATGATTTCCTTGAGCCTCGCAAAGAGAGAATCATGCCCTGGACTTGCTGTAACGTCTCCTTCTTCCCTTGTTCCAAAAGCTTTTCTAGTCCCTTCACTTCCCCAGACCCCAGAAGAAGCGCTGGGGTTGTGTCTCCACGACAAACCTGCTAGTGTCCACTCTTGAAAACTTGGCTGAAGGTCAGGCGTGCTCAGCGCAGGAAATCCCGGTGTGAAGATACGGTAAAGAAGGTACAACAATTTGGCTCATTTGTGCGTAGCTTCAACAATCGACAATCGGGCATGCTCAGGCGGCTTTGTGCGACATTGCATCCAATCAAGCTCGTGGCGAGGGTGGTGAGAGAATCTGTCTAAAAAGAAGCTTGAGAGAAGCCTGAGAGAGAGCCGCAGACTGTCTTCTGAAGAACTGCGGTGCCTGTGTTGGCATCAAACCGTCAACAACACAAGGCACAAAACAAACTGCGACCAACTGTAAGTGTGAATCCCCCTCTTGTTTGCTTCTCTCACACTTCATTTCCTTCGAGTTTCTCATCACTGTCCTGCGTGAAATATTCTCTCTTGTCTAAGAGTCCCTATTGCTTTACATGCTTCACTGTGACTGTCGCGGGGTCCCGCAGGCCGACAGGCAACCGCTGGCGCTCGTATATTGGGCATCCACGCACCTCACTCCTGTCTGAATACTTTGACCCGCCTTTCCGCGTCGAAAAGAGAACTGCGCTGGGTCTTGTATAGCCCTCTCGTCACTCCTATTGTCTATGTTTCGGTCTGTCCAATTACACGATCAGTGTCTCCGCAAGTACGTGTCCACGTCTGTCCACTGGCGACCAGTACGGCATCTATTTCAGCCTGATCATCCTCGACCACTCCCTACCTCTCTTATGACTTCGACCTTACCAACCGATCTACAACCAACTTCGAATTGAGCACCGAGTCACCCTGCTATCCTGACAACATGGCTCAGAGGCCGGAGATACCTTTCTTCGTGCCACATGGTGATGCCCAGATGGCTGACGAAGATCCCAACCAGACAAGATCCCAACAGGACCAGCCGCCTCAGAGCTACTACACTACCTGGCCAGGTGATGGTTTCCGCTTCTATCCCTTGCCCCTGGTCACAACCAGAGCGCTACCTATTGCAAGAGAAGATTGGCCAATCCAGCAAGCTTCCGGAGGCTCTGCGTCGTACATGGTCTATCCCAATTCCACCTCGTTTGTGCCTTACTACTTCCCAGCTACGTCTGGCGAGCTTCGCTACTTACCTCCTCCAAATCCGACCGCCTCAATTCAGCCTCACGTGTTCCATCCGCCGCTCCAGATCGGTAGGCATTTGACAACAGGTCTGCCCTCCACATTTCGCTTCGGAGACCAGACTCCAACCGTCGAGCCACGAGCCTTGAGCACGGCAGATTCAGAACCGGAACCATCTCTTCCTCCTTTGTCCACAGTCCTCCCTGATCATTTGTACTTAGATCGGCAGAGCCGGCAACACATCCTACCACAAGAGCCTCGACCGCAACCCTTTTCACAAGAACCTCGACCACAGACCTTTTCAGCAGAACTTCGACCGCAAACCCTTCCACAAGAAGCTCAACCACAGAGAAACCCCGTTCCCGTGAGAGCTAGTCGACCACCATCTCCTATCCCATTTTTTCGATTCCCCGCCAGAGATAGCCCAGATCCAGTCGAACAAGGTTTGCGACAAGTACTCCAAGAGCCCGCATCAGCGCTTAGAAGTGCTTCGAACGATATGGCAGACTCCGGAGCGCCACTGCCTCAGAGTGCTGCTTCACTTGAAAGCAATGTTACCGCCCCAGCCCCTGTCTTCGGTGGAGCACCACCGAACACTCCTCGACGCCACCGCCGCAGAATGTCTCGACCTACTATGCCTCGTGTCGCATGCACCGCATGTATGGAAGTCTTCAAACTCGACGATTTGCTCAATCTTGCGTGCTCATGCCGCTATTGTACGCCATGTCTCAATGCAGCATTCCAAGCTGGCTGTACCAGCAAGGCCGCATTCCCGCCCAAATGTTGTGGCCGGCCTTTGCGCATCTCTGTCTGGGGTAGCATGTTGGATGCAGATATCCTCCAGCGTTACAAGCAAATTGAGGCCGAGTTCAGCACCTCTCGCCCCCTTTACTGCGCCATTCCCACCTGCTCCACGTTCATTCCCGAAGACCAACAACATGCTCTGGATGAGTGTGGGGTATGTTCCATATGCGATCAGATCACCTGCAAGAAATGCCGACAAGATATGGGAGATCATCCACATTGGCCCGTTGCACGACGAATCTGCCCGGCCGAGAACGCTGAAGTCGCCGCATTGTTCGCCCTGGGCACCGCGAAGAAATGGAGACAATGTCCAACCTGCCTGAACATGGTGGAACGCCTAGAAGGTTGCAATCATATGGATTGTATCTGCGGCGTAGAATTCTGCTATCGCTGTGGAAATCTCTTTGATGAAGATGACAACTGCGCCTGCCATCCCAGCTCCTGGGAGGATGACGACGACGATGACGAGGAGGAGGAGGGGGTTGACGAGTCTGGAGAAGAAGCTCCTGCAGAGAACGAAGAAGAAGCCGACGAGAGTGAGGAGGACGGGTGGCCCCATGTCCGCCTTGCGGTTGATGCATCCGGTAGACCAACTTGTCAACATCTGAACACGGATCCTCTGGGGGACGAGCTTCTTCCTTGCCATGGTTGTCTCGCAAACCGAGTTTTGCAGAGTTGCAATGACTGCGGTCTGGAGCTCTGCCGAAACTGCTTGGAAAACGTTCGCAACCGCGTACGCCGTCGTCGTGGCGGTAACTGAACGCACTCCGAGCAAGTGTTCATGTGCCAGTGAGAACGGAACGCTCAGAAAAGCACATCGACATGGACACGAACTGCGAACCACAGTACTCTGGCGACGGAAACGAACCTCTCCTGTCGACTCAAACTTCGGTACTTGTTGTTTGCAGACATCTAACGGTTTCTACGACATTGGCACGACACCCTTGACCAGCACGACATTCAATGCTGCCCGCTCATATCTCAGCGAGGCCCTGGCACTTCTTGTATGAGTTGAACAACAAACATCAACCCCTTGCTTACACAGCCCCTCGCGAAATCCTTGCACCTTGTTCGAGTTGGATGAGAATCACAACAGGAAACCTTCCCCACGAGCTTTCACAATCAACGAACATCGCTGATACACAACGCGGCTGAGCACATGACTGCGCTTCCGTTGCGAAGAGGGAACGGAGCTACGCAACAGCAGCAAGACAACCAGGTTTCATGATGGAACCCAACTACTCGACATACCAGACGAGTTTTACGGTGGCACACAGCACAGAGCTAGCATGAGATCTGTAGAAGTAGACCCAGAAAATCGAGGCTTGCCTACCAAAAATGTTCCCATCTCCATATGATCGCTTATGTCAGCCGGTGAAACCCGAGCACTTAGTATTGTAGGTTCCTGGACAGCTCCTGAATTGCTAATGACCACAATGACCACAACCATGCAGGAAGACTGTAGCCAGTGATCACGAGTGAGTAGTCCCTCCGGTAAGGTATTATGTATCTGAAGCTGCGCAGCTACCCGGATGCGGAAGATGGAGATACGGTATAGTGAGGTGTAATTCACACTTAATCGCATAGGCATACGGTATGATATCTTTCCAGTCTGGCTAGACGCCGAAATACCTATCTACCTACCAAGGTGGCAGCTAGGTAGGTATCCCATCCATGTTTTCATGGCATCATCAAGATTCGAAAATCACGACTCGGAATCCGCGACCTTCAGAATACTCTTGCCCAAGTTCTCGCCCTTCAACATGCCCAAGAACCCTTCGACAGCATGATCCATGCCGTGCGTGACATAGTCGACGGACTTGAAGCTGCCGTCGGCGATCCACTGGGCGACCTTCTCGTCACGCTCCTTCTTCCATCGGATGATGGTGGGGTCGTAGACGATGAAGCCTTGCCAGCGCAGCCGTTTGCGCACGACGGCGCTGTAGTTCTGCACTCCGTAGCGGGTAGAGTTGCTGCCGTCGTTGTAGGTGGAGATGGTGCCGCAGGCGACGATGCGGCCGAAGTCTTTCATATTGGCCAGGGCGACGTCGAGAAGCTCGCCGCCAACGTTGTCGTAACTATTCAAGACCACAAAGAAGGTTAGAGATGAGGTCGGTATTCAAACATCAAAGTTCATGGTGAGTTGCGATCAGCTGTTTGGCGCCCATGGTGGTCGCGGAGCACGGGTAATTTACTAGTAATGTGAGGGTAAATGGGCACAGGAAGGTTGACGTACTAGATATCAATGCCATCTGGAGCCAGTCTTTTCACAGCATCGCTGATGTTTTCCTTTTTATAGTTGAAGCCAGAGCTGAAGCCGAGTTCGTTGATGATGAAGTCGAGCTTCTTGTCGTCGCCGACTGAACCGATGACCTGAACAACAATCAGCAAGTCAAAGTCGGTCCTTATAGGAGGAACAGAGGTGGCTCGTGAAGCTGTCAATCCTCTCCATGCCGGCAGCGCATAATTGTTTGTTTTCGTACTTACGTGTAAACCCTCCTGCCTGGCTATCTGTCCAACTGCCTGGCCAACAGCGCCAGCGGCAGCCGAGACCAAGATGACATCGCCGCGCTTGGGTTGGCCGATTTCATGCAAGGAGCCGTAGGCAGTCATGCCCGTCATGCCCATCAAGCCCAGGTAGGCGGTCAAAGGGACGCCCGGTTTGGGTTCGATGACCTGAGTGGATTTGACCGCGGACTCCGGCACGGCCGAATACTCCTCGGTGTAGTGGCTCATCATGAGGACCGTGGAGCCCTCTTTGATCTTCGGGGTGTCGCTCTTCAGCACTTTGCCGAGGACGTGGACGCTGACCACAGGCTTGCCAACGGCCATGGCTGGACTGTATGATTTGACTGTCTCGTGACGCATCCTACCGCGCTGGCTAGGGTCGTAGGTTGCATACAGGTTCTTGGTCGTGAAGCCGCCTTTGGGGGGCGGCGCTGCCTCGTCGAATCCAATGTCTTCCACTGTCAGATCTTTGCCGGGGACCGGCCAGCCGTCCGGGACGGACTTGTACATGAACACCTTGTTCTGGACCATTTTGAGCAGTGTGAGTGGGATGTGACTGACAGGGATGATGGGAAGGAAGATAGAACGGCTGTGCAATCGAGGTGTCGAGTAGGGAGACAACCACTCTTCATATATATATCAGGTATGGATACCGATGGCTCGGTGGAGGTAGCCAGATTGTCACAATATAGTGGCAGTAGGCCAAGGGATCCTCCAATCATGCCACACGGTTATTGTCAGGACGTTTAGACCTCGGCCTGTGCCTTTTTACGAGATATGTTTGGCGTCTGGTTATTAGTAATTATACACAAGCCTATACACTTATCCAAGGGGCCTCTGTATAATTAGTAATCAGTAGAGGCATGGCTGTTTTCATGAAAGCGGGCACGATTATACCTGGAGAACCAGAAGTCCTATGAATACTGGTTGATGGCTCATGAGAGCTTAAGGTCTAACTTTCGAGGTTTCAAGTCTTGGATCTCACAAAGGGGAAAACAAACAAAAGTGAGTGAGTAGGTGTCTTATCTGGTTATCGATAAGCTATATAAGGTATATGTTCTCTTATCTGTCTGCGCCTGCGCCTGCGCCTCCACGCACTCTGAATTTGTGCTGGCTTTACATGATAGGCATCTAGAGATACTACCTCAGGTACCTATCATTAGGTATCATTAGGCACCATTAGATATGCCTCTATCAGCACTGCAATGGGCTGGCTGAGGCCACTCACTTCCCCTATCGCCTTCACCAGCCAAACTGGTCTGAACCAACGCCATTGTCACTCACCGCCATGGATCTAATTCAATTTAATTCACTTCAATTCACTTCACTTCGGCTGTTTACGACACGACACATATCTGAAACAAAGCTCGCGATCATCTCAAACAACCTCTGGTCTGTCTCTGTTCTTCTGTTATTGTCATCTACAAGTCATCAGCGGTGCTCGACCATTATCCTGGCCTCTCTTCCTTCCTGTCTCTGCATTGTCTCGCCGTGCCGCTCTGCCTCGTCGATGTAAATTCTGCTGGCAGTATCCTGCAACCTGGGAGCCATTGGGCATCTCAGCCTTGCTTTAAGTAACCTCCTTATCTCGGCGTCAAGCCCGTTCTTCCTTGTCCACAACCTCCAGCAATAGCTATTGTCCTTGCGGCGCCGAGCTCCAGACTCAAAATACACACAATCTGCGCACATTAACATCATTATCGTCCTCCTGACGCCGCCATGGCCGTGCTTCCTAACCCACATGAGCTTCTTCAACGGCTTCAGGATTATCGAGCATTTGACGAAGCTCGTCAGTCAGAGTTCGAGTTTCTAGCCCAGACCTGTCTTCGCTTGAACACCGAGAGACTTACCCTCCAGAGCGACCTAGATGACGAACGCAATACCAGACGGACCTGGAAGAAACGGGCGGAAGAAGCCGAAGCAGCTGTGCAACGCAAGTTTGTCGTGGTCCTCGTTGACGCCGACGGCTACATCTTTCGAAAGGCCTACTTCCAAGCTCTGGCCGCGTCGGGAGGCTCCAAGGCTGCGAACGAGCTCTACACCGAGGTGGTCAATAATCTGAGATCCGCTGAGGCTGTACCAGCTATCAACCCAGACTGTGATGTCTTGGTTAATATCTACGCCAACAAGTCTGGCTTAGCAAGAACCCTGGCCGCCGCCGACTACCTTAACCATCCTTCTCAGATCGATCAGTTCTTCTCTTCCTTCACCCAGAGCCGCAGTCTCTTCCAGTTCATCGACTGTGGTCCGGGAAAAGAGAGGGTGGATGCTAAACTACGAGGTTTGTTGTTCTTCCTCCTTGACTCAATTGCAGACAAGTCGTCTGGCTAACTTTAGGAATCAGACACCTTTCGCTTCTACGCCTATAACGCCCAATGCCAGCGTGTCTATCTGGCCTGTTGCCACGATAACGGGTATATCGCCGAGCTAGACAAGTATCGTCACGACGCCATCGTCATGCCCAAGGTCATGTTGGTCCAAGCAGCCCAGACTGCACCGGCCATCCGAGCCTATGCTGGCCTTCCCTTCCAAAGCACCAGATTCGATAGCGTCTTTGAGACCTCGCCTTTAGACATTACTGCCCGAGCTGAAGCGTCGTACGGCCCCCCCGGACTCGACGCACTAACTCTGGATTCGTCTCCAGAGCACACCACAAACGATTGGACACCCAGTGCAAGCAGATCCAGCTATTCGTCCGTTTCGGCAGCGCCGCCCGGATTGACACCACTAATGCCGTTGTCTACGAACAGCAAGCCTGCGAACCAGGTCAAATCACCCACCCCGCCAGCCGAGACGGCCACAGTAGCCAAGACATCTGTCCAGCCGCCTCCCCAACCCCAGCCTCAACCGCTGGCTCAGACCCAGGCTCCCAACGGTGGAGGGGAAGCCAAATCGGGAATCCCAATCAACCGTTTCGGCCAGCGAATCGATCTGAAGATGAGAATGCCCACCACCTCGGAAATGGAGAGGTTCGAGGAGCGAATCAGTCAACGCCGTAAGCTCTGTAATGAGCACCACCTCCGCGACAACTGTGAATCCTACAACTGCAGATACGACCACGACCCGATCGATGCAGCCATGAGGAACACTCTTCGGTCCAAAGCAAGAAGCATCCCGTGTGGCCAGGGCTCAAAGTGTCGTCGCCAGGATTGTTTCTATGGTCATGTCTGTCCCTGGGGCAATACCAACTGTGTCAATCTGAAATGTGCTTTCCTCAAGGCGGGCTTGCATGATATACGAGATTTGGAGATCGCCAAGTTTGTTCCAGCTCAACCGGGCCCATGAAAGATGGAAGAGATGAGATAACATGTCAGTGGGTGTGAAAGCAGCTTGGTGTGGGATTAGAATTCGGGGGTTCTATATTTTTCATTGTGTCACTTCAGCGAGATAGTCGTGATCAAGTCACCAACTTTACCGAATGATACATGCGATTTGTGAATCTTTTCCTGTTGCTTTCTGGACGTCGGGCTTAGAAGAGCTCACTACGTCCTGAAGACAGTCTACATTGCCGGGACATTTGTCAGTGCCATTGGGTCCAGATTGTTTCCAGCACAAGCCCTCCTCCCGGAGTATGTGGAGGTCTTCTTTGACTTTTACACAAAGTGCCAAATTACATAATCTTGTCTGACGTCGTAAGAGTTCCGGAGTGCATGGGAGGGACTTTCTGAGACTGAAGCAGGCTACACTTCACAATGGAGGACCCTCATGTCGGTCAATTAAGATCCTTCCTTGATCTTGAATGAAATGTCCATTGGTTGAGAAGTATAATCGATCCCATACGTTGGTGTCAACAGCTGCTTCAAACTGGACGTCTCCAGAAGATCATGGCGATTGACTCTCAGGACGAAAAGCAGGACCTGAAAGATGCATTTTACGTGGTATGCAGTGAGTGACTGCGTAGATGAGATCCAAGCCTGGTACCCAAGGAAGAGAAACTTCCCAAGCACGTCAAGATCATCTGCCAATTGAAATATATACCTATGATGGCGGTGCCGGTCCGTGGCAGATCGTTGGATACGAACCCACTCACCAGACCCAGACTCACTGACCAAATGCAATCGCAGTATTCTGATGGCAATATCAGAAGGAATAACCCGCAGAAAGAGCAAACTGTACAATCATCATCCGTCGTAGCCTCCGTGGGCATTGCCAGAACAAGTTGGCATTTCATGCAAAACGCATATCCTGGGTTCAGATCAGGTGGAAAAGGAAAAAAGAGCAAAATATGCCGAAAACGTGTCAACGCCAAACAAAAGAAACGGATTAGGACCCGCGGTCCTTCAACTCGACACCGCGGCTGAAGGTTTGCTCTTCTCGGCCAGCCTGAAGGCTTCTTCCAATTCGTCATCACTTGTATCAGACAACTCGTCCAGCATCCGGTCGATGAGAGCAGATTTGTCGAACCCCATCTGATGGAGGAGGGGGTGATCGGTCGAAGAGGATTCCTCTGCATCTGAGAAAGCCACTCTCTTGGGAGATGTCAAGATGGATGTCTGACTGAGCTGACTGCGAAGCGGTGAAGTCAGTGTTGAGGTTGAAGGTGCCGCTGTTGTTCGAATAGCGGATTCCTGAGACGCATGTGAGGCCGGGTTGTATCCCGAGTTGTTCGGGCTGGCCATGAACAGAAGTGTCTCGACGGCATCGGCTTCCATGGCTGCGTTCTGGCTGGGCGTCCTTTGGCTGGTGTGCGGCCGTGAAGCATGTAAACTGCTGCTGGTGTCTTTGGCATGCGACCGCACTTGAGAGGCATGATGATACCCCGTATTTGGGGTGGGTCGACGGCGTGATGTGGATGCTGATCCGGGCATGATATCCACCGGAGGTGCGAGAGAGCGGTGGCGTGTCGCAGTCGATGGACTGCCAGCCGCATTGGCCATTATCAGGCCGCGGGCTTCCAGAGCCACGTTGCTGTCGGAGGAATCGCTTTCACTGGACTCACGTTGATATTGTTTTCGCGACATCATGGCCGTCTTCGGGGAGAGTATAGTATATGGGTCGTTGTTGGGTTGGTGGAACCCCGACACGGTCGACCTAGGTGACTGAGACGCCAGAGACTCGACCTCATCCAAAGACCGGGACTGCCAGCCATTCTGGACTTTGATCATGGCGTATTTGAGTTTGGTGCGCAACTGCTGGGAGAGCTGAGACACTATTAGTTCCAACAATACCACAAGAGACAGTACTCGGCAGGAGACGGAATGTACGCACCTCGAGCACATGTGCATTCGGTCCATTGGAGGTCATACTCGACGTTCGAGAGTGGGTCGTGGCATCCATAGATTTCGTTATCACATCTCCTATGCCGTTCACACTGGCTCTCTTGACCTGGCCACTCGCTGTACGTTTGGTGCCTGAAAGAGATTCCGGCGGTGGGCTCTGGGAGGTCGAGCCAGACCGTTGTCCTTGCACGGTCGGCTTCCCACTCGAATCTCCAGCATTTTGTTTGTTCTCTCCCTTCGTAGGCGACCAACCCTCCCGGGTTTCTTCCTGGCTGGACATGGCAGAGGTAGGCGGTGTCGAGTCATCTTGTGCAACTGCAGGATTAGTGGCGTCGGATGCATCACTCGTGGATATATTCAGACTAGCAGGCCGGGCAGTAGATTGCTGCAGAGGCGTGTCTTGAGAATTGCGTCGGGGAGGAAGTGCTGGTGCGGCAGCCAGGCAGGCCGCAGGTGTCGGTGTCATTGCTAGTGGATCCGGCATGGTTGACGCATGCGTCGTGGCATGGTGCATCTCGGTGTCTATGGGTTGGACGAGCTCGGTCATGCGCGTTGCACACTGCTGCTGCATGTATAGAAGAATATCGATGGATGGGAGTGCTCGAGAAGGACGAGGGCGAAGAGGGGATAAGGAACAAGTTGAAACAGTCCGGACCTCTCGACAAGATCAACAGGGCGTCGTCGCGTGCGAACAGGTCGTGTGGTCGTGGTCGTCGTAGTGGAGTTGTGACTACTGTAAACCCGGTGATTGAATGGTGGGGCGATACGACTGGGACTTGATGAGGCCCCGGGGCAACAAGAATGGATGGCGTCCGACGCGTAGGGCAGGCGCGTTAGCTGCGGCAGGGAAGGATGGCACAAAGGATATTGTGATGGAGTAGGTGATTGTATATACAAGAGTCGTGGGTTACTTGTCAGGTAGGTAGGTATGAAAACTGGAAGTTGTAGTTGTAGTTGCAGTCAGTACTGCAACATCACAAATCGGATTTGTAGAAGCCTGCAGAGAGATCCTTAGGAGGGAGACGCGGCGCGGCGCGGTGATCGCAACTGCAACTGCAACTGCTGCTGCTGCACGCGCCGCCTGCGCTGCGCTGTTATCCATCAATCAGTCTCTCCGTCCACGACTCAGCCATCCATCCATCCTCCCATCCAACAGTTCATCCATCACTTATCGCCATCGGGATTTTGCACTTTCAGAACTTTCATCATCACCATCATCTCTGCCTTTAGCGAACTAATCACAGATCACAACTCGAGCGAGACTGCCTAGCGCAAGGATAGATCTGCCGGCCATTACGACTTTTCCATGCTCTCTGTCACTCTCCATACACGATCGATTCTGGGGTATCATCATGCTATCTTAATCACATAGACAAGATCCGACTCATGGCCAAATCTAGTCACGAAGCGAGGCCTGATGCATCCTCAGCATCATCGTTTCGAGCGCTTACCTCCGCCGCCGCCGTCCTCTGCAGTCTTGCGTTTCCGTCCTTCTCGTCTCCAGTACTCATCCCGCTCCCTCTTCTCCCGCTCTTGTTTCTTCTCAAGATTCTCGGCCACCTTTTTCCGGTATACAGCACGCCTTTCCTCCTGTTTCTTCGCCCGCTTCTCCGCTTTCTCGTTCCTCAGCGTTTGTAGCTTCTGCATCAAGTCTCGAGCCTTCTTCTCCTCGCCGCCTAGCACAACTGCGCGTTTCTGAAGATAGGTCGGGGCTTTCCGCGCTTTCTGCTGGGTAATCTGTGATTTAAACGGGAGTTCCGCCGCAAGAGCTCGAGGAACTTTGAGCGGGTTGAAATGTCGCGTAGGCCGTTCAATCTTGGTGTATGCTGAATCTTTGGCCAGCGGGGTAGGTATGCCCATGGCAGCTCGGACAGCACCAGTCAGACGCATGGCCTGCCAACCACCCGAACCATCATCAACCCGTTGTATTTCACCGTCCGTGGCCTCCCCTGTACCGCTCGGTGGCGCATCCAGCAGATTGGTCACAGGATTGTAAAAGCGATGCGGTTTGACAGGGTACCAGGCCCGCAGGAAGACAATGTCGGACATGAGGATCTTGTCCTCGAATGTTGCACGGAAGTGTCCTTCAGGTTTGCTCAAGGCCCGCTTGATCTGCCCGCGAATTCCAGACACTGTTCGTATGCTGGCACCTTCGAATTTGGCCACCTCGATTGCTGAGCTGAACATGTCCCGAATAAACGCGGTGTTGCGGAAGATCTTGTAAGGATGTCCAGTCAATTTGAGCTTCTTGACAATTTCGGTCGTCTCGTCCACGTTGATTACCACTCCTGTAGCGGCGATTCGAAATCCAGGATTGGCGTTGGAAAAGGATTGTACACAGCAAAATCCGGTGTTGGGAGCCACGAGTGGCCCATAGAACGTCCCAAAGCAATGCATGTGTTCCGGAGTGTATTTCAACATCCGGTTGCGGGTGCGCGAGTCGGATATCGAGTACAACGGCATCGTTTGGAACCGTCGCCAACCCAGAGAGAAAATCAAAGGGTCGTTCGTTTTGAGGATCTTTTTGTGCCATCGATGTCGCTTGATCCGGACCTGGACAAATCCAAAGCGATCCTCTGTCGGAGCCAGACCACCAATAATGACAGGCATTTTTGGATTGAACGATCGCACGAATTCGTAGGGGACCTTGTCCAACACAATCCTGGCATATGTGCCTGCTTTGAATCCTTCTGCACGGGCTCGTGACACCGGATCCAGACTGTCAAATTCTGCCCGGTTGATGTCGAGCTGCTTTTGAAGCATAGCCTTCTGAGCGTCATACCAGTCGTCTTCGCCGAATTCCTGCTCTGTAGACTTGATCTCGCTCTTCGCATTAGCAAATCCTTCCCGATCTTCTTCCTCGAACCGCAGTCTTAACTCTTCTTTCCGCTTGGCATTCCTTGCTCGCTCCTCATCAAGGGTCAGTTCCGGCTGTGCGTCCGCTTTCTCAGGCGCTGCGGCTTCAAGATCTTCGAAATCTCCATCTCCTTCGTCTGAATCATCCCGGTCGCTTACTTCTTCATCGTCGTCTTCTTCATCTGTGTCTGCATTCGCCCCACTTGCGAAAGAGGCTCTGGTGAAGCGAGACATAATAGTCTGGACGTATTCGTCGTCCTCCCACTTCTCAGCCAGACGATTGTAGTCGTAGACAGGAGTCTGTCGGTCCTCGAGATCTGCTTCTTGCTCGGTCTTGGCTCGCTTGAAGAAGGTATCCTCGTCCCCGTCCTCGTTCTCTGCCTCTTCTTTGTTGCCGTTGCCCTGACCAGAGTCGTCACCTCGCCACTTCGCAATGACTTGCGACGGTGCTAGGGATAGATCGTACATAAACCGGGACAGGTCCGCCGCACGATAAGCCACTTTGTTAGCATGCAGCTTCTTGGCGTTCTCGGCGAGGTTCTCTTTCCAGCGCAGCGCGCCGTCGTCTTCTTCTTCATCATCGTCGTCGATGTCGTCATCATCCTCGTCCGCGGATAGATCATCTTCACCATTTTCTTCACCAGAAATGGATCCCAAATCCGAATCACTGTCAGCAAAAGCCAAATCGCCGTCGGCTTCCTGAGCGTCGATGTCTTCCTCCTCTGCAACACCGGATCGACCGGTATGCTCCGGAGCTTCAGTGATCTCGTCTTCTCCCTCCTCACCTTCGGAATCGGTCTCTCCGCTGACGAATCCTTCATCCTCCTCCTCCTCTAGACGCTTGGCAAAATCGCCATTCGAATGGAAGGAGCGGATGCCTCGCTTGACAGTACGGCCCATATCTTCCTCGGCGTTGTCTACTCCGGTGAGTTGACGACCACCCTGGAAGAGCCGGACCCCATCATCAACCTCTCCCAGCAACCTGCGTTCACTTTGTAGATTCATGACGAGCTGTTCTCCAAGACCACGCTCCTCCGCGTCGCCCGCCTCACGATCGAAAGTGTTGGTCTTGACTTCGATATAGACGGCATCCTTGTCGACCAGGACTCCGCCGACGTCGGACATGGGGGCAAACAACACCTTTTGCTTCTCCTCCAATTTCCGCCGCTTAGACTTTCCGGTGGCTTTGGCGATGGCTTGGTCGATAAACGGCGTAGGACATGGATCGGGCAAGGACTCGATCTCCTTCACGGTCAAGTCTCCGACTCCAGGAACGTGGACTCTCGCTTGTTCCGCCGGGAAATTGGTGCCTCGAAGATATCCGTACAAGGCGACCTGTCTATCACACTTTTCATTCTTTTCGATCTCGGTTGGGGGCGTAACGTCAAGGAAACGGTCTGCCAGGCAATAAGGATGGCTGTTCCTCCAGACCAAGGGTCTCGGGTTCTTCATGACGGAAAGGAAGCGTGACAAGTTATGCACCTCACGGTCCGGGTATCTGCCATTGATCACGCCGGAGAGGTAGAACAGTTTTGCACCTTGATACAGCTCGGACCAGAACCTGTGTTTTAACCTCTTTTTGGCCATGCGTAGTGTACTCTGCTTCTTGAACAGGTCCAGGTGTGTGAGAATGCCGAAGACGTTTCCCGGCATACCGGACACACTGAGTGCATTCAGGAATTCCATCGTCTCCATCTCAAATCCATAGTTCCCATCAATCATGAGCAGCACAATATCGGCGATTTTTGCAACGTCGATCATAGCGGCGAGGGAGTCGGAGGGACATTCGAAGAAGGTTAGGCGACGTCGTTTCGAGGTCACGACCGTAAGGGGCCCAGTGGGATGTGATAGTGTCTGTTTGGTGTATCGTTTGATGAGACTCTTGATGAGTGTTGTTTTCCCAACACCAGGAGGGCCGACCACGGCGACGACAATGGGAGGTGCTTCTTCAGGGAGTCGGTCGACCTGAGGCACATGCAGTCTCTTCTCTTTGATGTCGCTGGTCCGCACGGCCTGCTTTGCAAGTCGGCCAGGATTGGCGACCGCAAAGGCCTTGACATTTTTCTCGCCTCTCTGCGGTTTCTTCTTCTCCTTCGGGGCCCGGTGAGGCCTGTTCGACTGTGTCTCCATAATTTACACAGTCAAACAACAACACTACTCCTGAAGGTGTCGTGTGGAAAATGTTGGTGGTGCAGGCTGCGTTCGGAGAGAAAAAGTTCATAATGTTAACTGGCTGTGGCGGAGAATGCAAGGGTCCTGGATTATTTTTTGATTCGGGGAACGATACGCCGCCGCTTTATTCTTACATCCGGACAATTAGCGGAGGAGAGGGCGTATTGCAAGAGTTTTCATTGCCGGAGTTGCTACCGTTTCTCGGCCCCGCATTGATCAGTTGAGATTAGCCAATAATATCGTCAACAGTTCTCAAAAGCAGCGCGCGAACCATTAGAGCGTGTTCGTGGTGGCTTTACCACATATCATGCTTTTCTATGCCCCGCGGTCAAGGTGCCTTATCGCTTCTGCTGGACTGTCGTCTCTCTGAAATGTGGACTATGCCGCCGGATGAATAGGGCAGCACAGATCATACACCTCGGTGGTAGGTCTGGGAAGTATACATGGCTAGAACGTGTCAGACTACATACAGTATGGCTAGCCTCCGCTCCGGCTTCTCCTGCCCTGATATCCTGTCCACCCCAACCCCAAGGGTGGGGCGAACGAGGCTGTAGCCAGCCAGCCACTACTGGAGTGGCCGGCCGGTCAACAGCCATGCTATAACAGTGGACAACATCAGCACACCGCCCGCGAAGTGCGGGTGACTTCGCGCCTGAGGCGACCAACCCAGTTGCCGACAGGACTCAATACACACCATTCAAGCGCGCAAGCCTGTCACTGAAGGCGGTCTGGCTAACGGTCAGAAGCACCGCTTGGCCCCAGGTCCAGGCACCGACCGTAGCGAAGGAGTCCGCTGCGGCATACGGGAAACATGAGTGGCGACAAAGCAATGCAAGCCATCAGCGCACCGGTTTAGCCCAGATAGGGAAGCCTGCCACTGGACATGAGAAATACCTCCGTATGGTATGTGGACTTGTTCCGACGTCTATCGTTGTCCGGAGCGAAGCTGAAGTGGTGGCCATAGCAGCCAAGGAGTGATTGCGGACCAGGCTGCCAATTTCAGTACCCCTTCCTGCAAACGATCGGGGACGGCCTCAGGGTTTGTGGAGGAGACGAGAGTCCGGGTTTCTTGCAGCTATGTCTGCATCCCTTGTACTTCTTCTGTTCCTGGCTTTGGCACACATCACCTTGGCTTGGTGTGTTGACCTGCCATCAGCTTCGTCCAGCATTGCTCTCAGGGACAGACGTAGCTCGAAGACAGATCTACCATCAACCAAAGTAAGTAGGCTTGGAACCATATAGGCCGTACATCGTAAATAGAGCCTTGTTAGAATTGGTGTATTGTCGATTGCATTCTCCAGGCACGGAGTTGGCCTTTGAACCGGGATAGAAGCGCTTGGTTGGTCGCGGAGTCTAAATGCAGCTCTTCGACTGCTTATGAACATTGTGTCTCTTGCTTAGCCCAGGCAATGCAATCCTGCCATTCTGGTGGCAAGGCCTGGCAGACAGCGTCAACTGTCTCTTTTCCCCATCCTTTCATCCAGACATTGTGTCTCAACCAGAACAAAACGACAGCATAGTTGGCTAGAATAGCAAGAGCCAAAGGCTCCCCCGCCGCTACCATTGCCAAATACTCGGCAGCGGTCAAGATAGGAAACAAAGTCACTGTCAATTGCACGCGCGGACATGTGATCCAGATGGCCAGGATGAAACGCAGCGCTTCAATGGCCGACGTATACACAGGGAGCTGGCTAGTCGAGCAGAACGTTGTCGAGGCGCGTTGCAGCAGCTTGGAGAGCATGTCTTCCATATCTTGGGGAAGAACGTCTGAGGATGGGCAACCGGCGGGTAGCAACAACATGGACCAACGACTCCGGCGAGCTGCCTCGAGGTTCGTCTTAATAAGGTGTGATGTGCCGCGAATTAGGGTCAAGACTTGATGAATGTTCGCGATCGTGTTGTTGCCGGGCTTCGATGATCGCTGGATGCCGAAAGAATACAGCGAAACAAGCCAGGAAAAGGCAAAGACAGCGTCGAAATTGCCCATGGGAGTCTTGTCAATGTAGGGCAGAAACAATGTGACGCCAAGGCGATGGTGGCGGATTGCAGCGACTGTGTTCTTCTGTGTCGAGACGCCGCAGAGTTCGAGATGGAGCGCGCTTAAACTCAACAGACCGTGCAGGAGGAAGTCGTTCTCGAAGGCCAGCCCGGTAACCCATTGGCTCCAAATAGACAGATCCCCATCACGGGGTACCGTGACTTGCGTGATGCTTCCCGCAGTGTGCAGTGTGTAGTGGCTCATCAGCTGTAGTCGTTCTCGCTCAAGATCTGTGAAGTTGATTTCGACTATTGTTTGCTTGGTGCTGCCAGGGAATTGAGACGTGGGGCTTTCAAGACTTTCCCTGGCGTCAAAGCTATAATTCGAATACGGAGCAACTAAAGTGATGTTGCTGTCAGGAGACCCGGTCGAAGCCTGTCTTTTCTGGTGGGTTTGACCTTTGGCAGGGATTAGTATCAAGCCGGAGGTGGGATCGGTGAGCGAGCAATCTATTCCTGTGCGTTGACATCTCCCGCACTTTGGTCTTAACTCGTCACACTGGGCTGGTCAACTCATGTATGGTCGGAGAAGGGATACAAACATACCTTTGTCCGATTCTTCTTGCATTGCGCACAACCATAGCGGCTTTTTGTGTGAAATCGTCGATGAGACATGTTCTTCCAACTTCTCATGATGTTGAGACTCTAGAAGGGGGCCGTGACTGGGCTGAGCTCGAGCCGAGCTCAAAAGGCGAGACTGTCGTCAGTCATCAGCCCTCCTTCGGCAATACACCTTGTGCTGGCCGAGCTGAATGATGACATGGACGTCAATTCTGTAAGATGCAAAAGGGACGCTGTGGACGTAGATGGGGTCGCTTCCGTTGATAGGCAGACAAGACTAACCCGAATGTGGCAAGTTATACGCTGTGCGGTCTATACGAAAGAAGGCAAGTGTGGTTCCACTCACTGGCCGCTTTCCACCGAGTTGTAGCAGTTGATGGCTGTTGTCTTCCACACGATGGCTTGCCCTAGTTGGCCTGATCAGACCAGATCGATGATATTCCGCACTGACAAGCAACAAGGGGTTATCATGACGACGTCGAGCTTGATGGACCCGTCCCGGTCCTCCTACTTGCACGCATATAAGGCCTTCATGGGAGCCTGCTGCTATTCTCGACTCTCGCCACCCACCTCCGAGATCGATATCTCTTTTCAACAATGGTCAAGATAGACACGGTCCGCGCTCTGAACGCCGCTCTTGTTCGGAAGCAACCTTTGGTTGCAGTCTTTTTCGGTGGTACCGGAGGCATTGGACATTATACTCTACGCGCGTTGGCCACAGCCGAGGCCAATGGCGGCAAAGGGTTTCGTGCGTATATTGTGGGGAGGAATGCAAAGGCAGCCGAAGAGATCATTGCCGAGTGTCGTGGCATCAATGCCACGGGCCAATTCAAGTATATCAAGGCTGAAGACCTCTCCTTGATCCATGAGGTCGATCGAATCTGCGCGGATATCATTCAGATGGAGGAAAAGGAGGGCCAGGACGCGAGAATTGACTATTTGATGGTGTCCCAAGGAGGGTCCATCTTCCTTCCACGCAAGGGTATGTCTGTGAAACCGTGATCGTATTTGCGGGCACGCTTCTGACCGCGATATAGACACGAAGGAGGGAATTGATTTCACAATGGCCTTGATGTACTACTCACGCATGAGAGCGATCCTGAAGCTGCTTCCTTTGCTGCTCAAGTCGACGCTTCCTGCGAGAGTGATCTCCGTTTATGCGGCCGGGATTGAAGCAAAGTTGTATCCGGATGACTTATCGCTTCGTGATCTCAGTCACTATAGTTACTCGCAAGCCAGATCACATATGGTATATATGCACACCTTGTTCATGGAGACTCTGGAAGAACAGTATCGTGGCAAGCTGGTCCTGGTCCATATTTTCCCTGGTCTTGTGCCGGGACCCGGCTTTTCAAATCCTGAACTGCCTAAATGGTTCAGAGTGGTGTGGCGTTGGGTTTTCATCCCCATTTTTGGTCGATTGGCTACCGTTCCTCCCAATGATTGTGGTGCTAGGATGCTGTCTCTTGCCTCTCCACGCTACCCACCACGGGCCATTGACGGAGGAGCCAAGAGCGAGGGCGAAGTTGCGACGGGAACCGATGGTACACCTGGTAGTGGCGTTTATTCACTCTTCTGGGACGGAGAGAGCAACCGCAACCAAAAGGCCTATGCAAAGATCAACAAGGATGAGATGAAGAAGAAGGTCTGGGAACATACCATGAAGGCCTTCGAAGTCATTGAAGCTGGAGGGGTCTTCACCGAGTGAGAATTTCAGCGGATATCGCAAAGAGGTATACTGGGCAGGGTTTCGTGTTCTGCGTCTGTCTCGGGTGGTTGAACCATATATGCCGTGTATGACTTGGCACCGAGGTCATTGAGGCCGGCCTGGGGCTCTCATGCATGGTATTACTCCAAACACTTTTTGAAGTTGACATTACTATGATGACAACCCGCTTAGTTACGTACACCGTGCCATACACGTATCTTTGCGTGCCATGCCTTTTGGCCCGCCTTGGCAGGGTCACCGTTGCCGGTGGGAGGTTGAGGATTTCCGTTTTCGTCAAAAACGGCCCCACCGTTAGTTGTTCCGTCGACAACATCCTGGGTGCGGTCGAGACTGGAGGGAAGCAGGATTAAGGCAAATGCAATTACCAGTAGTAGCATCCCAACGAGATAGAAATCGTCACGGAGTCTTCGAAAATAGCAAACCGTTCATGGAGGCTCCGCGTTGTGCATGCATGGTGCCTGGATGGATGGGTGGCTCACTTGGGCTCCGATCGGCTGACTGCGAAGGACAGCTCGCCAGCCCCTTTGTCCTGAAGGCCAGAATAGAAAAGTGTGATGATGATGGAAGATACAAATGCAGGCGCTACGTTTGCTCGTGTTGCCTGGTTTGCTCTGTTTGTTCTCTCGCTCCGAGCCTGCGGCATATCTTGTTTCTTAGTTCCAAACATGCAACGCTTCAACCATCCGACCTGAGACAGAGCGACATACTCACATTCGTTTCACGTATACCTTGAGTCTATCCTTGCTCTTCACAATGTCCTCGCGGCTGCAGTAGATCTCCGGTTCAGGAGCTCTCATGCCGCCAACTCCCTGAACTAGGCAGATCATTGTCGGACCGCAAGGAGTTGAGGAATAAGATCACCCCAAGAGTGAATGTTGAAGGCATGACGCAGGAACCGACTATATATATGATTGCTCTCCCAATGTCTTTACTACTTGTAGTCGGGCAAGAGCCATCTTGTTGACCAATAACCTTCACATACAATTCCCAAGGCTAGCAACCAGCCATTGAAAAACAGCAACAATGCAGTTGTCCTTGCCTACCGTCCTTTCAGTGTCTTTGCTTGTTCTTATCTCCACAACATCAGCCTCACCGATATTCCCACCTCTGCCCTCGGATCTGCAACCAAGCAACACCAAAGCCTTCGATGTCCGAAGTCCTGTACAACCTCGAAGCCCAGCCAACACGGTAGTCAACCCGGACGCTATCACAGGAACCACGTGCGACGACCCCAACGTTTCACTCGTCACACACGATACGAATGTGGCCTTGCTGTCCATCTGTGGCGGAATTGCAGGTGCCATCCAGTTCTGCGGCGGCGACCCATCAACCACAGTGGGCGCATCAGGCACCTCGAAATTCACACTAACGGCCGTCAACGCAGGAAATGGAGCAACGATCAATGTGAGCAAGGGGAGATGGGAAGGTTGTGTGAGAGCGGCGAGAGCTGTTTGTCCAACCGGCACTTTTACCAGCACATGCGTTGGCGGTACGAGTGATGGAGCAGGCTTTGAGTTTGTTTTGAGCGAGAATAAGTAGAGAGATTGGGATCCTTCAAGGTTGGACTAGTCGCCAGTGTAAACAAAATGCTATGCTGATCATATTTGCTCTTTCTTCCTAACCCCCTTATCTTGGCCATCTTGCAGAAAATCCATTTCGAAAGACATCGAAATGTCGAACTTATGGGTTCGAGTCTGCAACAGAGAGTAGCGCCCGGCTGAGTTGCCTCCTAGACCGAAATTAGCAGCGGCGACTTCCGTCAAAACACCCTTTCGGCAGGTTTGTCGAAAATCACCACAACAACGTAATCCCGTTATCTGATGTTCCTAGTCTATGAAGCGTTCTGTGTACTTGTCGGCATTCAGCCATCATGGTTTGAGGCGTCGATCCCGTCTTTTCTGCTACTACGGAGTCAAAGAAGACAATGGTAGGCTGATGCAGGCGTCCGGGGTGATAGAGCATCGTTAAAATGTTATGTGCTCATCAATCAGTGGATGCAAGGTATGCAACGAGCCTGATGTCCCGTCTAAAGTCCACTGGTAACCATGATGTTCTAAAGCAAGGCGGGTGACCAGTTGAGCTATATATCCTTTTCCAGGAGCCCATCAGGAAGCCCGCAGCAACTCGTGGAAGATGAAAACGTCTACACCAAAGAAACCCCAGGGCGTGGCAATGGCTTATATGTTGCACGGGATACGGCAGCGAAGTCGCAGCTGGTCTTTGTTGCGCAGCCACTGTTGGTGGCATTGGAAACCACGAAACTTGCCACTAGCTGCTACTACTGTTTTCGGTCTCCGAGTGAATCAGACTGGCAGGCGTCAGATGAGCCGAAGGGCAACCTGAAAACATGTAGTCGCTGTAAGGTGGTGAGGTTCTGTGACCAGGTGCGTCGAGCCTCGCAATCTGGCCTGCTTATTGCATGTCCCTGGGCCTTAGCATGCTCACTCTGCTGTAGAAATGTCAAACTCAAGCATGGTCACAGTATCACCGTCTGGAGTGCAAGCTTTACTCGAAGTTGTATCCTCGCATCCTGCCAAGCTCTGTCCGGGCGATCATCCGCCTATTGAAGCAGCACAAGGAAGGGATGCTGCTGGAAGGCGAATGGGAGCACCTGTTGAAACTGGAAAGTCACCAGGAGGAGATTGCCAAAGCAGGAGGACAGCGTTGGCAAGACCTCATCATAATGATGCAAGGAATCAAGGGATATTCTGGAACCGACCAAAGCCCTGAACTGATTCTACGCCTGATCTGCATTGTAGGTGACAATGATACTGCCACTGACAGAGGGCTGACCGTATCTAGCTGACCGTCAATTCCTTTACGCTTACGAACGTCACCTTCGATTCTATCGGGCTCGTTCTCCATCCCAAGCCGGCTTTGGTGAACCACTCTTGCGACCCCAATGCCTACGTGCGTTTCGACATCTTTTCGCCATCTCATCAACCAGGTGATCAAGCCTCGGGCAGTCTTTCCGTCCACGCTTTGCGAGACATTGGCAAGGATGAAGAAATCACCATTTCCTACGTAGACACCACCTTTCCTTTGGAGCGGAGGCGCCAGGAACTCAGGGAGCGGTATTTCTTCAGCTGCCAGTGCGACCTATGTGCAAGGGGTCAGGATACACCACAGGACACTTGCCATTTCTCTCCGAGCTCCTCGTTGCAGCTGGCGAGCCGTCCAACCGTCGTTGAAAGCGGCCAAGAAGCAGAACAGTTCTTCCTGAGTATGCAGGCGAATGCAGGATTGGAACAAGAGCATGTTGACAGTATCCGGACTGCCATGAATCAGCTGGCCAAGACCGGGGTGTGGCCGGTCTATCGGTACCCATGGCCTCAGTTGCGACAGCAGCTTCTGTATGGGTTGCTCGGTTTGGGCAGGTTCCCACAAGCTTTGTTCCAGTCTGCGGTGTTTGTCAGGGCCATCCATCCGATCTTGTTCAAGCAAGAATGGCACCCGATTCGCCTCGTGCAGATTTGGATGTTTTGGAATCTCAGTCGACATTGCTTGGAGACTCTGATGGAGAAAGAAGGACCCAGTGACCAGGATGGACACGATATACGGATCTTAGGTCTGTTGAGCTGTGTTCTAATCGACCATGTCCGTCAAATAATGAGCGGAAAAGAACGGCCAGTAGGTCGGCTCGAACGTATGGTAGACCGAGCCCTTGGGAATGTGCAACAGGAAGGACCCTTTTGGTCGGAATACTGGCGGAATCAGGCCAAGACTCGCAAGGCTGCATGGGCGTGGGTTGATGCTCAAGTCGAAGGGCTGTTGAAAGGTGAAGGCGTACCACAGGAGCTCATCGAGGAGACTTTATCAAGAGCTCAAGGCTGAGGATGAGCTGACCGTCAGAGGCCTTAGGAGCCCCGCTCGTTGCCGGCCTCGATAGTCTAGCATTTTCTTCAAACATGGGATCGCAGAAGGAACCTGGCATGAAACGATTGCTTGTGCCTGGCCTGGTGGTTCGTAGTAGTAATAGCGAATTGGATGATTCATTCCAACATCCAATACTTACTATGATATCGGAACAACAAGTACCCGGAGAACGTACATTACACCAACATACGCAGTGGCCTAGTAGTAAGGCGGCACCTCGCATGTCCCGAGACTTCAGGTCGATTACTGACAGCTGTGACTTGTTCACTTGTTCACTTGTTCAACTTATTTTCAGTCTCAAAATGACCATATCTACATCGATGGATACCGTCGCGCCTCCTCAAGACGCTACCGAAGCCGTTGGCTCGGTGGCAGAGGCGTTCTTCCACAATGCCACTGCTCGCCGTATCGACACTGACGCCGTCTTGCTTAAGACCATCCAGAACAACCACCCTGGCGTCCCCGTGACAACTGTCCCAGAACTTCACTGTAATCTCAAGGCCTACGCCCAAGCAGGGCACGCATCAATTGAAGCGGTCGATCCGACCCAGTCAGAGCACCAGGCGTGGCCGCAGACTCTTAAATGGACGGTGTTCCTCCCGCCTGCCAGACGGATGGATGGCGGCAACGGCACCGTGGCTGAGCAGGTCTTTTTTGAATCGTACACATATAGATGGAAGGACATGTCTTTCCTGGTGTACTTCGCCGACGGCCGCGACGGAGGTTCAGCAAACCCGCACATTCGTAACCAGTATATCCTGGGCGACGAGGCCGTAGTACGGACACTAGTGGCCACGGTCGGCCGCCACGACTCCGTGCTGCACGACGAGATCTGGGTGTACAACAAGGGCTTCTGGCAGAAGGACCGCAACCTGTACCGAAGCATCATGAAGTCCCGCTGGGAGGACGTCATCTTGGACAAGCCGCTGAAGGAGGATCTTGTCGGCACGGTCCAGCATTTCTACGACTCGCAAGAGCAGTACAATCGCCTCCGCGTGCCGTGGAAGCGAGGCATTATCTTCTACGGACCCCCAGGGAACGGCAAGACGATCTCTATCAAGGCTACCATGCACACACTGTACAGTCGGAACCCCCCCGTGCCGACGCTCTATGTCAAGACTCTGGTAAGTTTGGTTCCGCCGGAGTTCAGCATTGACAGCATCTTCGCCAAAGCGAGGCAGGAGGCGCCGTGTTATCTGGTCTTTGAGGATCTCGACAGCCTCGTCACCGATAAGGTCCGCAGTTTCTTCCTCAATGCCGTCGATGGGCTGTCGGAGAACGAGGGCATTCTTATGGTCGGCAGCACAAACCATCTCGACCGACTCGACCCAGGTATCGCAAAGCGCCCATCTCGCTTTGACAGGAAGTATCTCTTCTCGGACCCGGATTTCGACCAACGCGTCAAATACTGCCAGTACTGGCAGAAGAAGCTCGAGGACAATAAGGAAATCGAGTTTCCCGACGAGATCTGCCCGGCTGCGGCAGAGATAACGGACGGCTTCTCCTTCGCATATATCCAGGAAGCTTTTGTGAGTGCCTTGATGGCCATCGCGCGGGAGAAAGACGGCTTCCAGACAGCAGAAGAAGCTGGCTCCATGACGACATTGCACGAAGCCTGGGATGTTCTGGACATTGCGGACGGGCAGCCTCCCAGCTGGTCTGGTGACAATAAGAATCTGGACGACTATGTCCTATGGCGGACGCTGAAGAATCAGATTGAACTCTTGAGAAAGGAGTTCTCAGACGAGTGATTTCTGGACATGTGAGCTTGAGGAGTCGACGAACCGAACCATAGAAGACCTTGGAGATGGTACGCTCACGGGCTTGGAGTTGGATACTACATACATACTATATCAGTATTTGTGGCATCTTCGGTTCGAGCACGTAGTCCCAAGTATATGGAGCCCATTCTCCCACATTCGCCTGCTGTCCTTCATCAAGTTCGTTGACGATCTCGATTTCTTCTATTGGTAACTTCCAGCCAGACATCTGCTTGTTCTCGGTGTGTCTCTCTTGTCAGTCTTCGGTATCACCACAAATCCTTTCTGCACACTCCAGCGGGAGACAGTCTATACCTGAGTTTGCCGTATTTCTCAGCTAGGCCAGCAACAGTCTCATTGCCATTGTCGAGTCGCCGACCTTGCGTCAAGGATGAATATGCCACCAACACCATGCCTCTCTTTTTATAGTAAATCTGCAGCCTTCTCTGCTGATTCCCCAGATGCAGCTCAATCTGATTGCAAACTGGCTCAATGTAGGTACACTCCTACTTCAGTCATGAGCTGTTCAATATGACGTTCCTATGCTCTTGACCGCTCCATTTTCCTCTGCATCCTGAAGACCAAGCCACGCTTATTTCGTGCCAGTCGCCCCCGCCGCGGAGTTGCAACAAGTACAGGCGTTTGTCTCCAGCCGAGGTTCTGCAAGCTACTCTCAACGCCGCTCAGTGCTCCCCCCGAGTGTAGTTATCTTCCCATACCTTCACCTTCGAACAGACAAACAGCTTCGAGGGGTTGACGTCACTTTTGCGCGATTGAAGCACCAGTCTCTGACTCATTTTTGGTATGTCTGCGCCGTGTCAATATGACTGGACCCGTTCTGTGTGGCAGCGAGGATAGAGTGTGTGCAGGTAACGCTGGTCACAGTCCCGAAGGCCAAAATCGGTATTTTGTGGCCGGACTTGAGACGTAAAGCGGAGGTTATCTGTAGGCTAGTCATTGTGCTCAATGAGAATCTCAAACTCGGAACAGCGCTCATCAATGAAGGCTTGCAAGAACTCTACTCCTGCGCTCACCCCCGGATGGTTGCGATTCCTGGGGGAAGTATCCTCGGTAAAGGATTCACAAAGGAGACATGGCCCACGTATAGAACGCCATCAATCGAGAAAGGTTGCTAGCGGTTCATGACTTCAACTACAGGCCTACGCAGATGAAGAGAATGCATGGATTCGTGCCATGGACCACGAGGAGGTCAGTGAAGGGCATTCACTGAAGTATTCATAACTTCTTCTGGCCAGGGCGATGTTGATTAGAACGGCCATGACTGCGCTGCCTGTCACAGTAATACTACTCCGTATTATACGGTGAGTCAATTAGGCTGATCAGGCAATAGATACCGATCCCCGCGCTTTAATCACTTGCAATCGTTCAACCTCGAATCCCACGGGACTGTTGGCACCCTCCTAAGATTACGCATTCACGCGTTCCAAGCACGCAATTTCAAACGGCCCAACGGCATCAGCATTTTCCAATATGCTCGTGGATGCGGTAGATTCTCGTGAGTCGGCTGCGATATGGCTATCCCAGTGCCCAGCACAAAACAGTCCAAGACCACTTGCGTACAGTGCAGGGTTCGAAAGGTGAGGCTTGCAGATTGTGATTAGTCTTGGAGTCGCGCCTGACTCAAGAGCTGGCTAGGTTCGATGTGACGGACGGCCAGGTTTCTGTCACAACTGTGAGCGCCTGAAATTCGACTGCTCCTTCCAGCGAACCGTCGATGGCTCGGGAAATGGCTCTAGTTCCGCCGAAAGTCCTCGAGTCCAACTTGAGCGAAGACGTGGAGCACTGGCTTGCATTGAATGCCGTTCACAGAAGACTCGCTGTCCAGGAGATCTGCCGGCTTGTGGAAAGTGTGTCAGGCGAGGACGAGATTGCGTTTATCCCACCCCAAAGAGACCGACTCGTGCCGCGAAAGCGGCCACACCTCCCGCCACCGAAGGACAGAGCAATTTCTCCACCGTCTCGCCAAGTCCGCGGCCGACGAGTGCAAATGCTGCCACAGCGAATCTGCTCCGTCCAGTCGACGAGACCCTTGCCCTCTTCGACGCATACTTCGAGCATGTCTATCCTCTACCCTGGTTCGCTTTTTTGCACAAGCGATCTGTGGTTCAAAGGTATTTGGATGGGACAATAGAAGAATGTTTGCCTCTAGCCATTTGTGCCGTCACCACTCAACGCCTCAAGATCCCCCAGTACGGCCCCGAGCTGAGCGCGAGTTGGGCTCAAAGAGCAGAAGATTATCTTATGCAAACCCTCGAAAATCCTTCAACTTCTCGTCTACAGGCCCTTGTCCTGATTGTCCGATATAGGGTGGAAGAAGGCAACTTTTCCAAAGCTTTCATGCTTGCTGCACTTGCAGGCAGATGTGCCGTCGCCCTTCGCTTGAACTACGAGCGTCCCGAGCTTCGATTTCTGGTTCAGGAGGTTCGCCGCCGAATCATGTGGTCATGCTTTCTCCTCGACTCCAACTTCTCCGTTGGCTTGCGGGAGTACGAGATTTGCCCCCCAGAGATCCTCTACCTCCAGCTTCCGTGTCCCGAGACGGAGTTCGAGGATGACACTCCCGTCAAAACGCCACCACTCCGGGCTGTCTCCACGAAAACCGTGGAAAGACTTGGCGTATACGCTGCTTGCTTGAGACTGGTCTCTATCAGGCGAGATATCATGATGTATTCCTTCCCTATTCCGCGATGACTACAGAACTAATTGTAACAGGTTGACCCGACGCCTGGCGTCTTCCCGTGTTGAGCCACGAGACTTCATGCGATCTGTACAACAGTTCGAAAATGAATTGGAACATCTCTACCAAAGCCTTGCGGAGTTTGACAGATACTCGCCAACTATGTTTACTCATGGTCGAAAGCAAGTGCGGCTTCTTATTGTCCATCAAGCGTGGCACTTGACTCATTGCGACCTTTATCGAATTTTCCTCACTGGATATCGAGAAGCCGCGCCCGCTTGGGCACTAGAAGGTATCGACAGCCAAGAAGTCCTGCGCATACGAGGGCTGTGTTTGCAGCATGCTTTATCGATAGTCAAGATCCTACAAGAGTTTTCTGAGCAGTCCCCTGCACAAACGGTCGACTTCGACACTGCAAATCATGCTTATCATGCGACACGAATCATTTTGTTCACCTCCCAACCGAACGTGGTTGCAGAGCCTTTGAGTGTCGCGGCCGCATTGGAGAAAGCTCGCTTCTGCCGACGCATGCTGGAGCGATATTTTCCTGCCTCTCCTGTGGTGGAACCAATGGTCTGTTACCCTCGCGGATTGCAGTCTATTGCTAACGGGGTTACAGAAGAAAGAAATGGAGTTTCTCATCGGAAGATACTCCTCCAGGTTCAATGCTACAGGATCACTACAGTTACCACAACCAGAAGACACAATCGATGAGGATCCGCGCCTGGCCGATGAGGCTAGAATCAGACAGAGATTGGGAATCCATAGCTTGATCCGAAGAGCAGACTTCGTCGATGACAGCAACGAGGTCACTAGCCCTGCACCCAGCATCCAACCCCGATCTTCAGCCATCCGGCATACACTTTCGGTGCAGCACCAAGAACGACGCTCTCAAAGAACTACCTCCGCCACGAATCGTACCCCCCAAAGAGTCCTGGGCACACACAGCAATCGCACCAGCGCAGTCGAGTTTGCAAAGGCGAGGCCGTTTCAGCAAGCTACCTCTAACGCCGCTCATGGGAATACCAGCAGCGAACCGGCTTCATATGATGAGGAGCAACCTGACCAGTCATCGGATGGGATGAGGTTTGCATTCAACCCCTGGATGGGATGGCCCGAGACCTTGGAAACGTATGGCTTTCCACAAGGCGTGGATGATGACTACTTCTAGATTTTTCTTCAGAATCAGGCTCGTCAGAGGGTCTGCACTTTTCGCCAGACGATCACTTCTGCTGAATTAAGCAAATTGCTACATCGAACGCGGCTCAGTCCATTCAACGAACACCTCAGCATGCTTGGAGATACTAAGCAAGACTCTGAGACCCAACGGACCTGTCCCTGCCGTTGAACAAGAACATGATAGTAACAATCAGCTTGCCAATGCCCGAGAGCAGTATTGCCGAGGCAGATCCAGCACTTCGATACACATATGCTCCAAGAAAAGCTCCTGCGACAAGGGCAGCCAGAAAGCATGCTCGCCGGGTTCGAGCCCGGTTATTGAAGGTAAAGAGGTTTTTATCCACCATCAGGTCGACCCAAGCTGCTGTTGCCATGGCAGTGCTGATTTCAGTTATTGCAAGCGACCTCGACAAGACAACCTGGCTTCCAGCAGCGAACGCGAGCAAGCCCACAATTACCAAGGTGTATCTTCCTTCCAACTCAATCCCATATTTGTACTGTATCGCAGCTGCTGCAAGTACAAGTATGGTTTGGAAGAAGTTGCAGAATACTATCCAGTGGCGTGAACGTGGCCCTATCATATGACCCAACTGTCCAGTCACCCATCCTGCCGCAAGGAAGCAACCAAGAGATACACCAATATTCCCAGTCACGAACAGCTTGTGTGTTATTTCTGGTAGAAGAACGGCCATCGCAAGCATGACGGTGTTGCCTGTCTGATTTGAAGCGAAACAATGATAGTCGGGAAAGGTGGTTGCATCTTGAATGCCCGTGCAAAACGTGAGGATCAGGAGTTCGGTTTCGGCAAGAACGTTGACCTGGATGTGGCTGGTCAAGTGCTGTTTCAGTCGAGTCGGGAGGTCATTGCATCTCGATACTATGGTGCGCTCGGTAAAGCCCTCCGGTTGTGAAAAATCCGGGCCTTTTTCTGGTGGTTCGCGCAGGACGCAGTTGGTGGCCATGTTGTAGATGGATTGCAATCTGGGGTGCAACAATCACCTTATGTTTCTGCGCTTGATGCGTTGCGGTGAGGAGGAGGCAGGAGAGTTCACTCACGGATCTGTTTGATACCTCCTCGGCCACTGGAGGGTTGCGCATTTTATCACCATCGCACCTTCTGGCCTCGATTACCAAACAAGGCTGCTTCTTCCTTCGAGACTGCAAGCTCCACTCGAGCAAGACCGACTTCCACCGATAGCTGTTGTCAAGTTGCGTGCTCAATGACTCTTGCCCTGTCGTTTGCAAGCCAGTACCGCATCGGGGCCTATTGCCTAGACCTACGCTGCGTCGTGACGAATCCGATTCAGTTCCGAGTACCGAACCGACTGGCGAGAGTCCCCGGACATCCACATGGCCTTCATCTCGAATATTTCCCGACGTTCGTTTGCTGACCGACAGCCGCAATGTCGCCCGACTACCGTAGCGCCTATCCACTCTGGGTGAAGGAAGGACTTAGTATCCGAAAGTATATCCTCTTCAGCGGACTGCTGGGATGGGGACTGTGACACTACCTGTTGGGCTTTGTTCTTAGTCTCTGTCGCCAAGGTGGAAGAAGCGCTGGTACGCTACGAACTGATGCCTGCTGATGTTGCAAGTACAGCTCGATGCTGGCATTACCGACCCACGCCACGGTGCTACTTATTGGCACGAAAAGGCCATCAAGTCCGCAGCAAACTGGTGTGAGGTCTACGTCCAAGTTCAATCACTCGTCAAGGGCTCCTGCGGACCTAGAATACATCTCGATAGGGAAGTTCCCTCCTGCGGAGGACCTGTGGAACGAAATCCGAGGCGGTTGTCGGCGCCCTTCCGGAAACCTCAAGCTCGAGTAGCGAATTCGACAACACCGCTCCTGCAACTGATCATTGTCAGCCTGACCATGCCGAGCAAACGCCCACGAGGTTTCTCGCCGTCCTTGTCATTCTCAAAGCAGCGCAAATTACCTTCAGAGTTCTACTAGAGGTTTTACTAGTATGTGGCTGCCCAGCATTCGCCAAGGATATGAGGCGTGTTACAGACAACGACATACTCCTGTCAAGTGAAGGAGCCCCTACCGATTACCGGCGGACGCCATGATCACAAAGACCATATATGCTCTCAGGCCATATACAGACCAGACAGATTGAGACCCCGGACGCCTGTTAACTCTTAATTGTCGACGAATCGGCAGACCATGAGACATACAGATTGGCAATCGCGCTTCGATGAGCCTACCCCTGGGCAATGTGAGGCTGATAATGGCCTCGACGTACAGCATCAACCCGAGCCTACAGGACCCACGGCTCTAGCATCCTACAACCGCCCCCACGTTTCAGATGCCAAAACAAGACCTGAACGAATTCTCTTGCGGATTGCCAGTGCGAATAAAGAACCTCGATCTTTCTCAATCCGCAAAATTACTCCTTGCTCTCAGCGATGCCCCGAAATAATAAAGTCAAAGTCTGTGGCCATCATCGACCGAGCGAAGTCGTTCACTGCAAAGAGCGAGGCGACGTACTTGGGATATCTCAGCGGAATATAGCATATCAAATTTTGGAAGACCCAGAAGCTGGTGGCCGCGAAGATGGCAACTCGGCGCGATCCAGTGGCCCTCTGCACGGGCTGTCCACGCAAACAGCAGCAGTCCTGCAGGAAGCCACTCCTCTTGGAGGTCGGTCAGAGCCTCCTTCAGCAGCGCGCTGAATGGTACATGCTTGAGCTCGCACGGTGCCAAGTATGCGTTGCTACCAGTGGCCTTGCGCAGGCGTTCGGCGCGGTTCAACAAAATTGTCGACTGGGACGCTTCCTGCAGGAGAAGGAGAAGGACCAACACGACTCCGGACACGATGACCACCTTGGATGGTCACTGTCATGCTTATGCGTCTAGGCTGCCACGAACGCCTTAGATAGAGCGTCTTTAGACAAGCGGCGTACGATGTCTGTCTGACCAGGACTGATGGCAATGGAAATCTTAGCCTGCACCTTCTCTAGATCACTCACGTTGCCTGGAGAAATTATATTTTCTTCCTCCCGTGAATCTGTAGGTATGCTTGACACTAGATTATATTTAATCTAGTTCTAATCTAGTCTTACTAAAGCTTTACTCTATGTACTAGTACAGTTCTTAGTCTCTTTTCTAGTGGATACTACTCAGTACTTACTAGTATAAAGACTTAGGAAACTAATAGACTAGTGAGGTACTAATACTTACTTAGTATGTAGTACTACCTTAGTTACTAAGGTTTTAAATCTAGTTTCTTAGATCTACTTTTTTAAATCTATATATAGTAGGTAGTACCTACTAGTACTATACCTACTTATAAGAGTGATCTCTAATCTTGATTTTGATTCTAGAGTTGTGGTTTTAGAGTCGTGATTTCTCTACTATAATTCTAGATCCTACTATTTAGTAATTTCAGGTGTGAGTCTTGATAAGTAGGTACTAACTAAGTAAGTACTACCTACTACTACCATGCCCCCTATAGGTAGATTAAAACAGTGTTGAACTTGAATTGATACGGTTCGGATCCGTGTCACTAGCCTTAAATCGGTGATTTTATCAGCGTTTAGATCCGTATCCGAACCGTGTCCAATCCATGTCCGAACCGTTTCTAATCCATATCCGAACCGTGTCTAATCCATGTCCGAACCGTGTTGAAAACTATAGTGAACAAGTTGTTGTTCTAAAGTACTAAGTAGTAGTACTAGTAGTAGTATCTTGATAATACTAGTACTATCACGCCTCTATTAATTACGTCCTTACTACCTGATTTTGACTCGATACTAGTAGTGTATCGATTAACGCTCGATACTAACCTAGTACTTGATCACTAAAAGTATACTAGGAGGCACCTTAGTATTGATATACTTAGTACCTATCGATATAGTATTGAGATAGAACTACTACCTACCTATATACTTAGTACTTATCCAGACTTTCCAGTAAGGTACAACCTTGAAGTTACTAGTAAGTACTACTACTAGTAGCTTGGTATAGAAGATCTACAGCTTTCTCGGAAAATAAATACTACCTAGTATATTCCAGACTGTGGCCGATCGTCCACCACGATAGATCAAGCTGCTCAGCCTCGCTTTTCGCTGATCGACTTTATAAGTACTACACATTGATTTCTGTCAGACAAAAAAAGGTCATCGACTAGGCACTAGATTTTGGTACAACAAGATTACTATAGCATCCGCAATTCCGTACTATTCTGACAATTTCCAGCAGCTGTGATACCAATTCCGACTCCTTGAGCTTCAACCGAGGTTTGCAGGCAGACTGGCCGAGGCTGCCATCTTTATACTAAGTGTAAGTATGGTAAGAGAACGGCCGACCACGTGAACGTGCTTTACCTCAGTAAGGGTTGAGGGTTTCGTCGATCCAGAGGATACTAGTATATACTAGTAGGTACTAATCATTACAAGGATTCCCCAGGCACGCTCTTCTTTCCTCTTCTCACTGCATCGAAGTGGCCAGCTGTGCCAGTTGGTCAATTGTTGCGACCAAGAGCTTTCGTTGCTGCACATTGCGCTCTTTGCCACCACCGTCACCGCCAATGTCACCCATGACGGTGGTGACCCCATTGGCGGTGATGGAAGCTGGATGTATGGAAGAAGACAGAGTGTCCGTGAGGTTCGGAGGAGTAGAACCCTGAGCCACGGCAGGTGTCTGTTGGTAGAGGCTGTCTGGACTTGCATCTGTCATCACATCCGGTAGAAAGGCAAAGTGATTCTCCAGGGACAGATAGTCATCATGTGTCAAGGTATTCCGCAAGGGGTTCGGCACGGAGGCAGCATCAAGATCCATGCCAGCAACATGCGTACCCAGCATAGATCCACCAAAGTCTGCCGACGAGTAAGTACCATGCATTGGACCTTGGGGATACCTTGGTTGAGTCGGATCTGGAACATAGGGGAAGTCGAAAGCGGCACCGTCAAAAGTGAACAAATTTCCCGGGTCAGTCTGCGATCTGAATGGTGAACCAATATCAGCAAGCGAGTCCAACACAGAAGGATCCCAGTTGATTCCTGGCGGTGCTTGTGGCGTTGCTTGACCTTGAATGTGGTAAGCGGAGTTGTCTCCCCGGTGACACTGCGTAGAATACTGCAGGTGTTGTTGTTGTTGTTGTTGCTCTGATTCTGCCACATCCAGCAAGTCCTTTCTGTTACCACTGCCAGTATGCGCTGAAACATGTGTGGCAGTTGCAACATCAATATAAGCTGAGGAGGCGGCGGCAGCTATCTGGGGTTGCATTCGCAGACGATTTGTACTATTATAAACAACGTCTTAGCCTAAGCGGTACAAGACAAGGAAGGGGAAGAACAAATTTCCTAAACACTGGAGGACTGACCACAGCATCGCAAGCATCTGATTTCCCGCATCACGAATAAACGTGGGCACGTACGGCTTCCCAGGCTCCCCACTAATACGCAGGGCGAGCCGCAAGACCAGATCGTGTCGATGGCTCATGCGCAGAATAATGCTTGCGACGAAAGGAAAGATGCCTGAACGGTGCGTCATATGCATTGCCTCAGGCGCCTGGAGGGCTTCTTCGAACATTTTGATTGACAATGTCAACAGCTGGCGTTGCTGCTGGCGGGAAGCGTCGGACGATTTGGGTCGTTTCTTTCCAATCCGAGCTGAAAGGAGGATTCTGCAGCTGAGAGCATTGTGAGAGAGCTGCCAATTGAGATGGCGGTCTCCAGCGCGAGGACACCAGTCATGGATCCACCTCTCCGTGTAGTTCTCGATATAGAGGAGCTCCACATCCAGTGCGATCTGGGCTTCCACGCCTGTGGCGATTCGTTCGAGTCGTCGATGGACGCCTCGCTGCTCATGCCACCGTCAGTCAGTTATCGACAGAGACAGACGAGTATCATGAAAATTTGCAGAGGGAACTTGAAATGACCCACTTCAAACAGGTAAAGATTGTATAACGCAGCAAGAGACGCTGCGGAGTGATAAGGGCTCAGAGAGGTGACTTCTTCCATCTCAGCCTCGTTGAGCTCAAAGTGGGACAGATCCATGGGCTCACGTCCAGACCATGTGAAAAATCTAGGAATCATCAGCCAAAGAACAGTCCTGTAATTGAGATCGGGTGTCTGGAGCCCACCTTTGCTTGTTGATTATCATAAACGCTCTGGTCCTGATGTCATTCCACTGAAACATCTCTGCCTTGTCTCTGTCGACTCCACTGCTATTGTTATACCGACGTGAAAGGTTGAGTCCGATTTCTGAAGCCATTCTGGGTATCATGGCAGCCCGTATCCATCGCTGTTCCAGAAATCGAGTTCGAGGAGAGACGCCCCATCGAGACAACAGCTATCAACCAGCGTCAGTGACATATTGCCCGATGAGCACGGAGAGGACTTCGATATGGATACTCACGATTTGGGCTTGTATTATCTCAATTGATCTCGCCCCCGTGGTATAGACAACCAAGTTAAGTTTTTCGACGTGGCCGTGAAGGCGAAGGGCCTCGTCGACTTCTGCATCGGTCCCTTGGGGCAGAGTAGCGAGGGCTGTCGAGCCCAAAGCCAGTATTGTAGTCGTGAGCATGGCGGATCGGCTCCTAACGAAGGCGAGGGTGTGTAGGGCAGGATCGAGGATGGCCCACTGCGGGTGAACCATTTCCCAATATCTATGCGCCATGGATCCATGTCAGCATATCTCCGTTACTGCAAGAGGGCCGCCAGAGAAGGGAGGTGACCTACGCCTTAAACAACTCATGAGCTCTCTCTTCGCCGATGAACCCTTGCTGGACAGGGTCGAGAACGGCAGCTACATCGTGCTTGGAGGCATGAATGCCGTGCTCGAAATATAGGCGTTGCTCCTTCAAGATACCTTGCAGCGCGTCTGGGGACCACTTCTCCAGAAGCCGTGCATCCTCTGGCGGCAGACCAAGCGCAGGCAGTGCCCCAATGAGTGACCGTCCTATAGATTCGTGGGTTTGACTCTGACACCCGCCCGCATTGAGGTCCCAGTCGCGTTCAGCGATCCTGGCTATGGACAACAAAGGGTCCTGGATACCAGGATAGCCAGTGCCAATGCGTGCATCGTCCCGGTCTTTCACCACGGGAAATTGCCTACCTAGGACATTGAGGAGCTGCTGCGTCAGCCTTTGCGGACTGGCCGACCGATTTCCTTCAGTGCCAGTAATCACGTCGCATGAGGTTGACGTTGGACCGACCCCAGATGGCCGTGAGGTTGAGTTTGGTGACGGGGGTCGGCCATGGTCATCAGAGACACTCTCCATCATCATTGTGCCAATCTCTTTGGATGCCTGACCTACCATATTCGTTCCGCTCGTCGCCGAACCTTGAGCTTCAACTCTGTCTCCAATGGCAGATAGAGGTGGTGCTACAAACCCTCTTGGGGCCTCAGGGTCTCTTCCTCTGACATCCTGAGACCCTGATTCTGCTATGCCATCCTCTTGGCCCCGGTTCTCCCATTGCTCAGATTCGTGTCTGGCTGGGGCGGCGGTGGTGGTGGTGGCTCTGGAAGATCTTGACGAGGACGTGGGTGCCGCGCTGCTACCACTCAAGGAGAGTTTCTCAAGCGTGCGAAGGCTAAGTAATTCATGAGGATGATTACTCCCAATGGGGCTCGAAGATGCATTATCGCCCAACTGCCACGGTAACTCACTTTTTACTTCCCCTTATCCTGCCCCTGCGGCTTGTGGGGAAAAAGCATGTCGTCGAGGACGCAAGGCATCGACGGCAGACCGGTTCCTTCTCCGTCAATTCGCACTTCGCTTTGGCCTAGACTTATCAGCTCTGCGGGTGTCTCAGCGTAATGACTGGTGGAGTGAATTGTGTTTACCGCTCGACATCTGGACGACAATGCATTGTCAGTGGGCAGCCATCAGGCAATCGAAGCAGCAGATACCAAACTCACGCCAGGCAGGCTCGACTAGCTCGATGCTTCTGTTCGCCGCTCTCTGAGTAGGAAGTTAGCCATCAACACTTTTGATCATCGCGGTCTAAGATGCCCCGGTTACTTGAAGTCCCTGGTGGAGTCTGGTTGGAATTGGATGATCCCCGGCGGGAAGCCATCGTGAAGGTAGGTGTACCCTGGATGCAAGACAGCGACAAAACTCAGAGGACGAGAATGGCATGCCATTTTGATAGCCGTACAGATGGGGGATCTGGGTGGATGGCACTGCTGTCTTATACTCTGGTAGCCGTGGACTGATGGGCATTGGCAAAATCGAGAAGATCCACTCTCTGCACTTGGTGGGGAGAATGGGTTGACCAAAGGCCCACGGGCCTGTCAGCCCAAATGGTCTTATCATGAGCCTTCTAGCCTGACGTTAGCCTACAGAGGTATCTAGTCACATTCTGTTGTGCCGTGTCGGCATCTAAATGTATCCTTTTTGTTTCTAGTAGCCGCGCGGACCTCCGACCCTCACTCATGAAGACGCTGTGACTGACGGACAGTTTCCGCCTCCGACATCACCTCCACCGGCCGACAGCCGGCAGCAAGAGAGCATAGTTTTGAACTGAACATGATATATATGAGCAGAAATGAACACCCTCCGTGGTAGCTAAGGTGCTGATAGAATACCGAGCCAACTAAGACGTGCCTCGAAGCCGTCTTGCCGCTTTTGCCCCACAAGAGTTTCCTTTTTAGGACCGTGTCGACGGTTACCACCGAAACCATGTCGTCGCCAGTCACGACGGAGGCATCACACAATGACCCACTAATGTCGAAGAGTCACAACTACAAACACTTGACTCCAGAGGAAGTGGAACATTTCCTGACAAAAGGCTGGCTCCGCGTTCCAGGAGCAATCAAGGAGGAGAATATCGACAAATGGATGCAGGACTTGTGGACCAGAATCGACTACGATGAGCACGACAAGTCCACGTGGCATTCTGAGTATCTCCACCTCCCCAGACATCGTGAGGTGCCCGCCGAAGAGTTTGCGCCGGAAGCCTGGAACAAAATCGTGGATATTGTTGGCGGAGAGGACCGAATCGACCCAGTTCGGGAGCGATACTACGGCGACGCCTTCATCATCAACTTTGGCAGCGAGGACAAGACTACCCAGACCGTTGAGTATCGGCCTCAAGACAAGGACGGCTGGCATACTGATGATGATTGGTATCGGCTGTTTCTCGATTCGACCGGCAATGCCATGACCGTTATTCATGTATTCACAGACATACCGCCCCGCGGAGGTGGAACTTGGTTGTGTGAAGATGGCATCAAAGGCAAGAATTCCTGGCTATTGTAATCAGACAGAGCCCTTGCTGAGACATGACTTGACATAGGGGTGGTGGAATACTTGTACAACCACCCCGAGGGACTAGATCCGCCAATCCCGAGTCGATAGTGCGCACACGTCAAAGACTGCAAGCAGTTCACCACCGTCACGGCGAAGAGGGGCGACGTTTTACTGCTTCATGGCCTTCTCCCTCACACCACCAGTGCCAACCATCTCCACTATGCCCGCGTCATTAGCAACCCGCACGTTTCGCTGCATAGTCCATTGAATTTGAATAGGCCGGACGGAAACTATGTAAGCATTGTTAGGGGAAATGGTAAGATGTATGAAAACAGCCAACTGACGTTTAAACAGAGTCTCCTGGAGCAGGTCATCCTGAGGAATCTCGGCAGAGATGCTGTACCTGAGTTCCAACCAACTCGGGAGCGCAAGTCCTGGTATCCTCGCAATGCCGGCTTCAAGCGAGCAAAGGCACAAGACGAGTTGAAGCGCATGATTGCAGCAGCCAAAAGTAAAGGCCTTGACGAAAGCACTGTGGACAGTATCTATCTCCGACAAGGCACTAAAGAGTTCGAAGAGTTCGAAAGGCGCAATGGTTTCGACAAGGACATCAATGCGGAGACCGGTCTTGTCATGGTACAGCACACTGTGTAAGTGCCAGAAACACCGAATCCCAGTGAGAATGTCTTCCCTTTCTAACTGTCTGGCGTAGGGGAGAATGGGTGCCAGCCGGAGTATCGTCAACTTAGTCCTGTAGTCCTGTTTCCGAAGTTCCTGTTTGATTCGCTCCCTCTGAGCGTCACAAAGCAGCGTTAGCCGGCCGACTCTTGGGTTCCAGCATAAGTGAACGTTCGTCTTTTCATGACGCTCGTGTAATATCATTTTGCCTTTAATAGTCGTACTGCATCGAGAGGACTTCCTCATCATCGCTGCTTCATCTTTGCACATGTTTGTCAAGGCTCTATGATACCACCCGCTTTTAGTTCTTCGATCAAGTTTCAAGGCTTCACCACAGTTTCTCCCTCTCTCATTGTCACATTTTCTACAGCTATCAAGAGATAAACATCTGCTTGTTCTGGTCTGCCCATTCCTCAAACGTAATTGCTTTCTTGCCAGTGTATTTCTCGACACTCGACAGCTGCTCAGCGCCGACTGGATAGCCAAAAACCAGACTGCGTGCAGGGTCTATAAACCCCAATTGCTTGATCATGTATTCTGCGAGAGGAGCAGGCCAATGACGCTGTTCTGTAAAGTTCTTGTATGCTTCCTCTCTTTCCATCGTTTCAATGGTAGGACTCTTGCCCAAAACTTTTGCGAGTGTCTTGACGCAGTCTGCCTGGGAAATCAATTGTGGCCCGTACAGATACATGGCCGTGTTTTCGTCCAGCGGTCCTTTCACAAGAACCGTTCCACAGGCTCTCCCAATATCCTCTTGCGCAATGGCATCAACTGTAGCATCTGGTGTGAAAATCTTGACCAAACCACTCTCGAATCCTGCCTTGTACTGAGTTGTGTTGCTGGCAAATGAACCTGGTCTAGCCGCGACGTATCCGCCTGGGCCAAAGACTTCTTTCAAACTGATCTCGACTTGAGCGTGTAGGTAGGGTATAACCTCAGTAGACTTCACGTCCTCTGGTTCACCTTGGATGGTGAAGCTGCTGAGCAATACCACCAGGTCGATACCGGCAGACTTGAGTGCCTGAATGGTAGACTTCATGTTGTCGGATGAGCGGTGGGCGATGTAAATAAAAGCCCTGGTTGCTTGAGTGCTAGATACAGCATCCCGGACAGTGTCGGGGCTGAGTAAATCGGCTTGTACTCTCTCGAAACTGCCGTCTTTCACCTTTGCCTCATCGAGGCCTGGAATAGGCTTTTTTGCGTCCCGCATTGCCAGTACCACCTTTGCTCCAAGTTCGTGGGCAGCCCGTGCGGTGGCCGACCCAACCGCTCCAGATGGTCCAAATACTATAACCTTTGGAGCAGCCATGTTGAAACTAAGGTGGAAAGTACTAGTCCGGTATTGTACTCGAGAGCGTCCGGGGGAGTTGGCTGTAAGGAGAAGAGAGTGAACGTGGACGAGTGAAGGAGAAGAGTAGATGATTTAGTCGACAGTGGCGACAGGGTTGGGGCTCCGCGTGCGTCAGGGTGAGGGTTCCAGAGTGAGATGAGGGTTCGGGTTCCGCGTGTCGTGGGAGATTTTTCAAAGAGCCACTGTCAAGAAGGAATGTCGAAAGGACAGACTGATTAGAATGCCACCACTTATATAGTTTCTGTATACTTACTCAGAACCCGGGAAGAATAATTCAGTCAGCACCATCCGGGCCGTCTCTCGAGCATGCAATAGGAGGTAGAAGGGTATGCGGGAGGTGATTGGACGGTGGCCTCCAGAACACCTAAGATGTCAACTCGGGCTATTCCTAAAGCGGGAAACAATCTCAAGCACGCTAGATTTCTCCACCGGCAAAGCCTTTGATAAGAACCTCATCCGTTTAGAAGATTGCATATTTCATGTCGTTCTTGAATGTTCCCTCGGGGGTGAGTCATATGTCCCTCTCTTTTGGTGAACAGAGCCTACCCATTTTTAAAGTCCGAATGGTTCCGCAACGATGGTCTCGTCAGGGTGTCAAGTGAAGCTTTGACACTGCATTCACAATTTGCTGGCTAGCCTGGTAGCAACATGGCTAATACGGATGATTCGAGTAAGCTCGCGGTTCTTTCATTTCCCAGGCGATCGATTTGACCTTTCGCTCGTCAAACAGCGGCAGGAATGCCATTCGTCATCTCCACCAGCATGAACAAAGCGGATCCTGAAATGCGTAAGTTGATCAGGAGCCAATGCATGCTGGGGAAAAATCGCGGAAGAATTTTGCATAGTAGGCGAAAGCCCAAGACGGTTGTTCCAGTCTCAGAGCCAGTCCAAAAACTGCCAGACCTGGAGGAGGCTGCTTCCGCAGTCCTCACTAAGCTTGGTTCAGAGTTATCTTTGTTACGGTTTGCCGATTCGGTAGAGCCCTCTACGCTATGGGAAGCCTTGAAATGTAAGTGACCTCACCCTAATATATCTAGCAGATATAATGCAGGATGTGTTGAGAAACTAACGATGCTGACCTTTGAAGTCACCTCCACTTCGAAACAGACTTTCTTCCCCTTGGAGAAATGCTTTGATTTCAACTTAAAAGACCGATCGATGTTCGATCCGTTGACATTCGATCCGGCCTATCTACATGCCGTCATATTTGGAGCTCAAGCATACTTGGATTTGGTTTCGGGTCGCTCCAGTCAACGGTCGTTAGTGCAGATGTTGAAGACAATTCAGCTCCTTCGCAACAGACTTTCGATTTCGGATGGAAACGAACAGGCATCCGTTTCTAATCCCACAATACTGATCGTCTTAACTCTGGCACACGTTGCACATTTAACTGGCGATCATATTACCGCTGAGCAACACTTGGAAGGTCTTTGCAAGATTATCAACCTGCGAGGAGGCATTGCTGCTTTCCAAAATACTCCTAAACTTCTCACCGAGTTATTAAGGTTAGCAAGAATCCTGACCTTCACTTATCTGTTTGGGACTATAATACCTGGGGCTTATGGCTGATCCTATTCAGGTGTGACATCAGCATTGCAATTCACAAAGGAACAAAACCGGTCTTTGACTTCAACCAGCCTTTACAATCTATCATATATCTACCACAGACTGAGTCATCTTCTCCACCCACTTCTTGTCTGGATTATAAATCCCCCTATGACAAGGATCAATACACAAATGTTATCACAGACGAGAAATTGGCCGAATTATGGGACATTCTGAGCAACTTCTGTTGTCTAGTAAACTCAGTGGCGGACAAGAACATCAAGCTGAGCGACCAAATCCTCTTAAACACCATGGGCTCAGTGATGTACGCACTTCTCAGAATGACCTTCTCAACCAATCCGATCAACGAAGCGATTCGTCTTGGTTTACTTGCATTCTGTTCACATTCTTTCTTGGAGCGACGGGGAATTCACCTTCCGAATGGCTACCTCTGTGAGAACTACAGGACTTGCTTTGAGGACGTCAAAGCTCAGCCGCGAGGCGCGTCTCAGCTTTCGCTGTGGTTTCTCATGATTGGTAAAATTTCCATTTTTACCTCTGATACAGATGACTCTGCATGGATAAAATCCAGGCTAAGAGAGAATATTGGCTTGAATGAGGATTACTCGTGGCCACAGCTACGACTAATTCTCAAGTCCTTTCTTTGGATCGACATACTACATGACGCACCTGGGAAAAAGATTTTCGGATCTGTTTCCTAAATCGATGAAATTGCTTGTTTGTCCGTGATTCATGTACCAAGCTGGTCAAGGCTACCTTGGTAGTTAACTCATTCCAAACAAGATAAACATCAGACTTGAGAGATCTCTCAGCAACCTTGAGAACAGCCGTGTTTGACGCTGCCAAATGAGTCATGTCCAATTGCTGTTCCGTACAGAGATCATAGTTGTGGAGGCCGACATGACCAAGAAGACTGATGTTGAAGGGTTGCTGATGAAATTTGAGGAGCAAACGATTGACATGTATAACACGGCTGCTCACAACAACGGGTTGACCTGGCAAACTAGCTCCTTCTCAGACATTATTCCACTTACCATTCTGGTGAACAATGCCTTGTGAAATACAATTTTCGGATAGCAATCGAGTATATGATACCCTTGATTTTGCACAGGTTGCCGAGAGGGATCGATCAAGGCATGAACAGCATCTTGGACTGCAGTGGCATGTCACTAGGGTCACTACGCTGAGCAACCGATCTTGTTTTTCTATTCACATTGATTCCATTTTTACCTCCGATCGAGATTCCAAAATCGGAAGGATGCTGATGTATGTATCAATTGAACTTGGCGAGATAAGGAACTTAAGTCCCTTGCGCACCGGAACTGCCCTCCGCGCCAAGGTGTTCACCATGGGTGTTGAAGCTGCTGTTTCAGCCACCAAATGCTTCATGCCAAAACTGCGCTCCGCATCGCGCATTGTCAGCTCAAACGCCGTGTTTGCGACATTTCGGCTGCTACGGTCATCGTTGCTGCCTGCTTCAGCATAGAGCCTGGTACTTGTGGGCGGATGTGATAACAAGGCCACCTGAGGTGCTGCACGAGCATCACTGGCAGGTCGAGGGCGCTCCGCCCCAGCTGCAAAGCAGTAGTGAATCGGGGGCAAAGCGGCGCAGAAATGGCGGTAATTCTCATCGTTCATGATTTCAAAGCCTTCCATTGACTGTCTCCCAAGCGGGTGTCCCAGATCTACTGGCACAACAGTCGATTCCTAGCGAGTCCCTTACACATCCAGCGAATCAACCGGACGCTCCATCTACGGACTCGGGCCTATTCCGAAGTGAGAACCAACAGCAACTGCCTACTGCTGGGATAGAGGATGCCATGGATGATGTTGACTTCAGCGGCGGCCCCCTTTATGATTTCCGATTTCGAAGACATCGCGATGGCTGGAGTCCCACCGGACAAACGCCACCGCTCCATGCACGGCGTGCCGCCGCAGGTTCAGAAGAAATGCCGCCCTGGCAAGGATAGTAGTGTGTGTCAGAACTGCAGGACGTGGGTGTATCAACGAAGGTGCCGCCGCACAAGCCGAGCACACCCTTGAACAGGGCTCCACCTCCGCATCCCATGCCACGTCCGGGCGAGCGCTGGCCTGGAGATGCAACGTCTATAGTAGGTATCCTGAACTCAACTTACGATCGTGCACATCAACGCCATTGCGGACCTGTTCAAAAAGTTTGCTGTGGCGGGAACGAAGATCGCAAGACTCCGCGGAGCCATTACTACAGATTAGAACTAGATTAGAACTAGATTAGAACTAGATTAGAACTAGATTAAACGAATTGGCAAATTTGATCCGGCTATAAGCCCCTATTATACTAGAGTAATCGTGATCTCTAGGTGCTTAATAAGCACTTAGTAATCTAGATTTACTAGCTTATAAGGTTGATTTTGATTCTATCGGGATTCTGGTTCCTGTTTGATTTAGTATCGATACTAAATCGATACCTACCTAGTACTACTAGTACTTCATCACTAGGAGGTAGTAGTAAGAGCCCCGGGCCATGGACTACCTACTTAGTAGTAGTACCAGTACCTAGTCTCCCTTATCTTTGGCACCTATGCTTATCTGTTCCGGCTGCGGCTTCGTTATCTTTCCGAGACAGTGGTAGAGTATTGTCTGTAAGCCGGCACGTCGGTGTATCCTTTTCCAAGGTCTGTTATATAACATGATCATAGATAGTTGAGAGCGTGAGGATGAGCAGCTTCAAGCATCACTTGATTGAGCTCCGAAGTCCCATACAGCCGCCAGGTGGCCGTGGCTTGGTGTAGCAGCACAACAGCGCACCCTTGTTCAAGTTTCCACTCCACCACTCTCGTATAGGGTTGGCGCTAGGCAATCTCGCGGAGTAGGGCGATGGACGCGTGGGTTCTTGCAATCGCAGGGTCGTTGTAGGTTGAGGGATCTAGACGTAGGAGTGCGCGAGGGGGAGGTTTAACCTGGCGGAGATGCCCTCAAGCAAAGTGATTCGTCTGAAAGGGCCGGAGTAGTAGGTAGGTACTACTAAGTACTTATCTAAGATGGACGTACAGACTTTAAAGTATAGTGAACTCTATTAGGTAGGCAGCGACTGCGACTGCCTGCCTAGATTAGTAGGTGTATTAGTACCGCCTGCCTAGATTAGTAGGTGTATGTACTTTAAACTTTTTAGCATAAACTAAGCCTAAGTGTCACGAATCGTTCCTCGGGGTCACGATGTCGATCAGGGTTTCCTAATATATAGGAAGGTAGGAGGACAGTATTCCAGGGCATAAGGGTAAGTCAGAACGAAAGTGTTAGGATTCATGCAGAGACAAGCGCGGCATGAGATCCAACATGGACCAATGAACAGAAGAAAGGCAGGATTGCCGAGGAAATATCACGTGGAGCTTCACAAGACAAGCCCAAGATCACGTGATATGATCAGTGTGATCAGCCTTGATCAGCCATGATCAGTGACTGAGCACACTGAGCACGCTGAGCACACGCTGAGCACGCTGAACACAGCAGAGCACTACGAGTCTCATATGTCTATATAGTCTTCCATCTTCCATAGCATCTCATAGTCTCTCGTAGTCAACTTCGTTCACAAGCTAGACGTTACCATCGCGTTGATAGCTTTCGTTCTGACTTACCCTTGTACCCTGGAATACTATCCTCCTGCTTTCCCACACATCAGGAAACCCTGATCGATATCGTGACCCCGAGGAACGATTCGTGACATTACTCTATAAGGCTTTCACGTACTTCCTTAGTAATCCTGCCTTTCCTAGCCCTTGGCACCTGTTGGATCTTATGCCTCGCTTGCCTCTTGCATGAATCCTAACACTAAGCTTAGCATAAAACAGCCCTTTTACCATAAAAATGGCCGAGTTATAATATAAGGATAAAAATTCCGTTTATCATAAAAACCTCTTTAGCATAAATGAATATTTTATCATAAAACTACTATAAAAAGGCCTAGATAAATAAAGAGAGAAAAAGGCGCACCCACACTACTACTTAACTTCTAACTACACTAAAGACAATTTATATAAAAATTTTGTCAGTCAGGCGCCATACTTATCACAACGAGCTGGAAGCTGGCAGCACAGGCATACGTGTTCGCCGCATCTGGCCCGCTTCGCACCCTTGAAAGTTGAGGTAATGATGCTGACTGTCTCGTGTCTTACCTAGACATAGGGCCGGCCATATCGAACAGCAACTTGAATTACCATAGAAGGCCTGACCACCTGATCCAAGCCGGCGTGCGACCTCGTACAGGTCCCCAGCCATTTCTGACCCTCCACCGTCGCCATCGACTGCCACCTCAGCCTGGCCGCTGTCAGTACGCCTAGATCGCCAGTCCCGAGCCTGATACAAGGCCCATACACGTCTACCGTTCTCAATGATTTCTGCCATGAGCTTCTCTCTACCTGATACCCCCTTTAGAGGAATGAAGAAACCCCAGGCTGTAAAAGATGTCAGACTCTGTGGATCTCGGTGGGCAAAGACGACCCAGGTCAGCATTTTTCACCTCCAGCGGAGATCGCAAACGTGCGCCTTCGTCCTGCGGCATACTCCGTTGAAAGATCCCTGATGTACTAGCGAACCGTGATACATCTTCTCATCCCCGAACCCAAACTCAGCTCTGGTATCTTCGGTCCAGATCGATGGCGCTTGGGGATATTGGTCACACGCCCTTTGCGTAAGGCCTTGATAAGGCCCATCGATAGCTGAACTCATTCGTGCCCGATCTCGATTGTCATTGGTTGAGAGTCCGAGTTAGATTGTCGAGATACCCGACATGGACCCCACCGTCTCTATCTTTCCCGGGGCACATGTGGGCTTCCACACTTCGGGGTCAGCGTGGATGGTCATATATACTAACAGCGCAGTGTAAAGCTATGCCCCAACCCTCAAGTGATCTCCTACCGACTTTGTTGTCACCAGGCAGCATCTCAGTCCCATGCTATATGCCCTCCTAAAGGTCGCCAGCCCCTCTGAGGGCGAGGCCATACCCCCTTATTCTCAGCCGCCCAGCGAACACCAGCATCCCGCATCTTCCCGACTCGACGGACGGCTCAGTGTGCTCGAGGCCTGTGTGGATAAAGGTGTCTTTGACACTGTACAACTGCGCTTCAGAGGTAAGTCCGGGCATCTTCTCTCATCCGGCAGACGTTGAACAAGTGGACTGCAGGCATTATCCTTTCATCAGTCGGCTGCAACAGTGCCATTGAGGATATCATCACCTTGACCGACGTCAAACCGCTTTCTCACTTCCGACCAAGCACTGCCTCTACTCGGAGCGATTCTGAAAAAGCTCGGCATGTGGACTTCTACTTCGAACTGCCCGCCAATATCTGCACCTTGGATGGCGTGTCACGTTCTCTCCCTCTTTCCGCGACTATCTCTGGTACCACCAGCACGGCACCAAGGGGTGGATTGAACGATCCTCAACTGATACAGGGCAACTGCGAGGTATCTTACTGGGTCGAGGCCCAATTCTGCCTAGCCGGTCGCGAGGTCGGATTCATCTGCGAGCATGTCAGAATGCTCTCTCTTTATCCCCGCCTCAGAGCATCATTGACAAAGGGCCTACCGCTCACCATACGAGCTAAGCCGGATCTCCTCGCCCGGTGTAGGCTTCAGAAGAGCCCTGCCCTGGAAGTGGCTCTGTACGAACCTGATATGACCATAGATCACGATACAAAAAGCGGCAAGCGACAAATGAGCATTCCAATCGCCGTTACGATGGACATTCACCCACCTGCTGCGGGAGCTGATTCGCTCGATGCACGACAATCACTCAAATGTTCTGTTGAAGCAAGGTTCGAGGCGCATACAAGGTTCTCTAGCGGCCCCCTGCTCTCGAATGGAGAGAGGATCTTGCCCGACGAGGCCATCTCCAAGAGCACAGCCTCGACACAAAAATCCACTGTTCTTTTCCGACCGCTACCACTTTACGACGATCAGGACATCCCCGGCGCCAAGTCCAAACGACGACACCCGTACGTGGCAACATCACACTTGGACTTGTCCGTGCCCGACGCTTTCTCGCAGCCATCTCTGCGTTGGAAGCACCTGACGCGGACCTACACGCTGCATTTGTCCTTGAACTTCCACGGCTTACAAGGCGCTCCGCGGTACAGTGTATGTCGCCACATCCCACTGTCGGTGTCTGCACACGCGCCAATTTCAGGAGAAGCGCCAAAAAATGATGTCATTGTTAGCATTCTTGAGGCTAATGACAACCTGGACGCCGAGGGTATTATGACCACATTGCGTCCATCAGACCACATACCAGGCGAGAAAGGAATAGAGCAGACAAGATCACCTCCGCCTCCCTACTTTCGATGAGCCTATGGTTAGAAGGTTGAGCCAGAGGAATTGGAACATCGAAAAGCCCCTCGGGTTATGGGGGGCCTTTTATCCGACTCCCAGAAGCATGACAGACTGTGAAATCCAAGCTAGGATCGCCATTTTGCTGAGCATCTCTCTCCAGTCGAGGAGCAGAGCCCGAAGTTGAAACTCGTCCGAAAAATCAAAGTCTGGCTCTGAACGTGGACAATAGCGATAGAAGGGGTGACGAAAATGGCCGCCCGTCCGTGGTTCTGATCGTTTCCCACCGCCGGGGGTAACTCGACCAACAAACCCACTGACTCGTGGTCTACTCTAGTATTCATCTCTGCCAACATAAGACGCCATGTACAAAAGTCAGCGGTCGGCGTAAGGATATACGTTACTCTCCCTGAACCATCGCAGACACAGTTTGAACCAAAACCACATAACTGACCGACGGTACGGCGATCCTAGGCCTTACAATGTCCTTCCCAAGGTCACCGTCTAGGCCAATATCAATCAAAGAGTAATGTCATATCTTCTGTGCAACCAGCGACTCCGGGGTGTAGTCGCATGCGGTGCTGACATACCTCATCAGTAAGAGACCGAATATTCGCGTGGCCAGATCGTTCCATCTCGTGTTATCGTCATTTTGTAACAGATGTGCGATCAAGGAGTGGATGAGATCAGTTGGGACACCGTGCGAGACAATATGCAATGGAATGAGTGGAGATCTATTGTTCAGTTATTGGTACAATTGACACTTTTCCATTCACACTTCAGAGAAGCAGAGCGACATCATTTTGTTTCCCAGAAAATGTCAGACTCCTAAACGGGAGCCCTTCATCGACAATGACCGTTGTGGCTGGTAGCGGAAGTTGTGTAGAAGCTCGGCGCGGGTCGTCAGTTGCCGGTGGTACAGCCGTGATTATGTCGTACTAAGTCTGGAGTCTAGATGGGGTGGAGAGGGTGAGAGTCCGTTTGAGTTGAGAAGGGTAAAATACAGAGTTAAAGCCCATCCGGCGAAGGAACGGCCTTCTAGGTTAGATGTTGAGTTTCCCCATCGCATGGAAATTCGAGTTACGTCCGATTCGAGGCGATCAGCACCTACCAGACGCTGGAGGAGCCTGTGCCAGCTTTGTGTGTTTTCAAGCTGCACTGGGCGGGCTGTTGAAGTTATCATCGATCGAGGGCTTGTTCCTGACACTATTCAGATACCGGATCAGTCGTCCAAATCGAGGTACATATCAAGTATAGGCAGAAAAGAAAAATGGATGTTACCGAATATCAAACAAAAACAAAACAGGGAAGTCTCAAATCCGTGCTTACCATTTGCCAATAAGTGCCCCTCCTCCTCACCAAGTCATGATGGCTGCCATGTTCAAGGATTCTGGAGCCACGACCGGCTTCACTCTCGCCAAACACGAAAATCACATCTGCCTTCTGGATTGTGGCGAGTCGATGCGCTACAGCAATGACAGTCATGCTGCGTTGTCCCACAAGGCGCTCGATGGCACCCTGCACGAGCTTTTCCGACTGCGAATCAAGACTGGATGTGGCTTCATCGAGGAGTAGGAGCCTCGGGTCGCGTAGCAGGGCACGAGCGAGACACAAACGCTGTTTCTGGCCGCCACTGAGAGAGGTCTGCGTGTTTATCCCTAGAGCTGTGCCGTAGCCATCGGGGAGGGAGATGATGAAGTCGTGGATCTCGGCGTCTCTACAGGCCTGAAGGATCTTTTCATCTGTCGTTTCCCCGTGGTGACCCTCGAGACCAAGAACCAAATTCTCGCGGATCGTCCCATCGAAGAGTTTCGGTTCCTGAGCGACCAGGGACAGCGTGCGACGGTAGGATGAGATTTCGATCTCCCTGATATCTTGGCCGTTGAAAGTGATTGTTCCGGAGAGCGGATCGTAGAATCTCTCAAGTAGTGAGATAACTGTCGTCTTACCACATCCTGAAGGACCCACGAAGGCAACGAAGTGACCGCTGTCGATCGATAGAGTGAGGTAACGGTAAATTGGGGTGTCTCGTGTCGGGTATCTGAAGGTCACATCCGTGAATTTGATACTTGCTCCTTCTTTGGTACTTGATGTCTGCAACGTCTTGCCCATTGTGGTGGCTTTTTGCCCTTCAGTAACCTCGTGGCGAAGACTCAGAATGCGGTTCGCAGCAGCAGTGGCTTGAGCCATGTTCGGGGCGAAGCTGAAAAATTGTCCGGCGCCTTGTGCTCCTTGTACAATGGCCACGTAGATGACGAAGAACTGTACGGGATTGTATTCCCGACTGGCCAGGAGCTGTCCTCCATACCTGAATCAGATTGTCAGTTGCATGCATTTAGCAGCTGGCAGAGGAGTGAATAGCTCACCAGAACGTCAAAGCCATTGCGCAGAGCTCAACGCTATCGGAGAGGGCAAAGACCAGTGTAGCATATGTCGCCTTCCAAGTGGCTTTGCGAACCTGATCCTGTAAAAGTTCTGAATACCTATTGATGATCGAGTCTTCCATGGTCAAAGATGTGACTGTGCGAAATGCACCAATGGCCTCGGTTGCGAACTGGGAGCTTTGAGCGAAAACTCTGGAATTCCACTTCTCAAACTTCAGCTCGAAGCCGATGCGAACAAACGCGGCGATAAAGATGACCGGCATGGCGGAGAAGAAGGTTACAAGGGTCATTTTCCAGCCGAAGGAGAAGGCTATCGCGATACACCCGATCATGTTGAAGATGGAGATAAGCGGGAATACCCCGTTCAGACCTAGTAGTTCTTGTATCAACTTAGGATCAGTCGACAAGCGAGACATGAGGGAGCCAGAAGCATTGGCCTCGACGTCGAAAAAGGAGATAGGGTTGGACAAGATGTCTCGAAAGTATTCTCGTCGATATGCGCATGAGATGTACTACAGTGGGTTAGCTGCTGACTGTTATTTCTGAGGACGACCCGGCTTACCACAGAGAGATGGTTGGAAAAGCTCCCCAGGCTAAAGTAGCAGGCACCGATGCTCAGCGCAAGGATGGAAAACATCAGTGACCAGAACGCTCCTCGCTCTTGGAGTCTTTCCCCAGTAAACTGGAAGACCTCAACCAGCTTCGCGAAGATATAACTCTGAAGAGAAAATGCGGCTGGACCAGATCGTTAGAAAGATTCGAAACGGTAACAAGGTAACCGTGATCTTACAGCCCGCTCCCATTGCCGCCATCACTATCACAAAATAGAACTTCCAGTAGCTTCTTTGTTCGTAGAGGAAACGACCGAACGAAAGAAAGAAGCCCTGTTGTTGGTAAGGAGTCGTTGTGTCCTCCAGAGGCGTCTTGCTAGAACTGTTTGTTTTTTCGGTCTGCTCGAGGCTCTCACGGTGAGCAGCTTCGTCACCTCCTGCCCTTTCAGACGCACCCTCCGCATTGAGCTGCTGCGCATGTACAAGGCTTGCATACAGTCCATCGGAGATGGAAAGGAGATGCTCATGGGTGCCCTCTTCCAGTTTGCGGCCTTCACGCATAACAATGATATTATCTGCTTTTCGGATGGTGGACAGCCTGTGTGCGATGACGATTGTCGTCCGACCCTGAGAAACTCGATCAAGCGCCTGCTGCACTATTTTTTCCCCGCGGACATCAATTGAACTCGTTGCTTCGTCTAGGATGAGGATTGCCGGCTCCCGGATAATGCTCCGAGCAATTGCAAGCCGCTGGCGTTGACCACCACTCAGCTTGATGCCGCTTTCGCCGACCTTGGTCTGGTAGCCCTGCTATCATCAGCAAAAAAGTCGTGCACCTCAACAGGAAGTCATGCTCACATCCGGGAGATGCTGGACGAACTCATGGGCAAAAGCTTCTTGGCAGGCTTTTTCAACGCGTTCCCGTTTGGAGGATTCGCCATCGTGCTCCCATCTGGTTCCAATCAATCCGAAAGCCACATTGTTGAAAACGGTATCGTGAAAGAGAAACGGATCCTGCTGAACAAGGCCGATCCTTGACCTCCACCATTTCAAGTGGGTCTCATTGACATTGCGCTCCCCGATTGAAACGGTCCCGTGGTTGGGCTTTGGCGCTTCAGAATTGGCGTCACTTCCATCTGGCCTGGTCTTTTCACCCTTCGTCTCATCCTTCCCAGAGTCGTCACATTCCAAGCTGTACCAGCGCGCTAATAATGCGACAATCGTACTTTTGCCCGACCCAGAAGGCCCAACCAGGGCGGTTGTCTTGCCTTTCGCGAATCGCGCATTGAATCCGTTGAGCACCTGGATAATTGGTCTGGTAGGATAGGTAAAATATACATCTTTCAGTTCAAGGTCGTCGTGAGCAGAGACATCAGGTTCTGAGAGACCGTCATGGGCTGCCGGCTTAGAATCGATCATGGAGAAAAATTCCGGGGAGACACTGATTGCTTTGGTAATGGCCATCACCGGAGCAGCCAGCGCTCCCAAAACAGACATCACAATCAACACCGAGAAGCAGACCCTGTGCAGGTACCGTTAGCAGCAGCAACTGGGCACATTATATATATTCTTACGTGATGACGGTGCCAATGTTCGAGATGTGTCTTTCACGAAAGAGCTTGATACCAAACCAGAAGGCCAGGGCAAAGCTCGAGTACATGGAGAAAAACAGGGGGCCCAATTGGATGCCAAGCTGGACAGACATGGCCAGTCCCTCTTTTTGAGCATCCTCGACGCAAGAGAAATATTTTGCAGTCAGCGTTTTCTCTGCGTTCAACGAAAACACGGTCCGAATAGAGCCAAAGATCTCCCCTGCCACGGATGCAGCTTTTGCGTTGGCCTTCTCGACTCTTTGTAACATCTTGATAACGATTGGGGTACTTATGTGGTAGACAATGAGGATAAAAAGCAAGGCAGAACTAACGACCAGTGTCAAAGCCCACGAGTATCGGAAAGCGATGGCATAAGCCGTAACTGTGAGGGCAAGGGCCATGAACAGGGCGTGGAGTTTGTCCGAAATGCTCATCTGAATAGTGTTGGCCGAGGTAGTAATTGTATTTGCCACAGTACCGGGAGAGACCTCATCCAGCTTCTGGATTGGTTGCGCAAAGAGAGATTCGAGATAGGAAAGTCTAAGTTTTGCAGAGATTCGAAGGCCTGTTGTTCGAAAACAGAACTGGGACTGTTAATATGCGCAAACTCTGATGGAGCGGACGTGCCTGTACGTAGGCTCACCATAGAGATATACGTCAAGATAAACTTGCCAATGAACAAGTACACAATGTACAACCTGCAATATCCAATCAGTTGCAATGTTCTTTGCAGAATCTTGAATTGCCAGCATACGCATTCTTGCTGACAGAGGACTTGAATTTGGCTTCGGTCACCGAGCTATCTGGAACGAAGTACCCATTGAAGTCGCCAACCAGGTGCCCCAAAACGATGTTCATTAGTGGAAGAGCCTGAATTGCTTGTCAGAGTATAGCCAGCCAGTCTGCTTGAGATCGAGCCATACTGTCCCCGCTCCGACAGCGCACAGGAAGCCAACAAGTAGGGCAAAGCCATCGGTGGAAGTTCGATGGGAGAGAATGCGCTGTAGGACATAAGCATGAGACGGACAGCAGCTTAGCTGGGCATACCCAGTAGTTGGCTACAGGTGCCTTCTCTTCCTTTACATTTTCTTTGACGGTAATGGCAGCGTCTTTGACGACTCTCTCTGACCCAATCTGGGCCTCGGCCGATGGCGGCTGTTGTCCGGGTGCGCTCATCTTGAACAGCTAGCCATCAGTAGGTGGGCATGGTTCTCCCAGTCCTAGAAGTACACCGTGCTAGCATCAACGGGATCGAGGCGGCGTTGTATTGCGGCAGGAGGGGATGGAAGTCATCATGGAGGGTCGATCGAGAAGGGAGAGGCTCCTCTAAGGAGAGAATGTCCTTTACATGATGAAACTATGGAGCCTATTTTGTGCCCCCAGACTCGAGACGGGCGCCATTGGAGTCGACAAGGATGTACAAGGATTTCCGCGATGGAGCCTAAAAAGGAGACGAGTACGGATACGTCAATCAATCAGAGAAGAAGTTGGGTGGTGGTGGTGAATGATGAGGGAAGAGGTGAGTCGTTGCTGCCTGCGCACGTGACGACTGAGTGTTGATACCGCGGGGAAACTCCCCGAGGGATATGGGGATGAGAGGATGTCCTCCGGGGTGCCGGACCTTCATTACCTAAAATCCAGCGGAGTTAAAGTATGTTTCGTATTCGCGTTCGCATCCGTTTTCAAATGCTGACATGTTATATGAACCTACATTAATTTGGACCAAGCTTTGTACCTTCAAGGAGAGGAACATTCCATCATCCCATGTACAGAAAAAACCAAAACGGCCTCATGCCTAGAAATATCTTTTTCCAAAGCCCCACGCATCAGCCATTAGTAAATATAGGTGAACTCGTCGTTCTTGCGATCCGTCAGATCCAAGAAAGCCCTCTCACCCAGCTTGTGGCCATTCTCATCGACCTCCTCGTCCAACGGCGAGTACTTGTCTTCCATAGAATGATCTTTAATCACGGCAGCCTTGCCATTTCTGACTCGAGTCCTTGAATGGAGCTTGTTCAAGAACATCAAATTCACCAACTGCATGCCGATGACGGCCACCAGCGTGACGAAAACTGCAAGGACTTTTCGCAAGCCTGGATGATACGCGGGGGCGTCCTTCTTGTTGAACAGCAATGGGCCGATGATGTTGCCGGCGGAAGAGCCAGCATTGTAGAGAGACATGACGACCGATTTCTTGGTGGTGCCACCTGTGTTGCCTACAATCCAGGTAACGATCAAAGGGTTGCCACCGAAAAGGAATGCCAGGAGGTAATAAGCCACAAGCAACCCTCCAATGTTGCCCGAGTTACGGGGAAGGACGTAGAGAACGGCCAGGCCTGCAATGACCGGAATCATGAGGGCAGCAAGCACCGCAGATTTGAGCTTGGCCTTTTGTGCTGCATATGATGCGATCAGGATGACGAGCAGCTGCATGGCTCCAAAGGGCATGTTCAGCAGAGAGGTCTTGTATTTGTCAAAGCCGACGCCCTGGAGAATAAGAGGTCCGAAAGTATTGGTAACGGAGGCACCAACATTGAGCAAAAGCGACATTCCGATCCAAAGGTACGTCTTCGGCTCCAAGGCAAGCTCGGAAATGTGCGCCCATTTGAACTCTCGCGAACCTGTACCAGTCTGGTTGGCACGAAGACGTTCAATTGCTTGCGCCTTCTCTTGCTCGGTCAAAAATCGTGCAGAGGGGATGTCGTTGTCCAGAAACCACCAGACAACTGGGGCAGACACAATGGTCACCAGACCGACAAAGAGGAAAATGATCTGCCATTCTTCCAAAGTGCTTGACGGGATATGGCCCAGACCGTAGGAGAGGGCTGAAGCTGCAATCGTGGCCAAGCCGTTTGTTCCATACCAAGCAGCGACGCGGACTGGTTGTTCAGCACGACGATACCACTGGCTGGTAATCACGCTGAAAAGTGGCAGACAGCCGGCCTCGAAGAGTCCGAGAAAGAAGCGGGCAGCCATCAAAGAGCTGTAGTTGTGGCACGCGGCCATGGAAGCCTGTGCAACACCCCATCCCAAGCACAGAACGGGCATTAGGATTCGATGGGGCACCTTGACAATCAAGAAGGAGGAGAACGGCTGCCAGGCCAGTTGGGCGATGGGGGCAATAGAACCGAGGAGGGAATATTGGTCGCCTGTAAGGTTGGTATCTGTTTGGAGGCCGAAGAGCGCGCCATATCCGAGGACGGATTTGTCCAAGATCTGAAGGAAATAGACCCAGATGAGAATGGAGAGGATGACCTTATCGGTCTTTCTGCGAATCCGCTTGTTCTAGAAGAAAACTGTCAAACTCGGCCAGGGTGAAATTCTCGAGGAACCAACGTACATCTTCTTCGGTAAGTGGGATTCTTTCGTCTCCGACAAATGCCAGAGCTCGATCACCATGCTTTAGAGATGCCTTTCGATCATGGACGATGGCATCGTTAGACACGCGGGCAGATTCGATGTCTTCGTTGTGTGTCATGGGAGAGGGTTTTTCGTCCAGAGTAGCCATTGGGCAAGATGTATCCCTCAGCAATCCTTTGCTATGGTCACTGTCGTCAAACCGGCGATATCTTGCGATGTGCGATGGAAGGGGAGAATAAGTCGGGGTTGATATTGTATGGTTATATATGCAAGCAACGAATGGGGGGCACCCCAGCCTTCAGCAGGTGTAGCGCGAAGCTGAAATAGCGGAGAAGGGATTCGGGGTTTGAATCTGGAGCTGGAGGCAGAGAGCTTGTGGTTGCGGGATTCGTATGATTGCAGCCCAGGGTGTCATTCAACCTGCCTCTACAGAGCAGGCCACTTCTAAAGACTGGCCAACCTCAAGCTGGTGACAGTGACAGGAAGGACGCCGAGCCGAGAAACAAGCGAGAGGGATAGATGGAATGGGGACAATGACCTTGATAGCCGCCCTCACCGTGTGCCGGGGCTGAACAACCTGAAGGTCATGATGAAGTCAGTGCAGCGAGCAGACGACGTCGGCCGTCGTCGGCTAATGAACTCGTGTTGGTGATACTTACCTCAGTACCTACATAGGTAGGCAAGCACCCACTGTAGGCACGAGGGACAAGGATGCCAATGTCGCCTGGCAATTGACCGCCACTGGCACCCCGGGAAATGATGGTCTCTGCTGCTCCGGTTATGGACAATCTTCCACCATAGCCGGCATAGTCTCGGCCTTGGATTGCATGGTGAGCACGGTATAAGTGGAAGGCTTCCTCCGGCTTCTGGATTCTTGTTTTTGCCTGGAGAGTTGACATTTCGTAAGAAGTTGGATTGGGCGGGCGTCACTCGCCGTGGTCCAGCCATTCCGAATGCCCCCACTCAGGTCGACAAGAGCTCCTTATTAGCCTCTCCGTGGGGGGTTGGGGGTTGGACCCAAAAACTGGTATTATTCCACTGGGCTAGGGAGGCGTCCGTATCTACCCCCACGGTTGCCTTCTTCCCCCAGAATCTGGGGATCAGCTCCAGATGCACGGTGAACATCACCATACCTGTCAAAGTGCTGTTTCGTAAATCTCTTGTCCACGTTGATGTTCAACTGTCGTTCCAGCCATACTTTCCACCCGGACGGCATTAGACGCCGCCTGCACTGTCTGCCCCAGTATCTTTATGGCGGTGTCCGTTCTGCCTCGGGCGACTCCTTTGACTGATGCGAGTCAAGGTAGAGGGAAAATATCAGACCACAGCACTTCCGGAGCTACGGTGTTCGATATGCAGCCGTACTTTGATCTGGCGGGCCTTCCCATCGTTTTGGGGGCTTCGATGAGGCTGAGTTGAGCTTCCCCAGGTGTACAGCTGACTTGACTCATGTTCCCAGCACAGTGCCAGCCAGGGGTGCCCTTCGTGATGCGAATGTCGAATACCACACTGACAGACAACACAGAACATCTCCTAACTTCTCCATGCCGTGTTCTTCCCATCCGCCTGACGTCTTCTCCACTCGAAAACGAATCGATGAGATCTTATGGACGAGTGTCAAGATAGGGCCAAAGTGTGATACAAATCAATAGGTGGACGAGACTGTGCCGGTTCTCGAAGATACAGCAGCCCCTCCGCGGTGTGTCTGTACTTGTGCCTCTCAATACACGGAGATTGTACCTACAAGCTCTTGTTCCGCGGTCATTGTGCACACAATACTCCAAATGGCTGGATTCAATTAGTGTTCTTGCAAAGGGTTCTGAAAAGACATAACAAGACCGCGGCATGGAACACGATATAAGCTTGCCGGCATTCCATCGCCGTACTTGTTTGACAGAGCGATACGAGCTCTGTTCCTGCCTACGCCAGCCGGGGACACAGGCGGGAATTGTGCGGATTCAGAGGGTCGTACGGGTGTATTTCTTCTTGCGGAAGCGTGTGCATAACCAAGACCCCTTGTACCCCGAACACAGAGCTTCAGCCTCTCTTCATTGGAGATGAATATTGACGGTAGCTAGTGGCTGCTCATTGAGAGGAGAGTCTTGATGGTCCAGTAATCCTCGCTAGTAGAACAGGGTAAAGGGCCTAGTAGAATACACAAGAATCCATCGCAAGCAGCACCGGCGTATCTGCGTCTTCTATCTCTATTCCCTCTAAGTGTCATTTCTTCTGTCCATGTCTAAGATAGGTAAGCAGGCTCTTGCAGAAATCCATATGTTCACTTCTTTTCTACTCGTTCTCCTCCAAACGTTTTTCTCTGCCACTCCTCCCAATCAAACACCCCAAACCCCTCCATCCACGGTCCCGGCTCCCGAGCTTCGATTCTCACCCCGGCTTTGTCTCTGAAAAAGGCCAATCCGCCGGCTACCTCTCTCAACGGGTTCCCTTGCCCTTCGCCCGACCTCGCCACAGGACCAACATCGAAGCCGCACTTCTGATAGAAAGGCTCCTTGCCGTCTGCGGCGATGACGCTGGTTGAGATCCCCTCTTCACATGCCTGCTCGAGGCCCCAGGCCACCAAGGCCCGTCCTAAGCCTCGGCCTTGAAAGGACGGGTGTACCGCCAGACTTTCGAGGTACCATGACTCGGCACGCTCGCCCGTCCAGACGTGGTCGAGGAAGTTGTACGAGCGTTCGAGGACGTCTTCATTCTCAGGCGAGGCTGCGCGGTTGGGAGAGAGAAGCGCCCACAAGTTGACGAGCATTGATGCTATGGGTTTGAGAAGGCGTCCTGGGCAATTGAGGTGAGACGTTAGTCTAGCCATCATAGGTATGAGTACTTGCAGAGGGCGGGACGTGCGAAATGAATTGAGAAGAAAAACGGTTCCGACAACGTAAGGTGGTCTCAGTCTCCTAGAATTGGGAACTGGATAGAAGACACGGCATGTAATGCCAGTAGGGTGAGGTTGCGTATGTTGTTGGGGGATCATCTCCCTTCTGTGACGGAAAGAATCGAGAAAGTTGGCAGGGAGTAAGAAGCTATGGTAGTTGCATTTGCTTCAGCTCCTAGAGACTTCATTGCCACCATGAAACACCCTTGGCCCTCGTATCTCTGTTGAGACGAGCAGTGGAATATTCCACACTTGTGTCAGGGTAGAGTAAAGCAGGTGTAGCAGCGTTGGGAACCGAGCAAGCAACTTGAACTGCTGGCCCGTCCAAATCTCCATTGCGCTGAGCTGCAGTACCCACGAGGTTCGAGCCTTTCGAGCTTCAAGGAGCCGCCGTGAGAATTCGACCGTTCCGAAGTCCGTCTGATCGAGTGCGTTTTGGGTGGTCGCCGTCCTCTTCTCAATCTTGTTGCACTGGGCCAACCTACCTCGGCGCGTTGGCATGCTCGTCTAGCATAGTGCAGAGGTGCCAAGGTGAGTTGCCGTCGAGTGAACACCAAGGCAGGGTACATGAGCATGATACCATGGCATCAACAGCAACGAAAAGCCAAAACGCAGATGCATCAAAGAAAAGGTTCACGGAAGAAACGAGGCCAGATAGGGGAGAGGACCAGAGAAGATAAAAAGACAGGAACCACTTACTCGGATCCCACCACCGCAGGCCCCAGCCGGCCTGGTAATTCTCCCTCCAACTCGGTGCGATACGGCTCCAATGCGCAAAGCCCGTGATGACTTCAGCATCCTTCCGCTTCTTCTTCGCCAGGTGCTCAGACGTGAAGAGTGGCTGTGGGGATCCTCCTTTGCGGCTGGTGTTGGTTTGGTAGGCTCTGGTAGATACAGCCTCGTCCTCGTCATCAGGAACATTTTCTTTCGATCCCGATGCCGGTCCGTCCTCATCGTTGTCACCTTCGTCATTCACAGGCACAGTCTCAGTCGTGACGAGGAACACATGACTCCAGTCCCACCAATCCACCACGAACCGACGGTACCAGTACTTGTTGACGTCACCAGGATATGTGGCGCGCCGGGGGTGAATCACATTGCCGAAGAGCGCTTCGTCCCAGAATGCAAGGGTACACGTGTGCGCTGCAGGAGCGAGATCACTGAACCTGGCACGGCGGAGTGTCGACTGTGGCGTTTGAGTAGCTGCTGTCGTTGTCGCTCCTGTAGACTGGGAGGCGATAGTAAGGAGGGGTGTTGTTTCTAGCCGCAGCCTCTCTACCTCTGTCGTTGGTGATGACGATCCTGGCGAGGACGGTAGTGTGGCCGATGACACTGGCACGGAGTGTGACATATTGCTGATAGGGCGATGGTTGGTTGAAGACCCCAGCTGCTTGATATTTATCACTCTTGATCCCGGCAGGTTGTGTATACAGAACACAATGACCACCAAATCAATCGCGTAGATCCGCTTGGAACTGGAAGAACTCCGACAAGGCGCAAGGCTGCCTACACAGTCCAAGATGGCTGATTGGCTATATTGCTGTTAACAGGGCTAGAACAAACCCTGTGCCAATAGTCGTATGCACGCCTTGCAGCGCCCACGTAGGTGCGAAAGCTCACCACTGTCGAGCCAAGATGAGTGACTGGCTATGACCGCGAATCCGCGATCTCCCTTGCCTGATACCTTCGGCCAGTAGCACCCTGAGTGTACGCAAGGTTGTAGGGTGGCCACTCAAAGCCGGAGTAATCAGGGAGGACGACCAAGGAACGCTGTCTGGCTCCCTTCGACTCTTCGATTATGGTGAGTGAAGTACTCAGCAGGAGCAGAATGCGGGTGGTTACCAGCGGGTTCTAGCTGCTCGCGGACACGGAAGAAGACGCCTTTTTTCAAGGTGTTCTGAGGTAAGGTAGACCAAATTAGAAACTGGACAGGTCCGTGATCTGGTGCAGTCCCGTTCGGCTCTCGTCAGACAAGGTTGTGTGGTGGTTGGCCCTTCAAAGTGACTTCGGACGTGTTCTGTGATGTGCAGATACCAGCTGTATGACAGCCAATGCGGGAGCGTTAGGTAGGTATCTGTCCTTATCCTTACACGTCAGATTTCGGCGCCGTATAAGAATAGGGCCTAGTCAGCTCGGAAGAGCAACAGTCCTCGAAAGTTGCTACTGACCGCGCTTTCACTGCTCGCTGCGTGCCGAGATGCAAGGACAGCTGTCAAGAGCTGTCAAAGTCTGCTGGAGAAAGGGCGGTCGCCCGTTAGCAGCTCTGCGTCCAACGTGAAGACCGAACGCAAGGTGACAGACAGTATTATGTTGAGAGTCGGTCCGGATCTAGATACCTAGATACCTGAAAGGTAGGTACTTCGGTAGGTAAGGTACGTAACTTGCCTGCTCGATAGTGTGCCTGATAAAGAACCAGGTACCAGGTCAGTGCGTATCTCGTTCCCATGGGATTCATGCGACCTCCAGGGCTTAGATTCGGATGCTATGTATCCGATCTTTCGCACACGCCGTACCAGCAAACTAGCATCTGCCGGGGAAGAAGTGTGGGAATATTCCCCCTCCTAGGTACCTACTGTGTCCACCCACACCATCTACCAGTGATCTGGCGCCATGGTGGTGCGCTGCCGAGGCAACAAATTGTCGGCTACTAGTATTTGGTGGTATTTCCACTAAGAACTGACAGCTCTCCAACGGCGGAACGAGACGAAGAGAGAAAGATGGACTGGCTTTGGGTCCGGAACTTCGTCGACTCAGGATCTGTGTGCGGTTAGTTGACGATAGTACGTAGTAGTGGTGGGATCCTTAGGACTGGTCACTGCTGCTGGAGACAAAAGTCCCCGTAAATTTCCACTTGTTGATCCTGATCTGGCTGATCTAGTAGAAATGATAAAGTCGCCTGCCTCTGCTTACCGTGCATCACTATTTTGAAGTCTGGTGCTTTCTCTGCAACAGGTATATACCGCCTCCTCAATGAACGTCAACGTTGGCGAACACTTGTAGAGGCGAGAAAGTGGTCGGAATCCGTCAATGAAGTCACGCATATACTAGACTGGAAAAAATGATGCCCAGGAACTTCCCAGGTGACAGGTAGATGTACCCAAGTCTGCTGTGGCTCGACCTGTCAGTTTATACTTAGTGTCAAGCACTCTGCGACTGGAGAGCTCTTTACAGCACCAAATACCACCGACGTACCTTCAACATACAGCAGATCGAAGTAAAGCGCCAGGAAAGGTGCTTGGGAGTTGATTCTCTACAGACCGATGATCATGGAAGGAAACAATGTGTGACCGATCAGAAAATTGTACAGAGGCTGCAGAGCTCGCTCGTAAAGTACATTATTTCCCATGCTCATTGACCCCATACTCCCTTCCCTATATGTGTCCATCCAGGACATCTAGAATCCACCCTTCTTCCTCACTCAAGGCCTGCAGACTCCGTGCAAAACCCATGATCACGGCGTCCGCCCCAATAAGACCCACACATTCGTCGCCCCCGGGACGCCGACGCTATATCCCAGAATTATCGTACCTGGACATCATTGACGGCCTTCAGCCTTTCGTGCCAGCTGATTTTCAGAGACCGTTTCGGTTGGCTTCGTAGTGTATGTTCCATTGCACATCTTTGCGGATGATATGGTCTTGACTACCGCCACTGTCGATCGACTCTTGATCCCTCGTTATCGGCTTTCCTGCGTCGATCTGCTGAGGCAAACCTGACTGCGTCTCCATATCGTTGTATGACCGGTTGGCCGACCTTGACTTGGGGCCCCCTTTGACGTCCACTGTTCCAAGCTCGTACCCATTACTTCGACCATATCGTGGCGAACTGTATTGCCCTGTGCTGTCCGGGTCGAGCTGAATGCCAAACCCACTGCTGAAGCTCTTGACGAAAGACTTCAGGTTTGGGACCGTGGCCGCGATTATTGACCAGCACAGTTGCACCTGCTGGAGGACCAACGCAAGAACCAGCCCGAGCCCTGGATTGGGAGCGTTGGTATAGTCGGAAATGAACTTGAGATGGACAATAGATAACGCAGCGACTCTGTGCCTTTATAAGCGGGAGTACCACCTAGATTCACGGATTGGGAACTTACGGTAAACGGAAGGCAAAGGCAAGGACGACTTGGCACTTCATAAAAAGGGCCAGCTGAACCGGCCAGACAATGATCACGCAGAGCAACACCAATAGGCACTCTGTCGTCACGTCGAAGGCCGTGATCAGTTGCCAACGTAAGAACTGCATGCCATCAGCTCAGGTCTACGTGCATTTCCGAGACCCAATTTACCTGACGCGAACATTGGCCTTGGTCGCCTTGGATGTAGGCTGAGGTACGGCAATCGGCCGAAAGAGCGACAATGGACAGGAGTCCCCAGAGGCCCATGGTGACAAGCAAAATGATACACGTCCAGTATGATACTTTTGACCTCGCATGAGTATGCGTTTGCGATTTTGGTCCCGTCAGGTTGAAGAGCCTCATCATCAGATACAGCGTCGAAGTCTTTGCTGCCACAGCAGCGAGGATGAAGAATATGACGCCAGCAAACGCTGCCTGGAGGCAGGGTTAGTGACCGCAACCTCATCTCGTCTCGGCAACCTTACTTTGCTGGCCTTTTTCAATTGACTGGCAGCAAGCAGTTCTTCAGTCCTGCCTAGGCCATGATTGAGGCCAACGATGACCGCAACTACCTCACCAACCTGGAGCGCCTACGACAGGATCAGATGCTGACATGCATGACCAATATGAATTGCACTTACTGTTGCAGCTAAAGCCAGATAGTCATCCGTCCCGTACATCTTCCATCGCAAGTGACCTCTCACGAATATCGTGATAATCGAATAGACCAGGCATAGGAGCGCCGCAATCCAAAGCGACCCAGCATGATCATCTGGTGTTATGGGAGAGAAACGATTCTCATCCAAGGACGTCGCCATATTGACGCTTGACAGAACATGAATGACAAAGAGATTCAGGAAGAGGTATGGTTATGAGTTTCAATATGGGTCGTTTCTCGCTCGACGATCGTTGCCCGTTGGACTACAGAACGGTAAGCCACATGCTGGATCCATTCTTCCTCTGCCACGGATGGGGGTGCCTTTCCTCAAACTCTAGGTAGCTGCAGGCAATAAACCATGGCTGCAACAGGGTTCAAGACGGAGGTGTCAGATTCAAGCCATCCAAGCACGTCGAAGTCAAGTGGAAGTGCTTTCGGGTTGCGCGCGACAGGTTCCGACCTTGATTCAAACTCATTGATCCCTGCCTACTTACCGAAACAGAAGTTGTCCGTTGTGGCTGTCTCTCATACACCTTGGCGGAGATGGTGCCTGGAAAAAGAACAGACTAGAGATTCCGATAAGCAAAGAACAAATACTGAAATCTTGAAGCGCACGGACGCCAATGCATCCACACCAGCAATGGGAGCGTCGATCATATTTCCGCCAAAGTAGTTCCCTTGGCCGCGCAAAAGATTGGCTTGTCGCAAGTGCTGGGTTCCCACCACTGGACCCAGGGACCGAGCGATGGCACAAGTCCCAGCGATTCCCTGAGGTGGGGGCGGCTGGGCAGACGAGCTTGCATTGGATTGCGGGCGCTGGACAACGACAGTGGCGGGCGACTGAGGAGATGACAATCTTGAACTAGTCAATATGCCCCCATTGTTTCCCCGGCTGTATTGCTGAGTTAGTACAGAGTAGAGGACCTATGAACCGAAGGATGCAATCTGGCGTCCTCATTCCAATGTCCGTGGTCAATGTAGCGCTGGAACGCAAGCCGTGCGAAAAAGGCTTGTGGACCACCTTGTCCGTTATGGTCACGTCTTCCGATCATCAAGACGGCTCTCAAGGTCTCTGGAGTCGACAGATGGACAAGAAAGCACTCCTGCATTTCACGTCGACGCCGCTTACGCAAGTGTGTACGTGAACACCTTGGAAGCAATTGAAGCGTTCGTATTGTTGTGTGCCGGCGATTGGCTCTTGGGCCTGTCAAATGCAAGAACACCTCGGAGAGACCATGGATGGTAAAGGAGGGGAATTAGTATGCTGGAGGATGGCGCGTGTAGTATCATCGTCTGCCAGCGTCTTGCATTTCAGGTCCCGTTGCAGCACAATTGGATCAGGCGCGCATGGAGTACGAAAGAGGAAGAAGGTTCAGAGAATGGGTCTGGCAGAGGAGGAAACGCCGGCTGCGAACTCTACTGCCGATAGAGGAATGTTGGTGTCACTGATGTGATGATCGCTCAGAGGCAGCTTCAAGTTTGGTGTTCAAAAGTAGCCACCAATCCAACAAGCGGGCTTCCTTGACCAAGGCAAGCTCTGCCGACTAACCATGTCCGGAGGTACAATAAAAGACAGCTCAACGGATGTGAAAGTCCATGCTGTCAGAAGGCTGCCACCGACAGGGAGAATGAGAGAACGCAGCAGAAGTGACTTGCTAGAAAAAGGCAATATCCGCTGGTCTTCTGGCATGCAGCTGTGTGTCCTGTCAGCGTCCTCGTCTTCTGTGCTGGTGTGCCACTGCAGTGGCATGGGTCAAGTGTAAGTGTTCTGTCTGGCAGCGACTTGGCAAAAACACTAGTTGCCAGCGAAAATCGGCCTGCAAAAGGTAAAATAAATATTCTGTCAGACAAGCTGCTTTTAGTGTGTACCTCCTTTCTTGCTGCTCCCGTTCCTGCCTCTTTCAAGTTCCTTACAGCCACCATGTCCATGCAGGATTCTTAGGACCGCCGCCGAGCCTCCTAGGCCCTTCACGGCGGCCTGGAAGCCTCCTCCGGGGCTGCCAACAGGGTCTTAGGGTCCCACCAGCAGTCTAATCCACAATGCCACGGATACGGAGCTAGTAATGTTAGGTAAGCAAATCTTGACCAGATCCTGGTGACGGTTGTTGGACTCCTTGCTTGGCCTCCAGTTCGCCCTCCCATTCTCGACACAGTGCAGAGTACACCCTGTTCATTCTTACCTCTGGCGCGGCTTGGAGCTTTGGCACTGGATTCTTCTTCTCCCTCGCTTTATTCTTGCATTAGCGTCAAGAACGGCAACTTGAGTTCGCCAACGCACCCTTGTAGCTGCCTACGTTGTCGTCTGAGCTTCCGAAGCCCATGGTTGAGGGTCCATGCGGACAAGGCTTGCCATTCCCACTCTTCTTCCTCCCACGGCTGCTTCCAGCACGTTGTCCCTCTCGCCTCATTGGCTCCTTCGCCGGCCACTGGAGAGCTTCTGCGCTCAGGATTGGATGGAGAGCAAGGACTTCATGTCAAACGACGGCTGTCATTCAAGCCCGCCCGCAAACGATAGTGCACCGAACAGACTTCAACGCTAGGCTGGCCACCTCGAACGCGCTGGGGTTGGAGTGAAGGTACACCTATCCTAGGGCTCTTGATCGCATGGTGCGATTCGAAGGAGCTCGAAATTGTCGTGGTACCCTGGCAGTATCACCTTACAATCCTGCTTCAGGATTCTGATCGCTTTGGAAATGAACTCTACTGCAATAAAGGGGGGTGACGATTGACTTTCCTTTGGAAGGTCAAGATACCATTGGGCACTATCGGGACCAATTGATCCCAAATGGCAACCGATATCGAATCGGTTTTGACGGCTGGCCTGCGGTTGCACACGACCAGGTTGGAATGGTGGAACTTTCAAGTTGATGGCTGTCGCTCCTCTGTCTCCAGTTCCGAAATGCGACGATGTTCTCTTCAAGAGCCGATCTCTTACCTTGCATCCTATTGTTCTCTCCAGTACGGTGGACTTTCGACCGGCCTTGAACCGTACCTATCTTTGAGGCTTGTTGTGGCTTATCCTGACCCCGCAAGACCAAGACGCCGTCGCACCCTATGTGCACACGGGTTGTCTGGCCTACAACTTGGATTTCAAATGTCAGTCGCCAGTTGAGGTCGGCTTCGTTTGAGATTGGCGTCCTCCCCCCCGGCTCGCGCAACGTCGGCGCTCCTAACTTGCATTGGTTGACGTGATCGTCTCAATTCCCTTGCTTCAAGTGAGTCCCCTTTCGCTTCTGCCATCCTCCCTAGGGCAAAGATCTGCAACACTCCTTAACCACATGGGAATCCATGGACACATGGCAGTCAGTGCTATGTCTCTTTTCCTTTTTCCTGGCTTGTCACGAATCTTCCTCCTCCCCATTGTACCGCAATCCAGGAAAGTTCGTCAAACTTGGCTCTGCTGATACTGGAGACGAGAGCCTCGCCGACTGGCACCTGTAATATAACTTCGACGCATCTTACTTTCTGATAGAATACTTCATCGCCAAGTACTCAATACACGGTCAAGATGGCGGACCCGAAGCAGAACGAGGTCATCACCTCCCAGATCGATCTGGAAACATCAAGTGAAAATGTCTCCTCAGAGAAGAAGGGTACCCGTGATGACCAGCGGGATATGTTTCGTTTGGGAAAGGCCCAGGAGTTGCGGGTCAGTTCCATCACCGCTCACTACCGCGACGATTGACTAACAATGCCAGCGAAATTTCCGATTTGTGTCTATCTTCGGCTTCTCGATGATACTTATGGCCAGTTGGGAAACGGTGTTGGGGTCAGTATATGACATCCCGGAGTACCTTGGGGAGCGTATTCACTGATATCTGGGCATAGTACTTCCATTATTGGCCTGATCAACGGCGGCACAGCTGGTATGATTTGGATGTTTTTGGTGGCTTGGATTGGCTTTCTCGCTGTGAACACCTCCATGGCTGAGATGGGCTCAATGTAAGTCATGGTCAGAGTGATTGTTAAAGTCAAACCTGTTGACGTCGAGCCAGGGCACCAACTTCCGGGGGTCAATACCATTGGGTTTCAGAGTTCGCGCCGCGACGGTATCAGAAGTTCATGAGCTTTATAGTTGGTGAGGTGAAGCGAGCGTACACCAGCTTGTCCCGAAATTGACTCTTCGTAGGATGGCTTTGCGTTCTCGGATGGCAGACTGGTGCGGCAAATACAGGTACGGAGACGTCTCGTATCGAACGACGATGGCTACAGAACATCGACCTCGAAGGACAAGACTAACGGGAACACAGCGTTCCTGGCTGGTACGCAAATACAGGGCCTGGCTATCCTGAACTATCCGGATTATGTGCCTGAGCCGTGGCACGGTACTCTTCTGACATTCGCCGTGGCCTCCTTCTCGGTCCTATTCAACACGTTTCTGGTCAAAAAGCTCCCTCTGATCGAGGGAATTGTGCTGATTGTGCACGTCTTCGGCTTTTTCGGCGTCCTCATCACACTGTGGGTTTTGGGCCCGAGAGCGAGCACTCACGAGGTCTTCACGACGTTCAACAACTATGGTGGCTGGAGCTCTGATGGTCTTTCTGCCATCGTGGGTATTCTGGCCGTCATGATTCCATTGTTGGGCGCCGACGGAGCTGTGCACATGTCCGAGGAACTCCGCGATGCCTCGAAAGTCCTGCCACGCAGCATGATCGCCACCACTCTCGCCAACGGCGCGATGGGCTGGATCATTCTCATCACCTTCTGCTTCACCTTGGGCAACTTGGACGACGTCATCGATTCCCCCACGGGACAGCCGTACATCGCTGTCTTCTACACGGCTACTCAGTCTTATGCCGGCGCTTCGGTTCTTTCGGCGCTCGTCATATTCAATGCAATATTCTGCAACCTGTCCATCACTGCGACTGCTTCCCGTCAGCTCTGGTCATTTGCTCGTGACCAAGGTGTGCCTGGTTCGTCCTGGTTTGCATATGTATGTAAAGTGATGTACCGGGGATGGATCCTGGACTGACCACTTTCACAGGTTCGGCCCGGCTGGGATGTACCGATGAACAGTATCGTCGTCTCTTTCGTGGTGTCTTGCCTCCTCTCTCTCATCAATATCGGATCCACGATCGCACTCAACAACATCACCTCTTTGTCCCTGGTTGCGATCCTCTCTTCGTATATCGTCTCTATCGGATGCCTTTTCTGGAAGCGCCTGACCAATCAACCTCTCCTTCCCGCCAAGTTCACGTTCTCGCGACCGGTCGGGCTCTTCTTAAACGGATTCAGCCTCATGTTCCTCATTTTCGCGTTTATCTTTGCCTTCTGGCCCAGCAATCCCAAACCAACGGCGGCGCAGATGAACTGGAGTTGCCTGATTTTTGGAGCCGTGTTGGTCTTTGCGGTACTACACTACGTCATTAAGGCTCGACATGTGTACGATGGCCCTGTGGAATATGTACGAAAGCTTGTCTAGGCCGTTATTCGCTTTGATTCGAGCGCGAAGGCACACTGTATCACGGGTGGTGCTTTGGGCACCATACCTTGCAATCTGGACAAAGTCGGTTGGCAATTTGCAGCGTCGAGCGTGTAACAGCAAGCGGTCTCCGGGAGGTCTGTGTGTTAAACTAGATTCAAGGGTCTATGAAGAGGGACTGGAGACATGGCAAGGTGTGTAACTACAAGATTCGTCTAGCACTCTTGTGTGGCCAGGATGTACAGTCTCACTGCCAGAACAAATTTATGAAATTACCTACTGAGGTCTTTCTGCCCTATTCAACGCTGGACTTCCGCAATCGAAGATACATACATGTCTCTTTCAGCAATATCGTCCCCATCTGTAGTGTTCTGCACGATCATACTCTTGCTGGAGGCCTTCACTGTTGGTCTCGACAGCGTCCACCAGTTCCTTGAGGACGATCCTCTTCATCTTCATGAATACCTTCATGGCGCCGGTCGCCCTGGCCGGATCAGCACTGGACATGATTGCTGAGAGCTGCTTCGGCACGACCTGCCATCTGACACCGTATTTGTCGCTCAACTACCCACACCTCCGACTCGGTTCATCGCCCCCTTCGCTCAACTTGTACCAGTAATGGTCGATTTCTTCCTGCGAATCACACATGATCTGGAAGCTGATGGATTCGTTGAACTTGATTTCCGCAGGCTTGGAGTTCAGCGCGGTGAATGTGTGACCATTGAGAGTGAAATTGACGACCATGACTCGTCCGGCAGGCTGTTTGTGGATCTCCTGACCGGCGTTCGGAAAGCGAGTGACTACTTCGATGGACGAGTTGGGAAAGATAGAAACATAGAACTTGGCTGCTTCTTCAGCCTCGCACTCGAAGAAGATACAGTTGACGATATTGGTAGATGATGAAGCCATCGTTCACGTCCCGTCACACAAGTTGACCACGGTCTTCAATCGGTTGCCGTACTTCCTGAACTGGATGGTCATCCAGAAGTGTTGAATCCTCTGTATTATGTCCAAATGTGTGATCATCCTGCTGGTACTCTTGCGGTCGAGAGAATATGATGGGTTCTCTATACATCTTCAGGAGTCGAGACACTCTCGTATATAGAAAGCATATTCGACCTCATTGCCTCTATGATGCCTGTCCAAGCCGGGCAGCATTCTGCGCCAAGCGTAGGGTATTTACATGGAAAGAAATCCTGACAGTAACGGACCGACTTGACCATGACCTAGCTCCTCGCTGTTTGCTCACGATCCCTGAGTTGCTGTGCCTCATCTACCATGATGAGCTGGAGGATGGAAATCTGGCAGGATACGAGGTGCTCCTAGGTAAGTCCTATGATTGGCTCACACGGGTTTTTCTGCCTGTTGAAGCTGGGACACCCCAGCTCCCTGGAGACTTCTTCGTCCTGGGGACACACAAGGGTGCCAGCGTCATAACTACCTACGGCATTATACTGTCACTGCTTCAACGCAGTCACCGTCGATCCACTGGGCGATCCTGTCTTCAGCTTCAGGCCAGCTCTCTCCTCTCAGCGCTTCAACAGCTCCGTGTGGTCGGCTGTAGGATCAAGAACGGCCATGGAATCCTGAAATACTTGAGAATGAGATCCGGCAACTCGGTACCAAAATCGAGTCTGTCAAAGAGCTCCTTAGAGATCCCAATGTCCTTGACCAACAGGGCCAGCTGGAATCCAGAGGCATACCTTCGCGAGAGAGCATCAGTAGCATAACTGTTGGTGGTCGAGAAATTGCGTCCCGTACCGACATTGAGCACGTCGATCATCTGAATTGGATCCAGCCCGAACTTCTGCCCGGTGACGAGGGCATCGGATAATGCGACAATGGACGCTGCGCTGATGTAGTTGTTGAGTGTCTTCATCGCGTGGCCGGCTCCTAGCTTGCCCATGTGGAACACATATTTCGCCATCGCCTGCAGTACTGGCAGCACTTTGTCCACAGCCTCCTGTGAGTTCGAGCCAACCATCAGTGTCGCGTCTCCTGTGTCGGTGTCATGCAGGTGCGCTTGTGTCACGGGCGAGTCGACCAGCACAAATCCCAGACCTTCCAGGTCTTTGCCCAAGCTCTGTGTGTCGAATGGCGAGGACGATGAAGTGTCCACTATGATGGTGCCTGATTGCGGACCGAGTCAGCTTCTTGTGTTGAAGAGGGTAATTATCATGTTGGACTTCTCGTTCCTGCCTTCGATGCTTCTCACTTGACGCTCTCTTCAAACCTACTGCCTTGTCACTACCTGCGGAGCGGAAGGATCATACTGGCTTCAATCCTTTTGCAATTCCAGTTTCTCCCAATACCACCTCCCTGACAACCTTGCCTTGCGGCAACATGGTGACAATCACGTCACAGTCTCTGAACCCTTCCGGGCCAGCTTCGGCTACGGAGGTATTCGGGTTCTCTTCAGCAAACTTCTGCTCCCGAGCATGTTCGACATCTCTTACAATGAGACGGAAACCCGCTCTGGGTATGTTGGACGCCATGGATGCTCCAGCCTTGCCGAGGCCAATATATCCAATTGTCTTGAGAAACATTGTGGTTTGGAAGCAGGGAAAGTGGGAATACACAATCGTGACAGAAAGCCTGTTTGCTTGAGACAAAGTCTGGGCCAATTTTACGAAACCCAGCCCGAGTAAATGCTTGACCGTCAGAACCCTTCGGTGAAGATATATGCGCGCTTCCCAATTACCAATAAACTTGAAGGTCCCTTGTCTCCACCCCAGGTTTGGCTCGGACATTGCTCGGCCCAGGGGAGTGAGTCCCTGGGCCAAAATTCGAGTGTCCATCAATTCCTCACTTGGCTGTGCTCCTTCGACGGCATTGGAATGGCATCTCCAAAGGGGTGAAGAGGGGTAAACGCGCCACGTTGCAATGCTGATAAGTGAGATTTCCAGAGATGCAGTGGTTCGTGGTCACTTTGGCAGGGTGTTGTCCTACAAGACCAACGAAGAATTGCGATTTTAGCAAGATCAGACAGGATATGTCCCATAATATCGAGAGTCGAGGAAACGCACTAACCAGTGCGCGGGAAGGCAGATTCTCCATCCAGAGATGGCACTTGCTCAATGCTCAACAGCCTCGCTTGCTCACAAGCAATGGTGTTCATCAAACCACAATTGTGAAATGGGATTTCCCCGGAGAGAAGAGCACGCACATCGTCCGGGGAACCTTCGCATAGGGCATGGATACCTACCTAGGTACCCACCAAATCTTACATCTGTCATTGTCTACCCCGTGTGGGTTCATTCCAGACTTACCCATGGTGGGACTATTCCGTATCCGGGACTTCCTCCACCTTTCACGCTCAAAGGCTCCATCTCCGCAACCACTCGTCTTTCCTCGGCAGCCGGCATATGGCTTTCGAATTGTGTTCGAAACACCTACCCCCCTGGGACAGGAACTTGTGGGTACCTTGTTTCAACATGTGATATTTAGGCTTCCCGAGCTGGGGGATCCGAATATGTCCTAATTCTCGCAGTCCGGGCCGGATGGATTTATCCCCTTTGTGATCTGTGCAAGATGCGCATCGGAAAGAAATTGTTCTGGTTTCATGACGCTTGTGAGATATCTACCACACTCAGCTGTTGTTAATCCACAGGGCCCGAACCACAGCCGTTCGTTAAGGTCATCTCACCACAGGGAGCAGCAGAATACATCAAAGCCGCCGTGATACAAAGAGATTGGACCCCAGGTGGAGCGAACACTGTCTGAGCCTGAGGAAGCAAGTATATATGAGACAGCATATTTCCGACTGAAGTCTCGCCAAAATGGGATCGGTAGGAGGCGAGCATTCGTTCAGGGGTAAGTGGACTCCAGGATAGTCGTCGACAGAGGAGACATGCTGATTCATTATCTCAGTCATCATAGTGGGTGCAGGGTTGGGAGGATGTGCTACGGCTTTGGCAATGCACCATGCCGGCTTCGAAGTGGTCGTGTTTGAGAAAGTCAGGGAATTTCTACGACTGGGCGACTCACTCGGTCTGGGCGAGAACGCGTTGAAACTGCTCGATCGATGGTCACCGTACCTTCGTGCCCGGCTTGTCGAAATCGGCAACAAGTCTGAGCTGATGCAGATACGTCGTTGGCATGATGGCAAAGTATTGGCTCAACAACCCTTAATGGATATGGCGGGCTTCATTGGCCATCGAGGAGATTATCATCGAGCATTTCTGGATGCTGTTGCCGAAAAGGGGATTCCTGTTCATATGGGGAGCGAGGTGAGTTTGTCGGTCTGAAGGGTTATCTAACGAGGGTGTGCCTCGACTACGGCGAGGCTGGCAGGCACATCGTCAGTTGACTTGGGAGATTTGGTCTTGGTCTGACAATTGTTCGCCCAGGTCGTGGAGTACGACGATTCAAGCCCTTCGGTGACACTGAAGAACGGCGAACGACATTTTGCTAATATCATTATAGCGGTTGATGGTGAGTCTGACTTGACATCTGCATTTACTTATATCCTTTTTCCCCAGTTGACAAAGCTCACCTAGCATGTTTCCCACATACCCCCTTGCCCCTGCCACAACTGGGTGCTCCCTATTTTGATTCACGTTTCCATTTCCCTTGAGACAACCGATTGACATCAAAAATCTCCTATTCTAGGAATCAAATCTCGAGCACGCGAGCTTGTCCTTGGATTTGACGACAAGCCCAAATCCTCAGGCTACGCTTGTTTCAGAGCATTCTTCAAGGGATCCCACCTCCGCGGCAACCCACTGGCCGCCGAGTTCGTGGAACAGGAATGCGTTAACATCTGGATCGGCAAGGATAAGCACCTCGTACAAAACACACTGCGCAACGGCGAAGAGTTCAACTGGATCATCACACACAAGGATACCGAGGACATCAAGGAGTCGTGGTTCCAGCCGGGAAATATGGACGAAGTCCGTCGTCTGGTGGAGGACTGTGACCCGCGTATTGCCGCCGTCGTCAAGAAGACGGAGGCCTGCCTGGACTGGAAGATCTGCTACCGTGATCCTATCCCAACTTGGGTCAGTAGGAACCACACCGTGGCGCTGGTGGGGGATTGTTGTCATCCGCATCTACCTACGAGTGCGCAGGGCGCTAGTCAGGCCACGGAGAGTGCTGCTGTGCTGGCGCAATGCTTGTTGTTGGCTGGGCGAGAGAACGTTCCTTTGGCGGTATGTTATTGGCTTCCTTATCTTATGTTTTTATTCCTTTCATCGCTTTCAAGTCCTGAAGTTGGGAGGAGTGGTGTTGCAACAGCTTGAGTCTTCTGTGTCCCCGAGCATCGTGCTAGTACCGTGCCCAAACTACCTGGAAGTCCCTATTGCTGCTTATCTGGCCAACAAATACAGCTAAGCTCAGTATCTGAGTTATTATGTGCTAACTCGGGGTGTCCAGACGAGGGTCTACGAAAAGCTTCGTTTCCCTCGTGTCCGTCGTGCCCAGACAAACGGTGAAGACCTACGAGATCGATGGCACAGCGCTTTGGATAAAGTGGGGGAAGGCGAAGAGATTGATCCGGACAGCATATTGATCAAGGTGAGTTATTCTCGATTTCGTCCTGCTTGAAATCGGAGAGAAAGGTGGCAGCCACTAACTGATTCTCCTCCCCAGAACAATGTCCTCTACGACTATGACGCCGAAGCAGACACCAGGAAGCGATGGCCAGAATTGTCGGCTCTTGTGAGCGAGGAGTTGAAGACCGGGAAGATCACCCCCTTATGCTAAAGTCTCTCCTTCTTTCTGTTCAACATTGTCAACAAATGTTTGGGCATCCTGGTTTACCTCGAGTGCCTCCAACTCTCCGCTGATGCATCCTTTCATAGAAGCTTCGGATTGCCCTACGACCATCCCTGTATCAATGGGGAGATATTCATCTTATTCGTAATACTATAATCCCCCTTTCAATGCTGCATACAACTTCGGGCTCACGCCATCCTTCAACATATTCCTCTTATCCCCGTCCAAGATCTCCCAGCCCAGCCCTCTGTAGCGTTGACCCCAGATGCCATTTCTCCCTGGTGCCAAAATACTATTGGGATCCAAAGCATCCTTGATCGTCTCATTGAACTTCCTCAACGCGCCATGATTCCAACCATAAGTTTCGGCAACCTGGTCGGCGAAGAGCAGATGGGTGCGATACTCACCGTAGCCAAACTTGGCAGTTTCCCGGATCATTTCACGCATAAGACTGGTAGCCCGCTGCTTCGCGTCACGGTCAGCCCGATTGTAGACGATGTTGGCGATATAATGCATCTCTCTACCCGCCACACACATGGTAGGGAAGACATCGAAGCCGTATTTGGCATGAAGTCGCGTGATGATGCCGTGGATGAGACTGGCGTCTTTACCTTTCGTCGGTGAGATGGGCGAGAAGAACAAGTGCGCCGCGTTAGGCACCCAGTTCAACCAATCGAGCTCGCGGAGTGCAGGCACGCCGCTGCACACCTGCACCCGGGAATGGAGATAATGATCGGCGGGGACGTCAGAAGGGAACAGAAATCTGCTGCCCTGGATCTGGGAGAATGCTGATCGAATGATCTCCAACTGTGCCTTGATCGATGTAGGGTCTCCGTACTGCGTGCCGTAGAATATCCAAGATACGTCGCCGCAGGGCAGCGTTGATGCCCGTTCGCGAATCACGTCGCGCGGCATCCGTCCTGAACCATTGTACCAGAAGGAGCGCGGCTTGCCTGTCACAGCCAGCTCTTGGATGACGTGGCGAAGCTGTGGGATGTTGCCGAGGACTCGCTTTTGGGCCAGCGGTCGAATGATCTCGACGATTCGTGAGAAGTCTTCGTCGCGCGGGAACGTGATCATGTACGACTGGTGTCCTGTCTCGGGCATCAGCCAGAATCCCATCTTGGTGATGATCCCGTAGTTGCTCTGGCTGAAGATCCCGTCGACGTAGGGTCCGTAGGCGGCTTGGAACGATTGCCATGTCGGATTGTCTGATCCGTCTTTCCCGGGCATCGCACCCATTCCGGTTCGAAGAACTTCTCCGGATGGAAGGACTAGTTCCATGCCGCAGTGGTTGGCGAAATGGTCTCCATATGGCGTATACCTGGAGACGGAAGCAATGTGTTAGTTAACTCCGCCGGTAAAGCTGCCCCCATGAAAAAGCTGTCCCCATGAAAAAGCTGTTTGCTTGGGATGAAATGGATTACATACCCGACGCCCCGATCTATCGCATTCCCTAAAACACTGCCCCCGCCTAGATCCGGACAATCGATCCACAGGGGCAGTCCTCGTCTTTGGATCTCTTCGTACAGTGCAAAATACGAAACCCCTGGCTCGACGATACACGAAGCATTGTCCGCATCGATGTCCAGAATGCGATTCATTCTTCGGCCCATGTCGACGACAATCGAGCCTGGGATCCTGGGTGCTGCCCCACCGTAGCCGATATTTCGTCCCATCGAGATAGGGTAGATGGGGATGTTGTGCTTGTTGGCCCACCGCACGATCGTTTGCACTTCAGCCGTGCTGGATGGATATACCACCGCACTGCAGATCAGTTCCTCCTGGTCTGCGATGTGATATGCATCGTGCGTGTTTCTGTGATTCTGAAGTTAGAGCAAGTCCCAATACAACTTCCCGAGTCAATCCAACGTCTGCTTACGGATGTTCCATGTACCAACCATCCACCAATGGCTTGTCGTTGATCTCTACATCCTCGTCCCCGATAGCACCTTTCAATTCGGTGATCGCTTGACCGAATTGTTCCCTTGATACTCCAGGAGGCAAAATGGTCTTTCTTCTTGCAGTACTATCGGGCAGTGTTTTCTGGGAGTACAGCCTCGCCTTGGCATCGACGGCGTCCTGTCGTAGTCGAGCTGGGACACCGCTATACTTCGAATCCAGAATCGGAATGGAGCCATCACCGCTCGATGCTGGAGACGACATGATGCAAGCCCGTTTGATCGATATACGCAATATAACTTGCAGAATCTTGCTAGGGACCAGACACACCTTCAAGTATCGTGGCCTTGGTGATGAAGACCTAGAGCACCGCAATACTAACCGGTGAGCTTTCTCTAGGGTTACGAAAACCCATCGAGCACTTTTCCGAGCGTGCTTCCTGATTCCATTTGGAGCATTTCCCTTACCCCTCATGCGCTACAAGCAATATCAGCCAGCGCGAGTCTGCTGTAGTGCCAGCATCTGCCAGAGGCGGTCGACTGTCGAGGTGGGTAATTTCCCCGAACCCCGGCACACTTTTGGGTCCCCATATCTCGAAGGAGTCAGCCACCATCTCCATATCTTGAGGACTGGGCCACCTCGCTTGGGAGCCTGGCCTCCTTGTAATCCAGTTTGCACAAATGAAGATGTTCGAGCTGATAGCGGAAACAAGTCACGATGCGCCATCTAATAGAAAAAAGAGCCTTGCCCAGCCTAGTCAGACAGTACGGGGCTGGCTGTGTTGTGCTCTATCATATACAAGATTATCGCAATTAGATTCCGCAATCGACCATAGGATCAAGAATCCAGCGCTTCCCGTTCGCTCAGCGGTACTTAAGCTTGATACCGGTTAGTTAGTACTAGAGTGGGTGACCATCTGGGAATCCTGACTGTTGATTGTTTTTGTATTTTTTGTAGGATAGAGCAATGCTTCTTTATCAACCATGTTCTCTGGGAAGAAGAGAGACTGCTTTACTGAGTAGTTTTTGTTGTGAACAACCATCGTATAGTCGATAGTACGAGTGTATGTGTGTATTTGTTATGTATGCGTGCTGAAATGACAATGTGGATCTCGCTGGAACGGAGAAACTTAGAACTTGAATGATGGGGGCATGTTGCAACAAGAGACTGTGAATGGACAGCAAGTTGGAGAGGGGAGTTCCCCCGCTTCACCTGGGCAAGTCGTGACGCTCAATCATATGCAAGGAGATGGATACTTGAGAAGCGGAGCGAGAGGGTGATGCCATTGTTCTTGTGGAATAAGCATGTGCAAATGCCGTCATTTTTTTGGCTGCTTTCCATCTTTCGACTTGCTTCTCAGGTTGAGGCGTACTAGAACTGCGTAAAGCATAAGCGTAGAGAAGCTTTGCCACAGACGAATCATCTTCTAAGGATCTTCCTCAAATGGGACCCTTGGCTATCACAATCTGCTGGAAGGGGCATAAAATCCAAGCCAACACTAGACAGTCCTGACTTAAATCCATTCGTGGCGGGCCGAGCACTGCTTTCAGTGCCGTTCGAGGGAGAATTGGCAGTTTCCGGGCGAGGACAGCTCGCATTCTCAGTTGTGGCTTCGGATCGTTGGACGATCAGCCGAGTAAGAGTCCAGTAACTGTCGGCAGAGGTTTCGAAGCCCATTTCTGGAACCGCTGACCTTGCCACTCTGGCACGAGCTTCGTCCCACAGCAACTTCCAGTTGGCCAGGGCCATCTTCATGGGTTCGAAGATACTGGGCGGTGCGCAGGCGAGCCTGGAGGGTGATACACGGTTCAGTGGGTTTCCCAACAGGTGCTGCCAACAGTGTGTGAAGAGCACTGTCCATATTAGCAGCTGATCCTCATGAAGGAAAGATTTTAGTTGTTAGCAGACCATACTTACCGTGGATCAAATAAAGCATGTCCCAACAACAGAGTACTTCATGTTCGTATACAGGCATTAGCTCGTCTGATGGGGTAAAAAGTCTCTGGAAAGCATCAATCAACTTCATTCGAGGCCAAGGAAATAACGATCGTTGCAGCATCTCCGCGTAGCTAGAGAGGTCGAAATATTCTGGATGGCAGGGCAGCTGCAAATCTAGCTCGCAGTAATTGATCCGTGGAGGGACGTTGTTGAATATCCCCATGGCTGAATCCAAGGCAAGGATGATGTTCATCGTCCTAAACATGGACAGTCAGCAAGCAGATCCCCAGCAATCTTTCGGTGGGCAGCGCGCTCACCGGATTCGGCTTTCATTTTGCATCCATCGTTGAAATGAAGCCTCATCGTGGATGACAGTCATGCTTCCATGCTGGGCTGTTGGCAGGCGAAACGCTCTAGCGATCTAGCAGGCTTTGTTAGACACGTGGAGTCTGAGACGATTAAGAGATAGGCCACTTACACTCGTGATTGTGCAGAACCTCTGTCGTCTTGCCCTCCTTCGTCCGGCCAAGTTACCGGAGAAGAATTGAGTGACAACCATCAAATATGCCCCTTGAAATATCTGAAACTGGTAGTTGAGGGTCTCTTCATCTGGTGCTTCTGTAAGGCTGAAGCCACCCATAAAATCGTCCCTGAGACCGGGCAGGCCGAATATATATGCCTCCATGACATCGAAAAGACTCTTCATCCAAGCCACCTTGGTGGGATCTGGGGAGTACATGGCACCGAGAGCAGCCGTGGTAAGTAGGAGAGGTATTGGCACTATCGTCGGTTGGAAAGACGGTCGATGGAGGATGGGACAATGACGGTGATAGTTGTTGAAGTACAGGTTGACGCAGTAATCCAATTCGATATGGGTGAGCAGTTGGATAGCACCGCCCAAGTGTCCCAGCCTCGGATTATCTGGATAGGCCATGGCAAGGCTGGATGCTGTTCCCATCAAGAGTTGTCTTATTTCGAACGCCCGAGGCTCAAGAGCCATGTCCATGGGAGATGACACCCCACCTTCGCTGATTATCTCCGACAGATCGTGATGCAACGGGAAGTTACCGAAAGTCATCGTCTCAAACCCTCCAAGGAAGTTATCAAAAGCTACGCCGAGCTCAAGCATCTCTGCTCCAATAAAGACATCGTTTGCGTCGTAGTCATCGCTCCAATGTGACGCTTCCGAAGAATCCTCTGCTTCAGCAATGACAGCATCATCATCGTCGCCAGTTGGGTCCTGTGCCGTGTCACGAATCGGAAAGTGTCCGATGAAGTCGTCATCTTCTGGAGCATTGAGCAGATGGTGGATCGGTATTGCATCTCGACTTTTGGGCCTAGAGGGATCTTGTCGATCATGCGGACACGAAGCTAATCCGAGACAGGTCAACATTTTGCAAGCTGGAAGCTTGCAATACTCACATCTAACACACTCCTTGCCCAGTTCTTGGCAGCGACCGCAAGGTGTAATTTGATCGCATCTCGTCCTCAACTTGACGCACGAGAGGCATGAGGACCTTTTCCTGCCTTTGCTCTGACCTTCTGGAACTGGTGCTTCTCCTCGTTCTTTGCAGCGGAACTGATGTGCTCGCAGTACATCGCTAACGGGAAGTCAACGAGTGCTTGATATTCAGAGAGAATATTGTGATTCACCTTCGCTTGAAGCATTTCGAGCAGAATTTGCAAGTAAAGGGTCTCTGTGCCACGTCTGGACCTTGTCAGAACGTGTACGTTAAAAACGGGAAAATATCACAGACGTTGCTGTTGATGGCGCATCATATGAGCCTTCCTTACAAAGGACTTCGAACATGATGGACAATGAAACCTCTGGTGCCATTGAAGAGGTTGGTCCATGATTCGAGCAGTCAGCAGTAGGGGAAAATCGGGGGCCTTTTCATAAACCCGATACCGTGGGGCTGGTTGTTGTCAAGGTGGGTATAGGAGCGGATGGTGTCTATGTTTACGCTTGTGAAGATGTTTACGGCCCTGAACCGTATCGTGGCCTTCATCCATAAGGCGGCAGATGCCGCGACAGAGACTGACTGGACTCTCGTAGCAATAGTTGCAGCATTGACAGAATCGATAGCAAGCCTAGAGAGACTAAAATTGGCGTTGAGTCCGGTAGGTGCTGGAGAAGACGAAACAGCAACAATCACGGAAAGATTCCCCAAGCATGCAGAGAGATGAAGTGGTTTCCCGTAGGCGAGCTGCCCCAGAGCATGACAGAGGAATCCGGGGCAGCTTGGCAGCGACGAATGTCGAGGAAGGGTGTTAGAAGCATGACTAGACCGAGGGACAAGAGGAGATCAGAAACTCGATGAACTTTGAGTGGTCAAGACAAGTCATCGACGCAACAAGAGGCGGGGTGAGGATGGATGATGATGGGGCCCCGTACTAGTAGGACTCGGAGCCGGCCGTTGAACCAGCCTCACTAAAGTTGACATAGTGGCTTGGGAGGTGGGGTTTAGCTGGCTGTGAGATTAGCATCCACCAATCTTGTTTATGGTTTAGTCCTGAACAGGAGGAAGCTGCGTTAAGGGCTGCCGGCCTGATATGTGACTAAAAGCCTCTAAATAAACTGCGGGTAGGGGGGATATTGGTTGGTTAGTATAGTAGTACCCCACGGACACTGTCAGTGTAATCGGCTACAACTCCGGGGTCGGTGATGATCGGAGATATTATTCTTTGTATGTGTTCGTCCAGTCCTTGTTGCTAATTCCTCGAATATCTTGTACTTGAAGGGCGTCAGGCTCGACATCTCATTCAGCGAGCCATAGCTTTGGAGCGGGAAGAGAATTCAGGTCGGTGATATGCTTTTGTCCCATGTCTGAAGAACTAAAGCAATTCGAGCCAAATCAAATCTGTATATTGACCGAGCGGTGAACTTTTTCGCACTTGGGCGTCGGAGTCTCCAATATGGTAGAACAGATCAATGTGATGCTTTATGGTCTGGGGGCGTAAGTACATGGAAACAACTTGTAATCCATATGCTGCGCTGTTTTCTGACAGCGATTGTAACAGGATTGGATCCTTCTACGCCTTCATCCTAAGCCGATGCAAGCGGGTGCGGATGACAGTGGTGGCCCGGTCCAACTACGAAGCGGTCAAGAAGAACGTGCGTACATCTCCATTCGAGGCGATCGAAGTAATCCGCTGACTGAAGTGACAGGGGCTGCATATCAAAAGCTTGAACCACGGAGACCACGTTGTCCAGCCAGCCAAAGGTATGGCAAGATCTTTTCCCAACTGTCTAACCTGGAAGAGATCTGACCAGGTTGAATAGTTGTGAGAACGCCAGCCGAGGCAGGCGAAACATACGACTATGTCGTCTGCGCACACAAGGCAATCGACAATGCTTCAGTGCCGCAGCAACTGGCGCCTGCCATTGACGAGAACACCTGTATCGTGATCATCCAGAACGGGGTTGGGAATGAGGATCCATTCAGGAAAACCTTCCCCAAGAATGCGATCCTGAGCTGCGTGGTATGTTATTGCTTTCCAGCCCAGCAAGCACTGAGCTAACTCTGACCCTTACAGACTTGGGTGGGCGCGATTCAGAACACCCCTGGTGTTGTAAATCATACCACATCGGAGAACACCCAAATCGGCATATTTCCCAACGAAGCACTAGAACCGACCGTCGAGAAATCCAGACTCGACGAGTTTAGCTCTTTGCTGCGAGAGGGAGGTACACCTTTCACAATCGAGGATAACATCCAGGTCCAACGCTGGGAAAAGGTGGTATGGAATGCGGCTTGGAACACCCTGACCACTCTGACCATGCTCGACACACATGCCTGGCTCAATTCATCACCAGATTCGGTGCCCATGACACGAAAGCTGATGCGCGAAGTCATCGACGTGGCACGGAAATGCAATGTTCCTGTTCAATATGAGCTCATTGACCAACTCATCGACAAGATCCTTGCGATGCCACCCATTGGAAGCAGTATGCAGACAGACTGTAAGATGGGCAGACCGATGGAAGTAGATGTGATCTTGGGAACTCCAGTGCGGAAAGGAAAAGAGCTAGGTGTGGGCATCCCCACATTAGAGGTGCTTCATACGCTGCTCGTTGCCATCAATACTCGGATGACGCCAAGGTAACAGGGGGTGGGTGTGTTGGAGCAGTCCAGTGAGTGTATAGAAAGAATCTATAGGCATCCGAGACTGCAGCATGTTAATTCACGGCTAGAATGTCTTTTCATACTCCATGTATCTGTATGTTCTTCATCTTTCCCAGGAGACTCAGCGCAACAAGTATCGACCAAGATGGTCATGGTTGCTGGGACTCGTCCTCAAGACACTGCAATCACAACAGACACAAGGATCATCAAAGTGCATCTCTATTCTCCAGATTCTTCAGTGTTCATTTCATGACTTCTCTCATCTTCAGTATAAGTATCCCCCCACTCTTCCACTCACCCTTGGGTTCACCTCCCCATCCACCCTCCATCAACGACAACAATCTTCTCTGTAACATAAGCACTAGCTTGACTCACCAACCAAACCACCGGCCCCTCAAGATCCCCCGGACTCCCCCATCCGCCCATGGGAAACCGTTCAAGGATCTGTCTAGCATGGGTCTCATTGTTGAACAGCTAAATGAGAGGTAGAGCTAGTAACTGGACTATACACCGTAAGTAGTCACAGCAGCATTCTTTGTCCCCCTTCTTAACCAGCGATCAAAGGACTTTCCCATCCCTTTCCTCCAGGTCAAATGCTATGCATCCTACCATTCTCGAATAGCCCCATCAGGACCATAAACCTCCTTACACTGCCAAGGCTAAGTATCTTTCGCGATACGCCGGACAACATCTTCATCAATCTCAATCCCCAGCCCTGCACCAGTAGGGGCCCTGACATAACCATCCTCGATATCAAAGACAGACTGATCCACCAGATAGGTGTTTAGATCCTCCTCACCGGCCTCAATGTTATAATGCATTCCGAGCGACATTTCCTGGTCACGAAATTGGGCGTGCTCAGCGCGATCTGGATACATGCGGCCAGCGCAATGGGACCCAGAGGACAATGCGGCGCGATGGCCACGTCGTAGGCTTCAGCCATAGTGGCGATGCGTTTTGTCTCGGAGATGCCGCCCGCGTGCGCAATGTCCGGCTGGAGGATGTCTATGCTGGCGTCCTCGAGAAACCGCTTGACGTCCCACCGTGTGAACAGTCGCTCTCCTAGAGCAATTGGGATCGTGGTGCTCTCTGACAATTGTTTCAGTCCTTCGGGGTGCTCGACGAGTAACGGCTCCTCGATGAAGAGGGGTCGATAGGGTTACAGTGCTTTGGCTAATTGCTTCGCCATCGGTTTGTGGAGGCGGCCGTGGAAGTCGAGGCCGGCATCGAGACCCAGCGCTTCGTCTTGAGGCGTTCGATTGTGGCGTCCAAGACGGAAGGAGAGTCGAGCCAGTTGACGTCCTCGGTCGCGTTCATTTTGATGCATTTCAGACCTTGGGCGATGCGTGCTTTGGCGGCCTTTTCGATGTCTTGGGGTCGGTCGCCGCCAATCCAGGCGTACACTTGGACTTTGTTACGGACCTTGCCACCGAGGAGGCGGTAGATTGCAATGGACATTCAACTTTCGGGCTAGACAAGTGTGTTAGTGAGAGCCCGGCAAGGCGTTGGAGCAAAATAAAAACGATAAGCATAAAGGAGTTGAGGTGATATTTGCGAAATCCAGAGCAGTGCCATGGAATTATTGAGTAATGTTTGCGTACCTTTGAGATCCCACAGCGCGATATCAATGCCTGACAGTGCAGACATGAAAACAGGGTCGCCGCGGTAAGAATCCTAACCTCCAGATCGTCTGCCAGATATGTTCAATATCACTAGACAGAAGAGACTCGTTAACGTTCCGCGTTTACCTCGAAGCGTCCAGAAGCCGGCAGCACCAACGTCGAGAAAAGACAAATACCACAGAAAGAGTGTTGGACAGGAAGGATCTGAGCGGTATGCCTCCACTAGAATCCATGGTATCGCACCCCACGCGAGTCACCCAAAACAACACAAAACAACCGCACAGAAAACCAAACTACCAATAAAGGCGGCAAGAATGCCAACATGGATCAATCGCCCAACTCAAAAGCTTATCATAGCAATAACCAGTAATTCAGTCACGGGGGAAAGGAGGAGATACTTACTCAGCCTCATACCCAACAATCCTGTCCACAATCTCATCCAACAACCCCTCAACAACCTTCGTATGTCCCTCCAACGTCGCCTCTCCCCAGCCATAGCCGCCCTGATCATCGGTGACCTTGACAAACAACCACCGCCGCTTGACGCGGAAATATTCGACGGTTTTGATTTTTGCCAGCGACAGCCCAGAGACCTGGGGCACGTGGCCTTGGGATATGCCCGCCTGGGCGCGGAGCTGGTCGGTGGCCATTGTTCTGCAAGGAGATAGATCCGGCTTTGAAGCGCGTGGGTTTTGATTGGCTTTTCTCAACAGAGAGTCCTCGAAGTCTTTTCCCCTAATGTAACAGGAGGGGGATCAAGGTCAGACGCAAATGTGTGGTAGGTTATAGGATGTATATCCCGTGATCAAGGATCGTGATTCGGCACAGATACAATCAAACCGGAACGGACTAAATTAATTCCTCTTTCGTTTGGAGAATTGATGTGGGCAGGCCCACTGACGTCGTCGCTGCCGAGTCGTGAAAGGGATAGACTACCGTAACAAAAGCAGGACCTTGTCGTGGAGGGTCAATTGAACCTGGCCAGGGTCAGGTAAGGATTCCCAGAAGGGGTGTTCGAAGTCGACTCTTGTTTGGTATGAGGAGTGAGTATAAGCATAGAACAACGTCTTCGCTCAGTCATGCAGTATGCACTGTGCAGTATGCAGTATGCAGTATATAGGCTTGTAGTATCAGATTTCTGATGAGAAAATATCTCATCAATCTGTGAGATGATACTGGTAGTTCTCATTGACGTTGACCGAACATACGGACGGACTTTGACCCGAACAGCGAAGGATAAAGATCGAATCAAACCCCGCGTTCCCCGCCCAATATCCTCCCCCACGCCTGCTCCCCACCCCCGAACCCCCAAACCCATCCTACGATCTCTACCCCTTAAATCCCCCTTTCACGCCCGCTTGGTTGGCCGTAATCATAACCCCCAGTAAAGATTCCACAGAGAGTGATCAACAACCCCTTGATCCTCAATACTCCGCCGGCACAATCAACCGCCGGCTAAAATCCGTGCACCCGCGGGAGCTTAAGAGGCTACAATGGGCTTGAAGACGACTACTGGAATTAGCCTGGTATATACAAGCTCATTCTGCTCCTCGTCATGGTTGACACAAGACTGTCGATGATATCTGAATCCTGGGTTTCGTGGATTCTGCAGGGCTATGACCGACAAGCACCTCTCAACAGCATGAGAGCGTTATGCAACAGATCCGCCGCTTCATGTAACAACTCCCATCTGGAGTCACGAAATGCGGCTTCCAAAATGGCCAACACTCCGACGATATTGTTGCGCCCATCCTTAATCAAGTCAAGCTGCTGTGGAGATTGGACCGCACCCACCGTCTGTAGGAATGCTTGTGCATCCTTGACCACAGCTTCGACCTGCATCTCACCCCCGTCACTGGCCACGTTGAGCGTGGAATGGTTGGAGCTATGCGAGAGTACCGATGTAGCTCCTGGTGAGGCGGCAGGCTGGAGGAGACTAGGAAATGGTCGGAGGACACCATCCATGGCGAACCCGTACGACCAGACCACCAGCGCCGCGTAGTACAATGACCACGGCCTGACCATCAAGTGGTCGTCACGGGCATTGTACAAGCTCCTGGGACTACCACCATTTGTGCCGGGGAGAAGTACTGACCGCAGTAGTTGAAGGGCATGCCATACGCCGATTTTGGCACTGCCGCCTTTGGCCCAGTCAAAGACCTTGCACTTGACTCGTTCGTAGTCGGCGTTGGTGATGGTCCGGCCGAACAGTCGCTTGACGCCGGCAAAGATCTGGCATTCCATAATATCAACGTGCATGGCAATATGGCTTAAGTGGTACAGCACATCGGCCGTCTTGGCCATGTCATCGTCGCCAGATATAGTATCGTTCTTTTGCCAGGGAAGAGTGGCTCTTCGCATGTGTTCCATGTTTTCGTCAAAGTCGCGTTTCCAGAAGTCAAACGCTTTTGTGAGTGGATTTCTCCAACCATCTGGGACACCCATCGTTTGCGACACTCCCAGACTGGAAACCTGTAAATCTCGTTGATGCATGTGCCAAGAGACCGAAAGCAGACCCGCCATCAGGATCATCCGGCCAAAATTGTTCGTCCGGACTTTCCGACCCGTTAGTATCTTCTTCAGTCCTTCGAGGAATGTGGTGGGTTTGATCCCGTTGGCATGTAAGCTGGCTTCCACCCGAACGACTTCAGCCGCAGAGGTTGCCGACCAAAGAGCATCATCACAAGGCAGGGGTAATCGGATCTCGTGGACAACCATCATGGCTGCATGGCCAAACATGGTGGCGTGGACGGCGTCAAGATAAAAGGCTGCATAGGCCGCGCGGCGGGTAGCTTCTGCCGTGATCCAACGACTCCACCATTCGTCTGGGGTTGAAGGCATTCGCAAAGAATCTTGACTAGCCGTCTCTATCAGAGCCGTCCCTCGTCGCATCAAGTTGATGGTAGTGGCGTAGTGCATGTGCGAGCGCTCGTGGAGTAGTCTGTTCGCGTTCATCTTTTCGTAGACCTCCAAAAGGAGTAGTGTTTGGAACACCCATAATTTGGCTGGAGGATGGAAATCGTTGTGCATGAATACCTGCCATCGCAGATGCCAGGCAATAAAGGTGGCTAGCCGGGCAGCAGCATCTGTCACTGCTCGACCATGTGCTTTGTTTAGATATGCAGCACCAATGGCCATCACGGCTAAAAGGAGGTATTCATGGATGTCGTCCGCCGAGAAGGTCGGTTGGTGGAGAATAGGCATCTGCGCGTGGAAATGGTACCAGTAGGACCCAATGTAGTGTCGCATCGACCGGATACTGAGGACGTGGTCCTCGGCATCGATGTTGCCTTGGAAGATCTCCTCCCGTAGCTGTCTGACAACTGGATTGTCTCCCTCGCTGAACCGGTATTCCAACAACTCAACCAAGGCCTTTCGTTTAGCCTGCGACAACAAATTGCTGTCTCCGCTGAGCTCCGGCACTTTGGTCACAGGCACTGTCGACCGCGGCTGTTCCATCCCAGGGTAAGCATTGTCCAATACAGGATCGGCAAAATAATCCGGGTACCCAGCGTTGCCGAAGCTGTCGATTGGGCCTGCAAGGCCGATACCTGCTTGACCAGCTACAGTAAATGGAGCTGTATGCATTCCCCCAGCATCGTCAAACAACCAAGCCGTAAATTCGTCCCTGACCGATATCGGAGATTCATTAAACGTCTGCTCGGCAAGACTGGGTATGGAATATGCTGTGGTGGATTTGTCTTGTGCTTGTTGCTCTCTAGTTGTCGGCGCCATGATGCCATTCGAGGGTGATGTTGCTTTGTTCAGGACTGCAGGATCAAGATTGTCAAACACGCCATCAGGAAGTCTGTGCGATTTTTGGAGAGACCACGACCCGACGGAGGACATTTTAGACAGAGAGTGACTGCCGTTTGGTGCGCTGGCTTGGAACCCAGGGTCAAGATTGTTCTGAGGAGAGGTATGGCGCAGATGGACGAAGCTGGGTGAAGTAACATGGCCGTTGATCGTGTTTGACTCTGGTCTTGATGGTTGAATGGTAGCTTGAAGGTCTGTGGGTTTAAAAGGAGATGCTGCCGAGAATGAAGTCCGTGACAGATCTTGTGAATGCATAGGGTTGGAAGCTGGTGATCCATGATCCAGAATAGCTTCATCGCTCCCAGAGGACCTTGGCGACAGAGGACCATTGCGCGCTCGCGAGCTGGAGTGCGACTTTCCTCGATTGTCGTGACGTTCCCTGTGTCGAATGCAGAGATCCTGTCGCACAAAGGTCCGGGTGCAACCTGGATAGTTGCACTTGTAGATCTCCTTTGGATTATCTAGACATAGTTAATCGGATTCCGATCAGGTGGGCTGGCGAAACATACGATTCAGCTGGTGGCGATAGAGGTGTTCTGCACGTGAATAGTGTCGCCCACAACCGGGATATGTACATTCATACCGGCGTCGAGATTCACTCCGACTGGCACGGCGTCTGGCATCGAAGGAGGCACCAAGGTCAACTTCCGGCTGATTCACACCCGGCCCTGATGCAGCCTCGTCCAAACGAGGTCGCTTGGGGTCGGACATGTTGGAGTCTAGAGGTTGGCGAAGCAGCTTGCATGGTCGACAGGAGTCGACTCGCGTCGAGTGTGGGGAGGTCAGTCGCAGTAGAAGCGATCAGCCATAAGGGTCTGGGAAAATCCGAGGATCGTAAGAGGTATTAGCCTACAAGAACGGTAACTGTGGTCGAAACGATCTCGCCGGATTGTCTGTCGGGATAGAGAAAAAACGGATCAAAGGTTGCGGTCTTGGGTCGTGAGCTGTAGGAGGAGACGACGGGCCAACAACCGAACCAATTCCATTGCAGTCTGCTATAACTTGAACTCGCAGGCGCGCCGCGCAGTCAAGAGTCTCCAAGTTTTCTCCCCGCACTTTATTAGCATTTGCCTAGGGCCCGCTTATAGTAATATCACTAATAGCACCTGCCAGTGTGGCACCACTGGCACTGGTGCACTACTGCTACTACCCCGTAGTGGTAATGCGAATCAGCTCTAGGAACTAACTGCGGTGCCCTGATACAAACTGCGGGGGTCATAGAAACCTCTTCACTACGTACTATAACAGAACTACTGTTGTTTGACTGTCAGTCTCGATCGTACACGCACTCCGTGTGCAGATTCCTCGTTCCTTCAGTCACCACCAGTCGGTATGACGTCCGCCCCCGGTCACTCTCGGATGCAGTCGGGCTAATGATACGAAATACTGGCAGCAAGACATCGGCTGGGGCGTGAAACACGACGAGGCATCCTGCTAGTTCGCACGGTGTGAAGCCGCGATGGTTGTTGAGAGTCCTCTTCTTGTCTAGGGAAGAAAAGGCCCGTTGCAGCGAGTACAAGAAACCCGTCTCCCCTACCTCCTCCAAGAGCTAATGCAAGGCACTGTCTGGAGATTGGGGCTGCATGAGGTAAGGACTCGCCAACTGAGTGGACGAGGGCAAGAGAAAAGGCAAGGGGACAGGAAGGGAGAATTCCCTAGGATGAACTGCAAATGATCAAAGAGCGCCCTCGTCAAACCACTTCATACGGGGAAGGTGGATGGTTGCATACCTTGGATATCAAGCCTATGGTTTATAGCAAGCTAACAACCAGCTTCACATAGATTGCCACTTCGGGCATGGGCTTCTGAACCGTCCAGTTCCTCCCATATGGGCCACAAGGACCTATTTATTTGGTGACAGAAATTCAGTGCTTAAAACATATGAACCCTCAATTCAGGAGGTCATGTGATGGGGAGAAGTGAAGGACGCTGTGCAGTGAATACTGGGTGCGGCAGAAAAGTGAATCAACACGCTTGACTCAACACGCACCTCGAGATAGTTCTGTTTATCAATGGGAATTCTTTCGTCTCTTTAGAGCTTTCCTTTGAACCAAGATATCCCACCCAAATCTAGGCTATTACCTCAACATCCACACATTCATCCATCCATCTGCTAGCATTCCTGACCAACATCCAGCATGACGACCATGCCATCTCCGACTAGTCTTGAGAAGCGAAAGCAACCAGACGAGCTTCTTTTCCGCATGTTCGAAATCCGAGTGGTCATGGAGAACACGATCGCCACCAATTCGGTTTTTGTTCCAGCGATTGAATGTCCGACTATGGCCAAGATGTTCGATGTGGTGAAATCGAAAGTACCACTGATCCGTCGCCTATCCATCCTCGGCGAGAAGCTATATGCCCCGGTCTTCCTGCTTCAAGAAGCATCACACAAAGTGCAGGCACTGAGAAAGAGAAAGTGGATCACAACCAACTGGGAAGACAAACTGGGTTTCAACCGTTGGTATACCCGACATGTTGAGGCTGGGCTTGAAGATGATCTGAAATTCGAGATCCATCTCAGAACTGGAGGTTGTGCTATGGAGAATGGACAATGCAGCAACTGGTCAGAATCCGTTGCATCGTCGTCGCTTTCGCATGTATGTCGCTCAGAAGGTCCAGGGTCCAGAGACTTTCAAGTGGGAAGTCCACCCCAAGGACCTAGGCGATGTCGGCGAGGAGGATCCCAAGGCAATTCCCCTAGCCGCCAGTACCGACGAATGGTTCCCAGAGCGCAAGGAGGTCGAGACCGAAAACGAGACAATGCAGCGCTCCAAGCGCAAGCGGCCTAACAAGAAAGATCAAGATTCAGGAGCAACGGTCGCCCAGCAAGACAAGGACTGTGAAGTGACTGTTGAGGAAGAGACGTCTACTGAGGCCATAGACCTGGATGACGTCGATGACTTCGAGATCGACCTGGACCTGAACTATGACGATGAGGACGGCGGGAGCAAGACAGGCAAGGACTAGTTCTTCAGGTCTTGATACCTTGACGCGGAAGAGCGAGTTGATAGCAACGACAATGTCAAGGCTGAAGTGTGTTTGAGGTTGAAATTGAGCTTGAAGCTTAAAGGGGAATGCCAAGAATGGTGGAGACGGCGGAGATCGAGAGAGCAACGAACAGCAATTGCAATCAATGAACATTAGCAATAGCGTCTTGCTTGATAGCAAGGTACAGGCTGAAAAGATCATTATTGATGCGTGTCATCAGGTCATAAAACATCTACAAGTGGAGCAAAACTCCATGCCTCAGCACCGATTACATGACAAGGCATTTCTGCGCATTTTCGTACTGGGCCCCCCACCGATCGATTCCTGCTTGAATCTCGTTGTCTTGCTGCTTCTGCTTGACAGCGCTCTTGAAATTCGTCTTAAGAAACTTCATCAGATCACGGTCGAGGTTGGCTAGGGGACATGTTAGTAAAGAACCAAATAACATTATCTGAGACGAGAGGCGACTCACCACTCGTGGCTTCGAGAACCACATCCTCTCGACACAGCGGACAATGGCTGCGTTCCTCTCTTTGCAGGACAATCAGACACCTGATGCAGAAGACGTGGTTGCACCGCAGACGGACCGGTTTGTATGAAATGCTGAAACATATCGGACATAAATAATCGTTGAGTTGGGGGATGATCTTGAGAATCTCTTCCGAGATGGTGAAGCAGGTGGCTTTGGCCAGGTCTTGCGTGATGAAGGGAGACTTGACCAATGCTGTCGAGACGTGGGACCGGGCATGCAGGGCGGTTCGCTTGTCGAATTTCTTCATGATTTTGTGGAGAGCGGTGCGATTGATTTCTTGAAACTTGATCAACCGGAGCAGTTTGACGTTGATGCGGAGGAAGCGATCCAAGGCCACACTAGCCCCCTTTCCAAAATTGAGGATATTTTGCTGTTGAGTGGAAAGAGCTTGATTGAATTCTTGGAATTTCTTTTGTGCATCGGCTGCACCCCGCGCTCCGGCGTCGAGTTCGTGAGACGATTCAAACACTTCGGCATCGGAATACAGCTCGAGAATCCTCCTCCATGCCTCCACCTCGTCCTTAGACCGTTTGGATTTGGATGATTTGACAGCACGTAACTCATCTCCCAGCCTGGCAATCTCCTCCTGCAGTCGCGATTGCTCGGCGTCTTGCAGGTGATCAAGATCGGAGAGCTCGCGTCGCAGTATCTGGAAGAACTCCGAGTCAGAGGTCAAGGGTATCTCGACGGTTTGAACCTGATCCTGCTCTGCCGCTTCGTTACCTGGGACATCAGGTCCATTCGAAGTCAAGTCAACGTCTGATGTGGCGTTGTTGGTTTCTGCGCCACTCCGGTCCCCGAGTCGTTGCTCATCATCAGGCTCCGGACGAGTGCTTGCAGTAGATACAGTCGCCCTCGAATTGCGCGCAAGCCGTAACAAGTTTCGACGTGTCTCTGGACTCAGCCAAGCGTCCATGGGAGAACCATCGCGTGGATCGACGACAATAGTTAACCTTGGTGTAAAGCTGTAATCGTTGCCATCCAGCGAATAGTGCATTAATCCTCCTCCCGACCCTTTCCCCGAATCGACATGCTGCCACAATGCGTCAAGAGTGTCTTTATCAAGACCAAGACTGAGGAGTTCTCTTTGGACGCGTTTGATACACTTCTTCAGCTTCTTATACGAAATAGCCGATTCAACCCAGTCTGGAGGGTATTCGCCTCTAGCAAGTGCCGCTTCATAGCCTTGACCGAATTTCATGGTGGAGCATCCCAGTAGATGAAAGCAAAGGAGCCAGTTTCGATTTCATCGGCAGTCCTCAAGGGAGTTAGTCATGTGCTTGGTAGGCTTGTTCTGTCTCCAAACTCGGCGTTGTTCCATGAGGCGGTAGGTTAATTTTGTGGAGGAGAAGCGAAGATCTGGCGGTGTTATACCCATTCCTCTAGCGCTTTCCAGGACCATGGTAGGACCATGCTCTGGCCAAAGTGATTGAGATTGAGTAGCGCGGGAACATGGGCCACGAATGAAATTGCCACCGTCCGCCACGGGGTCAAAGAGACAGAGATCATGATGCGAATCAGACGAAGAGAATTTCCCACGGCCCTGCACGTGATGCAATGGTAGCACGTGATGAGAAGACTGTACTGTCACGTGACCAGACTTTTGTGTGCCCTCGTCCCTTGGTGTCACGGCGCATGACACGCTGCACGACACGCTGCAAGGCTGTAGACTCTGGGCACAGGCACGCCTCGCCTCCGAGTCTCCTCTGCATTCTTCGCCGACAGTTCAGTTGGGGGTTGGGGGTCCACAGGGTAGAGGAGACATGAAACTCTTCCAAGATACTGGCTGATCAACTTCATCTGCGGCGAAAGCATCCATCGCTATGGGTCAAAGGCAATCTACAGACAATGCCGCTGAGCAGGAAACCCCTGCGAAGGCCGACTACTACGATTTACTTGGTGTTGAACGGACCGCAACGGACGATGAGATCAAGAAAGCCTACCGTCGCAAAGCCCTCGAGTTACATCCCGACCGCAACTACGGTAACGTCGAAGATGCCACCAGACTCTTCGCCGAGATTCAGTCGGCGTACGAAGTTCTCTCCGATCCTCAAGAACGAGCCTGGTATGATTCTCATCGGGATATCCTCCTCCGTGAGGACCAAGCGACCGGTCCTGGCGGCGACGAATTCTCCTATAACGTTCGGATGACCACTGCGGAGGATGTGATGAAGTTGATGCTGCAATTCAGTGGCCGGGTGGAATATAGCAATGCGCCAAGTGGGTTCTTCGGTGGGCTGAACGACTTCTTCAAGCAGCTGGCGAAAGAAGAGGACATTGCTTGTCAGTGGGAAGGACAAGAGCCGATGGACTATCCCGAGTTCGGCCTGGACAACGACGACTACGATGAGGTGGTCCGACCTTTCTACGCATCGTGGAATGGCTTTGCCACCAAAAAGAGTTATTCGTGGAAGGACCAGTACAGGCTGTCTGACGCCCCTGACAGACGGATCCGACGTCTGATGGAGAAGGAAAACAAAAAGCTACGTGAGGATGCGATTCAAGAATTCAATGAAGCAGTCCGTTCTTTGGTCGCCTTTGTTCGAAAGCGAGATCCCCGAGTTCAGAACAATCAAAAGTCGGAGGCCGAGCGCCAGAAGGCTCTACGTGAAGCCACTGCGGCACAAGCGGCCCGCTCCAGAGCAGCCCGACAAGCAAAGCTGCAAGAGTATGACTCACAAGCAATACCCGAGTGGGCAAAGTCTCGGACCGAAGATGAACATGAGGGCGGGTTTTCGAGTGAGTCGGAAGTGGAAGAACATGAATACGACTGTGTGGTCTGCGACAAGACCTTCAAGAGCGAAGCACAATTCAAAGCCCATGAGAAGAGCAAGAAGCATCTGAAGTTGTTAAAACAGTTGCAGAAGGAGATGCGTGACCAGGGTGAAGAGCTTGATCTCAACGCTGGGAATCCCACTATGGACCATGAAGAGGCGGCGTTCGAAGGAGCAGAAGAGGAGGTTGATACCACGCCAGGCAAGCCGTCGAAAAATGGACATCTGCCTGACGAGGACGTCGAGCAACCACCATCCGTCGACGGCAAAACAGGCACCGAGCAGGATCTCGATGAATCCCAGACCTCCGAGGACGATTATGCTTCTAGATCGGATATTGAACAACGGCTCGCAGGCGAGCCCATAGAGAAGGTCACTGCGGCCCTCGAAGATACCAGTCTGCGGGCCACTCCTGTCACGTCTGACCCCGAAGAAGATGGATCAAGGGCAAAGATGGGCAAAGCGAAACTCAAGCGAGCAAAGAGAGCCGCCCAAAAAGCCGACCAGTCCGACAGCCCTGCCTCCGAGTTCAGGTGTGCCGTATGCAGAGCCGAGTTCCCTTCGAAGACGAAATTATTCAATCACATCAAAGAGAAAGACCATGCTGCACCGCTGACGCAGATCAAAGGTGCCAGAGCTGGAAAGGGGAAGAAGAAGAGATGATGTTAATGTGAGGATTAATTCCCGTTGCTATTCTGGTCCTCGCTTTGCCGAGCAGTTTGGCCGCTGTTTCAGAGGACCGACTAGATATGTTGCTGCATAGCGAAGGCGTTGGTGAGCGTAGATAGATGTTGATCTATATTTGAAAGGCATGACCATTGACCACTGGGCGCGGTGGGTATTGACACACATTCCATCACCAGACTTGCTCATGAGATCCCTCCTGCAATCTTGTATGGTGAAATATAGTATCGTGTCCTTGTAAATGGATCTCAACGGACTGTTTCAGGCCTGTTGACGGCAGCTTCTCATCTAGCGAATCAAATGCCGAGTTTGGTCGATAAGACGACAGAACGGTGCGCTGGCGACGCGACGCTCCAGACTACAGACTCCTCACCGCGACTTGGACCAGGTGGGCGTCTTCCCAGCATTGTTGCTACCTAAGGCAGATACTTGCTTTGGTATTCAGTCATACTCAGGTACGAAGTGGAATAATGGCACACGCCGCCACGGGCAATACTATCTTCTCTTCGCTGGGTTTTCATCACTTCGTCAAGACACCACCACGCAATCACGAGCAGGACGAGTTCACTTTTCGCATCAATCAAAACATTAATCCCACCGTCATGCGCTGCCTGTAGTTGGAGCACAGGTCTGCTGTCTAGTGCAGTGTGTCACCATCACATACATACATATCATATCTATCCTATCCAGGAGAGCAAGAGTTCTACGAAAAGCCTTGCTAAAATGGTTGATACTCGGTGCGCGAATCCCGAGCTCCAGCTGGACGTCGACCAGATGATCCTCGATTACACGCTCTGCCACGCTATCAAGGCCCAATTCGACCTCCTGACCCAAGATGTCGAGCAAATCCAACATACAGCAGCCAGCGAATCGATGCATCTACTATCCATCTTTGACTCATTCTTCCGACTCTTCAAACTCAATCATCCATCGTACAGCCCGAGTCCGGAATTCAACTTCAACCTGGAATTCCTCGAGTTTCTCGTTCTCCTCGCAAGTCGGTCACCCGTTGTGCGCTCTTGTTTATCAGACAATATGCACGGCGACTTGCACAGAGACACACTCGCTCACTTGGGAGATCGTCGGAGCTGGCTTATCGCTCGAGAAAGTACTGCTCGGCGACTGGGCAAGCAGCCCGCCTTCTCCAACTCCAACTCCAACTCTATCTCCACCTCGGGCAGCATCGACTATCTAGGACTCGACGTGGCACGAGAGGTTGAGGCACAGATCTATGATGCTTGGGACTATACACGAGATTACGACCGCTCTGTCTTCGACGAGCTAGGTAGCAGTGCTCTGTGTCAGCATAACCTAAAGCCCTGTCCGCCCACGGATGACCTGCCACTGCTGTTCAATCTGGTGCCGCGGTTCATGCAGATCTCAGCGCGTCTAGTCACTGCATTCGATTTTGATGTACCGGAGGTATGGATGGATATCGCGGGCCAGATTATGCTCCAGGCCGGTGTTGAGTCGTTGCAGCTTAGATGCGAGCACACCGGAGTCGGCAGAGGAGAACTCGACCGAGAAGGAACAGAAACAGGAACAGGATCAGCAGCCTGTTATCTTCCTCGACTTGAGGATTGTTTCGCGTGGGGCAACCTTCATCTCGACCTGAACAACATGTCGGAGGCTGATGCCAGCCTTGTAGATGCGGACTGGGACCTGTACAACGATCTCTTTCGCCAGCCTGCGGATCCAACGCGAGAGACACCCGAGTGGACCCAGCACCGTCTGCACTGGCTGTCTGAGTTCTCCATGGCCGCGGACGCGTCCCAGCCGTCTCAAATGTGTCGACTGGAGCGACTGGCGCAGAAATATCCGCTGGCCGAGTTTCAAGCGACCCTCGTCCAGTATCTGCGCTGGGGATGGGAGTTGACGTGCGACGATGACGTTTGGGGCAAGCCGGTCCTCGTCCAGATCGAGGAAGGACATCTCAAGAGTCTCGGAGTCAATGGCGCAGAGTTTGACGAGTTCATGATTCGAGTCGGGTTGAAGAAGGATGTGAACCCCGTTAATGTTGAGAGAAGGAGGCAAGCGTTGGAGAGAAATGCCATTGCAAGATATGGCGAGCGTGAGATTGATGCGTGCCGGAGGAAATATGAGAAAAGAAGATCTCTGGGACGTGTGTAAATAGAGGTGACGATCCCAAATATGTCTCCAGCGAGGGACTGGACGATCTGACGAATCTCGAGGGCACATTGCGTGACCCTCCTCTAACCTAACTTTCAAATGACGATTGTAAGATCAGTTGGTCGCCCTTTAAACGCCGCAAAGCTAAACGTCAACAAAGCGCCTGGCCCTGACTGCAGAACAGGCCAACAGGATATCCGAATCACTCTTCGTGTGGCCTAGACATTGGCATCCATTGCATGTCCATTGGAACGATATGCCAGGCTCGTATTTGCGAGCACAGACCTCGTCACGGTACCCAGAAATACCATAATCTGCCGACCAGACATGCCACACAAGCAGCCTTCATACTGAACCCGGCCTTATTCACTTGGATGCGGGAGACAGTGAAGCTACTGAGCCACCGCCCGTTCTCCTATCCACGTCGACATGCTGGGGCGCTAGACCTCCTATGCAGCCACTCGAAACATGAATATCAAGGACTGTAAGATCTCAACATGGGGCTGTTCAAGGAACATTTCAATTCTCGCCTCTCCTTCCCCACGCCGAAGGCTCAATCCTCGGGATACTCGTCGCGCACGTTACTCACAAATGTGCCGGTCTCGCCATCAAACCTCTTGAACCACTTACCGATCTCGACGGGGAACGCATCCAGCACGTCCTCTGTGACCTCATCAGGCTCCAGCACTACCACATTCTCCTCGGCCACATAGCGTGTCGACTCGTCGTCCACCAGGACGTTATAGAATGGCTGATGACGGCCATTGGGCAAGCGATCCACTCGATTCATGGTGATCCACTGTTCCTGCATACGACAGTATGGATCCCATCCATATATGACGGCGAGATATCCACGGCGCCGGTGTCGGAAGATCTGGCCCACGCGATACTTGACCACCGAGTTTTGCGGGTCGGAGCGATGCTTGGGTGACTTGGATTCGTGGTCCGCTTCTTTGAGTTGCTGAATGAGACTGCGGTACGCCTCGCCGTCAGGCAGGAGGTCGGTCAGTGGCAACACGTGCGTTTCGTATAGGTGGATATCCAGATCAAAGAACTCAAGGAAATGTTGCGTCAGGACCGCCAGATGCTGGCGCAGGTTGGCTGGTTGTGCGGTATGTGGAGATGGCAGGATCACTAGTGAGAAAAGGGCTGCGTAGGTTGCTAGACGGCGGTTTATGGGGTGGGCGGGAGCGCCTGGGTAATGGGTGGACGAAGACAGGATGTTATGTGCCGTACGGATTGTCATGTCGCGTGTCGTTGCACCGGACAGGTATGATGTGGTTTGGTTGGGCGTCGAGGTTGGGGCAATAAAAACCAGTTGAGTCTGAAGTGAAGATAGCGGTATCGGTTCGGACGTGTTGAATGGGTCCATGTACATGTGTGTCAGTTCGGACGGCACGGCGTTGGGGCCGACGTCGGACTGGAAGCCATCGGGGAGAGGATTGCCGTCAAGGTCGATTCCTTCAGGAGGTTCGACTAGAGCGTGGACGTGGAATGGAAAACTGCATGGTGAGGCACGCAGGCCATATTGCCGCGCGATATAGCAGAATATGACGGCGGATACCAGCGGGACGGAGTTTCGGTTCTCACTAAATAATGACACTCCGAGGAACATGTGGTCGAGGCTGTGGTAGTGGCGATCTCCCTGGATCCCCACCCATTTGTTTTCAATAAGATGGTCGGCGATCGTGATGGCTTTCTCTCGCGGCGTCATATCGTCGATATCGGGATGTGCTGCGCGAACTGAAGCGACGTAGGAATCCAGTCGAGAGAAGATCTGTCGTGGGTCAGCACATTGACCTGTGAGTAAAATAGATACCTACGTCGTCCATGTCGCCCTCGGGTCGCTCTTCAAGGACGAACATGTCAAGTGCAGCAAGAGGTCCTTCAAATGGAATTGTAGCTTCGCCATGGGCTCTCAATCTCACCCACTCCTCCACTGCCAGCAGTCGATGTAGACAGCCGAGAATAGCATGGCTCCAATATCTACGAGAACGAGTCAATACTTCCATCGTGCCAGTCCCGTCAACGTTGACTGACCTCTGCGCCAAGTGGTTCTCGGAGGAAGAAGCATGCCAGAACATATCGATCAGAGTGTCTTTGGCATCGTAGCCGGCGTCCAGAACGGACTTGACAGCATCCAAACGTCCGCGCTCTTCGGAGATGACCCTTTTGATGGCATTCCTTGTCGTAGAAAACGCAATGTAGCGATCGGCATACACGGCTTTCCAGTCGTCGAAGGTGGCATCTTGAAATTTGGCTTTGATCTGATGCCGTTTATCCCACCATCGAAAATACCGCTCGCAATAGCATTTCCAGAGCAGAGGCTCATTAGCCACATCAATAAACCGTCGGCATGTTTGCTGTAGGGCTGCATTCGTCGGAGGCGACATATAATACAAAATCACCTGGAGCACTTCGTCCGGGAGCTTCGTGAGTAGCGAACTCATGGCGCAATCTTCCAAGGAGTTGACGATTAGCTCTCGTGGTAGCTACGCTGGTGGGAAGTCGCCTCTCAGAGACGTAAAGAGACGCAGTTGATTTGTGGATGAGAGCGGTCATCGGAGGGTGAGAGATAGAGAGAAGAGCAGAACAGAATGTATGAGAAAGGGCGAAAGAGAGTGAGGGAGAGAGAGGGAGAGACGTCATTTAACCGTGATAGACGTCGGATCGGGCCGTCCAATCAGAGTCGCGATATATTGTGATATAACATACTAGTAGTAGATAGACACTCTTGACACGTATTTCAACTAATCATGACCTGGTGGTAGTACACTGCTGAGTATCAGTTCATTCCTCCGTCTGCGTCGTTGTATCTCACGTCCGATCGATGTCTAAGCTTGGGAGGTCGCCACCTTGGAAGGACACTCTTCACTGGCTTCGAAATCACCCGGGACGACAACGACAACGACACTCCCTCAGGCGATTTAGCGATTTAGTCACGAAACAAGCCCGCCAGCATCATCGTCGCTGCAGGAATACATGTTCGAGGAGCGCTTTCAGCTAATCTAACTCCTCTCTCAGCGTGTCCTTCTCGGCGTGGAGGCGCACCAAATGGGCAATGAAAGGGCCCCAGTCCTCCCTCGCCCGCTCCATCTTGACTCGGTCCTCTTCCAGACTCGAGGAGTCCGTCATGGCCGTCAACGCCAACAACGAAAACTCCAAGGCACTGGTTGCCGCCGTCTCCCATTGAGCCTGAAGCTCAGGTAACACCATTGCCACCCAGCTGTCTCCCTTTGTGAGACTTCCGATCTTTCGGGGTAGTCTCTCCATTCCATCCATCCTCCAGATAGCGCCTTGTGCCGGTACGTATGCGACAAAGTGAAAGCCGTTCTCGTCATCATCATACTCATAATCTTCTCTCAGTCGCTTGCGTGGACGTTTGGACATGGCAGCCTTTTTCTTTTTCTCGGCGGCGATGAACTCATGTTTGAGGCGGAAGTCGACGTTCATCTTATCCAGGTCGGTCGCAAATGAGTTGTGTACATCTCTAACATGGTCAAAGCAGTCCAAGGACAGTCCCCGATCTTTTGGAGTCATGTTCATTGTGTGTGTACGAAACTCGTTCAGGTGTTGGCCTAGGTCAAGGTCCATGCGATTGTTGATGATGTTCATAAGTGCGATGGTTGCGCATGAAAAAGAAGATGTCTGGAATCATAAGCCGATGTCGTGCAAAGTAGGTGGGGTGATGTACCTGATTAGCAAACCAGACACCCTGAGGCGGCTCAGTGACATTGTTCTGTATATCTGTGGGCACCCATCGCGATAGGAAGATCAGGCCGTAGACATCTTCAGGTGGATGGTCGAACACGCTGTCAAGTGGGACAATCTCGTGAACCTGCACGTTTGGAACTCCCCATTCACGTAGCAGTGTAGTGAATATGACCTAGACGTTGTTAGCACCATGAAGACTGCGGCAATTGACGCAGCAGAACAGACAGGATCGTTCTCCAGCTCAGCCCAGCCTTTCCAGGGACCAATCTCGTCATTTGTCGCGACAGCATCATCCGTACCCAGAGACCCCGTATCGTCCACAGAAGAACCGGCTACCGAACTTGCTTGAGTGGATGATCTGGCAAGTTGAGGTTCGACGGCCAGCTTTGTGGCAGGTGTATCATCGGCGGAAGCCGTTCTTGAAGTTCTCGTCTCCACCATGGCGCGTTGTTGTTGCAATTTGGTAAACGCAGAGTAATGATTTCGGCCAGATCGGGCGGTATCCTCCTACTTTAGGCCTGACAGTGCGCGCAGTATCCGCCGAAAAGATATATGAAGGTCGCGACTGCATGTATCATGACACTGCAGATAGTCCAACAGTCTTAAGTCGTAGACTAGCAGTAACAACACTTTTGGTTCGCTGAAGGACTGTTGAAGGGGAAGGAAGAAAGGAGACTCCATTTAGTTAGATGAGTCTCCTAACCAATTCGGTGCTGACAACACACAAGTGAAGCTGCGGCAGGAATGACGCTCATGACTGGCTAACGGAAGATGCACCAAATATATTGGTCCAAAGCCATATATGCTACACCTAATGTACAGATGTTAAACACTGGGAGCGCCCCCGGTATTGAGGAAGTTTAGGGTCACGTGCGAGGCTGTGAAGAGACGTCATTGTTCATTCCTGCCAAGCATCGTTTTTGGTCGCAGCCTCGTTGCATTCACGCTGCAAATGCTGAAGACGCGTTTCACAACACGGCCACGACACGTCGACAGTCAGGCTGCCTGAAGAACCTGCTTTCCATCATTGCTTGCTCTGAGGCCTGACAATCACTGTTGAGGGAGCAATTACCTTTGTTCAGCCAATCGCCCATACCTATCCCAGCCACAGCCGTCCTCCCTCCGACTTCAATCCTACCATTACTGGGTACAAACTTCATTCAAGAGTCCTGTTGGACCAAATATTTGGTCTGGGAAACAAACGAGACATCGTCGTCCGAAAAGAGGAGGCCTTATAGCCGCATGATGCAATGAACGAAACTCCGCGACTGCGGTCGGCCTTCCCTACCACTCCTCGTACCGATCCTCGCCTGCGGACATTCAACAACAATGGGCCTCCGCCATTTGGGTCACCCCAGAGTCCGCCTTTCCATAAGCCTTCTCCGATAACACGGCCTGTAAGGCTTCCTGCCGATGCTGCGCCCAGAAGCAGCAGCACACCGGTCATTCCAACAGATATTGTCGATGTTCCCTCGCAGAGGTTCTACGTCTTTGCATTCTATGTTGGTCTGACTGCGTGGAGGCTGTACAATTCATACAATGTCGAGAACGACCTGGACTCAACATGGCTATTCCTGAAGTGGGTGGGAATCGACGCTGCATTCTTCGTGGCGCTGCCTGCTTTCAGGATACCATGGTTGCAATGGTCATTTGCGACCACATTCACATTTTGGCTGCTGCACGCCATAGCCAACGCCTTCTTGATGTACCAGATTCCCATCCCATTGATGTCTTGGCTGGGGGCTCTTGTCAAGGTGGCCTATGACCGAGAGCTCTCGATATCGGAACACCGAGTAAAGCCTGCCGATATCCTACAAAATTCGTCTATCATTTTGGGCAAACAGATCATCCACATCCTGCCCGAAGGGTCTGCAATTCTCAATCCAGAAAAGAAGGCTTTCTGTCTTGACGGCTCTATTCCTTCGGTTGATCTACCTATCCAGATCAATCAGACCATTCCTATTTCCATCGAGCTGCAACGATTCGATCTTGATACAGACGAAGTGGAATCGATCGTTATTGGGAGCAAGCAAGCCAAGCAAATGCTGAAGAAGGCCAATGAAGGGTTCTCGACATCCGATGCACACATCCCTCGAGTCTTGCGATATCCCGTCTCCAAAAAGGGCCTCTATCAATTGGTCAGAGTCATCGACACGACGAAGCTGGAGGTGCGAAAACGCAGTTTCGATGTTCCTGTAGTGTCATGTCCACAGGCTTCCATATCAACCGGGTCGGTGGACAGGTGCACAGGAGAGCTGAGCAATGTGTCGCTACAGGTCGCTGGTGTCCCACCATTCAAGGTGAAATATAGCAAGACCGTCAATCGCAAACAATTCAGTTCAATTGTCCAGAATGTCCAGCCGCGCGCCGACTCGGGTTATGTCTCTCCAGACGAGGCTTCTGAGGCCCTTGTCGACCCTCGAAAACCTCAGTGGGGTTGGACAAAATCCACCACGGAATCTTTCGAAATCAACGAAGCTCTTCACCAAAATGGAAGCCATTCATACACGGTGGAGGAAGTGGAAGATGGTCTGGGCAATAAGGTCGTGTATGACGCGCCTAACCCTAAAGATACACACTCTCGTCGAACGCAAAGCCTGACTGTACACAATCGACCTCAGGTCAGTCTATTTGGTCGCAATTCCGACCTGAGGATGGGGGTACCCAAGGATAGTTCACTCAAGCTACCTGTTCGCCTCCAGCCGGGAGACAACTTGCATTCATCCGACTGGCCCTTGAAGCTCAAGTACACTTTCATCCCGGAAACCGAAAACGAAGGCGAAGTGCCCCAAATAGTAGAGCACATTCATGAGATGACCGATGATCGTTCGGGGCCGCGGATCAGTAAAGCAGGGCGGTATACTCTCAACTCTATTGATAGCCAGTACTGTCACGGGGAGGTTGCAGAACCGTCAACAAGCACCTTGTTCAATCCTCCCGAGCCTGGCCTTACCATCGAGACTGAGGATATCTTTGACAAATGTGCCGGTAATCCTATTGGCATGTATGTCAACTTGGACTTCACGGGAACCCCTCCATTTAAGGTCCGATATACCGTCACTCATCGTGGCAAAGCGCACCCTAAAGTGCAAGAGTTCTCTGGTATGCGAGGCCAGATTGAGTTACGGGAGAAATCAGCCGGCTCTTACGTCTACAACTTTCTCGAGATTGAAGACGACGTCTATGACCCCATCTCCTTGAAAGGCAAAAACCTAATCCTGAAACAAGACATCAGGCCGCCGGCATCCGCAGGTTTCGTTGGCGACAATCATGCTATAAAGGCATGCCTTGGTCAGCCCGCGTCGATGCGAGTCAGACTAACGGGTCAAGGACCTTGGGATCTGGACTACGAGGTTGTTCACGGCGGCAAGCGGAAGAAGCATAATGTTCATTCCGAAGAGGAGGTCTTCAAGATCGAACTCCCTGGGCTGACTGACGGAGGGGCTTATTCAGTCGTTCTGACTGGCGTTCAAGACAACACGCGCTGTCGTACCACGTTGAAAGAAGAACGCCAGATCGATGTGAGACCAGAACAACCGCAGGCTGCCTTTGGAGACATTGAAGGAAAGCGAACTATTTTAGCATTGGACGGCAAGTCGATCAAATTACCCCTGCGACTCAAGGGTGTTGCGCCGTGGGCTGTCAGGCTTCAGAACTTGGACGATGGGTCGCAGTCTATTGAGCAGATCTTTAGAGATCCGAACTCCGTGTTCATTGTCGATCGTCCTGGCACCTATCAGATCCTGTCGGTTCACGACAGTTGCCCCGGCACGGTTGATAGCAAGGCGGATAAATTCCAAGTCAGCTGGATCCCTCGGCCTACGCTGTCTGTTCAGGATTCAACAGTGGAGAAATTGAGTGGTAACGAGCTCCGGAAACCAGGCGTGTGTCAGGGTGACGAATCGGTGCTCGCGCTCGGTCTGAGTGGCACTCCTCCATACCACTTGAAGTACCAGCAGAAGTTCGACCCAGTCAAGGGACCTTCAGCAATCAGCAACAAGCCAGCCAGCTTCGCAGGCGGCAACGCCCTTATCAACCTTGACACCTCCAAGGCAGGCGAATACACGTATGTGTTCACTGAACTTGCCGACGACCGCTATGCTCATGACAAACACCGGTTCACACCCACGGTCGTCAAGCAGCAAGTATACGCGTTACCTGCTGCCAAATTCGCCCAAGCAGGAAAGACCTACGGTTACTGCAAGGACGACCCGAGTTTCACTTCCAGCGTCGAAGAAGAGACCGAAAACATTCCCATTACCTTCACCGGCACACCGCCGTTCAGTGTCGAGATCGCAGTTACTCACCACGGTGTGTCTGCACGACCTGAAATCCATCGCCAGAGGGATATCTTCTCCAACAGCTACTCTTGGCCTCTGTCTCGAGCATCCCTTGACCTGGGCACACATACGATCTCAATTCGGGCCGTCAAGGACGGCCGAGGCTGTGAAAGCATTTTCGAATCGGATCCGTCATCTGTGCGTGTCCATGTTTCTTCGCCGCCGACCATCATCCCACTCGAAACCCAGGAGGATTACTGTGTCGGCGAACATGTCTCCTTCTCCCTCAGCGGCCAAGCGCCATTCGACGTCTTCTACATCTTCCAGAACCGCGAGCGCAAGGCACGCGTTACCGCCAGCGAGTTCCGACGACTGGCCGAGTCGCCCGGCGACTTTGTCATTACCGGCATCAGCGACAGTGCAATGGGCAACGGGAAATGCCGCGCCAGGAAGGAAATCAAGAAAACCATTCATCCATACCCGACCGTGGAAATGGGTCGAGGCAAGACTCTCATCAGCGATATCCATGAAGGCGGCGAGGTCGACATTCTATTCACTTTTACCGGCACCCCGCCGTTTGAATTCACGTAAGTTATCCCCCCAACCTCGTCACGCAGTTGTCTATTCAGTACCCGGGAAGGGATCTCTATTGTCAGACCCAGAGCGATGACATTAGACTTCTCTGGGGACAAACAGAGGAAAGGACAGATCACAAAGAAAGAAGACGGATACGCTAACAGGATGTTCGTATTTAGGTACACCCGATCCGAAAACGTCAAGAAAGGTCGAAATCCCCCTCCAATCCTCGAAACGCGCCACGATACGTCGACCGAGTTCACCAAAATGATCCGCGCCAGCGATGAGGGTATATACGAAGTCGTGTCGATCAAGGATCGCTTCTGCTCGTATACCAAGCCCAGTCACAAATCCGGCGGTGCCCGAGCGGGCGGCCAGAAACTATTGACCTTTTGAGCTTACACATTGCGAATCCGAACTGAGAATGGGATTGAGGGATGAAGAACAACAAACCAACCACCTGTATTGGTTACTGCCATAGACTGGCTTCATTGTAATTAAAAGATTGTTCTGGAGCTGGAGCTGGAGCTTCGACTGGAGCCTGGACATTGACTGGTACCACACATGCTGACGTGTGATGTTGGAATATAAGCTTCACCTTAACCTCGAACTTGAATTTGAGATTGGAAGAAGCTTGGTCTCCTGATTGATCCGTTCAATGTCTCCATCCCTTTGTGTTAAGTTATAGTGGTAAGACATGTTTCGACACACGCTGCCTACCATTCTCTCATTTTCGGTTTTCTTTCTCTCCTCTCTCCCATCTGCTTGGAAGATACGCGGCACGTGTCACGTTTGCGTAGGCAGGGATATTGTACGCCGTCAACCGGCTCTCGTCAAGATCCTGTTCGAGCCTTTCAAATGCCTTGAAATAAAGGGACGGAACGAATAAGGGAAAGGGGTTCGAGAGACAAGGCACGAGAGGCAGAAATTGTATTGCGGTTACCAGAGTCAATCAATAATATATCACAGGCGAGAGGAACATTATCAGTGAACGAAACAAGAGATCGGAGGAAAGTGTGCTCTGTTACTTGCCAGACCGAGACCAACTATTTTGAAGTATCTGTAGCAGTATATCAGAATCGTGTCAATCAAACTGATCTGATCTGATCTGGTCCTGGTTTAAACTTTGTCTAGCCATTCACCAAGCCATCATTCTTTCTCGTTCATATGGCTTAGCCTTGTTTTGCCCCTTTGCTCAGATATGATGTGGCTTTCGCACATAACGATCTGCGAGACCTCGCTTGGCTCTTGCAATCCAAAGCGATCTTGTCGACCAAATGCGCGCCGTACGCTCGACTCACGACTGGCAATTCTGGCAACTTGGTTATGGACTGTGGGCTTCCTCCTGTTCTTTTTTTGGGCTTTTTTCAAAAAATTTCGGGGTTGGGATCCTGCTCGCATCCATGGTAGAAGATTGGGCCCTGTTTTCATGTGAAAAGCAGGAACAGGGTGGATGGCAGAGACTTGACGGGTTGTGGTTGGATGTCTGGTCCCAGCAAGAGATTCTTTGGGGAACATCCACTTGTTAAACATAAGAGCTGGTGCAAAAGTGAGGAATGTCGATGGCTGCAGTCTCGATGATTACTGCATTGTGGGGTCCTAAAAGGACTGGTTCGATGGTTCGGACCAGAAGCGAGGAGGGTCGGAGGAAGTGATTGTGTGGTTGCAATGTATCAAGACTCTGCCCAGCGCCAGAGTGGATGACAGAACTGTGGATGTGTGTATGAGTCTGGAAGTCGTAGTTATAGGAGTCGAATCGATATTCATAACGGTGGTATCTGCTGGGATTTCGCATGCTGGTAAAAACCGGTTGCATACTGGGGAAAGTTCTGAATGAAAACAGGAAATTCCCATAGAACGCCATGCAGATCTACAATCCCTGTAGAGGTCTGCTGCCTGATCTTTCGCAATTTGCGCCGGTTATGAAACCCTGCCCCCTGAAAGAGCATGTTTCATCGAAGACAAACATCGCCATAAACCGTAAGTGTGTCACAGACCAGGTTTGTCCAGCAGAAGTGCATTGCTCGTCCCTCAATCCATCCAGAGAGCCCCCATCCCAAAAAGAAATGCGCAACTGTACGACACTGTTGTACAGATCGGATAGCAAGCAAGTCATATTAGCCATGATTGAACTCCGAGCTTGCGCATGTCGTAGACCTTCGTGAGCCCAGAGGATAAACAAAACGCCGTGAAAAGAACGCAAAAAACCAACCCATTGCTAGATCAAAAAGCTGTGGCTCGGGAATCGACCAGGAGTTTATTGAGCGGTTTGACCGACAGGAGCGGCTGTCTGCTGAGGATAACCTCCACGGCCCCGAGCACCTTGACCACGGCCGCGGCCGCGATATCCTCCTCGTCCTTGGCTGTTGTACTGCTGTCCGTAGCCATTGGATTGGTTCTGTGGTCGGCGTCCTTGATTTTGGCCGTTGGTGTTCGCATTGGCGGGGGCATTGGAGGGGAGTGACTTGGGTTGGCCCGCCGGAGGCATCGGACGAGGAATGCTCTCAGGATTTTCGTACACATACAAACTTTTGTCAATGGAAGGTGGGATTGGTTGGATCTCAGTGCCTAGTTCTTGTTCGATCTTGTAGAGGTTGAAGCGATCTTCCCAGTTGATCAGATTGATGGCTAGACCCAGATGACCGAAGCGCCCGGAACGACCGATGCGGTGGAGATATGTCTCCGCGTTCTTCGGGAAATCGAAGTTGATGACAACATTAACCGCTTGGATATCGATACCACGGGTGAGAAGGTCAGAGCACACCAGGTTTCGGCAGACGCCGGCACGGAAGTCGTGGAAGACCTTGTTTCGGTTCTGCTGCAGCATCTTGGCATGAGAGTAGAAGCAAGAATAACCAAGTTCCGTAATTTTCTTTGCAAGGAGTTCAACTCGGTTGGTCGAGTTGCAGAAGATGATGGACTGGTTGATTTGGAGCTTGGAAAAGAGGGTATTGAGACAATGAACCTTCTGCTTCTCTTCCACAAAGGCGTAGTACTGAGTGATACCGCGAAGGGTGAGTTCGTCCATGAGGTTGATTTCGTAAGGGTTGCGCATGTGTTTGTCTTTGAAGGTTTTGACAATCATGGGGAATGTTGCGCTGAAGAGCATGACTTGGCGATCTTTCGGGAGGAATGAGAGCAATTGCTCAATGACGACGGTGAATTCGGGGGACAAGAGCTTGTCGGCTTCGTCCATGACAAATATGGGGCACTCTGACAGGTCTGCAACGCCTTTGCTTGCGAGATCAAGGATTCTTCCTGGTGTGCCCACGATGATATGCACTGGCTCGCCCAATCTGATAATGTCGTCTTTCAAGCCAGTGCCACCGGTTGTGACCATGACATTGATACCCAAATGTTTTCCAAGCATCTTGCAGACTTGAGATGTCTGTAAGGCGAGTTCTCGTGTGGGAACAAGGATCAGAGCCTGCGTCTTGGGGTTCTTGGGGTTGATTCGTTCGAGGGTGGGGATCACAAAGGCTGCGGTCTTGCCAGTGCCGTTCTTTGCTCGCGCCAGAATATCTCGGCCGGTGAGGGCAACAGGAATGGTTTCTTCTTGGATGGGCGAGGGCTTCTCGAAACCGGCCTCGAAGATACCCATCATCAACTCACGCTTAATGTAGAAATCTTCAAAGTCGAGACCCTTTGTAGCGGTAACATCTTCTGTTTGTTGTCGGTTGTCCTTCGTCGGGAGCTTCAGCGAGTCTTTCCAGTTCGGGTCTTCTGCGCCATCATTTAATGAGGCCTTATTTAGCTGTGCTGCTAAAGCGTCGGTCATTTTGGAGGAGATTCAACGTCGACTGTGGTGTGGGAGGGGGAGGTGGAACGCAAGAGGGCTAAACTCGTGGTTACTAGCAGCAAGATGCGGACAGATGCAATAATGCCACTTCGACGTAGTCACTTTCGACGTGAGGGCGAGTTCTTTGTGGGTAGCGAGACTCGGTTGTTGTTCGCTAGAAGTAAGGGGGAAATGACTGTGGTAGGAACGAGAGAGACGTCGTGGGGTGTTTCTAGCCTGAGAAGACTAGGTAGTTCTTGGTGGCGGTGGTAGTTTCTTCACTGGGTGTGCTCGAGGGTGAGAGTTGCAGAATAGACGGGTAGAGGTAAATCCTCGAATGAGTCCGAGAATGTGTAAGGAAGGCGAGTCTGGAGTGCGAAGTGTGAGTGAGTATGAGGCTATTGCTCGAGGAGAGTTCAAGGTACAAAGGTTTCTTGTTGTGCTTTATGCCGGCGACTGCAGCGAAGCGATCGAGGAAAGTGACTTGCCGCCCACAACCAACCAGAAGAAAATGCCTGTGTCATGTGACCAGAAATTGCAGGCAGAACAATGCCAAGAAACAGATGTTCACTAGTTCGTTTTAGGCGTTATATCCAGTTCATGTTGATTCTGAAAAGGTTTATGATTCCAATCTATTCAACGTCTTTCCCATGGTTTGATCCGTCTAATCTGTATCAAACACCCCCAGCCTGGTGACAGGTAGCCCTTTTCTATCCTGGTTTGAGCATTTGACGGCCGGCGATTCTAGACAAATTCGTGGACCCTTCCATACTTCTATCCACGTCGCCTCGGTAGGCTCACGAGACACCCTTCGTCCAACCCTATCCTTCTCTAGCAGGCGTGCAATCCTTCATGGCTCAGTTGCAGGGACAAACGCAGCTGCTGGGACATGCTCCTGGTCCCATCAGGCCTTTGCAAGGACAGCTGACGGTGGTCAGCCTTTCCAGAAAAGAAGGCGTCGGATGAAGCGTCTCGCACCTGCCTCTCACACATGGCGGCACACACCCGCAGTTTCTTGTCTTGCTTGGTTTGTGATCGCGGTGCTTCTCTTTGGAAAGAGCTCTTTCGTTGCCTTCAAAACAGGGGCTTGCCTCTTCCCTTCCGCTGCTGTCCGTGATCCCACCATAGTTGCGTTGAGGCGCCGTTGGGATAATCGTCGAGGAAGAGGTGACTTGACGCATGACTGCTAATTTTCGGGCGATGGAAGTCAGACAACAAGACTTGTCCTTCTCCTGGGTTGCGTCGTCTTTGCTTGACAAGACTCTGGTGATCAAAGACTGAGTGCTCTCCCAAGAACTTCACTTGGACAAGCTACTGACGGGAGATATATATCATCCCTCTCATGCGTCGAACCAGGTTCTGCAGACATTGTGACTTCCCAACAGAAAGGCATTATGCGTGAAGACTTGCAACACCAACGAATCGCACTTCCAATCCAGGCAGGAACCGGCGCAGCTTGTGTCTATGTTCTTGTCGCAACCAACCCAATCCCGTCACCGCAGCAATGCTCTCCGTACAGGCCACATATTTGTCGCAAGTATTCGCCAGAACAACATCGGTAGAGACTGGCGGAGCACATATGGTTGTTACACAAAGCCAGTTAAGTCCAGCATTCTTCGGGAGACAGCCTTGACCGACAAACCCACCCAGCTCTGGCCTCAGCATGTGCTTCCTAGATTTCGAGCCGCGAAAATGGTTATGCATCACCGAAGAAAAGGGGACCAACCACTTGGATTTGGCGACCTTTGTTGAGGAGGACAAATCTTTCAGGAGACTCATCTGTGGAACGTTCAACTCACCCCATGTCGGAAAAGTATTCCCGCTCTGCGCGGGAAACTTGTGAGAGTCGAGCAACCCGAGAACCACATTTATTTATCATTGGCATTGTTACAATTGGTCATCTAATCCGGACAATATGCTCTCGTTCTCGCTTTAGGCTGCAGCTAGGACAAGCCTCGTCTGACCTCTTTCTGGAGCAGCGATCCTGTTGCATGTTAGCTCGGAAACCTTTGGTCAGGATTCATCTCAACCTACTCGATAGGATTGACATCTGGCGCCCTCTTGATGTCAGACTTGGTACCAGGACTGATGAGGATGAATTGACCACCAATGCTCTGCCTGGCTCCCTCGATCAGTAGGTTGACGCTGGTGCTTCGATTGACTGCGTCCATGAAAACATCGAATTCGTCAAGGCATCTTATGGGCGCCCCCATCGCTTCCCAAATCGCAAGCAGCAGGCAAATCTGGGCGAATGACTTCTCTCCACCTGACAGAGTTCGCACGCTTCGTCCCCTGCCATCTCTTCTTGTAATGTCAGGCTCGACTCGGATATCCATCAGTTTCTGCTTGTGATCCAAAGTGAGGGTTCCACGGAAGCCACGCTCGCTCAGCATATACATGAAGGATGCCTTGGATCTGTGCGAGATGAAGTTTCGGAACTGCTTCCACCGATATCGTCGCTGCACCATCGTCTCAGTGAGCTTGTCACGGAGATCCGATAACCCTTTGACTTCTCGCTTCGCGCTCTCGTATGCTTTCGACCACTTGGCAGCTTCGGCCGCGATCTGTTCCCGGTCGCCGATACGATCGTGGTACTTGCGGTAATCTGCTTGAATCCGGTTGTACTTCTTTTTCAAGCTTTCGTGGTCTTCTCCTTCGGGCACGTTGACCCGCTCACACACTTGCCGAGCTTGTTCGACAAACTCGGCAATCTTCTGGTCCATCTTGTCGACGTTACTCTGCGAATCGGCACGGTCTCGTTTGCTGTCTTCAATCTGAGCAATGACATTGTTCTTCTCGCCCAGGTCGTAAGCTCTCTTCTTGCCAGCCTTTTGTGCCGCAGACTGGGCTACTGCAGCGGCGGCCTCGGCCTCGGCAATGCGCTCGTCCAGTTCGTGCAGTCTCTGGGTTGCCTCCCGCAGTTTTGCCTTTATCTCGTCCAAAGCCGTCACGGAATCAAGGTAGGAGTTTTCATGAACAGTCTTTTGCTCTTCCGCATCTGTCAGTTGCTGCCGAAGAACTTCCAGATTGCCTCCCTCAACAGCATCTTCTTTGACCGCCTCCTTCAGACGCTCCTCCTCATCCTCTGCGTTCTGAACTGCAATTTGCAATTCACGCTCCATTCTGTCATGACGGACAAGGGCCTGCTTGGCCTTCTCATGTCGCTCTCGAGCACTGCGCCATTCTTCCTCGGCACGACGCAACTGCTCTTTGGCCTCCTGCACGGCCTCCTGCTGTCGACGTAGAGACTCGTCAATATCTGTCCGCATCCTAGGGGTGCCGTGATACTCGTGTATCGGGTCTTGGGCGGCCTGCCCATTTCGATAGGACAACGCAGCTCCTCTTAGTCGACCCGTCGGGCTGAAACAGTAACATCTCTTGACATTCTCCAGTGGCTTTCCACCAGAGTACAGGGCATCTGAAGCTTCCGACATGTCCGGTATCAAAAGAGTCTGCTCGATGGCGTTTGCTATCACAAGCTGCTTTTTGACTGCTTCGTTGTCGATCTCCAAAACCCTCAAGACAGTGTCGAAGCGAGCGTCGGGCTCTTTGATATTAAGTGGCTGACGATTGGCGATGAATATCGGCAGTGAGCATTTCGTCCGGCGCATGACGTTGCTCAGCAGAATTTCGTCAATCTTCCCAAATACAATGAATGCATTCAACCCGCTCCCAAAGGACTTCTCCAGGATTGATGACCATTCAGGCTTGAGCAGTTTCACGTGTTTCCCCAGTGGCCCAATAGGCCGATCTTGAAAGCCTCTCTCATGCTGCAAGGCTTTCAATAGATTCGGCATGTTTGGGTGATAGGCCAGGTCCTGAGAGTTGCGGTGTTGCGTCAGCTGTTTGAGATTCTGGTCTTGTTGCCTCACTCTTTGTTCTTGCGTCTGCTTTTCATTTTCGGCTTCCTTTTCAGCCTCTGCTGCTCTCTCGATATCTTTCTCTCGGGCAGATTTCTGTTGCCTGTGCTCGGCGTGATCACGTTTGGCTTGATGGAGAGTACTTCTGGCATTCTCAAGTTCGATCAGACGTTGGGCAGCACCGCCTCCATGAAGCTCAGCCAAGCGTTGCTCCTCCAGCAGAATGGCTTCTTTCTTGGCTTGAATTGTCCTGTCAGCGTCCTTCAAGACCGAACGGATTGACCGCTGCTCAGCCACAGCCTCGTTGGTCTCCTTCTTGATTTCGTCCTGTCGTGCCTTTTCTTCATTCTTTTCTTCCTGGATCCGTTGAACTACCTCTGTCGCTGCATCAAAGGCTTCTCTGGCTGCCGTAGCCGCGCGGTCCGAATCTTGAAAGATGTTGTCCAGTTCCGCCAGCCTGGCCTCGGCCTGTGCGATTTTGGCATCCTCCTCCTGGACTAACGCGGCATATGAATCTCGAATGCTCTCTTGCTCGGCAACCTGGGCCCAAGCCATGATGCGTCGCAGATCACGAGCTTTATCCAACATACTGTCGTACTTTTGAGACAACTCCTGCTTATTCTTGGCTCTTTCGTACTTTTTCTTCAAATCGTCCAGATCCGGCAGCTTATCTTCGATTTTGGCGCGAATATTCTCCTGCTGCTCCTCAATCAGACGGTAGTCCTGGTCCAGCTGCTCGAGCTGCACCCCCTTCATGAAAAATTTGTACTTTTCGCCCTGACTAGACGAGCCGAGAAACTGTCGGGCCTGATCTTGTGAAAGTACAGTCATGGGGTTATCGATCTGCAGCATCATGTGGTCGCAGATTTCCTCGAGGTCAAACTTCCGCGTCGAGATGATACGTCCCTTCTCGGACTTGAGCTTGAAACCACTGGTGCCGGCCCGTGAAAAGTACCGTTCCACTTGTATCGTGTTGCCGTACAATTCGGGCATATAGGCATGATCACCCTGATTTTTGATCTTGCAGAGGATGCGTGCATGGTCTTTGCCCTCCTTGATAAAGGTTTGAAGCTTGGCGCCACGGTTGGTTGCAGAGGCTTTCCCTCCTAAACACAGGACGATACCAGTCAAGATAGCACTTTTCCCACTGCCGTTTTTGCCGCAGATGAAGTTGATCAACGGCCCTAACTTGAATTCCATGTAGTCGTGGCACATGAAGTTCTCCAGCTCCACAGCTTCCAGAATTCCATGAGCTGCGGGTTCATTGTTGGTCGTCTTGTTTGAATGCTTTCTTGCCTCAACGGCCTGTGTGGCAGCGAGCATGGCCTCCTCGTCATCGTCATCGCCATCGGAATCTAGTTCGGAGGGCGGTGTGCTCGCGATCTGGCGATCGTCTGCGTTGCTAGAGGCATCCCATTGGATGGAGGACTCATCGCTTGTCCTCCGTCTCTTGTTCTACGCGATTGTTAGCCGTGACGTTCCCCTACTTTGGGCGGCGCAAGCAGCACTCACAGCTGATCTCTGGAGAGGTGAGGTGGCTCGGCTGCTCCTGGCAAGGTCGTTTTCATTGTCGTTATCGCTGGCTTCCGCATCGTCGTCGAACGGTGCTGATCGCTTCGGCGGCGCCATGCCGGCGATCTGGACTCGAGTCTACCTCTGTCGTCAAGGGACAAAAAAAAGGACATGTACTCTGTAGTATTTCCGTGGGAACCGAGGGGCGTTGATTGACAGACAGACAGGCTGCGGCCTGGAACTTAAAGGAAGAACTGTAGTTCAAGTTGCAGGCGCGTCTCGTTTTCTGACGCGTTGAGGGCGAAAGAGGCTAAACCTGCCTCGGCCTTTAGAATTAAATCCGCATGCACGCTCTAGAACGAAAGCGGCAGCCAGATTTTGTGCTCCACCTGCGTCACGAAAGAACGACAGTCAACTTTCAAGTTCAAGATACAGATTGTGCCAGCCACCAATGCTAGGGAATTCATCTGGACTGCGCCTCGAGTTCAGTGTCCCTCTGTTTTTTGAAGAATGGCCACGGCCGCGGCCAATGCCAATGAAGGCAGGCCAAAGGCAAAGGTACGTCACTCGCCTTACAACCGCCGCCCGCTCGTATTGATTCCTCGACTGCTATGGGGAAGAGACGACAAGAGACACTGGACTAATCTAGTTTCGCGAACAGCCCAGCGCATTACGCTCAATTATAGCCGGGTCAACAGCTGGGGCGGTCGAAATTGGTCAGTCACACACTGTCGTTAAACAATCCTGCACGCCTTATCCATCATCATGCTATTCCAATCCGATGTGAAATGGTATTCATGGTGCCGTGACCACCTGCTTACTGTCTCCAATATACATACAGCGATCACCTACCCATTCGATCTTCTCAAGACTCGCTCACAACTCAACCGCCGACTACCAGACGCACAGCGCGTGCCGTTGCCCCGATTCCCCTCGAAAGAATGGTACACAGGATGTACGACGGCGATCGTTGGCAACGCAGTCAAAGCCGGCGTGCGCTTTGTCTCATTCGACCAGTACAAACACCTGCTGTCTGACGCGGACGGCCACATCTCCGGCCCGAGGACGGTCGTGGCCGGGTTCGGCGCCGGGATCACAGAATCGCTGCTCGCAGTCACGCCGTCGGAGTCGATAAAAACGCAACTCGTCGACGATGCGAAGCGAGCGCATCCGCGAATGCGAGGCTTTATCCACGGAAGCACCGTGATCGCCAAGGAGAAGGGGTTCAGAGGCTTCATGCAAGGGTTTGTGCCCACGACGGCGCGGCAGGCTGCGAACAGTGCGGTGCGGTTCAGCACGTATACCAGCCTCAAACAGTTCGCCGAGGGCTATGTGGCACCTGGAGAGAAACTGGGCTCATTGACGACCTTTGGAATCGGTGGCCTTGCTGGCATCGTGACCGTCTATGCGACCATGCCGCTTGACACGGTCAAGACGCGAATGCAGAGTTTGGAGGCCAAGAAGAACTACAAAAACAGTCTTCACTGTGCCGCGCAGATCTATAAAACTGAAGGGATTTTGACGTTTTGGTCGGGCGCGCTGCCTCGACTTGGCCGGCTGACGCTGAGTGGTGGCATTGTCTTTACGATGTGAGTTGTCAACCCCCCTTTTCAATACGTCGCGTGTGGCAGAGGGATCGTCTAACAAGCGACCCCGTCTTCTAGGTATGAGAAAACGATGGAGTTGTTAGACCTGGCAGACCCGGACCGGAAGTATATCTAGAGTAGTCTCGGTTTGGCATGTCATGGTTGAGACATGGATTGTCAGGAGTCATCATTGCACAATACACATTGTGTCCCTCGGACTCTGAACACGGCACGCATTTGAATACCCCGGACACTGCGGCGGCAAAAATGATTGCTATAGATGGACGCCGAGTTCAAGCCGCGGTTGAGTTGAAAAGATAGAACAGTTCGGTCTCCATTAAATCAGCAACTGATGTCTGATGCATCGGCCCAAAGCCAGCCGCCACGCGAACTGGCATGGGAGCAGAAGACTACTACAAGCAAAATTCAGTCAAGCGCAGCAGCAATCGGGCATTCCCTGCTCCTAATCACACCCGAGCATCAGCCCGTTGATCTGTGATACCGAAGGAACATCTGTCCATCTGGCTCTCTCCTCTACCACTACTGCTCTCTGACCGTGATATCCTTCACCATGCCCTCTCCCAACATGGCGATTTCAGCCAAAATCCCATCTTTGTTGAGCACACACACATCCTTGCCATCTTCCTGATCATCTCCCGCCACAGGCACACTCGACCAGCCCAACCTGACCCGCCACTCCTTAGTCCCCAGGACACTGGGCCTCCACAATCCAGCGATGACGCGGCCGCCATGTTGGTCGTGGAAGAACAGAGCAGTAGAGCCAAACGCATGCTCCAAGTCGCGCACAAACAGCTCGACAGGATCATGTCCAATCGCTGCAGTATCGAGAGTCTCGTGGACTTGAAGGTTCTTGAATTCTGACACCGCACCACTACTGCCGCTGTGCTGGTGCGCCGACCTACTAGACTTGGACCCAGCTTTGGACCGCAACACAGAGGGCTTGAGGTGGATCAGGAAATCGTAATCGCCCAGTGGACTTGTGAACAGTCCCGTCCAGTCCGAGTCGTCCATCTGGGTAGCCTTGCGCACCACAACATCGACAGCAGCCCGAGCGAGCGCCGTCAGTCGTCCAGCCACCACGCGCGGCGGCCGGGAGCCCTGCGTCCACACGGTGCCTGTAGTGTCGAGATTTGTGCCGACGAACCAGACCACGTTGTTCATGCTGGGGTCGAGTTTGCGCCACGCTTGAAAGCGCCTCGTGATCTCGGACAGCTGGGAGGCAGCCATGTCTTGGGCCAAGCTGAGGTCGACAATGAGAGGCGCCGATGCCCAGTCCCAGCGTGACAGGAGGTGCAGACATCTCAGAAACGCGGTCGTCGAGGAGCCAGGAGTCGACCAGGGCGCCGGGTGCACATGGACATGTGCTGCGATGATCTCCATGATTTCTTCTGGGATGTGTTGCAACAGTAAATGGGAGGAGACCCATTTCTTAAATAATCGAATGGTGGCCGACAGGGGCGGGAAGCGTGTACACAAGTTGCGTATCGCGGTCGTATGCATCGGTTGAGCAAGGAAGTCTCGTCTGTGTGTTGCCAGTGCTGTAGTGAGAGAGTCTCTGACGGAGCCGTGGAGCGATTTGTCGACGAGTGCGGTCTGTAGCAGATGTTCCTCGCGATCGTGGTGGATCCGGGCTCGGAAACAGATCGGACTCAATCCCGGACCTGGGGATGGATAAATGATATCGAGGAACGAGGTGTTGAAGCGGCCCGTGACGGCGGATTCGGTGTTTTCTAATCCAACACGAGTTTCCAGGTCGGTATTCTTTGCTGTGAGAAGTTCTGCGAGCTTGAGGAGGAATGCTATCTTGGTGTACTGGATGGCAGGAAGAGAGTCGGGCCATCTTGTCGAAGATTCGAATTCGATAATCATGTTGAGTGGCCGCGTACTCTGTGACAGGAGTGGATGGCCAACGGATGAAGAGCGTAGACCTGGATCTGCTGGAAAGATCGACCGAATGGGCAGAGGGAGATTGTCTAGTCCGTGCAGCGTTGATGTCAAGGTTTGGAATGTCGACCCGATGATTCTGAAAGCGTCCTTCGCACTCATGGACGATCCTGTTTCTAGGATGTTCACTTCCAGATCCTGCCCTACAGCCGACACAGAGCTGGGCGGTAATCTGAAATGGAGCGTTGCAAGATAAGTGATGATCTGCAGCGTAACAGGACTTCCCGGCGCCCATACCAGGCTCTCCGAGATTGTCCCATCTCGAAAGCGACGTAGCTCCGCTTTCTCGCCCCAGAACTTCCGGAAATCAGCTGCTTCATCTTGCTCATCTGCTTCTGGACCGTGGTCTACAAGACGACCCACGTTGTCCGGATTTGTGAGCAAAGCGACCTCCAGTTCGTAGTCTCCCTTATCCTTGACATCAGCAGTTTGGTTCAGAGACCACTTGGACCGTTGCGGTAGCTTGAAATCAACCAGGGAGGCCCTGTCTCCCAGACCACGTACTAGTGTAGCGTGCATCCGCAGAAGAAAGTCTCGCTCCTCGGTTGCGGTCTTGCACATGGCCGCGGGAATCTTGACGGAGAACAGCTCGTCATATTGCAACACAGCGGTTGCAACATTCGAGGAAAAAGTAGTATCATAGCTGTCATCGTTCCGGGAATTGACGGTAGCCAAGGAAATCTGAGCATGATGCCGCAAAGACTGATATGACCAGGGGCTCATTTTGTACAGCACATTCACCCCCGTTTTTCCGTCGAAAAGGACGGGATATTCTGACCGTGGGATCTCAAGACTCGCAGTGTTGAGCACCATGGGATCTCGAAGATCTCGTCCAGCGAGAATCTGGAGGACTGCCTTGAAGAACTGAAGGCTGCTGTACTGCTTGGAAAACAGCGGATGGCCCCTATGACCACCTCCACTGAGAAACAAGGCACACATAAAGCACCATTCGCGCCAGCCAAAACCTCCCGATCTGGCCGAGCTAGAAAATCCCCTCTGCCTCAGCCAGATCTGACCAATGCGACATGCGTCATCGAAAGCCGGACTTCTCGTCTTTTGAATGAGATCGTCGAAAGCCTTAACTAATGCCGCCGAACGAATAGCGCTGTTGTAGAAAGGAGTAGGCTGGTCAGAATTCCCTGATTCGTCGGAAGTTCCGTGTCGGAGACAGTTCTTCGTCGGCAGAGTCTTTGCCACTGGTATAGAAGCATCAGGAAACCCAACAGCAATTCGGAATGTGAATTTCGATTCTGCCGAATCCCGGGGCACAAGTTCGACTATAGGCAAGAGGTCCACGTCGCACAAATATGAGAAAGATACGTCGAGATCAGCTCCATGCTTTTCCTTGATCGCCGATGCAATGCAAGCGAGGTAGAATGCAGCTTTGTGAGGTGCTCGAGCATTTAGATAATCTTTCTCCTGTAGAAGCCCTTCCGGCATGACCGCTGTGAGTTCGACGACGTTCTCACCCTTGACACTCAACTCCAGGGGCAACGCTCCACCAACAATCAAGTGCTGAGGAGATTTGAACTCGAACTTGTAATGTGTTTCTTTCGAAGGTTGGGGTTCAGGAAATGGGATCCTGATCTCCTGCTTCTTGAATTGTTTCAAAGCATCCACCGCGGTCACGGGAGGTCGTGGCGGCAATTGCTTGATGGTGGCCTCCAGGTTGTTCAGGATTCCAGTCCACTTGGGTCGGAGTCTTGCATAATTCGGGGTGACTTCCTTGTTCAGGTCAGCCACTTGAAGAGCTAGGACAGATGACTTGTTGAGTCCGCCCGTTGGGAGAACAGTAGTGCTGTTCGCCACGGGACGTTTTGTTCTTCCATCCCGAGCCGCATCTTGTTGCTGAAGTCCAGTTCCACTTGGCGAAGAGTCTTGTGCAAAGCCGTTGGCGTTCCCGGATGATTTTGAGGTGTCAATATCACTTTTCTCCCTACTGTGGCTCAATTTTCGGCGCTTGGGAGAATGCGCCTCTGAAGGCTTCCCCGTGACAGACATTGTCGAGCAGCAACAACCTCCAAGCGATCAATTCCAGATTGAATCACTCATGTCGAAGAGTATGCTGCCTCAAGGAAACCGGTGGTAGTATCCTCTATATCGCTTGTTGCATCAATATGCGAACTACACATATTCGAGTCTTGCAACTCTGAACTTTTTTGATGCCAAGGTCCAACATCGGATAATTTGCCGTAATAGGTCCTCGGCCATCAATAGAGCAACTTTACATAAAGACCAAGACAACCTAGGGGCACTGACGAATCTACCCTAATGAAGTAGTCCTACTACTACTAACGATATACAGAATACTGTGTATATCTCGCATCTTCCTGTGGCAACTACCTAGGAACTTGCCTAGGTATTTCAAGTTCTTGATTCACCGTCGTTGCTTCCTATGAGAAAATAAACGTGGAGAGACCGAGAGCAGCCTAGCCGTTCTACCTGACCTTTCAATGGCAGAAAATGTGTATTTAGAGTGTCAAGAAACCTTTTTGAGTCTGCCTGCCCTTGTGAATATCCAGGTACATACACAAAGAACGATTACTCTAGGACTTTCACACGCTCGATGGCAGTTCCATCCAGATACATGAGTCCCAACGTCCGCCATGCGTTATAGCCAACGTGACAACCGGTACTAAGCCGAACGCCACAGGACGAGATATCCAAGAAGCATGCTTCCATAGACGTCGTCCAGCATTTCGTCAGTATAGTCAACGTCGTACTGGCGAGCATAATGAAAGCGTCCAGGGATGGCCCAGTCGCTGTCAAGGTTCGTCAATTGTCAATTGTCAATTGTCAATGATCATTAGAACCACAGCACGCAATGCGGGTCGTGAACACAACACCCAGTCAAGTCACGCCCCCGTTGAGGCCACTACAAGCGCTCACCCTTCTCCGCCTTCATCTGGCCATACTTCTTCAGCCGGATCGCTTGGACCTTGATGAATCCACCGGTTTCGCTGGGCTCGAAGTCGCCAATCTCGTCCATGCTGCTTTCTGAGGCGTCATACTGTACAGGTGTTATTTTGTGTACGGGAAGGGGCGCAAATAGGATGTCATGCGACATTCCTGGATGAAAGGACATACCAATTTCTCGGTTTGACTGCTGCGTCCCATGATGATGCAGTTACCCTTGTAGAGTCGGAGTCTGACCTGGCCGTTGACGCTCTTTTGAGACTCTTTGATGCTGACCTCCAAGAACTCGCGCTCGGGCGAGAAGTACAATCCGTTATACAAAACGCGGGACCAGCCGATCGTGACGAATTGGTCTCGAAGAGCGCGGACTTCGCGGTCGAGCGTCAAACCCTCGATATCAATGTGCGCCGTTCGCAGAATGGTGAGACCTGGGGTTTCATAACAGCCCTGTTGATAGTCAGAAGGCGGTTCTGCGGAAGAGAATCAGACTTTGGAGGAGAGAAAGCAACTTACTCGCGACTTCAAGCCAATGAAGCGGTTTTCGACAATCTATGAGAGCGAAATCATTAGTCTTGCGCCTGCATCGTCGGGGAAGACCAAACGTACATCAATACGGCCCACGCCGTGTTTGCGACCCAGAGCATTGGCGGCAAGGAAGACCTCAGTTGGGCTGGTCTTTGTGCCTGTCGTTTGGGATGTGATCTTGACAGGGATGCCTCGCTCGAATTCAATGGTGACGTCTTCTGGTTCGTTGGGTGCAGAGAGCAGAGGATCGGCGGTCAGTTTCCACATGTCGGCAGGAGGGGAGCTGTCTGGGTCTTCCAGAATGCCTGCCTCGTACGACACGTGCGCGAGATTCTCGTCCTGTAGAAGGTCAGATGGCAGTCCAAGTGCATACGGACATGGTCCTAAAGAAGTGGCAGGATTGCTGCGGCCTCTCGAAGACATGGATGCTTACCATAGACCAAGGCTTGCTCTTGGTGCTCGTCACGGGGATTCCTTGCTGAGCGGCATAGTCCAACAGGTCGTTTCGGCCCTTGAATCTCTCGTAGAATTCCGGAATACGCCATGGCGCAATGACTTGGATTTTGGGCTGTAGGGCGTAAAAGGCCAGTTCGAAACGGACCTGGTCGTTGCCCTTGCCTGTGCAACCGTGGGAGATGAATTGGCAACGCTCCTTCTGGGCGATCTTGACTTGGGCACGGGCAATGACGGGACGAGCGAGCGATGTCCCGAGCAGATCTAGCATGTGTCAACCGGCCATTCCAGCGAGTTAAACCCACCGAGCTGCAAGGTCTTGCATGTCGGGAAGCGGGAGGAAGACTTACAAACGTTTTCGTATGAAGCGTTGCACCTGAGAACAGAACCAGTTAACGTTGTGTTCCGGGATGACATTCGGATCGAGTCGCAACGGGTGTTTCACCGCCTCAAGCTTGGAAGAAAACACTTACTGAATGGCAGGGAAGCAGAGCTCTTTGACGAACTCATCAACCACATCCTCCTAAGCATCCCGAAAATCAGCAGCAGTTCCAGGAAGCTTGCAACAAGCGTCCGAGCCAGGTCCCTCCAGCCCACGTCTAAACCGTAGCCAAAATATCTCTGGAGAAGCACGTACAATGTAACACTCTTTCGCCCCGATCTTCAGTGCCTTTTCTCTTGCTGCATTGAAGTCTTCCTCTTGACCAATGCTATAAGTCTCGAGTCAGTATGGTCGTCGAGTCGCAGAGTCGGTGGATACCAGGACGGACGTACTTGGCCATGAAGCAGATGACATCTGTAACCTTTAGCTTGATTCCAGGAGCAGCACGAGGAAAAGTGAAGACTCACCGTAGCCCTTCTCAATGAGCCATGCGAGGATACAGCTCGTATCCAGGCCTCCGGAGTACTGTAGATTGTTAGACGCCTGTCCCGCGGGATCAAACTGGAGATGCCTTGGGGAGACTCACGGCGAGGCAGACACGCTGTTTCTCGGCCATGTTTGCGGGTGTTTGGGTATGAGTAGGTACAGCTTCGAGTGTGAGGCGGCGGAAGTATAAGGTAGTTCAGATCTCAGTAAGGTCCTTGAAGAACTTGAAGCTGCAGGCAGTTAAGTAGGTATCTGAGGATCGATTGCACGTTCAGTCAGGGCGCTGTGACTCTTTCCGCATGCTCAGGTTTTTAGCGGGCAAAAAATAGCATAAAATAAAAAACCGCGGCGGTGGGGCATGCGATAAGGCGCGTCGAAGCTGTGATAGGGACAATTGCACCACACTAAGGACCCCTGGACGGGTCCCTGCTTATCGCCGCAGCTGGTTCCTGGCATTTACGGAGAAAAAGCTCACTATCAGGAACCACGATGTCAGGTACGTACTACATGATGCAGTGGAAGAAGCAACGAGCCAAATTTTTTCTGATTTTTTTCTTCAGTGTAGTGTCTTGCATGCAGTGCATTCACTGACTACTACTTGTAACATGTGCTGATCCTACGCATCCTAAACCGTACCAAGGAGCCCTGACACCTTGCGTAAGGCGCTCATGTGAAGCCAGTCCGCAGCAGTCCTGCTGAGGCTGTTTTGGAGAGTACTCCGAACAGTGACGGTCATTATTAAGAAAAGCGATTACTTCTCCCATTAGAGGCTAATTGCTGCAGTGTGAGGATCATGTCGGACCACTACGAGGATGTGTCCCTGGGTGAGTTTTACTATAGATTAGTACTGGTAGCGAGGGTACAACACAGGGCGGCACAGTCTTTGACCGGATTGGGAAGAGGCTTTGGTGTAGATGGAGAGCTTACGACGGGCATCCTTCCTTGTCGGTGTACAACTAGAACAGAAGTCGTAGAATGGGAAGGCTTCACGAGGAATCGGGCTTCTCTAGATATCTACCTAGCGGTAAAGCCAGCTCTCTTGCCAGTTTCCCAAGGTACAAACCCTCACGTTATCACCACCCCATTGCTCTGCCTCGTCTCATCAACATAGCCCGACTTGCGTCCCGTCACCGAGAGCTGGAGGAAAGACCATTTAGTACTGGCCTCGGGGGTGTAAGTCAGGCTCGCGCCCTGCGCAACATCAAACGCAGCGCCGTACGGCTTGCCATTGACCGTCCACTGGGCTTCGAGTATGACACCGGGATCCCAACGTCCTACGCTCGCGGCAAACACACACCCTGCTTTGTCACAATGTCCAGTTTCAATTGTAGGGGGAGCCTGGCGTGCCAGCGCGGCTTGATGACCGCCGTAGGAAAGCACTTCGGCAAAAGTGTTGCCCCTTGAGGCTGGTGCCGTAACGTTACTGGACAGAGGTGTGGGCCCGACGGGGGAGTGGTCCTGAATCCAAGAGTAGACCAGCTCAAGGAAATCCCACGTCGTCCGACCTTGGTAGTTGCCTCCATGCGGTCTCTCGGGCAGGATTGTCACGTTGGCCCAGTCTGGTCCGCCAGCGGCGGAGACGCGGTTCTGGAACTCCACAACACCCTCGTTCAGATAGTAGTCGTCCCACGTGCCGACATAGATGAATATGCGTCGACGCAACGTCTCGCCGAGATTGCGCTCGTTGTCCCAATTGCTGACGATATAATCCGCTAGGTCCATGTGTCTCCAGTACCGGACGGCTTCGGGGTAGATCTCTCCAGTGACCTTGTTCCAGGGCTCCAGGGGATAGCCGTTGATACCCTGCACACCAAACACAGCGTTCCAGACGTCCCATTGTAGAGAAGAGCGGCTTGAGGTGCCAAACGTGAGCTCCCAATGATTCTCTTGTGCCACTGTGGCCAGCACAACTTCTGTGCCGTTTTCGAAGTCGCGGATGGAAGGGATCGCGCTGCCGTTAGGCCGCACATAGGCGTTCGTAGACGTGTACAATGGGATGTCCTGATGCCGGTGGAAATCCAAAGAATCGGGATACGATGAGAAGCAGACGCCAAAAAGATCAGGCCTGAAGATCAGGCTGGCAGCCGACTCCCAGCCGCCTGTCGAACCGCCCACCTGGACGCGCGCATAGGGCTCCGGGATTGTGTTAAAATTCGCTTCAATGTAGGGGATCAGTTCGTCGTTGATGGCATCGCCGTACGGGCCAATATTTGCCGTGTTGACAGCGTATGAATCATCATAGAATGGTGCTTCGTGACGGAAAGTCACTAGAATCATCTTGGGCGCGGGCCGGTCAGGCTCGCCGTCCTCGCCGGGAATCGTCCCGTTGTCCCACTCTGCTGAGAAGTTTGAGTCAGGATACCCAAAAGCTCCGCCGTCTGCCGGCCAATGTCCCTGGGAATAGATGACCGGATAGCGCGCACTTGTGTCGTTGGCGTCATATCCGCTGGGCAGCACTATATTGGCGCCGACATACATATCACGGCCCCAGAAGCTGCTGAGAGCCTGACTGCGGATCTTCACATACTTGAGCGTCTCCGTGTCCTCGTAGTTACCCTGAGAGCAGCCGCCAATCTCGCTGCCGGTAAACGCCTCAACAAGCGTCACGTTGTTGAAGTTGAGTTCGACTGTCTGTGGACCCTCCTGGATCTCCACATCAGTTATCGACGTGACGAGGCTTCCGACCCCGTCGACGTTCGGCGCGCCATCGCCACAAGGAAAGTGGACACTGAGCGTAGACCCGTCGCTGCGAGTAACCGTCTCGTACGGGTTGAGGAAGGCTTGCACCGAATAGTTGCCTGGGGGAACTTCATCCAAGCTCGCATTGGGCCAACCCCAGACACCCGTCCTGACATTGTATCCGCTCCCGCCCGAGAGTGTGATTGTGTCCGTGCCAACAGTGCCAAACACATTCATCCCGAAGATCAGATCAGGGCTAGAGGTAACGTCGGTGTCTTCCAGAGGGTCTACGCCGCTGGGCGCAAACAGGACCACCACGCGGCCGTTGACACTGCCGTTCAGGAGTCCATCTGTAATTGAGATCTGCAGTTCCAGCCCGGGCGTCGTGTCGTTAAACTGTGCCAGAGCTGTCATGGGCAAGACAGCCGCAGAAACAATCGCAGTGGCAGCAATCTTGACCAAAGAGGCGCCAGAAAGGCGCTTCAGGAAGCTCATGTCGGCCCGCAGCATATGACAAGTGTAAGTAAGGGATTGAATTGAGAAGTTCACCACTGTGCCACAGTAAATTTTGCTTACTTGTCGGGAATAGCATCAAAGGAACCATATATGGCAAGAAAGAGCCCATCAAAGGCAATCTAGCTGCTCCCGCGGTCAACCGCATAACTTGCCCGACCTTCGTCGATTCCATGAGGTTAGTAAACCGGACGTTACATTACCTGTGTCCTGTGGTCTGCCGTCCACCCGCCCTGGAGATAGGAAACCCCCAAGGTTGCCAGGCTAAAAGGCTTGTATCCTTGGATGCCAAGAGAGTGAAGAGGTGGTTTGTCTTGCTATCTGCCGACCGCTTCTCTTGTACTTCGAATCCAGGCACGATCTGAGGAGTAGTAGCTGAGATCGTGGACCTGACCTGAGAGGATGCTACCCCAAGCTACGTAGGTGGCGAGCCTAGCGTGATCGTGCAACGCACCAAGAGGGCAGGTCGTTGATAAGATACCGTATCCAAGCCTCCCAGCTGGTAACTCTGGCTTAAGGCCCCTCGAGGGGCGATAACATAACACAAGTAGAGCTGCTTTGTGGGGTGTTGCTGCTTCCAGAAGGCAAGCTTGTCTAAGCTTGTGTCCCTTTGCGGTCTGATGGCAAGGTGTGTGCTAACAGACGAGCCGTTCTTCTATCCTCTCCACATGCTTGATTCGCCATATTGCAGTCGTGGACACAGGTTCCCCATCAGGTCCGAGCTGATGTGCAAGCAAGCTTCAGCATCCAGATTGTCGTCTGGTCAATGATGGCAATTTGCACTCGATGAGCAGGACTTGATTGAGTGCGTCTGACCAGTCAAGGCAAGGCTGAGGAAGAGGGAGTGGGAAGGTCTGCAAAAGAATTCATAAAGCGGCAGCAAGTTTTTAGACTGCTTTAAGTGCCAAGTCTTCGATTTGCCAGACTTCCGCTCTAGGAAGGCTATGGCTAATTAGACTGATCTCGCACGATCTGTAATGCTTGCCATACAGTGGCCCCAGGACCTGCGATAGATTCGTACTGGAGTTGTCTGGCTGACAGAATCGTGGCGAGGATATACATCCAGCGATTGTAACAGTAGTAGATCCCTGGAGACCGGGAAATATCTACCATGTGGCCATCGCATGTAGCGAAGCTCTGCGAGAAGAATCTCCCACGGCAAAAACAGTCTAAAACCCCCTCAGCGGAGCCCCGAGATCGGGAAAATTCTCACGGAAGACTCTCGATTCATCAATTGTCCTTGCCACTACTGTCTATGACTCCCTGTGCTACCAGTGCTACCAGTACACAACGAATGAGTAATTCGTGGTATTTGTTGGTCATAGACTGACATCTCATATTAACAGCAGTTTCATTACATTCCGCAAGCTTTGTATCATCTTCACCATCACCATCAACATCCAACATCATCACAATGCTTGCAGCTGTCGGCCAGCCAGTGCCCAATACAGAACACGCGGTGAGCGTGTCGTTGCCGTCATGGAAAGCCACGGTGGGCTACGAAAGAGGAGAGGACTGGGTCGTCTCGAAGATGAAGACAGGATACCCGCGGTTCTTCATCCATTTGACGATCCAGGAGCTGCAAACCGAAATCCTCAACCTGTACGGCCGGCCTGGCGAGAGCGTGATGCTCTTTCCCTCCGCGGCGACGGCGATGCGATGCCAAAGATTTATCTGCGACAGAGCTGAAGGATTGGAGCCCGGTTCAGTGCGGGTCTTGCAATTACAGCCCGTGGTCAGCCAGAAGAAAAGTGTCGAAACGACATTATCAAGTCTGGCCTGCGTGTTCTTCCCTAAAGAGCATTTCGCTGTGGCAAAGCAGGTCTGGCAGCATTCCGGCGACGGGATTTCCAGTCGCCGCGGCGAGTTCTGCCTGAAGGCGCTGAAAGATGGTCTTCTCCGACCCGTCGCAACGCCGTCATCATCTTCTCCGTCTTACGCGAAACCAGGACATGACGATTTCTACCATAAGGGTCCTCGCCGATATCAGCGGGGGGCATCGCGCAATGGAGTTCATCATGACGCCTTCTCTAGTACCACGAATTCAACCTCAACCCATACACCCCTCAGTGAGCGTGCTCTGGCGCATGAACCCACCACAACACCTCCAGTCGATGTTGATGCCGACGCGGAAGACAGGGATCACGCGCAATTTGTGGAGGAGCGGTTCGGACGAAACCTCAACGTGAAGCTAGCGACGCAAGCGAAGCTCGCCATCCGGCGTCGAATCAGCGGCTGTCTCACCGACGACTCGGACCTCGACCAAGCGCTAGCCAATTCGCGCGACGAGAGCAGCGGACGCCAACGCGGCCTTTCCGAAGACGACGTTTATCTATACCCGTGCGGGATGTCGTCCATATTCAACACGCACCGGATCCTCCTCGCGCACGCCGAAGCCAAAGGCGAAGAACCGCGCCGGAGCATCTGCTTTGGGTTTCCCTACATCGACACCCTGAAAATCCTGGAGAAATGGGGTCCAGGGTGTCAGTTCTACGGCTTCGGGAGTTCGGCATGTCTAGACGACCTCCAAAAGCGACTGGAGGGCGGCGAGCGGTTCCTGGCCCTCTACACCGAATTCCCCAGCAATCCGCTCCTCAATGCTCCCGACCTGATCCGCATTCGACAGTTGGCCGACAAATACGGGTTCGCGGTCGTCGTGGACGAGACGGTGGGAAGCTTCATCAACATCGACGTGCTGAGCCACGCCGACGTGGTGGTCAGCAGCCTGACGAAAGTCTTCAGCGGCGACAGCAACGTCATGGGCGGCAGTGCCGTGCTTAACCCGCAGAGTTCCTGGTACGCCGACCTCAAACATCTCATGGCCCGTGAGTACGAGGACAACTACTGGGCCGAGGACGCGGTGTTTCTGGAACGCAATTCCCGTGATTTCATTTCGCGGATCGAGAGGATCAACGTCAGTACCGAAGCCATCGCCTCTACGTTGAAGTCTTGTCCGTTGGTCAAGCAGGTTTACTATCCCAAATATAACCCCTCGCGGCCCAACTACGACGCCTGTCGCACCCCCAACGGCGGCTACGGTGGGTTGCTGTCCGTCACCTTCCACCATCCCGAACAGGCTGTTGCGTTCTTCGACGCTCTCGAGGTCCAGAAGGGTCCTAGTCTGGGAACGAACTTCACGCTGGCGTGTCCCTATGCCGTTCTGGCGCATTATGTGGAATTGGACTGGGTGGCTAGTTGGGGCGTCGATCCTGACATTGTTCGACTGAGTGTTGGATTAGAAGAGCCTGACGATTTGACCGGGAGGATTGAGAGGGCGCTCAAGGCGGCCGAAAATGCTAAGACGGGAGAATAGATAGGTGTCGGCTCAAAACAAAAATGCGGGGTGGCACACTGCTTTGGAATGCTGCCAGGAACACCAACGCGGATATAGAGGTAGATCCAGATCTACTCGCTCCAGAACCAGAGGGACGAAGTGCCATAGACCAGCTCCGCTGTTCAACTCAGCGGACGGAGAGGCCATCACTATTGAAATCTCCTGGGAACACGTAAACTACCGTATTACTGCCCTCCCCTATCCAGAATTCAGCCATCTTCCGACAAATGCGTCTTGGATCTGACCGAAACATTTCCACCTGCTCTGTACGGCGTGGAAATCAGGCACGGAGATGGCATGAGACTCGCATCAGAGCCTCGTGAGGGAGCCATTTTCTGCCATCGCGACTTGCTAACCAACTCGGAGCTTTTCGCTCCGACCCGGGTCGACTTAGTCATCGATACTTCACCCACAACACCGATATTGTCTCTTCGGCATCACGAGGCTCCGATCTTGTCAGGGGAAGCCGGGACTCAACCTCCTCCGTCAAATATCTGCCTGAACCACTGCGAAAGCTACTGCAATATCGATTACGAATAGACTACCTTATGCCATGGCAACCTTGCTTGGGACCCGAATCCCCGTGCACAGCTGCCCGACGGTGATGACATTAATCATCGAGAGGGATGGTCTAGCTCTGTTTCGGGGCCCAGACCTGCCAAAGTCGAGAGATCGGAGGCTGATCATGGCCAACCGGGCGTGCGCTGAACCTTGTTTGTGCATTCAATGAATGCCTGCTCTATTCCTTTCTAGATTGGTAATATGACAAGCTGGGCAAAGCAAGGCAAGTTGGTGGATATAAAGGGGTAGGGTTCCTCCTTGAGTTCTCTTCCAAATTGGTATATCCATATTCCCCAGAAGCACTTGAATCCGTCATAAGTGTCCCAGCGATCATAGTATCCAGTAACAGCTCATCAAGTCACACGTCCTCCTGCTATTGACAATCCGTGGACTACCCATCCACCCATCCACCCATCTGGTTGCTTGTGATTCGTGTGGACAAGCACATGCACCATTTCCCCCATTTGCGATATCATAACACAACCTTTCCACCCCTTCCACCACCACAACATCTCTCACTCAGAGAACTCGAACCCATATCATGTCGAGAGCCATTCTGATCACCGGGGCCACGGGCAAACAAGGCGGCGCTGTCGTGAACGCCTTGGTCGCCGCAAAGGCAGATTTCCAGATCCTAGCCCTGACCCGCGACACACAATCTCCGTCCGCCCAGAGACTGGCGCAAAAGTCGCCCAAGATCAAGCTCGTCACCGGCAATCTGGATCTTCCGGACGAGATCTTCAGCAACGCGAAGGAGGCAACCTCGGCGCCTGTATGGGGCGTCTTTAGTGTACAGGTAAGTCAATGAAGGAAGGGGATACCATATTCATCCTGCTTCCCTTTCCAGAGGTCGACCCCTTACTTGAATCTGGTGACGCCAGAGGAGACTCATTATTCGGCGCAACTCCGTCTTTTTATATCTCCTCTCTTTTCTCTCCTCTATCCATCTCTTCCTCCCTCCTTTTCACCCATACTAACACTTCCACCAACCATACCAGATCGCAATAGGCGGCAAAGCCAAACTCACCGAAGAAGAACAAGGCAAGGCTTTGATCGACGCCGCCCTAGCAAACAACGTCGAGCATTTCGTGTACAGCTCCGTTGATCGCGGCGACAGCCAGGTATCCAACACCAACCCAACCAACATCCCACATTTCATCAGCAAGCATAACATCGAACAACATCTGTTCAAAACAACACGAGAACGACAACACCAAGCGGGACAGCAACAACAGCAGCAGCAGAACAACAAACACACCCTCATGCGCTACACCGTGCTCCGCCCCGTCGCTTTCCTCGACAACCTCATCCCAGGCTTCTTCGGCAAAGTCTTCTCGACGAGCTACCAGATTGCCCTGAGAGAAAAGCCGCTACAGCTGATTGCCGCAAGCGACATCGGCGTCGTTGGCGCGCAGGCTTTTCTTCGCCCGGACGAGTTTTCCGGTAAATCCATCTCGCTGGCCGGTGACGAGTTGACGTTCCAGCAGTTCCGCGAGATCTTTGAGGAGAGAACGGGCCAGACGCTGCCGACGACGTACGGCTTTGTCGCTCGCATGATCATGTGGATGAGTAAGGAGTTTGGCTCTATGTTCCAGTGGTTCTATGATGAGGGGTTCGGCGCCGACATCGAAGAATGCAGAAAGATCAATCCTGGCATGAAGGATTTTGCGACTTGGTTGGACAAGGAAAGCCAGTTCGAGACGCGTTGAATTAGTCCATGGTGACGGAGGATCAAAGTTCTGGTTTCGCTCCTGTTGTATTACCTTGCAGAATCACACTCACTGAAAACGCGCTGTTGCCGCTTATCACAGACGAAGGGACCAGCTTGCTCCTGCGCCTGGGGAATGAAATGAAAGAAGCCATTGCCGAGCAATCGGCAGTTGTACTTACAGCATGGTTGTGTGGGGGTGTCGTTGCGAGAATCGGATACGGCTCCATCCACTTATGTCTGGAGAATAATTGACCAGAGGGCAGCATCAAGAGGCCTGGGAATGCATGTATTGTCGTCATGTCATATGAATGTATTGGTATTCTCCCACTGCTCAAAATACCGAATTTAACCATGAATTGTCATGTTCCAGAAGAAAAGTGTCAAACTCCTTCATCCACTCGGAATCCATGGTCAGATCGCCCCAGTCGGTGTTGGCATAAGTTGATGGATCAAATGCAGATTCTGCGCCTTGAGGAGGTCCATGCACATGTCCAGGACCAGCAGAACCTGCCGGGCTCCTCTGCACAGAAAACCCATCGCCAGCCGCCGAGGCTTGGTCCCTGTATTGGACGTTATCTTCTCCCTGCAATACCCCATGTCTCTGTTGTAGCCGTGAGCGTGGAGGTGCCGTCACATCCACTGCCGACTCTGAAGTTGCTACTGCCGGTTCCGGGTCGCTCCCAAAGACACTGTACACTTGACCTCTAGTGCCGCCACCCAGAATACAGCCTGCGTCTCTGTTGATGCAGACCTCCCTTCTGTTTGAATACCAAAGTCTGAGCTTCTGAAAGACCATCAGACTCGTTCTAGCCTGTGGAAGGTATCCGTCCTGTGAAACTCGGCCGATTTTCCTCACCATCCCATCTAGATAACTCAGTATGGGAACCTGCGCGGCCTCTCGCGCAACACCGGCAGCTGTTTGACTGGACGCCAGGGTCTCGATGAATGGGGTGAGTTTGATGAGACCCATTGCAGCACACATGGTCCAGAGAAAATAGCTGTTATGAAGAGACCTGGCTGTGGCATCCTCCAGAGCCAAATAAATGTCGAGTATTTCCCGACATGAGTCTAGACATTGGCATAGTGCTTCGAAATGCGCAGCTGTCAACGGCACATCTTTGTGGAAAGTTGTGCCGACTTCCTGCTCGTCACCAGGGTTAACTGATTTCGAAAGAAGAGTGCGCATAGCGACTTGCCGCACAGTGAGCCTTGCACAGTGGAACGCGAACCTCGAAAACCCTGGTATGTGGTGTTAGACATTCGGCAGATAGGTACCATCAATGAATGGTCAAGAAAAACTCACGACTGTCTGTTTCCTTCGGCACCGCAGTTGCCCACCTTTCGAGCCTTCCTTCGAGCATTTTCATCTTGTATTGAGTGCTAAGGTTGTCGAAATCCTCTACTGTGCCAGGAGTTCTCCATCCGAGAATATTCGAGGAATCTTCAATCAAAAGCTGGTTCTGCACAAGACTGTAGAGCCACAAATCGGAAGAGTGTACATCGCCACCAGTCGACAATACATCCAAACAAGGCTCCAGATCCGATACCCCTAGCACGGGATATTGGTGCCGGAGTAGGGCCACATTGCTGTCGCGAAAGGTGAGCACAGCCGAAAAATGAGAGTGCTTACTACCACGAAGTGATAGGAAACTTACCTCGACCCTGTATACCAGGCTGCCAGCCACGTCCGCGCCGCCTCTTTTCGGTCGGACTGAGATCCCGAGTCCTGTTTGGCCTTTTTCGCAAGAGCCAGATCGCAACACATGGTCATTGCAGCAGAGGCATACTGAGTAGAAGAGAAGTTTGCCGCCCCCGAAGGTTGGACATAGTAGTTGGAGTACAGGAGGGCCGCTTGAATTAGTTCCATAGATCTCTCTCCAAGAACGAGTATTCGACGAGCCAGCTGCTCATTTAGCTCCATGACAAGTGCTGATTCAAAGGACGGCAATATGGAAGCACTGGCAACAGCGAGAATGGCCAAGAACAAAACCGGCTTCGTGTCCCGGATAGAACCTGCTGTAGCATATTGTGGAAGCCAGACAACAGGCAACTTCGGCCGCAACGTGAGGTTCCAGTGGTTGAACAAGACATCTGCAGTAGGCATATCGATGACCCCTCGGCCAACCACGTCGTTAGGCACGATTGAAGGCCTGCTGTCCCGATCCAAATGGGGTTGCGGTTGCACCGCTCCAATCGCGTAAGGGGGTTGACTGGGTTGTGCGGGAGCCTCGTTGAATGTTTCAGTTGTGGTTGGTGCCGTTGATTCAGCAGAGACTGTCATGTTGCCGTCATCTCCTCCAGGACCCTGCTGGGTTTTGGCAGCTAGTGCATCGGTCAACCGCTCAATTTTCTTCTCCAGCTCCAAGAATTTCTGGGAAGATTTTATCCGCGGCTTTGCTGGGCCAGGCATGATACAAGGCCGGGATCGCTTTAGACATGCATCGCATGATTCGACACCGCGCGAGAGTATACACCGTATCTTCATATTCCGGCAGGCAATACAAGCACGCGCATTCTTTGATCTTCGAGGAGTGTGACGGGATGTTGGTCCGGATTCCTCTCCATCCGAAGACTGGGACGACTGTCCGTCTTCACTGGGCTGCATCATGGGCTCTGGTCTGCGAGCGGAATGATGTCGACGGCGAGTCGTCACTAATGGCCCTCACAGCGACCAATGCTGTATTCTGTACCTGTAGTCGTCGAAGATGGCACAACATAAGCAGAAACCGATGAGGGGAGATCGATGATGGAGGCGTCGGCTGACCTTCCACGTGAACATCTGCTTTGTCAGCACTCAGCCTCGCCCTCCTAATTGACTCAGCCTTGCAGTTCCCCCCTGAGACTAGAGAGCATCTCAAGCCTAGTAATTTTACAGGCTGCAATTGGCGACTAATGAGACAAGATGATCGAAAAAGGACTCTTTGCTACTGACAAAGGCTAAACAGGTTTGCTATATACAATTGCCCTTTCCAGCGTCAGTGTAAAGAGCAGGACCATAGGTAATAAGACATCCGTTGGGAATCTGAGACTGTCAGAACAATCCAAATCATTACAGAAAGAGTAGCACTTCTAGGTAGAGCTACGGGAGACTTTTGCTAGGCATCAAATCATATCACCAACATATTGAACTTGAGTGAAAAGGGCCTTTGCCGGGATCGTTCAGGAAGAAAATATGCTTTTATATGAAATGGTCTGGGTCGCGCATGCACTACTGCCCAGCTTTGACGAACAACTGTGACAGCTCTTCTCTGGGGACACTTTTGAACAAGTCTTCAAAAGTCACAACCTTCACTTGCGGATACTTGTCGTTATCCAGATTTGGTCCGACCGATACTCGGCCCGAAAGCAGGTAATAGGTGTAAAATCTTGAGAAACTCAGTTAGCGAGAAACCGGGAAAATTCAAGGGACCAACATTTGGGGGATCGATCATACTTGAACATGTAGCTGTATACGTTCTCCGGTTCGTTCTTCCGCAGGCGATGCATCTGCTCGTATAGCTCCTCCAAAGAACCCAAACATTCGGTCTTTGGTTTTATGCCGTAAACCTTTTCATAAGTGGCAGCAATTTCGTGAGTTGTCGAGCAGGCACCGAGAACTGAATCATGACTGTCAGCATATCTCTATGATCTTGAAGAATGGGTTCAGCCTCAGCCTCACATCGTAGCACGCCTACCGCTGCCGAATCAAGGCACACAGCAGCCGTATATTCGGCCGAGTTCTTGTACGTGGTCCCCTCCCAGACTTCATTTCCGGTGCCCCAGTATCTGAACGTGGTATTCTGCGGATCCCAAACCCCGAAAACCGGACTGAAGAGCACTTCCAAAAAGCCGCCAGTGAGAATATGCACGCCTTTGATGTTCTTTTTTGCATCGAGGTGCGCCTTTACGTGGATCATGGGGTCCTTTGGGAACAACTCGCCCAGCTGGAGCTTTGTGTAGTCTAGTGCCCAATCGCTAGCCACGTATCTTGGGACTCCCTCCTCCTCACAGACGTTGATGAGCAGTTCCTGTCCATCGATCATCACTCGGTCATCGCCGAGGTAGCAGCAGACCACAACGTCACAACCTTTGACGAATGCGTGAAGAGCATCAGCATCGAACGCGTCACCCTGGACAACTTGGACCTGGGGTGACGATGAGACAGAGGCGGGGACTTTCGACGGTGAGCGGCAAAGTCCCCTGATTCTCGCTTCAGGATATGTCAAGAGTGCATTCGCAAGAAGACGAGCGAATTTGCCAGAAATGCCGGCGATACCGATTGTGGTGGTCATTTTGGAGGATCAGTGTCACAATCTGAGAATTTGAGAGACTTGAAAGCAACAGAGGCTTGTGCCGCAACCATTGGTGCCATGCTTGACGACTGTTCGTGTCACTTATACAGTGCTACGTGCCCCCATGCATGTGCAAGACTGGGGTTGTTGACGGAATGATCTGACTCCGGAAGGTAGGAATCGGACTCATCTGGGTCCGGGGCACAACACCTATAGGTAACTACACCCTGAAATGCTACAGTGCGCCGTAGCGTGGTAGGCACGTGATGCCCCGGGGCACTGTCACGTGATGACGCCCACCCTTTACGGAAGTTCCCACAGCGATGTCATCCCACGATCACGGACAAACGGCGTTTGACTGCATAAGAATCTCGCAGTTCACTCCTACGACAATAGACACTCAAGTCCTGAAAAGAATGCAATCATCCAACTGAGATGAAGGCATTCTATGACACTAAAGTAGGTTGAGAGTCATCCGCAGTTGAGTTGGGCAAGCGACGCTGTGACCAGAGCCCAAACAGTCTAACATCAAGCCGCCCTCTCCTCTCCTTCATTGCATGCACTTCCGAACACCCTCCGCAAGAGTGTCCTTCCGCGTTTCGATCTTTGTATTTGTCAAAGTCTATCAGATCTCACGGGCTTGATAGTATCCCTTGTCGAGCTTGTGCCTGTTGTTCCAAGCACCTGAAACAGGCATCGAAACCACACCCCAATCTTCATCCCCATCTACAACAATGGCCTGGCGCTGCTCCGGTCGCACCAACGCCGAGCTGGTCAGCAACCTCTTCTCCGCGGGGCTGATCACCTCTCCACGCGTGCGCGACGCCATGTCCTCCGTCGACCGAGCAAACTACTGTCCATCATCCCCGCTCGCCGCATACGAAGATTCTCCTCAGCCGATCGGGTTCGGCGCCACCATATCCGCCCCGCATATGCATGCCTCGGCCTGCGAGAGTCTACTGGAGTTCATGCCGGAGAACAAGGGCGCGTGCGTGCTCGATATCGGAAGCGGGAGCGGATACCTGACGCATGTGCTGGCAAATCTGGTCTGTGGAGCGGACGGCGGGGGTGACGGCAAGGTCGTGGGCATCGACCACATCCAAGGACTGGTTGACATGGCGAGACAGAATATGCGGCGGAGCGCGGAAGGACGACGATTGCTGGACTCAGGCAAGGTCGAGCTTGTCCTGGGCGATGGACGCAAGGGGTATCCTGAAGCGGGACCCTACGATGCCATTCACGTCGGAGCGGCCGCGAGCGAACTGCATCAAGCCCTTATTGATCAACTGAAGAGCCCTGGTCGAATGTTCATCCCGGTGGAGGGCGGTGACGGATGGGGCAGCCAGTGGATCTGGGTCGTGGACAAAGATAAAAATGGCAACGTCACCAAGAAGAAAGATATGGGGGTGCGGTACGTGCCGTTGACGGATGCTCCGAAGTGACAATCCCAGATCTTGGAAAACTGGTGGAGGAATCTTTGGAGGAGGAGATGATGCACCCTGTTTGAGGAGATATGGCCGTGGTTTGAGGAACAGAGGCCGGAGCTGTTAAAGTTTCGCTCCCGACGTTCATGATGGCCCTGCTTACGGGCAAACCCAGCCTCTGTTGGAGTTGGGGGTGGTTTTTTCACATACGCTTCGGAGGATGACATCCGAATGCACGCGGATATTTTGCGGAGTTGGGGGCTCAGGCTAAGTGACTGGGATCTGTTTATACAAAAGCATCTGGGGCCAAATCGGCCATCATGGAAAGCCTTGACGGGCTCGCGAATGGACTGTCATCATTTGATGCATGGTTCACCAATAGGGTTCAAGTAAGTCAGGCCATCATCATCATCCATGTGCCTATCTATCATAATGGCTGTATATAAGCGCATCGCAACGCTCATCGGCCGGATTGTCCTGCAGCTCCCTACTTCCAAGTTCATGCATTCACCATAGGCTCTTCAGCCACATAGTGCAGATAGGCGCCCAAGAGCTTCGTGCCCTCAATGTAGTTCTTACGATCAAGCTTCTCATTGATACTGTGGGCGGCGTCGGTGCTGCTGCCCATCGGAAGCAACAAGACATTCTTCCCCGTAGCCTGCTCGAAGGTGATGGTGACAGGAATGCTGCCACCCTCACGAGTCATATCGGGCTCGACGCCAAAGACCTGCTTGACGGCCTTGCTGGCAGCGGTGAAATTCCAGTGCTTGGGACTGGCGACCCACCACTTGCCGTCGTGCTGGCAGTAGACGTCGAGAGTGTTCTTCGAGCCCAGCTTGGCAAATTCCTCCTTGATGAACTTGAACACGGCGTCGTTGACCTGGGACGACTCCATGTCCGGCACGGTGCGGATGGAGAACTTGCCAATCACTTTGGCCGGAATGACGGTCTTTGCGCCAGGCGCCGAGAACGCACCCTCGACTCCGTGGATGGAGAGCGACGGGTACCGCCAGCGCGCCATCAAGGTGCGCTCCTTGTCGTCGAAGATGGCCGATTTGCTGCCTAGCGACTCGTACAGGTTGTCCATGGTATACGAGATCGGCCCGTAGAGCGCCTTCTCCTCCTCCGTCAGCGGGGCGACCATTTCGTTGATGCCCGGAATCAAGATTTTGCCCTTGGTGTCGACCAGTTTGCCGAGAATATGCACCAGGTCAGTCATGGGTTCGTGGGCCGTGCCACCAAACACGCCGGAGTGCAGGTCCTGTCCTGGCCCGGAGATGGCGACTGAGTAGTAGTTGCACCCGCGCAGACCATATGTGAGACATGGCTTCTCTGTTCCTAGCCAGTAGTTGTCCGAGATGCAGACGGCGTCGGCGTCCTTGAAGAACTTCTTCGCTTCTGCGTTGATGAAGTCGTCCAGGCCCTCGGACCCGTACTCCTCCATTCCCTCAAAGCAGCAGAGCAGATTGACGGGGAAGTCGACTCCGGCTTTCTGATGCGCTTCAATGGCGTTCAGCCAGCCCAGTACGGGGCCTTTGTCGTCAGTACTGCCGCGACCGTACATTCGATCTTTCTCGTCGATGGTCAGCTTGAATGGCTCCGTGGCCCAGCCGTCCTCCATCAGCGCAGGCTGCACGTCGTAGTGACCGTAGACGAGGATCGTGCGCTTGTTCTTGTCGTTGCCGTAGCGAGCGATCACGACGGGTGGGAGATCGAGGTGTTCCTTGCCGGGTTGTTTGCCCAGAGGTCGTTGTTGGACCTCTGCGCCTAGAGCCTCGAGCTCAGAAGCGAGGAATTGTCCCATCTGTATTGTCCTTCAGCCATTCTGGTCTCAGCACAGCTCTTCATGTGTTGAAACGTACTCGCACTACATCCTTTCTCTTGTCCTCGTCCGCAGACACTGATGGAATCGCAACGGCTTTTCGTAGGCCTGGCAATTGTCGTTAGTGACCCCGCCCTTTTGCAAAAGTGGTGCGCGATGCATGCTTACGGTCAATGAACGAATCGGCCAACTCGTCGACCCTGTAATTGTCAGTCTGAAGCCATCGACCGGTACGAGAGCGGGCATACTTCTTGAAATAGGGATCTAGTTGTGGTGCCATCTTGTTGTCTGAGATATGGCCGTAGTAGGTTCGTACTGGAACAGTTTGGAAAGGATGTGGACTCGGAAACCCAGGTCGAACTGCGGTACTCGAAGCAGTGACTTGTCTGAACAAAGGATCCAAACCCTTCGAAATGAAGCGAGGGGAACAGGTTTTATGGAACATGCGTTATCAAGCGGTTAGGTGCGGGCAGTTGTCCTTCGGAGACTTGCAAGTGTAACGGTTAGTACTTGCTGGTAATTGCGAAGGCCAACGGGCAAAATCCGAGTGTTTGATTGATTGAGAGCGGGTGAATTATCTCCGAACCCGATTTGTATGGACTACGAAACTGTGAACAACCGCAACCCGAAACCGTGCGATTTGAGCATACAACAGTCATAGCTGAAGAATTGGTTGGTTCAAAGCTCTCTATATAATACAACGCTTTTTCTCATCGACTGCACTTTATTCGTCTCTGAACCACCGGTCTTTCCTCAGCTCCTTATCCTCGCGTGCCTCTCTTCTCTTTTTGCCCCATCGTGACTTGACGATCTGGGTGACGAGTTTCTGCTGTTCACCTTTTTCTTTGGCGAGCCCTTCGGTCACGAATATAGCAAACACAGGCGAGCAGTCAAACTTCTTCGCCAGCCGATTCACCGTCCACTGTGTCGGGTCCGCTTTTCGAAGTTGTCTCATTTCCTCGACATCCTTTTCCGTCAGGTGGTATCGCTTTTCTCTTTGTCCTTTTAACGCAGGCAGCTCTTGGCTGAACTGTAATTGCAATTGCCTGGTTTCAGGATCTGGGAAGACTTTTCTTCGGTCATTGTTCGGTAGGAATATGTTGGGCGTATGGTAGACATTGGGCATACTCGGAGGAGGATTGTAAATGATGTGATCATGTTGCTCGGTTTTCGACGGCAGGAAGGAGGCGTCGGGTTTGACGTTTAGCTTAGACCTCGTTCGTCTGTAGGTTGACTGATGGCGGCGGGTTGATGGCTGGAGGATTTGCGCGCAAAGCTTGTAAAAGCGTGAGGACGCTGTGGAAGGCGAGAAAAGACTGGTAGGCTGCATGATGGCACCAGGATGGGGAGCTTTAGAGGAGGTCGCTGTAATGCGGTTTCGCCGGTGCTGAATGCAGGTCTCGTAGACTTGACAATTTGAATGCCGGATGCTAGTTAGGAGAGATCAGTTGCTCCTTTCCGTGTCCAGGCCGGGTTCAGTTGCACGCGGACATGTTTGCCTCCTGTCCTGCGAGACGCAACGTAGAATAGCGACTCTTCAGGGCGAGCTGGCGCGCCCGGACGAGGTGGAATGGTATATGCCGGTCTGTACAGGTCCTCGAGAAATTGAGCCAGAGCCAGAACTCGGGCGCCAGTCAATAGTACACTGGCAGCAAGCAGCCTTTTGGTAAAGACTTTGTCTTGGCGTCGGATCAGAAGCTTTAATTATTGGTGCCGCTTTAATATCTCCCTAATTTATACCAGCCACACGGCGAAAAGCAGCGAGGCTCTATCAGACATGCAACAAACATCAAAGTTGGAGGATCCGCGAACGCAGCGTCATCAGTCACAAGACCATGCAAAATACCAGCATACAGTTGGAGTACGGTACCTTTCCCAGACATGGGCGGTCTCAAGTAACATCAATACTCATCATGCTGATTGGTTCATTAACTCCCGGCCCATCCATATATACATAGTACCTAATAGGTACCTGTAGTAGCTCCTGCGCTCTACGCTTACTGTACCTAATAGACCGCAGTACTCTATTACTACAGAGTAGACCGCCGTCTCTACCACCGCATCTGAATCGAACTGCGCCCACCTCTTCTCGTCCAACCCAACACCCAACTTGGTTGCAGACAGCGGGCGCCTTGCTCTGTCCTGTTGTGTCCTGTTCTCCCATGCTCTGCCCTGACTGTTTCGCCTGCAGTGATTGAACGACTGATTGACCCTGGCATTGGCATTGCCATTGAACGCACCTACGACCTCTCTCACCCTTCTCCTTAACCCCTTCAGCAAGCCATCACCACACGTCGAACTTCCGCCTTCAGATCTCCATTCCTCACGTATCCTCGTTGCACAGGCCATCTGCCGTCATTCTCTTGTTGTCCCGGGGAATGAAAAAGGGTTCTTCGTAGCAACCTGACAGCTGCCATATATCTACACTCCACACCGAACTGGACGATTCCTTAACTGTGCTTCCTGCGCGGCCATCCTGTGGCCGGGGCATATAGGAGGTCGACCGTCTGTTGCACTCAAGCCGTGTCGTTCTACTCAGGCATTGAATCTCACCACTTTTGCTCGCCTACTTTGCGCCATGTCGACCAACTAGCTGTTTTTCTAAACCCGTGCTTATCGTCTCTATCCTGCCTTCGGTGCCCTTTCCAGCTTAAGTCGCGCTATTGTCCTGGAGTTCACTCGACCTCGAGACTGTGCAAGGCTAGGCTCGCAGCATGTCCTCAAAAAACCCCTCCATCAGCGAAAAGGTCAGCGTCCCGAGTACCGAATCGAAAGACTCCGCTTCGCCCTTACTCAGGAATACTCTGGGAGGCTCCAATGCTGGGCAGGCACAACAATCCTCAGGCGAAGAAACATCCGTCAAGCCGCGTAAGCGGGATTTTTGGAAATTTGGCAAGAAACAGGAAGAGGACAAACCACAAGAGAAGGGTAAGGCGCCGGTTTCGCCCAAACCGAAAACCTCCACTGTTAGTCCGTCAGTTGGACTAAGCCCTGGATCTCTGGCCGGATCGGTATCGCCGCATAGGGGTTCTCTGGTTCACCCATATGGCCGGCCCGGTTCTCCCAGCTATGCCTTCCACAACACCTCCCCGAGACCGCAATCACCCGCGTCGTCGATGATATTCGAGCGCAATGTCCAGGAAGAAGTCCTTCCTCCGGAAACCTCTCCACACTTGCCCTCCCATGTCATTATGGAAAATCACATTGCGCCGGCATTGGATGCATCTGCTGAAGCAATCACCAACGACAAGTTGGATCCTGATACGGTGGAAATTGTTACGCATGCCACACATCAACCTGCAGCCGTTACCATTACCGGGCTAGGGGGTGAGCAATCGATGGCTTCTTCTGTTGTGGATGAGTCGCCCTCCCCACCAGTACACCGACATGATGCGGATAATGTGTCAACATATGGTTCTTTCGACTCAGGAGACGTCCGCCGGCTGAGTTTCATTTCCTTTGCCGATGTCGTCCACGGCGAGCAAGAGATGGGCGTGGCTGACGCTCGACGCGACTCGGCACACTTGTCCGGGCATCAATCTCTGGTTCCTCCTCGATCACCGTCGCCCATTCGGTCTCCTACATCTTCGGCCGCGTTTGGCACGTCCCCACCAACGAGCGTGACTGCGTCTATGAAGGGATTAGAACAATCACCCCACCGTGGGCCACGAGGAACAGGAAGTCCATTGCCTGGACAGAGCTCTCCATTGGCACTGGGCAGTGAGGTCAACATTGAAACGATGAGACAGGCGCTGCGGAAGACCGGTAGTGGAGACTTGAGTCATTTCCGCAGTACTCCGTCCAGCGCGGTAGGAAATGATGACGGGAGCTATACTGATCGACCATTCCGTTGAAATCAACTGTGGCGAGGAGAACAGAAGAAGTCGACTATGACCGACTTCATGAGGGTGAAGAACAGGTGTGGATGTGGACAGGCTATATGATTTACGCTGGCGCATATCATGACTGATGGGAAGGGTCGTGTCGGATTTCCGAACAGGAGTGCGATGAAAGTGAGAAGAGAGAGATTCTTGATCTTCGACGCGACAACTTGAGGTCGTGTGGACTTTGGACTGGCCCTGTGGAGGGAGGCATTGGATTTGGCTGAGCGTTAGATACCATCGTTGCTGGATTATGAGGTTCTGTTTTCTACAGCCACAGTCGCTTTTCGCATTTCCTAAGATATCTTACATGAATTCATGTTTTCTTCTGGAGATCTGACCACTTTTGACAATATTCATGTTAAGACATACTGTAGGTATGTATGCAACATGTATGCAACCTGTAAATGGATATTGGTCCACGTCAAGGACGCCGTCCTTCCATCGACCTCGTCCCCGTCCCTCAGCCTTTCCACCCCGTCAACTCCACCTCCGCATTATGTCAACATCGGCCAAGGTTCCAGAAAGACAATCGGCCACATACTAGTATGCGCCTCCTCATAGAAACAAATGCACCAGTGGAAGACCATGATCATTGCCCAGCTGCTTTGTCATACTGTAGGGCGATGGACTACCTTTTGGAATCACCACTTGGTGGAATTGCGGCCCCGAGACTCAAGAACGTCGGAGGCATTGTAGCATGAGTTCATCTGAGAGAACAGGGAACGGGCAGTTGGCAATAGCCATGGAGGGTCGACAGGGGCCGGACTTGTTGAGAGGACCGACTGCTTTGTGAGCACATTAACACCGTGCTGCTGCCGGGAGGACGGAGGAGACCTGTGGCGATGGACATGTCTTCACGCGGGACCCACGACCAGGAGAGAAGAGGGTAGGTCAATGTCGATTTCGATGTCTTTGACCAAGTCGTATCGCGCTTGCAATTCTGTCAAGACGGCATCCTGGCTCATCGATGTCCGGGCGAACCATAGATGCGGGAAGATGTACGGCTGCGACGATATGAGGAGATGCACCTCTTTCAATCTAGGTTTCCGGACCGGCGCATACAGCCACGCGAGGTCATCGTCGTCCGAATCATCCTCATCGGAGCTGTGGTTATCGGATTTGTGGCCCTTTGAACAGCTGGACTCGCAGCAGAACCCCTCGACAAGAGAACGACCAAGGTCAGAGTGCTCATGCGCTCCGCCTTTCTGTCCGCACTCCTCATGACAGGTTGGTCTATGTGCACCATCGCTCCCATTGTCCGAGCATGCCATGTTCTCCGCTTCGTGCTGAGCCTGAACCCGAGACGGAGCCGGAGCCGGAGCCGGAGACTGCGCCAATGTCACATAAGTTATGATCGTGCGTGGCGGTTCCACCACGAAACTAGCCGGGGCTGAAGATTGCGCGGGTGCCGCATCAAGGAGAGTTGCCAAGCGAGCAATCGCCGTGATTTCGTCCATGTGAAGCGTGGTGCAACCCGTACCATCTGAAACCAAGATGCGGAAGAGCTTCACCACGGCCTTGCTCCAGCAAAGTCGCGAGTGGTCAGTTGAAGTCTCCTGAAGAAGGACGTTGCGGACGATCTCGATCATCTTCGGGAATACTGCTGTATTTGCTGGCCCTGCACTAGGCAACAATTGCGAGAAGCAGGCGCTTTCCATGATAACACGCCACGCCAGGGTCAGTTCCGGGGCCTCGGGAAACGACTTGTACCGTTGTAACTTGAAGCTGTCGATGATTTGCCCCAGTCCATATCCACTGACAAGCAGCCCGATGGAGTCAAACATAACCTCCTACAGGTATTCGTCGACGGGACAAGGACACTGGGCCAGACTGGTATCTTTGGAGAAAGGGAAAGCATCAGGCGAGAATCGGACTTTCGCAGCTTGTGGGTTGAATCCGCCCATATCTACCCAAGACAGATAGAACCTTGACTATCCATCAATGTTCTCCAAGGCAACCATGACATTGTCATACTTGTAGTCGCAATATTGTAGGCCCAACTCCATCGACTGGCACAACAATTGTTGCGCGCTGTACAGCAGTTGGCGTCCAGATTCGGGGTGCTAGGAATCGCTATTCCGTGGCTGGACGTACAGAGGAGCAGAGTCCTCGATCCTTGCTGTGTAAAATAAAGGCTTGATGTCCAGGTACAGTACAGGAACTACCTCTACTACCTAGGTACCTAACTGTCTAGCGTGACGGTATAACAACATGTCCAGAGTCACCTCCCCTCGCCCCGTACACTGGCCGACCAGACAAACCTATCACCCATCGTGACAGGCACGTTGTTGCTACTGCTCTCTCTACGAGGACGCCAGCAACATCCCCGTCCATCATCATCAGAGATCCACCTCCCCTGGTTCTCCTTCTCCTTCTCCTTCTCCTCCAGCCTTGCGTCTCGGTTACCGCTCCAGGCCAAGCTGCGCAACGTGCCAGTGAAGATGACGACCAAGAGCATGACCAGTACACGCGTGGCCGCCACCGCGGTGAAAGCGCTCAAGATCCTCTTCGCCCTTGGCATGGCCACGCAAGTCAACCGCTTTCTGAACCGTCTGGCTCTGAATTATTGGCATCTCCGCAGACAGGGCAAGCCGTGGGAGTTCCAGACCGAAGGCAAGGAGACGATCGTGGTGACGGGCGGATGTAGTGGGTTCGGCAAGGCCATGGTCGACATGTTTGCGGCCAAAACGAAAGCGAATCTGGTCGTCTTGGATGTCCAGCAATTGCCGGATGATATGAAGAATAGTGAGTCATTCTTGGTCTTCAACTTTTTCGAGGTTGTGGATTTGTGACTGTTCTGCTGCTGCTGCTGTACTTGTGCCCCTGAATTGCCTTGATGTCTTTGTCGTCTGTTGTCTGTTGCTGGATGTTGGTCTGGAACTCCGATATCCTCCATGTTCTCTTCAAGCATGAGCCAGAGTCATGGGTTTCCGTCATATCATCCAGAGAATCAGTTTGTCTTACTCCACTGGAGATTGAACGTTATGTCGTCTGAAGGACCCTACTATCCAAAGGAGACCACCTTCAGAGTACACAACACAACATGACCAGATATCTCCTATCCTTCGACGCGCACACGTCCTTTTGTTTCTTCCGGCCTCCGAGCTCCTCAAAGACAGAATGTGAAGCTCTGTTGTTTGTTCATCGAACCCTTCTTTCCCGGCAAGAATCCTCAATCTGCCATGTCAGACTCCTATCTACCCCCGATTGTCTTCCTCTCCTTGCCACCACCAGCACAAGTACAACGCGAACCCTAACACCAACCCCCCATACTGATACCATCAGCCTTCTGTTTCTGTTTCTGTTTCTGTTTCTGAGTCTCTTCTTTCCCACTCCACCACAGCCTATCCTTTCCATCCTTTCCGTCTTCCTCTCGTCTGATACTCAAACTACCACTAACATCCTTTTCTCTTCTTTTCTCACCACTCCAGTCCCACGCCTATCCTACTTCCAAACCGACCTAACCTCCCCCACATCCATCACGGCGACAACAACCTCCCTCCTCGAATCCATCCACCCAGCCCCAACCGTGCTGATCAACAACGCCGGCATCGCACAGGCCCACACGATCCTCGGCACCAGCGACGCCTTTCTCGAGAAGATCTTCCGCGTCAACGTCCTCTCGCACTTCACCCTCATCCGTCTCCTTCTGCCGCACATGCTGGCCATGCGCAAAGGCCACATCGTCAGCCTGGCGTCCATGGCCAGTTTCACCGGCGTGGCTGGTCTGGCTGACTACAGTGCCTCCAAGGCCGCCGTGTTGGGGTTGCATGAGTCGTTGGTCCAGGAGTTGGGGCACAGATATGGTGGTGATGAGGGTGTGAAGGGGGGTGTTACTAATACTGCTTCTACTTCTGCCTCTGCTTCTGCCTCTGCCTCTACTTCTTCAGGTACCACTACTAGTACTCTTCCTCCTGCTCCCCCTCCTCCTACTATCACTACTCCTCCTACCACCATTGATCCAGGCCATACCATCCAAGCAAGTATCATCCACCCCATGTGGGCTCGCACGCCGTTAATCAACACCTGGGAATCCGCCCTCGACGGGTCCGGACAACCCGTGCTCACGGCGCAAGACGTGGCCCGGCGCGTGGTGGACCAGGTTCTTTCCGGCAGGAGTGGAAGTGTATATATCCCGGAGAAGATGTGGACAGGGACGTTGTTGAGGGTTCTGCCGGAGTGGGTTGCCATCTGGATTCGAGGTGGAGTTCAGAATGCTACTGCTACTGCTATGGGTGCGAGTTCGACTATGGGTGCCACGGATATGTGAAAAGGACGATGGTGTGGGTACTACTACGTTAGTAGATGGACGACAAGGACGAGGAACCACTATCGCAAGCAAATTCTCGCAGAACAAGATCTCTCTTCGTAGGTACTAAGTCAGTGTGGCCGCCAGAACGATATCATATCCATCAAAGCAGTGCATCATGCAACACATCAGATTCAAAGCTGGGACACCGAGTGAACAAAGTAACCTACTACGTAGTTAGAACTCAAGCAGCCTCCCACATGACCATCTACATTTTCATCTTCATCTTCATCTGCATGGCATCATGTGGCAAACAGGATACGTTCTACCACGATCGAACACTCTTTCTGTTTACATGGCAATTCGGTTCAATTTGATTCATTCCGCTTCAAGCCACTTCATGCTTCTCTTCTCGGATAGGAAAGACTCAGTCATTCATATGGCACCACTATCCTCGGAGATCCTTTTTGTACTTGACAGAAGCCCACGAAACATAGTAGTCAGTCTGCTTTCTTCTTTCTTCCCCGGTGGCCTAGCCAACAATCGACATCTCTCAACTTGGCCCATCATGATCATCATCCTGTCGTGCTTTTTCTTCTTCTGGCCCTCCTCCCTTCTTGCCTCTTTTACTCTCCTTTCGCCGTTTTCCTTTCTACACACAACCTCTTCAATGAAACTGGTCCTCAGTCACCCCCTTGCCCATGGCAGCGGTACTACTAACGCCGCCCTGCACCATCTTCAGCAACCCATCGACATAATTGGCACCCGACCACTTCTGATGCGTGACGACGTCGATCTTGGCTGCCATCTCCGGCTCCTGGATCAACTCGCCGTAGGCACGCATGCCGCGCTTGGCAAATTGTTTGGCAAAGGTATCGGAGATCAAGGCGGTCGAATGGAGACCGGCCAGCGTGATGAACTGCCAGCAGTAGCCCAACTCGCCGAGGCGCTGGATATATGTTTCCTGGTCGTTGGCGGACATGGCGGCCTTCCAGTTGAAGGATGGGGAGAGGTTGTAGGCGAGTCTAGAGCGTTCATTTGTCAGCCTTCGGATAACTCATAACATCTCAAACGTAAACTCATAGTCGTAGTCATAACATAACCATAACCATATCCATATCTGGTTCACACAGACCAGACGCAGGAACCAGATACGATGGGAACAGAAAAGGGAAACGAAAAAGGCGGGTTTGGATCAACTCACTTCTGTTCGGGCCAAACGGCATGAACACCCTCGGCGAATTCCTGCGCTTGGGCGTAATCAGGCAGCTTGCTTTCCATCCAGATCATGTCGGCGTACGGAGCATACGCGATGGCGCGGTTGATGGCGCATTGGCAGCCGCCGGAGAGCCGGTAGTAGCCTTCGCGCGTCCTCGGGGCGTCCCAGTCCCAGAAGATATCCGTGCCCGTGAGACCGCGGGCGATGGCACGGCATTCGTTGTTGGATCTCCCCTTGGAGGCACCTTTGTATTTGGCCACCAAGGAGGCTTTGTCGACGTGCACGCCGGCGTTGATGGCGTCGATCACGGCGTCGTCAAACAGTTTCAGTCCGGCCTGTTGCGTCCAGTTGTCTTCGATGGCTTGTAGCTGTTCACCGTTCTTGCCGGCCTGTTCGGCGGCGAACATGAGATCGTTGAGGGGTTGGAGGTTGGCATTGGTGGAACCGAGGATGTAAGCGTGATCTCGATGGTCGATGGTGGTGGTGATCAAGGTGGCCGCCTCAGCGTCGGTTCGAGCGACCGCCAACAAATCCACGCCCATGATGTCGGCTTGAGCACGGATGGCTACGAGACGGTTGATGTGTTCCGAAACAGGCACCAGCACCTTTCCGGCCATGTGTCCACACTTCTTTGTTCCTGGAGCCTGGTCCTCAATATGGATCCCGGCGGCGCCCCTCTCGACGAACAGCTTGGTAAGTTTCATCACCGCAGTCAGTCCCCCGTGACCAGTGTCAGCGTCAGCAATGATGGGTCGTAGGTAGTCAACATTGGCGACGGAGGCTCGCTTCTCTTTGGGAGTAGTGAGACGTTCTTCCCTTTGCTTGCGGTCATGGAACAGTTGGGCCATAAACAATTGGTTGACCTTGTTCGGCACGGTGTTCATGGGATAGTCGGCCAAATCGGGAGATGGCTCGTCGGTAGAGGAGGCGGTAGAGGAACATTGCCAGCCAGAGACGTAAACGGTGTCGAGATACTTGTTCATCTGGGTGAGCATGGTGGGCTCGAGACATCCGTACGTTGTCGAGGCAGTTTTGGTCTGAGAGCACAGAGTCAGCTTGCCATAATGTATCAGGGCAACTCTATAGATCATACAGCATATCGGTTCTCAATCAACTTCCACAGCTTCTTGGCCTGAACATTGCTTGGGTAGTCGATCTTGATGGTGCCTCGTTTCTGGACAATCTGCTCGGCTGTGTAGGGCCGTCTGGTATATCTCCATCGGGAGTCCGACCACCACTTCTTGACCGCTTCCACATCTTGCAGGTATTGCTGATCTTCTTGTTCAATCGAAGTCATCTTGAAGGCGTCGATGACCTTGTTCACGACAGACGTCATACAATGCGGGCGGAGGGGTCTTTAATATATATAGCAGAGACTGTGACTTCGTTGCGAGACGCTACGATGACAACGACAGGAGCGAAGAGCTGGCGAAGAAACTGGACCCGATTGACCGTGGACCGAGGAACAAGACAGTCATCAGAGAAAAGTGGAAAGAGGAGCATGCGCCAGAGTTCAAGTAATAATGACCACCAGGCCAGAGGCGAACTGGCCGAGCGCTGGATTGGCTGCACATGGCTCTCCCTGTCCATCTCCAATGAGCTGAGAGGTATGACACGAGCACGGCCCTAGAGCACTGCTTCATCGATATCCTCCGGTTCTGGCCAAGCTTGGACTCGACCGTACTGGACCCGGGTCAAGGGCGGGAGAGGAACTAAAGGGAGTCGGGGAGGAAGAGCGGCGAACAGGGATTGGTCATCGAATGGCAAGCCTGGGGAAGAAGCCGAACTGAACGAGAAGGATGAGACAAATGCCCAAGCGGGTCTTTGACGGGAAGGGCTGTTTGCCCATAAAATGCGAGGGTGGTTCGAAACTCGTATGTTCCTCGGTGGAGGCTCGGCTTTGCGGGGGAGGGCGATGGAAGCGAGGCTACAGGAGCAGGACTCGCCGACAGCGACATGTGCTCCACTGGTGTGATAGTAATGACGCCAGATCGACCTCTCTCCGTTCGCCCGCAGTAATCATGGTTCAATCAAAATGAAGTAGTGGTTGTGAGGGAACGTGTTGAAAATATGGCTCGCAGAAGGTAAACTCCTCCCCGTCTGGCAGGAGGTGGTCGAGTTGATATCTTGCATTGTCTGATCCATGGTTGACTCTTCATGTCTTCCCTTCCTCCTCTTCATCTTTGATGTGCAATAATGGTTCCGTTGTTCGTGTTCACAGAATGCATCGTGACATTTGCCCCAGAATCGATCTCCGCATTTGCCTCGGCACGTGTCACGTGACGGGACGTCGGGAATATCAGGCGCTGCCTTCGGAAGCCACCGATGCTCGTTGTCGTCTATATCGATGACATGCTCATTGCAATAACATACTAGTACAACAAACAACCTTGCGCGAAAATGAACCGGGCCCTGGTCAATCCATCACCCACTGTGAAATGTCCGGTACCGTTGCCAGCCTACGACGCCGACGCCGACGCCGACGCCATCGTCTTCACCTTCGCCTACTGAGCGGCCCCTTGCTTGTGTAGCGCGGCGGATCGATACCGAGGTAAACATGGTTTTGATAAAGATGATTGTCACGGTCTGCTGGTAATGGCTCGGGTGACTCTAACAATAACGATGAAAAGGCTAACCGCAAAACCAAGGTACGTATGTACACCCCAACAGGAATCCCTGTCTATGGCCTTGCCTCATTGAAATATGAGGATTCGTAACGCCCATCCATGCATGCGATGCTGAAGATGACTGCAAGCTCTGAAACCACGCAGTGCTCACTGAAGGATACTCCGAGCGCCATTCTGTCTTTCTGTCTTTCTTTCTTTCACTCAAGATCCCATTGCGAGAACCCGCATCCAACCAGACGGAAGATGTAGCGCCTGCAGAGCGCGCAAAATCATCAACCCCGCCAAACCGCAAACCGGTACTGCCTAATTGAATGGCAAGCCTCCTCCACTATCATGTCTCCAGAAACGGGTCGTGGACAGATCACTCCTCAGCGCTCGAGCTGATGACTGCTTCCCCCTCATCTGCCGAGTCTGGTCGTGATTCGTCTGAACCTTCCTCAATAGTGTCGTCAAACGTGCCCAATTTGATTTCAGTTGCTTTGGCAAACGTATCGTACGGGGTAAGGGTGCCCAATGCTCGTTTCATGTGCATGGGGATGAAGGAGAGGCCGTACACATAACTGGCATTGACCCAGCCAAATCTGTTGCCATCTGTCAGCACCGGCTCCGCGTATCAAAAAAAAGGAAAATGTCAGAACTTACCCTTCCCGCGGCACGCCTTTGAAATCCGCTCCCTGGTTGCCGTACTCCGCCTCCACCTTGTGCGGGTCAAGTTCACGGGTGACATTATACTTCTCCACAACCACACCGTTGAAATCGACGAAGGCCTTGGTCACCATGTACAACCACCGATAGGCGAGACGCTGGGCATCTTCGATATATCCGTATTTGATCAGCCCACCCCAAGCGAGCATCTGCTGAGGAGCCCAGCCAAAGGGATAGTCCCACTGTCGATTGGGGCGATCCAGGCCGACCTCTCCACGAGACGCCTCGGTTCCTGACACCAGTCCTCCAAAGCACTCGAATTTGGGGAGAGCATTCAGCACCAATGCGGCAGCCTGTCGTGGCGATGCACATCCGGCCCACATGGCCCAGAAAGTGGTGGCGCTCTCGTACGAGGTACGCTTCTTGTGGACGGTGTCGTAGTCAAAGTACATACCTTTGGCCTCGTTCCACATGTATTTGTCAATGCGAGCCTTGCGCAACCGGGCTCGTCGATCCCATGGAGCGGATGTTTCGTATCCTTCCTTACGATTGGCCTCCGAACGAAACTCGGGAGGAATGGGCAATCGATCTTTGAAATATTGCCGGATGCACCAAGATATGTCGATTTCATACTTGTACAGCAGTGAATTCAGGTCAATGGTGGCCAAATTGGCCGCACAGCCTTCCAGTCGATATGAAGTGTCGTGGCCCGACTCGCGCACGGCACGATCGTGCAGGAAATACTCGTCCAGCTCTGGCTCCTTGATTTCTTCCGAGTTGTAAGCCTTGACAAACTCGTCAAAGGTCATGCCGCGTTTCTTGGCATAAGGCGTGATGATGTGGACGAAGTGGGAGGCTTCCGTTTCCGGCGGCACACCGGCACCATCCGGACGGTAGCGAGACAAACCCGTGGCAGGGTCGTATCGAGGAGCCGACATCCACACATCGTAATATTCTTTGATCGCTGCCAAGATGGCTGTCCGCAGGAAATCGAGGGCACCAGGCTCGTGCTTGATCTTGTCATAGACCTTGAGTGCCATGTCCGTCAAGAACGGCGGTTGAGATCGGGTAAGATAGTAGGAGCGGTTCGCGTTCAAGATCTTGCCGTAATGCTGGATACAGAAGCAGAAGTGGGTGACCATCGACCGCGCCAAATCAACCCGGTCGTTCTGGAGTAACCCAATCGACTCCATATAGCTATCCCACCCATACAGCTCGTTGAACCGTCCGCCAGGCACGACAAAGGGCTCGCCTTTGAGCGTTTCCTGGCCATTGATGACCACTTTCTTCATTGCCAAAGCCAGAATTCCGGGAGCGTCGTTAAGGCTGCGGACGTACTGGGCGGTGATAGGACCCTCGGGCAGCCAGCGGACATCCAATCTGATCTCGGGACGATCCTGGGCAACCTTGGTGTAGTACTCGTGCTGCTCCGGGCAGCCACGTGGTATGTAGATGCGAGGGCGGGGATCATCTGTCCAATCTTTGGGGTCACGTCCAGCCTTTTCGATGGTGTCTGCGTCTAGACACCGAGTCAGGTTGGTCCAGAATTCATCCCTGATCCGACGAGATAAGCGGTCGACTGGGTTCTCACTGAGCCGAGAACGATGTATCTTTACCACCTTCTTGCCCAGATCTTGTGCCAATGTCAGCTCCTGCAGCAGGTTGCTGATCATGTAATTTCCTCGGACTTCGGCTGACCGATACCCCGCTGAAGCCAGAGTACCCAAACTGATGTGCTACGTGCGGTTAGCCAAGTCTTTGTGTGGTGCAACTAGCCGATGCCCTTACCTTGGGACCATTGTCTTCAATGGTGATCTGTTGATTTCCATCAATGTCCTCTCTCTCAATCAGATCTTTCAAGGTGCGGTCAACGTCAACTATGAGTTCCTGATGTTGCTGGTACTGTTCGTCTGCGGGTTTCGGTGTCAGTCGAAATCCTTTGACTCTTTTGAGGTGGAAAGAAACGCACCATGGCTGGTTCGACGGGCAGGATAGTTGCCCTTGTAACCTGGAAGGCTCTCACGCGCGGGTTTGATGTACTAAGAAATGGTTAGCACTCAACACCGGACGAGACATACAGACAGCGAGCAGCAGTACGTACAGAAGAAACAGCTCGGTTGCGCGCCCCCAACAGCTGACGCCTCACTGCCTCCTCATCATAATAGACAGAGGGGGAGGAATAAGGATCGCGACGGTCCAAGGATGAGCTGCGGCGGCGGTTGTGTCCATTTGGCACGCTCATGACCGACAGAGAGACTTTAGATGTAGACGGTATCCCAGGAGGAACAGATAACGTGGCGACCAAGTGAGGGAGAGATCAAGGAGGTCTGTTCAGACTGCGCAGTCGTCAAACGAGTGTCGAAGCTGGTGACAACCGGGAGTCCGTGACGGGGCTACTCTGGATAGTACGTAGCGTGGGAGAGATAATAAAATGACAGGGGAGGCGATGATGTCGTTGCGGACCCGCCTGAAAGATTTGAACTGCCACTGACAGCTTCTCACTGCGGCTTTAGAGTTAAACTGCCGGTGATAAGCAGTGGCACCCTGGACTGTGGCACGAGACAAAGCTCAAATACGAGCTGGAAAAAAGGAAATATCGCTGTCGTCGAGAGAGTGTGAGATTTTGAGCACGCGACTCTAGGTACGGAGCTGACCAACGTGGGTTGACCGATAGGTAGTAAGCGCGGGAGTGAGAAGGCAGGCTGAGACGAGGGAGGAGCGGCAGGTAACGAGATCAGGTACGCAGTTAGGTAGGTACTAGTACTAGGTACCTAGGGATGTAGTTGGGTACGGCGTAGGTGAGCGAAGGGAGAAGAAGTGGTGGGTAGGTTGTAGAATTGCGGTGTGTCGGTGTGTCGATCGTAGGTGAATCTAAGAGAATGGTCTGAAGCAGTAGCAATGCGATTGATTGACTACTAGGACGGAGAGTGAGTGATTGAGAGGAGGCCGTGGGGTGTCAATGGTTGAGCGTTGGAAGGAGAGTGGATAAGAAGTGCGAGAAGAAAACGCGGCTGCCGACAAGGAAACAAGTCTACTAGTAGTAAGGATGTAGTATAACTCTGATAACTCTGCAAGTGCTCTGCAGGTCCAGGTCAGCAGTAAGGCACTGCAGTTAGTAACTACCTCCCTACTATTACTACTTGAGTTGCTCCTTAGAGAGGTAGTAACTCGGTACGAAGCAACAGCTGCGACAACGAAGTACCTGAGCAGTGATCGGGGACTATCACAATACCTACCTAGTTACTACTAGCTAAGGTACCAGATAGGCAGGGAATAAAGAGCGCTGAAAGGTCAGGCGGACACGGTCAATGAAACAAACAGCCTGCCAAATTGAGTGTGCATTGATTGAACTCAGGTCATGATGCACATTGATTGTGTGGTTGTATTTGATTGTTACTGCGCCCTCCTGACCCTGTGGCCCTCGAATGTTCGAGTCGGGAACGACGAATACCTTACATTAGGATGAGAGCCCAAATCTTTGAGAGGTGGCACAGGTTTGCACGGTTCATAAACACTCGCCCCACGCCCATGCCCTTGCCCATGACCACGGCAGGGGAGAGAGGCAAGGACAGGGGTTCTCCTATAGGCTACGTGTAGAGTAGGCGGGCTGTGGCATCTGGGCTTCACTCAATCTACAAGTCTCCCGGCTTCAACTGGGGCTCGTGGCACCCAAGCGACAGGCTAGGGAGGCTAGACTCTTGGGCTTTGGCGCAGCCAGCAAACAACCAGCTCCCGTCGCGGTGACCACTGACCGAACCCTGCAGTGCAAGGAGCGATATGCGAATCTGGAAATCGCACCGCTTCAAGGGCAGCTGATCGGAGTCCGTGTTGGAATCTCAACTGAATGAATCCCAGGCAATATTTACTTTCAGTATTGATAGTTCTTCTCCTTACAGGTACACGATAGTAGCGGTGGTGGTGACTTAGGTACATAACATGGCTTACCAGGCGTGCTTTACTATCCTCCCACAGCCTAGGTACCTACCAGGTAAGTATTCTATTTGCTGTAATCTTGGTTCGATCATTCCTTGAGGTACAGACGCGAGTAGGTACTTCAATGTTCATAGCCTCATCAGCCTTGTAATAGATGCCATATTAGGTGTCGGTGTCCGGCCGTATGCTGTGTCACCCGAACTTCAGCCCCTCTTCGACCGGTCGCCGCTCCATAATTGGGTGTCATTTTGGTGCGTGCCGGGGTTATCTCGTCTCTTAGGCACTCCCTAACCCAAATCGCTAACCACCAACAGGTCGTCACGGCTACTCCCTGCTTCTAGGCTGCGATTGGGCCTAAGGAGCCTGATCAAGCCTTGGAACACTCACCCATCCGACCGATAAATCTGACCGTCTTCACCCCGAACGAACCCCAGCCAGATCTGACTCCCCGCAAGCCCGGCGGCGGCTCGCCCTTTAACTTCCCTTCCCGCATGTCGCGATCCGCCTCCGCGTCCGACAGCTGCAAGGAACCATCTCGCCATCTGCCCATCTCGCATCAACAACCAACCATCAACCGAAACCCCGCAAGCCGCTCTCCGTCAAGTCGATGCCACACCGCATCCAACACTACAGGTACCTAAGGTATGTTCCCGGTGCCGTCCTGAGATCGATCTCTGGAGCGTTGCCGGAACCTGCCATGCCGGTGGCGGGGACCAAGAGATATATGGACAAACATAGCATAATCCACTGTTGTAGATCTGTTTGCATCGCGATTCATATTGTATGCCGTATCATCGACACACTACTCTTCAAGGCGACAACCGGAATAGGTACTTCTAGGATCAGATTTTGCCCATCGATCCTGATACGTACCTAGGTAACTATTGAATCCAGGTTCAGGCATGGATTCTCCCGATCTTTTTGTCCCAGGCATACTCGTCCACACCAACCACACCAGCTCCGCACTGCGCCCTTGGCCTCCCGTTCCAGATACTTGCCACTTTCCCGTTCATCTTCATATTCCCACACCGTCGCCCCGACCTTGACCCGCTTCTTGGCCTTTTTCTTGACGATGCCACCTATGCCCTCAACCTCCTGCTGAAAATACCCCGGCTTATTGCTCGTGTAGTCGGGCGTGCTCATCCTGCTCAGCTCACTCCCATCGGTTACCCGATGGAAGTCGTGAGAATGCCCTTCCGTACAGTCAATCTCAAGCCAGCACACAGCTTTGCCCCCAGTCGCGAGACAATCTTTGCCACGTCCACATTTCTGACCTTGGTTGCCAACCCCCAGACCCGTGCCCAACCCACCCCCGATATGAGTAGAGTAGCGAGACCGCCAGGTCCAAACCCGTTTATAGGTGGTGTCTGCCGATCCAAGGTTCTGGCCACATGGAACACACAAAAACACGCCACGGGACTCGCACGTGCAAGGGCCGCGCAGAAACGCCGCCGAGGTGAAAGTACGCGGATACTCCTGTCTGCGCTCGCGATCCTCAATGCCAGATCCTGAGCTGGAGGTAGAATGATCCGAGTACGAGCGCTCCGATTTAACCGAACTGGCACTGGAGACCAAGACGCCATCGGTCGACTCAGTAGGGAGAACAAGCGGGCGCAAATGTGCCTCCAGTGGAGCATCCAAGCACGTATTGCACAATCGTCGATGTCGGTCTTTCAACCTGGCATTGCTGGGAGACTTGGCCGCGCAGTTGCGGCAGACCACTGTTCCGCATCGGCGACAAGGAGCCACCAGATCGCGAGCACAGGAGCTGATCTTGCTGGTTGCGCCAACCGAGGAATAAAGGCCTTCGGGTGCGGAGCCTGCGAAGGGCCTCATGGCATCCTCCATCTGAGCGTGCGGCTGCCACGCTGCCGACGCGGTTGTGAGAGCATCACCATAGAGCGACACCTCCATGCGTGGTTCTTCTCTTTCTGTCATAGCAAGTGCTTCTGCCAGCACTGGTGTCTCGTCGTGAACACATCGTAAAGAATGTGCCTTGAGTTGAGGAGCATACTGCGTCAGGCTCGTGTGGACGCTTCGGCAGGTTGCTGCCAGAGCATGTAAATCATTGAGGTCGAGGTGCGAGGCCAAGGACAAGGCGATCCTAGACATGTTACATTAGTACTGAAAAGCCCTGCCGTTGAGCAGGTGTCACCAGCGCCTACGGATAGCATGTCAAGGCGGCCGCCACTCTATTGACCTTCATTGCGTCTACCCGCACACTCTTCACCGTATTCGACGCGTCGACCGGGCTCGACGCTCTTTCGATCACAGGCTTCAGCTGATCATGACTGGCCGAAATTGGGGTTGGTAACCTTGTCGATCCGGCGTCGTCACACGATCGACCGCTGGACGCGCAGTCATCGTCGTCAAGGTCAACAAACACCGCCATGGTGCCATTGGAGGCGGACAAAGCGACGGAATCGAAAACTCCACTGACACGAAAAGATTGTGTGTTCAAAGATATACGACGACTAGAATGATAGATCGAGAAGAAGACTGTTGAGACGTGGGAAGAGATGCTGAAAGAGCAGGCTGGAGGGTGTGGTTAAGAGGGGGCCAGATGGGCCAGATGGGCCATCATATCGTCATGAGGAGAATGTACAAAAAGCGCATCACGCGGAAACATACGCATCTCACTACTACTGCAATACGTAAAGAGCGAGTTCGGGGCCAAGGTACACAGGATTCCTACCACTACTAATACTACATATACTGGAGCCTACAACTGGGACAGACGTGAACTCCGCGAGATCCGTCAAGGAAGATGAAACTGATGTCTTGAAGGTGTTTGAGATCGCTATCCGCATTCAACCGTTGATCGATGGGGGGACAAGCGGAAGGCAATCGCCTCCACCTGCAAGGAGGTTGCCCGCAGATGATGACCACAACTCCGAACTCGACCCTATCTCTCCGCGAATGCAATCAGTGCCTCGACTCTTGATTTCCTAATTTCATCCAGAGATGTTGTTGTTATGCTTGTTGTTGTTGGCTGGATATTGAACCGAGGCACATCGCTGTCTACCTTCTGACCTACTAGTAATACGGTTTCTCATTCCTCCGACGGGCTGACAACGCTGCCTGACGACACCAGTAACATCCGACATCATCTTACGTCTGCCTAACAGAGAGCACGCTGGTCTTTCCTTTAGAACCTTCAAACTCGCCTGCTGTTATCCAACACTTCACCGAGAGGCACTACACGCCTCCTCAACGTCTCAATATGACTGCCGTCCAATTGCCCGAGTTCAGCACGACGCCGGTCGAACAGATCCCTTCAATTGTCTCCCGCCTTCGGAGCTCATTCTTCTCTCAAAAGACTCGCCCTGCAGCCTTCCGACTCCGACAGTTGCGCAAGTTGTACTGGGCAATTGCTGATCATGAAGAAGAACTCTTGGAAGCATGCAAACGAGACTTGGGCAAGGGCATCTTTGAAGCGATGGTCTCCGAGATCGAGTGGGTGAAGAACGATATATGCTTTATGACCCAGAACCTAGAGAGATGGATGAAGGATGAGAAGCCGGAAGACATGGCATGGACTCACAAATTCGTGAGTCCCCGGATACGAAAAGATCCATTAGGGGTGGTCCTCGTCATTGGGTAAGGCTTTCGAAATGTCTTGGGCTGTCACTGTCGCTGACTGTCTTTGCAGCGCCTTCAACTTCCCCATCAATCTAGCCTTTGGACCTATGATTGGAGCCATTGCTGCGGGAAACACTGTCGTTTTGAAGCCATCTGAGCAATGCCCAAACTGCGCCGCCATGATGCAATTGATCATGGAAAAGGCTCTCGATCCCGAATGTTATGCGTGTGTTCAAGGTGGCATACCAGAGACCTCGGCCCTGCTGGAGCAGAACTGGGATAAGATCTTCTTTACCGGATCTGTGAACACGGCGAAAATAGTTGCGCAGGCGGCGGCAAAGAACCTGACCCCGGTTGCCCTGGAACTTGGTGGGAAGAACCCTGCTATCGTAACCAAGAAGGCGGATGTGCAATTGGCTGCTCGGCGGCTGTTATGGGCCAAGACAATGAATGCAGGTCAGGTGTGTATCAGTCAAAATTACATCTTGGTTGACAAGGAAGTGGCTCCCACCTTGATCACGGAGCTCAAGGCCGCCATGAAGGAGTTTTTCCCCAGCGGCGCCAAACAGAGCCCCGACTATTCCAGGATTGTCAATCTCCGAGCATTCAACCGGATCAAGAAGATGCTGGACTCTACTTCGGGAAAAATAGTGGCTGGGGGCACAATGGATGCTGACCAGCTGTTCATCGAGCCCACTGTCATTGAAGTCTCGGATCCTAAAGACCCTCTGATTGTGGAGGAGTCTTTTGGGCCACTCATCCCTGTCCTACCTGTGGATAACCTGGACCAAGCTATCAGCATCGCCAACGAGACTCACGCAACGCCGTTGGGAGTTTATGCTTTTGGATCCAAGGCTGAGACTGACAGGGTACTTGCGGAGACCCGGTCCGGCGGCGCCAGCATCAATGATGGCTTCTTCCATGGTGTGATCCCGACTCTTGCCTTTGGCGGGGTGGGGGACTCGGGTACTGGCGCGTATCGTGGAAAAGCGTCTTTCGACTGCTTCACGCATCGTCGATCCATCACCAAGACGCCCAACTGGATGGAGAAGTTACTGGCGGTCAGGTATCCGCCTTTCGATGGCACCAGCAAGCTCAAGCAGTATCGCGCGATGGGGATTCTGAAACCAGATTTCGACCGAGACGGGAGGCAGAAGATCGGACTCTTGTGGTATCTGATCACGTTGGGGTCGGGAAGTGCGTCCAAGGGCGCACTTCGAGCAGCGTTGATCGCTGGCATCTATTTGGCCCTGAGGGCACTAATGGAAGGTAGAATATGGAAGGGTTTGAAAGGATGAGAATATGAATTGAATGCGGGCGGGCAGGCCTGGAGTGCAGATACCTCAAGTCCCTATTTACCGAGTAAAGTACTCTGGCTAGTAGGTGCACTCATACTAATAGTCATCAACTTGAACACCACGGGGTATGGCAGCGCCACTGAAAGGGCAGCCACAATTCTACTAGAACCTACTACTGCTGCAGTACTACCTTTAGTTAGGTATGTAGTACTATCCAGGCAGCTAAAGAGCTTGTCAAGGCACCGATGGTAACATTGCTACATGTATGTTATTAGTAGATGCTCTTCCTCCTGTTGCGGAGATGGCTTGGGGTGAGTGAATACAGCCACTTCAAGTGCGTGCAGTGTTCACAGCTCACGGGGTCCACGTCATTATCATCATCATTTATCAGTGGTTGGAGTCTTCGTCCCATCCCGCATTATTACTGATACTGATACTGATACTGATACCGATGCTACCGACTGATACGTACGGCCACGATCACAGCCTCCTGCTTCTGGTTGGATACCTTGAGCAATCTTGCATCCTTTTTCGTTGCCTGGCCCATTGCAGAGGATCTTGTCTGAATATCCTTCCCTCACGTCCACAATCACCCAGCTTGCACTGCCACTTCATCTCCATCAACCACTCTCTCCCAACTCCAGGCCGAGTTCCTGCGGCTCCCGCCTTCACCACATCTCCCTGCGCAACCTCGCAACACCGAAGAACCCCCATATCATGACATCCGCCTCGAGCACGCCCTTTGCAACACCTGCTACCTCGGTACCGAGCTCGAGACCGCCCTCTCCCACCCAGTCTGCTTCTGCCACTCCGTCCATCGCCCCGCCGGATAATCAGTTGCAAGATGAATCATCCAAGCTAAGGACGTTCTTAAGCTTGCTGAAAAAGTATGTCACGCCGATAAGAGATCGGGCTATATGTGGAAGACTTGGGCAGAGCTGCTGGAAGATTGAATCGACATAGACTGATATATGCTGAAATGGCAGGTTTATCGGTGTGTCGGATATCGCCAATGTTCGATTCTCCTTACCCTCTCAGCTACTAGAACCTATACCCAATCTAGGTAGGCAGCGGATGTTGGACAAGATTGATGGGCTCGCGGCTTACGAAAATCTAGAATACTGGCATTATCTCGACAGACCGGAGACATTCGCAAGGTGAGGAGAGATGAAGTCGGATGATTCTGGTCCCGCAACCCTTACTGATAGGTGCATAGTATCGGAACCTCAGACGATGACCTTGGCCGAATGCTGGAAGTGCTCAGGTTCTGGTTCACAAAGGACTTGGTGCGTCACTCTGGAAGTTTCGTTGGAATGGATATCATACTGAGACATGGTGCAGAAATATGTCAAGGGGAAGCCTTGCAAACCATACAATTCGACATTGGGGGAGTTCTTCAGGGTGGGTTTAGGCCTCTTCCTCCGTCCCCAAGGATCTTGTAATAGGACCTAACTGACCAGCAATTCCCTATGTAGTGCAATTGGGAAGTCAGTGCCCCGGCACCTCCGATATTGAACCCATCCAAGGCACCGCCGCAGCCGCCTGTCGACCCCCAACAACCAACAGGTAACGATGAGCCTGTACGGATATCATTCTTGACGGAACAAACATCCCACCATCCACCAGTGTCTGCCTATTGGTATGATTGTCCTGAGCGAGGCATCCATGCTCGAGGTTACGACCAAATTTCTGCTCGCTTCACAGGCACCTCCGTGCGGGTGGTTCCCGGCATGTACAATCGCGGAATCTTCATCACATTGACCAAACGGGACAATGAAGAATACCAGCTTGTGCACCCTGCAGCATCGCTGGGTGGACTGCTGAGAGGATCGCTGTATATCTCCGTGGCAGACACGTGCTTTGTGACATGCCCCAAGACCAGACTGAAGTGCCTTCTGACCTATGTAGAGGAGAGCTGGTTCGGCAAGGCTCAGAATCGGGTCCACGGGGTGATCTTCCGCTACAATCCCGACGACGACAAATACACGCGGGTCAAAGATGTCCCTGACCGAGACATCCTCGCCAAGATCGAAGGCTGCTGGCAGGACCAAATCTTCTACACGATTCCTAATAGTGCAGCAGTCAAAGAGAGGCCGAATCTCCAGCCGACCTCGGAGAAGCAGCTGTTGATCGACGTGCAACCGCTGATGCCGGTGCCTAAGGCATGCCCGCCCACCCCCGACCAACTGCCGAACGAGTCGCGGTTATTTTGGAAGGACGTGACCGTTGCCATCAACGAGAAGCGCTATTCGGACGCCACGCGTATCAAGCAGGAACTTGAGCAAGGACAGCGTGACAAGGCCGCCAAACGCAAGGAACTTAACACCGAGTTCAAGCCGCGCTTCTTCACTGCCGTCACCGAGCCTTCCGGAAAACCAGATCTGACTGCGTACGGCAAAGTGGCTCTCGACGGTTTGCGGAGGAAAGACTTTAAACTTGACCCTCTCCCTGAACCGGGGGTAGATGTTTGAGGCAGGCTGCGTTTGTGGCTTGCCGTTGGGGTTGTCCACACAGACATACATCGTTACGCCAGGCAATGCATGTGAAAGGTTGTCCGAGCAGACTCTTGCAGACCTGTTCACTTCCATCTAGGAGTATGCTTGTGATGGCGGACACAAGTTCTGGAACATATCGGGATTCATTCACAACCTTGATTTGGAAGGCCGATGGCGGCACCGCGAGGTGGAAGCGGCATGGCGGACCTAGATTGACTTGTCCATTAGCGTGGTTTGCGTGTTTGCTCCATTCAAGTTGCACACATATATTTGTATATACGAAGGAGAAAGCTTTTACATAGGCGGAGTTGGCTTCACATGGGCACCTTTGACCCTTGACCTGGGCATGGCACCTTTAATCTTTCAATGGGAGTCCATAACAGGATGTCAAGAGAAACCACCATAATGTCCATTTGTGCATTTGTCGACTCATATTTTATGTCACAATGATACATACCTCGTATACGTCGGGAGTGATCAACAGCCGAAGTCTACCTCACATATACACCCGTATGTGTTTCGTAGATCATGAGTGTATCGGAGGTATGCTCGTCAGAATCACCTCCAGAGTCCAGCCCCATCCCGCAGCTTTTCTCTCTAGCACACCCAATCGAACACTGTACTCACTGTTTCAAAGTACACGAGGACCAGACAACAACAGCAGCAGCAGCAGCACCGGCCGAATCACTGGTCGATCACGCCTCTTGCGCAGTGCCTCAGGCATCGATTGCTGTCTGTCACGTCTCGGAATAAATAGATCGAAATCAAACCGGGAGGTCAGTGATCACTCCTGCGGACGGCGTCGGGGGCAGACATAGGAGAGCATAACTTTGCGGATTTGTATAGGTAGGTATGCAGGCGTGTATGCAGGGGTATGAAACAGAGCATTTGTACTGCCCAACCTGATTACCTTCCCCCATCTCACTCTTCCTTCTTCTCATGGCCAATTGGACGGGACGTTCCGGAGCGAGCATCGACTTCTAAGAGCGATGTTCAGAAAGGATCTGCAGGACGGGTAGTCAGGACCGGGCAGAGTGGACTGTGGCTTGCGATACAAGAAGTCCAAAGCAACAAGGCGTTCGGGATGAAACTGCCCGCTAAGGCTGCGAGGCGCGATATGAAACACTGGAGGCGAGGAAGGCGTTGCTTGTAAGGCAGATAGCGTGAAACAAAGCGGGAGGTGATGGTGCTGAGAAATGCCCCCCGCTCCCCATCTGTTCCGTGCGGGTTCTGGAAGAACAAGGTTTCCCGGCTGGATGGTAAACAGTAGAGAGAGGGTTTGATTAGATTATTGGGCAGGCTAAGATTGAGGAAGTGTTGTCGTGAATTTTCCTTTTCCTTTATGCAGGGAATAGGGGCAACTTAATAAATGTCAAATGAGTAGCAAGATGAGGCGATTCTCAGAAGGAAAGTAACAACATTGTAATCATAGTTTAGGGTTCTTCGCTTACGTAGAATATCGGTTGTGCTGGACTGTGGTTCAACATAACAGGCAGAAAAAGCCGGGGCGAGGGGGCTTCATCATGCTATGTATGGGGTTATGCAGTCTCGATCGACCAGGCATAATGATAGCCGTAGGAGATGAGGTGGGTCGTTCCTTTCTGTCCTTTGTCCTGTAAGAAGAAAGTCGGCAGGAGCTGGCGTTGCCATCATGTTTGAGAGTCGATGCCTAAAGTCTCAACGGAAAGGCCCGTACAAGGTTCCAGCTGGAGCTTTTGTAGGGTTGCAATCTCCCCGAACTTTATAACGGTAGAATCAATTTTCCTTTCAGGTAAGAAGTGTTCGAGCCGACGATATATGGAGCCGACCACTAGTGGCGTGTTTGGTACAAAAGAACCGATTAGTATACGTGGCCACAGCATACACACTTGTTCCAAAGAGGTAGCAGGGTCAGCCGACATGAGAGGCTGGCAGAGGGCAAGCAGAACTTCGACCCTGGCAACCCTGATCTGCGCAAGTGCTACCGGGATCCAGGGGTGAAGAATGGATAATGATGAATGAAGTGGATTCCGTGATTAGTTCGAATCGTCGGAAGGATTCGAGCATCAGCGTTTGCACCCCAGGCCAGTATGATTGCTGCATCATTTCAGCCAATGCGGCACACGGAACAAGCACCTTACAGGCATCCACTTGCTATTGCAGGGTCCTTCAAGTCGACTTGTCGTGGCATGGTAGGTTTCAGATTTTGGCAAGGCATGAAGGAGCGCGACTTGCTGCCTGAGACGACGTCTTGTCTGTATCAACCATCGACTTCACGACGATGTACCTCGATCTGGGCCCTGGACGTTGGACCCTGGGTAGTACGAGGACGGAGGATCTGACCGTGCTGCCTGTTTCTTGTGCATTGTCTCTGCCAGTAGTAGGTATCGCTGATGATGATTGCAATCTGTGACGGCACTCCTGGTGGCTGATTCTAGTATATGTCGCGGAACAGCGATTATACTATTTCGGCACTAGATCCATACATTTGTTTGACCACTCACAGAACTATGATGGCCTCTGCGAAGACAGCCTGCTGGGTGGTGTGACTGGACCCGAAGAAGAGACATTGAGATAGGCTGACCGAGGCGGCGGGGGTCAGCAATGCAACGGACCAGAGGAGCTCGAGGCTTGCGATCGTCTTCGACTCTGGAGGGTCAGAAAGATGAAGGACTTATTACGTACCTGTCTGCCAGTGTGTCGCCCCTGTAGTTAGTGCTCAGGTAAGGCAGACTCCTCTACTACTTTGTACCCGTCTATACAAAGTTAGGGCCAAGTTTAAGGTATTTAGTCTAAAAAGAGCCTTAGCGGGCGGAGGAGGCTTGGTATGTGTTTGGGCAGTATTGGTTTCATGCTTAACTGTTTAAGGTATAACCTTATCCTCAAATAGCATCAACCATACCTGATTGGTACAAGCTCCCGTAATAGTCTATTCGGTCTGCGCCGCACTCCCCTATCAGGGTCATTCCTCTCAAGCCATCCCAGAAAAGACACGACCAAGATGCCACAGACACCCTTGGCTGCTGCTCAAGGCCAACCGGGGCCTCATGGCCAAACGCAGTGCAGCTTCAAGGTACCGGCGATGCTCGAGTGTCCCAAACCTGGTCGACTTCAACACCCAGAGAAACACACCATCTCACGAGGGCGTCGGCTTAATCGTCGTCTGAATGGTGGGACAACTCTTCACAAGGCAGCCTGTCCACCCGTCCCAAGTATGTTAGTGTCCGTCCTACCCATAACCACAATCCACTGGGCTTGCGGAGTCGTGATCTGCTCTGCTCACGACATCAAAGACCCGCGTGGAAATGGTCGCTCCAAAGTCCACTACTACAGTATAGCATACGGCATACGGCACCCGCCCCTCCGTAAGCACCAGTCGACCGAGATTTCATGACTTGTCCAATTATCTCTCCGCCGTGCCTTGACCAGACGGTTGGCAGACACTATATTTTGATTCGAACCAGCCATGCTTGGCCCAAAAAGCCTCGATGTCGTCGACACAGCCGCCTCATTCTTATTCGCTGACCCAGCGCCGGCCCTGGACCTCCGTCAACTCCATTACGCGAGATGCTCCAGGGGATCCAATTTCACCCTGGCTCCTGCGTGAGCGTCCCATTTCAATAAACCCATGATGGAGCTGCGTATTGTGTTTATTCACCCTTCTCCATCAAGTTGTAGACAAGAATAACTTCGGCGCCGTTGTACAAGGACGCTTTTTGTTCTTCGCCCCGCCACGTGCCTCCGGCCTCCCACTGTCGAATACTCAGCCCTGCCAATGGATGCCGGAACGTCTCTAGTCTCCTAGCCTTCCCCTTCTTCCACCCTCAAAGTCGTCATTTCCCTCATCACCACACTTCCCATTCTCAACCCCATGCCAGAGTCTCCAGTTGCTCAAACAAGCTTAATCTTGCCTTGAGGCTCAGTAGGGGGCGGAGGCCACCAAGCATTGCAGCGACTCCACCGTGAAACATTTGGCACAGGCCTTCCGGCTGGTCTGTATAGAGTTATATCTTCTATACAAGACCCTCATCCCATCATGGCCCCAAAGAAGCGTTCCCAGACTACTCGACCGCCGGGCGTCGCTGAAGCATCTTCGCCCATACTACCCACCTACGAGACCGACACCTTCCTTTCATATTCTTCAGCTAGAGGCCGTCGTCACCAGCCAAGAGAGGACATACGAGCTGCCTCTTCAGCCCTGTCGCCTGCTCAAGACACGGATGCCTTGCGTTCACCTATAATACCCGACTCCCCACTCTCACCTGGGGTTCGTACTCCAGATTCCATATCCCGTCGCGAAAGCACTTCCACCATGCGAACTTCGTCCATCCCCTTCGAGGGACCTCCCACTTGCACGCCTAGTGGGCGCATTAGCAAGGCAAAGAAGGGGAAGCGAGTTCATGCTTGCGAATTTCCTGGCTGCGGAAAGGTAGGTCTGGAGATCGCGGGATAGGAATGCGTTACTAACGTTGCGATCAGGTCTTTACCCGCGCAGAGCACAGACGGTTAGTTGTGCACGCGGCTTGTATTGAAATGCACTCTCTAACTCTCTTCCACAGGAGGCACGAGCTCAACCACAATCCCGAGGCAATGTTCCCTTGTACTCGTCCTGGTTGTCACAAGGCATTCCACCGTGTGGATCTTCTTCAGCGGCACCAGGAAAAACAGTGAGTATTCAGCGACGACGTTGTGCGAGGTTGGACAGTTCCTGACACTGACACCGGTGTAGTGACCTCGAAAGCGCAACTGATGCTTCGGCAGCAACCATGAGTGAATTTTCGCAGAGATCAGTCCCTTCAGAAATGCCCTCCTCGGTCCATCCAGCCCCACCCATGACCAGTCCCCAAGCCGGCCGGAGTACTCCCAACCCATCTTCTGGGGGTCTTTCGATCGGTTCCCTGGTCAACCCCCAAGGGGACTACCGCTACAGTTTGGGAACACCGGCGTTCAACGGCTTTGGCCGACAAGCAATGCACTTTGTCCCAGGCTTCAACTCATCTGATGAATCCATTTTCTACACGCCCGAAAGCAGCCAATCTCCCGTTTCAGACTACTACGGTCGATACCGCAACCGTCAGAGCATTTCATCCTCGTCATCTATTGCAGCCTTTGATACCAACGGCGCGTCCCCCTTGATTGGAGGGAATATACCAAGTCCCTGGGTCCCGTCTTCCGCGCCGCCTCCCAGTATGCTCCCATCCAACATGCTTGATGAAGCTGTGTATTTTCCTGTATGCCCCCCTTTTCATTGGTTTGGCATGTGTACTGAGGCTGATCAGTCTCCCGCAGACTCTTCCCTACCAATACCCCTCTCCGACCTGGATGGATACGAATGGTCCGTCATTCGACGAGAACTATCCCATGCCCCTGGACTTTTGCCCCGAGATGCCTCAACCGGACTACCAGACACTATAAGGTGGCATTGTCTAGACTACTACTGGCAATACTTCCATCCCCACTTTCCCGTTGTCCACCGACCGACGTTCCTCCCAACAAAACCGAGCCCACTCCTGGCAAGCGCCATGGCAGCCATTGGATCGCAGTACGACGACAGACCGGATGCAAAGTTATATTCTCTCACACTCTTGGAGATTGCAACCAAGCTCTTAAGGAGGAGACATAGTATCACCAGTCGGTCAAGGTTGGCTGACTTACAGACCGTCTTCCTGCTCGAAGTTCTCAGCAAGTATTGCGCCAGACGAGTCGAGGTGGACATGTCGGCCAGGTTTCGCTCGCTGTTTGCAAGTCTCGATCAAGCTCGGCGGACTCTCGCTACGGATGCTTTGGCCGTTTTTCGAACCCTACCGAAAGACAGAACGGCCGACGATGTCACCCGTGCGCACAAATTCTGGCTCGAGCACGAAACACGGCGGCGCATCCTGCAGGCATCGACTGTCTTGGACCTTCAGCAGGTCACTCTCTTCGAGCAGCCCGCCACGATCGTCCAGCACGAGCGGCCCCGACGTCCAAGCCTGGATCTCCGATACAAGGTCCCCCTTCCTTGCCCACGGGAACTCTGGGAGACCAGTCCAATCGAGACCTGGCTGGAAGCGGCCTCCAAGAACGACATGTCTAAGCAGCCGAATACTGGCAATGCGGCTGATTTTCCAGCCGATTGGCCTCATGACTTCTTTCAGGTCCAAGTCGGCGTGGCAACGAATCCAGAGCTGTCTTATGGCCAGTTTCTACCACAAAAGGACCAACTACCCGGTGATTCTGCTGCCCGGCTGGCATTCAACTACCACCTACATGAGATGGCCAGACACACGCCGATCCGGCAACTGCTCGTGGTGAGCGGTGAGTCTTGGGTTTTGGGCAAGAAGCTAGAGAGCGAGGCGGAGTTCCAGACGGCAAAGCGCAACCTCCGAGCATGGATCGACGCTAACCGCGAGAGTCGAATTTCTTTATGGCACGCGACCCAGCTGATCCGGAGCCGTGCCCAATTCATTGTTTCTGATTCAGCCAACACCGACCTGGCTGTTTCATTCCTTGATACCCACATGCTTCACGAGCCCTGGGGACTATATCTGGCTGTCCTTGTGTGCTGGGCGTACGGACTGACCGCTTCGGTGATGCTGGAAACCATGGGTGGTCAGGTATCTGGCGCAGGATCGACGAGCGTGAGCGAGGCGAATTCCCACCTATCCTCTCGAAGTTCCAGCTCAAGTCGGAGCCTGCCTTCGACACTTCCGACACTTCTCGATCTCCATGAGGCGACCTACTCGATGCGCGAGTATTTGCAGCGCACCAATGTCGAAACACCTGACCATCTACTCCGTCTGGATGCCCGAGTGTTTGGACAGATTCATGGGTTGCTGGAGATGGTCCGGGTCAACAAGATCGGGCATCTTCTAGGCGGCCTCATGAATGAGGCAGAGCGAGTTCTGTATCGGTTGGTGGAGGGTCGAGGCCGGCTCTCAAATTTCTGAAGATGTCTCCCATCTGTTATCAACTCCTATCCTGTGTAGATCTGATGATCTCTGCTGTTCAGCTTGGGAGCAGGGTTCGGAGTTTACTGAGGGAGGCTTTGATTACGACTATGATACCATGCCACGAAAGTCTACGAATTTGGGATTTTGTTATTGCTTTCTTCGATACTGCTAGAAAAGGTGCCAGGACAGACCAAGGGATCTGTGCGACGAAGTACCACGGCGCTCTGGTATATGTCTCAACATTTGTGGAGTTTGTGGGTTTCTTGAACATGGTCGATCGGCTCTTGATTGTTGTTTTGAGCAAGTCTTACAGGGCCTTTGGGCAGGGATATCACTCGGGTTTTAATGTGGAGCGTGAAAAGCTCTTTGGTATATACTCCAAAAAGGAGTTTGGGTCTTCTATGACTTTCATGAGGGTAAAACCTGTTTGTGAGAGAGTTATTCCACAAACGCGAGCCTGGAATGGCCTGGCATTGGTCGTCTCGATACTATTCCTCGCATACTATAGGTAGCAACGCAGTAAGGTGTGGATACAATCTATGAGGTTGAGTAAGGTCCCAAATATTTGAGTCGTGAACTCGGTAGCCCCTGAGCAGCTAAGCCTCGTCATGTCTCGACCACACTGCGGTGAACCAGAATTTTTCCATCTTATCAAAATGAACAGTCTTCGACCTGTCTGATGATGAGCACGTCCTGCTATTGTTTCTATTGGTTCTCAGTGTCTGGACTCATTGTTTTCTCATGTGGTGAGGATGAAGCCACATACAAGGCAACGACGTTAAAGCACAGCCACTCGAGGTAAGCTTAAAGCGGACGCAGGGCGCTTAAATCGGAGCAGAGCAAAGAACCCCAGACAGCCTGAGGGAAGAAGTCTACACTCTCTTTGGTCGAAAGATCTTCAAACTGGTTCAAGCGCAAAATCCGGACAAGGCTGGACGTCTATCTATCTTCGAAATCTGAGACTGTCCCCGAAAGACAATCGCCAGCATCAATGATGCCAAATACACCGCGATTCGTACGCGAGGAGAAGAACGACCGTCGACGATAAGGTCATCGGTCGAGCTGTATGGTCGGATTTTCTATTGCCAAAAAAAGCCATTAGGCCACCTCCTGCAAGGGGATTCCAGCCCGTCTGTCATAGACGGCACGGGTCGCCGGGATCACCCCAGAAAGAAAGTGGCCGAGTTTTGAGGCTTGAAATATCAGCGTCTATGGATGGTCTTTGGCCGCCACAACTCGCTCCGATCCCCTGACAGATGTGGCCTATTGTTATACTACCGTCAAGCCAGGAGTCGGCCTACCACTATCTCGCAACCAGTCCAGATGGAAAGAAAGATTTGGGGGCTACGCAGGACGCCTGAAACGAGAGTTCACTCCATTCCAAAGTCTCGAATCTCGATTCAGGTTCTGCCGATCACATACCCTCTCGCCTGCGGCCTGGCCTGGAGGCCTTCCTACCTTCCAGGCATATTTCAAGGGTGGAGATTGTTCCTTGACAGCTTCAAGGTCCAGTCACACTCATCAAGGGCGTGTCTACTTGGCTCACCACCTCTTTTCCCAGGTGCTGGTTGCACCACTGAATCTCTCGACTCTCGAGACTCCCATCATGCAGACTCTACCACCATTGACCTCGCTGTTCTCGACAGCGTTGGTCCTATTGCCACAGCTCGTTTCAGCAACCTGCTACTGGCAAAACAGTACACTCGCCCCAGATGACCCATACTCGATCGCTCCGGACGACACAGCGTGTTTCCCCGATCAAGAGAATTCCCCGTGTTGCGGGACCGGGTGGACATGTCTCTCGGACGGGGTGTGCTATATCGAGCAAGGAGATTCGTCCTTCTATTATCGCGGAACATGCACCGATCGTACCTGGGACAGCCAGCAATGTCCCGGATGGTGTTTCGCTCAAAGTATGTGGAGTCTCCACCACTGGCATCCCACGCAGGCATTGCGTTTTCTGTTGCGTCGGGAAGACGTACTGACCAAAGGGGACAATTCATAGACTCGACCGATTCCATCCCGTTGATCAAATGCGACAGTGCCCAAGATTGGTATTGCTGTCCTGAAGACCCGAACTGCGATTGCAATAGCGGGAAAGACGCCGTCAAGCTGGGAGACGATCAACCCAGCACGGTCACGGTCATCGGAAGCACAAGCTGGCCTGGCTTCACGGGTACCACGGCTCCATTCACCGCCAGCCCTTTGGTTTCTGAGGGTACCACTACCGATACCAATACCGCCAGCGCCACCGAGGCTGCTCAGACGACGACTGGCTCGGATGCCACAACGACAGCAACAGCAACAGCAACAGCAACGGGGTCATCCAATGGCACCGGCGTCAACACAGCGGCAGGTGCAGCTACAACGTCAAGCGACAATGGTGATGGTGATAGTGATGGTGGCGGCGGTGGAGGCAGCAACACCGGTCTCGCAGCAGGACTGGGCGCTGGACTCGGCGCTGCTGCCGTGCTCATCGGCGTGCTCGCATTCTTTCTGATCCGAGCTCGACGGCGCAGGCATGCTGTCAATGCCAATTCAGGAGGTCCAGCCTACGAAGAAGTGCCCAACCGCAGCCACATGGATCAAAAGGCTTCCTATGCGTCTCCACGGCCGACGACATATCAAGACGAGCAGTACATGGTTGGAGGGACTCACTCGAAACCTGAACTTCCCGGGGCGGGAGAATACAACCGGCCTGAGATGCCTGCTAGTAGTAGCAATGAAGGTGGCAGACAGGCCCATGGCTCCAGGGCGGAACTTGATGCCTCGTGATGTTGAGACCTTGGGAGGAACATTGTGCGAGAAGGGAAGATTTTGACCTGACGTGTCTCTACTTAATGGATTGGGTTGGGTCCAACATTGTGTTGACTGTCGATAGATAGGCCTTCAGTTCAAACTTCAGTCACCGCTTGCCACAGACGAGCAAGATAGCACGAGGCATACGGCGTATGTGAGTTTGCGTTTGCAACATGGCGGTTTTGTTCATGCTGTGCATGTTCAATGCCATCTGCCTCGTGGTCCGATCACAGGTTAGAGAAGGCTGGCTGAAATAGGGGTTAAGCAGGTCTCAGGTATTGATTGAGCATTTCAGCACTGACTTTTGCTTCTCTCTTCCATCAAATACTCTGGCTTAACACGCGGGAATCCATCTCGGGGTCCTCGTCATCATGAAGGATTCTGCTCTTCGGCGTCTACGGACAAGAAAGACACGACTAATGATGTTGAAGCGACCGATCTCAACTCCCAAAGCGGAAATCGAATCCTGAGTCAGCCATTACTCACCATTTAGACAGACTCACATCCACTCTCTTTCTTCGTCTTCGTCTTCGTCTACGCCCCGACGTCCAAGGTCTAGCAAGGTCTAGCCACCCCTCTGTCTGGTTCCTGCATGAGACGCCAATGGCAAGGAGGAGGTAGAAGGGTTCTTTCCCCGTCATCAAGGTAGGTGCCTGCCTGGACATCACTCCCACCGAAAAGACACTACTCACGGATGATGCACGGCTCTGCATGATGTGTCAGCAGATATCCAGTCAGTCACCCATGACATGTCAGCTCGACCTCCGTCGAAGTCGACGTTCAGGACTGCCCGAGCCTAGCACCAGCAGCAAACTATACGACTCTCTTTCCATGACAAAGCAATCAGGCGAGCGCTTGCATTGGATTCGGAAACCGTTCCACCAACCTGGTTAATCGATCATTTCAGGGCCCATGGTCTTGTACAATCATGTTAATGTTATTGATGAGCGATAGTTTAGTAAGTCAAGAGTGGTATACAGGCGTTTTTACTGGTGGGTTTTCCCTCGCGTTCCCCAAAACGTCGAACCCCGGTAGGAGTTGTCATGGTCCCTTTGTTCAAGGAGCGAGTTGATAAGCAAGACATCTCGAGAGCCCCCCTTGAACCTCTCAGCTCTTCTTTTATGTATGTCTCATCCATCTATCTACTCGAGTTCATCTTCTCCAGAAAAGAAAAAGAGCTCGATGTGAAGCAGTCAAACGGGTCAATCAATAATCTAGTCTGCCCCCTTCGCAGCTGGAGAGAGCAGTGGACATCGGTATCCTCAAGAGCGACCACTGACCAGTCTGATTCAATTCGATGGCCATTGACGACCAAGGTCTGGTTCACAGTCCTCGCACAAGGCTCTTGATTACCCAGAAATATCAGAATCTCGAAGCATAAGCATTCAAGGCAATCACATCTCGCGGCGCCAGTTTCCCAGTCTTGAAACTCCAAACTCCAAACTCCAGTCTGAAGGGTATCTTAGTATCCCTGGGACTCGGCATTGGGTCTTGATCCACAAAGAGGATTACACGACTTACCATTGAGGCACTCTCAGCATTAGAAATGTCTACCTCCAGCACCGACTCGCTTTCAACCACCTCTACCCAATCTTCCACCATCTCCAGAGCGAGCAAAACAATGAGAATCGACATGCCACCCCCTTCTCCAGCGTCTTTCACTTCCACCAAACCCCAACCAAGTCCAGGATACTACTACAACAACTACAACAGCATTACATCCACACCGTCTCCCATCCAAAACCCCAGCTCTGCATCATGGGACTTTTTTCCACAAGAGAATCCCTATTCCTATTCCTGTTCTCAACATGACCAGAATCAACAAGTTCATCAACATCATCATCAAAATCAAGGCAAGCATCATATCCACATAGCGACTCCGCATCCATTGGCTGCCACCGCGCAGTTTCTGGACAAACACAGACCCAAGCATCATGTGGTGGCACTGGCAATGCCGCCGTCCAAGTCTGCTGCAGATATCCAGCACAGCATCATTGGCTTTGCGATAGCAGAAGACGAAGACGAAGACGAAGGTGAAGACGAAGGCGACCGCGAAGACAAAGGTAGACCCCATATCGAGAACGACAATCAAGTCTGGAAAGCCATCCTTGCTCATCGCGAAGCTGCTCGGTTGAGATCCGGAGCGGAAATCTCACATGTCCAACATTGACATCGACATCCTTGTAAGTTATGTTGCAACATCAACCTCGTTTCTTCATTGGCAGTCTGGCACTGTGGCACACACCAAACCAAGAACACTTTATTGGGGTCTCCTCCTCGACGAAAGACGGAGGGGAAGCCATGTCAACGACAACACGAGATCGAAATCCGACATTTTTCGTTCAACTTTGACCGGATATTTCGCAGTAACAATAAACCTGAAGGGGCTGCTGATGATTGACGTTGGCCAAAAGTCCCACACACAGATGGTGGCTTACCTTAACTGTTGGTCCAAAGGGGAGGAGCTGGAGAAGGAGAAGAAAAGACTTTCATCAGTTCTGATGTGTCGTTTAGTAACTACTATATCACATCTGGGGAATTTCGTCGGCGCTCATACATGTTTGGATATGAATTTTTCGGTCCAATAGGTGGTGTGGTGTGGTGTGTCGAGACTCCCTGTGCGTGTGACAGGAGGTAACGATTTACGGATATATATCTGGCTACTAGCATACCACGAATGGCCTCATCAGAAGAACGAAAGGAGAACCTCTTCATGATACATGCGTCAACAGGCCTGTACAGGATGTTTCATTCGTGCAAAACATTACACAAAAGCTTGAAACTTCAAATACTCTTTGACTTGAAAAGTCACGACTCTAGCCTCCAGGAAGACGCCAGTGACTTGTGGCTCCTTCCTGCCCGTCAGTCTCGTGCCCCGACTCCCAGAACACCTTAACCTCATAATCGACATCAAACATCAAATAGCCAGAAGGTATCATGCTGGAAAGGAACAACCGCTGATCAACCATCCGTGGGTATGGGGCCCGAGTCGAGTTAAGTCATCATGAACTAGCGTACAACCACATCTTCAACAAATCCATTCCTTGTCCCCACAATCTAGTGGTGGGAAGGAAAGTCGTGCGCTGGGGAGAGAAGAGAGAAAAAGACATGAAGCTGATCTGACTATGCCTCCGTCTCCACGACTCTGTACCCTTCGCTCAGTTTCTTCGCGATTTCCTCATTCTTATGCTGCAGCAGCGACAGCGCGTACGCTGTATCGTCCCATTGTCGTTTGCTGACACATCGGCCAAGTCGAGCTGCAAGTTTCTCGGCGAGGTTTTTGGCATGTTTGTCCTGTAAGAAAGAAGAATATCAGTACGAATGTTCTCCCAGCGAGCGTGGTCAAAGCGAAAAGAACAAAGAAAAGCAGCCATGTCAAAGCATGACTTGACCTCGATGGATGATCCGAAGTCAAGCAAATGAAGAAATGGCGGGGAAAAAAAGGTCCAATGAAACATACCTTTTCAATGAATCCGCACAAGAACTTGAGGATTCTCTTGACGGCTTCCTCTTCCATGACACCGCCATCCAAGGGACCTTCCTGGGTGAGAACACTGAACATGTCTACGAACTGGTTATATACGGCGTTGTCCTTGGTGGCTAGTTCGGTGAAGAACATGCGTGCGAGGTCGGCGATTTTCTTGTCGGCGTCTTCTAGACACTTGGCCATCTCGCCCAGCTGGCCCTTCACTTTGACTTGGCCGGCCAGAATCAAGAATGTCAATGTCATCAAGCAGGTGCGCTTGACGCTTTCGTCTCCATCGTTGAGACGGCGGTAGAGGAAGTCGGTGTTTTCGTCGATGAGGTGATTGAAGCACACCGCCATGTCACCCAATGCTATGACCGCGTTGGAACGCACGATAGGGTCGGTGGACCGTTCGAGGATGGTGATGAGAAGAGGTAGATTCTTCTCACAATACTCGCTGCTCACGCACATGAGTTTGGCCAGACACAGTGTGGCCTGTGCTTGGAGGTTTCGGTCCTTGTACGCTGCATTGTTGGCACAGATCTCTGTCACCAGAGGTCCGAAGTTTGCCAGTAACGAGTTTGGGCCGTAGAGAAGCTCGCGCTCTCGAATGTGTGCGACTGCTTCGGTAAAGTCATCTTCGGTCGTGCCGCCGATGAGATCCAGCTCGTCCTTTTCTTCCTCTTTCTGCTTTTCCGCCAGCACTTCTTCCGCCGCCGTCTTCTTCCTTCGAGCCGGTGTAGGGCCCATGGATTTATCCGGCGAAGGGTTGGCGATTGACTTGTTCTTCTCTTGGTCATGTTTCCGTCGCTTGAAGTCCAATTCACACAATTCCAGATGCACAATCTGCTTGATGGCGATGTGTCCCACGGTAAACAGGAGTTGCGATAAAGCAATCGATGGTTTCTCAAGCGTCTGCTGCGCCGGCGACTGTGATTGTTCCTGTGCCTCTGGCTCGGTTTCCGGATTCGGTGCAACTCCTTCTTCGTCCACGTCCATTGCATCCGGTTCTGGCGATGATGGTCGCGACAACGAAGAGAGGTCCTTCGTCTGTTGGAATACCAGTCGAGTTTTCTGTCGCAGCACTTCAGAGCACAGAACATCTGGATGGTCTGAGAGAATGTAGATGGCACTAATAGCTTGTTCTGCCATTCCATACCATTCCTTGCTGGGTGAGGTTGTCAACAGGATGGAAGCCAGCATCCGCAACACCTCGTGATTGTTGGACATCCTTGACAGGCCGACTGATGCGGTCTTCTCATGTGCCTTCTTCGCCGGAGGTATCATGCGACGGAGAGCAACACAGGTGAATTTGGCAAGGACAAAATCTTGCCTTCCAAGCTGGCCCAGGCCTACCCTCAACATTGTGTCGAGCTCTTTGACAACGACTTCAGGACTGGCCAGAGCTATCATTCCAAGTACAATGATGGCACCCCTTCGCTGAGCCTTCGAGATGGCCTTGTTCACGCCGTAGACCTGCCACAATTTCGCCACTACCACTTCAGAGATATGGCCCGCTTTGAACATGGTGCTTAACAGCTGCTCAAGAGAGGTCAACTCGGCGGGAGTAGCGCCGAATGTCAGACTGATCATATTTCTGGCAACAAAATTTGCAGCGTCGTTGGCGCTGAAGATGTCGGGAGCGTCGAAGAAGAGACCTTTGTAGTTGTCGATGAGGTGGGTTTGAACGCCTTTGCCTTCGTCACTGTTGCCTTTGGTCCAGATCAACCGCAACATTCGCCGGATACCCTTTCGAGCCGTTTCCACCTTGAAGGCGTCAATCGTGACAAAGTAATCCATCACATCAATGACTTCTGCCTTGTTGGGCGAGGACAACAACTGGACCGCAATTTCTGAAGCGTCGTGCACCACCTCGATGAACTTCAATGCCTCAAGATAGTATTTCCGAGTCAGTTGAAGTTTCCCCAGGACCTCAGATGTAGCTGCCTCTTCCTCGGCTTTCTTCACTGCCGCAATCTGCTCTTCTTCCGTCATCTCGTGGGGGACTTCGGCCTGGGTAGCCTCGTCCAGCAACTCGGTGTCCACTCTCTCCTCCCCAGAGGCAATATGCGCCAGTCCGGGGGAGTCCGGGGGCGGCTTCAGGGCATCCAGTTGAGCTTCCACCGCTTCCAATCTGTCCACCCATTCTTTGTGTGCAAGGGTCCCACCGTGCATCAGACTGAAAGGATGGGAAGAAACGAGCTTTTTGAGCAGCTTGATGGCGTTACGTCGTACGTTGCTGCTCTTATCCTGGAGACTCTGCATTGCCAGCTCGGCAGCATTCTGCCTTCGCTTCGGAAACTTCTGCTCCAAATCACAAATCTTTGTAAAGACTTGGATCGCACGAACCCTGCAGAATGGGGCTGTGTCGAGAAAACGTTGTTCTAGTGTGTCGAAGAACGCATTGATCTGGATTTTGATCGTTTCCGTCTTGTCTTCCTGTTTGCTTAGGTCGGCAAGCAGATTTCCACAAACCTCTATCACAGCGCATCGTAGTACGTGGGATTCGCTGTCGAGGAATTTGGCCAGCATGCCCATTTCTTTGATGACCAGACGAGGCTCCAATTCCGACAGCTTGACAATGAACGAAGAAACCGATTTCGGTCCTTTGGTGTCACTCTGGCTGAATTCCTTGGCTGCCAACTCCCGTAGGATGTCGACAGAGAGTTGATGATGGTCATATTGCTCCGATAAGATGTGCAGAAACTCGGCCATTGGTTCTGACAAATGCTCGAAGTATGTGAGATTCTGGACGATGGACGTCTGAGCTCCCAGGGCATGGCCGTGATGCTTAACGGCCACGCAGAGCACCTTGAAGCAGAACATGCGGACTGCAGTAATTTTGACCCGTGCCTCGCTCTCCATAATCAGGTAAACGGATCGGGTGAAGAGGTTGATGAAGGTGTCCCGGTCGGAGGTTGTCTGGAATATCCGATTCAACTTGAGCTTCATCACTCGACACATCACATCCATTGCGCCCTGGATTTGACTGGAAGAATCCCAAGCGTCATCTTTTGCCGCGGATTTTGCCTTTGCACCTTTTCCTCCTCTTCGCGCCGGGGCTGTGGCAGACTTTTCGAGGGCTTTGGCTTCGACGGAAGAGATGGACCACTGGAGGAGAAATGCGTACATCTCCAGCAGTCGCTTGTGGTGCGGCAGCGTATCTTGCTCATCGTTTTCGATGTCATGGCCGGCGACATCTGCAGTAGTTGCTAGGCCTGAAACAATTAGGTGTAGGATCTTGCTCAAGGACTGCGGCGAGAGCAGGAAAGACTGTCTAAAACAACGAGATAGTTCAGCTTGCGGTTCCTGGGTATACCTGATTGTTGAAAATGGGGACAAGGGTGCGCACTTTAACAGAAACTGTAGTGTATCGAAGGTCGAACTTCTCATTAATCCCTCCGGGTTCTCTGCGATCAAATCCACCATCGGGTCCAACACATGGCTGACAAGAGAGGGTGTAAGACTGTCGGGGTCATTCTCGCAGTCCTGAAGTTCTGGGTTCGCGTCTGGGGTGGGAATGGTGGCTGAATCGCTTAGATACAGCTTGACGGCCTCATTGATGTCGAAGTCGACCTGGTCTTCCATGTTGCCGATGTTGTTGATGGGGCGTGATCGCAGGTGCAGTGATTGAGGTACCGCTCATCGATTGCTTGCTGGTCGACAGAGAGACAGGGTGCGGTGAAGTTCTGCACAAACGCTCAATACAGCGTCAACACTCTTGCAACACCAAGTGACCCAACAACAGATCCCAAATACTTCGTTGACGACAAGAACAGTGAGAACGACGACGCACAGATTCGATTCTTCGACCTGGCTGCGACCTGACAGCGACCTGGCCTGCGCACGCGTGGTAATTGGTAATTGGGCAACAGCCTTGGGATTGTTGACATTTCCCGATGCAGTCAACAAGTCAATTGGCCCCACTACAAACAACTCGAACTCGAGCCATGAAATTGGCAAAGACCGCCAAAGGCCTTCTCAAGGGCCTGGCACCAAAACAGAGCGAGCAGAAGACAACAAAGAACTCAAAGACCTCAAAGACGTCGCAGACCCCCAACACTTCACGCACTCCCAGACATGTTGTTCTGAGCCCCCCCGACCCGAGAAATAGACCCCTTCGAGAAGCTGCGCGTCGTGCTGCGGAGGCACAGCGGGCCGCGACAGGGAAGGCTGCAGTCATCCCGGGCAAGAGGCCGAGACACGACATGGGACATCCTGCCACCGCCATTGCCATCCACGAGGACGAAGACGTCTCCCTCCGCGAGACACGTCGATTGGACAAGTCCGCCACGAAAGAGATGGTTCCCCCACACTCTGAGGAAGAAGACTCTGTCGAGGGCTCCTGCTACTCTGAAGAGTCGGAGGACAGTGAGGATGACATTGACGAGAGTGTGGTGGAGGACATGCGCAAACTGGAGGAGAACTTCAAGGGTATCTCGCAGAGATACAGACTCATCAACCGCATTGGCGAAGGTGATACAGTCCCCTCTGCCGTCCCTTCACTATGACACCGTTGCTGATTTCTTCTTTCCAGGTACATTCTCGACCGTCTACAAAGCCGAACAACTCCCCCAGCCGGACGAGATCGATGGCCCTGACGAGAATGTCGAACCTGCGGACGACTCCAACCCGGACATGCCACCATCCAAGAGACGGAAAACAAATGCGGCGGTTGGCATGGCTCGGAGGTCGCGACGCAAGCCGCAAATGGTGGCTCTGAAGAAGATCTACGTGACGTCCTCGCCGCATCGCATCCTGAATGAACTGGAACTCCTACACGAGTTACGCGACTCGCCATACATCTGTCCTCTGCTCACGGCATTCCGACACCTCGACCAGGTTGTCGCCGTGTTGCCGTACTTCAGACACTTGGATTTCCGCCTCTACTATCGGGACTTTCTGGTCAACGACATGCGCCATTATTTCAGAAGCCTTTTCAACGGTCTTTGGCATGTGCACAAGGCCGGCATTCTGCATCGGGACATCAAGCCGACGAACTTCCTCTACGACCATTCCAGGAGAGAGGGTGTCTTGGTGGACTTTGGGCTCGCCGAACGGCAAGGTACCGACTGGCAGCCATGTCTATGCACCGAGGCAAAGGAGAGACGGCGAGAAAAGTTCCTCAATTCGTTCGCGGTGCAGGTCCTGCAGACCCAGCCTGACCTGATATCTACGGGGTACCCAAAGTCAGACAGCCGACCTTCACGAAGGGCGAATCGAGCAGGCACGCGTGGGTTTCGCGCACCAGAAGTCCTACTCAAGTGCACGTCACAAACGACGAAGATCGACATCTGGTCGGCCGGTGTCATCCTTCTCACGCTCCTGGCCAGGCGATTCCCCTTCTTCAACAGCGCCGACGACGTCGACGCCATGATCGAGATGGCCTCGATCTTCGGCAGAAAGAAGATGCAGGCGGTAGCCGCCATGCACGGCCAACTATTCGAGACGAACATAGAAACCATCGGCGAGCGTGGATTTACCCTGGACAAGATCATCATCTGGGCCAGCTGTCGTGAGAAGGACCACGAGTCTCTGCGCGCAGGCGAGGCTCAAGCGGTGTCGTTCCTCCAAGGTCTTCTCGAACTCGATGCCAACAAACGGTTGTCGGCCAAGGAAGCATTACAGCATGAATTCTTCACCGCACCCGTTGAAGACGAGGAAGAACGTGCCGAGCGAGAAGCCCAAGAAGCACTCGAGGAAGCGGAGGGGACGAGACGGTATTGAAGCTGCTCTTCTTCTTGCATCAAGAGACATGGCAGTCTGATTTCTCGCGTTCGGCGTTGTCGAGGCGGGTGCACGGGTCGTTCGTTGCTGGAGCGCAAGGAGCATCGTGTGTTCTTTGGTATTTTGGCAGAGTATGCGTTTGCATCCGAAGCAAGACACGATTCACCTGTACTACTAGGAGATATACCCCCTTTAGCATGGCATGGCATGGCATTCCTTGCGCGGAGGAGGGCGCTTTTTGCGGGTTGACCGAGGGAGTTGATATCTACCTTAGAAAAGGGACACCGATGATAGATATACCACCATCACCAACCTTGATACACGACTAGAATACTCTGTTGAATGAGTGTGCTTCATGATAAAGGCGCTGGTACAATGATGCGCGACGTTGTTTGTTGTTGCTGCTGTCTACGACTTGAATGTCATCATCATGATGGTAACATGTCCAGCCGTGTCCGCATCGGCCGCATAGATTGCTATCACCAACACACTGGTAATGAATGAGGTTTCCACCTGAACCGTGACAACATGCCTCATGAACATTCCATGCTGTCGACACTTACTCTCGAAGCTCGAAAATGAGAAGATCAATACTAGTATCTTTAAGTAGCCTGCCCGGACCAACAACACCGAAGTTCAAGTCGAATCCCGCACGTCGTGGCATCACAGCATTAACATTACCGTTGAAATCTTTTCCTGAGCTCGAGACCTCACCTTCACCTTCCGCCTCTACTACCACAGCTTCTTCGCGAAACACTGGACTCCCATTATCCTTGCACCAAATACGACATATTTGTGCCCTCGTCCATTCTGCGAGATCATATCATCGGTCGTTCTCTTTCTTTGCATCGCGCAGAACCAGAACCAGAACCAGAACCAGAACCACAACCAGAACTACAACGCGGCGTCAGGCCCAGAAGATACTAGGACCACACATTCCACAACTGTGGTCGCGACCAGCGCTACACCCATATCTGTACTCGGTGCAACGTCCACTGCTGCTCTCACAGCAACAGCAACAGCAGCCGTTTTCGACAGCTTCAGCCATGTCGGCAGGGATTCCAGCAACGCCGCCGGAACATGACATGACGCGCAAACCGCGGCGGTTTGCACCGCTCAATCCGGATGCGAAGCATGGGCAGGATCTGCCCAAGATCAAGGGCATCATATTTGACATGGATGGGACTTTATGGTACGTTACGGACAGGCCTAGCACTCTAAGTAACCCCCTGGCTAGCTATAGGTAGCTGGCCAGGATGTGATGATCGAAGATCCGCCAGACAGCATCGGTGTCCTTCCTGGCCTTTGTCGATTAATACTGCATCGGCGCATGAACAGTCACTAATGATCTTCTGATGTCGGATACAGTCTCCCGCAGAACTACATGTTCAAAGAAATGCGCGCTGCCCTGGGTATTCCCAGATCTGTCGACATCCTCGACCACATCCGATCTCTTTCCAACGAGCCCGACGAACCAGACACGAAACCGTCGGGAGATGGAAAGGCGACAACAGAGGCACCGCACTCTCCAGCCAACCCATCGGACCCGCCATCGGAAGAAGTCTTGTCTCACACCACGAATGACCCTGATCCTCCGCCATCATCACCCCAGGCTAGGGCGGTGGCCAAGATCCGAGATATCGAGCGGCACGCCATGACTTCCCAGCGGCCTCAGCCAGGTCTGAAAGAGTTGATGGCCTATCTTACCCGCCGCGGCATTCGTAAAGCTCTGTGTACCAGGAACTTCCCTACCCCGGTGCACCACCTGCTCGACAATCACTTACCCGGCGAACATTTCCATCCCATCATCACCCGCGAGACAGAAGGGATCCAGCCAAAGCCCAGTCCTGAAGGTCTGTGGACAATCGCCCAAAGCTGGGGGTTGGATCAAGACATTGACGAGGACCCGACTGCAATGGCTTCTCTGGTCAAAGATGGACAGCTAGATCCATTGGACCTGGCAAGACATGTTCTGGGTTCGGGCCTGATCATGGTGGGAGATAGCATCGACGACATGGCAGCTGGGCGCAGAGCCGGGGCTGCTACCGTGCTGTTGGTCAATGATGAGAATGAGGAGCTGGCGGCGCATGAGTATACAGGGCTCAGTATCCGACGGCTTGATGAGCTGATAGACATATTAGAGAATGGGTTCGCCGAAAGCAAGTAGCAATGTGTTGAAAGCCAGTGCAGACAATATCGAGAGCTGGGACGAGGGCGTAGGATGGTGTGTCGACACCATCAATGTTCATTGAGGTCGATAGGAAGCGTACACATCAGCCTCGTATCTCTTGCAGCGTGCCAGACAAGAAGCCGTCCGTAAAGCACGTACAACGGTATGACGGCTGCAAAAGTTGCATGGTAAGCGAGGTGGGTGGAAGATGTACTAGCAGTGGTACAACAGCTGCACACACCCCTAGGACCAGAGGATAACGGAAAAAGCATCGTAGATGAAGGGGAACCCATTCGCCTTTCCAAAGTTGATGCGTTGGCAAGCGCAAGATGCGTGCTCGCCATTGACGAAGTGGGTGGCCGAAAAGCTCTGCTGAAACTGCGTGTCACCGTCCCCCGGTCGCTGTGCAACAGGATGTCTGGGGAGGTCTAAGGCTCCTTACAGAGTATGCTCCTCCAAAGGCAGGATTTGTCCCGACGGTTCGACTGGCTCCCCGTCTGAAAATGCCACAAAATGCCACAAAATGCCGCTATCACAGTGGGGGCTCGCGGATGGCGGCAATGGCCCGTAGCCTGGGAACCATTTGCCCAGCCAACCGGTTTCCTACATGTGCTAGTGGCTCCGATCTTGTTTGTATATAGAGTCAATCGACCCAGCCCATCTGGATTTCTTGGATAGTCGGGCACCAACAGAGGCGGTCAAGCTATGTGGGCGGGCACAATCGGAGGATTTTGTTCAGGGTGCCAGCAATTGGTGCTCGTTGCCTATCGCCAACAGGGGATTTTGCAAGCATGGAGCTGCAATGTCTAGCCAATTATTAGTGATAAACCAGGAACGGACGAGGACAAGCATGACTTATGCGACGATGAAGAGAAAATAGAACGAGATCTAATACTCCTCGCAGCCTGTGAACTGCGGCCCGGCTCTAAGTGAGTTGGGAAGCGGCAAAACATGGAGGTGAGATCTGTGCTCGTGGTGTGCCCACTGCCCACTGACCATGCCCATAGTATCCCCAGAGATCTCCTGCGGCAGACATGGCCACTGTCGGGGACGTGCTTGAGATAGAGCTTGGACTGCCGCTGTCCGGCCGATAACCATAATTCGACGAAGGGCTGGAGTCAACCGGACTTCAGGTGCAGTAGTCTTTGTTGATGGAATATTAGGACGGCATGTATCACTCATAGTGGGAGGCGATGAATGGTTGGGAGCGAGTGACGAGGTGGAAAAGAGGGAAAAGAGGGAACAGAGTAGCTGCTGGGGGCCGAGGATCAGGAGGAGAGTGGTTTGATCAGGGCGACCATGGGGAGCCTCCTTCCCCAAGACACAGCAGCCACAGTCCCTAAAACTTGTTGGTAGCCGTCTGCTAATCACTAGTAATGCTTCTACTACTGGCAGCTTGTCTGCGCCCTTCCATCATCGTCTCGTCTGGCTGCTACAAACTGCCTCTCCTCCATCTTACCTCTCACCCACCTTGAGGCATTGGTACATCGCCATCAACGCTCCTCGCCTCGTCTTCTCTCTCTACTTTACCATAATCTTTGCGTCTGCTCTTGAAAGTCTGTTCCTCGAGCTGAGATACCCTTGAGCGTTGCCCGTTGTCCTTTTTAATGGTCCTGAATCATCATTACGTGCTATCAGCGCAGCCTCTTCCACCGCGGCTTTTTAGCAACCAACTCCCAGCCTCATAATTCTGCAATCACACACACCCTGGCTGACCAGTCTATCATTCACTCTCGAATCCTGACACCTCACCGATCCCCCGTCTCTGTCACCAGCAACTTCGCGAGGCACCGCAAGACGATATCTGCGCGCAGTTCTGGAGCAATTGTTACCTTTGTTTACTACTCCACAATTCCCACCCGGCCGTTTCCTGTCCCTCCAACGATGTCGGATCCCAGACACCCTTACGGGAGGTAATACCACAACACAACAAATTGCGCGCGCCAGGTGTTAGGCGCGTGCCTCGATGAGTTACTGCACTTACGGGCTACAGCAGAATGGGCTTTATCAGTCGACGACCTATTCTGCCAGCGCCGACCGACTCATTGTTGGGGTCGAGCGACGAGACCGGACTCAGCACCGACGTCGGGACGGATCTCTCACGACGGAGTGACAAGACCTCGGAGACAATACCTGAAGACGGAAGACCCATTACCATTACAACCTCGCATAAACCAAAGAAGCTAGGCAAACTCACCAAATCCAGCCAACAGTCGCAGACTTCTCTTCTGATCGAATACTTCGAAGCAGGCAAGGGACCTGATCCTGGCCAGAGGCGACCCAGTCTGCGGGTTCGTGTCACTCCTTCCAAATCTCGGAAGAGCAGGGATAAAGGTGAAAGCCATCTACTGGTGACAGAAACCAAGTTGGCGCGGCAACCGTCATTGACACACCGTATACCTCTGGGAGGCAACGAGACCCTTGCGCACAACTTGATTGAAGGCAGTATCAGCTCCTTGGATTCCGCTGGACGCCTCGACACAGTCGCTCCTCTTGAGATCGAGGTCTTGCCCAACGACGGCAGTGAATTATCTGGTCGCAGCGTCTCACCGGAATTGGGACACATAATTCCAGGCTCAGATATCTCCTCTATGCCAGCGGAGAGTTCCTTGGGACCCAGTCAACCGGCCACTATGTCTAAGTCTACACGGAGCGAAAGCTTCCCCACAGAGTTACAATCCGACGGCGCTACATTAAAGCCTCCGATTCTCCACGCTGATCGCAACCTGAGCAACGAGCGCATCACGCAGAAAGTCATTGAGAAACTAAGCAACAAACCAAGGATCTCTACCCGCGGAAAGCGGTCCAGCTCAAGTCGAAGCAGTGCCAGAGAATTAGACGCGGTCAACATCGAACCCCGGATCCGCGTCACCAAAACTGTGGACGATGAATCGATGCCTAGCGCCACGGCCTCCAGCCTGGTCAGTGGATCTAACTTATCCTCCGAACCTGGACCAATGGACCAACGTTCAGTCCGCTCAGGAGCATCCAATGTTTCGATCACAAATAATCCCAAACTGTTACAAACAGTGGAAGATGCTATCCGACGTCTGATCCTCCCGGAACTCAACGAAATAAAACGGGACCAGAGGCACTCTCACCGTTCCCGACCTGACAAGGCGAGCGACCCTTCTGATATTTCCACCAGCACTATCTCCCACGAAGACAAAGCCCGTCGCAGATCGTCAGGTAGCAAGTCGAAGCGTCGTGTGAGCCGTGAATCGGAGTCCGGGTTGGTCTCGACGTCTTCTCGCCGCCACAGGCGTCCTAAACGGACCGACTACGACTCAGCATCCGAGCAGAGCTACGGGCAGTCCGAGACTAGCAGCCTCCATGACGAGAAGAGGTCTCACAGGAACTCCAGGAATCATCATGCCAGAGATGTCGCGGCTGCCGCACTCGGAGGCGCCGCTCTGACTGCTGCAGCGCTGAAGTCACATGAATCTGGTTCGAGTCTTGAGTATTCAGAGCATCGCAGAAGGAGGAGGAGCAAGAGCCGTAGCAGTCGTACCACAAGCATTGCAGAGAAGGATGATGTTTTCTCAAAACACAAAGTGCCTCCTATGCCTTTCATAAGTGAGATCGGTACGGACATGACACGAAGCTCTCTGCAGTCTTCCAACGATGGCGGTGTTACGACTTCCACCCAACGCGAGGTCCAGGAAGTGGTACGCGGGTCTCCCAACGAAGGCCATCACTCTGGATCTCATACGCCCACGCAAAATTCTGTAGATTTGAAGCGAGGGCTTGGAACATACCACGGCAACTTCTCGGAACATGACTTATCAGCTCATGATCTCTCCAAACAGGACATGCGTTACGGAGAGGATGAAGAGCAGTCGCATCACGATGAGATCGACTTCACCACTCATGGGTTTGCTGCGTTGACAGACCCAGAGAGAGCTCGAGCCTACGAAAGAAACCTTCATAAACAACACCCTATCAGACGTGGTCTAAGTCCAATCCAGAGTGTCGCCAGCTACACTACGACGGAACCCAATCGCAATTCTCTCATGCAACAACGAAGCTCGGAGTCGATGGCTTCTTTTAAAAAGAATCCACAGATGGACGACCAGGTCTCCATCTCTTCAATATCCTCAGCACCAAGCACCGACTTGGCCCGGTCAAGACGACCACACGGCTTTAGCTTGGAGAATCGCAGCGTGATAATGGCTCACCACGGTAGATCCCCTAAAGGCTCTCCCCGACAACTGGACCCCGAAGCAGTTTTCGACGAGCAACACCTCGAAAACGAAAGCTATCGTGATTCACCATACATTGACAAAGTTACAGCAGGACAACAAGTCGCCCAGGCATCGAGAGCTACTGCAGAATACGCGAATGCACCTTCTGGTATTGAATCTGCTGTTGCGTCCCTTTGCGATCCGTCCGTGGTCGACGTCCACAGCGCTGGATCCTCACATTTGAGTCAGACAGATTCTATGGGGGCCGGCAGCGCCCGAAGCCCGCGCCTTTTTCAACGTGACTATGAGAGCCGACACAGTGGCAGCCCGCTGAAACATCAGATCTCCCGTGATAGTCAAAGCGAGAGATTCTCGCCTGCAGGACAGCGTGCGATGGCTCCCTCACCACTCCCCCGGCTTCGATCTGCGGAACAGATGGACGACAGATCTCCCAGATCCATTCACTCAACTCAAATTCCGTCCGGGGATGTTGTTGATACCCAGGCTGAACGCTCGCCCGAATCTGATATCACCACAAACCCATCCATCATACGAGGACCAATTGGTGGACTCACTGAAGGCAACACTGACCATTGGCCCTACGATCCAACACCTCCACGGTCGCAAGCCGATCTCAAAATTCCTCTTGTGAGTCGCGACATAGGGTCCGCCAGCGCCGATCTGGTACCGGAAGCCTTGTCGATCAACCGCGAGCACGAGGTGGACCCCAAGCGGGACCATTACATGAAACCGCAACCTATGGCGACGCCCCCGGGTGCCAAAGATGAAGGCTACGAGACGGCAGCCAATGCTCGTTCCCCCGGCCTCTACTCACAGGGTCCCGGTGCACAAAACGACCGCTTCACTCCCGATCCATCCATTGATCACGATGATTTGGGGGAAGACCCGTTCACGACTCAGCGTGACCAGTATGTAAGTGGTCTATCGCATGGCCTGTCGCCAATGTATGATAGCGCAACTGGCCGAGGCCGTGACCACATTCAATCGAAAGATATCGTGGCTCTCATGGATCATTTGACTGTCCGTGATGCCCAGCGAAATGCTCGAGACACGGAGATCCTGGTGACTTTGGTGCGCAGCGCTGCAGAGATGCGTAATTCCTTTGAGGACATGAAGAGTTTTATTGCGAAACAAGACGAGGCAATCATAGATGCGTCAGGGAAACAGCACGAGAGGACGCAGAAGATTGTTGGGGGCCCTCGACCACAACCGACAGCATCCACAGTACGTCCAGCACGGTCGGCAGCATCTGAGGAAGACCTGCCTTCGAAACGCCGCAATGTCTTCCACCGAGCTCTTCGAGGACTTGGTACCAAAAATACCCAGGAGTTGCACAACATTGAAGGCATGTTAATCCGTCTACTCGATGAAGTGGAAGGCCTTCGGGTACTGCAAAATACAGTCAATGTACAGGAACAACCACGATCCACCAGTATGACATCTGCGGATATTGCACGAGCTCCGACAGATACTGGCTATGAGCCTGAAGGTCAAGCTGGCACTTCATCTACTGGGGACCGATCTGGATTCTTTTCCAACAATTCTTCGCGCCAGGCAGATCATCGCAACTATAGTCTCCAGCGAGGTTCTGGAAACCGGGTCAGCACAGTAATGGAGGGCGATGAGGACTACGATGAATATGCTCAGGATCTTGGGGAAACATCTGCAGGAAATGTCCGAGCTTCCGGTCATACACCAGCGACGAATCCCCTCGGGACTGATGGAAGCCGACATGTTCGAGGTGATTCTGTACCACTCAACACTCCGCCTCGACCGCACGACCACAACATGGGCTCGTTGAGCAATGAAAACACCCCTCGACTATCAGGGGAGGGATCTGGACGAAAGCACAAGTCTTTTGCGGCCTCTTTGCTGCCGAAGATGGTGTCTCGATGGTCCAAGACCACCACATCGTCCGCTGACAACTATCGGAATAGCACACATCGCATTCAGCCCTACTCAGGATCCAATTTTGGCGAGTATGACTACGAGCACGAGCACGAGCATGACCCCCACGTCGACGAAGGTGTTCGATCAAACGCATCTTCCGATGAGGATGCATACCATGGTGAACAGGACCGGCCGCCGTCGCCTTTGATCCCCAGCCAGGTCTCCGATAATCCAAAGTATCAAGCTCATCGGAACAGTGTCAACCTCCAACATCCTCAACCGAGACAAGGCCCAACTGGCCGTTTCCAATCTCGCTTAGAGTCGGAAGCCCAGAACTATAATGATCAGTTGTCACCCACCTCACAGATCTCATCCCAGTGGGACAATCATTCAGCTCAGCATAATACGAATACCGCCGATGCGGGCTACGGAGATCCGCTGAGCCCGGTTTCAGACGTTGACTTTTCCGGTGGACAGCGCATGCATCACGACAACAGGAGCCTTCGCTCCGGAAATTCTCAAGGACCACCTCGTCCCCCCAAAGTCCTCAACGACGAGCCCCTAGTACCTCAGCGTCCTCCCAAGGTCCTCATGAGTCCACCTCAATCACAGAGACAATCGACCTACGTCGACCATGTAGCTGCTGCGAGGGCCGGGAGTCCCGCACTTGATAAGGTATGATTCACCTATTCTCCAGGTGGACTATGATATACTGACAATAAAACTAGTCTCCAGTGGCAGCGCTGCGGTCGCCTCAAGGCCAGGGACGAAAACCGTCGGGTCCTCGGCCGCTTGCTACGGGCGGATCCAAAGGCGATGCGAATACTATCAAAAGAGCACGGTTTAGGGGTAGTCCGCATCAGATCGATAGCGATGATGAGGCTACTGCTGCCTACTGATGTACAAATTATTCCCCCTAATGTCAACAGGAGCAGGGTTGGAAGTGGGTTCGGAATCATGGATGACCAAAAAAGGAATTTGACGGTTCTGTTGATGAGGTAAAACGATAGCTTCGCAGCACTGCTGACTATGGTATCGCCTTTGGTCAGCCACTCTATGGGCAGGTTCTGTCTGATCAATGGTCATCTGCACAAACTGAACATCTGACCCATCATTGCTGTTTGCTTTGGAACATTGCTATGCTTGCGTACAGTAGAGTCTGACACGTCTGTAGAGTCTTCTTCGGGAATCGACGGCCCAAACAGCTTGCTTTGATGGATTGCTCTTATGGCCTGTTATGTTTGACATTGCATTTGCTGTGAGCGATGGTGACACCAGCGTTGACAAGTATATGTTTATATGTCTGACGAGAGCTTCTCTTGTGTCCCATCTTGTTGCCACAGGAGTATTCTGTATTCTCACATACCGATGCTTCTTATATCTATAGCGGGCACCCGCCGCCCAAGCAAAGGCCCTGTGTTGTACCACCATGGCAGAACATATGATACTGGTAGCATGTTTCCTGGAGATTGGGGCTCGCTTTCTTGAGGTCGTCATTGCTGCGGCAGGAGGGGGACAATGTTGTTGTCTGTGCGGGATGTCTCTGGAAGGTCAACAATGAGAAGGATATCTCTGGACTCTGGAGGATTTCACTGATTAGCTTAGCCACAACTACTGCTCAGACAAACAGCAACGTTGAGGAGTTGCCAGATCTTCTGATAACTGAACTTTTACTATTCTCTGTAGACCTGAAATCTGGAATGTCTTGTTTGCTTTTGCTGATGTTGCTTGGAGAGAGGAAGAGAGGAGGGGATCTACTCCTTGAATCTCAGCCTTGTCAGATCCACAGCTGTCCAATTATACTTGCCACTAGTCCTGAAAAGGAAATAATCTAGGATAAACTAACCGTGTTTGGACAGCAGATCTTAATATGGGGTCAAGGTCAAGTCTCTCTTGAACTGATGTCTTTCTGGATCAACATTTTTTCAAAACGTGGCTGAATGGCACTGATATGCGTTTTCATAGATACATGGCTCTGTGGAGCCTTAATGCGGATGAGGTGGTATGTGAATTGAAAGTGAAACAAGTGTGAACGCGCAGCGGAATCAAACAGAAAGGACCAACACCTCATTGATTCAAGGTTTGGCGGACTCTTTCTCCAGACCAAGCTATCTCTTTGACTGCGTTGGTATGGTGCAGCCGATCTTGTTCTTTTCCTTCCTCTTCCTCTTCCTCTTCATCCTCCTCTTCTCCCAACCCAAAACTCATGGTCTCTACATTGAGACACTCTTCAACAAACCTCAAGCCTCTAACAATCCTCAACAACAATTGCCATTTCTACGATCAGAATACAGCTAGCTCAGGCTGCAGTGATGGTCTTGACTGCAGAGAGGTGAGAAGACACTGAAATGATATCATTTAGGCTGGGTTGAAACTGAATCTTTGCCGTAAAGCTTGCCGTATCTCTCAGAGATGGTCACGATCTATGTCGAAAACGAGAAAGACGGCCTATGTGTTCACCAAGACTTGCTGAAACGATACCCAACACTCTCGGCAGCTGTCGAAAGGAATGTAACCCGAAAACATGGCAAATTGGAGGCTACTGTGTCCACGCGCACAAAAACGAGCTGGATCCTGGCCATTTATTGGCTCTATACCGGCAAGATTGCTTACGACATCGCCCAGACGGGAATTTGCGATGATCTGGCTTCAGATATTGTTGATGGACTCGTCGATGCCTATATCTTCGCGGAAGATGGATATCACCGACCTGGCCGACAAGATCGTGATAATGATGCCCACGATCTATTTCAATGGAGAGCCGTCGTCGCGCCACATCTATCAGCTCAGTGATTCTTTTGATCACTGGCCTCTCCGAAAGGCAATTCTCAAAACGATTGCGAACGAGATCCAACGTCGCGGCTGGGACGTCTTCGGTTCGAACTATCCTGATTTCATGAGGGCCCTGCGTGATATCCCCGATTGCGTGTGCGACCTGTTGGGGCTCATCGCCAGATCGCCAGTTTCTTGGGCTGAGGGAGTTTCATGGGTATAGGTCAGACGCCATATCATGACGAATGGGATCTTGTGCAGAGGAGTCGGTTGTAACGGTCTTTCATCTGCGAGCCAGAGCTGTCATGGAAGAATGAGAGCTATCACGGAATGAAGCACAATGACGATACCAGAGCTGAGAGATACGTTGGCAAGGCAGCCAAGAACGAAGGTATCAGAGCTCACAGATTGATACTTGCTCCTCAAGAATGAAAACATACCTTTTCCTTGATTTTGTCGTCTCCTCGCCTGATCCAAGAGGCGTGCTACTTCCTCCGGTATCCGATATTGCTATATTGACTCCTGTACACTGCAATCCAGTAGTGATCAGGCTTCTGGTCAATAGACCCTTCTGACTTCGGTCGACACGTAGTGGCGGCCTTTCGCAGCTTTGCTCTCAAACTGGCAAGTGATGGCAAACAAGACTGTGACGACGGCAATATCAATCCTGCTCCGATGGCATGAAACCTCCGGGGTACTATTCATCTTAGTTCCAGCCCTCGAGCTGAATCTGGCACAGCTTGGCAAAGAAACGGATGGACAGTATGTTGGGATGTCTCAAGGGCCATAGGTTCTGCTCATTTCGACAACTGTCACGCTGGAAGTACCCGTGCTCATCGAGCGAGAGGCAAACAAAGTAGATTGATGCCTTGATGGCTTGTGGTGGGTATGAGACCATATTGCTCTGCTTGCTCTTCACCCCTTGCTCTTTTCTGCTTGTGAATTCAATCTCACTTCACATATATGGCTTGATATCACTCATTCTTCAATTATAGTGAAGTCAACCATCTCTTGGCGGCTGAAGAGAGTGACGATACTTTCCAAGCCGCACCTACATAAATTGATCGATATTCAAACCTGGATTTGTCGTTCTCCTGCCACAGAAATTTCCAACGTCTCTGCTCCTTCATCCTCGTCTCTTATCATTCCTTCGCTGAGCTCTCTCTATAAACCCAGTCTCCAGCACTGCGACAATCATGGCTGACACCACTGACACTCAGTCGACGTCGGCAGCTAGCATTGCTGAGAACCGTTCGTCACATTGAAGGTGTAGGTCTTGAAGCACATCAGAGGGTGAATGGGAATTTTGACTGACACATTGCTCAGCAACGAAACTGAGGAGCCTACCGAGACGGAAAAATCTGGCCTCGAGACTTTCGGATCGCCTCTTATCACACTGCTTGTCGGTCCTCAGGAGATGGTTCTCACAGCCCACAAAGCCATCTTGACACAATGCGAATACTTCTCCAAATGTCTGGATGGGAAGCGCTTTCAGGAGGGCGTCGACTCCTGCATCAAGTTTCCAGAAGACGATCCGAAAGAAGTCCTGTGGATCATTCAATATCTTTACACCGGGAAGATATTCGACGATATTGCAGTCTTTCACAACGGCTGCGCCAATCTTAGTGACTACGACCCGCCTCTTTCGGCTCTGATTAGCCGCTATGCCACAGCCGACAAGTATTGCCTTACAAACATGTGCAAGGTAATCCAAGGCACTTTCGTGTTGCAGAAAGACGCTGGGGAGATTGCTTGGGCCCATTTAGAGCAGCTCATAGCAGCGGGTCTCCGCGGCTCAGGCTTGTGCGAGCTGATCCTGGACAAACTCATAGAAGGATTGAGGGCACGCAAGTCCCCGATCGATCTACTCTGTCTGTTGAATGACGGACTCAGATCTGAACCAGAGATCGCAATGGAGATCATGGAAGGATTGGCTGCTACCATCCATGCGGAGAATCGACCTCCCGTGATGTGGGAAAATGAGAGCTGGGATTGATGCCTAGCCTTCAGAATCGGCATCGTCCTTTCTTCGACCGGATGAAGGCGTTGCTGCAGAGTTGCATTGTCACTGATTAGCGACACCGCATTTGGGTCTCTCCTCACTCATGCATCTGAAAGCTCAGTCAGATTTGAGCTGGTGCGAAGGAAGGTGGCCAAGTTTGGTCTTTGTGATTTAGTGCAGCAGAATGCGGATAGAGGATGCTCTCCACCATAGTTTGACAAACATGCGTTTCCACATGAGATTGTATATTTCTCTGCCTCCACTCAAGGTGCAACTCTCAATTTTCAGATCATAAAGCACTTGTATATAAAATTGAGCAGTTTGCACACTCTACAGGGTCCGGTCTCCCTGATGACCAGACGACGAAGTTGACTGAACCTTCAGATCCAGCGACAAGAGTAAGGCCGAGTAAGCCACCATCAGGATTCCATCTTACATTGACATGTTGACTGAGCATAACAGGCGAGCTCAATCCGGAACTGCTTCGCACGTATCTCTGGGCTGGTCCAACTCGACAGAGAGACCTTGTTTTGTACTGTTGGTGACGCCCCAAAGAAAGCGTCTTGGGCATGCAAGGCTGTGAAGGCTGTGAAGGCTGTGAAGGCTTGAGCTGTCACTGTTGACCAAGTGAATACCAGACTGAGTGACAACAACATTCACGCTTTGTTGATGCTGTGCTATAAATCCCTCTCGCAATTTCTTTCTTTCGTTGCACAGCTTTTTCAACAACAGTTCTACGGTCATCTTGATCATTCCGGTCACAAACGCCAGCTAGCTGCAATCTTGCCTTGTATCGCAGTGCCGCCTCTCTTCTCCTTTCTCTGCGCGACATCTTGAACGCTAGGAAAAACCATGGCGGACAAGGAAAGTCACATTGCTGAATTTTCTGAACCTCACTCGACGTAAGTCTCTCTGACCTAATCTCTCGCCGAGGGAGATCATCACTTCCTTAGAAAGAGACTAACGTGGCTGGCAGCAGAGCCTATTTGCTATTCAGTTCTCCGATCGTCATCCTTATTGTCGGTCCTGACAAACATGTGCTCAAGGCTCACGAGTTTGTTTTGACGCCATGTGGCTATTTCGTCAATTGTCTGCGACAGAATAAATTGCAGGGGGCCGTCACGAACGAGATCCTTTTGCCTGATGAAGACCCAGGCAATATCGCCAAGATCCTGAACTGGCTGTACACCCTTGAACCAGAGCGCAGCTATGTTCGGGCATTCTGGGCAAGTTTGGACTCATGCCTATCCCTCAGCGACAAGGAGGAGTTGCTGGAGAGACTTATCGTCGACTACACTCTGGCCAAGAGATATCTCTTCAGGGAGATATCGGATGCCATCCTCCAGTGTGATAGCTTTCAGCGCCTTTGGGAGACTGGATTGGTCATTGACTGGAAGCATTTTCAGCAATTGCAAACCGCAGGCCTTCGAGATTCGTCGCTGTGGACATCGCTGGTGTCGCTCTTGGCAGGGATGATACTCCGTGGACAGTGCGACTTGAAGAGTTCCTTGGACGAAAGGTTGTACCAGGATCATGACTTACTGCAAGAGCTTTTCTTTCGTTTGTCTTCATTGCAGTTTGAATGATAGAGGGCCGCGCCTACTTAGAGCAAGGTTGCGGGAGCAGGACTAGGATAGTTTCTGGACGCTTCTGTGCTCAACAAGATAACGACAGCGTCCTTGTCGAGATTGGCGGCTCGGGGATCGATCGCGGCTGCTTTTCTCAGAGCAGCAAGCGACGCGGCTCCGCATGGACCAGCATCTATTCCATGATTCTGCAAATACTGAACCGCCTGATGACACTCCAGATCCGATACTGTGATACTGGCATCGACACCTGCCACAAAGACAGGCCAGGAAATAGGATCGACTGTTCCACAGTTCAAGCCATTCATTATCGTAGCCGATGTCTCGATTGTGAACCGTTTGCCCGCTTTTAGGTTGTGGTGCAGACATGCAGCGGTCTCTGGTTCGGCTGTTAACACATGTATGTGCCTCGCATCAGACTTGCAATAAGCCACCACTGCATGACCGAGCGAGCCGACTCCAATTGGAGTCACAACAGTCGTTGCCTTGAGATGCTGTTGTTCGAGCTGTTGATCCAGCTCGGCCAGGAGAGTCGAATAACCCTCCACAATCCAGGTCGGGATCTGCTCGTATCCGTCGAACGCATTGTCCTGAATCAGCAGCCCGTTTGGATTCTTTCGAGACTCTTCCAACGCCTTGGCCAGGGCGTCGTCGTAGGTCCCAGTGAGCACTGTTACTTGGGCGCCCTCACTTTCAATCTTTTCACATGTCTCGCGGTTGGCGAACCTGGACATGAAGATCTGCACGGGCACATGCAGGATCTTGCCCATTCTGGCAACAGCTCTGCCATGGTTTCCTTCCGTGGCGGCGAAGAGAACCGTGTCTGATCGGCCCGCTGCCGCGGCTACCTCTTCAAGACTTGAGTCAAGAGAGAGCCCGCTCTTCTCTGCAACTGCACGGAATGTGCCCCATGATGCTCCTAGGATCTTGAACGCCGGTAATCCGAGTCTACTGCTTTCGTCTTTCACAAATACTCCATGCACGCCGAGCTCTTCTGCAACTCCAGGGAGAGGGATCAATGGCGTTTGCTTGTACCCCGGCAGCCTTCGGTGGAAGGCTTGAGCAAGTCCTCTATCAGACTTCACACTGTATTCCCATGTCTTTGCTCTGGGGTTCGTGTAGATTTCCGAGTCTGGCATGGTTTGTTCGAGGCGTCTACCGCCGGGATGCCGATTCTAGGATTGTCGACCTTCGAGGAGGACGCCGAGTAGTTCATGAAGACAATAGTCATGAACGTGCGGGCGCCCAGTGAAGAGAGATCTCATCTGTCTTCCCTACCTACACTCTGTCACAGGGCGTGTGCCCTCGAGGCAGCCAGAACGTACGCAAGCTGTAAGGCTGCCTGATGCTTGTGAGACATCAAACGTACCGGGGCTGGGTCAGAGTTTAAAGCGGCGCTCTAATTAAAGTCCTCGCGAGGACCAAACAAGCCGCTTTAACATCCCCGGAATATCCTTTGTCCGACATAGCCAATCAGATTCCTAGCCAGACTGTGTTCAAGGCTGGGTGAACATGCCTGCCACCCAGTATCGCTCTACTACTACTACACAGTAATGACTATGAGCGCCGCTCAACTCGTAACCTCTGGTCCACGGCCACGGGGCTCACCACCATTGGTTGCCTCGTTACATGATTGTCCATCTCGTGGCAAGTCCTAGCATGCTGGTCATGCACCCTCAAGACACCGCGGACTCATCTACATCTCGTCACTCCATTCGTGGAAGTGTGGCTTGCGCCACACAGTGATTGGCCGCCATCACTTGCATCGCGGCCCGAAGCTAAATTTCCGTGCTGGGTGTTTGGTGTTGAATAGCCCTTGGTGAAGGTGGTCGCAGTTGCGGTTGCGGAAGGTTTCATGGCTGCGGAGCAGGTGAAAAGCAAGAGGTCTTATCGCAAGAGGAGAGGTGACCCCGGTGACCCCAGATCTCACAAAAGATCCGACCGTGGCGATGGCGGTCCCACATCGAAATCGATCCCGGCTGCTGAGCGCCCTGCCGACATAGACGCTCTCCGAAAAGCACGTCTTGCATACTTGGACAAGTCCCCCGAGGAAAAGCGGAAGGAGATGAAATACGAATATTTGAAACGCACAAGAACAGTGTCGCTGGTGGATGCAGACAAGGAGCGGCGCCATGGGACAACGCAGGACCGCGACCGGGCGTCAAAGGGGCTGAAGTCTTCCTCCCGAACCTCGATCCGGCGTCCACAGCATAAGCGTCGTCCAGTATTGCAGCGAGACGACAGCGAGGGCGAATATGTTTATCAAAACCCAGAGAGGGCACCTGTTGACAAGAGAGCGGAGCCGCAGACGCAGACTTCGAAGCACAAAAGCAGGGTTTCGGAGTCAACGTCGAGGAAAGCAGATGTACGACCACAGGTTCCTGAGCGTAGACATACCGAACCGACTCGGAGGCAAAGGGCAGATGATGAGGAAGGGTAAGACATATTCTTCTTCCATACAGACTGTTTGCTGATCGTCTTCTCCAGAGAACCAAAGCCCGAAGACAAGCCTGAACCGCAACCTCGTCGTGAACCCCTACCTGTTCACAAGGTGGAACGGCCCAGTATGAAGAGGAGCGCAACGACTACCCGGTCGAAGACTGAACCTGGCAGTACAAAGCCGGCGCAACAAACTGGCGCTTCTCGAAAAACACCGGGCCTGCTCAGCGGGCTCCTACTACCCAAGCCTACGCTACAGAAGAAAGTGTCATGTTTGACATGCGGCGCCGACGACATCCCCATTTCCGAGTCGGCCAGACTACCATGCACCCACCGAATGTGCAATTCCTGCCTCAAGCGCATCTTCTCCATGTCCGTCAAGGATCCTGCGCACATGCCCCCGCGATGCTGCACCGATCAGCATATCGACCTGCGACACGTCGACAAGCTATTCGACCAGAAGTTCAAGGTGCTGTGGAACCGCAAATTCGAAGAGTACAAAACCAAAAACCGCATATACTGTCCGGCTCGGAAATGCGGCGCCTGGATCAAACCGCACTACATCACCATCGAACACGGCCGCAAAGTAGGCCGATGCAAGCAATGCAAGACCCGGGTCTGCGCGACCTGCTCTCAGAAGATGCACACGAGTCGGGACTGCCCCAAGGACCCGGCGACCAAGGCATTCGTCGAAGTGGCCAAACGGGAAGGCTGGCGCCGGTGCTACAACTGTTCCGCCATGGTCGAGCTGAAAGAAGGATGCAACCACATGACATGTCGCTGCACGGCCGAGTTCTGCATGGTATGCGGTCTGAAGTGGAAGTCGTGTGATTGCCCCTGGTTCAACTACCAGGCTGTCGACGCGCATTTGGGCGACCCGTTCCGATACCAAGAGGAGCTGGACCGGCGACGAGACCAAGTCAATCGCGACGAGGCGCTTGCACGACGCCTGCAGCAGATGGGCCTCATGAACGCCGGCGGCAATCTAGAAGCGGGTGCTTTGGGGCTCGGCAATGCCGCCAACCACCATATGAACCAGAACTTCATCCAGCAGGCGCGAGAGGCGTTGACTGCCAATTACGCCCAAGCTGGACAGGCTGCGCGGGACTTGTTGAATGGATTGGTCATGGGCCGCGAGAATCGCTTGCCGGGTATTCCTTTGCAGATGGACCAGATGCTCGAAACGCTCGGCGGCGGCGGCGGCGCTCGACCGCAGGGGATGGGGGCGGATCCTGCAGAAGAAGGGCTCGGGTCAGATAATGCCCGTCGAGCCGCTCGAAGGATCAATGTCAGGCGCCGGAATGTCGTTCCGGAGGGTGCTGGCGGACATCGAATCGACAGGGTCCCGAATGACAACGAAAGAAGAATTCGAGATTGGGCCAATAGTGGACCAGCATGAAGTCTGACATTGACATTGGAATTTTGATGATGGCACCGACCTGCCATGGAAAGGGACTACGAATGGACTCGGCGTTCAATCTTGGTTGCTTGGAAGATATATCAGAAATACTGCTGGCGCGAAGATTGCTCGCTCAAAAGGGCGAAGGCTCCCTTTTCAGCCTTGTTTACGACTAATTATGTGACGACGAACAATAGGATTTATGACTTCTTTTTCATATCATGACGAACGGGTTGATTGTTGGATTGTCGTAGGGGGTATGGTGCTTTACCGATACAGCTTGCCTATGACTGGGCATGCCCGTCTTCATATATAGGATACCATCATCGAGCGGGCCTCTGCGGGCTCCATAGGATGTCAGTGACGAGCATAGCATTGCTGATCGTTGACAACTTGTATCAATTTTGTCCATGTGGTGTGGTGTTCGTGGACAGACTTTTTGGTTTCTCTGGAACATGATGTTCAAATATCTCATCACATAACAACATGATAGTAGTAACCCGACCTATCCGACCATCTCGTTCAAGCAAGCCCCCTGCTTGGTTGTACCGGAGCTCCACGCACATATTCTGCCTAAATAACAGACCAAGTGCTATCCATTACGCAAGACAACTGCCCCTGGAGGCTGGCGGTTGCGGTTGCGACCTGCAAGCCACGAGAATCCGTAAAGGATATACAGACAGCCAGTGTAAAACACGTGTTCACGACTGGCTAAACAGAGTCTCCAACTCCTTAGCGACTGCATCACCCACTTCGACGGTGGAGCTGGAGCCACCGATATCTGTGGTCATGATGCCCTTGTCAATGACTATTCTCACAGCCTGCTCGACCAGAGTACTCTCGCGCGGCATGTTCAAGCTGTAAAGCAAAAGCATGGCAACACTCAAGATGGCGGCGACGGGGTTGATGATGCCCTTTCCAGCGATGTCCGGTGCCGAGCCGTGGATGGGTTCGTAGATGCCGTTGCACATGCCCTTGCCGTCAGGGACACCGCTGAGGCTAGCACTAGGAAGCAGACCCAGACTGCCGGGAATGACGGAGGCCTCGTCGGAGATGATGTCGCCGAACAGATTCGAGGTGACGATGACACCGTTGAGAGCGCGCGGGTTCTTGATCATGATCATAGCCGCCGAGTCGATCAGCTGATGCTCGAACTGCAGCTGAGGGAACTCCTTCTGCATGGTTTCGGTGAAGACGCGGCGCCACAGTCGGCTCGTGGCCAACACGTTGGCCTTGTCCAGACTCCAGACCTTCGCGGGCGGGTTCTTGGCCAGGGCCAGGTGCGCGCCCAGTCGCGTGATGCGCTCAATCTCCTTGCGGGAATACGGTTCGCGGTCTTCGGCCCATTCCTTTTCCCCGTCCGCCGGGTTGGCTTCGACGCGGTCGCCGAAGTAGATGCCGCCCGTCAGCTCACGTACGATCATGAAGTCCGTGCCTTGGCAGATTTCCTCTTTGAGCGGCGAGCGCGCTGCCAGCGACGGAGAGGCGAAGAAGCATGGTCGTAGGTTGCCGAATGCGTCCATCTCCTTGCGGAGCTTGAGGAGGCCTTGTTCCGGTCGCACTTTGCCAAAGCCGTATTTGGGGCCACCGATGGCGCCGAGAAGGACGGCGTGGGCGGATTTGGCGGCGCTGAGCGCTTCATCGGTCAAAGGAGTGCCGTGGGCGTCAATGGAGCACTGACGAACAAACAGGAGGTTAGTGGATGATATGGGTGATCAGTTGGACACCATTCCTGGGGAAGGGACGTTTTGGCAAAGAAGTTATATAGGAGCATGGGTATATATGTACTCACCCCTCCAAGTAAATGTTCCTGGAAATTGAACTTGATGTCCTTCGAGGACTTTTCCACCACTTTCAGAACCTGCTCATGGATATCCATCGGTTAGTCTTCTGCACTTACGGGCCGCCACCCAGCTGATCGTTGTGGTCGAAGTCACTCCACCTCATCCCAGCCACGAGGCTAGAGGACACAAGGATGTGACGGGACGACGGGAGACCGAGTAACAGATAGCTAGACATACCTTGATGGCTTCCTTCGTCACCTGCATTGCGTCGAGATTGTCAGAAATGCTCTTGTCCAAAAAACCAAGCAATCTCTGGGTGTGAAGAAGTCAGTCACATACCTCTGGGCCGGCATAGTCGCCTGCAAAGACGACGATATTGAATGTGGGCATCTTTTGTTCGTAGGAGTTGTCTCTTCTGCTCGTCGATCTGTCAACCTCTCAGACGGTCTCTTTTCCAAGGAGTCTCTATTCAAAGAGGATCTGCTATTTCTTGGAGAGGATATGATTAAAGGCGACAAACAATATGGTTTAGAATCAGGCGACTTCTGAATGGATGAACGATTCTTGATACTTCTCATTCATCGCCGGTATCGGTCTCGCAGCTGCCAAGAGTTGTTCGCTTTGGATGATCATACTCCGCCGTAAGGATCAATCTTGCTAAACCTGCATTCGCGCACATCAACTCATCATTGTACAGTGACCGGTTGTAAATAGTATTGCGGTGTTGCTCATCTACTGAGATGTTCCTTCTTGAAGACATCATCGAGGATGACTGTGCAAGATGCAGCACATGGCACACCAGCCGTGGTGATAATCGGAAAGAGGACCGTCACGTGACTTGACCCATCTTCACGTGATCTTTTTCTCTATCATCACGTGCAGTACCATCCGGCGGCGCTATCTCCATCTCTCCTGCTATATCGTTGATACCAGAAATCACAATCACTTCTCCCCCACAACTTGGATCCAGACTCAGCATCAACCACCTCCAGCAACCACGATCTGAGCCGCGGCTCTCCTATGCCGTCGACTCCTGATGCTTTGTCGCACAACACAAACAGGCAGTAAGCCCTAGTCTCCAGTACGACCTGGATCGAGTGGGGAGATTGGCAGTGAGTGACTCGCGGTGCAGGATTCGCTGAGCATACAGTTGAACTGTGACTGTCCAAGCAGCCCCTTTCACCTTCTGGCATATATGGTATAGAAAGACTTTAGGTGGGTTTATGTGGTTGCTTCCTCCGTGGAAGTTGGAGAGCCACACTGCAGAATCTACTGAGGAAGCATGGCATCTGCTGCAAAGAGTCGTTGACGTTATCAGAAGGATTCCAATCAACGCAACAAGAAGTAAAAACTACTGTGAAATAGTTGAGGAGGTGATTATGTGAATTGTTAATTAGCATCAGCATCAGCTACTAGCAATATTTCCATGCACGGCACCCGAGCGGAGGGTCAACTACCATCCGAGGCCGATGCAGAGAAACGCAGCACTAAACTCATACGTGGTCGATCGTGTCAAGTCAAGCGTCGCTGCTAAGATCAGGTATGCCACACAAGTCCACGGAAGGGGGAAACAAGGGCCTGCACACCAGCCACGGTTGAGGTACTTATATTTCAACATTGCAATTTCCTCCCGCAATCGACCATAGGATGTATTCTGGAAAACAGGGCTTCCCGTCCGCTCAGCCGTACTGAAACCACATACCGGCCAGCTAGTACTGAGGTGGGTGACCACTCGGGAATCCTGGCTGTCGATTGTTTTTGCATTTTTGTGGTGCTTTGCCCCTGTTACCAAGTTTCTTTCCATTGTGGTATAGGGGCTGGACACGTTTTGTGTGGTGGAGAAAAGTGTGGATGCGATTGCTCAAAGCGAGAGGAATGCAGCATGGTGGGCGACATTATGACAACAACGAGCAAAGGTTGGAAATAACATACAGCACAAAATCCGTATTGACATGGAAGGGTGAAGAAAATAAGTCGGCGTCTCAAGGTAACCGTACCAAGACAACCCCTACTCAATAGGGCCGTTCTCTGGTTGAACTACTTGATTGTACAGATAGTTTTGCTGCTTGGACCGCCGGCTGCAGCACATGCCTTCACCCATGCTGCATCTGAACTCGAAGTGTTGTAGTAGGCATCAATGCTCTTGACGGTCATCACCACATCAGTCGTGCTTGGTGTGCCGCTCCACCATTTGTTGCCGTCCGCCCATAACTTCAATTGAAGGTTGCCGCCCTGAGTTCGGATATTGCGAACAATGGTGTGAACGAGATGTCCGTCTAGGTGATACTCCACGCCTCGTTGGGGATGCCAGTCGAAGCGGTATTCATGGAAGGTTTCGGGACTGAGGCGAGACTGGGCCAAGGGGACCGAAAGCGTGGCATTCGGAATGGGCTGACCATCTTGCCCTAATGACGGATGCAGCGTGTAGTTGATGGTGCCGTTGACTAGTGAGTCCCCTGGTGTCACGATCTCAATGTCGATCTCGGATTCGTCGTCCTATGGCAGGCAGCGTGTGTTAACGTTGTTGACCATTTGCGGATGCAACCCAGGAAGTTGTTCTCGCATGGACATTGTCTGGGAGAATTCCTGAAGATCGGGCATGACATACATGATACCAGAAGAACCCTGAACAAGCTCCTCCTTTAGCACCTTCCAACTTGAAGACCGTGCGATATGTACCGGGAATCATGTCCACAGTGCGTGACTGGATTCCGGCTATGCTGACGGTGCGGCGGGCTCGGAGATCATCTCGGCTGAAACCACGTTGCTTGAGGACAAGATGTTTGTCCTTGATGTCGACGTTGGTCCAGTCGTACTTCGCATTGAGTCGGACACTGGTATTATCTGTCCGCTGCTAGTAGTCGTAGATCATCCAGTCGTTGTTGAAATTGGCCGCTTCGGGATCGGTGAGAATGGACTTGATGTCGGGGTATTGACTGAAGTCCTCATGCAAGCGGTGAGTGTACGCGTAAGTAGAAACTATCGTGCTGCCATGACCCTTCTCCAGGCGCCAGCCACAGGGGCAGTCAGCGCAAAGAGCACGGGACGCCAAAGTAAAGGTGACGACTAATATAATGCCGAGCTGCATTGTATCGATGCAAGCAATGAAAATGTGTTCATTGCCATAGGAAGAGAGCTCCGGCTCCAACAGTCTTGAGATGCAGTCCTGCCACTGCTGAGAAGGAAGTCTCGCCTGAAGAGGTGCACTGGACCAGTTTTATCGAGGTGGAGAGCATCAATGGGAGGCAGTCGTGGCCGGCGGAAACGAACCGGAGGTTATGGTTGCACCATCTTTACTTTAGTAGGGCTTGTACCTCACATCAACGCCGTTTCCCCTCTTGAGTTTTGCGCCTTTGGATGATTCGGACGGTAGGGATTGGTGGTCACCAGGCCCGAATGCTGCGATGCGACCATCCTCGGCTGCGGTGTAGATAACACCATTCTAGACAAAGTCAGCACGATGGCAAACGGGACGGACGGATTTGATCTAACCAGTTCATCGGCGAAAATTGAGCGTATCACTTCCTCGCCATGAGCGCCTTCGAGGACAATACGCTCATCGAGATCGAGCTTCGAGCCCCTGGCCACTTTGACCAGATCCACCCGTGACTTACTACAACATTCCTTTTAGTATGATCACACAAGAGGCAGGTGATGATATTTACCCGTGAGACCCGCAAGCGACGACATGGTCCGACCCGGACTGGAACACATCGATCACGTATTCGCAAGGAATGATGGGTCTCAGGTCTCCAAGCTGATCGGGAGTCGGCTCAGCTGTGTCGGTGTCTTCGAGGGTAAGAGAATGCAGAGCAAGGTTCTGGTCTGAGCTCAAAGCATACAGATCGGACGATCCTAGAAACCCTGCTTTGTGAATGGGGCCATGGTTGACGGCCTGCACGAGACTGTCCTCCTCCTCTACGATAGTGGTATCGAAAATGCTGACCAAGCCATCGTCACCTCCGCTGAGCAGCAAAGTGTGTTGGGAAGGATGGAAGGACAACGCGGTGATCTCGTCGTTGACTTCACTGTTCTGCCATCGAAGTCGATTCTGTCTACGGTCCCTGCAACAGGAGTCAGTAAGATAGCTCCGAAAGGGCGGGTTCCGCACAGCATCCGAACTGACCAGACGGATACAACAGCCTCACTGCCGAATGCGACATCATTACCTGTACAAGCTAAGGCGGTGACAGGTTTACCTGTGGCAAGGTCAATCATCCATAAGGATGAAGCAAGCGGGAGGAGTGCTTGGTACCTGTTGCGATCTGAGCAGCTCTCGATTGCGTGCGGACATCAAACAGCGCAACCGCACCATCATCCCCTGCACAGATTGCAGTTGTGCCGCCATCTGCGGTGACCAGGGATGTTAGACCATGCGGGACATTTTTTGAGGTGGAAAAATTAGAGACACTCAAGGTGTCCCTGGGCAGAAAGATCAGCTCATCTGCTGAGGTGATGGCGGCCAGGACATTCCCGACAACTGGCGCTATTGCAAAAACGTAGACATCCTGTTGCTGGGAGGGTGCACAGCTAGCCAGCTCATGATAGGTCCGAAACATGGAGAGATGGGGTCTGGATCTCTGCCTCGAGGGGAATGGGTGATGAATCCCCGTCAGGACCGACAGGTGGTGAGGCCTAACGAAGGACAATGCGTGCAGCGGGCGTTCTCTATCCCTGTTCCAGTGTCCTAGCGCTTCAAGTTGTTTCCGGCGATGCAGAATGTGAAGAACGCAATAAGCAATATGAAGGCCTAGGCAGAGAAGTAATGCAGGAGGTGCGTAGAAGCTAGAAGCGTGACTCTCGGTTCAGTGTTCCGTGTTCAGCGTGTGGTGTGTAGTGTGTGGTTTTGTGGTGCCTGCGCTGGCAGAAGAAAAGTTCGGGTGACGGTGGATGCAGTGGAGTGGAGTAGACACTAAAAGAGGGTTTCCCTCAATTTCAACCCTGATTGGTGGTCTGTATTGAGCTAACACTAGAGCTAAACCATTCTGGGCTCACACTTAATTGGCTGTACCAGACTGTCGGGTCTCATCACGTAAGCCGCGAAATGCTGCGGATGGAGTTGCAAGCCTCGACTAGTACTACAGGTAGTATTCCGTTCACACCAAGGTTGCCACCTGATAGATGGATGCCATGCATGCAGAACGACTCTTGCTCGTTGCAACGGCTAGAACTAAGTGGGGATAGTCGACCATGAATGATTGCTGCACTGGCCGTGGTCTTCTGTCTCGTGAAGACGATGTTGGACTCCTGTCCGACCTGCTTCCGATCACCACGCTACGGAGCGCCCCAAAGAGCCAGACGCCGGGGGTTTGGAGCGAGTGCCATGTCGGGCTTACTCTGTACAAGCCAAACCCTCCATTCCTCGATCCTGCCTGGACATCTGAAGCCTTCAATGCAGCTGATTCAAAAACGACCCCGATCCTACCAATTGAAAGGGGACGATGAGAATCAAGACTAAGAGGTGACACTCTAGGATTCGCAGCCATTATTGGGGCACTGCAACTGTTAGAATGTCTCCTGCTATGGTGGTCCTTAGCTGGAGATCGAGACACAGCAAGTGGAAACATCCAACTTCTCGGCACCCCTTGACAACATAACTTGAATGACAGTGTCCCGTCTTGATGTATTGGGCACCTCGGTAGCAGGAAGTCCCCTGCTACAAATGCATGAAATGCAGACACATTGCGGATGCAGTGGCAGAGCATGGCCCAGTCAGCTGTGGTCGTCGCACCGTCCATTGGGACACATCCTGCTGCAGCAGGTCACTTAGTGACGACCTTTGACCCTGGAGTGCACTTCTCAATCATGGTGCTTGCTGGTTTCAGCAGCAACTAGGATCTCCGCAGTAACTGGGTGCAAGGGCGTCAATGAAAGTCACAGCTTTGAGAGGACGAAGCTGGCCAAGCTTATGGTGTCTGCTTGTTACATGCGCGACTCCACAGGAGCAGAGCAATCCAGATGCATTCCCAAGGGAATCAACGCGACCAAGCATCATCACACAAGATAATCGAGGATGACGAGACGACGTCCAGAACAGCGTGTCCCGAGGGGATGGAACATGTGAGACTCCTAAGTTTATGCCTCCCATGACATACTTGATCCGATTCGAGAACCAACAATCAGCTCCGGCCGTGATCAAGGGTTGACAAGTGACAAGTGACAAGCCCACCTACCACACTGCAACCTAAAGTACGAAGTACGCACCCAAGTCAACTAGTCAACCAGCCCTTGGTTCCGGACACTGGGCGCTTCGGCTCGCCCAAGTAGCCTAAAGGCCGCGGAGCAAGAGCAAGGGACAAACTCTGAAGAATCCAGCTCTTTGGGCGCCCTGGACAAGGATTTGGCTCCACTAAAGAAACCACACTTCTCTTCAGGAATCCTTCCCTTCACTCCGGTTGCTCTCATCCGCTCTCGCTAAGCGACTTCATCTTTGCGATAGACATTTGAGCCAGTACCTGCTCGCTTAGCAGAGACTGACAGTGTGGCTTACACCTCGACCTGAACTCGCCATGCTACTGGTTTCGAACGGAGACGCTTTGATTCTAGGCCTGCAATAAAAAGTGCCGAACAGGAACGAGATCGGGAGGACACGACCGGAAGAAGCATGTTGAGAAAGATGAAGCACTTCATCAAGTGCGAATCACTGCTCGCATCATACAGTTATTACGACTCCATCCAAGGATGCATTGTGCATCTCTTATAGTATACCAGCGGTTATTACTTCGAATTGATTCGAGTATCTTCAATGCTTCTTCTGCCCCTCCGACTCCATCAACGTACTGTGTACACCAAAACCGAACAGGGTTTCGGCGCCCACAATTCGGGCTTCACCACACCCCCTGGGCGCCACCAGTCCCCGAATGCACCCTTCTGGGCCTCACTTGCCTGGTCATAACCTTGCTCTCTTCTTTAACGTTGTCCCTAGACAACTCTACACCAACCCCGGATCCATGTGCAGTATCTTCACGCTATGTTTTGCCACTTGAAACCCGAATTCGGTTCCCGGCATGTCACCCATTGGATGCTGCCACAGTTTTGTCCCTGGAGACGCCTACCGAAAGCTCTCCCGATCCCTCCATAAAAAAAGACTCGAGAGAGCCCACTGGCCTGTCCTAATCTATACGTCTCAAGCACCTGAAGTCTCTTATCCTCGGGCTTCCCTTTCAGGGATTGTCCTCTCTATCTCCCATGGTCTCCACTGCCCCCATCCGGCGAAGCGAGCTAATAGATAATGCCTATACCTCTAGCCTAGGGCCTCCCTAGCCTCCGAGTTCGAGTGGGTGTCTCCTCTACGTCAACCCTGCGGGATCGACCAGCTAGCTATGTTACATCTGGGTGCTCGCTCGAGTGGCCTTTCTGCCCTGGCGAGGCGTTGTTCGCCTGCGAGTCTAACCTCTATCTAGGTGCCTTTGCGCAGTCGGTGAGTCCGTGCTTTGCACCATAGGATACCACGCTCTTTCGTTGAAAGCGCCTCTCTCCGCCCGAGCGAACGGGTTCCCCGAATCTTTTCGGAGCTTCAAGTTCGGCAACGACGACGTACAAAAGCGTCGGTTCTGTATCGAGTCAAACCCTTGACTTTATTTCGTCTATCCCAAGCTTTCTTCGGCCATCAATCGAGATCCATCCGGCTGCTCTCACATTACCACCTTGTAGCGGTTTCCAGAAGATATACTGCAAGTCTGGAAAGAGTCTCAGGTTCCTCACATCCTCATCACTACCCCAGTGTAATAGAGGTTGGAAGCTACGCCGTGACGTTGATCTGGCTCTATATCTCCCAAAGCTCTCTTCTCGCTTTCACTTCAGCCATCACGCATCCTGAATGATGGCGGACACCCGCGGGCCTCCACCCCCGCCAGAAGACGGATTTCAAGTCGTGTATGAATTTGGCAGAGCATATGGCACATTCCGACGGTCAGTTTCGAAAGCCAACCCGAAGACAATCAGAACCAATGGTGCTAACACTTTCTTTATTCAGAGGGCAGTACCTGCTGCCGCACGACCATAGAGAACGGGTGAGACTGGATATGATGCACACTATGTTCAAGGCGGCCAAACGCTCTCCTGGGACAAGGCTTACAAACACCCCGACCGAACGCCTGGACGTGGGTGAAGGCAAGGAGAATCGACCATTGCCCTTGCGAATGGCGCCCAGGGTTCTCGACTTGGGCTGTGGGACGGGTGTATGGATGAACGACATGGCCAAGGAATATCCCCGTGCCCAATTCGTAGGCATCGACATCCATAACATGTCCCACAACAGCCATAACGACAACATCACTGTTTATGCCCCCTTCGACTACGAAAGCCCTTGGGCCATAGGGGAGAAATCTTGGGATCTGATCCACCTTCAGATGGCACTGGGCAGCGTGTCCGACTGGTCTGGGCTGTACCGCAAAATCATCAAGCACCTTGTCCCTGGAACCGGCTGGTTCGAGTCCGTCGAGTTGGATTTCGAGCCGCGTTGTGACGACGGCAGCTTGAAGCCGGGCAAGTTGACCGAATGGTGGGAAATCTACTTGAAGCATTTTTACCAGACCATCAACCGCCGCATCCATTATGACCCCAACACCGGCGATCTGCTCAAGGCGGCTGGATTCAAGGACATCCACCATGCCGTCTACAAGATCCCGCTCAATCCGTGGTCGAACGACAGGTCGGAGCACCGCGCCGCAATATGGTGGGGGCAGGTCATGTCTCGCGGCACCGATCGCGACGGCGGCTACGGCATGGAAGCCCTCAGTCTGGCTCCCTTGTGCGGGTACAACGGCTGGAAGGTGGACCATGTAGAACGTCTCTGCGAAGACGCCCTGACACAGGCCGCCCACCCGGACTGCCACGTCTACAACAACCTTCACGTCTGGTGGGCGCGGGCTCCCGAGAGTACTGGTTTCTGAGGCACTCTCCTCTTCCTGAAGATTGAGCCCTGCACCTTTTGTTTCCTAGATTCGACAACCGTCGGTCTGAGTTTGGGAGGATACCTGCTTTTCGTGCCGCGTTTTGGACCGTTTGGCGCGCAGCCTGACCACTGTAGCCGCCATCACCATATCCTCGTTGGGCCTTTTTGCGAACAATGTCTACCAGCACTTTTGAGGAAGAAATCCACCATGGATACACCAACGTGGCGCAGATTCATGTGTGTGGTTGCACACACTCATCCTTTGGCCTCAAATCGATCAATGCCCCAACCCTGGAAAGTGGACACAGATTTGGCACGGGCATGCCGCTCCCGGGGACCTGCCTCTGGTCTTTGCTTCCGTTGGCCGGTCACAGCCTCTGCCGGCAAAGGGCACACCATTCCCTAGAAGGAGGAAAGAAATCCATCTTATGTACCCTCCCGAGGATGAGTGACCTGAACAAACAACGGCGGTTGAGTGTGGACAGCGACTCGTCGCTCGCTCAACTAATTGGCTCTGTTAGTTCCCTCATCTACTGGAAGCTCGAACCCTGTCGCCAGCACAGCCGAGTCTGGGCCTGAACATCTTTCAAGCTAGTGGGTAATGGTCTCGATTGATACAGTACACGCTCTCAGCTTTATTCCCACAAAGCCACGTTGGACAACCACTGCCCATCCACAAAAGGTCAGCACTGCTGTTGCGATGAGAGGCTGCGGCATGGAACTCAAGGGGCAAGCCATCGACGACACAAGGCTCGAGGAATGACAAGATCGAGGCAGATGGGATTGGATCACTCAGTTCAAGAGTGCTCGATATATCAGAACCGGAATTAAATACTAGACACCTGCACTTCTAGTTGGATATTGAGTATGTCGGTTGCTTTCCCTTAGCTGATCTGAGGTCTTTTAACGAGATTGATAGTTCGGCAGTCTGATGGAAGCTGGTCTAGCTGACTCTCTTCGCCATACCTATAATCCGAGTAATAATAGATCGTGTCTACAAGTCCAGAACTCCCACGATTCACGAGTACAACACATAGAGGGTGTATTCTCGGTTAGTGAGGAACGATTTCTCTGCAAGACGACGAGCGGCAGTCCAAGAAGAGATGATCTAAACGAGCCTTGGGACATACTGAGGGCCAAGTCTTCCTGAGGCCGAAGAAATGGCCAGTGTTCTGATGGATGGATTGAGCCCTAAGAATTAAGATGACAAGATCCGACCTCCTTTGGCGGTTGATCCTGAAGGGAAGTGTTCTGCCATCAGAGCTTTCTCAGGAGAATCATGAATTGGTGTTTCGGATCATGCATCGGTCACTGGTAATGTCATTTTCTTTCGGCAGCTGTTTGTGAAATTGGAAATTGGCAGTTTGCATTCATTGTCTTTTCTTTTTCTGGTATGCATCGAATACCCACGTTCCTTTCTCCCCCGAAGGTAACGTACATACACAGCGGGCATCTCATGAATGGACCGTAAAGAATCAGCTCCCGCTCAGAATCTATGCACCTTGACCCTCAGACCCCACCCGGTATCTGTTCGAGCCAGGTTGCGTAAAACTGCTCTCCACTGCTGCATCTGAGGTAGCATTCCTCGATTTTCCTTCCATCCGGAGGAAAAAAGCAGAAACACGATTTTCACCATCTTGGTCCACTGCCCATACGACCACCACCTCACCAACACCACATGATCACTTCCGGCATTGATGTGAATGGCTGTATCCTTCCCCAGCAGACCAGAACAAACGAACGTCCGAAATTTAAGCAAAGGTGCTTGGTCGGTTCGGGGTGAAGAGCTTCTTCGACTTGGAGCTGCGGTGGGGCAGAGGGAACTTGAGGTCCTTGGAGATGAGCTGCTTGATGTATGGGCGCTTGACGTCGTCAGGCTTGGTGAGTTCGACGACCTTGAGAATCTGTCGAGTAGAAGAAAAGAGATTAGTTGGGTCGTCCCGACGTTTGTACATGCCAGAAACAAAAAACGTACGTGAATGCTCCTGAATCGGGCACGGTGGCGGGCAGCCATATCTTGGTACAGAGCCTCGACGGCCTCGGTGCGGCTCATCTCTCGGTACTCCTTGTACATGTTGTGCGTGCCGGAACGAGAGTCGTAACGGATCCAGATACCAAAGTTCTTGACCTTCAGGGGGCGCTTCTCGTGGATGACGTTGAGCGCGACGACCTCGCCGTTGGACTTCTTCACCTTGCGCAACTTCATCAGGAAGTACCAGAAGCGAGACTTGGCCACCACGGTGTTGGGTGCGAAGATGCGCATGCGGTACAGCTTCGGCGTCGGGTTCGAGTCGGTGGGCAGGTGGCGCCCGATCACTTGGTATTCTTGCAGGCGACCTGATGGGGAAGACATTGTTAGTATTGACAGCAGAGTTCGCACACAGCTGAGCGCTTCCGAGCAGATGCGTGCGAGATTGAGACAGGCTGAGTGTGCGAGCGTCGAGACACAAGTTTTCGTCGGCCCTCGACCGTTTCTAGAATTCCTTCTCTTCAGATCGGGATTTCCATTCGGTTCCCATTAGATGTGCTTCAGAATCCAACTTTTTCGTTGCTTGTATACGGCCGGCCTCTGATTGAAATTCCTTCCTCGCTCTCGCACGCAACGCTCTCGACGGGGATGATTGCTGAAAACAGGACGGTGTGACTTACCCATCTGCAGCGAATTAGTGACTGTGAGATCTAGTTAAGAGTAATATTCACGTACCTTGACTTGTATCTGACCGACTGGATTTGTGTGCTGGTCGTCGTCGAAGTGGTTGATCGCAAGATGACAAAAACCCAACTTGAAGGTTGCGTGCGACTCTGGACCCGAAAGTCTCCAAAATTGAAAGTGCGCCAAGATTGTGATCGGGCCGTCGGGGAAATAATGGCTGCCCGCTTCTGATTGGTCGGCCGACGTCCCGCATCAGTTTGCCAGAGACAACAACCTCTGTACAGATCAGTACAAACCAACTTGCTAACAATTACTTTCTCTGACTCAAGACTTGGGTTCGGGGAATGGCTGTCTAATGGGGAGCATATTTGCAGACTTCCAGCAGGCCCAGAGGGTCGGCGATGGTCGTCTCCTGGCCTCCTGCCTTGCCCCTATAGACACTGCCCGCGACCCTCATCGACTACAATCATTTGCCCAGCTGTCCAACTACCAGACAATCACAGCCGACGTTCGCTATCATCTGATACAAGCGCCGAATGCAGTGGGACTACCCAAGGCGGAAGCCAATGCGTGGGTGGACATCTTCGTCGCTCTGTGGAAGACCGTGAAAGAACTGGTCGGGCTACGGCAAGGCAACGGCACAGGAGACTGGGTTCGGGCATTTGACGCGTACAAGGAACTATGCAACTTTCTGGTCAGAGGCTACACCAACTTTGGATTCCAGTCATGGACTGTACCATGTCTCTACGTCGCAGGCAAGTATATTCGCATGATAGCCATGAAGGCAGACAGTGAGGGCAGAGCGAAAGACGCCAACGGAGGCACTGCCTTCGCCAACGGATTTTCCGACGACATCATCAGCGATGTGAACAAACACGAGAAACTCGAACAGGCGGCTTGGACCATCAACCGCATGTTCACAGTCTGCTTGAGCGACCGGTCCGAATTGGCCGAGTCGCGGAAATGGGGCATCTACAGCACCACCAACCTGCTGTTCAAGACATACTTCAAGCTCAACTCCATTTCGCTGACCAGGAATGTCATCCGCGCTCTGGAAGCCGCGTCAGCCGACCTGCCTCCTTTGGAGCTCTTCCCGAAATCCCACCGGTGCACGTTCAAATACTACCGAGGAGTCATCGATTTCTTGCAGGAGAATTACACGGACGCCGAGATGCATCTGACCGAGGCGCTGAGTCTATGCCACAAGGACTCGCTCAAGAACCAGGAACAGATTCTGACATATCTGATCCCGGCACATGTGGTGAATCACCATCAGCTGCCTAACCGTGCCTTGCTGGCCCCACATCCATCTCTCTCCAGGATATTCACACCGTTGTTTGATGCCGTGCGCACTGGATCCCTGGCGGCCTTCGACGAGGCCCTCACATCCGCCGAACCGGAGCTGGTCAAGCGCCGTGTCTACCTTACCCTCGAGCGGACGCGCGATATCTGCACGCGAAATCTGTTCCGCAAGGTGTTCCTAGCTGCAGGCTGGGAAGAGACCAAAGACCCGGCGACAGGCGAAGTGGCGGGCAGGATTCGCAGGACGAGGATCCGGATCGAGGAGTTCGAGGCCGGCATGCGTGTCGGCTACAAGGGCGCCAAGGATGTCATGATCGAGAGGGACGAGGTCGAGTGTTTCCTTGCCAACATGATCTATAAGGTGCGTTTTATTATCATTCTTTTTGTTTGCCTTGCATTTGATGCCTGCACCCCGTCGCTCAAATATATTGTGTTCATCCGCGGACTTTTGCCACGCGTCGTAAGCGGAGGCTGCCTGGGGGAGGACGGATGCCTAGCATGAATAGGCTGCAGCCAGACAGATCTTGATACATCACTCATCCCTCGCATGTACAACGGACATTGGGACAATCATGCTGACTCAGACATTTTGTGGTCTCCTTCAGAACATGATGAAAGGCTACATCGCTCGCGACAGAGGCATTGTCGTTCTCAGCAAGGCTGGCGCCTTCCCCGGCACTGGTGTTTGAATTGACCACATGCCATTGGAAGATCATGAGAGACAAAGAATCCATCTGGTGCTAAGCTCTTTTCGAAAGATGGCCGGCTTTCATACTGGCCTGTCGATAGGCTGGCGCGCCACATATCCAACCAATCTACTTGCCTCGGACCAATAGAGTTTCATCACTGACTCACTCACCAACGATACAGGAATCTGAGGATGACTATCCAGGCCGTTACACCATACCAGCACATGTTTATCAGCCCTGGTGGCCGTGGACATCCATACCTCTCAGCCTCCGTGCAAATGACAGGCATTACAATGCTTCGAGTCACCATTCGACACACTCAAGAGGGGTGATGAGCTACAATGCATCTCGGCCATCAGCAAGGCGTCCTCTTGCAAGGGGGATTTCCCAAAACAATCTGGACCGGAAACCATTGGCTCACAAACCCTCCTGATGAATCGAGCCTGCCTCCCATACATGGTCTCGGCTGAGCGCGTGCATTAGCCCCCGAAAGCCATACGGAGAACAATAATGTGCTGGACACCCACCACTGCCGGACTCACAACACACAGTCACTGTGCTATCAACAGTACTGCATTACAGTCTAGGTGCACACTGTCGGCAGACTCGCACACCCTCAATCATGGGCATAGGTGTCAACCCCGAGTCAGGGATGGGATGAATTGCAACCATCTGAGCTACTGGCTTCCAGAGCCCCACACACCCATCCTCGACTGAACGACATACCGCTGGCGTCCTCCACACATTACAACAGGTACGGAGGACAAAGCTACCTACTTACAGGCCCGGTTTCGAAGCACAACTTCAGTGCGACAGGGAAGACTGGCATGTGTCAATGCACGGAATCCCACCTATGAACTTTGGAAGTCAGGCATCTTGTCTTCCACACCGTCTGTGCGACAGTCTTGGATGTGACTCATATCGAGCCTACGCGCGATATTTCGATCGAGATATCAGGGTCTCAGCTGAACTCTACCGGTGTCCTTTTTCTACCGTCTGTGCTCGGTTCCTGACGCTTCTACATTCTGGCCTATTCTACTTCAGGCAAGCAGAGGATCCCAAAAAGCAGGGAGTGACAGGTGGAAGGAGGGGTGGCCTGCAGGCCACGGCTGGTTGCCTCTTGCAACGGACAGCTAAACAGGTTGGAAAGGAGATGTCTAGCTACTGAATGGGTCGGCTGAATAGGTTGTCTTATGCGTGCACTGGCACATTGGAGTCAAGTCCGGCCAATGCCCACGCACAGAAAATCAATCATTGAATACAAGGGGTCTCTACGTTCAGAGCATGATGATTGATTGACTCGTCATTTCGCCAGGAAAAATTGAGTTCTGAGTGGCAGTAGGCCACATATGAGCTGAGCGTAGAACATAACAGGCCAGACTCTGCGCCATTTTGAAATTCTGAAAAGATTACAGCGTTTTGTCGGTCGGGTTGCTGATAACAGTGTTGATGCACCACATCACCGAATAGCAGACTTTGGTGGACATTGTGGCTATTGATACAGACACAGGAGAACGACCGAACTCCAACCTTACACCCAGTAAGAGATCAGCAGTCTTGGTGCACACAGTCGCAGACTCCAGCAGCTGGCAATCTGATGTGTTCTAATGATACAGGTACATGGGACTCGACCTAGCGAGTGAATGGTGATGAGAAAGGAGACCGCATGGTCTTCAAGTCATCCTGTTGGATGTCAGTGAAAAGGACACAAAGCGAGAAGGTGGTGCCTGCTAGCTTACCATATGATTACACATGGCGACGAAGAGATCGAAAAACAGAGGGGTACCGCCCTGCTCCATTTCGACCTTCATAGTGCCACTTTTCTTGAAGTTGTGCCGGCTGCGGATGATCAATGTCAGATATTGAGCCCGGAGCTTCGAGTCGGAGTTGGGAGTGTGGTTGTATGCAAAGCGTGCTGAGGCGAGGATGGTGGAGATCTGCATGCCGTGTCGCAAGCCTTGTTTGCGAAGGGCGAGGCGTTTGAGCTCGTCGAGTCCATAGCGCTCAGCCGTGCAGCTGGTGAGTGGCAACGTCAGTAGACAGCCTCAGGATAGAAAGACGACAACCTTACTAGATGACAGTGTCTTTCATCAGTGTCTGTTTGGCGGCAAGGCAGAAGATGGTGGTATTGCTGCCATTCTCGTCGTCTTCGACTTCCCAGGTGTCCTTTCTTTTGTTCTGAATCAACTTCGGATAGTAGTCCCCTTTGTAGAGATACTCGAGAACTGCGGAGAGGATCTCCGGCTGCTCGTCAGGGAGGTTGATTCTTCTCGCATTGTTCTCGAAGAACTGGCCCCTGCAGGCAGCTTCGAAGAAGGGTGATCGACACAGGACTTCTTCGTGTCCAGCAAAGAGTCTCTGCTCACGCCCGACACAGAGAGTGACGATGGCGGAGGTGAGTGTGCTTGTAGACACATGTTAGCAAGGGTGACTGTTCCCCAGGAGTAATCCACTCACCTCCCCGCCGGTGGGCTCGTATGAGCACTGGGTTCTCTTTTGGTGGTCCTCATGGACTCCGTCCTCTCGAGGGCTCTTGTGATGGACTGCTCTCGGTGGGAGGATCTAGGCTTGATCGACTTGCTGGTCCCATATCGAGACGAGAAGCTATCGGACGGACGAGCCTTTCTGCTGCTGAACATTCTGTAATGGCACTTGGGCAGTCGAGTCCTGGACTAGGAATAGGAACGATGGAAGGCCCTGACTTGACATGCAAATGCAAAGAGAGAAGAATCAACCAGAAGCTATCAGTTAGCCGAAATGAAATAGTACAAGAGCCGTCTTCATTGGTACGTGCAAAAGAACCAGAAGGGTAACGAAAGCAAGGCTGCCTGAATGCAGTGGCATTGGTCAGTCAGGTCGAGGAGCAGAAGTCGAGGAGGATCTGCTAGCAGCAGAGTGAGCTTCTTATGTGGGAGGAACATGGCGGCGGCCTGCGCTGCCTGGAAGCAGACAGGTAGCGAGGGTACCGGGGAGCTGGTGGTAGGGAGGAGGGAGGATGGAGGATGGAGCTTATCAACTGCAGTGCAGTGCCCTGCAGTGCCCGTTCGGCCAGATTGGGGCTAGATGAGGTCCCGGAAGCAACGCGACTCTGCCGCGCTTTTGGGGGGAACGACTAACACACGTAGGCATGTGACCATGCATGCGCTTTACTGCCACTGCCGGCCTGCTTAGCCTAGGGAGCTTTTCCTCCTAGGCCTCCTAGGCCTAAAAGATGCCCTGCGCCCTCCCTCCGCATCAGCCATGACTGGCCCGTATGAGTCAAAGCGATGCGACTACGGCCGTCTCCCCCATGTCTGGCATCTGCTTCGAATCCCGGATACCTGGGGTCTCTGTGCTAGTGCTAGCCGAAGCGAATTGTCTTCCGCTTGTTGCCACCTGGATGTCGCAGTGTCAGTTGTCGTTAGGCATGACACAAGAAGGGAAGCCATCAACTGCAGACCAATTGCAAAATCGGCGATCGGAAAGGCAACTGATATCGTGCCTCTGACGCATTCCAGGCTACCAGATGAGTCGTATGCAGAAGGAAAAAAGGAAACCTTTACCCCCGGCCTCGAAATGCACTCCCGCTAGCGAAGCGGACGACAACGGCGGTCGCCCGGCAAAGCAGAGCGATTGAGAGAAGAGGGTGTACAGCCCATGCATTTCAGTGGGGATAGCAAACAGAAGATGAAACACGAGGCGTTGTTCAGACCCCAAGGAGCTAAGATAGCTAAAAAGCCCAGTGTACCTCTGTACGTCCTGAGCGCCGAAGCTTGACCTCTGCAAAGCCCCGGCTTAGTAGGGCTTGAAGGTGTTTCTTGAATCGGATTGGCCCAGGGTCAGTACCACCCATCATAGGGACCTAAATCCAGGACATCAGGATTCCAGGTCTAGGTGCTTTGAATAGTCGGAACAATCTACTTCTCCATAACTGGCCCCCGAGCGCTTGGTAGTGAGCCTGCCTTGCATCATGCGTAAGGAAGTCAGACAACTTGAACCGAGGGGCTGTATATCAACGAGGCTCCAAGCTGGCAAAATGGCATCGAGGTTGAACGGCTTAGGTACAAAGCAGGATAATTTTAAGCAGTTCAGAGAGAGAAGCAAGTTGTTGTAGTGGACGGTTTTGATTCCTACCAGCATTTACTTGTAACTGTACCGAATTTCCATCGCCTGACTGATCATATCCTCCCTCAAATAACTCCACTAGTTCCATGACGCCCATGTACTTAACCCAGGCGCCCTGATACTGGCATGTGTAGTGAAAAGAAATTGAGAACGCCGTTCTCGGTTCAGTCTTGCTCCTGACTCCTCCCTCGTCCATGCCATCCACCGAGAACATTCTCGGGCAATTGTCTCTGGAGTCTGCAAACAGGACCCGTACATCTTGAGATTTATGTTGTAGCAGTCTCCAGCCGAATATCCTATCTTTATATAAACACCCTTTTCGCCTCCTTCGGGTGGCTCTCTATTGGACAGTAGGGACACTTGAATTTCGCACCTTTGCTGAGTTTTTGCAGAGACTCCTGTGCAATAACATGACAACACGGTAGCATCATCGGCGGGTTCTGGTCGGTCGTCTGTTCTTTCGAGACCGGACAGACGAAGATAGAGTGGAATCTGTACGACGGAGGAAGTGGCGTCTCCACCGGCAACTCGTTCTGGGAAGTCCACTCTGTCCGTTTCTGTTTCTGGATGGTCTGCAATTTGAGAAGTGTAGGTAATGCGATTGCGCCGGCCGTCGCTGCAACATACAGGGGTGAGTCTGCGGATAGTTCGAGTAGGGAGCAAAACTCCCGTATGAAGGAGCTGGCAACTTCCTCCCATGCGGTCGAGTTATTGAACCGTAAATGATATGGCGACTCTTCCAGATTGGAGGAAAACGGAATAGCACCCATCAATTGTTGAATTTCGACCAAGTAGCGACCACGAAAAGACTGGAATTCCGTCTGTGCGTATTGAAGAGCGCGCAAAGGTGCGTCGAAGTCGGATCGGTCTTCATCCCGACGTTCCAGGAAGAGATTGACAAACTGTAACCTGCAAAGTTCGAATTCCAGGTTGCTGCCGCGAGCTTCTAGGGCCGTAGCATTCTTCCGAGCCCAGTCGATAGCTGGCTGCAAGTTGTGGTTGTCCTTGAGCTCGCTCAAGATATGGTACATATTGGAGAATTGCTCTTGCATACTCTCTTCCGAACTCTTCTCCAAACCCAGCGGGTGTTCCATGGAGACATCGAATCCCAAATGGCTTGCTGTTTCTTGTTGGCTCTGTTGCCTCTCAATGGCTTCCGAGTGGAAGGTTGAGGCCACGTCGAATAGCCCCTCTCGAAGCAGATGTAGGTAGATGGCTCGATTGATCAAGTTCGGGTGGGAAGAGAGAGCGTCAATGTCGCTGTTCGGCACTTTTTCCTTGAACACCTTGTCCAGCGCCCTTGTGTACTTGTTGTGTAGTCCATGAGTATCCTTCAAGCCGGAGAATATGCCGTCGAACGACGCTTTCACGGGGTTCTGCAGCTTCGCCAGCGTAACCTGTCTCGAGTTGGGATCTTCGGCGATGGCGTCCCGCGCCTTCTGGAGGGCGTTGATGATGTCGTCGACATGTCGATTGGTCTTGGACTGCTTGCAGCTGTTCCGAACCTTGTCATGCTCTTTCTGAATGGCCTCCATTTGTGGCAACGGTATAGATTACGGAGATGCGGGCATCGACTGGTGGTTAAGGTTCTCGGCGGGTAGCATTCTTGATCTGGTTGTCGCGGGAGCTATCCGACTTCCTGCGTGACGGCTTGCGAGGTCAATTGCCGGCAAGGTGAGATGGTACGATACAGCAATGCAACTGCAAGCGCGTGGTGTTGGTTCAATGGTTCAAGTGCCACTGGCACCTGAGAGATATGTCATGCGCCCGGCCCTTCGTTGTCCATGAGATCCGGTAGTAGTGGAGTGAGGAACGATAACGATAACGATAACGATAAGATGATGCCTATCTGTATCATTCTGTTAATTCTCCGCAAACATGATTTGACCTCACTTGTCACATCTTCCCCATCTTCGAGTTGACCAACACGTTCACCTCTGCTGCCATTCATGGTGGTTTCACGCCTAGGTTACCACCGCCCTGCTGACTTGGCCATCTTATGCCTTGTTTGTTCCCTATGAAGTGCCCATTCTAGCCTCCGCAGTCCGTCCTAAGCAGGACAGCCGACATCATGTCGTTCGTTCCTATAGGCTTCGACAATCCATACCAATATCCGCGCACTTATACAAGATCCTCGTCATACAGAAATACGAAAGCCAGTCCCGAGGACCAAGAGCAACCTGGTGAAGTCGAGAGCCTGGTGAATACAAGGCCCACAACAAGTAGTCCTCGTCAAAATCGGTCGACTCAGGGCAGGAAGCGGCTTGTATTCGCGGATCCGGTCGCCTTCCGATATTTGGAAGAAGATCCAGCTACCGATGCCATAGAACGATGGGGACGCCTACAAGGATACGAGCTATACCTGGTAGAGCAGTGGGCATGCTCAAGGACTCATCCGACGTTTGTTATCAGCACTTACACTGGCGACCCATCACATTCCATCGTGGTCAATGTGCTTTCGGTCCCTAGCGACGAGAGCACTTGGTCGCAGAGGCTCCAGGTCTACTTTAACGCCGTTTCGCAATTTCATGCCAAGGAGAAAGAAACACCGCTGGGGACGCTCATGGTCACCAACCTCAGCGGGTTTCCTTCTGCCCTCACAGTCATTGCCGTCCCGGATGGGGATGTTAGGAAGCACAGGGAGGATTTCATTGTCAACGAGAATTTAAAGCGCATGGGGTGCTCCGGAAGAGCGCCACTGAGCCTGCAGCCGCCTCAGTCGAGTACCATCGCGAAATTTCATCATCTCTACCGCACTAGCGAGACTGTACCGCTCTACCACTCGGTCATGGAGCTTGTACGCATCTGCCAAACGGCGTTGGTCATGTACGATAAAATTCAGGCGACGTACGCGGACGGTCTGCTTTGCGACGTGACCGAGAGAGCTGTCAATAACTGGTGGACTGACATAGGGACGTACTTCTACAACGTGGAGCCCAGTGATGGGATCCTGGGGCCGACCACAGTGGCTGCCCTTCTCGGACTCTTGATCGGCGCATACAACCGACTGAAGGCCTCAGGATCGCCGGTCGGAAAAGACGTATTAGATACGGTGTCGATGAAGCGAGCCGTGGGCCATTTCCAGAAGAGTCAGAAGATGGAGAGAACTCGGCGACTCGATCGCGAAACACTCGATCGGCTTCACCGGGCTACCGCCAAAAATGCCAGCGGCGAAGGGTGGACTGTGCCAAAGGCGGTCAAGTCGACCGTTGCCGAGCTCAGTGGCAAGGGTGGTGAAATGATGATGGGCATCGTTGGTGGCCGGGACAAGGCCGGGATCTCCGATGCCGAGACGCTGGACATTGACCGGTTCGCGCAACTGGTTACAGGTCCGAGGATGAAATGGCTTTGGCAAGGCAAACGTGTCAAGTCTGGAGATGCGCTGACTACGCCTTCGGACGATTTGGGTGGAAGGATCTTCAGCACTGACGATCAAGGCAATTTCTTCTGGACGAGCAATCAACATGATTCCTATTCCGATGGAGGAATTCTGGAACGTTCGGACACGGTGTATAGCACCCAAACGCATGACCTCAAAGCTGTTCGAAGCCGCCCCCGCGGCCCCGGAGCTGGAAACAAGGCCCATAGCATGCGTCATCCCATAGATGGCGAAGAAACTCGTGACTGGACGGAGAGTGCTACAACGCTAACATCTAAATCCTCCAAAGACCATCATCACCACATGCGAGACCACACATTGCGCCCGTCGGGGCCACCACGGCAAATGGGACCGCCGGCATTCGACCTGGCACTGGCGAATGCGGCCCCGACTTCGCCGAAAGAGACCCGTCGACAGCCCTTGCGAAGGGTGGAAACAGACACCGGAAAACGGATCCCATCGCATCGGGAGCAACTGAGGCCTCCGCAACCAGGGGATTCTCCGAGGCGGAAGAAGCTGAATGCTGAGTTGGCAGGATTGCGGAGCGTCTTCGAAACGGACATCTACAGGAACTTTTCTGCCGGAAAGCCATACATGGGACTTCGGAGTCGCGCCCTCAGGTCGTCACAGAGCGCGATTCAATTGACCGATCACACCCCGGACAGCCCGCGGCAGAACCGCATCAAGCGGCAATTATCTTTCAGTATTGTTGAGAATGCTGTGCTAGATCTGGGACCGAACGTGGCCGAGGAGGGCATCGGAAAGGGGAAAATCGAAGGCGACCTCACGAATGCCCTCGCCGAGCGGGATGCGTTGGTGGCTGCTGCTCAAAAGAAAGCCAAGCGCATCCAGACGATTCAACAGGCTCTGATTCCGTACACGGAAAGCACAGTTGGCCATGTGGAGAGCCTGGAGAGGTATTCACGACAGCATCTGGAGGAACTGAACGAGTTATACTACCATCGGTTGGAGGAGTATCAAAGCCTCCAAGCAACCTCATCTGATCTGGTCTCACAGGAAAAGAATGCACTGAGCGAGAGCTTTCGTAGAATCGAAATGCTTGGAGCCAAGATGGACTACGAGCTGGACTCGCTGCAGTCTCGTCTGCAGGAGGTGGAAGACGGGGTCGATGACTTTGAGCGCAATGTGATTGCTATTGAAGCCAGAGTGAGGGAGCTGATCGGAGACGAAAAGCAGAACGCCGTTCCCTGGCTCCAAAGGTTGCTGACTTTCATGGGTTCCCGAGGATAGTCGCAGTCATGGCGTTGCATGTCCCTGGGTATTTAGCAAGGCGTTTGGAGAATGGGAGCCTCGAGTAATGGGCTGCGTAGCATCACTCCATGTCATTGAAACACTGGCAGCTTCTATAATGTCAGGGGTGAGGCTACACTGGCAGAGGTCAAATGGAATCGATATTTTCCTCAATCTTTTGAGAGTTGACGAATCCCCATAATGACTGTCAGTCTTGCGCCTGTTCCGTCACCGACCACTGCATGTCGTCTTGAATCAAGGTTAAATAATATACAACGGCAGAACCAGGTCATCACAATGAAGATGGACCAGCACTGCAGGCTGTTTCACACTGCAGACTCTCCCGTGTGATCCAATCTTACATAATGCACGTCCGAGAGAGACCAGGAATTGTAACGCCGTTCACATGCCAAACATGCCGCCGCCTCCTGCGCCGCCCCCAGGAGCCTTTTCCTTTAACTTGTCCGAGATCTGCATGTTGACTTCGATGAATTTGGCCATACACCGGTCGAGGCAGACGCTCTCGGCCTTGTTGAGCTCGGCCTCGCGGTAATCGGCAGGGATACACTTCTTCTTGCACGACAAGATTGACCTGCAGCGACGGTAGAGACTTAGCACAGGCGGTCTTTGTACGTAGAGGTAGGCGGAGGCTGTAGCCGTAGCCGTAGCCACATATGGTGCGTACTTACTTTTGGAACAAGTCCTGGATCAGCAAGACTTCGGCCTCAGCGGCTGCAATCTTCTCTTGAGAGGTCGGTTGCGGCCGTCCACCACCAAAGAGGAACGACATGGCGACGGTTGTTGATGACGGATTCGAAGATTGAGGTATCTGTGGAGGAAGCGGTGCTCTGTCGCAGGTCGTGCAAGCTGCGAATGGCTAGACACAATAGTGACAGTATTGAGGAGTTCAATGGAGGGTTTGATATGATCTACGGCTCAAGTTGTCTGCTGTACTAATAGAAAAGCTGCGGTCGGAGCCTCGCACTCGCAATCCAATATTTCGATTGCTGCCGAAGCTTAAGCGAACTTGGAACTTGCTCTCCAACACAATTTTATTACTTGCTGCGCTGCGCGGTCACCACCGACTCTCCTTCGACGAACATCATACTACGAGGACATTCCACACGGTCTGCTCATGTCGTTGTCGTCGCTGCCTTAATGTCCAGGAGGCTGACATGGCACATACGGCCATGGAACTGTCTACCATTGACAAGAGAGTGAGTCGCTGCAAACACTTGTTCCCCAGTACCACCCATCATATGAAGAGAAAACTCAGAAGAACCGCTGCGAGTGATGCTGGCTTCGGCTGGCAATGATCACTACCACTCAATAGTGTCTGACATGATTTGTTCTGCATACAATTTGCAAATCACCCTATGAAACCCTTGTCTAACACGTTGGTATTAGTATCCTACGCACTCGGACCGGTAGGACTCCCTCGAGTCGCGCCCTGCAAAATCCCATACGATGGACAATCCAGGCGGGGTTTACGACGGTACCCCCAAGAGCCGGACATGCACATGTTGCAGATGCTGCTGCGCAATATTCAAGTAAAGAAGTACGGGAGCGGGTGGAGGAATTGACGTCCTCAACTACCTCGCTTTATCCACGATACAAACGCAACCCCCAAGCACGAAGTATCAGGTCGCTTTATCAGGAGGTCGAGGCCGACGAGAGCGAGCGTCCTACATCCGGCTCGCAATCAGCCGAAGGTAAGACTGGCCGAGTCGAGTCAAATGACGCTGCATCTGGTCTAACAACAACAGTGTTTGGAAGGATAGCGTCGATACGAACCAGCGGATCCAAACTGGCATTTCTAGACATTGTCGAGGACCAACTGAGGCTCCAGGTCGTGCTCTCATACTCGGCTCTCGAATCCTCTGGCGTGTCTCTGGATGATTTCAAGCATAGTTGTCGGCTCATCCGGCGCGGAGACTATATCTGTAAGCCCGAACCATCCCTGCTGGTGCTCCAGTCTCATGACTCCTCCACGTACACCTGCTCACGCCAATTCAAGCATTGAATGGAGGACAACCGTACCGAGCCAAAAATGGCCAAGTCTCCATCAAAGCGTCGAGCTTGCCAGTGATTCAATCGCCATGCCTCCAACGTTTCCCTGTTGAGCAACGCGGATTCGCGACGAGTCCTCTCTCTGAGACCAATTACCAGCCTCGACATGTCGAGATGCTGACGGATCCAGAGGTCATTGAGACTCTGAAAGCCCGATCCACGCTTCTTCGCACCATGCGCACTTTCTTCGAAACCCGATCGTTCGTAGAAGTGAGCACGCCTATCCTGACCGCCCTGGCTGGAGGAGCAACTGCCAAACCATTTGAGACTGCTGCGACCGAGTTCCCTAACCGGAAATTGAGCTTGCGCATCGCCCCGGAGTTATGGCTGAAGCGACTGATCGTCGGCGGGATGGAACGCATCTTTGAGATCGGACCGTCCTTCCGAAACGAAGGACTCGATAAAACGCACAATCCCGAATTCACCACTTGCGAGTTCTACGCCGTCCGTCACGATCTGCCACAACTGATGGACTACACTAAGCAACTGCTCAGTGAGATCGCAATAGCAATCGAAGCCTTGCCGCATCAACAGCCGCCCGAGGTCGCCAACCTGCTCCAGTCCGTCCGGGAGCCTTACCAAGAATTCGACTTCATCCCCACGCTGAACTCGGCGTTAGGCGTTGAGCTGCCGGACCTCTCATCTCCCGAAGCTCCGAGACAACTTCTCCAGATCTTCGAATCCAAGGATCTTCCGCTCCCAAGCAACCCGACTGTCCCTCGGCTCATGGATAAGCTCTCTTCCATCTACATTGAACCACGCTCCATGGACCGTCCGACCTGGATAGTCAACATCCCGGAATGCCTCTCGCCGCTGGCTAAGTCGTATATCCACCCCCATGCTCCGAACCGCCAGCCCGTGGCCGCTCGGGCGGAATTGTTCATCCAGGGCAAAGAAGTGGTCAACTGCTACGAGGAGGAGAACAGTCCGTTCGAACAGCGGAGGAAGTTTCAAGAACAGCAACACTATGCGCATCAGTCGAGTCCGTCAAATGACGGAAGTCCGATCCAAAGCCAGACCGTCGACGAAGAAGCCATGAAAGTCGATGAAGATTTTCTGGAGGCTTTGGAATGGGGTCTCCCACCCACAGGCGGTTGGGGCTGTGGGATTGATCGGCTTGTCATGCTGTTCACCGGCAAGGAGAGGATAGGCGATGTCTTGACGTTTGGCAATCTACGTGCTGTCACTAGAGGGGCGGAAAAGAGGCATTCTGGTTCGTGAATAGTGCTCGTTCGTTCGACAGTCAACCCTCCAGACGATAGAGAGCTTCGAGGCAAGCCCTTTATTGTTTCGAGCTCGAAGATTCGAAGATTCTTATGATTTGAACAAAGTCAATAGCTAGCGGATGCGTGTCTTCTGTGAGATCAGCCCGTTGATACCAATTCCCCCATCTCCAATCTCAGCCCCTTAATGTCCGACATCCCGTCCACCGATATCCTGTTCATTGCCACTAATGTCTGCTCATGGCCCATAATGCTCGTTGATGTCTAGCACTCGTGTATCAAACGGTAGCTCCGCCATACCCACGGCCTCTCGGACCAGCTCTATCAACACCCATCGAGCACCATCCCCAGCCATATCCGCCCATAATCTACGCGACATCCGATGACGCGACTTCCCTATCCAGAAGAATGAGGTGACGATGTCCTGCTTCGGCGTTCGATCCCACCATGAGGCTTGATCTCCAATGTTGTTGTTGATGTTGATATTAAATCAACTCTTTCTGTCGCCCTAAACCGCTTTTGGCGCCTTACTTCATTTCTCTCTGCTGTTTTCTCTTCGGTGCGATTCTACTCCCTCTTGCGTTTCCTGGCCTCGGGCTTCGGTGGCGCGAGATTCTCTCGGAGCGGGCCCTGGCCTGTGGCCAGGCGCTCCAAGACAAACCGGTAAATCTGCCTCTCGGTATTGAGGATCTCGAAATCAGTAACGGTGTACAGCCCATCATAACGGAAGCCGCGCGGGGGCCGCATCGGGACAATCTTAGCGAGGCGGAACGAGCGAAACACTCTCACAGGATTGCCTGTGCGGTACGATGTTACCATGGCCCTTGTGCTGGCTGTAGGACCTTGTCCCTTTGAGCCGGGAGTGATTCGCTGACGCCGTAGGCCGACCACAGTTGGATCCTTGAGGTTAGTAGGTCTCTTGTCATTTTCACCTCTCGGCAACGCCGTGCCTAGATACCAGATCTTGTCTCCTTGATCGATATCCGCATAGTACTCTTTCTTGACGTTATCGTGGTAGCCCATGACGATACTCCGCGCACCGTCCTGAGCCGTGCCTGAGATTCCGGCGATGGGCGGGCCGTGGGCGCCATCGCGGCACATCTCTGCGCGGTAGTGCCATGTCTGGCCGTTGACGAGGAGGCCGTGGCCAAGGAAGTCGGCGTTGCGGGCGTGTTGCCAATTAGGGTCTGCTGACCATTGACCATCGTTGCGAGTCTGGCGAAGTCCGCGACATGCTAGGACGGACAGGTCGCCGTTCTCCCATTTGCGCTGGATAATTGTTAGATCTTCGATCATGGATTGCGGGACCTGCTTCTCGCGCCGTAGTTGGCTGTTATCGTCTGATAGAAAGTGTTTAAGGTGCTCGAGTGCGTGGGACTGGGTGAGTATGTCCTCGGCCACCGAGTTGCTTTGCATCCGTCGGATCCAGTCTTGAATCATGCTGAATGCCATGCGCAGAGCCCGCGACATTCTCGGTCGTGTTTCGACTTTGTCTAGCAGGCCTGTGATGACTTGGACCTCTGAGAGTGTGGCGAATGGTTCGTCTTCTGGAAGGACGTCGATTGGTGGTCTATATGTACCTCGCAGTTAGGTTCGTTTTTTTGAAGGGTTTTGGGAAGGTATTGAGATGCAGGATGGCTGGGGGCTCTGTATGTGTATGGGTGAGGGGCACTTACTCTGGCATACTCTCTTTCTGCTGTCGCTTGTTCCAGTTGTTCCATTCCAGAACGAGCGTGCGACAGTCAATGTATTTGTCGACCCTTGCCTCGCAGAACAGACTGACCGGGCATTTACATTGAGCTGGGGGAACCGTTGCATTCGTGAAGCCTGCTGGTCTTGAGGGAACCAGTGCATCAGACAAGCCTCTTGGTCGAATAACCGCATCAGAAGAGCCTGTTTGTGTTGGCGCATGTGGAGGGTTCGTGTCCCTATGACTGCCGATAGAAGGCGAACTCGGATTCTCTGCCGTCACTGAATTTTCATGACCACTCCTTGCCTCATTGGGGCTTTCTTCGGGGACAAACAGGGACACCCCATTCAACACTGCGCCACAATCCCTGTCTGGGTGCTCTGTCTTGATCTGACAAGCGGAATGCCGTGGGGTTTGGTTGGTCAATCTGGCGCGACTGAAAGAATCAATCACCCCGCGCTCATGTCTGTCTCTCCGCCAGAGGTCATAGGTAAAGGCCCTGTCTGCAGCTTCGCGGCCCACGACCTCGTCTTGTCTCCGTCCAGACCTGGCTATTCCCAGGTTACTGTAGGGTCTCCGACTGCCACTATCCTCATTAAATGAGCGACGGTATGATTGAGAAGACATCGTTCCTGTGAGATGTAGACTGAAGTTCACGATGATGAGGTTCTTTGAGAGACGTCAAGGCCGGATATTGCAGGTCAGAAGAGAGTAAGGAGATGTGAGAGAGGAATGTAGTTGAGGTATTGCAACCAGCTTCAGTAGTAAGCAGTTCCTTTGAGCAAGGAGGAAAGAGAGATGAAGAAACCCTAGTGGAAAGGGATACAAATTGAGACGAGGGACAACAGCGCTTGGCCTCAAGTCGAAATTGGAGGCGGAGAGATCAAGAGGATGAAGTCTGAGAGTGAGACGAGTTGAGAAGAGCACAACGATTGAGACGATAAATGACAGCGCTCGGACTCGAGTAGAAGCTGGAGGTAAAGAGATCAAGAGGATGAAGTTTGAGGGTGAGACGAGTTGAGAAGAGCAGAGAATGACAATTGAGACGAGAGACGACAGCGCTCGGAGTCGAGTAGATGCTGGAGGTAAAGAGATCAAGGGAGGATGAAGACCACATTTGAGACGAGTTGAGAAGTAGTAGAAGACTGAGCGACTGAGAGACTGAGACAGGGAGATGTTGAGAGAGCAGAAAAGATAGAGAAGAAAACCTGAAGTTCAATGCTCAGTGCAAAGCACAGTGACAGACCCAGGTCAGCTTTGTTAGCTATGATGCAAGTAGACGGCCTGGAAGGACGAGACTTGATGATGCTGGGCTTGCTTGTGAAAGAGTTTGTTAAAGAGTAGGCATAAGCAAGCAGAGAGTCCTTGAGTCTTGTCATGTAGAGAGAGTAGAGAGAGACTGAGCGAGGCAGAGGCAAAGGCAGTAGGGTTTTGCAGGATACTGTATCCGACCGAGGAAAGTGAAGAGACAACTAGCAGTGGCAGGTGACATTTGAGTGAGTCAGAGCGTCACGACCTTTCGCATAAAATTTCGCAAAGGACGTAGTAGAGATGATGTGGACTGCAGAGAGACGTATGTTCTCAGAGACTGAAGGAGGAGAAAGGAAGCATGAACGGGGTGAGTGGTATGCAGTGGGACTGATATAGTGCAAGGCTGAGCTTATATAAGCGATTCTGCGGAGGCGGAGGATTGTTCTTCCGAGATCGAGACTGACGAGGATGACGACCAGTTCCAAGTTCCCTCTTCCCTCGAGGGCTTCACATTGCTTGTTCAGCACCTCGGGCAGACAGACATCAATGCCATGCTTTCGAAGATGGCATTCGCCCTATACGCCGTTAGCCCGTTCGATCCTAAGTATCAGCAAACGATCAACAACGTTGCGCGTTGTAGGAGCATCCCGTTCTCCCCCGACTATTCATAAACGTCACTTTGGGTTGGAATCCATCCCGACAGTACTGCTGCCTCCTGTCGTGTTCAGCGGCCTGCTTGTGACATTATGGACGTACAAGTGCTTGATGATGGTGATCTTCCAAAACAAGATCATTTATATGCCGTCCGTCCCACCGTTCTCGAGGTCTGAGAAAGTGAACGATTACGCCAGGCAATGCCAGCCAGCTGTCTGGAACGAACACGACGTTCGGGCCGCAGACGGGACCCTATTGAAGCTTTTGGAAGGCTCCATCACGAATGCGCCAGACACGAAGCCGGAAGAACATGTTGTAGTGCTCTATTTCCAGGGGTACGTCGAGCATGAACAGACGCGATCTGTCACTAAATCAGTCTAGGAATGCTTCCTCATTGCCCCCGCGTCTTCCATATCTTTCGAGAATATTGAAGGCAGCAATGGCTGGCCAGTCGCCCAAGAAGCAATACACAATCGTGGCACTGTCCTATCGCGGGTATTGGAAGTCCCAGGGTAGTCCATCTCAAGCCGGGATTGAACTCGACGCAGAAGCCGCCTTGAACTGGGTACTGACAAGATATGACCCTGACCGAACCAAGGTCGTGGTCTGGGGCCAATCCATTGGTGCAGGTGCCGCAACAGTGGGCTTAGCCAATTTGTCGAGGACCGACAAAGACGGTCTTCAACGTATCTCAGGCCTCCTTCTGGAGACACCATTTGTCGACCTCAAGGCAATGCTGGTAGCACTTTATCCGCAGAAGTTCCTGCCCTACCGATATTTGACTCCATTCTTACGGTCGACGTGGGATAGCAAGACCTCCTTGCACACGATCGGCAAAGTCAACCCAGACCTCCGAACCCTGATCTTGGAAGCTGGTGACGATGAGATTGTACCTGCTGGACAGGGAGCTATATTAGAGAACGCTTGCAAGGAAGAAGGGATGAATGTGGATCGAAAGACGGTGTCAGGAGCTCTGCACACGGACGTCGTGGCCAAAGGGCAGGGGCGCAACCACATCGTGAAGCTTCTTGAGTCTGTGTAGTAGACGCCTCAATATTGAATTCTCGCGAATGGCTGTCAGTGGCTGATTGAGAGTGTGTGCCTGTCCGTCTGAAGCAATGCCGATAGCAAGTTCCCCTTCGCCAGGAGGCTGAGGATCGCAATCTGCAGTCTGGATCAGTTATGAGTTGAAGCCGTTGTGGAGCACATTGTCGTGCGAGAGCGACATCGAGAACAGCTGGAGAAGAACGGTGCAGGCGAGTCATCATTGATGCTCTTAGCCACGAAACGGGACCTTGAACCCTTTTGGCCGCTGTTCTTGCTGCATCCAACTGGCGGCAAACATCAGATAAACTTCCAAGCCACCGTACCCAGACAATCAATGGTATTTGTGAACTTGGTCAGGAGGTGGGAAGGCATCTCGACCGCGACGACCGACATGGTCCTAATGTTCGTCTGGTTCATCTTTTCTGCCTGCTCATCTTTCCCATTCCCCGGTGGTTAGGCGTCGAATGAGCTGACTTCTGTGGACTCGATTAGGCAGGAGGCGAGTATTTCTAGGCATTGGGGATGCTGAGTCTCGCGGTGGAGATGTGACCATGTCGCAAAGGGTTGGTGTCTGGTGTAGCGCAGGCTCCAAGGCGGGAGGAAGGATCCGCTGTGACTCGGACCAGGATCTGAGTCGGAGGATATAGGTATGGATGACAGGATGGACGACAGGATGAACGGGGTCAAACGGGGTGAAATGCATCGGGAGTCCACCAGTCAGTTGATGCCTAGACGTGGGAATTCCACAGGCTGCATCATCTCATCCAGTCAACAATGTAGGTACGCGGTGTAGCAGCAACGTCACCGCAAGTACTGTATGTAGCTTGTGGCTGGCCGATGGGACCAGAAAAGGCCCTGCCAGTGGGGGATTGTACAATACTAGGAGACTAGATACTAGGTAGACAACATGAATCTGTCGAGGCGGTGAACAAAAGTCGGGCTCTGCCTGCGCTGCGCTGCGCTGTGTTTCCCGCGCTTGTGATCGTGACTTGTGCTTGTGCTTGTGCTTGTCCCCTGCAGTTGGCAGTCAATCAAGTCAAATACCTTTTCATGTATCATCCATCCATCCATCAATCAATCAATCAATCAATCACTCGCCCACTACAGACTGCAGACTGCCTCGCATCACCCACCACCAACCACAAACAATCACCGCCATGTGAGCCAGTAGTTGGTCGTTGACTTGCTTCTGCCCATACCCTCGCTTGTCGACCCAGTCTTCTTCTACCTCTCTGATCTCGACCTTGTCTCCGTTGCGACCTGACATCTTGACCATGAGAGCGACGACAAGCACGAGCAACCAACAAATCCATGCTGTGGCGGCCCTAGCACCAACAGCGTTTCCATTACCAAACCCACGAGATGGATGCCAACCAGGCGTCCGGCCCAGGGTTCTGGAGATACCTCATCAATCCTGACAAGAGTGCGACTCCCCAGCTCGAACAACTTTGCCTGGGTATAGCCAAAATCATTGTGAGGAGGCAAATCACAAGTTGCGCACTGATGTTTGCTAACATGGTGGATAGTCGACTCTTGAAACGGGCCCCGATCACGAACTGTCTCCTCCACGCCTGGCTGCATTCTACAGAGCGGTAGGCGGCAACTACGACTCTCTATTCCTGAAGACCTCCTATCATGCCCTCTCCTTCATGTATCAAACGCTCGGATGTTTCCATAGCCTCCAGCCCACAGCAAGCCCCTTCGAGACACCGCGGGTCCCGTGTCTGACTCCGAAAGGGTTCGCTCGCTGGCAAACGATCCAAATACTACTCTGCCCGGAAGAGAACGTCGGGTTCATACAGAAAGCCGTACAGATATGGAATGTTCCAATGCCCACTGGGGGCACCTTTCCTAAATCCATTCCGAAAGAAGTCTTCCCGGACAGACCAGACGAGGCGATGGAAAAATGGCACCGCATGGTTACCGGTCAATTGAACCAAAAGAGCTACATGCGACGCCTCAAGAACTCGCCCTATCAGTCCCCACACCCGGAGGCCTATGATCGGCGCGACGGCTATTTTTCGAACGCACACATGGGAGGATCGACTAGGGCCCCCCACAACACCTCACGGGAGGGCCAGGCTCACTTGGAGGAAATCTATCGCCGGCGAAGCAGCGTTCCAGATTTCCCATGTCCAGCCGGGGAGAGAGCGTCACACTGGGATCCGCGAAACGGAAACGGCCATGAGGCGCGGAAGGCCCGAAGCCAATCTGCACAAAGGCCACCTGTCCAGCCTACCCGTCAGCGATCTCGCACTGCTTCCGGCCCGTCAAAAAGCCATTCTCAAAATATGTCGGGCAACAGTCCTCCGAGCGGCAAGGCCAGTGGCGGATCCACAGACCGATCTGGGCGACGCTCATACGGGTACAACCTCCATTATCGCTCACCGGCACGCACTCCGTCCACCGTGGATGAAGGCAGTGGCAGTGGCACCGGCAGCGAGGCAAGCTCGGAAGCCTCGCAGACACCGCGTCGACATCACATTTCCGATGAGGATCGCAACGGCCGTCGATCGTCGAGTTGGGTCCCCTCGTTCCTGAGGTCGCACAAACGCCGGCATTCATCTGATGCTAGTTACCGCGCGCCTGGCCCCAGACCACCACAGCCCTTGCGGCCCGAGTACTACCCACCTCGTGCGAGCATACCTTCATCACAGCCACAACTGTCACGCCATCGAGGGTCTAGCGGTGCTCCCATTCCCCCATGGCGTGACACCGTCTGGGATAGTGATCCCGTCATCTCGACGCCGGGGACGCCCGTCCAGGGACATGCGCAACCGGACCCGCGTGCCCCCACCATACGTTTCCCAGATCAGGCCAACTTCGAGCCGTTGACGAGGGAGAGCAGCAGCGGGAGTGGCACCGATCACAGACATCGCTCGTCGGACTGGGACAGAGGCGGTGCACACCGACGGCAAGGCCAAGGCCAAGCCGCACCTTCGAGACTAGCAACCTTGACCGGAGTGCATGGGAGGAAATATCCTACCCCAGATTCCATGAGTCCTATCGAACGACAGCGGAGTAGTCATGCATCTTCCCGCGGTGGTGTTGCGGCCATGGTTTGACGAGCACGAGCACGAGTACGGCGTGGCAGCCATGAACTATTGTCGGGTGTGACAAATAGATACACTCCACCGTGGCTTTTTTCCGAGCATCTTTACTCATCCATCCTGCTTGGATGTACAATGAGCGACACTCGACACTCGACACTCGACACACCACACCTTTGCTATGCCAATGAAAACGATCTATGAAAGCTTACACGAATGAGATGATGAGACGAGACGAGATGAGACGAAACGGCAACGACACGACAACGATACAATTCTTTATGAAAAGAGCTCGGCGTTATAGGATGGGTCAGGGCGCACAATTGGGCAGGAAACGAATGCAACCGGCGGTGATGGACATTTTGGGAACTGTCTTGATTTTAGCAGGGCGGAAAGAATCTCGAGACATCAAGCCATCCACTGCTCATATCAGGTATAGCAGAATGAAAGTTCAAAGCGAATGGAATCCCTATCGTTCCCTTGGCTTCGTTCTCGTGCTCGTTGTTGTTCTCGTTCCCCGGGGATTTGTATTTGACATCGTAAGGCTGTGTGACCCCCTTCTTACCTATAGATTATAGATAGTAGCTCCAGTAGACCGACCACGCACCCAAATCCAACGTTTTGATCGGAACGGGCTCGACTATCGTGGATAACTTAACATAGACTTAGTATCGGAATCAGGATGTATTCGGTCATCTACCAGAGTACTTTGTACGTGGTCCTTTAGGTTCGGTACCTTACCTTACCTTAGGTACCTCGTACCTCATGATATCGGCCGACCCGTGTCGGGTATTTTTACTTTACTTTACTTTACTCGAGGTATCAAGTATGTCTTCCAGGTTCTTCTCCTTTCAGTCCCCCACTGCAGCAATGAACATACATTAGGACATCTAACCACTGACTGACTGACTGACTGACTGATAGATAGATAGATAGACTGATTCATCAATTAATGACCAAGTCAAAGTCAAATGGGGAAGTAATAAATGTAGTCGGGACCAGCATGCGTATTTCAGTTCCAGGTTAGTCAAGATATGTTGCTTCATACTGTGATTCAAGAAATATATATCATATATTCTTTCCGACTTTCGCAGATTCCAAAGCTCTCTCTGGCGGGTTTTCTCGTTTTATCCAAGATCTGCCTTTCGTCCCTTACGTATCCAAGACATCATTGAGTACTTATGTTCCAATCCACCACTGTCCAGCAGACAACAACAAACTTTCCCAAAAGTGTTGAAGGTTGAGTATTTATCCCCAAGAGATCAGCTTGCTCTTCTCATTTCCCCCCTTGCCATCATGGATGAGCCCGGATCGAGATGGCTGACTACCTACCAAGAATGGATAGATCTGGGTCATTCATTCACTCATTCATTCTTCTTGAACCTCAACTTCTCCAGGCTAGTCTCTTCTTCAGCTTTTTCTCCTCTTCTCCTTTTCCTCCTCTTCTCCTTTTCCTCCTCCAGCTTCTTCTCTTCTTCTCCTCTTGGCTGGCGCGTTCCGAATTTGTTGGTTTTCACAGACCAAAGTTAAAACACGTAGTAAATCTGTCCCAGCGCCACCTCCTTCGCCGGCTCGGCCGTACAGATCTGCCCGTCGGCCTCGACGACATAACTCTCCGGGTCGACGCGCATTTTGGGCATGACGTCGTTGTATTTCATGTCCCGCTTGGTCAGGTTGCGGCAGTTCTTGACGGGCTCGACGCGTTTCGAGAGGTTGTATGAGGCGACGGTGCCGGAAGCGATGGAGGCCGCGGACACGAAGGTGATGGATGTCGCGGGCACCAAGGGGGCGAACATGGGCCGGGAGATGATGGGTTGGATGGTGGGGATGGAACCGTTCGGGTCGCCCTGTAGACGAGAGGCAAGACAAGTTAGATAGGTTGTGAGGGAAGATGAGTTGGATAAGTCGTAAGATCTGACTTGATCCAAGGCGACAAGTAAACTCCAACCCCAGTGCAAGTAGACAGAAAGAAACGAAACAAAACAAAACGTACCATCATAGCATAACTAATCATACCACTCTTCATGACCAGACTCGGCTTCGTGCCAAACTGGCTGGGCTTCCACATGACCAAATCGGCCAATTTGCCGACCTCGACGCTGCCGATGACATGGGCCATGCCCTGCGCGATGGCCGGGTTGATGGTGTATTTGCTGACATAGCGCTTGACGCGGAAGTTGTCGGCGCCAGTGCCCTGGTCTTCGGGCAGCGGGCCGCGCTGCAGCTTGTTCTTGTGCGCCGTGTTCCAGGTGCGCAGGATGACCTCGCCGCAGCGGCCCATGGCCTGGCTGTCCGAGGACATCATGCTGATGGCGCCCAGGTCGTGCAGCACGTCCTCGGCGGCGATGGTTTCGGCGCGGATGCGTGACTCCGCGAACGCCACGTCCTCCGGGATGTTTTTCGACAGGTGGTGGCACACCATCAGCATGTCCAGATGCTCGTCCAGCGTGTTGCGCGTGTACGGGCGCGTCGGGTTCGTCGACGACGGAAGCACGTTGGGGTGCTCGACCACCGAGATGATGTCTGGCGCGTGGCCGCCGCCCGCGCCTTCGGTGTGGTACGTGTGGATGGTGCGGCCTTTGAAGGCGGCGATCGTCGACTCGACGAACCCGGACTCGTTGAGCGTGTCTGTGTGGATCAGGCATTGCACGTCGTACTCGTCGCACACGGACAGGCACGTGTCGATGGCCGCCGGCGTGGTCCCCCAGTCTTCATGTAGCTTCAGGCCGCAGGCGCCGGCTTCGCACGACTCGCGCAGTGCCACGGGTGAGCTGTCGTTGCCTTTGCCCGTGATGCCGTAGTTGATGGGCAGCGAGTCCACCGCTTGCAGCATCTGCTTCATGTGTGTCTTGCCCGGCGTACATGTTGTCGCGTTCGTGCCGGCCGAAGGTCCCGTGCCGCCGCCCAGATAGGTGGTGATTCCGGACGAGACCGATTCATACACCTGTTGCGGACAGATCAGGTGGATGTGCGAGTCGAAGCCGCCCGCCGTGATAATGCTGCCTTCGGCTGCGATCACGTCCGTGCCGCTGCCCACGATCATGTTGGGATGCACCCCGTCCATCACGTCCGGGTTGCCAGCCTTGCCGATGGCCGAGATGAACCCGTGCTTGATGCCAATGTCCGCCTTGTAAATGCCGGTCCAGTCGATGATGAGCGCGTTGGTGATGACCGTGTCCAATACCTCCGAGTCGGGGCGACCCGATGCCTGACCCATTCCTTCACGAAGAGTCTTGCCGCCGCCGAACTTGCATTCTTCTCCGTAGGAAGTCATGTCCTTTTCCACTTTGATCCAGAGGTCTGTGTTGCCCAGCTTCACCAAGTCACCTGTGGTCGGCCCAAACATGCTCGCGTAGTCTGCTCGCGTCATGGACGCGACATCGATATGACCGAGGTCGCCAGCGGGTTCTGGGACGTGGGCGAATCCGGCTTTCCGGAGCTTTTCCACGATCTCATCCACCCGTGAGAGGTCGACAACTCCAGAGGCCAGATTGTTTCCGCCGCGAATCACCTTGTTGCCTGCGATCTCGACAAGATTGACGGTCTTGGTGTCTCCAGGCTCGAACCGGACTGATGTTCCTGCTGGGATGTCCAGGCGGAACCCATATGCTTTGGCTCTGTCGAACTCCAGTTGTGGATTCGTCTCGATGAAGTGATAGTGCGATCCGATCTGTTCAAGACCTAATCAGCCCAGGTAAACACAATACCAACAGTGAGAATTCTACCTGGATCGGTCTATCTCCCTTGCTGGTCACCTTCAGCCGGATCCTTTTCCTGCCTTTGTTCAACAAGATCTTGCCCTCCTTGACCGGAACGACAGCGCCAGGCATCTTCTTGTTTTCGTACTCGCTCGGATCTGGCAGAGGGAAGGCATCCTTGGTCGGTACTGGCAGGAAGCTCCCGTAAAGAGCCTTCTCCAGATCACCATCATCTGAGCTGATTGGGTGATGGACCGTCACCACGTACGTGCCGGTCTTGAAGGTACCTTCGACTTGAATCTCGGTCAGTGTTGCAAGTACCGATGGGAGTACGTGGCGTCGACCAAGCATGGTCTTCCCGATAGACATGAGGTCCGCCACAGTGTGGTTTCCATCGCGAATGAGCTGGACTTGAACATCAGTATACGGATCAACCCACGCGCCTTGGTTGGCCAAATTACCTCTTGCAAATTGTTGGCGACGAGGGCCTTGTAGAAGGATTAGCCATCTCACTCCGTCATCAAGTTCCATATCACATACGCAAGCTTCCGCATGGTTCAGCCTGATGCCCCTGGCCAGCCTTCTTTGTGCGAGGAACCCAAGCTGGGAGGTGACAAGCTTATCGAGCTGTGCTGCACCGTCAACAAAATGTCTGGCCCCTATCCACGCGGCAGAAAGGGTCTGCGTACCTCCTTGGGGACGAGATGCATGTTGAGATCTTGTCCGACTCAAAGATGCAATTCGAACTCAGACGCGCTCCGGTGTTCCAAGTACCAGCAGACTCGAGAGCTGTTTTATCGTTCGATCTCTTCTCCGGCCATCCTATTGTTATTATACGATCCGCTTATCAACTACCAAGAGCTGGAAGCGTGGGTGCGGGGCAAAGGAAAGAGAATTGAAGTGGCATGAGGAGCGTCAATCGACGGGGAGCCCGTTCATCAACACCCGAACAGAGCTGTGATTCGGCGAGTCGTCAGGCACTACACGGGATACAGTTAGCAGGCAGTCTTCAGCTCCAAGACCCATGGACTTTGGATTTGGGATGGATGCCAGATGGCGGTGATGTGGGGGAACATGGGTCACGTCGGCGCCCACCGAGGGCTAAGGGTAAGGGTCTAGGGAGTCTCTACCTAGGCCCCTAGGCTTTGTTGATTAGGCGTATCGCGCGTGTCAACGCCTAAGATAGAAACAGATGAAGCAAACAAATATTGTTTCCTTTTTACACATGTTGCTGGTATCAAAAGTCATCTACTTCACCGCCATAAAAGGCAGTAGTCTTGGAATCGAACACTCGCCGACGCCTTTCATTATGAACACGACAAACAATCCCGATGAGTGAGCGTCACTTGCAGAGCCCCCAGCCAAAGCCGAAACCGTATGAATGTTACCCACAATCACAGAGCCTAAACCCCCTTCATACCCCCATTGTGCCATTCAGTGCCAGTCGGGCCTTTATCTCTTGGCCTTTCTCGTCTTCTCGCTCTTAGCGGACGAGGCTGGCGCCGCCGGGGCCTCCTTCTTACTCTTCTTGGCCTTCTTCTCCGGCGATTTCGCCTCGGGCTTTGCGGGAGTCGGCTTGCTGGGAGTGGCATCCTTGGTCTTGCGACGTTTGGACTTTGGTGGGCTGGGTTCCTTGACTGGCTCCGGGGATGGCTCTGGGGACGTCTCGGCAGCGACTGGTTCCTCTTCAGTCTCCCCATCGGCATCGACACCGGTAAGGTGTTCTGGGGCCTTGCCCATGTCAACAAGACGCGTCGCCTCCTCATCACTAGGAACAGGCTGTCCGGCCTTGTATGCTGCCATCTTAACACGATAGGCGGCCAGGTTCTTCTGGTACTTGTCATCCCATACCTGTGCATGGTCAGCATGAATTGGTCTATGTGGTCGAGAGAACATACACTCTTCTCGGCAGGGGTCATTTCAGTCCATCTGCGAGTACCCTCGTCGGCAACCTCCTTTGGCTTGGCCTGATCACCCAACTCTTTCGCAATGGTCGCACGAGCACTCTGCATGTACAGGAAGTAGGGGGTGAGAGCACGCTTGGGCGCATTCGGATCATGGGGTGTTCGCTTGCGCTTCTTCTTGCCGTCGGTCTCCGGTTCTGGGGCCGGGGCCGCAGCCTCAGCTGGTCTTCCGGCCAGGAGGCCAGAGTCGGTCAAGATGCTGGTAAGGTTGGCATCGATGGGGTTAAGACCATGTTTGCCGGGGGTAAGGACGGTGTTCGCATGTTGGATGTAGGCTCGAGATAGATCTTGAACCGAGGATTGGAGGGTCGCAAGGGCAACGATGACCTGAATGTATGAGTGAGCAATGGCTTCTGGATCATTTTGGATATCAAACAAGGTTCGAGCAAGTGAAGTCAAATCAGAGGTGAGGGTGCAGATGGCAGCCAAGGTCGCCTAGTTACATTGTTGGATGGACTGAGCAAGATCTGAAGGCAATTCTATGTCGAGAAGTTTGGAAGGCATGGTGGCATTCGCTGCAGTGGGTGTGGACGTGTAGTGCAACGCGCCATCATGTGGGTTATGAAGGGAGAATGTTTTTGATTATGCCTGGAGCCTCGTCGCGGGGTTGATAGTAGTGACCATGGGGTATACGCGTGGAAGTGAAGCAGCAGTGGGTGTTGAAATGCACAGGGTTCAGAGAATGTCATAGCCTTACCGAATCGCGAGTGCGTTGGAAATCAGCAATGTTGACCTGAGTGGTCGCTGATTCAGGGTCGAGAGTCTTCTTCGCCATTGTTGTATGGTCAGGGTCGAAGAGGTAGAAGCCAACTGTCGCAGTTGCTAGAGTCCGCGCGTATAGGCGTGGTTGGTGTTTTGGGTGCAGTGGTTGTTGATGCCGGCTTTACCTGAAGCGGGTGCCTAGAAGGGCGGAGGCGCGAGAGGATGAGAGTGACAGATGAGGGTGAGGGTGCGGGCGCGCTGGAACGAAGCCGCTTGGAAGGAGGAAAATATTGGTGGGCGGAAGAAGCGGGAGGAGAAGAAACAGAAGAGATTGGGGGGCAAGCCTGGTATAAGTGGGCGAGAGGCAGCTGGATGGGTGCTCCCAGATCAACCCGGAGCTCCAGGGCTAAAAATTAGAGAGTGAAGCGCAGCTGCAGGATCTGATCAGACGGGCGGCACCCCTCCCTCTCCCTCTCTCTTTCCAGGCTCTCTCACCTATTTTCCTCCTCGCTGTTACTGCCTGTGTTGCCTGTGCTGCCGCCTGCGCAGTGCTTTCTGGCCGCTGGCTCCACTGTAACTGCCGCGCTAGGCACGCCTATTAGGTTTTAATTGGACCTGGCCTGCTGCACATTTCCGGCTCTATTTGCCTGGCCTCCAGCTGGTTGTCCCTCTACAGGCCCTACAGCAATCATTTCACTCCTCCCACTCCGGGGCTGGTCTACCCAGAGTGGCAGGCAACCCTGCTCTTCTGCAAGCTAACCCCGACCTAGGCTCTTTTTATTACCTGATGATTGAGACGCACAGCTCTGCCCTCCCTCACTTGCCGAGTGATGGACGCGACGGGGTGCGCTGCGCGTCTCCAGGAGCCAGTCGATGGAGGTGTTGGCAACCTCTGGGAAGAACATGACCCGTCTGAGCGTACTCTTCCTGGCCCCCTAGTCCAATTCATTCAGGGCCCTGGCAGTCTTACAATGCGAGTTACAGCGTCTGTTGGTGCGTGGTGCAGCTGTAGGCATGTCCAGGGCCAAGAACATGGGACATGGCGAAATCTCCCCTGTTCCTTATGGCGACTGTGCCCCAAGTGGCGCCCCCAACGGAAGCCGAAAGGAAATTACAATTCTGAAGCACAACAGTGGGCGTCCGTCAAAAGAGGGGCCTGAAGACTACCAAGAAACGTCTCCGGCAGCGACTCGGACTGATCCTCATGGGCACCTCTCAAATGCGGCTGAGAAACTCGGGGGATCTAGTGGAAGCTGTAAACCCTCAGTCCGCGGTCCAGTGTCCAGGGAGCAAGCCCTAACAACGGGTCAGACCACCATGACCCAACCCGCCTTCTGGATCAACACTGGCCACGCCCCACGATTCTACTGCATAAGCGCTTCTGGGCGTCGGCCCGCCTAATTATTATTGTTGCAGTTTTTGTGTGTCAGATTGCAAACTCGAAACCCACTGTTTACTACAGGGCCTCCTTAGCCCTGGGCGGTAGGGCTCAGGAGGTCTGAGTAAGGTAGGTAGGCTTGGAGGCACCCTCCCTACCCTGTCAGTGGGTGGTTGACTGTTAGGTGTGCGAGATAATCCTCCTTATCCTGGCCTCCTAACCATTTAGTAGCCCTCATGGCTGCTGCTGCTGCTGCTTGTGATTCCCTGGCAAATAATAATAATAGTCCTTCTCCTAGGTAGGCATTGAACTGCAGATTGGCTTGGTGGTGCCGCCGCCCTCGAAACACTGCCTCCGTTCCTCTACAGAGCCTCTTTGCTTGCTGGTCTGGACGCTGCTCCCTCGCCGACATCGCTCTTATTGAGAGACTTAACAGCTATGTCTAAGTGCTTGATCTCCTGCAGTCGCCGGTGTTCGCAGGGGCGTGTCCCTCTGACCTTCCGGCGGCGGCACAGTGGCCTAAGGCCTACGGGCTCTTTAGGCCTGTCGGTTCCTTGTGCGCCATTCTTACCCTGCTTGCCTCGCTATTGACCTGCCATTGCCCCAGTATCTCTGGCCGCGGGTGATCAATCCAGCACGCAGCACACGCTTTCTAGGCAAACATCCCAGCGCAGCCGTCCCAATCTGGCCTTGAGACGCTTAGGAAGTGGTCGACTTGAGTGCACCTCAGTACCACGACCTCAAGACCTAAGTTAGGGGGAGGGGTGCCTGAGGCCTGAGGATAAGGACTCTACCGCACTGTCGCTCCGTGCCATTCGGCGGCGTCAACAGTCTGCTGAACAAGGACTTAAGGTATCTTTCCCAAGCTCTTCACAGCGCCGGCAAAGTACATCTTATATTCAATTCAACCTTGGTCACTACGAATCCCCGGGAGCTTTCCAACCACATTTGAAGCCAAACCCTTACCACTGCCATAGTCCTCTCCATAGCCGGACCAACCTCGAGCAATTCATATATATATATATATATATATATATATATATATCTATATCCATGTCCATCCCCATTGAGGCGGAGAGGCATTCACATAGTGACTCCCAGGACCGGATTTGATCATATCTTATGACTTGCAGTATATGGCCATTCAAGGTGACCTCAATGCCGATACTTTGGCCCGCTTGGAGGCGGCCGCCTCCGGGCGCAGCCTCAGTCCAAACGAGGAGATTGGCGGGGCACTCATACTCACATTATATGACAGAATAGGGTATATACCACCTCTATCAAATAGAATATAAAACAAAAGAATGCCATT